CGGGACAGAAAATCAAACTTCCATTATAAATTACCTACTTAGAGTTGCTATCCTAGATCTTTTCTAGAGAATCTCCCTCCCACCCCCCCCTCCTGTAACATTTCAATTTTACAAGGGTTTATTTCTAATGTCTGCTATTCGCAATACCAGACATTAGTGCATTCTCTTACTTAAACAAAGTAAAGCGAAAAAAGCAAAAGTAAAAGAAAAACAAGATTGCAAATACTTTAGGGTTTACTCTTAAACTTCCTGATACTAAGATCGCACTACCTCTATTCCGGTTAGGCCTACTTTTACCTAGATAAAGTCATTATGGAATGTAATTTATTATATCATAATAGATGTTTAGGTAGTTTACCCTTCTGCTTTTCCCGTTCTGTTTAAATTTACCTCAAATAATACGATATCAGATTTCTAATAAATCGGACATTCCCATTATGGTATTGCCGGAATATAAACAATTAAACAGATCATCCATCAAAACAGACGACTAGGTGACGCCCTTCTCGTAAAAAAAACTGTGAGCCATGACATCTAGCGGTAATGTAAAAAGATTACGTCACGGCCTCCACATAAATCTTTACGAAGGACGCAAGCTTTGTAAAGTAAAACTTGGGTCGATAAACTTAAGTTTGCTCTTCTGATTATAGAAAAAATAACAACATCTAGTCGATTTTCTAAGAAAGAAAAAAAACTGGACCAGAATGCAAATTTCATTACGATTTTTCGCGTTCTCGCCTATACCGAATTCAATAGACGCCTTTTTCAGTAATAGGAAAAAATAGACTGTTTCTTCTTCTCTAGGCGCCTGTTGCTGACGCAAAAAGAAGTATCAATTATATATCTTGTCACTGCCACCCACATGTCTGATTAACAGTTACACTCGCCGAATTCATGAATATGTAAATATAATTATAAGGTCGGAACGTGACAAGAGCCGCATCTGTTTTTGGTGGCAATGTTACGCAATTTCATCTTATTTAACCATTTATGAATGTTTCAATGCGGAACGGAATTGTATAAATATTGAAAATTTCCATCATACGATGCATATTATTAAAAAGTTAATACTACACGATCTACTCTACTATTAAATTACACTGTACCATGTGAAGCTACTCCAGAATGGACACAAATGAAAAAAAAAGTAAATCACATGATTACTATTCCTTTTTTGTATCTTCTACTTTGTTTGTCAGTCTCCTCAATTGGATGATAAATTCCAAATATTTCAAATTTATAAGACAAAAATAGCCGGAGAAAAAAATATACACAGAAATGAAATGAGAAAAACGTAGTTTAGTTGGGCTAAAAATACGTTGAAGTTATTAGACGCCCTTTGGGCCCTGATTATCGATGCGACGCGCATACATTAGCTGACATTTCATATCATTCTCATTTTGCGGATAAAGTACTAGCACGAAGAAACTGAATATAGATATTTGCGTGTTTTTTTTAAGCATAACACTGCTAATATTGTTTCTTTCGCTCGTTTTATGTCAACTTATATTTATTTACTTTTATTAAGACACATCCATCTGCTTCATCTTATCCTTCATATTCCTCTAAGGCACATATGTAAACAATATACATTGGTCCGCATCTGCACACATGTACTTGTACGCACACGTGTACGGAATTGGCCGTCATGAATTTTACAGAAGCCGAATCTAATTAATCTCTACTGAAAAAAGAGCATTTAGAAAGGAATTTGTCTAAAAACCGACTAAAAATTGTATACAATTTATATACAGTTCACGAATTTACAGCAAGCTATATAGGATTATAGTTCTTACATAAATACTTATTAGGTGTGGTATGAAAAAAATCGGATTTACACCTACATACTCGCTTTACACATTCTATTTATTGGTTCAGTAAGAGGAAAAAACTACTAGATTACTATAATCCTCCGAGAAACCGTTAATCGTTCTGCCAGTGTATGCTTCAGTTAAACATTGTGTCTGAACATAAATAATTCTAAAGTCAAGTAGAAACGTGCCTATAAACTGTTAATTACTCTAATTAATTAATGTATTATTTCTACTATTCACGCTTTAGAACCCGTGCAGTATGTAAAAGAACGTACACGTATACATCTAATTACATCTATTCACTCCATGCACCTTGATTCATCGATAATTGATCAATTACCATCAACTACTCTTCGATATCGTTTACTAATTAATATATTTTTTATAAGCCGATAAACCATCATTCTCCTCTGTTGTTTCAGAATAAAAGCAAACTTTTATAGACTTATATAACATTTTTTTATTATGGTAAAAACGCCATTTTTTTCGATATTCGTTAAAAATGTATTAAATATAATGTAACGAGGGAACGTGCATAGTCTGTTAATATAGGCCCATAATATTATGTTTACCGGCGTACATATTACACACTTTATAGACGTTCATATTTACAATAGCGACCTGTTTGTTTTTGCCATACTTATTCGATTACAAGCTACCAGTTTTTTTGCTTTGGTCGTGTAAGAAATAAAAGTTTAATTAACTAACCGAATGAAATATTAAGTTAACTTATTCAACTTGACAAAAGGAATTTATGGAAGTAAAAGAAGAGAAGAGTAATTTTATTAATAGAGAATGAAATAGAACGGGATAATGGAAAAGAAAGGGGAAGGGGGGGAGAAAGAAAGACAGAGAGAGAGAGAGAGAGAGAAAGCTAGAAGAAGTATAGTAGATATATACAGTATATATATATATATATATTTGTATGTAGAGAATACAAAGAGAAAGGAAAAAGGAAGATTTCTTCTCATTATCACTCTTTTATTTATTTCTTATGAGTCATTGTTCCTGTAAAAAGGATGACTTTTTTTTCAATATAAACTTTCTATACGGTAAACTCGTAATTCCCTGTAGTTATTTCGATGAAATGTATTAGTTTAGTCACTTTTTTTTAGCTTCAGTTGCAAATGTAGACAAAGTAGAGATTATGCTAGATCGTTGAATTAATTGTAGAATAATAATAATTTAATTTATTAAGCTATTTGATATTTCATTCTTTCGAATTTTTTAAAATTTATTCATTATTCTATTCGCTGAAACGATTTGGAGACATTTCTACATTGGACAACGTCGTAACAGGATTAGATACAATTGATAGCATCCACTATTCGAAGGGAAGGGATAAAGTTGGTGGTATCACGTGATAGGAAACTATAGGATTTATGAGGGTTACTCTGTGACGAATATTAGACCGAAATATAGGCGTATGTCAACGGGCTGTAAACTGTCACGACCCTTTCTACCAGACGTCTCGCGGGACGTCGTTCTATCTCGATACGGAGCTTTTTTTACAGTCGTGGTCTGTAGAACATAGTTAAAGAGAAAAAGAGAAATGTAGAAAGAGTAAAAAACAGAAATGCGATAAGACAAAGGAAACAAGCTGTTATGATTACAGAATCTTTCATAAGATGCCTGTTAGCAAACTAGAAGAGAAACTAGGCGACTATCAATCAAACACTTATCGCCACAGATTTTTTTCTTGGCTCCCCAAATAGGTGAGACGAGACGATGTCCATCAATCACACAGACCATAACGACTTTCGCACGTGCCGTACTTTTACTCTATCCCCTTATGTTCTACTATCTGAATTAAAAGAATTCTTTTTCCATCTTATATTCCCTTTCGCCCCTATTGCCGGCTCAAAGGCCTCTCCGCCCTAATTATGATTAGTGTCCATATAATAAGATGGCTACTGTCTACCATTTCTTTCTCCTACTATATAACATAATTAACGATTTATTTCATTCATTATTGATACTTTGACCCCTGTTTAACCAGGAATCCAACTAGGCCTACTACTAACGAAACAGATGGTGGCGGCTAGCTTTGGATAAGCAATTTAAATAAAAATTTATATACTGAAAGAACACACACGCACATACACACACTTACTACATATTGATCTGTCGACTTTTCGAGTAGATATCATTCGATTACTATGCTCAAGTTTTTCTTTAGCTATTTTGTTAAATCTCTTTTCGTCAGATATTGTTTGTATATAAAAATAATGCAACATTTAATACAAAACAAAAATAAAAACAACAACAACAACAACAACAACAACAACCAAAACCTAAATAAAGAAAGGATAAACATATTATTAAGACGCCTTAATTAATCTAAGACTAGCTAAGAAAGAACAGATAATTTTGAAGGAAAGTAGAAATATTTATTTTCATTATCCTTTCCCATGCGCCTTGCACTACAACTGTATGTGGTCTTGTGCATTGTAGCGTCAAAAGGAACAATTGCAGTTCGTCTATCAGGCTATCTCTAGCGACGTTCCCGATGAGAACAACGACTGAATCTAATTGATTACTCTAGGCAGAAAATAGGCCTATTTTAAGACTTGAAAAAGAAATATACTTAGCAGACATCGTAAAAATATATAATAAATAAAGGAACGCATGTCAATCGGCCATTTCATTACCACACCGAAACGTATACAGACGTCTAATACATAAATCTTTTCGAAATCGATAAGGCGGATCTACAAACTGCTTCTTCTTCAATAAATTCATCTTCAATTAAATCGAAATATATATATTTCTTTTACCCCTATAATTAAGCTTCTTCATGAATTCTACATTTTAATTCAATTTTAACCCCTATCTTTATAATTTATCCTTTATTTTTATATATTTATACTACTGTATATATATATATAAATATGTATAAACATATTTCCGGGTTTTACAATGATAGGTCGAGTTTACTTGTCATATAACCATAACTTTTATAGTAAATACTCGGAATATATTACGTATAATGTTTTATATGTTTATAATTGTTTGCCAAAGTCAATAACTTATAATGAAATATACTGAAAAATATTGAAATGTAAATAAATAAGTAAAGTTTTTTTTAGACTTTGTAATATAAATTCTATAATAAAAAAAGCTGGAAAAAGCGAAACCTGCTTGGCGTCTCTCGACTTGACGTGAGTAAAATAAATAACAAGACCCCTACTTATTTTTTATTCTGTTTCTACGAACCATTTTTAAGTGGCCGTCCTCGACTTCTGTTTTTTCTACGTATATAACACTACCTCTCTTAGCAGAGGGGCAGTTATCCGAATCGGCATCTGTAGAAGTGGATGGTGAAGATGACGAAGAAGTTGGAGTTGAATTGGACGTAGAAGAAGAAATTGGTGAAAGACTTTCCTTTTTCAACTCATCCTTATCACTACAATATCCGTATTCGTCGTCCTTGTTGACTATATCTTCCTCTTGTTCATCTTTACTTTTATTGTTATCCGACCTTTGATCAATATTCACGTAAAAGGGTGGAGGTTTGACAGTGGTTTGTAAATTGACATAATACGGAATATGAGATGATTTGATCGTCTTCTTCTCCTTGCCTAGGTTCACATAGTTCGGAACCGTTGAAGACATGTCCGGTCCGGTCACATGTTGTAGGCCTGTTTGAAAGGCTTAGACGCCACTCTCGAGCGCCCCCTACGCACGTGCTCCAACTGTAAAATGAGCGTTAGTTTTTTTAACGCCTTTTTCATATAGGACTTTTAGAGAAGGCGTTTAGTAGGTTTTCAATGCTACCAAATAAAATTGACTCTTACATTTCACTTCTTTTCTTTTTTATAACAAGTACAGTTAATTGCATACAGCGAAGTATACAATAATTTTTAGTCAAACTCCAACCATATACACTATTTTCATATTGCGCTAGCAACAATTAGATTCACTTACAAATTTTCCCTTATATGTCCTAATATCGAGTTCGGATTATACACAATCGGTACCCTATTTGGCAATAACGTTCTACCGATTTCATTTTCCCCTCACCTCAAACGACCACTCGGGATATACTTTTCTTTATTATTATTTTTTTTTTCACTTTTATTTCACCCCTTCCCCTCCCCTTTTTTTCAGTTTTTCTCTCATATATATAATAGTCACGTGAGATAGAAACTAAATATATTCTAGTGGACTGCATATGTGACCGTCAAAAGTTGAGTGCGACAGCGTAAAAAGTTAAGATTATGTCAAAAGTGAGTGTTAATTATTAAAAGCAGTCTCTATGGATTTCAGAAGCCATATGTCTATCATCAATACAACACACAGATATATAATGAAACTGTTTGGGCCAGTTTTTCATATAATTAGAACGAATCGTAGGGTAAACACGGTCGGATTGGTCCAAGAACGCTTTAGGCTCAATACCACTTGATTATGTTGTATCAGGCAAATGTGGCTTCGCTTAGAGAACCTTCCGATTAAAATTCCCTCCTGATCATATCCCATATATCATATCTCATTCTCGTAATGATATTGATATCGTAACATTATAGTGTCGCCATCTTTTAGGTTCTTTAAATTAGATCTTTCTTAATGTAAAACCAATTTTATAGGAGAAGTAATTACATCAATAACAGAAAAAAAGCCCATGTTCTATTTTGGTCAATATGGGTTCTAAAAGTCTGCTTTTCATTCACAAAAACAAAATTCAAATAAATCGAAAATATTTTAATCGGATCTAGATAAAAAATGTGTAATTACTTTTGAATAAATTTGAATTAATAGTTGACCTTCCGATATGTTGGGGCCATCAAACAACGTGTGTTCAAATACTATATATTCTTCGGTTAATTAATTTACGTAGTTTGTTTTTTATTATATTGCAAAGGTGGATATAATAGGTATATAATTCATTTCAATTAATGATTGTGAGTCAATTATCCACGTATTTAATTAAAAATGCACAAATAATTCAAAAATAATGTCTGAATCGGATCGTTTAATTGCTGTTTAATCTAGATTAAAAACGCTACAAAGATACATTATAACCAAGTAAACATGTTAAAAAATACTTTACAATTATATTTCTCTCCCCCAATTAACAATTTGTTACAATGAATCAAATATAAAATACATGAATAAAAACCATATAAGTACATCAAGCGCCATCTACCGGTTTACAATTTGTAGAACGTACTATAGGTGGCATAAAATCATAAAAGTATACCTTATTTACGTTTGGTTAATAGACCATGTATTTAAGGTAAACAATCTTTTTCAGTCAACCATGTATAAGCAAGATTCCAGTATTGTTCCAGCTGTTTGCGTTCCACGTTGGAAAGAAGGGAAATTTTCACCTCCTACTTCCACGAAAAAAGAGTCTTTCCATCGAAATTTAAAACCGATAAGCTCGTTAATAGTATGTGAACATTGTCACATGTTCGATTTAACTACTAATATGAAGGGCATGGTCCACCATCATGACAACCGACACACATTACATTCCTCATTCTGCTATATTTCCCTATTGCACCCCGGTAGCTTTGTTTGTTTATAAGCGTCTTTTTGTCTGACTTTCTAACTTTGTGAGGTGCACTTTTCCCTGTCTCTCATGTCAAACTTTCTGTCTCTATCTTTGTCATTTTCTCTCTCTTTTTTTCTCTCTCTTTCTCTGTCTCTGTCTCTCTCTCTCTCTTGCTCTTTACATACAAGCAGATATAAACAATCGTCGTGCCAGTTACGTTAGCCGAGATAGACACTCCATTTTCGAGGATCGTCTTTAACTAGCATAAACTTGATATATAAACGTAACGTTGTATAGGTAGATCTATAAAATGCTCGGTTAGAGACGGGGAAGAAGAAGAAAAAGTGGGCAATAGAATACCGTACGTACAATAGAGAGATAAAGAGGAGAAAAAGAAAAGAAACAAAAGAATGCGATAGTGTTGCATAATGAAAAAGTAAAAGCGATAAAAATTTGTTATAGAATTATAGAACAATGACGCGTTGTTTTACAGATAATAATTAGAAGCAGAGACAAATTATTCGTTCAACAATTAACTTCGTTCCGTCTAGAGCCTTCGGGCTGCCAGAAAACACCCGATTCCTATCTACTAACGTACTGTTTATTTAAACTTCTCTTTCCAAGAGTTACAGGCCAATAGCCAATAACTAGCAACTGTTTTTTTTCTAATAAACTACTCTAACTCTCCCGAGTTTCCCACCATCTTTACTTAAGAACAGTTCTTGCTGTCACCAAGGAGTCGTTTTTTAAATAATTCAATGGATTAAGAAAGAAAAGGCGTGAAAGACGATTTCGTTCTCTCACATTCTATCACTAAAATATTTAATGAATGAGACCGTTAGAAAGATGAGAAAAAGCTCGTAACTCGCTAATTTTTCTTTGAATAATCTAAAGATATTTGCGGCATCAAAAGACCTAATCAATTAATCAAGCGTCGAATCTTACCTTTCAAGCGCAACAAGTTCTAGGCCTACTCATTAGGAGGCGCATTCGTGGGGTTAATCGATCGTAGAACTAAATGAATTCTCTTGTTTGCAATTAGGCCTAGCCACCGACAATGCGTACTCTAACTGACCACCGTATTTTTTATCCGAAATCGTTAAGGGGCTCGGACGATTATTATTTTCTTTTTTTTTTCATTGTCACCTTTTTCCCTTCCTCGACCGAACGTGAACAATAGAAAAGTACTGCACGCGAGTTTTAATTAAAAGGCAATTTTATATTCGACCACTCACGTGATTTCTCTACTTTTAATAAAAAGGAAAATAAAGTTACTATTTAAGCTGCAAAGAAAAGAATTGTAAAAAAAGTGATGTTCGTTTTCAAGTGGATTTTATAAGAGAACTTAAAGACGAACATCGCTTTTGCGGCGTTTGAAAAATCTGATGTGTTCTGATCTAATATACACAATTTATACGTAAAAACATTTTTGTTCGGTACGGTCCTTCAATACTCTTTTAACTAATCAGTATGAAACTTTAAGCATAGACTCCTATTGATCTGCCAAGGAGCCAGAGTCCCTTTGGGCGTTTCAAGCGTCATTTTACGCCACAGATAAAGATCAGCAAAATAATGTACTGTTTACGCTTTTCAATCTCACGTTTATATGCTATAAAAAAATGGAAAATACTGAAAAAAAGTAACAAGGAATAATGAGTTTAAAAGGTCAATCGGTTAGTAAAAACGTGCCTGGGCGTCTAAAATGAAAAAAATAGGCGGATGTAATGAATCCAAGGAACACACAGCAATTTGTCCCATTGACATTCTAAAATCTCTTTAATAGAGAAACAAATACAACAAGACATCTTATTATTACGTAACAAGTCCATTTTAGTGTTTATTCTTTCTTGTGTTTTCCCATGCTCTCTCTCTTTCCCTCACAAACACACACACACACACACATAGAGTGTAAACCTTTGCAATTAATGCATGCCTAGGAATGAAATTAGTTTCTCGAGTTTCATTTAACATACTCTATGTGAATTTGACCCATTCAATACGTTCAAAACGATCTGGATAAGCGACTGATGGAACAATTATGGTAACGACGCACGACCTAATTAGATTTATCCCTACTGCTGCGCACGCGTGTATTCTCGACGTCTGTTTGCCGGGTGTTACACGGGCGTCGAGCGGAAATGGCGGTCGACATTTCCTGAGTTTCTCTATTTAGTAATACGTGGTTGGGTTTTCTTCCCATACAATTTTGATTTTACTAGAAAAAAAAAGAACTAACTCGTTATTTCGATTGAACGCAATCGAATAGTCTAAGAAAACGTGACAAATGAGAATAGTCTTCTTCAATTTCCTACAATATACAAAAAAAGAAAAAAATACATAAGTTTTATTATTTATTAACTGCATTGTGAATATTTCTTATTTCAATGGGCGAATCAGTAATTGGATTTCCAAGATGGAAAAATGAAACAAACTTCTCTTAGATTTCTCCCTTTTCATTTCCTTCAACCAAAATTTAATAATGTTTACAAAAGTATTTAACATTTGGTCAATAGGTGTCACTAAATCCTTCAAAGTTTATACAAAGGTGGACGCTTCAACGTTCAGTTGGCGAAAACAAAAGAGTAGAAAAATCAATCAAACGACAAAATAAGCTTCGCCTAAAAAAAAGGGCTTACCATTCTTTATTTGCACAGCATGTATCCAAAAGAAAAACAAATATTAATCGCGACATTGTTTGTATCAGTTTCCATTTAATTCGTATGGAGATAGCATTAAATATCAATTTAATAAGTTAGCCCAATGTAGAAGTGAGACAACACGTGCCTAGTAGTATAAATACTACATGAATATGTATTAGGAGCTTTATGCCTCCATTATTTTCTCACTTCCGCCCCTTTCTTTATCCGCACTTTTTTTCTCCACCCAACTACTAGCCGTTGCCCTTTAGCCCTTTTTTTTCTATTTTTCTAAATTTTACTATAATTGATATTTCACACTTTTTGTACAATTTTTTATAATATTTCAAAGCTGTAGCCGCTCACTAATCAACTCGATAATCCTAAAACACACAAATCCCATATAATAATATCCAACGCGCGCCGAATATCGCTAATGGTTCCCACTACACCGTCCACTCGTCGCTAACAACGTTAGCCGGTTCACCATTAACAGAACCTTTGCGCAATAGGCCTAATGCATCCTTCTACTTGTATATTAAATAAACAAACACAACTATAGAAAACAGGGCAATAATAGTTGAGTAGGATTCTATTGGATATTTCTTTCGAAGTAATATTTCAATAAGAGCGTTCAAAACATTGATTTGACCCTTGACCAATATCGTGATATCCATTATTGCATGGGGAGCCTTCTCAATCATTTACCGTTCAATTAAGTACAGGCTATTATAATGGACAGTCTGCTCAATTCGCGATGAAAGCTGCCAATAACCTTCCATTTCCTGGCAGGCGTCTCCTTTTTTTTTCTTCAACCAAAACGGGAAAAAAAGTACCGGTAGCGTAGAGTAAATACGCTCAGCCGTATTATATATCCGATCGTTGCAAATGTCAGGCTCCTGTTTACTCTGCAAAGCGTCGTCGCAACAGGCTAATGGATCAGAGTGTCCAACTTATATAGAATATATAAACTCTTTTCTTGTTTATATACAACAATAATACATTAAATACAAGTATAAGACAAGACAGAACTGTCAATACATCCCTTACGGTCTGCTTAACTTTGTTAAAACTTATGTTGCAGTTGGCTCCAATAGATTCTTACAGCTAACAATAATAGGTCATATATGTTTAAATATAAAACATTTCCAACAGCCTAATAATAACTATTTCAGAATTGGATCATAAACATTTATATATTAATGTATTTTATATACCAATTGCGTCTGAAACTTATTATTATAGAGAGACAGAAACGGCAATAAGAAATCTCATTATTATCTTTATCATCCATTATCAGGGCTTGTAAAGAGTCAAGTGTAAACTTATCAATTCTCTTTCTTAACTTATCCTTTTTAACTCTATGACTTTTTATTAAGGAATAATTACAACTATAACAAAATATTTACAGCTGCTTCCTAGTCAACAAGCAATTTGCAGGTGCTCGACTGCAGAGAAAAGTATAAATATACAACTTTAAGCAATTCTCTCGTGTATTCCCTTTCATCTACCTAGTTGATCAGTTATTGATAGCCATTGGTCATTCTTTTCCAGGTTTAATTACGTATTAAGTAACAATATGATTTCTTTTTGAATCTTTTTGTTTTGTACCTAATAAGACAATGATTAGTTGTGTTTTTGATATTAGCCTTAATGTTTAGAAAGATTAATGAATGAATAAATAAATAAATGAATTAGACATTAAGATGAAGGGAAGAAGGTCGTTAATAAGGTATAATCAACGAAAATAGCAATCGGTCAATACGAGACGTCGTCATAGGTCATTGGATAAGACATAAATCTGGGTAGCGTCAATAGATCAAAAGAACGACAGGAATTTTATATTGATTTCCGCACCTTTTCGATTACGCAATTCTTTCCGAAACGCTTTTTACAGTCTTCTTCCAATTTCACCGAAAACAGATTAGAGATTCAATTAATGCAAACCGACCGTACACTGATAATTCTCTTACGTATAGCAGATAACCAATAATCCGAGACGCCTCCTAACGATCGCATTTTTCTTATAGGATTAGAAAGTCGAACCTTTATAGTTTGTATAAGCTATAGGAAGCCATTTTTTTAAAGGTTTATAAAAAGCCGTACTTTTCGTTAAGAAGTCGTATATTCTCAATACGTTTCTTCCATGCAATCGAGCACGCCCTTTTTGGACACGAAAGGAAAAAAAAGAAACGGTCACGAAAAGAAACGGTTTATCAGCTCAGACCGACCGTTCCGCTATCTCGTTATGGCTTCGATTGATAAGAGCAATGATAATCCCCAACTTTTCACGCGTTAATCCTACCACCCACAAAGCATTGAAAATCCCATTTTCTCGGAAATGTATATGTATAATGGTATACAGCCTAAGCAGCCCGGCAAAATTACAAACTATGGTAATCATACGTGCATCAAGGAGAGCAGCAGATGCGTCTCCGACGCTAATTTGCATACGCGCGTCAACTATCGCCTTTCCTGTTGACACAGTCGATCGAAGATGCGGAAGAAGAAGCATATTTTCTTTAATTTATTACCATTCGAATCAGACTTTTCTCGTATATTCTAGACTTTAAAGCACCTTCAATTTAGCAGAAAGGTTTGGATTTGCTTATCTTTTGGTGACACTCTGGGCAATAATGACTAACTGTTTGACAATCCTTAAATAAGAATGGAATAAAACATAGGCAACAAATTGATAAAGCGGCTATGACAGCGAATGAATCACTTTCAACATCGTGCTGAATGTTTGTTCGAATCGTTGAATGACAGCCAGGGCATTCTGTGACGAAAGCCGACTTCTCTTCAATAGTTTTTACATCTGCCTCTGTTAGGACACAGAGTGCCTCTTCTCCTGATCTATTGTCGCTAACACCTTCACCTGCTCCCCCAGTAACTCTCATTATTCCTTGTACATCTCCCACATGTCCCCCAAATAAATCGTCACCCCCTCCATCTTTATATCTTCTCTTCCTCTTCTTTTTTACAGCCTTTTCGTCGTCATTTACTACTTCAGTGACACGTTTCTTTTCTTTCTTCTTCGCACTTTTCTCTTTTCGATGCTGCTTTTGCAATTTATGAGATTTCTTCCTTTTTTTACGACTCTTTTTCTTCGCTATAGATTCTGAATGAGATTCAGGATCCGAATGGGACGCGGATTCGGATTTATGTTCACCTGATTCTTTACTTCCCGAGTCGGAATTGTTAGACTTTTCAGAATTATCAGAATTATGAGAGTCTAGGGATTGTTTTTTCTTATGATGACTATGCTCTTTGGATAATCTTTTTTTCTTTTCTTTCACAGCTTTTTGTTGCGGGTGTGGCTGTGTTACTTGTGGTAATTGGGTTTGTTGGTGGAATTGTGACACTTTACCCCTTGTTCTGGGACCCCTAGTCATTAACTCTTGTTTACTTTTTGCCATACTGCCCCAAACTGCTCTTTGATCCCTTTGTATGAGTAATAATTGTTTTGAATCTATTTTATCTACACTCTATATTCCCACTACTTAATTTATCTTCATTCGAAATCTTGTTATTCAAGAGGACGTTATCGGATAAGAGTATCGCAATTATATCACTCAAATAATAATTGAGCTTTAACGATTTCAAATAATTTAAATTACATCTGACGAAATAATGTAGTTAAGCGGTAATTTTAAAAACAGTTTGGTTTAGAATTAAAAAAAAAACTGCAGTGGTCTTATAAATGTCCTTATAAGGTAATTGAATTTTTTAGTCCAAAGCAAACGATTTTTTAATGACCACGATAATTTTGCCCGTACCCTACCTCTTTTTTTTCTATCGGTTTATCGACGTCTTAGCAGCGTCTTTTGGGCGTAGCCCCTTCTGCACCCTATTAAAGTATTGGAGGCGGAATGATAAATTTCGGATGTACTCGATATAGGTCTGTTTTACTTTTCTATTCTAAACAGTGTACAATACACGTTACACAAAAAAAACGACAGGATAATTAATGTTAGCAAATGTTTGCAAAAAATAATAAAAATAGCTGAAGCAAGTATATGAATAACATTGAATGATTAACCCTCTGCATATGTTAGTCCATTACTTCACCAGCTAAACTCAAAAGAAGTTCAAATACCAATTACATCTCTCATTATGATCGTTGATGGATTCGCTTAAAGCTCTTACCAGCTTATCTAAAGAAATATCGTTCATCTACATATCATATTCCCTCAATAATTGCCTATGTTTAAGAGCAACTGTAATCCGTTAATTTTATCTAGAGTTTAAAAAAACTTTGATACACTCAACGGAATTTATTAAAAACAAAATTTGCAAATGAAAAATTTACTCCAGGCCTACTTGGCAGTAAATATTTTAAGAAAATGACTCCTTAGCTCCATTAATAGAGTCCTTAAGTAGGAATGTTGCTAAAAAAAGGACCAGTAGTTAAATAAGACCGTTATACTCTCCCCCTCATCCTCTATTATTTCCTCTTTCTAGTCTTAAAGAAATAACAGAGCCAACTGTTTCTCGGCTATCGGCCTTTAACGCTTGAAAAGAGAAGTTTAAATAAACAGTACGTTAGTAGATAGGAATCGGGTGTTTTCTGGCAGCCCGAAGGCTCTAGACGGAACGAAGTTAATTGTTGAACGAATAATTTGTCTCTGCTTCTAATTATTATCTGTAAAACAACGCGTCATTGTTCTATAATTCTATAACAAATTTTTATCGCTTTTACTTTTTCATTATGCAACACTATCGCATTCTTTTGTTTCTTTTCTTTTTCTCCTCTTTATCTCTCTATTGTACGTACGGTATTCTATTGCCCACTTTTTCTTCTTCTTCCCCGTCTCTAACCGAGCATTTTATAGATCTACCTATACAACGTTACGTTTATATATCAAGTTTATGCTAGTTAAAGACGATCCTCGAAAATGGAGTGTCTATCTCGGCTAACGTAACTGGCACGACGATAGTCGGTAAATAGAGAGAGAGAGAGGAGGGGGTGAGGGCAGGGGGTTGGGGCCATAGAGAAAGAGAGAGAGAGAGAGAGACAGTTAGAGAGGGGAGGGGGTGAGGAGGTTAGGGAAACGGGGGGCGAGGGGGAAAGTGCACACCGTAACGTTAGAAAGATAGACGGAAGGGTATGGGTATGGGGGATAAAAAAAGACGATTATAGACAAACAAAGCTGGTAGGGGAGTAGAGAAGAATAGAAAAACAAGGAATGTAATATGCAGCCGTTATCACAACGGTTGACCACGTCTACCATTCTAACTGTAAGTCGAACATGTGACAATGTTCACATACTATTAGCGAGCTTATTGGTTTTAAATTTCGATTGAAAAACTATTTCTTTTTTTTCGTGGAAAAAAAAAGAGTTGAAAATTTCCCTTCTTTCGGGTGTGAAACGTTAACAGCTGCAACAATACTGTAATCTTGCTTATACATGGTTGAATGAAGGAGATTGTTTACCTTAAATACATGGTCTATTAGTTAAACATAAATAGCTCTAAAAACCGGGTATTCATTATACAATTTCCCGATTGATGAAAATTGACTTAGTCAGGTTACAGACCATCTTCAAAACTTCATTAAGCTAACGTTATTGGTTAGTTTCCTTCGGCCTATTTTGGGCGTTAAAGGCTTATTTCTACTTGACACTTTGTCACATTGACATGAAGAGGAAGAAGAAAGAGTTATCTTTATTTTATATAATACAAAGCATTATCTTGAACCTTCAGCTCAATAACACCTACCTCTCTAACGTAAATAAACGCCTATTTTGACATTCCAGCTACTCGGCCTAATTAATCATTGTATATCATCCTGACGGAACCGTTTACTAATAGAAAGGTAAAGATTGCAAAGAGCAATTCCGTAATTAATCAAAGCCTAGGTGTTAAAAAGGCCACATTTCTGTTAATTATTGCGTATAATCAAATGCATGTCATTCTCGTTATCAGTAATTAAATCACTTTCATTTAGCAATGAAATATCGTGGTTTTCCTTCCAATATTTGACTAGCCCGTAAATTGATCGAGTTTTTATTTCATTAATTTCCTTATTCCGTATAAGAATAATTGTAGTGTACAATAATTAACATATTTTCCGTTTTTATTCTACATAGGCACAGATATCATAAAGATATAGCATCGGTAAGAAGAGCACCATGTAATATTAAATTATAGAGCAACAATTTGGTAATTACTCCCATAATCAATTTTTGTAATTAGAAAGCGTTCAATAGTTGCTTCCTCAGCGTAGTCCTATATTCTTATACCTTTTCTCCGGTGGAGAGCCAATAAAAAATGCATTTTTTAACAATTTTTATCGTAATGTAGCGTAAAAAATGCATAGATTTATAATCATGCTCTTTTACTAAATAAGTACGTAACGTAAAAAATGATAAACTTTAAAAAATTTACAGCGATATGTAAATAAAAAGTGATAAAAGAGAAGAATATTTATATAAAAAATTCATTCTGTATAGATAAACACCAAGATGAATCTTTCTATATATATATATCTGTATCTTTAGCTTCAAACATTTACAGGAATAATTCATCAATACGTCCAAAATCATTAACCTTATTAATCTTATACGGGCTGTTGGAACCATAGAAAAAAAAACGTAATCGATGTAAATTGATGTAAAAATGTCTGACAAGTTATGAGTAGAAAACAGAGTTTATTTAAGCTGTGCCCTTATAAATATCCGTTTCATAGGGAAGAGCAGATGTTTTTTGTCGCGGAAGAAAGTACATTATCGAATCATTTTTCTTAGTGAAACTTTAATAACAAGAGAAAAAAGAATTGACGTTTTAAATCAAGTGAAAACTCTCTCTTCCTTTTCACAATTTACGAAACAATTAATCGGGTTTACACCAGAAATTTAATATAGAATTATAAAGAGAATATCAAGCTATAAAAATCAAAATATCCATCTAAACACGCACACATGCATACGTATGAGTTGACAAAGTCGGTGCTAGTAATTGCAATGACATTTCCCCTCAATAAACATTAGCCATCTCCGTTAAGATTGACGAAAAATTTGACGAATGAATAATTTCTCTCATTCTCATCCTTTCAACTATCATTTTCACTATTCATACTTTTCTGAAAAATACGCCCCTTAATAGCGGGTAGACTGTTGAAGATTCGGGCAATAAACGCTTTGGGGACGTCGATAAGTCGACGGACTGTAGTAAAACTGGCGTCGACTATGTGGCGGATAGAAATGGTAACCATCATAATCATAAAAAGCAGCCGATCTACTACGGTATGGGAATCTAAAGCCTCCTTTTGAATAACTTGTAACATTACCCGAACTTGTCTTTTTGATTTGATGTCTAGTCTTTGTCTTTGGTGGTGACGTTTCTGGAGTTGAAATTTCTTCGGTGGTACTTACCTCTCTTTCGGGATGTATCGTTTTGTAAATTGTTCGACGACCCCTTCGTCTTGACGCTTCCGATTCATCAGATTCATAACGCTTTGATGGTGAACGCCACCATTTGCGATTGACGTACGCTGAGTGGCTTCGATAGCCAGACATGGGTTGTCTGTATAAAGGTCGTCTTCCTTCTTTCTCAGGAGCATGTTGAGAACCTATGACCGGTCTACCCTCTGGGCCTGTAACATTTGCCGCTTCAACGCCTTTTAAACCCACAACAACATCAAACTCAACTTTTTCGCCGTCTCCGACGCTTCTAAGTAACTTTCGCGGGTTATTTCGAATTATAGCGGTTTGATGAATGAATACGTCTTGACCGTCATCATCTCTAGTCAAAAACCCATAACCGTTTTTTACGTTAAACCATTTAACGGTCCCTTTAACGGACATGGCTAAATAATTTTTGTTCTTCACTGCATCTCCGGCCCCATTCCTTGATTTCAAGGCAGTTGCAATCATCTCAGATTCCGTTGTTTGCGTCTCTGCGGAAACGAGAACTTTCTCTTTCAAAAGCTTCTCCGAGTTCATGACAGCTTCCATTTCGACAATAATGTAAATTTAAAAATGTTGAGTTATGTCATTCTTTCTCAAGGAGCGTAACGTACAATTCAAAAAAAGATGAGTCATAAGAAGATGCATTCGAGCCGAAAAAAGCGTTCATTGGCCACTAATTGCCCTTAGAATGGTGCAAAAATTTCATTACCATATACTTACAGGCGTGTAACGCGTGTGACTCATTTTTTTATTGCCTCCGACATACTGCAAAACTTGACAGACACCCAGTAATGAACTGCAATATTACTTAAGGCGACGCCGCGCATACTTTTATTACACCGTATTATAGAATTTCGTTACTAGACTCTGGCAAACCTTTTTTATCTAAAATTATATGAGATGACCATTTCGAAACGGAAAAATTACTAAACACCCTAGTAAACAGCCTTTGTATTTTACTCTGTTCCTCAAGAGATTTATAAGATAATTATCTGTGTTTAGTTGCTACGTGAATATTATTCAGAAGAGAACGAGTCCGTTCGTCCGATATAGACTGAGAATGAGAGAGAGACGGGGAGGGGGCGGGGGGTGGCGGCGGAGTGAAAGTAAGAGTGAGAGAAGGAGAAAAATAAAAATCATATAGCAAATTTACTCAGACTGCACGCGCACTTATACCATAGCATTTGGCATAGCTTGCGATAAATTACTTAAGACGACACGTATATTTCTATTACAGAAAACACTACATAACGCTAATAGTCAGGTTAAAATAGGCAAAATTAAATCTAGCAAGAAGTGTTGTGTATAGTTTCATTCGTATAAAATATACGCGTAAACATGCGCACACACACAGACTGATAGAAACTTAATATGAACGCGGATAAATACAGTATATATACAGTAAATATGTATATCATACACATATATATATTAGTATATATATATATATATATATATAACTTACATACAATATATATATATATATATATAAATGTATCTACAGTATATTTATATGATTATAAATGTACTTTATATGCATATTCGTATATGCTTAATATGCCATATGCAAAGCATTTATATATTTAGACAACTACGCAAGTAGGGCCAAACTAATGGCATTTTTCACATTTACAACAAGTAATAGTTTAGGTGATGAAGGCTTCGACCGATGTCAGGCGCGTTTGCCGTTAAAAGACGGAGAAGAGAAAGATTGATATGTTTGCTGACAATACACAGACGCAAACATTTATTATGTCTCGTTTATAATATTGCTCTTATAGTTTAAGAAAAATTAAAGTTCAAACGTTTCTATTATCATACTATGCGCTACAGTGGAGTAACAATCGCAGATTATCTTACCTAACCTATGCTAACCTTTTTCTAAGCATATTAAATTCACAACTACTCATTGTGACATTCGTATATATTCGATATTTTACAGAGTTTGAAAATTTTTGATCCCTCATACATATATTAAAATTCTACTTAATTGCAAATTTACTTACCTTTATGGTGTCCTCGACGGAAAGCTCATCTTCGTCATCTTCACTCTTACGTAAGTACTGTTCTCTTATCCTTCTTGAAAATAATTTACCATCCTTCACCTTCTCCTTATAGCGTGACTTTAGTCTGTTACTATGCTTAGGTGGCTTTAACTTGGAAGTCATGACAGAAATCGCGTTAATTATTTCCGTTTAGAAATTAGAATAAATTAACAGAGCATCCTTGACGAGCAAAGTACTTCCTGAGTTAGAAATCCTTAGGAAAATAAAAATAAAAAGTTTGCACGTATAATAAAGCGGATAGTTAGATGGAACGTATAGTCGGCTTGTATAAGCCTACTGCAAATTGCCAAGCTTCGAGTGTGCTGTAGGCGCAAGATGGCGCTGATATCTACATAGCCTGCATTATAATTGACTGTCAATGAATATTATATTAATAAGCAAGGGTTTATACTTTTATTACTTGTTATATATATGTATACAGAAATGCGTTCATAGAAATAATCTAATTATAAATTAAGCTGGGAAAGAGTACTACCATTTCGCTTGTTATTTATAATTAAAAACAATTATAATAAAAATTACTCTGAAAATTGTTCTTTTTATAATAAAAGAAAAACAAATTGTTTTTTTGTCGTGTTTCAGAAATCAAAATCAGAGGTGTATGCAATTAGAGAGCTTGTCATACATAATAACATAAAAAGATAAACGAAATTAAAGAATTAGACAAAAAAAACTTCATAGAGCGGTTGATTTAAAATAAAAGTTAATGCAGATAAAAAGGAGATAAATTTCTGCGAATTTGGGCAAAAAAATACGACTAATTTTCTCATGAGTAGTATTTGTAAAACTTTTAATTACTAATTATTGTAACTTTTCAGTACCGCCATTTTCGATATTCGCGGAAGTGAACAGAGGACGTAACCATGTGTCATCTATTGTTTTAAAATGTTATATTTATCAAGTGAAAGTTTTATCCTATTAACACTTCCAGTAAATGAAGATATCTAAAAAATTATATAGCTCAATTGAATATTAAGTAATATCATCTTAATGCCTCATTTGAAGTTTCAATGGGGGTAATTTATTTTCTTTTTGATTGTAAAATAAAGCCTTTAAAATTCAGGAATATTTAATCTACTCAAATTGGAATGAGTTAGACAAATTTTGTAAGAAAAGAGTTTATTTGTTGTGTTATTCGGCACGTGACGTAAAACGGTACATCACAGATTGTGCGGAAGCATATACCAGTCTGCGTGAAACTAGAGCGCGCAATCGGCACTTTTGGATCGAAAAGAGTGAGAAAAATCAAGAAAACCTTTTTTCAACTTGATCAGTATGAACATATAGCTAAACAAGGTAACAATATATTCTCTCATCTATAAATCTGTCCAATAAATTATTGCGAATGAAAGAAATTTAAAAAAAAATTCCTTTTTCTATGACTACCAGAAATCCTATCAAAAACGTTCCGTTTCGTCGGTTAAATAACTAGTTTTTTGAATCAATAGATGTAACTGATTTTCAAGCAATTCAATTATTTATTAATGTATAGAATTTTGTGTGATAAATGATATCTATTTGTCTTATAACGCAATGATTTGATTCTGTCGATTCTTGTACTTTGAACAGGCCAATTTTTGACGGTTAAGCCACTCCTTGGCGCCAGAATTAAAACGTTTGTGAACTTGTTTTTTATAAGTAGGCGTTTTCCCGCACTATTCTTAAGAATTCAAGCTTCCTTGACTCTAAATTTTAATCCATAATTACCTAAGATTAGCTAACACGTTGTCAGGTGGCTCATTGTCTTTGTTAGCTTCAACATGTTAATGCCATGGTTGAATAGGGGCTATAAACCCCCACACGCCAATTCAAAATTAAACGGTTTCCTCGAAAATGGCGCCAATTCTAGGCGTCTGGCGCTTCTATTTTTAGCACAAACAGTTTGGTCTTTGTTAACAACCTTAAACGCCCGCCTTATGGTTAAAATTCAAACGTCCTTAGTTTTTTGTCATTTCTCATGCCCACTTCAAACTGATCACTTGGTCCTGAAAAAACGTTGACGTATAATATTACAGAGCTACCTCGGAATAAATGTAAGTAAACTTAAAACCCAGTGATAACTTATGCCTATAGATAATCGGCTTTTGCATAATTATAAAAAACAAATACTCATTTAGATTTCCACTATCTATTTCTACTTAGCTTTACACTGTTAACTTGTGTATACAAAGTTAATTGCGCATTGCCTCTTATAATACGGAACAAGGAAATACATTTGTTGCAAACAAGTGCACAAGCGTTCCCAAACTATTACCTAACTGTTAGGTAATAGTAATAGCTAGGGTCGTGAGGTATTGGACAGCTCGATAGGGGGCGTTCGTGTCTAATTTGCATATCGTACCCCTATTTTCAGTTAGGTTTCTTTGTTAAACCCATGAACACACCCACAGGCACTCGAAAATGTCAACATTACAAGAGACTAATGAGACGATGGTATCGTTCAGTTCACTGCCATTCTCTGAATCCATCACATCGGGCTCAATTGACAGGAGTGATATGTTGGAAATGAAAGACAAAACGCCAAGCAGAAAAGAAAGAATAAAAACTACTTCCGTTTCTCCTAATTGTAATTTAAAACTATTAGCAGCAGTCAGTTGCGAGAAAGCGGAGAAAAAGAAGCAAGGGTCCAGTGTCTTCAGACCGCTTTTCACTGATGATAACTCAATGGATTCTACGACGGACTCGACTTCTTCCTCGTACGAATGCTCTGTTGAGAGTGAACTATTGTTTGAGGACGAAGTAGAGGCAGGAATTAGTCAAACCTCAGGAAAGCAGTCAAAGTATACGGTGCATAATAGGAAGAATAAATCGTTAGGCGTTCTCTGTCACAAGTAAGTAGACGACTTTTTTCGAGATGAAAGTGGATCTTTTTTATTTTCTTTGAAGTTTTTTTTCAAAATTTTTTCCCGTTCGTATTTGAAAATTTCATTCGAAACTGCATAATTATTTATGCCCTCTGGCAAAACAAAGTAGTGATACGCGTAAAAGCGAAAATGCATTAACTAAACTTCTGGCATGCGGGCATGGCTGGCTCATTTGTTATGTAATAACTGACGGAGTGAAACGGCCTCATTTCTTTATGCGAACGATTTTAAATTTGATAGATTGACGATTAAGCGTTCTCTTACCTATTAAACACTTTTAATTGTTAAATCGTGCGATATTTTTCAACTTGAACGATTAAGGCAAATAGGTCAAAATGTACTACGAGATAAAGATAAGTTAAATATTAGATATTCACACCCATTGCGTTATCTCTGTCTTTTTCTATGTTGTTTTATTAAATTTAAAAATAAATCCTTAAACAAGCTTTAAAAAATTTATACTATTTCAGATTTCTCTCTCTTTTCCCTGAAAATCCTGATCCATCAACCATTCACGAAATTCCACTTGACTATGTCGCAAAAACTCTTGGTAAGAATAAAAAGGAGATTAAATTCAAATAAATACATCGTATCTTCAAATAGATGTTGAAAGGCGCCGAATATATGACATAGTTAACGTGCTGGAAAGCATAGAAATAGTCAGTCGATATGGTAAAAACAAATATTTATGGCATGGTTGTTCAAGTTTGCCGGTTACACTCGCCAAATTACTAGTAAGTTTTGCGTATTATTTTTAGATAGATATTTGACTGAGATATTGCCATCTGGATTGTTTCGAGCATTTTAAAGCTAGATCAACGGTTTTTGGCTGTTCTAAAAGATACAGCGAATAACAATTTGCCTATCCTCTTTCACATATCATATTATCTCTTGTCGACTATTTATTTTCGGCGAAAAATGACTAATTAAATATTCATGAAATTTGTTTTTCTTTTACTACATAGGCTTTGGCAAAAAAGGAGGGGTTCATTGAATATGTGGATTACATGCATAAAAGAAGTAACTTGTCTTCTTCGAAGGCGAAAGTTTATCCAGCAATAAGCAGTAGTATTAGGGGTAAGACAACATTAATTAATTTTAAGGCGTCTCTTATATTGTGAAACCTCAACAGAACATTGGGAACGGGAAAAGAGTATGGGAATATTGAGTCAAAAATTTCTTATGCTCTTTCTGATTTATCGGGTTTGTAGAATTTTTCATTCAAATCTTCTTCATAACATATTAACATCAATGTAACATTATAGGGTAAAGTTGTCAGTATGGAGCTAGCCTCAAAAGTCCTAATGGGAGATGTGCAATGTGACATGTCATCTGAATCTGCCAAATATAAAAGTTCGTATAGTCGAAAGTTAAATTAATTGCATATCTTTAACGACGGAATATATTTCATAGCTAAAATACGACGGTTATATGACATTGCAAACATCCTTGCTAGTGTAAAACTGGTGGAGAAAGTCTACATTACAAATGAAAGAGGGCGAAAACCTGGTTATAAATACATAGGACCTGAAATTGCTGACACGATTGAAGAAAAACATTTTATTGGTAAGAATGTTAACTAATTTATTCTGAATATATAGAAAATAGTTATGCTGTTATTCTAATTATTTCTCTCTTGACATACAGAAAGATCGTTTGATGCCAATTTTAACAAACCTCCGATTACTCGCCATTCTTTCCTAAATTCTGAAGGGTCGAAAAATTGGCCGACTCTAGTGAAAACCAGATCTGCTTCGAATCTGGAAGATAATGCTGAATCTGCTTCAAAACGAGTCAAAACTTTATCGAAGCATACATCATTTGATCAGCTAGTCCATGTTTCAAATATGGAACTGCAGAAATTAAGAGAATCTGAAGTGCCACGGGTTTCTAGAAAAAATATACAGGAAATAGCACATCCGTCTTCTTTTCGACAATTCGTGTGGAGTAAGAAATTAGTGCCTATGACTATTAAGGATCAGAATATGCAGAAAATTACTATTTGTCTGAATCCACAAGCAAATGGCATTGATTCAACGAATAACGACATTTTAAGTGTACCATTAAAGACACCGACGAACGGAAACGTAAATATCAGAAGTGTTCAGAGCAGATATCAAAGAACGCTCGCGTCACCAATTCTAGTCGGACCGCCAAATTGTGATTATAAAACTCCAATGGCGATTGCTTCACCTAAGCGAGATTCTAACTATAACTTCTTTCAGCCAACACCCGACGACGGATTTGATTCTAATAGTGTTCAATCCACAAAAATTTCTAAATTGAATGTAAATGTAGCTAGACAATTGCAATTGGCTGATTCCGTTTAAAACGTCATTCCATTTTTGTTATTCGTTGTTTAGTTTCATGACTTATTTATTTTGTTAAGGTGCTCGTTCTGCCATTATCGAATTCTGAAGCTGAATAGATTTAAGTTATCTACGACAAAAGTCGTTATTTTCAAATATTTATTTTATCCTATGCTATGTTATACTATACTATAAATACTACAAGTTCAATATTAAATAATAATAATATAGATGGCGCTGCGAAGAACGCGTTTTCGGTATTAAGCGAGCGTAATATGCAAATGAAGCACGAACTAAACTTTGCGCTAAACTTGCTGAGGGATATAAAAGCTGAGTAACATAGAACGTATAATTGTACGGGTTCGCCCGTACATATACTAAAATTGGAACGATACAGAGAAGATTAGCATGGCCCCTGCGCAAGGATGACACGCAAATTCGTGAAGCGTTCCATATTTTTTTGTCAAAAAAAAATACAGTTAATTTAAAAATCAAAGTAACCAATTATAGTTATAGTACTTATAGTAGAAATCTGCAACTTATCAAAATTACTATCACTCGTGAAGTGATAATAATTTAAATGATAAGTCATGATTTATTTTTGGTAGATAAGTACTATTAATAAGCTGTTGTATTTACATTATTAAACTTTCACAATATATTATTAGTATCTATATTCTAATATAAATAAAAAATAAATAATAACATTATAGTTAAATTTATAAATAGGTTGACTATTTATGGCACAGATATTAAAACTAAGAACGTTTAGATAAATCTTCTATTAAGATTGACAATAAATAATTGTATAATGTGTAAATTTGAGAAACGTAGAAATACAAAAAAAGTTACATTCCTTATGTTTTTATATTAAACAAAAAGAAAAACATAAAGAAATAAAAGATTGAGGGACGTAGAACGGTGTGAAAAAAAATTGGAGAAGAAAAGAAACATTGATGGAATTATTTATTATTTGCTGTTTGTTGTCTTCTTTTACTCTTTTCTCTTGCTTTTTAGCTTCTCACATCTTAACATAGTTTGAATCCTCTTCTTCTTCAATGTTTTTCTTAATGAATAAATTTTCATTGTAAGCTGTATTCGTGTAAGTTGAATACGGCGATGGATATGTCGAGGGTACACTTCGTAATGTACATAATGTTCTTTCGCTCCTTGAAGGAATTGAGTATACTGGAGTTTCGAAATGGGATTGTTTCCATAACAATTTACGTCTGTAGCAGATTTTTTTTATTGATCAGTTATAAAGAATATTTTATTATTAGAAATGAATATACCTTCTAAATTGGTGTGCGATAATAACAGTTATTATCATACAGATTAGTAGAAGAACTACTAAAATTCCGGCAATCATTGCTGTTTTATTACCGTTCGATGTAGTAATTTTTTCAATCCTTACTTCCTCATTAGGTTTCTTAGTTGCATCAGGATCATTACTGCCTTTTATAACAAAGCATTTTATGGAGACTGTCGACTTTCCACCTAATTTTGTTATTCCTTCATATTGCAACCAAAATCCTCTGCTCAGTTTATCATTGCCAGAGTTAAAATTCAATGACAGTGTTGATAATCCTGTATGAATTTTAGCCCTCTCAGACATGTTACATAAGTGAACACCTAGACCCCATTTAGAATTGGATACACTATATTCGATTAAATCGGGAGAGCAACTCTTTTGCATGCCCAAATCAATAAGGTTAAATAGGATTTGTTCATCTGGACCCACAGATAAATTACACGAGCATTTTATGTCTATAGGGTAATCGTCAGGGTACGATAAACTTTTTAGATAGCCGTGAGAGCGTCTGATTTCCTTAGCCGACGTTGATTCTCCGCATATATCAATAACATTTTGATGACTTGACCTATCTGCGTGCGCAAATATCGATATTAGTTGTTTAATTATTGATTAAAATGTAATTAATTTTAGCAACAGGTGTCTATAGGCCCGCTTTTTTTTAAACCTAATAAAAAATAAACTAGTTAGCAATTGGCTATTGATTATAGAAAAAGAATTCTTTAATGTTTGTCAAGTAAACCTTTCATCAATCGCATCAATCAATCTATTAAAAATAGAGATCGAATGACAAACCAAATAACTATTATATTAATCGTGTTTTCATAAAAAATATTTGATGGTTATTGTCTATTCTCAATAGGCCTAGACTTAAATAATAATGCAGACTAACCTGGAATGCATTCATAGTCAACAAGAATCATGTTGCTATCAGCCTCGCATTTGCTAAGAAATTTCGATTTTGTATGAAAAGTACAACTATATTTTCCCATACAAGTTTTCTTGAATTTGTCCATCTGTTCAAAATTACCACTGCAAGCTGGTATTTCATTTTCGATAGTACAATTATCGCTTCGATAGTGATGTGCTGATTTTATATTAATAATAGTTCCTTGCTTGCAACCCAGGAATATTTCTCCATTTTTCTCTTCAAGGCACTGTTTCGATTTCCTCTTAACTATAGACATTTGGATTGTTTTAATTGAATTTATCTTTATATTAATTGAAAATTAATTAATTGAAAATAGCTACGGTGTGATGGAGTGTACGGTTCATTCGTTTCTGTAAAAGGCAGTTTTCGACATTTTACTGTTACTTTGCCTGGTTTATTTCCTGTGGTTAAAGCTGTAAAATAGAAAACAGAATGTGTTAAAAAAACTGATTAAAGGTCATTGTTTTTGAGACTTTGTAATTAGAGAAATTGCACTTAACGCATTTCCCTATACTTAGGAGTAATTAGCTAAAGTTGAATATTTTTCAAACGGCGACTTAATTGAAAATTACGTAATAGTTTGATAGATATTCTTTTTATCTTAAAATATCAAAAGCGCTAATCTTGTTCAATTTGAATACAACCACTAAGCTTAATATTTTGTCAATAGCCTTAATGATTCAAATAATAAGAGAACAACTAATACCAGAATATCTCAACCAAAATCCTCTGTTTTCACTCTCCCCATCGGACCGAAAATTTAAAATAAGAGATGAACTTTCCGTATTCGAAGAATTTTCCGTTCTTGGATAAGAACATAGAGGTACAGTGTGATTTTTATCGAGTAAAGCGTAATCCAAATGATCATGATTACATGTGTAGTCAATTGATCTTTGAAGTTCTACATCCAGCATTTTAAGAAAAATTGTCCCATTATTACTTTCTATACTACATTGGCATGACGAATTGGATTCATAAGGTTTGGGATAATTTAGACTCTTTATGTAGCCAACTTCCCTCGTAAATTCTTTTTCCTCCGTTTCCACTCCACAAATGTCCACTATGTTATTATCATCATCCTCTATGCAACTATACCGAATTACGTAATAATTACCACTTTTGCCACATTTAGGAAGGAAATTAGATCCAAGTTTAAAGCTACAATTTTGTCTTCCTCTACAATGTCTCAGTTCAGCGGGGGTCGGTATTTTACATTTTTCGGCAGCTGTCCTACGACAATCTTTCGAATAGCCATGCTCAATGTATTCAACATCTATGACAAAATCAGCTGGGCATTCCAAATTACCTTCGGCTTGTTCAGTCAAGCAATGCAATTTCTCCTTAGCTATTACAGAATAGAATAACTAATATAACAAACTGTTTTAGAACAAAACAAATAAAAAGAAACCTTATAGGCTTATTTATTGAAAATGTTTTTTTTCCTTTAACATTTCCTATAGTATTTATTGATTATTTAACATACGAGAAATGAGTTAGTTTTTTTCTTTTTATTTATTTTACACATGGTAAATTCCAAGTAAAAAATTCTTTACCAGATTTCCTAGAGCCTTTATAATATCTATGATAAACAATAATCAAAAGAATATACTTAAATACTTAACTATAAGATACTCATATATTGGATTAGTTAAAAAGAAAAAGAAAAAGAACGTTCTGAAAACTTTCGAGTTAATAGAAATTATTAGTCTATTAATTAGTTTATTAACAGAATAACTAGTTAATTAATTAAGTATCTTTAAGGTATTATTTAAGATTTACAGGGTTTATAAACCAGGTTTATTTATTTTATAATTTAAAAAAAAATGGCGTCTTCTATCAGACAATATATTAGTATTAAGAATGTAAATGATGAAAAATATCTAAAAAAACGTAAAGTTATCTTATATTTACCTTTGAGGTTATCAGCATTAGCGTTATCATTAAAACTAGAATTTATCCGAACAAAGAAAACTGTCAAAGTAAAGATTGTATAGAAGAAATTTCCAAGCATATCTTTTAAACCGCACTAATTGAATCAAACATGCGAAACGAAATACATCGATAACACAGCTGCTATAAGCTTTTACGAATTAAAAATTCACATATGTTCGATTGAAAAGGTTCTACAACCGTTATTTTTTTTTTCAAACACATACCTATACATATTCACCTGCATTGTTTACTAGATTTGTTATAGTTTATTTTCATAAATAAAAAGAAAGAATTATAAAAAGATTGTTTTATTGTTATTCCTTTCAATTAATTAGTTAATTGTTTTTTTTTATTATAAATATAACGTAATATTTCATAATTTTAATATCTGATATTGATAGTTAAAAAACAAAAGATTCTAGAACAGTATAAAAAAAAAAAGGTTCTACAAATTTTTTATTTTGAGATAGATGGCGCCAGTTTGTGAAAATGTTCTTGAATTTCTATGGGAATTCTTTCACTTTTTCTCTGGTTAAATGTTTTAATTTAACTAATTTTTTATTGAAAATGAATTTTAGCTTAGGCTGGCCGAGAAATTTTTTAAGTAAAGACTGGAAAATGGCGAAACGATTGACAAATACACTTATTGGCCGACAACGTTCAATATCGGATCAAAGAAGAATAAAGCTTTATTCAGCTTGAATTGACAATGGTTGCCAAGGATTCGTCGCCGATATGCTTCACGTGACGACGAGAGTTGGTGTTCCTGGGAGGAAAGAAAGAGAAAAACGGCACTTTCCTGTTTTGAATAATGCTCCCAGTGAACCCTACTGCCACAAGGATAGAGGACGCGCCTATATACCCCACGGTTATGGATTACAACCTGATTTTAAGCCTCATCCACCTCATATTGAGCCAAAGTATACGGAGTAAGTCATGTTTGCTTACGAAATTGTTTCTTAGAATAATAAGGAACATCCTTTTCTGATTAAATGTCTAAATAGAACCACAAGAAAGACTTTGACTTGTCTAAGTACATATTGACGTTACAATTTACCAACTCCTTCAACAAACTAAGAGATCAATGGTTATATAGACATCCAAGCTAGTCATCATAAGATCAATTTAAGGCAACAGTTAATATCTTCAAATTACCTAACTTTTATTGTGTCGTGTAGGCAATCAAGCAAAATTATCATTGTATAAATATATAGATATACATAGTAATACACCTGTAAAAGTGACTTTTTTTTATTCTGAACTAAATATACAAGAGAGATTCTTTTTAAAAGTTAAGTAGAAAGATTATTAAGTGAAAAGTTAATAATTTTTAAGTATAAAATACACTCTTTAAATCAGTTTAGTCAATATAACAACAATATGAAATTTAATAAATACTGTTTAATTAAAATATTAAAGTAGAACTTGTATTAACAACAATTTATAGGCCTTTTTTATGATCTTTAACTAAGCGTCCCTTTAACTTTTCTTTTTTGCTTTCCTTTCTTTTCTTTATTACTCACGTTAATTAAATTATTGAGTTTTCTAGGCTTTCTCCTTCTCCTATGTTGTTAGGATAGGATTAGTTCTTGTTTATTATTTACCATTCCCTTTTGTTAAATTTCTTTTATTCTCCTCCTCTTATTAATTTATATAATAATTTATTACAGAAGTGGTCCAGATTGGTCTTCTCGCCTTCGCTATATTCCCCACCCTCAGAATAATGATTATCCGGCACCCGAAAATTGGCCTGAACCGTGGAAATCAATGCGCTGCTTTCCAGGTGAGTATCATTTATCGATAAACGATAAGACTTAATCGATAGAGAAAACCAAATTAATGTGGTTACCTGCAGGGATGAATAAAAGAACCGATAAGGAATGGATGCTATATCCTGTCGAAGGAAAGGATGCCACTCTAAGAACAAAATGGGCTGGTGTTCACTTTGCCAGTAGTTACTCTGTTCAAGAACTGTCCGATAAGATGAGATTTGGTAAAGGAAGGCACGGTTAGACTGGCAAATAAAAAAAGATATCATTTAATAACTTATATATATATATATATATATAAATTTGATTGTTTATTTATAGAGTTTATGATCAATAAGAGAAATGGAATAGGAATGGCCTCTCCTGGAGATAAGAGTTACCAAGCGCCGGAATATTCAACAGACTTTCATAAATTTGGTTCAACGAGACCGTTGCCAAACTTTAGGTTTGATATATGTCACTAATTTCTATATTTACTTAGTTCATTCACTGTTTTCTTCTATTTAGCGGCGGAATTAGAAAGGCAACAGACACCTTCGTCCCTCTACAAGATTTACCAACAGTACCAGCGTAAGTTTTCTTCGAATTAGCCATTTAAGTGATTTATAGATTGTGCTTGGTTTTTTGTAAATTTACAAAAAATAAAACTACAACCATTTAATCAATGATTGGCAAACATTAGCCTATTCATTATAAGCCTATACTTGACAAAGATTTTCCTATTGCTATTAATTTCTTTTGTATATCTATATACAGTATATATCTGTTTACAAAAACTTAATTTTACAGTATATAAGAAATGGCTTTTATAAACAATATATAAAGTATTGTTTAATATTGATCATATTGGAAATTGAACGGCATTCTCTCACTTACTTATTCCTTTTCTTTTCTTTTTACGTTTTAACAGAGAAAGTTATAAAAGTAAGGAAAAGAAGAATAAACTACAAAATGAGATTGACGATGTTGAAAAATTAGAGGTATGGAGACCGTCTACTCCTTTAGATATTCAAACTGCAAAGTTGGGAGAAGTTTTTCAAGAGCATAAACCACGCGGAAAGTGGCGACACGGACAGTATTATATTATTAACCCTCCATAGAAAGTGAAAGAGCAGGAATCGATGTACCAAATTCTTTTTTAAACTTGATTATTATACATTTTATTAGAAAATGTGCCAATAATTTGAAATACAGCCAAGAGATGGCGTTTTTGCCGTTTTTACTTAATGTAATATTTAAAATTAAAAAAGTATTAAAACTTATTAGAATCATTAATATAATTGTTAAGTTGTGTTACTTACGTAATTAAACCCTAAAGCTTTAAAATGATGACCAGTGAAAAACATTAATATATCATTTTCCAACAGAAATTATGATGTAGAATTTAGTTTCATCCTTTTTAATATCGTTGATTGAACTATTGAAGTTTTTAAGTTTTCCTTATTCTCTGTTTGGAAGAAATTACTTCTTACTTTAATATTTACCTTTAACTTACACAGATTGTTATATGCTATGTTTAATTTGAATGTTTAGAATGTTAACAATCTATAATACAGCAAGGGTGCGAATAAACTGTTTTTTAGATAATTACTATATAGAAAATAAATATATATGACTTTGAAGAAGTAGAAGTAGATATTACTTTTTTTTTCATAATTGAGACTTATGTCGTCACATAATCCACATTTAGCCTTTGGGGGATGGGGGAGGGGGAGAGGAAATATCCTTATTTCTGGAAATTCTTCATTACCTCCTACGCTATTAATATGCATTTGTCATAAGTCTAGAGAGTTTCTTGGAATTAGATTACTCTGTAAGTTTGTATTAAAAAAAAATGGAATTTAAAACCCTTTTAATCAATGTTTGGTAAAATGTTGTTTATTCCTTATAAGGCCCATATTTAACAATGATTTTCCTATTGTTTCTAGTCCTTATATAAATATATACTGTACATTTCTATTTACAAATACTTTAGTTTGTAACAAATACAAAAAAATAGACTTTACAAACAAAGGTAATTTTGTTTAATAACAGACAGATCTGTTTGTCAGTAGTTTAAATAGATCATTTTAATCTTTTTATACTCAGATATTTCTAATAATTTGATAATCACGAATAATAGTTATTAAACTAATAATTTAAAAGATAACCAATAGATGGCGGTGGCGCTATTTTATCACCTACGAAACAATAGGTGTCGGTAACGAAAGATAGCTATACATACTATATGCCTCATTTGACATCAAACTAAATGAATGATTAGAAGCATACACTAGATCAATAACTCATAATGTCTTTCTCAGGTATGTTGCTAAGTATTTTACAAACAATGTATTTATTTTATGCTTAAATTAATAAACATATTTAGAAGAAGAAGAAATTATTCAGTAAAAAGGTGCAAGAGGTAGAAGAAGAAGAAGAAGAAGAAGTACTTCTAAGGTAGTTAAATTTGTTATTTTTATAAATAAACTATATCTGATAAAGATATAGTTTCAACTGAAGTATGTTTTATCTTTAAAATACTAGAAGAACAATTAATGTAAAGAAAAGTAGAGATAGAGATAGAGATAGAGAGAGAAGATATACCCATGTTTTTTATTAAGATTAAACAAAATGGATTATTCTCTTGAATAATTTACTTTTCAATCACACGCCGGATTTCGGAATAGAAAGATTTCTCTATCATTCTTTCTTGTTTTTTTTTTTCTTCAAGTAATTAATTATATGATAAAATGTTCCTCCCTTTTCTATGATTTTCTTCGTCTTTTACCAGATGAATATTTTATACTTGCCAAAATCCGTAAATTCTTTATCAATATCGAAATAGAGAAGAAAGCTTAACAAACTATTTCAATGTTAAAGGAAATAGAAGAGAAAGAGGGGATAGTTTTTCTAGATTAATAATAAATCATTAAGATGTTTTTAACACTGTAAAAGCTACTTTTGACTATTCTCATAAAATTTGTTTTATTTTCTAATATCGGAAAAGTGTAAATTACTGTAATTATCTATAATCCTTTCAAAAGAATCATCTATTTTTTCGTTCTAATACAAGATAACGCAATTATTTATTTTGTACCGTTTGTCGCGAAATCAATATTATCGATTTACTTTGGGGAAAAAATGCCGTTTAGACGATTTTAAACTGAATTAATCTTTTTATATATATATATATATCATCGAAAAGTTTGTCAAAGTGTAAGAAAATTCTATATTTTTCATCCTATAGACAGACGTTTGTCCGTTTATTTCCTTAATATTCGTTTAATTAACCTTTCGTAATTAATTTCTTTTATTAGAATATATATACTGTATATATATTAATATTATACGGCTACAGAAGGCTTGTTCTGTGATTAGTAGGAAGAAAATGACTGGTCGTTCTATCAGTATTTCAACTGTTTTTGACTGGACGGATTATGTTCCTAAAAGTCGTAATCATTCGACGAATGGAAGATTCTTTAGGCAAAGAAAAAATACCATTACCAAAGGTGAACAGGAAATTATGACAGGAATTTATAATAACAGGACGGAAGGGAAAAAAGCGAAATCATTAACTGATTTGCTAACAACCGGAACTTGCCACAAAGACGCCTGGAAGACGGAGAGGAAAATACTTGTAGCTCCAAAGGAAACCAAGGTTGTTTCTATAGCAGAATCTGAGGATACAATCTCAAATAATAGAGAGAGAACAGCTAAGAAAATAAACGTTTATATCCCAAGGGCTGAAAGTCCCCCACATCCTCCTCTACCAAGCCCAGAACTTACTCGCAAGACTAGTTCATCAGCCAGCTCTTCGAGCGAACTATGGCCAACATGGGAAGGTAGAAGAAGCTCTAGAAATTCAATACCTCTGAAGAGCGTAAGAATTAATTACTGCGATATTCCCAGAACCCCTTCATTCTCATAAAGGAAAAACTATCGATTAGGATAAAAGGAATCTTTCGATTTAAGCTAAGTATTCAAATTCATCACCTGAGTAGAACTATCACAATGGAAAATTCATGAACATCATCTTATAAATTCCTTTTTTATCCTTATGAATATGGATAGAATATTCTTGTCAATATATTGATCTGTCACTAATTGACAAAAGGTATTTTTGTTATTTAGTGGTAAGCTTCCCTTCCTTTGAAAGGGAATATCACGCCTTCTTTTATCTCAAGACTATAGAAGAGAGAGAGAGAGAGCGCGAGAGAAATAACTTAATAAATATTAACGATTTCACTCATCATATATTCTCTTTATTTCTTTTTCATTTTTGCGTGATAAAAGAAAAAAAGAAACGTCAGTCAAGGAATAAGCCCTGTCCAGTTGGAAAGCATTCGCATAACTTTGCTTAGACGAGAGGCATCCACTCTAAAGCCGTACCCTTCCACTAGCTTTTATAGCATCTCTGTGATAGGAACGTTATAGAGCAGCCACCTTCCACGCTTACGCGCAGGGCACTCTCTGCCCAATGTCCAGGGACTTTCCCCCAAGTTCTTTTCAGAGTCACAAAGGACCCGTGTGTAACTTCGAAAGCGAATCTCTTAACTGACACACAACTTACTATGCTAGTAAAGTTTGTTTATATAACCTAACTCGAGCGATAAATGGTACGCGATTCGTACCTCATTTGCATATTGAGCTATGGCTGATATAGAGGCACGGCATCCTCTTTCAAACTTATTATTTATTTATTTAGCAAATCGTTAAAAGAATAATAGAGTGGAAATTTTTGAATTAAGTCATTGATTGAAAAAAAAACCTTTATTAGAAGAAAACAATAAATTTTGATAATATACCATCAGCAACAAACAAATGTTGGCTAGGAGATGAGCAATAATTCGACTTATTACTAATACCATAAGAGGAAAAGTGAAAAGAGAGAGAGAGAGAGAAAAGAGTGATAAAAAGATACTGATTGATAGAGAATATCACAAAAACACTTCAATAGATATGTTATAACATTGATATATTGGAAGAAAAAAAAAACAAACAATAATAACAAAACTTGTTCATCTTCAACATTAACTTTCATTATGTTTTTAAAGCTCTAAAAAGACAATTATAAAAGAAAAATGATCATTTATAAAAACAAAATAAAAGCAAAATTTTCATCTTACTTGCTATTCTTAAACTATTATTAGTTTGTTTGTTTGTTTATTTTGTACATTAAACTATGATGTTGTTGATGCTTTCGCTAATTTTTTAGCTTGCTTTGCTAAACGTTCTTCAGCGGCTTTTTTCAAATAGAAATTCCTAACTTCTTTCTGTTGTTCGGGTGTTTTTCGATGGCTTAAAAGAAAAAAGAATGTATTGAATGTATTATGCAAATATAAAATTTTAATATGTATAGATTTTTAAAGTATGAATAGGCTTAATGTAATTGAAACTTATACGTATATAGTACATACGTCTTAGAAGTGATAATACTTTGAACCTATATAGACTGTGTTGTATTTTGTCATTTGTGTATATATAAGTAAACTTACTGAAAGTCATACCAACGAGCAAGTTGATATAGTTGAGTTACTTCATTAGTTAAATGACAAGCAAATAAAAGTTTATTTCTTGGCGTTACTTTCCAAGCAAATCTCATAAACAAAGCAGAGTAAATACATAAAGCTATAAAAAGAAACAAAATTGATTTAGTTCGCTTCTTATTTTATTATTAATCAATGCAAATTATTTAAGTTACTTGCCAGTTGTCATATTGCCACTGATTTTTTCCGGGTTATCTTTAGCATCGGCTATGGCAGCTAATGGTAACCCCCAATTTGCTACTGGGCCCCAGAAGTGCTAATGAGTGAAATTAATCATGTCAAGTAATTTTGAATTGAGTTTAATATTCAAGTACATACCGTGCTGTATTTTTAGATAACATTGGAATATTGAGAAAGGCGAAAGGAAGTAAAAATATCTTATTAAATGGTTTTATGGCAATAATATAATTTTATGGTTATAAGTAAAACTAAATACTTATCGTTCAATCATTTATTCATAAAATGAATAAATAATATTAGATAACATTTTCGCTATCGAATTATATGTGTTAAGTTCAGCAGATTTATCTGTCTCTGTATTAAAAAATATTACTAATTACCTCATAAAATATTGACCCCATGACAAACCCGCCATGTTTTAGGATTTTGCTCAGAATGTAGAATTTTGTTACTCGGTTAAAAGGTTGGCGAGTTGACTATAATGGTTAGTTTCGAATAATATTAAAATTTTAATACAGAAAATTTTTTTCAATTTAATAAAGAAAAATAACTACAAACTAGTAGATTCTATCATATTTAATGATTTCAATCATTTTTATACGAAACGTCTAACATGGCGATGAGTGATTTCGTGAGGGGAAAATCATCGAAATTTCTGCAAGATAAGATATCAAGATCAGTTTATAGTAAGCAAAAATAGTTCACGTTATAGTTTAATTTCATATCAGATTGATAGCTTATTGTTTTAAAATGTAATTTATATGAATTTTTTATTCCGCATACTCAAATTCTGCATTCTTCGAGCGGTTCTTTTATTCTGATCTTTTTTTCAGTTGGCAATTTGACGTTTGAAGCCTCTGAGGATCATCTGAGGAATATTTTTGAACAAGTTGGACCTATCGTAAGCTTTAAGTTCGTTGAATCTTTTTATCTCAATATTATAGTGCCATTTTAAGTGTATTAAAAAAAAAAGCCAATCAATTTATTTTTTGTTGTCTTTTTTCTTTTAATTTTAGGATTTTTTTCGATCGGGAAAAGGGAAGTGCTATTGGTCATGCAATTTGCGAGTATCACGATCCAGAAATAGCTAAATCAGCTATGAGAAATCTTAATAATTATGATTATTGCGGAAGACCATTGCATGTTGGATCAGTTAAGAATGAAGGAAATCATACAGACGATTTACGTAGAAGACAACCCCCTTCTCAAAAGCCACCTCCTGCCGAAACGGGTGAAACTCCAGAAACAATTTCTAGGGCTGTTGCATCATTACCACCAGAACAAATGTTCGAATTGATGAAGCAAATGAAAATATGTATACAGAATGACCCCAATGAAGCTCGAAACATGTTGTTGCAAAATCCGCAACTAGCATATGCTTTACTACAAGCTCAAATAGTAATGAAAATTGTTGATCCACAAGTAAGAACTCTTTATTATTAATCTTACTATCTTTTAATCAACTGTATTTTCAGTTTGCAATAGCAATGTTACATAGAGAAACAGAACTTATACCACCCGCACTTGATACCAATAGCACTTCATCTAGAACTACAGGACCACTAAAAAATTCTTCAGAAATAACTATGGTAATTTAATACGTCAAATTAATAATATATTTTATTTTATTAATACTTTCATTTAGAATTCTGCTCAAACATGGCCTCAAAAAGGGCTTAAGACAGAAGATATTAAACCTCCTTTCCAAGCTGGAGTGATTGGATCCCGAGGTGAACCACCCCTTAAATTTTAATACAGACTTGATTAACAATTTAAATTGTTCAGATCCTCGAAGAACCCTTTCAACGGATCCTAGATCGCATATGACGAACGACCCGAGATCAGCCATCTCAACAGACCCAAGAACAACCGCTTCAGTTGATCCACGACCACCTCTTTTAGCTGATCCAAGAGCAGCTCTGACAGCAGATCGAAGATCAGCCTTGGCTGGAGATCCTAGGTCAATTTCCTCTGTAGATCCTAGGTCAGCCGCCTCGGTGGATCCCAGGTCAGCTGCCTCGGTAGATCCTAGATCAGCTTCCTCGGTGGATCCTAGATCAGCTTCCTCAGTGGATCCCAGATCAGCTTCCTCGGTGGATCCTAGATCTTGGTCTGGAGCTTCAACAACTTTGCGAACAGATTACCCTACTCAGCAAGGCGACGATAAAACTGCTGTTCTCATGCAAGTTCTGCAATTATCAGAAGACCAAATTGCTATGCTACCTCCCGAGCAAAGGCAAAGCATACAAATTTTGAGGGAACAAATTGCTCGATCCTCTAATCCGACATAATATGTTTTTTATTGTTAATAATGTAATGAAAATTTGTTTGTACAAAGTTTACCCTTCGCAGGCTTTATCAGTAGCGTGGACATTAGAGTAGTACCTTAGAACCTATTGAATGATTTTTATGATATAATATAAAACGTAAGAAATTTCAAATAACAGTTTGAATACTTTATTTTACAGCAGCCATGATTATTCTTGAGACTATTAACAAAAATCGAAGAGGCAATCAGAGAATGACCTATATACTGTAGATTCCAAACTAAATAGACCTAAAGGGTTAATAGTATAACTATAAATATTTTACATTTCGACTTAATATCGTGAAAAAGTTGAGTCAAAAATGAAACGACACAATATGAAATATGAAAAAAAATTTCATCTTTTTTCGAATATTGCAGACGAAATAAAACGTCAGATAAAACACTTTTACGATACATAAACTTAAACAAAAAATTTCCACCTAAAACGTTTTTAAAATAACCAAATTTACTATTTTTTCAAAAAAGATTCGGCGGCCATACGAATCATACGAATATTCTTGGATAAGGGAAATCCTTGATTTCTGGATAAGAATGCAGTAGCTCCGTCGCGAACAGCTTTCATCACAACGGGAACGTGCTGTGCTGTTCCGGCGTGTCCAGATTCCACATGTGTGATGGCCTCCTCAAGATAAGCCACTTTTAATTTGGTATTTGTACCAAAATCGGCGGAAAGCTGCTGAATTAATGATAATAAAACTGGCTGTTGCAAAGGACAACTTGGGGAGAACAACATAGTTGGCTCAAATGATTCGCATACATACAACACCAAGTCTATGTCACAGGCACAGAGAGCACTTTGAAAAGCCATATCAACTTGTCCCCTGACGATTTGTTGATGAATGCTTCTCTTTCTGTTTTCGGTGTCTATTTTCTCCACACTAACAACTGAAGTAGGTGTCGATGCTCTTGATCGTAACGCAGTAACAACATTTTCGTTTATTTCATTGACATGAGCCTTCATAGCATTTTCAACCTCACTTTGAACAAGCACTTTCATTTGTTTGAGTAAATCAGCCTTAGTAGATGCCATTTCAGATTTAATAGAATCTGACAGGGTTAGCTTTTGTTCCGAAAGTTGTTGACTAATTTGCCGCAATTGCTGCATAACTGGATCCGTTCCATCTTCTTGTTTCTTACGTAATTTGTCCACGTGATTCTCAACATTATTGACGTACTCTTTAACGCCATTGACAAATATGGTATTGACTTGCTCTAAGGATCTTTGAATAGTCTTTTCGAAAGTCGGTATAACGATAGAAGTGAAAGCATCTTTATAAGCAGTTTGTATTGTAGATTGAAGACAAGCGGCTGTAGCTTGACTTATATTATCAATCGTACTTTGTTGTTTAATGAGTCTCTGTATGGACTCTTTTAAGGTTGATTCGGTGGCTATTAAACGGTGAGTCATTTCTTGCAGAATTCTAGCCTTCAGAGGGTCAAGGGCTTGCATTATGGAGGGAGCAACTATAGTGTCAAGTTTTGTCTTACAGGCTTTCTCTAAACTTGAGCTTAATTGTTGAGAGGCCTTATCTTGTTTCTGTTTCTCAGTTGTTAGCAATGATAATTTCTTTTCCTGAGAATTGGTTTGTTTATCAATACGAGATACAATTGTACTTTCAATACGTTGCAATTGTTTGTGCAAATTAGCAGATTTTTCTCTTGAACCCATAAACTCTTCAAAGAGAGATGCCTGCATCGTATTTAATTGCTCTCGCTGACTAAATACAACAGCTTTTAGTTCTTTCATTTCGTGCTGAATATCTAGTAATCGTTTGTTTTCGTCAGTGAGCATTAAGTTTTGCAATCCCATACGAGTAGCAGCAGGTATTTCACAAGAGCTACTGTCATCTGCTTCGTGACCGTTTGAAGCTAGATTCATTTCGTCCTTTTCAACACCATCCTCAGAATCATTTGAAACAGCATGCCCAATGGCTTTTTTAGCCAAAACCTGGAAAAAATTCTAAAAAATTATCTAGAAAACTATTTTATAGCTGTGAGCGAAAATTGCTAATCAAGCAAGAAGAGTATCGCCTTACTTGAGCTTGTTTCTCTAATGGTGTTGAGTGCCAACTTCCCTCGTCAATTGTACCTTCTTCCTCTTCTTCTTCTTCTTCTTCATCATCGCTTATCTCTCCAGGGTCAGGATCCTTTGCTCTATCCATAATTTCATTGACCTCTAGACTTGCTGAGGAACTAGAGCTCGAATTTTCCTGTACAACCGGGGGACGAGGGAAGTCTGATATCGGCTCTGGAGGCATGGATGTCACATTAGTTAATGTACTAGAGACATCGCTTTTAGGTGGTGGAGATGTAAAAGCATCGGGCGTTAACAAAACAGGCTTTTCAGCTCCTGATAAACTACTGTGGTAGCTCAATCTACCATCCGGGTCACCGCCTTCTAGAAGCGAATGGCGAGAGGATGGAGGGGTCATATCCTGAAAATCGGACAAACCATCCCGTAATCCAGATGAGTCTGAAAATTTGAAGTGATTTAAGACTGAAAGAATGTAAAATATCTACAAACTTTCTCCATTGAAAGAAGACATAGGTGTGTGATTAGCACTACTTTCCCTATATCGAATTTTCAGTTCTTCCAATGCTCTAAAAAACAAAACAAGTGTTGTTTAATAATAATAAGTGAGTATATTCACAATGAGTTGTTGTTAGATGTTTGCGAGACAGATAAAAAAGCTCGTAGCCAGTTTTAGTTGTTCCCTATTAAAAAATATCTAAAAAGCATACCTTGGCTGAACGCTGTACAGGTCCACAAATGTTCCAATGTCGTCGCGTTCACTAGGCTCTCCATCACTCTCATCCTCGCTAGCGATGTCAGGGTGAGTTTCTTCAGTTTTTGGACGCAGCGGTTTCTTATATGCATCTTTTACAGCAATGTTCAGACAAGGCGAAGTAAGTAAGAATTCGGAAACCGCGGTGAATCCCGCTCTGCTTTCATTTCTATGTTGTTGTATATCAAGAACCATAAGAGTCTATTTACGAAATACTCAGTAAAGTTTGGAATAGATAATTAATGATGATTAATACATACTCTACTGTAAACGTCTGCTAGTACAAGATGAGAAGATGAGAAATCTGTTTGTCCTATTAATCGCATGTTATCTGCACTAGAATCAAAAGTAATGGTCTGCAAGCAAGACCACTTTTCACAATTCCAGAGTTTTACTACGTTATTTTTGGGACCTCCCATTGTAAGAATGAAACGCCAAAATGCCTCACTAGAAGAAAATAAATGTTAAATTAGACATCTTGAGTGAACATTAACGTCAACAGAAGATGTCGTTTACTCACTCATTATTCCTTTTGTGATTATCAAGAAAGCAAATGGCATTAACTGATAATCCAGCATAAGGCACAATAGTATGCAAAATTCTGAAACAATGTATTAATTAAAGGCTGTATAATATGTTGATTGGGAAAACTCACTTTGCTGGCTCTCTTTCTGGTAAATAAACCTGATGAAATCTAACTTCTCCGTCTTTACTTGCCGTTGCAACTGCTGTTCCATCGGGGGAAATACTAGCGTCAGTTATTACCTGTTATCAAGTGTAAATATGAAATTTTTGAATTGAAGAAGTAGTAGAAAAGTTTACTTGTTCGTGAGGACTTATTCGTATAGTGGGAATATCTTGCGTTTCAATGTCAATTTCTTTTGCGATGCCAGCTTTGATACATTGGTCAACTTTAAACATACAACCCTATTGGGATAAATAAAAATAAATTTCTATGTTTTAATAACAAAATTGTTTATTCACCTTTGTGTCATAGCTAATAAAGAGAAGTGTACCGCAATCTTCAGAAGAAGATACAGTAGAAAGACTCTCATCAGAATCGGGTATGTAAGGACACCAGATGACTCGACAAACTATGTTCATCGGACCGTTTGATTTAAACTTTGTAATAAAGTCAAATCTGAAATAATCATAGTAGTTGTCAATAAAAGCGCTAAATTTTTTATATAAAAGTACTAACTGCATGGATCTATCATTTCCATCGTTATATATCAAATAAACATGCACATTTCCTCTTGAGTCGCAACAAGCCAGGTAGGCACTTTCAGAATAAGAAAATGCCAAGTCTTGAATACTTCCATCGAAACCTTTCAAAACCATGCGTTCTGATGTATATGTGTTGAGGACCCTAACTATTCCACCTTCTCTACCTATTTGTATGATAACGTAGATAATAACTCATTTCAGATTTATAATTTCTTTAGCAAACCTTTTAGAGCATAAGCGAGGTAATTAAGATTCTTATGAACTGCAACGATCTTTCCCGTATATACTTTATGCTCCCAGTCGTATTTAGAAACGGTAGAAATTTTAACCTGCAGGAAGTAAGCAATAAGAGAATAGTTTTGAATATTATCGTCTTTTTATACCTTGCTGCTGCCAGAGGTTTGTCGTTCAATATTACCATAATCGCTTAACACAATTTTTACTTCTTCGTGTGGAGGAATTTTATGAGTGGATATTTTATCATTGCCGCTAAGGCGTCTGAAAGACAAATTATGTAAGATTTTGTCATATATTCTGTAAAATAGTTACATTGCTTGTCCTAAACTATCCCCATTCATACTTGGCTTCATTTGGTCAGCGTCATACCTGAAACATACTACGTGAGTAAATATTAAAATCTCATTCCTGCAAATACAAACCTTTTAAAAGCCGATACTTGTTTTATATTACTTTCTGCAAATATATAATTAGAAATTTTCTTTGACTACTTCTCTAACAACCTGTAGTTTTACGATTTAAATTATCATTGGAAGTGCTCAGTGAGCGTTCGATGTAAGCCGATGTCGCTGAATTGGTGAATGAGTTTGTAGGACTACTCATTCTGTTGTTGAATCATAAAGTAATATCTTATTAGTATATTTCGAATAAAAAAGATTGCTTATAATATCTAAAATATAGAAAAATTTACAATATCTTAAAGGATTCCGGGAATTTCAACGATGATGGCAACCATATTAATATTTTTTTCGTAAACAGAAATGTATAATCAAAAATATTGTTAAATAATATAAATTTATGATAAATATATCCTTTAGTTAATAAGTATTAAATGAGTTTATTAAATTTTTTACGAAAAAAAATATTTGTAGGGGTCGCTGGAGCGGTCTAACTAAAATATGGAATGAGGTGAAATCTAGTAGTATACCAGCTGATATAGACCAAGAAAATCCTACTCGGCCTCTAATTAACTTTTGCGACAAAATGAGTCCTATCTCATATTAAATAGTTCTAGATTACTGAGATAAACGAGTCCAAACAACATTTTTATCACTTGTTTACGATTCGATTATGACTATTTTGGCCAAAGGATTAACTTTTATTCTTATATCTTGAGATGTTTCTCAACTCATTTGATTCAAATTAAAAACAAAATATTGTCAATAATACTCTCCCCCGTCTTAGCATCTGCTTGCCATTGCTATTTCTGAAAACACGCCAATGGAATTACAGAATAAATGAAATATGCTTTAAAGTAATCACAGCATATAAACATCAATGTATAAAGTAAATATATATGACATAAAAAGAATCAGCTTCTGAGATAAGATAATAGCTATATAAAAGTAGCATAATTGTACATAGGATGCAACTTCATCAAAAAGGTTACGTAACGATAACATATAAACTTTACTGCTGTTATCGCAACCCTATTTGCTTTTAATAATTTGTTACACCTCAGGCGGAACATTGTAGTAAAATTGGAAAGATCACTGAGACACTTTGTTCTCTGCTGATGAAAAGTGACAAGTTTTCCACATATGCAGAAATAGATTAAAATATGAAGTAGTTTGATGGTGTGATAATTATACCTGTGAGCCTTAAAGATAAGATACTATAGTATAATGCATACGATAAAGCTTATATATGCAAACATATGTACAAGTACCAAAGTACGTGATTAATAACTGTGTAGGACTCTAATCCAATATAATACAAATAACAGAATACGATTTTTAGCTTTAAATTTAATTGGATAAAGGTAAATTCCCTTTTCTTCATACTTTTTTCATATACATCTGTAATTTAATCTTTCGGTAAAAAAGTTTATTGACCTGTCAACCTCAGATGCGTATCTTGGACCTCTAGTAGTATTTAATTGAAACCGGTATTATCTGGTCGTGTGTCAAGAATTTACTTTTGTATTGCATGTTCTTGAACGGAGCACTTATCCAGGCCGATTTGCTAAAAAAATGTGTCAATGGCTGATTCTAGTAGAAAAGATAATAATATTAATTTTTCCCTGACTATTAACGATCTAGGGTGAGTTTATAATCGTACTGTGCTAAAGTATATGCATAAAATATTCGTTGTATCGTTTCGTGTAGTTTTGCTTAAATAGTCAATATTTATGCTGTTCTAAAACTTTTAATTAATAACTGTTATGTCACCCATAAGATGTTGGTAGTTATATTTTAGTCTGTACGTCTAACGTGAACTTGAATATCGAAAAACGATGCTTTTTTGCAGAGATGAAGATTCCTTCGACGAGGGTTCCTATGATTCAGACTGTAGTGACTCCTCTTCTAAAGGGGAGAGTACCTCAGAGGAGAGTGGTGATGAACCTTCTTACAAGTATGGAGTAACCCCTCCTGCAGGAAGTAAAGGTTTCAGACAGATTAAGAATAAATTAAATAAAATGAGCAAAAGTCTCGGGCAAAAGACCCGTGCTTCAAATGTTCATCTCAGTGAATCGGATTCCTCATCCACCCCTGTAAAAGTAAACAATAAAGATAGTTTGGTAAAACATCTAAAGAGTAAAGATTATTCAGACCATCGATTAAGGTCCTCACCAAATTATCCTGCATGTCGCACAAAACTAGGAAAATTAAATAAAAAGTCAGTAACTTTGACTTCTGCAGAGAAAATGAAAGATTTAGAGGATCGGGTTAACTTTTTCAAGTCAGCCTCTTTGAAAATTGATAAACTTAATCCGAACTTACCACACGATGTACCGGAGAGCGATCAAGTCTCCAATAGATCTTGCTCCTCCCAATCAGAATTGAGCCATAAGGACCAAATTTTATACTGTATACAAAACTTCAAATTTATGAAAAGTGAAGGAATTTTAGAAGTTGAAGAAGCGTATGACAACTTGATGAAGACACGAAAAGAAAGATTGGATGAAGTATCAATGAAAATATTAAATTTTAAATTTAATGGTGAAATTCCTAATTCAAAACCAACAAGATCCGATTATGCTAAAGAATCTACCCTCTCGTGTCAGTCAATATTTCGCAGATGTGAAGAATTATCCGCAAAGGAAGTACTCGTTAAAGATGCTATGGATGAAATTGAATATTTATTAGAAGAAATGAGTTCTGTGCAGGAATTATTCTTCTCTGAAGAAAAATTTCAAGCTAGTTTAGATAAGGAGAAATATAAAGAAGTTAGTGAGAGAATAAAAGTTTTATGCATTTGGAAAAATCTTGTTTCTCAGATGGCTTTTGAATTACATATGTTCGCTCACAAATTGTTCGTAGATAAGATACCTGATTTGAAATGGCCATTCCTGAATTATATGCCTAAAACAATGGCTGAACATTCTATTTGTCCTTTAAAGTTAAACGTGCATGCAGAAGAGAAAGTTGAGAATAAACAGAAAGTCGAATTTCATGCTGGAGATCCAGCGGAAGAAAAATCCGATAAGCATTGCCATATAAGACATTCCCAATCTATTGCAAATATCAAAAGTTCCATGTATTCTGCTAATGGATCAACTTACATATATAGGATATTCGTTGAAAGAACTTTGAGAAAGAGTGGATTAAAGAAAGTAGAAGATATGGCCAAAAATTCCATATTTTCCTCAGATTCTATACTTGCCAAAGTGAGAATGATTCTATTGCCGATAGATAAGGCTAAAAAAGAACTTAGTCGATATAAACGAGAAATTGCTATGGAAAATGAGAACGAAAACAGAGCGAAGGCAACCAAAACTGACAGGGATGACAGAAAAGATTGTATACTACAAATGAATGCTCAGAAACATATTGAGAAGTTACACGCAAGACAAGAATTAATAACTTTTGGTGAACATTCTAAACTTTGGAGAGATATGAATCTACCTTCTCTAAAAGATTTATTTCTATTTAGCCTTCGAGTTATTCTTGATGTTATTCACGAGTGTCTTCGTTGTCGTCTTGAACAATCAAGGGAGCAATTCAGCCAAAATTGTTTTGATAAGACGACAACATCTCTGTTGTCCATTAATCAGCTAATGTGTGAATGTGGCGAGATATTAAAAGCTTCGGTAACTGTCAAGAAATTCTTTTTAAAAATGGTCTGTGATATCGTTAGGAAGGTTAATATAGAGGAATTTGATTCCGATATGGATAATATGTTAAGTGAGCATATAAAATATATGCGATTCTATGTACAGAAGATCGAACATGAGCCTCATCTATCCAAATATCTCATAAGATTGGAAGGAGAGTGGAATTTTACAAGAACAGTTTGTCCGTACGTACGTCAAGGAGACGCTAAAGCTGGAAACGGTTATTGTGACATGGTCAACCATTTATTAAGTATTATACAAAATTTTTTTATAACACGTTTGGACAAAATAACTGGCAATTTACAATTTTTGGATGAGCAGCCCTCTGAATCAGAGAAAGAGTCCCCTAGTGGATTTTATGAAGATGCTTCTAGGATATGTAGGGAAATTAAGGAGGTTTTTGATGAGACGAAAGAAAGGACAGCAAGAGTTATGGGATTAGCTAAAATGTTACGAAACGACCTAGAAATAGCTGCTCAGTACCGCGTCGTTTGTAGTGTTGATGTTTTACTTCGTAAATTAAAAAAATCTAATCATATGAAAATTGAATTGACGATTTTTGACGAGTTTATCGTTTTAGTACCAGAATCAATGACAAGTGACACAGAATCAATAGTTACACTTCTTAGGGCAACGAGTAGTCTAGGAATAGTAGATTGTGAAGAGAATCAGGGTTATCTGATAATGGTAAAGTTTGATGAATCAAAGACAGCTCCAAAGTGGACTGGAAAAACTATGAGGATCAAGGCTGATGTCGAGACTGAAATATGTTGGTCGCATTTAAATATTGAAGGTAGAATGTTTAAATACATTCTCTTTTTGTTATATATATATATATATACTAATATATGTATTTATATATATTTCAATTTTCTTAAAAGGTTTACTTATCGTTACACACGCCCGTCAATTAACAAACGTTCGCTGTGAAATTGAATCTGAGTTGGGACCAAGTTGCATTGAAATGATTCTAGATCAAGTTGCATGTCATAAGGCTGTAAATGAATCCTTAGTTGATATGAAAAAAGCTGGATTAGAATTTAGAACTTATATTAAAGAGTATATTCAGGAAATACAAACTGCTACGGATAAATTTTCGAAATGTTTTACTCTAAAGCCAAAAGTCGTTGATACAATGAAAAGAATTTATAACTTTGGCTTTGATTTTCACACTGATTTATATAGACTGATGTCAGGGAAACAGAAAGTTGACTTAAGCGTAGATGTTATTGATTTTGCGCTGGAATGGATGTCCTTAGCTTGCAAGAATTTTGAAAAAGGAAGAGGAGTTAAACCAAGATGGACAGCAAAATTTTTTGAGTATCTTCGATTTGTGTCATATTCTGAAATTCCGTATCACATTAGCGAAGAAAAGTATCATCTATTTAAAGAAAAGTATACAGAGTGCATAAATCATATAATTGGTGATAAATCCAGTGGAGAATTTGATCACAAGACGAGAAAACGTAAAGATAGACACTCAGTTTCATCACGTTCTATTTATTCAGATTCTAGAAAACTATCAGACACAAGTGATTCTTTCATATCTCCAGTTAGCGGTTCTTCGGAAACGAACTCTTTTGCACATTTATCCAGCGTCGAAACAACTTGGAGTACTGATGATATTTTTGAGAGAAGGATTATAGCAATAAATAGAGTAGAAAAAGAGAGAGAGGAACAGCTCTATAAGGAAAAGATAATTGGTCGCGTAACCGACGTCTGTAATAAAACTCGCTATGGCGTGTCTCTTAGAGAGGTGACTTTCAATTGGCAAAGGGGAGTTAAAATTGGCGAAGGTCGATTTGGAAAAGTTTATACTGCAGTTAAATTGAAAACTGGAGAAATGATGGCTATGAAAGAGATCACTGTTAAACCTAATGATCATCAGTTTGTAATGGATGTTGCGGACGAACTTAAAAACTTTGAAGGTTTAAATCACGAAGGTATCATTAAATATTTTGGAGTAGAAATCCATCATGATCAGATGTTGATATTTATGGAATACTGCCAAGGCGGTACCTTACATGAAGCCGCAAAAGTTGGATTAGATGAAGCAACTACACGCTTTTATACTAACAAAATAGTGCACGCCGTTGCCTTTTTGCATGAAAATAAGATAATTCACAGGGATATTAAAGGTGACAATATCTTTCTCACAAAATGTGGTCTTAAACTTGGCGACTTTGGATCTGCCGTTAAATTAAGGGAACAAAAGACAAAGGCTGACGATAGGAGTTCGGCTAGAGGAACAACTATTCGCTTTCAGCCTCCAGAAGTTGTAAAAAATTCATCTTTGGAATTGCGTTACAGATTTGCTGCTGACATCTGGAGTCTTGGATGTGTAGTTACAGAAATGCTTACTGGCAAGTTGCCATGGTCAGAATTAAACATTATTAATGAGTTTCAGATGATGTATCATATTGCAACGGCAAATCAAACTCCTAAAGTGCCTGAAAATGCTTGCGATGATCTAAGAAAATTCTTAGAACACTGCTTCGAAATGGATCCAGAGAAGAGAGCAACTGCAGAAGAGTTATTGGATGAAACTTTTATTAAAGTTGATTCCGAAATATTTAAAGAGTGAAACCATTGAATTATTAAAATGGCACATAATATATATTCTATTTATATACAAAAATATTAATTGTTAATAAGTTTTTATCATTTATATTGGTGGGACGAAATAAAGATTTCATTTGCTCAACTAATGTTTTTTTTTTATTAAATTATCCTTTTCCTCTATTTATTAAAGTAATTAGAGAAACATTTTCATGAAAGATATAGAAATATTTTTAAATAGGCTATCTCTTTTTTTATGTACACAAACAACTCCCTCCTATTATGCCAATTCTGATATGGGAGTGAAAGATGTCCTTCTTGGGTAGAGCGTTCCCTCTAAGGGATCGTATCGTGCTAGTGGACCGCCAGTTATATCTTGAGGTGTACTGTGAACTTGTACATTCTTACCCCCAAAAGTCTGTATTTAATTTATTTATATAAGTTTAATTTTACTCTCTATATATTTAATTGATGAATTATTTAAATGTAATAAAGCTATACTATAGAAAAATAAATAGCCTTTACTTACAGTACATCCTATATTTTTGATATTCGTCGGATGTTGTGTTTCACTGTAAAAAGAATATTGTAAATAAATTAAAATTTTAATTAAATATTTAATTTATTTAATCTCACCCTGCTTTGGGCTTCAATTGGATTCTTGATGCATCAATCGATGATTCTTGCTTCCATTTGGCTTCTCTTAAATACGAATAGTTAGAAGTTCTCGTGATATATTCTTCGAAATCTTTGAGAGCTTTTTCCTTTTGACGTTGATTATCTCTTATTTCATTAAAGTATTCTTGTTCATCCATGCTATCTTGCTGCTTCTCAGCCTCAACAAGTTGATTTTGTACTGCTCTGACATGTTGAACCCTGTCATCGCAGATTCTGCAGATTGCTTCAATGGCCTCCCTGTCAGGTGTTACTGGTCTAAGATCTTCTGCCTTAAGCTCCTGTACAATTTCACCCCAAACCTCTCCTAATTTAAAGTCTAAGTAATGCTCTATAATCGTTAAAGTTATATGATCCTCGGTTGTAAGTCCGGCTAACTCTCCAAATCCCATTTTACAGAAGAGGGCATAAATTTTAGCTCGTATATTCTCAGATATATCTACTATTGCAGGAGATGGGCAGATGGCGGGGGCTGGTATTGTCCCTCTTTCAGCCTGTAGAGATCCCATCAATGGCTTTTGGAAATCAGAGACGCCAGCTTTATCATCTCGGGAAACTCCCATCTGAGCCTCTTCTTGTCTCCAAAGTTCACAAAATAAATGAGCTGCCGTATCGTCTCTATTTCCTCTCCAAGAATTTATGTGGACTGACGTCTTGGGATTGTCAGCTAAATCTAACAAGCAGCCTAATATCATATTCCTGAATCCCGAAGGAGCATTTTCCAGTAAATCAAGGAGGTGGTAGGCTCCTTCAAGTTCTAAGAAGGCATCTTCAGTAATTTGACATCCTACAACAGCTGCCCAAATACAATCTACAGCAGAGACAAGCAGCTGATGATGTCCTAAACCAGATTGTAAAGTTCCTAAATCGACTGTTAAATATGGAACTAGGGACTTTACTCCTTCCTGTCCGACTATTTCCTGTCGGTGAACTTCTCCTTCACAGAGCACTGATAAAATACTGAGCATGTCTGTTTGCATACAAACGTCTATTTCCTCTTTTATCCAACCGTATAGCCAAAACTTATCCAGGACGCCTAGGATTTGACCTATAGCCCCTTGGTCAACAAAGTCCTGGAGAATTTTGTCACTATTTGTTGCTGTCATCGCTCTCATTATTCTAAGGCAATATCTCATTTGAGATTTCTTAGAACCACGCCCACCTACTCCGTGTAAACTATTTCCAGCGCCATTATAATTTTCAGGGCCAACGCACCACTCTAAGAGTAAGAGCAATCTGGTAGAACCTTGGCAAAGCATAAAATCATCTAGCAAAAGAGGTGATAGTGTCACCAAACAGGACATCGCATGTAATTGAATTTCTTCTAATTGAGCTGGTGTCCATTCCCTTGGTAAGGTTTCCTTTTCACTAGGACGAACATAGTGAAAGAGTGATAACAAGAGTCGAGTATCCGTATATATCTAATGGAAATGGAAGAAATTGAGCGAACAAAACAACGACTTAACAGATATACAAACGGGAAGGACAGAACTGTCTCTGCTAATTAGAACAAGCAAATTTAAGATGATCTTCTTTAATTCGAAGTCTTCGTGATTTGTTCCTAATTTTAGATGTTTAACTAGAGCGTTGTAGCTTTTAACTAAATCGTTTTAAAGGATAGTAAACAAAGGAAATTGTATAGTGATTTATCAATTAATAAAAATAATGCCTGATTTAACTAACCTTCTTGAAAAGTACCCAATAAAGTAAGCTGTTTACAAAAACCTGTCTCTATGAATGGGGCATTTGGACAATGCTCAGCAATTAGTGAGCAAACAACTAATAAATCATTCCTTAATTGACGATCGTAATGAGAGTAGCCGTGATTGAGTTGCGTTAAAAAGCCATCTCGTAGTTGACTGTAAATTATTCGAAAATTATTTGAATTATTAATAAGTAAACTTGTTTTGTATAATTATTAATTAGTAATATGTATAATTAACATAATCACTAACCCGATGCATTCGAAATTATTTAACTGGTTGGCAACAATTGATGTGTCCCCATTCTCCAAAAGATTCCATATAATTTCAGTTGATCTAAATAAAATTTGCCCCTCGTGATCGTTAAAATCCATTAGACGTGAAGTTAGATTATAGGCGGCGTTGGCATTCAGCATTTTATTACAGTTTTTCGCTATTGAGAAGAATGAATAAAATAGATAATTCCCTTATTCTAATTCGATTTTTACTATACCAGATGTCTTTGAAACTTTCTGTAAAACTTTGAGTACAGTAATTCTCGTTTCTAAGTCATTTTCAAGCAATGTAAGAGACTGAAACATTATATTAATAATCAAATAAATTAGACAAAATTAATTATTGTCTCACCTTTATGAGAGTTTCTGCAACATCACTTTCTTCTATTACTTTCTTATTAAATTCTAATCGATTCGCTTTATGACCTAATTTGTTTTATGAATAATAGTAGATAGGAATGTTAATATAAAATAGATGATTTATTAACTAAAATCTTATTAACCTTGAACTTCTTGCTTTCTTGTTTCCTCCTGGGTGTAAAAATTCTGTAATGTTTTGCATATTTGCTCTCGAACTTCTTTACTCGGAACTCTCATTAGGTAGGCTTTGAAAAGATTCAAAAGAATTATCGATACTATCGGTTTAAATTAGCAGCAAAAGGTAGTAGAAAGAAGTAATTTCCTACCTAACTGAGAAATACTTTCAATGGAAATCTGTTCGAATGTCAATTCATCTGAGGCTCGCTCGTTTAGAAAGGGGCGATCGCACAGTGCAATTAGTTCTACCATTGGTTCAACGTAGAACGGCTGTGTATCAACCCTATCTGCACACAAATTCAATATCTTAAATACTTGAACTAAATCTTTCATTAGGAAGCCATTCTTATAATGTCTTAATATTTTCCGAAGGATATGCAGATGACGATCATATAACATTGCCTAAAGCGTTAAGAGAATTATAATTAAGCAGGATAAAGAGTATCTCTGTAGGCGAATTATGTAACAACTTACAGAGTGTGGATCCTTTAACAGCTTTACAACTTTACTTAAATTTAAAGGCTCCAGCTTGGTACCCTATAATAGAAATAAATAAATGCAAAATATATTATATATATCAAAATAATCGTAATTCTAATTTCTCATATACTTTAAGTAGTCCAAGCTCTTCATCCGTAAATGTATGATTAACGACTGGAACATTTTTATTCGTCTGCCCATCAAATGTTTTCATCATACTTGTTGGATTTGTTGACGAATTTAATTGAATAGTTTCAGTTGCCATGCTTTGATTAAGAACGTTTTACCATCAATAATCCGTTTTAAAAGAGACAATTTAATCAATTTTCATTTATTAACTAATTCGTAAACTAATTTAGAGAAAATGAAATCTTTAGAAATTAATTGAAAAAGATTATTTATGTTGTTAAAGCGCCATTTTCAATCGTCGTTATGACAACTTTTTAAACGCCATCTACAGGTTAGAAATATTTTACAAATCTTTCTACTAAAGAGGATTTGCCGCCTTTAATCCTGTTAGTATAAACTTCTAAAATATTTAAAATGGATTTTAAGAGAAAGCCTTTAAAGTTCTTATTTGCGAATAAAACGATTAAAATGCAAAAGATAAGAAATAACTTTAAATATTTGAGTAAGAATGCGGTTTGAGGTCGATATCAATAACAATACCGCAAATTTCCTGCAAAGCTACTATCCAACTAAAAGTAGTACAAGGCGTACTTATTTTTTAAAATTACTTAAAAAATACATAAATAAGGCGTCATAAATTTCTTTAAAGTTATGAGAATTTTATATAGGCAAGTGTAGGAATTTTTTTATATCAAATCAATAGACGTTGAATAATCTTTGAAGTAATCTTTCCGATAACTGCGCAAGAATACATTGCGAATAGAACCTGACGACGAACAGCGGCGGATTTTCGAAAAAGATCTTGAAGAAATAATGAGCGTTTTCGAGATTCCAGAAGGATTAACAGATCTACTGCAAAACTTTACGGTTCAAGTATTACGAGAGCGTCCAGGAGATTTGTTACAATTTGCCGCCGACTATTTTAATGTTCAATTAGTGAACAGAGACGGTTCGGCTATCAATACTCGTTTTCACGATGGAATGGAGAGTTACCAAGCAAGTCAATTGGACGAGGATATTGATTCAGAAGAGGAATTTTACTCAGGTTTGTTATGTTTTTCCTTCCCATTTATTTCTTTTTATTATTCTAAAGTGGTTGATAATTCATTCGGCCAATCGTAGATTGGAATGATCAATACCTTTAGCTGTATTGTCCAGGCTTTAAATCAGTCGTTAATTGAAGTATTAATCAGTTAAGGCACTTTGCGAAAAACAAATTACATATCTACCAAACCTCTTTTCCTTCGCTCTTTCTCGTGTTCGCTCGCTCTCTGCCTATCTATGTGTCACTCACTCACTCACTCACTCACTCACTCTCTCTCTCTCTCTCTCTCTCTCTCTCTCTCTCTCTTTCTCTCTCTCTAAGTCTCTCCCTCTCAAATCGATGGAACTTATTCTTAAATTTTTCAAAGCAAATCTTCCGGTTTATAGGCCTAATTTATTTTCGTTCTTTCCATTTTTTTGCTGTAGGTTTATTATTAAAAGGAAAACATGGATTACTTGACAAAAGAGAAACCAGTGCTAATTAGTTAAGTTTTTGAGAAAGAGAAAGAGATAAAAGAGAAAAAAAGGAATATCTTTAATGATGATGATAAAAAGGCTAAATGTTATTTCTCTTTTTATATTTTATATAGGTAAAATATTGGTATTATTGATAATCATTATTTCATCAATAAATCCTTATTGAACGTTTTGTAAGGCGTCTAATCCTTATATTAAACATACCAATATACCTGTATATACACCTGTTCAAATGTGTATATTTTTAACGATACACTCTTAGTTTAATGTAGAAATTTTATTAAAAGCTAACTAGTTAAGCAGCTCAAGTATATAATAATATATCTTTTATAGTATTTACTAAAGTATTTATCCATTTCGCCTATGTATTTACCTTTATAGATGAGAATATATATGTTAACAATACAATATGATTCCTATATATACATTTATCTTTCTATACATCTTAATAATAATTAATAATCAATCAGTTATTAAGTATTGAAATACGCCAGTAATAAAGAAGGAATTGCAAACCCCGAATAGTATTTCACGTGGAATAAATAACAAAAGTGCATGTCAAGATAACAAATGCAAAATTGTTTGCTGTACAATGTATGCTTACAAGATCCATAGTGTAAATGAGTAATTCAAATCTATGAGAGAGTTTCAGGTCACACCAATGATTTACAATAATCGTAATTGGTTATTTCTTTCATTTAATTAATTATTAATTATATACATATAAAGTATTTTGTCCATTGTACTTAATATAACTGAACATAGAATTTACTTAGAAATAAAAATTTCCCTTTAAAAAAGAAAGAAAAAAAGTGAAAAAAAAAATAATCGTGAAATGTCAATAAAATTGGTTTTTCTTTTTTATTAATCTTTTATATCTTGTTAGATTTGAAGAGAGTGTTTATGATCGATGGCGGAAGTCAGAAACTACTGCTTTTATTAACTTTTAGAAAAGAAATGTTTTTTAAAAAAGAAAAAAAAACGCTTTTACAATATTTAATTTAGGGGAAAAGAATGATTGTAAATAGATGATTTTTTTTCTATACTTTCTCTTTCTATTCTCCTTCTGCATTGGTTTCTTGATTAGATAGTCTGCTCACGTTAAAACACCCTCCCTGACCCTTTCCTAAGTCTAATTCTTTATTTGAAAGAATATCTACCGTCACTTTTAGCTTATTATCCCGTTATAAAAGGGCAGGATAAGAAGAAAGAAACATGCTTCAACACTCAAAATAAATTTTTTGTCAAGATTAAACATGAATTATAAAGTATTAGTATTTATCAACATACTGTCTATACCATTTTCGGTATTTAGTTTATATTCAAATAATAGATTTGCATGTAGATCTTATAGTATGCTAAAAAATACCGTATTTTTTATAAATACAGTACGTATATTATCACGTACGAATAAGAAAGGCCACTAGCTTTAGATATTTAATCTATTCTTACTAATCCAATTGTTAGTACGGTTGGATAAATAATAAGGTTTTAGCAGTGATCAATATAAAATCAGCATGCAGAAGGCGACATAAGGCCTATAAGATAAATACGCAGCGAAGACTGGATCTAGTCTAATAAATGGATACAAAATGCACAAGTAAGGAAATTGTTAGAAATTTCATGACTTCTCATTACAATTGTGATTAATAATTTAAGAAAAACAAAGTAACCTGACTGATTTTAAAAATATTAAAATCTATTGATTTGAAAATGGGAATTAACAATGAAACATTATAGTATTGTTATTTATTTTGTAAACTTTCATATTCAAAGTATAAAATTTAGCTTTGTATGCAAAGAAAGTATTTAATATTTATTTTTTTAATAAAAAAAGCATATTATTAATTTTATTAATTGGATATTTTCTGTCCTCTTTTCACACAACTCTGCCAGTCTTCTAACCCTTCCCTCTAATCCCTACTCCTCCTACTCCTCTATTTTTCTATAAATGATAGTTTAATTAAATATAATAGTAAATGGGTATTTCTATTATGATGCCTTTCAATTTTACAAAAAAATGTACTTTATTCATACTCTCTAATTATGTAATATTACGTAATTTAATCTAATTACTACCATCCTTTTTGTCTTATAGCTGTATTTATATTTTAGAAAAAAAAATCACAGTTTGAAGTTAATCATGAGTAGTCTTTTTTTTTTCTTTACTTCAAATGTGTTTGTCAGGTTTTTTTTAAAAACGTGACAAATTGTCAACTTCTCTAGTTTGTAGTATCGACAACATTCATGGTTTATAGACATTCGAGTTCAGCTTGACCTTTTATGGGCAATACAGAAAATCTACAGAGCTTCTTAAACTTCTAAGATAGCGACACCTACAATCGTGATTTAACAGGTTGTCTGCGTGAAATTCATCTGATAAAAAAGGTCAAATCAGACTTTGATGTAAATTACTGCCCACATCACGTGATAATTCTCTAATTGAGACAATCTGCAATGTTTTAACGCATATAAAAAGAGGCTAATATATTTTTGTTAAAAAATTTAAAGCTGTCAATCTACTAAGAGAGCAATTTAATGATCGACGGAACTTTTTGTCTTATTAAAAAGCACAATTTTAGAAAAAGAAATCGAGGGAATAAAGAAGAGAAGAGGGAGAAAAATTGATCTATATAATTTCCAGTCTTTTTTTTACTATAGATCTAATAACTGTTTGCTTTAGTTGGGTGCTAAAAGAGATACAATATTCATAAAATTATTATAATTCATCTATGCACTTATCTTTACCAGTATCGCTCATTCGAGTATGCAAGATAGGCCAAGACTATGGAATTAGTTGCATCTTGAAGGGATACGTGCTTAATTTTAGAATTTTTCCAGCTGCATATCGTGACAAACGTAGTTGGTAACACTGGTGCAAACTAGAATATACATATTTTCTTCATTTACAGTTTATAGACTTTATATCACAGTACAATAGTTTATTATATGTAACTATAAATATTTATAACCTAATATTAAATACATTGCATGCTTGTAGCAAATGTAGCGCATCCTATTCAATAATTTGTAGACATCTGACAAAATAGGTAGAATAAAAGGCTATACAGGTAATACTGTTTTTTTACTGATCAAAAGCCACCCAATATCTCTCATGCATGCCCGTAAACCTCGTTTATACGATACGAGGTGACGCTGCGAGCGTTTCTGTCGAATCGATAGATGTCGACGTTTGTACACGCATCTGCAATATTCTCTCCTGGTTGAAAATCGCGACTAATTACTGTAGAAGATGGCGTCGGTTGCGGATTGTATAAGCACCGTAGCGGCAACTATTTTAGGCGCTTTTATGAGACAGCGCCGACGGACCGATTATAATATAGTAAATGGTGAGAACGGTAAGCTATTGCTTAGATATATCGAACAATTGTCGAACAAAAGCAGCGAATAATAAGCCCATAACCTTTAAAATATTGCTATCAAAGTTGAACTTGAATAAATTTATGAATGATACGTTCGTCTACATGAGTACCTATGTATATATTGATTGGAAGATGTGGAAGATATACTCTTTCATTATTATATGTCGCACGTACGTTTTTTTCGGTTCGAAGTGACGTCGGCATTGAGTAGGTGACGCTCTTTTTTTTTCGTATATACCATTGGACGTTTTTCATTACCTATAAATAGGAACGGAAATGAAGGTAGATTGAGCTGTAAGGGAGTTTTACGGCAGGAAGGACAAGTTTGAAAATTGTCCCAATTTTTCTGTATCCTCGAGACAAGTCTTACTTACTACATTTCTTTCAAGAGGATTAAAATACGAAAATCCTTCAACATGAAAGGTGAATTTCGAAAGGCGCAAGAAGTAAAAAATAAAATAAAAAAAAAACTGCAAGTCTATTTGCGGCTGTAATTCCAGTAATACGGATTGAAATTTTATACACCGTTTTAGCAGTAGAGTTCAGGAAGACAATGTAAGCCTATATTTATATACAATTTGCATACAGCGTATATTTATGGCGTTGAGGGGGAGTAAGAAACTGAGGGTGATAGTTAATTTTTATCCCTCTTATATACTATTTATGTGGGATATATCAAAGATAATCCTGTATACTGTTTTTTGGTATTTATAGAGGTAAATAGAAATATATAAATAAAATTAATTAAGTATATACAGTATATATATATATATATATATATTTATATATATAAATTTATTTGTAAACATTTTGGAAAACATCTATTTTCGCTTAGCTCAGCATATAGAAATATGTATATATGTTATTTTGTAATGAGCAGTAATTAACTTATTTATAGAATATGAAGGCGGAGATTTCTTAATGAATATATTTCTTTTAAAGTTGAATTAGAATATGAGCCGCATAAAATATTATAAAGAGAAAGATTGTATAAAGCAAACTTCATTATGTAGTTGATGTTGTAATTAGAAATTCTAAACCTAGTTTTAGTATAGTATATGAATTACATTAAGGGTTGTTTAAGTATCGCTATTAAAGTCCGTTCTAAATATCCGAGTTTTTGTAGCCCTTCGCTATTGAAAAAAACGTGCCAAAAGCATATATAAGTATAACAAAGAATAAGTAACGCCTGCAACCTCAATTAGAAAGTTCAACGTTCTAGTTCTTTTCTTTCCTTCTACCCTTTTTTCTTTTCAATTTTTTTTTTGTTAAAATGCTTTGTTCCTCCTCCTACTCACATTCGTTTTTATCTCTCTTTTTAGGTCCAGCTAGAACAGTAGGTCGACGTAAATCAGTTGCTGCCGAACGCTATGACCCCGAAACTGATACGGATGAGACGCCTTTGACAGTCTATCCAAAAACTGATTCTCAACGACAACGTCTTAAGGCGACGCTTCAAAACTGCTTCTACTTCAGACATTTAGATACAGAGCAAATGGAACAGCTTATTGATGCTATGTTTGAAAAGGTTGTCGAAGGTCCCGAAGAAGTTATAATTAAAGAGGATGACGACGGCGACTATATGTATGTTGTGGAAAAGGGGGTCTTTGCTGCTTTTCGGTTAAGTGAAGAGAATGGTGAATTTAAAGAAACAGAACCTCCAAAGATTTATGATAATGAAGGTTTTTTTGGAGAATTAGCCTTGATGTATAATACTCCCAGGGCAGTTTGTATTCTATCAAAAACCGCTGGCAAGCTATGGGCTATGGACAGACAAACATTTAGAAGGATAGTTATCAAATCTACTCATTTAAAATTAAAGCAGTATGAAGATCTTCTGCAAAAGGTTCCTCTCTTCCAGGAATTGACGCTTTATGAACGAAATAACGTGGCTTACGCATTACAAAGTAAAGATTATTTAGATGGTGAAGTGATTATAAAACAGGATGATGAGGCGGATTCTATGTACTTCGTTGAAAAGGGCGCCGTCAGGTGCCTGGTTAAGCAGGCTGTAAGTTTTTTAAGAGGTTTCTCTTTCTTCCAATCTTCGCATTATAAAAGGAAATACTCTTTCTTTAATAGCATCAAGCGGAACAGAAAGAAGTTAGCAGGGTGCAACCGGGAGGCTATTTTGGAGGTATGTAGTTTATACTATTTATAGTTAATAGATTTACTTGTGTTTACATTGTCATTAACGTCTCACTATAAGAAAGATATAAAACGTACTATTTTTATTCTGATTAAATAGTTAAGATGATTTAAAACAGTTTTATTTAAATACTCAAATCACTTTCAATTTCGTGTGGAAAGCTTTTTACGATTCCTGAATTTCTATCAACAGAATTAGCTCTTATCACTGACCAACCTCGAGCAGCAACGGTCATCGCAGTCGGATCGACTAGGGTGGCAAAATTACCAAGAGACGATTTTACGCGGTTATTGGGACCCTGCAAGGATATTATGAAGAGAAATGCAGCAGCCTATGAAGAGCAATTAGCTAAAGTGTTCGGTTCGAAGAACAATGTTACGGATTTACTTTAAAAATAAAAGAAAAGAGAAATCGTTTTAAAGTCCCCCTCAGGGTAGGGATGGTATCGGCTTACTATTTTCGATTTTTTTACCATTTTTTTATCCTTCCGTTCAATTTTCCTATTCGGAAAAGAAAAGGGAAAATAACTTGTTATTTACAGCTAAATAATAATAATAATAATAATGAAGTTAATAAACAAAAACAATAAATCAAAATCTTATTTTTTATTATTTTTTTTTTTAAAAAAATATAAAATATAAATAAAAGATTTATATTTTTTCATAAATTTTTCATAATGAATAAACAAAAGTAGGATTTGAAGGAGAAGAGGAACTTGTTTGTTTCGGAAAAAGGATAGAATAATGGTAAAATTATGTCAAATAGTTATTATACATTTTGGCACGTTTTTTGCTGTGAAAATGAAATGTTTTTTTCTTGTTGGAAGGGAGAGGGGAGAAAATAGGGGAATAAAATAACAATTACAGGGCAAAAAAAGTAAATAGAACTCAATAAGAACAATTTTTTGAGAAAGCTTGGGGTAGGGAAAAAAAATGGAAAATTTTGCTCAGTATAAGTTGTGTCGTTTCTGTAGTATATTGTTTTACCAGATGTTGTTCTGATATATTTTAGAGAATACAGCGAAAATGTTTTCTAAATATTCTTACTTCTTATTCTTCGATTTTTCTTTACCTTTCTCTCTTTCTCTCTCCCTGCTACTAAGCTGCTATAGTATTCATTGATACAGATGGCGTATAAGTATGGAATATGGAGCAAATTTATTCTGAAATTTTTTGCCCACTAGATGACGCAAACTGTCCTTGACCCCTTTCCTTACTAAATTTTTCCCAAATATTACATATTTATAAATCATCTCTTAAACAAGATATCATTAACCTACAATAAGATGCCTCTTTTCCATGTCTGCGGTCCCAATGAAGCAATGGTAGTTTCAGGTAGGAAATCGTCTAAAAATGCTCAAATATTTAAACAACATGGCGGCGCGATAGTATTATCGGTTTCTTCAAGATAAACTGTTAAAATACCTGTTTTCTTATCATGCTGCCCATCAAACAATATATAAACAGGTTTTCAGCTTATATGGAGTAATCCGTTTCACAACCAGACTATTCTGTTATCATTTCAATACTTATTTTCTTAACCGAGGTTACATTAAACATAAAGGGTTCATTGCTTATCAATACTATTTGCAAAAATGGGCCAATGTATGTGTTGTCATTCTAGTGGTCCTAACGAAGTTTTGGTGAAATCGGGTACAATAAAGAGGCTTTTTTAAATTGAAATTCGACCAAAACAATCTAACGAACAATTTTTCTAATTTGTACAGGAGGATGCTGCCTAGATCGACCCCAATTGGTGCCAGGAGGGAGAGTCTTCGTTTGGCCGATAATACAACAGATTCAGAGGTAAAATTCTCTTGCAAACTCTAAATTCGATATTATGATTCATATTTTCCAAATCTCTAACTTAAAGCTACTACTAATATTTTCCCACTGATAAGAATTTTGCTATGCTATGCACATACTTTGTTTTTAATTAGACTATAATACCAACAAGATCTTTATTAAAGAAATTACTATATACTATAAATACAATAAAAGCTGTAAACTTGAATTATAACTAATGAACATCATTCATCCACAGAATATCCCTGAATACCATGACTCTGACGATTGAATCGCCTCAAGTTTACACACAACATGGCGTTGCCGTATCAGTTACGGGCATTGCTCAGGTATATACTGTATACTATCTTTAAACTAATTTTAATTATTATTACGCTGAACTACACTCTACAACAAAAATATCGGCAATTGTTATATTAAATAATTGGCACTAATTAAGGTCAAGATTCACAGTCAAAATCGTGACATGCTAGCAACTGCTTGCCAGCTATTTCTTGGCAAACCTGATGTTGAAATTAGAAAAATAGCCCAAGAAACTCTTGAAGGACATCAACGAGCTATAATGGGAAATATGTCGGTCAAGGTGCCAATTGCTCGACAAATTTGTTGTTTTCCGTCGTTCGTGTTCAATTCCACCCTTCTTTAGTTATAGCTGTCTTTTTTTGTCTACTGCATCCAAAATATTTCAGGTAAAAATTCAGGGAAGTAACAGAGACATGTTAGAGGCAGCCTGCCAACACTTTCTTGGAAAATCTGAAAGAGAAGTTGCTTCAATCTCCCAAGAAACCCTGGAAGGTCATCAAAGAGCAATTATGGGTAACATGACAGTGGAGGTGTGTCAGCCAGCTTCTAAATTTTTTTTCATTCATTATTTTTGCTTTGTAAATTCTCCTGCAAGTAGTTAAAACATTGTTTCTAATAGATGATAGATTACAGTCATTTTGTAAATTATATCTAGAGCAAATTTTCATCTATTAGGGACTTCATTTTCCGCCTTTTCTGTCCAACAGGAAGATTTAATATTAATGAAATCTTCGTTTTCCCCCTCATTCTAGGAAATATACAAGGACAGAAAAAAGTTTTCGAAATCAGTATTCGATGAAGCCTCGTCCGATCTGATCCAAATGGGAATTATGGTTGTCAGTTACACTATCAAAGATATTCGAGACGACGAGGTAATATTATCTATACGTTTAATGTTGAATTATTTTTTTTCTCATAGAATTTTGTTATTCTTAATTAATGTTTTATTCTTAGCAAAGAAATCTAACGATAAACTATAAACATCATTTAAAATTTATAAATTATATAATAAATGCATTTTTTAAGATTTTAGCAAAACTATACAGGGCTATATCGAAAGTTTAGGAAAGAAAAGAACAGCTGAAGTTAAAAGAGATGCTTTAATAGGGGAAGCTATTTCGAGGAGGGACGCTGCCATTAAAGTCTAGTTTTTTTTCCTTAAAATTAAGTCCACCACCATACGTTTTATTTTTTTTTTGCTATACTATTGCTTTTTTGATTTGCCTAGATTTGTTGTATAAAATTTTTGTGTTTTTTCTTGCTTCTTAGGGCTACTTGAAAGCCTTGGGTCAGGCCAGGACGGCTCAAGTTAAACGTGACGCTAAAATCGGTGAAGCTGAAGCTCTTAGAGATGCCACAATTAAGGTGACATATTAGTAAAAATAATGTTTTAAACTAAATTTAATCTTTGAAAATCGCTGTAAAAGTATTTTATATAGAGAGTATATAAATATTTCATTAATCCCAATTAATCTTATTACTGTACTTAGTTAACAAAGTTATCATTAGCCTGGTCAATGGAATGACACAAATTAGAAATAGAATTTTACAGAGCTTAAGAATCTGTTTACGCCATCATCAATAAAAAACGACCATTCAAAACTAAGCTTACAATGCTAAATGAATGGAAATAAGATATATTACTATTACAGAGTGTTGAGTTGAAAACAAAATGTATTTTTCAGTTATTTAGTAACTTCTTGTTTAGAATAGTTTTCAGCGTCAATCACTACACTTAATAAGGAGTTCTATTTTTTAAGATATGTTGACCAGCAGCACACAGAATACTTGATTGAAACGCTGTTTAAAGTGAATGACAGCCAGCTGACATTGTAAAAGAAAACTAAACTAAATTTTAATAAGATTTACAAAATTGTCTGTTAGTAGATAAAACGGTGCAAATTACCAGTCTTGTATAGAACTAATTAAATTTGATTATATTATTAAGAAAAGAAAACTATCCTATTATCTTTAGATTAGTGCTTGAGTATACTGTATACAGTGAGTACTACATGCGACATACCAATCTTTGATAAGTAAAAAATATAACAAACAAATCTTAAGATTATAGTCTTAGTCTTAAAATAATATATCGAATGTTCTTTTTATCTAATTAAGTATAATTACTTGTATCTTATCCGGTTTTTTTGCCAATAACAATTAATATTTGATTTCTTTCAATTTTTAAAAACAAGCTCTGACATATCCAAATTGATTATACAATTTGTAATAGTATCACCTAGTAAATATATTGCCTTGATAAGTGATTCTGATGACCAATAGGCTTAGAAAGAATTTTCTTAGTCAATAGTACTCTCTCGCCTGTAGTCAATGTCATTCATTCTAATTGGATTATTCCTCTGAATGAATTTCCTGTAAGGAAAAGTGTTTTGCTCCGGAAAAGCGAGAAAATGATATTAGTTATAAGATGCTGTTATTTGTTATTAACTAGTCAATATATTTATTAATTGTAAGGATTGAAGGCATTTTCCTATCTGTAAGAGAGAAATAGCTGTGAATGTAATTTACTTCCTTAAAAAAGAAGGTTTCTATTTTCCATAAAATAGATCCCATTGCCAGCACCTATTGAGATAGTTATATTAAAGTAACTATGAATATTTAATCGTGTTGGTACTTTGCTAATTGTGTATCAGAAAAACACTTGCCGACGCAGCTGTTTTAATGACTAATGTAATGAAGATATAATATTTTCTCTGGGATTTTTTCCACGCTTGTATTCTAAAAATCACGATTATAAAGAAATATCTTGTATTTCTTAAATACTTTTTAATTAATATAATATGAATAGTCTCCCCTTGTACGCATATAGTTTATAATAAAGTGTTCCTGATACCGTACAACATTTGAAGCAATAATTAGATATTAAGCAACAGAATTGTTTATCACTACGAGCTTCTAGATGTGTGTGTAAATAATTAAGTGGATAGATTTCGTGTAAATATTAAAAAACTTGTTTTTAAGTAGTTAAAAATAAATGATTGGACAACTCAACAACTCTTGATTTTATTTGTATGATTCCCAAAGCCTAATGCTACGCAATAATTTATACCTAAAATCATTTGGAAACCGTTTTTCTCCTATCTGTTCTTTACGCTTCCATGTAAAACTCGTTATTAAATATAAATATTACTCGAAAACAGGAAGCAGAAGCAAACGAACTAAAAATGGCTGCTCGCTATAAGAATGATATCGACATTGCTAAGGCGGAAAGGGACTTTAAGATTAAAAATGCTGAATATGATATGGAAATTCAAGGAAAGAAAGCTAAATCTGAATTAAGCTATAGTCTTCAAGCTGCTAAAACAAAACAACTAATCAGGTAAGTTTAATCTCCTATAAAGCTTTTAGCGTTATTACAATAATCCTCTTTTTATCAAATGTAGAGAGGAAAATAAACAGGTCGAGGTTATTGAAAGAGATCGAGAGATTCACGTTCAAGAACAGGAAATTATAAGACGGGAGAGAGAATTAGACGCCACAGTTAGAAAGCCTGCCGAAGCCGAAAGATATCGTCTAGAGAAAATTGCCTCTGCTAATAAGAGTAGAGTTGTACTCGAAGCACAGGCCCAGTCCGAATCGATTAGAATAAAGGGTGAAGCAAAAGCTTACGCTATACAGGTAAAAGCTAAGGCGGAAGCTGAGCAGATGGCGAAGAAAGCGGAAGCTTGGAAAGAATACAAGGATGCTGCTCTTGTGGAGATGATGCTTGAAACGCTGCCAAAAGTTGCTGAAGAAATTGCGCAACCGCTGACAAAAACCAAAAAAGTAGTTATGGTTTCCAGCGGAAACAGCGAAGTGGGCGCATCCAAACTGACTGAAGAAGTTATAGATATTGTAGAAAAGTTACCCAAAGTTATTAAATCTATGACTGGTGTCGATATTACAACGGTTTGTATAACTATTCTATTTTTATAATATATTTTTCTGATAAAGTTTTCTCCATCTATTCAATTATTTATCATATTAAAATATAAAATTAATAGGTTTTTTACACCTAAATATATATATATAAAAAAAAATCAATCAAATCCGTTCAACATATAAAAAAAAGAAATTTCCTTTTTTCTCTTACAAAAGTTAATTACTATTTATATAGAATATAGATATTTTAATTGGCCTATTTTCTTAATCATAAATATAAAGATAGAAAATCTTTCATCTACTATTTTCATTATTTTTTTTTATTATTCAGCAATTATTTATTATGATAGTTTCCATATATTGTTAATGAGTGAAAGTTAACACTCTCTTTTAAGCAAGCACATTTCTAATTTTATTGTATTTTAAATATACATTTGGTAAATTTATAGTTTTTTTATGTCTTATAAATCTATTACTAAAACTTTTTATATATGTATATATATTATACAGGCTCTACATCAAACGAAATCCGGATAAATAATCCTACTCTTGCTTGTTGTCAATACTCTTTGGAATTCGTATGGACATAGTTTATCTATCTCTAACCCAATCTTATTACCTTTATCTATTTCACCTGAGCTTTTTACGTGCTTGCTTATATTTGTACTTTTAGAATGCTAAACTTATTCATTTGTTTACAAGTTCTTTTTTATACGTGCTTCATTTGGAGTGATGCCTTACTTTTGTTTTTTAGAAACAATATATAATTCTCGCTATCTCATATAATATATATATATATAGTATTAACGAAAATAAATATTTATGTGTAAGAGATCTTAATGAAAGTGTATATTTCAATAGTTGACGTAGACGAAAAAGAGAGCATTCTTTTTAATTAAATATAACATCCAAACATCATAGATGGCGCTGTAAGAGGGAGTAGCCGTGCGCTGGAACACCAGAAGGGAGTAAATTATACCCGCGCGCAGCTAAGCAGTGTGCGCTCACTGTTCGCGGCACGAACAATAAAGGATACGAAGATTTTTTTTTGTTAAATTTTTCCTCTTTATCCGGATATATACATGAAATGAAAATTGTTGGATATTCAAGATTGCTTTATAAAAGAATCTACGATAAGTTTGTTTTATTCGGTAAAAAGAACAATTTCGAATGACTAAACGCAATTAGACGCCTCTCGCCATTTATCGCTCATGAACCGTCTCGCTTTGCTGCTATTTTTAGCTGTTAGAACTTTCTGCGAACAAGTAGACGTTCCGCATACAGCCGGCTACGGTTATGAAGTTATAAGATACCCTTTCTCTTGGAGCGAGGAATTCTATATACACGATTCGGATATAGGTCGTCGAGTGGATATTTCTCCTGATGGAATTGTTAGGATTATAGAAGATATAAGCCATCTTAAAGGCGAAAGTTTTAAAGTTATTATTCGAAAATCATTGAATGGTCGGAATTGGTTCAAAGAGCTACATATAACAGTAAAGGATGCTAGATATATGCTAGTCTTCCCACAGACGGTGTACGCTGGTCATATTTACGAAAATGAGCCCAGAAATAGCCTTGTTGCTAACTTAGAGAACGTTTGCGCTTCTTATCGTAATCAAAATGACGGAATAAAGTATGAACTGCTTAAAAAGGATTCTCATTCCTTTTTCTTACACAGAGAAAATGGCTGCGTCTCAATCAAAACAACAAAATCTCTCGATAGAGAGCAGAAAAAACTTTATAATTTTCAAATATTCGCTTATCTAGATGAAGAAGGCTTGGAGGCCTCTTCGGATATTATCGTGGCTGTTGATGATGTAGAAGACAACGAACCAGTATTTGAGAAGAGTGACTATTATCGAACCATTCCCAAAAACCTTCCTATTAAAAGTGAAATCATCACTGTGCGAGCAAAAGACGCTGATGATGTTAAAATTTATTATTCCCTCAGACCTCAACATTCTTTGTTTGAAATAGACAGCTACACAGGTACTGTTCGCTTGGCACAGAAAGGATTAACTAAAAATGAGGAGTATTTACTTTCCGTGCACGCCAGCACTGATACTGGTCGATCTAGCAGTACTTCCTATATCCATCTTAAGGTAGCTAACGAAAAGAGAGATCGTTCAAGATCAAAACGAGGAACAAGAGAGAGAAAGACAAAGGTAATAAGCGAAACTCATGTTGGAGAAGTGATTGATTTAAGACCTACAAATGCCGAATTGGAGCAGTATCAGTTTGTTGAGCCGATTCCTAAAGAATTTAGCATTGATCCCATGACAGGAAAAATATCTGTTGAGATTGACAAAAGAACCAAGAAATCTTATCTAGATTATGAAACAAAAAAAGCAATCAATTTCACCGTGAAAATATCTCAGAGGGGTGTACCTTCCAGTAAGTAAAGTTTATTAATATGTTTCCGTTTTGAATCGATATCCTCGGACTATCGGACGTGTTTGGTATGTTTGTAGACACGTGCGGGAGTATAAACAAATCGATACATATATATAGATTTTATAGAGTCCGAGAGTATTTGCTTTCCACATACTAGTTATGAACTGTTTATAGCACGTGTCTGCATAAGTTGCAGTCGATTCAAATGAACCAAGTTACGCAATCCTATTTGGATGAAAACATACTTCTAACAAATTGCACCTCTTTGTTCCTCTCTACTTTATACATTAAAGGGAGACCTGTTTTGGGGCAGTCTTCGTTCACCTTTGACCTATAGAAACAGCGATCGATTCAGATCACGTGACGCTCTCCGTAATTAGCGTAGAAAATGTCCTCCATGCGATTTTTCGCAGTGGCGCTGCCAGTGTAGGCGTCTAGTTGCTATGGTAACGAAAGCGTAAGTGATGCCGACGGCGTTAAATTTTTCGTATATCATACGAAAGTGGGTACTTTGTCTTAGCTGTTTTCGCGCTACGGTCCAGAAATCTCTGGCGTCACTTTGATTTTGTACGGCGGTCGCGTTAAAAAGAAATCGATAACGATGCACCGTCTATGCCGTGCGCGTAGTAGGATTTCGGGCGTTAAGGATTGTCTGCATAATCGATATTTCAGATGCTCTTGCTAAAGACAGGTGCCGAGAGCGCAGTCCCAGGGGTTCCGTTTTCTATGTAGCGTCACGACCATGACCTCTGAATGACCGCCTTTGATGCGACTGCAATAATGTGGCACCTGTTTTTGTTACAGCAGACTTATTAAATTGCCGATTCCCGACGCTTACATTGACATTGAAAAGGAAGAAGCTGTTAATATTTGGCTAATGAGCCGTCTGTATTCGCATGTGAGAAAATAATCATTATTCTCGCTTATTCTTTTTCACCCGTTAATCCAAAGGTAAACAGCATAATAAGAATGTGACACGCGCTATTACTGGTCGTTATCGGCCAACCCTTTCTCGCGCAAGGCTTTACTTTAATTAAACAACAAAGAGGTGAAAAGTTCAGTATTGAAGAGGAGGAGCTCGTACGAACGTACTCGACATAGTAATGAAATTCGTACGTTACGCAACCGGGCGTCGGCGACCGTCTCTATGGTGACTAATGAACTAGCTTTACTTTGCGCGCTCTTAACCTACATATTATAACGAAATGCGTGAGCGATTCGCCTCAAGTTACGAAATACAAGAAATAAGTGCTTAAGAGAACTTGTTGCCTTCTTATTATTGTCCGAGATATTGATGCTCTCTTTTCCCTTCTATTCATTACGCAATCGATCATTAATCTCAATCTAGTTTATCTGTAATCCCGTAATTGATAATTAAATAGCCGTCCTCCCCTCTTTTACTAAAGTGAGAGATTGATGAGCAGTTATTCCTCCTATTACCAATTATTTGAGAAAAAGTTCGCCCTCAGCTTGATATTACGCAGAGTTTTGCAGACTTACAGTAACTGCAGCAGCAGTGTATGCTACTGCACGCGTTTGTCGACCCAGAGTTAGAAATGCGCCACGCCGAGTCTGCTGCAAATTGGCTGTATGCACTCGATTGTTCTTTATAGAATAAATATGTATTTTTTTTACTGTACCGTTAATCGATTTTTTTCGCGTCTTTCGATTTCATCCAGAGAAAAAGAACGATTGACACTGCGGGAAACACCAATGGAACGTGTCAACACCATCTGTATAGCTTGTTCTCTGAATTCTCGCCTAGAGTGTGGTTCTAACAGAGTAAAGTTAGGCGCTGAGCTCACTGTTAAACAGCTTTTCGAATCGTATAAACAATATTTGATTGGATAGATACCATTCGATTTTTTTCTCTTATAGAAACCAGATGAATTCGGTTCGTTAAATAATTTACCGGCTTAATGATAACATTATTCAAACGGCTTTTGTTCTCCGAGACAATGTGTATTAACAGTGCCAAGGGGAACTCAGTTAAACTAGACGCTCAGATGCCTTTGTTCGGCAAGCGTTACTTTGTTTGATTTACGACGCCTGTGTATTTTGTGTACCCTAGTATATTGAAGGAAGCAGGTGACTGTGCTTTTTTTAGATTTTTCCCAAAGCGAGTCAGCCAATTGTCAAAAATTTATCAATTATTATTAAATTCTGTTACAATTATTGCAATGATAAATAATAAAAATTCTTCATTACTTATGCATTTACGTTTTATTTGCAGTATTCGACAATCAAGAAGTTTATATTACTATCAAAGATGAAAATGACGAAGTTCCTGTATTTAAAAATGCTCCCTATCCGTTTCGTGCAACTGTACCTCACAATGCAGCTCCGGGTACAAGTGTATATCAGCTTATGGCTGAAGATCCCGACGGAGGTTCTGAGATAAGATACGTGATGGAATCAGGTAGGTGAAAATTGTCAAACGCTTTTATTCGTCTGAATTACGACGGCATCTTGTTAATTTCGTGGGAATTACCTTATGTCAAAAAGAGAATTATTTCTTGTAATCGATTTATCACTAATTTATTCTCCAATATTTATCAGACATGCAAAGTTTTTACCACGCGACAATTAGCAAAGACTTACTTATAATTAGCCATGATAGTTTTGCTTATTCGTTAAGTATGAATTTCCACTAGAAATCGTGCTGATTGATGCGAAAAAGTGTATTAACTCTATGGCGCTAGTGTAGGAGTGCACTTAATCGTTTAAAAGTAGCATACAAGACTTCGACCCTTTTTACAGATTTTCTATTGCAGTATACACGCCATAGAACGATTTCATTAAACTTGGGCAGTATTGATCGTTAAATTTCTGCATCATTGAATTCTTGAGTAGTGGGCAGTAGTATGGACAATTAATAATAAGCTCGACATGTTAATATTTAATTTTAGCTGGGGAAAAGAACAGTTTAGAAAGGATACAATGTTAATAATACCCTGTAATAGGAGAGGACAGCCCTGAACTTGAAATATTTAATTGTAGAGCCCATTCTTATGGACAATTGTTTGCTCCCCGACTTTTATGGCGGCAATTTGAATGCTCGATAGCTATTTTGAGGGTTTACGCTGTTATTAAGCGGCGTCGTTTCATCTATAGTGTAGTGTCATTTTACTATTATTCATACACCTCTTCAACACAGGTGGTGACGATCGATTCGTTTTGGATCCAGTTACTGGAGTTGTCACAACCATCGGAGACGGAGTTTTTTCTGCTGAAATGTATCAAATCGGCGTTTCAGCTCAGGATATATCTGCTCCGTTAAATCAAACGCAAAAATCTAATATTGAAGCCTTATCGATATACGTTGGAACGTTAGATCCTCAGTTCTATGAACCTTCGTACGAAGCCAGCATAAAAGAAAATACTGACCATAATGATCCCAAACAAAACGTCGTGATTGTTGTTAGGGCTTTTTCTCACCAGAATGAGCGCATTTCCTACGAACTATTCTCAGAAAAAAATAGACATCCAACAGAATTTTCTATAGACCGAACAACTGGTACAGTTAAGTTAATGCAGTCATTAGATTTCGAGAAGGATCCTCATAAGTATGTAATGAAAGTAATGGCGACGGAATCTTCTAGTCCGCCTCGAACTAGCCAAGTATCTCTTATCGTCTCACTTATCGACGTCAATGATAATTCGCCTATTTTTCCACTTTCTCAATATACGCCACCACCAGTATTCGAAAACGCTGAGTTAAAGAAAAATATACTTGTGGGTAAGTTCATCCCCCATTCTTCTTTGACTTTTGTTAACACAAAAAAAGGCCAACTCTGATTGACTATAACGCTGTATCGAAGTGTTTCACAGATGAAAAAGCACGCATAACGACCCTCTTGGGGTCTCTTTGCCCTGCAATTACGCTATTCTTTTGATGTTTTCTTGTACAAAGCTGTTTTTTCTCCAGTGTCCGCCTACGATGCCGACTCGAAAACGAATGCTCAATTAGAATATTCTGTAAGTGACCCAAATTTCAGTGTGATCTCTAGGAACAATATGGGCAGAATTGTTACAAAAGAGTAAGTATTCATTACATTGTATAAAATAGCAAATCGACCATTAAATATTAATAAGAATTTATTGACCGTAAAATGTTCATTAAAATTACGTTTATCAACAAGTTGTTACATTCTTTTTATCGCAGACTGAGCCTTAAAAGACTTCATTCTATGATTCATAAATAGAGTATAGCGTACATAAGTAAATACTGGCAGATAGTAAGTTAAAACTATCCAAGGCATACAAATAAAAGACAATTCGTCTTCAAGCGTATAACTCTGTGCATATTACCTAAATATCAAGCGGTTTAAGGGAATAAAGTCTTTGTTGTTTACTCGAAAGATAAATATTCACTTTCTCGAATTGCAAACGTAAGGATTAGGCAGCAAAATATTTGCGTGCACTTTCAAGGAGAAAGGTGTCAAAACTATTCAGATGCCTTTAAGCATTTGCTTTAATTCGAAACTTTATCCGCTCAAACGCATCTTGAAACCAATATCCTCAAGCAGATAAAGCCGAAAATTGTCCTTATATACAATATACCCCATACGCAACCATTAATATAAGACTGTATATATTAATAAATAAATATCATTTTTTTTCCCATTCAGGCGACTAGATTATGACCGGCTGCCAAACCACGTCTATAATTTTACTATTACAGCAAGGGATCACGGAAATCCCCGATTGTCGGGAGAGGCAATGGTTCGAATTAAGGTTATTAATATAAACGACGAAGCTCCAGTTTTCCAGGTACAACTCTTATATTAATAATAGGAAATAGGCAAAATGTCTTAGATGTATAGAAATTATATTCAATTTCTGTCAGTTTTTTTTCGCACGACTTTTAACATAATAAATATTGTAAATGTCACAGTCAGCGATTGTCTCGCCTTCGTTATATTACTTTATCAAAAACCTTTATGATATAGTTTGACGTATCTTTTTCAGTTCATGAACGAGGTAAATTTGTGCTTGCTTTGTTTAATTTTTCATGTTGTGGCTTTATTTTACAGCTCGCTCAATTTAACGGATTTCTGATTCCAATTTCTATTAATATTGACAATTTTATTGAAGTATTTAAATGAAACTAAATGTCTTTTTCTAATTAAGAGCATTAATATCTTAACTATTGGTTTTGCTTATGGGACTTTTGATTAATGCATGGTATATCATCTGAGGGTGGTGCTTTTCTCTAAGATAAAGGGTATTAAATATCATAGATAATATACTTAAGACCACTGCTTTCAGTAACGCCACCTAGGTAACGGCCTCTTTATAAACAAAGTAAGATTAATTTTAGCTTTGAGCTAGTCACGCTGGGTTTACACTAGCCTTCCAAAGCTTTATGTCAATTACACTAACCGATTAGTGAAGGACATGCTCAATTGAAAAGCAAAAACGTTAATTATATCGTTAAATTCAATTAAAAAGTAGTTATAAAAATAAAAGCAGATTATAATATGCACCTGTACTATAAATTGTGATTAATGCTGATTTAAGAAAGGTAGATCTTATAAAAGCAGATAGACACGAGTGTCGGTACTACAAACTGGAAAACATACAGATTCATCTGAGAAATATTAAAAGCTAGGCAACTGATGTCTAATGTACTGGTAAATATTGTTGTAGCAACTCTGATGAAAGATTACACAAAGTGCTAGAATTTTCTTTTGCAAACTCCGATCGCATTACCTGTTTTAACATTATTTTTGTTTTGTGACATTTCGCTCAGCTGAACACTGATAAAGGTTTTTTTACTGAGCGTAAAAAGCTAAATGCATTAAAAGGTTGATTGGTGAACATTTGAAGAGAATTATTTTTCCACTAGCCTTCGCCAAATCAACAAACTAAAAGATAGTGTAGTGTGCAAACAGCCTGTAGCCCATAAATACTAGTTTATCTCGGAGGCCGTTCCAATTTTTCACGAAAATAAACATCTCGACGACGCGATGGAAATCGATAGGCGAAATTTATGCTCTGATTAGTTTTGTTTGGAGAAAATTTTGTCGATTCGTGCAACGAATAATAATTATGTAACCTCCTTCATAGGCGGTGGTCGTCATCTATTATTCACTTTAGTAATCGATGCAATAAATTTTCGCAGAGGGTCGAAACAGTTCAAGTGAATGAAGATACCCCACCCTACACTGATATACACGTCATTCAAGCTTACGATCCAGATGGTGATAACATAACATTTGGATTCGCCGGACAAACTTCTCTATATTCTTACGATGGCTTGTTTAAACTTGATAAAAATAGTGGCAAAATTACTCTGGAGAAGCCTTTAGCTGAACGAAGCCGAAACGAATATACGCTAAATGTATCGGCGACAGATGATGGATCATGCTGTAAAGGTGGACGCCGATTGACATCTTATGGAATAGTCAAAATCAAGTTTAAGGATGTTAATAATAATGCTCCAAAATTTGAACAGTGCTCTCAATATAGGCCTTCTGTGAAAGAACATAGTAAAGTTGGAACAACTGTATTTCAAGTAAAGGCTACGGATAAGGACTGGGAAGAAAATGGCGAAGTGACATATTCCATTGTAAAAAGTACAAAAAATGCTCAATTTTCTATAGATTCGATAACTGGTACGTTAAAAACAGAGGAGATTTTTGATAGAGAACAACAGACTGGAGTATATGATTTAGGTGTTACCGTTAAGGCTGTCGATAAGGGTAAACCAAGTTTAGCTGGATTTTGTACATTCCGCGTAAGAATTGATGATATTAATGACCATGAGCCCGTTTTCGATATGCCAAGGTATGAAGCAACGATTGATCAGAGTAGGCGAGTTGGATCAAAGATCATACAAGTGCATGCAACTGACAAGGATGCTAATGAAAACGGCCGAGTGCGATATTTATTGAAGTCGCACTCTAGATACTTCCGTGTCAACATTCAAACGGGATGGATAACCTTGAAAGAACCAATTATAGGAATACCAGGGCAATACGAAAATATTACAGTTGTTGCTGAAGATAAAGGCAAAGAACAGAGAAGTTCCACTGCTAGAGTATCAATCCAAATCATTCGGTCTGGTGAGAATACATATCCGCAATGGAATGAGGATTCCATCAGCGGTAAATTTTACGTTGATGAAAACGTCGAACAAAATCATCTAGTATGCACGTTAAAGGCAACTTCCGGAAGCCAAAATACTCTGGTCAGTTACACCTTGGAGGAAGGAGTTTCTCCAGAAACAAATAACCCTCGAAGTTTTTTCTCTCGACCAGATGATACGCAAAATGCTATAGAGATCTTAACGTATAAAGCATTAGATTATGAAACAGTACCGAAGTATACACTCACAGTTCGAGCTGTAAACAAAGCAACTCATGCGTTGCGTAATGTTACCAGAATAGAGATACATGTTCGTGATAAGAACGATGAAATCCCTCAATTCATAGGCTTAGATGAAAATGGACGGTATCAAGGATCTGTAGCCGAAAATTCGAAACCAGGCACTCCCGTTATCAGTGTAACTGCAACCGATCGTGATTCAACTCCAGCATTCAAAGAGATCACTTACGCATTAAAGAAGCCTATCTATAACTTACACCAAGATGTACATTTATTTGACATAGATACAAAAACTGGATTAATAACAACAAAAGACACTTTCGATAGAGAAACGAAACATTTGTATTATATAACAGTGACCGCCCTTGATGGAGCAATGTCAGATAGGCCTAAAGTAATGAATTCTCCAAATAGGGTGGACGCCGAAGTCGTTATTCACATCACGGATCAGAATGATGAAATTCCTTTCTTTAGAAAGAGAATGGAAAGGGCTGTTGTTAAAGAGAATGTCGAGCCAAATCATACTATTATGAGGGTAACGGCGGACGACAGAGACGTTGATCCAGAACTATCATATTCTATAGTGAGTGGAAACGACAATAATGTCTTTGAGGTTGTATCTCATACGGGCGAAATCAGAGTAAGAAATTCATTAGATTACGAAAAGAAAGAGTTCTATCAACTAGAATATAGAGTTTTTGACGGCAAACATATGAGCAACACCCACATTGAGATTAAAGTAGAAGATGTAAACGATAATCCACCAGTATTTGACAGATTACTATATAACATAACTCATGTTTATGAAAATGCTAAAGCATCAAAATCGAGACCTCTTCGAATTGGTAGGGTTCGTGCCACAGACCCAGACAGAGGTCGACATTATGGGCAAATTACGTACGGCATTACAGGTCAATTTTTTAATGAGGGGTATTTCTCAATTGACCGAAAAAATGGCTATTTGTATTTGACAAAACCTTTGGATAGAGAACCACCAGGAAGAGAAATGTGGAGTTTCAACGTTTTAGCTCACGATGAGTCTGGCTCTCCAACTTCTTTGACAGGTTACGCTGAGGTTCAAGTTTGGCCCTTGGACGTGAACGATAATCCGCCAGTATTCCAGGAATACCCGGAAGCCTGGGTTCGAGAAAATGGAAAGCGAAATGAAATTGTTACAACTATTAGAGCGACTGATGCAGACCGTGGAATGAATGCCAAAATTGACTACATGATCAGGAAAAATATAATGAGAGGCCCTAGACAAATGTTTAGTATCGACCCAACCACGGGAGACGTACGCACAAACGTCGGTGATACAATCGATAGAGAGAAAAAAGATTATTATGAAATAACTGTTGAAGCTAGTGATAATGGACGACCCAAGCAAAAGTCATCAATGTTGCTTCGTATTAATGTCAAAGACATTAACGATAAGGCTCCAAAGTTTGTTAAACGCCAATACTATGCAACAATGAGCGAAGACTATGATATAGGAACGAGTATTATATCAGTTTCAGCCATAGATGACGACATAGGAGCTAACGCTGAACTCCATTACGAATTAATTCAAAAAGATAGAACTTACTTTAAAATTGACACAATTCGAGCTACAAATACGGGAGTCTTGAAAGTTCATCGTAAAGTCGATTATGAAGAATTGTCACAAAAGTACTCTTCTCACTTTAATTTAACTGTTGAAGTCACTGATAACGATCCATCTCATTCTGACAAAGCATTCATTACTATTAAAGTAGAGGACGCCAATGATGAAACGCCCGTATTTTTACCTCCTCGAATAATAAAACGAGAATTTAAAGAGGATAAATCAGTTGGCTCAATCATCGCTACTTTTGAGGCCGAAGACAGGGATAGCGGTCGGAATAAAGAAATTGAATATAGGGTTGAAAGAGGAAGATCTTATGAGGCAAACGGAGATCCAAAAGGTTTTTTCAATATAAGTCAAGACGGAAAAGTTCGAATAGCTAAAAATTTGGATAGAGAGTTTCACACGCATTACTTTATTAACATCCTTGCGGTTGATAGAGGTACGCCCCGCAGGACGGGAACCTCTCAATTAAATATAATTTTAGAAGACGTCAATGATAATCCACCACAATTTGCGAAGGATTACCAGCCGGTCGTTATGGAAAACCAGGGTATAGGAATAGAAGTATTGAGATTCTGGTAAGCATTCGATTTACATTAACCTGATTCCAGTGTAATTATAGGAAATAATAGCAATTAATGCATCCATTCTCGAAGCTCATTTGAACTGTAGGCAGAGAGAATACAAATACACTGAATTTTTGTCAGTGTATAATTTTTAGACATAATTAAAACAAAACAAAAAAAACAAAATATTATTCATTCTTAAAAGATTGGCGAAATTTGTTTGAATTTTAAGATTCTGGAACGCAGAATTAATCAATTTTACAGTAAACTCCTTTGAGAGATTAGAGCTTAATTGATACCCGTGAAAACCAATGGGGCGGCACTCTCACAGAAAAATAAAGCATCTTAAAATTCCTTTTTTAAATTACCTCACGCATTATATTGATTCTTTTTTGTTCGGTTTAGTGCAATTGACAAGGACTCATCCGAAAATGGACCTCCTTTTAAATTTTATTTACCACCATCGGCTCAGAATCCTACGGCTGATGATTTTGCTCTTGAATTTCATCCCAGTGAGTCGTTTATTTCGTAGTCTCAGAGGCAGGTCCTGAATATTTTATGTCACTAACGCCTTTACCGTTCTAGATAAATGCTCTGGCCGATCTGGAATGGGAATTCTGAGCACGAAGAAACAGTTCGATCGTGAACGCCAAAAATATTATCTGGTTCCTATCGTTATGGTAGACAACGGCAAATCTCCCCAAACTGGAACAAACACTTTAACCGTAACGATTGGAGATGTAAACGATAATGATCACTATCCAGGACATAAGGACATTACTATGTATAGCTATGGAGGTTCGTATTTCAAGAATATTTTAATTTTAAGTAAATATTATCATATCTTCTTATTATTCTCGATAATACAATAGGCTGGAAAAAGGGTAAGGCTCTATCTCTGTATATAAATGCATTAAAGTGGTAAATGTCGTATTGAAACGCGAATGAATTGTTTTCTTTATCTCGCTCTTCGAAACGATTCACGAAGCGAAAAAGAAAACATTCATCTACGTTTTTAACTGTATAGCTTCAATAGAAGTTGGTTATGTATAAATATTCATGAGCTCCCATCACTGAATCTTGCATATTTGGGTAGAATGCGGTGAAAGACACTTTTAAAGCTATAGTTCACTTTATTTATAAACGTTTTATAGCATTATTCTTTCTCCTTTTCTCACTATTTTTTCATTTAAAGTGTGTTTTTACTTTGTCTAAGTACTTTTTTTCCTTTTAGTCTAAAAAAACTTGTTTACCAGTTATTGGATTTTGTTGACGTAAAATTTCGACACTTTGGCTATTTACTTGACTCCGCAAAAACACAACTTTCCGCATTTGTTTAAATATTACAAGAAAATTTTAGTCTATATTTCATAAATAGCACAAATAAGCTTTATTCTCTTTTTTTAATTTTGTACTTCTTTAGAGTACTTGATTTAGTACATGTTCTGAAAAGTTCTATCATTAGTGATAAACAATTTCCGATTTTTAAGGAATACGTTTTTCCTTTGAGGTAATAATTGTTCGTTAAATTAGTTACAGAAAACGTTTTGTAAGGAATTTCTCCCCTATTACTAAAGGATTTTGTCATCAAAGATTATTTATAGAGAAACCGAATACCGAATTTACTTTAAATCTCGTCAGACTTATTTATGGGGTTATATCTCAGCATGAAATATTAATAATCAACTTAATGCGGGGAAATCTCACTATCAATCATTAGCACTTTTTTTTTATAAGAATAATCTATAAAAGAAATTCTACTAATTTTTGTTAAATTGTTAATAGATGCCTATATAGACACGCCTCTAGGACACGTCTATGCCAGAGACGAGGATGATTGGGATAGAGATGATAAAGAATTTGAATTGATTGACCGGTCTTTGTCACGATGGTTTGAGTGAGTTTTGAATGATTATTGATTGTTCTTCAAAAAATTAATATTTATATCTTGATATTTAGCCTGAACAAAAGGACGGGTCAATTGAACTTAAAAAAGTCATTAGGAAAGGGCCTTTATAAGTTAAAGGTTAAAGTTTTAGATCGCAGAAAGGACTTAAGCGTTACTTCAACGGCTCATGTGCGTATCCTCGATATTCCCATTGAGGCGGTCGATTCTGCAGGCTCTATCCGTCTCTCTGGAATAACAGCCGAAGAATTGATTGACAAAGTGGACGATTCTAGTCGACAATATAGTCTTTATGATAAACTGAGACATCGCTTGGCCACAGTCGTGAATACAGCCCTCGATAATGTTCTAATATTCAGTGTTAAAAATCACAACAAACTTTTTCGTACTACTGACGTTTTCTGGGCGGCTCACGGAAGTCCATGGTACTCCCCTGTGAAATTAAACGGATTGGTCAACAAACATCGGGAGCACTTAGAAAAGTCTTTAAATGTAAAAATTCTGCAATCTCCGGTCGATGAATGTTCTTCTGAAAACGTTTGCGGCGGAGAAGCTTGCTTTAACAAGATAATAATCGATAAGGAACGGCCTCTTTTGGTCAATACAAATACGACGTCTATGATTGGGGTAAACGCCATCACAAAAGCAATTTGTGCATGCAAGAAATCTTTTGAAAAAACAGGATGCGAATACGATACTTGTTTACATGGAGGAGTGTGTGTACCCGTTCAACCATACGATAAAAAGGTTAAAGGATTTAGGTGTCGGTGTCCCAAAGGATTTGATGGGCCAAGATGTGAACAGACTGCTCATTCTTTCTCTGGTCAATCTTCTTTCGCATGGTACAGCCCTCTTCTACAATGCGATAAATCTCACATTAATTTCAAATTTATAACTACCTCACCTGATGGTCTCTTGCTTTACAATGGGCCTACCCAGTCAAATGCTGAACCGAATGATTATGTAATTATTGAACTTGTAGATGGGCTTCCAAAAGTCCGTGTTAACCTTGGTCAGGGCGAAGCAAAAATCCATTTCACCAATGGTAAAACGTTGAATGACGGAAATTGGCATCGATTAGATACGTTTATAGAGCATCCGTTCGTCCGGGTCATTATTGATTCCTGTCGTGCGCTAACTGGTGAAAAAAATGATTTTGATAACGAAGTTGTTAACTCTATTTGCGAACAATCCGCCCGACTACCCGGTACAATGAAACTGCTAAATGTTAATACACCGTTGCAATTAGGAGGAAGAGCTACAGATCACAGGACACCTTCATATCCGCACCAGGTTTATAAGTACGGATTTAAAGGATGCATCAAGGAGCTTCAGCACAACGGAAAACTATATGACCTTTATATTGGAGATACTGGAAAACAGGAAAACGCCGAAGATGGTTGCTATCGCGAGGATTCCGTTTGCGGTAGGACAGCAGAGAATGAGCTAGGCTACTGCGGTAAAAATGGAAAATGTGTTGGATCTTTTATAAAGAGCAGCTTCAAGTGCCAATGTGAACCTGGGTGGCGTGGTAATCAGTGTCAAACTCCTACTATGGTCAGAGATTTTGGAGAAAAGAGCTTTATCGAATGGCGATTCACCGATTCATTCTACGAGTCAATTGTTCGACGCTTCACTGAACGCACATTACTGCAATTGAGGTTCCGCACAAGAAGCACAAGAGGAGTTTTATGGATGGCATCAAATATCCACAAGTCTCAATACGTAATCTTAGAAATTGATAGAGGGAGATTGAGATTTAAATTTAATGCTGGATCTGGTGAGAAAAATGTTAGGATTGACGATGTTGATGTCGCAGATGGCGTCTGGCATGTAGCCAAAGTGGAACGGTACTCCGGGGACGTCTGGCTCAGTTTAGATGACATTCACGTGGTCCACCGTCATTTTTCAGGCCGTATTCATATCCTATTGAGTCAGGGGAGTTTTTTCGCTGGTGGTTTGGTAAAATTTCCTAGAGAATTTGAAATAATCGTTGAATATGATTTGCAAAATTCTTGCATTGACGACGTTCGATACGATGGAGAACCTCTCCAGATGACCACTTCAGAGAGCATGAGTGACCTCGCCGCATATATTGCTTCGGAAAATGAGATTAAAGATCATTGCAGAAGTGACGGATGTAAAAAGTTAATGTGCTTAGATCCTTTACATTGTAAAGATTTGTGGAGGGCTGGAAAGTGCTTATGTTCAGATGGATACGAATCCTATAAGCAAGAATCAGTAACGACTTGTACGGATATTAACGAATGCGAAACACTCTTCCGACCTTGTGGTCTCCACGGTACTTGTCGAAATACCATAGGGTCTTATAAATGTGATTGCGATCCAGGATGGACCGGCGAAGAATGTAATAGGCAAGAGCTTATGGATAGCTCTTTAATGACGACGGGTGCAATATTTGGCATTATATTTTGCATTCTCGCAATAGCCGTATTAGTGATTATACTCATCCTTATAGTCTATTCTAGGTACAAACACCGCAATTACAAAGCTAACCATGTCAATGGTAAAACATATATGCACGGAGTTGATCCAGACGACGATGTTAGAGAGAATATAATTCGATATGAAGAAGATGGTGTTGGGGATGAAGATCAAAACGCTTATAAACCGTCATTAGAGAGTATACCCTTGAAGAAAATGCAAAAACCAAAGAGTATAGATGTACCGAATGAGGAATATCCTCCAAGGAGAAGACAGCCACGTGTTCCACCACCGGGAGCGGACGTAGCTGATTTTATATGTGCTCGAGTAGCAGAGGCGGATCAGGACGTCTCAGCTCCCCCACACGACAGCCTTAGGCCGTATGCTTACGAGGGTGAGGGATCAGTTTGTGATTCACTTTCGTCCTTAGCCTCAACAGCTGCTTCAGACGAAACCGAACATTGCTACGATTATTTGGGAGAATGGGGACCTAGATTCCAGCGGTTGGCCGATATGTACTCAGCTCGTCAAATGGATCGTTGACAAAATTAACTCTATTTTTTTTTTAAAGCTCTCCAACAGATAGACCAAAATTTGTGTTTTCGGTGCTAAGTGATAGCTATATATAAATTTATATATATATATACAGCTGTATATATATATATATATATATATATTCATATTCATCATTGTAATGGCTCTTTTTTAATACTTTGACTACTTTATTTCTTTTAATTTTAAGGAAATTGCTGTTCTGGAAAGTAGCGAAAAACATTACCTGTTTTACACTTTACTTGTACAGTATTTTTTATACAATTTTTGCCGTGAAAAAATTGTTGTTCAGTTTTTTGTCTTGTTTCTGGTCAAAAAAACTTTCCTATTCTCAGTAAGCATGACCTAATTATTTTATATATATATATATATGTGTAACAATGATAATAATTCGTATATACTTACTTATGTATACGTCTTTTTTATATATAATATATATATATATTCATTAATTCTTCAAACTAATAATCTTACTTTAATAAAGATATTGTATGAACATATTAGTCAAATGTTACGCCTCATTTATAGAACAAAGACAACAGCCTTAAAGCATCCTAAATATAGATACTTAAAACTTGTAGTTATGCATATTGCTTTATATTTGTAATCATTCTATCTACTTCTTTCTATTTTTGTCCACTTAACAACAAAATCTTCTGCGTTGGCACTTGAAATATCTTATTAAATAACTAATCTTCAAGCCTATTTGCACAACAAATAACATATCTACGAAATCACTATTTCGTCTACAATATTTGAAAAATTACGGAAGGAGAATAATGAATGACTACTAGTTTTATTATTACTAGGTTTTTAGTTTAACATAGCTTTTGAAAGAAGACTTTCTTCTATTCTCTCTACTCTCATTTCAATAACATTTATTTATATTAATGTTGCTTTTATTATAAATACTTAAATTTAATAAGTTTGATAGATCATTAAAATATCCTTTTTGTATGTTTATCTTCTACTTAATGAAACTGCTTAAATATGAATCTCCATAAATAGTAATCAATCAATAGAAATGATGGAGGGGGAAAAAAATACTGGATAGTAATAGAGATAGGGAATTAGTTGGTAAGGGAAAGACAGGGGGGCATTGGGGTTCAAAGATAGGTTAGATATAGGCCTAAAGCTCTTGCACGGGTAATTCTAGAGCTAATTTCTGTCTGGTGTTTGTCAGTGCTATTGTTAATGTTAACTCGTAAAAAGAGTAAACAATAGGTAATTTTTTATTGTCTGTTACGCTGTCAGATTAACTTTCAGTGTAGATAATTTATTAATATCCTACACTATGCATATACAACAATACAAAGTGGTTTCCAATTTGCTTGGCAAGTAATGTATTCAATAAAAAAAACAAACAAGAAAATATGTATTTACATTGCATCTGTAAAAATATTTGCAATTCATCATAAAAAATCATGCAAGTAATAAAAATTGTCTCGTATATATATGTAACAAAAAATAACAATTAAGCTGAGTTTTCACTGAAATTAAACGCTGCTGACCGTTAATCTGTTTGGACAAGGAAATATTCATTATTTGTGGAATAATAAAGAGAATATAAAAACGGAAATATATATGTGCTATATGATATTCAATTTCGCTCTTTTTTTTTTATTAAAAAAACAAATTTCTCTTCGTTTATTATTCCGGGAAATAGTTGACGAATTTAGAATATCTTTTAAATAGGAAATTTTTGATGATAACTTACTCAGTTATTGGTCGTTTTGGTGGAGACGGTTCCTGGGGCAAGTCAAGCACCCTTAATTGCGGTTGAGTAGAGTACTTTTTTGGCCAGCCCAATTTACCGATGACCATATCTTCCTCGGAAGAACCACTTGCATCCAGAGGTAAACCATCGTCACTCTCACTATCAGAGTCTCTGCCAAAATTTGTTGTCCCTATATCGGACGATAAGGCTGGGGGATAAGATACAAAATTTGATGAATAAACCGTATCTTTCCATGTGCTGGATTTCGACGTTGTTGTCGTAGTTGATATGTTAATTCGTGGAATACGCCCGTTTGTTACTTCATCAGCCTTTAGATGATTATGATAGGCCAGAACTGACTGAGGCCCAACGTTTTCATTTGAAAGATTTTTATTGTCTTTTTTCCTAAGAGCGTTTAGAACGCGTTTGTCGAGTAAAATAAAAGATATGACTAAGGAGACGCCTTGAAGGATGGCAGCAACGCCTAAAACGTGCTGAATGGCCTCTTTAGCTTGGTTAGCAGTAAGTAAACATAAAACGGAAACCAAAGTGGAAATCGGAAGGAGAAAAGCACAAGCTTTAATAGAACTCTTCACGCCGTCCGGAATATGTTTGACTGTTCTTGTTGTCCTCACAGCTAATAGCAAAACAATTAAAGTAAACAAAACAATGAAACCCCCAGGCCCCAATGCACTCCAAATCAGCGTGTCCGACGTACTTAGCCAACAAGCTCCATTATTCCCATAATCATCTGCAGCTAAGCCAGTCGCCATAGCAACGACTATCGCTGGTAGGACATATCCTAAAACGTAGTAAAACTTCATCGTTCCTTTATCAATATCCTTCAGCTCAGCTAATCTTCTATGAAAATGTACAGCACCAACTAGGATCCACGAGAGAGCACAAAGATGAGTCAAATGCAAAATGATAGCGGCGAATTTGCATCGAAACTCATTTTCAACATGTCTTATACCTATCAGGAACGTCAAATGTCCTGCTATTAGACATAAGCATATTTGAGCGTGAATCATAGAGCTATTGTGTTTCGCAGTTCGTAAAATTAATAATATTATTGCACATGCGACAGCACACATTATGCAAAACGCTAAACCAATATAGACTGTAAACACCAAGTCATCCATAACTTGAACTGAGACTGCTTTAGATGGCGCATCCATTAACATAGTGTACGTAGATAGATGATTACAAGCGCAGGCATGTTTATCTATTTTCGAACATCCGTCTGAAACCCAAGTAGAGTCCTTCCAGTAAACGCACTGCGAATTTGACGTGTTTCCAGAATACGTTGAATCAAATAGCATAATAACCGGTTTCTTTTGACTTCCATGTACAGTAACATTTCCATCAACTAGATTAACAGAAAAAACGGGTCCAGTTGCTCCAAAATTCGATATAAGAAGATTTCCTATATTCTTATATATTACATATCCAACGGCTGATGAAGATACGTCATTTTTTCCAGTTTCATCTAAAGGCAATTCTATCGAGGTTTTTATTGTAAATTTGTCACTTTTTACTTTGTTGTTAAACTTTGGCAGACGAACAGTACTTTTGTTCTTTAATTCAATATAGTCCATACCTGTTATTAAATAGTTGAAAAAATATTAATAATTCTACTTTGCACTTTAATAAAAGAGAAATATACAACAAAGGAATTGTCATAAGTAAATTTATTTAGAGCACGAAATAGCCTGGCGAAGAGAAATTTTGTTTACTATTTAAATACCATACGTAATTGATTCACCATTTATTTGTAATGATCAAAGCTCTACAAGAAATTTAGTTGAGAATGGGGTCGGTTTTTCTTCCTTATTTAGGAAAGGTGGATGAGCCATCCCAGCTTAAGTTTATAGCTGTAGATGACTTATCTAAGTGAAATGGAGTTTGTAAAGGGTAAGGAATTGTCCTTGGCTGATTTGACAAATCACTTTTATCTAGTCGTGCTTAGGTTAGAGAATATCCGATAAAATCAGGGTAAAAGAAATTGATATTTAGAGATTGGAGTGATAAAAATATTTCTCCAAATGAAAAATTAACTACAATCTATCTTTTAAATAAACATAAGTACTCACCCAAAATTACATTTTCGTGAATTTGATCAAACGGCGGTGTAAAAGTTGCCTTTAAATTTTTTGCCATCGTATCTGAATATTTTTCCATCCACTGTAACAAATCTGCTGCTAAATTTTCACTTTTAACCTTCGTCCAAATTGAATTCAATTTTGGATCTAAAATTCGGCCTAATGTCTGAATTAGGTTTCTTGTAAAGTTTCTATCTTGAGTATGAGTTAAATTTAAACCCGACTGCGAACTCTCATACTTCAAAACTGATATAAGGATTCCTCCCAGAATTTCTATATCGTTTGCATAAAATTCTCTAATTAATCTACTAGCAATTTCAACTTCTTTTATAAGAGATTTTACAACGAAGGTATTTAAAATTAGATTATCTTCTTCTAGTTTGGTCAGTTCTTCACTTAGGGGAATCAAAACTGTAGACATACATTCGGTTAGGTCCACCTCTAACCATCCGTTTTCAGTGCAATTCCTGTATGATTTTCCAACTGAAGCCAGGGGACAATTACGAACATCTTGACTATTATATTTCGTTTTTTCCCACCAAATTCCATTTTTAAACGCCCTAGGGCAACCATCGTACACAACTGCGCATCCTTCTGCAGTTACTTCTGCGAATATATCGGCACACAAGTTGCATTTTTTCCCGATAACACCCTTTATGCATATACATTTCCCATCAGTGCATTTAGGGGACTTAGAACCTTGAACATTACATCGGCAATCTTCACATTTTCCCTCAGAATTTACAAACTGATAATCATCACAAGAGCAACTACCGGTTAAGGGATCGCACTTCGAGTTGATACCGAGTTTACCACAGTCGCATGGTCCACAAAATGGAGGTACCCCCCACCACTTATCTGGACAGCTATCAGGTAGAAAGGTCTCACAAAACTCTCCAATATAATTTTTACTGCAGGCGCATCTAAAACCGCTGTCCACCAGATTATCTTGATAACATGTTTGATTATTTTTACAAGGATTATATTTGTCACATATTTTTTCGCATTTTGGGCCAAGTCTTCCGGGTACACAAATACATTTCGCAACGCCGAATTTTTCTTCACAAGTTGAATACTTTGGACATTTAATTAAATTGCAGCCAGATTCCAATTTACACGAACGTTGAATATTATCTAGCTTTGACTTGGTTAGTTCTCGACTGTTGACTTGCACGTTCTTTATGCATCCAATAAGATTCTTTCCAAATAGGATATCTCCAACGATGTAATTAGAAAAGTCTTGATTTAATTTCTCTGAGTAAACAATTGAACCGTAATCAAAATCAAATCTTACAACAAGCTTCAGCAAAATAATTGACAAGTGGTGCCATCTACCGTCGTTAACCCGAACGTTATTCACGAATATCGTCTTTCCTCCAATGCTTACTTCAAGACGATTATTGCCGATTCTTATCTGCACGATATATTTTGTGCCACTATTAGATACTAGCTGAGTTTCGAAGACATCTGAAGAGACACTCTGGGAGGTTCTTAGATGGAATGATATATCCCAAGGAAATTTAATAGATCTTAGCCCATGTGATGACTTCCTGAATGTTGCTAAAGATTTTCCACTAAATGAATATGGCATGGATATAAAGTCTGCGCAAGTTTTTCCTCCATACCCGTCTGGACAATCACAAAATATTCCATTCCATATTTCTCGACATCTCCCTCCATTTTGACATGACGTACTAAGACATTTTTTAGTCTTGCTCATGCACCCAGGTTTAGTTCCAGAATTGTGGGTATAATCGTCAAGATTGACAATTTTTCCATCAATTCTTAAATTTCGTATGCATCCATTAAACTGTGAAGTTCGTAATTCTCTATTTGTATTCACTTTTCTTGCTAATCCACCCAATTGAAGTGGTCCAGGAATGTCGAGAAATCTAAAACAAGTCTCGGAATCGTCAGAACATTTCTCGTCTAGATTAATAGTAGCTCTGGTTGCGCATTTCTGCGCTCTAGATAGTTTTAATTCAGCCTCTGCCACGCAATTTTCACCGATTGATACAGTTGCAGTTTTATTGAAATAGTCTAAGGTAACTTTATGCCAATCACCATTATTCAATATTCCAATCGTATTTGTCCTGCTTCGAACAGTCTCTTTGCCAAGGGAAAATGCTATTTCCAACTACAAATATTGAAAAAAAAGATGATTTGTTTTTGTTTGATTGACAAGTTAAATTAAAGTAATACCTGTCCGTTAATTAATTCTAAGGATATAAAATCATTTTCATCATTGTATCTCCCATTGTAAAATAGTAGGCCAGATTTTTCAACAGTAGAAAATCTGTGAAAGTAATATTTTTTTAGCAAAAGAATGTGTAATCCTTGAAAAACATACTCTAATTCCACAGTAAACCTATATCGTTTCTTTAAGGACGGAAAAACTAGAAAAGAGCCGCTTGCGAATGATCTGGTAGTCAACTCACATCGATCATTTCTATCCGGTAAGAAAGCACAGTCTTGAGTTGAATTGCAATTGTTAGACTGAAAGAAAAACATTTAGGTAACAAATAAAATAAAAATATTGAAACAAATAATACGTACGTTCATGCATATTTTGCATTTATAGCCTCCCGTTGCCTTCGTTTGACATACTGAACCGGATTTACATGCATCGGGAGGACAAAAAGAACTATCCAGGGTATATGTTTCGCAATTCTTACCTATTTGAATCAAACAAAGGTCTATAGTAACCATTAATCATAGTCTTAAAAAAAATAACATGGTCCTAAAACGTCTATCGACTTGCCAGATTTATTGCCGCATTAAGCACGCACTACCCTCATATAGTTATGCAATGTTATTTAATCCATCGAAAATGTATGCTATCTTATCGATATCAAAGTGACGATTTGTCAGTTAGAAAACGGTAACCCACTTCTGTGTGCAGGATGCTAAAGGTTAACAAAGACATCAAAAGAAAATATTCAGCTATAAAACATCGAGGCGAATGAATAGTAAACGATTTTTTATTGTTCCCAAAAATATAATAATACCGGCACCCGTCCGGTAGTCCATTCTCTAAAAGAATTCGGTTGCACATGAAAAAGCAAAAAAATTATAGTCCCTGATACGATTAGTTCGTAAGCATGAACCGTTGATTTACGAATGTCAAGATATAGTTGAAGGGGCTATAAAATACTTTCAAAAGGAAAAGAACCAACACGCTGTTGTTTACAGTAAGCTTTCGCAACGCCCACAAATTGTGACCGCTGCCTACTTAAAAGAGGCAAGTACAAAGTTACGCTTTCTTTAGAAAAGAGATAGATACTTACCAATATAACCATGCCTGCATTCACATTTATAGTCGTTTTCGATAGATCTACATGTACCCTTATTCTGACATGGATGGGAATAGCACAAATCAACTTCATAGTCGCAATCAAAACTTTCTTTCAGTCCTGTAAATCCTCTTGGACAATGACAGTGATGTATATAGACAGGACGGATGGGGCGGAAAAACGTAGTTCCTGTTCGACTTCGTATAAAATTACCAGGCTTTCCTTTTTGGGGTGTAGTTGTACATTCGTCAAAGTTAAAACATGGCTCAGTGATGCACATTTCTTCAGTAAATGGAAGAAGCTGAAAAAGAAAGAGGAAATTGAATATACCTGAAAGCCAGGTGTTTCTTTGTTCGTTTTACCTCAAGTCCTGTCGCGCTATCAACGGACGATCTTTTAAAGTATAGACGCTCCTTAAGAAATATCTGACTATAGAATTCATCTCTGCCGTTTTGCTCTCCTTTCTTCACGCATAGTGTTACATTCAATACGTTTCTGCTTGAATCTTGAATATCGATTATGAAGACGTTTAACAAAGATGTCGGTATAGCTGATGCAACTCCCCCAATTAATTTATCATAAAAGGATTCAAGGAAGTTCTCTTGCGCGACGCCTCGTAACGAGAGAGTCACAGAATTTCGCACCATTTCCGTTGACACAAAGCGTGAGATAAACGTGCATTTCGCCTTTGCCTTGTTGATACCATCTGGGAAAAAAAGGGAGAGTAAGTTTTGTTTACTTTTATAGTTAAGACATCAAACGATACCGCATTATTTTTTGTGTAAACATAACTGTAGTGTAAGCGTTCAAAATGCTGGTCGTATATAATTTATACATTTTTAACGCGCGACAAAAATGGATCGACAGCTGCACAATATATAAAAGAGATGAGAGGTACAGTTAGACACATACAACATTTATCACGTGACATTTTAAAGAATAATATTAAAATTCTTGAATTATTTCCTGACTCTTAATATAAAAAAAATTGTACATTCCATAAACTTTCACTATTCAACTATTAACAAGGGGGGGGGGCGTAACGAATGCTACAGAAAAGACTCCTTAAAAACACCAACAAAACCACAATGGCTATATGATTAGGGTCAAAAAGAAGTGATAATTTAATTAATACTTAAATTTAATTGTGTTTATTGCTATAGGTAAGAAAAATAAGACGCGTGCCATGGGAATTATATATATAAATTAGTGCGATTATACCATATTACCTAATCGAAAGCAAAGAAAAATATTGAAGCTGTATACATAAACTCTCGTTTCAAGTTGACAAACACCCAAATAATTTTTTTGTATACTCAATAAACAAACTCGAAAGGGTATTATTGATGAGGTTTTGACAGCGTCCCAGAGCAGTTTTAATAATGCAGATATAAACCGAATCGACACGTTGATAACGAACGCCTTTTGTTTTCACTTTACTTATTAAAATATTAGTAGAATATATCTACATTAACAATTTTTGATCTATTCTCTGTGATAAATGGGTTATTAACGTATATAAATAAAAATCTATAAAATCAAACAGTTACAGAAGCAAAATTAGAGCGATAAATTTAACATCTATAAAACAAATATTATTTGAATATGAGAAACGGCTAATCGAACATAGACGCTTTTTACGAATTAAAGAAAATGCTGTATTGTCGATATATCGCCGTTGTTTAACCTTTTCGAGTGTTCAATCGATATATTAGTGTTCAATCGGCTTAATTGCGTTTGGTGAACGGAAAAAAGAGCGTTTTGTTTGAGTTCCGAGTGTTCTATATTCTTCTCGTCGATAAATATATATTTTATATATTTATTCAAAATAAATACATTTAAATTTACAAGTTTGATTGAATCGATAATAGTGTTCAAGTTGACGTCATGTGATAAAAGTTAGCTATAATTGAAAATCGGCTTAATTTTTCATTAAGAGGACCGCGACGGAAATAGATACTCTTTTCAGCTTAAGGATTAAGCACAATATACTATTTGGCGACCCCTACTAACAAATGAACTTTTTATCGTGAATGCTGTAAGGAAGTTTTAAGAACTATAAAAAGCTTCAAAATTAAAGAATCTTTTGTAGTGGTACTATTTCATTTTTTTAATACAGAAATAAAGCACTTAGAGTAAGGTTGAAAATTCGATTTTGTCCCAATTTCTGAATCATAACAAAGAAAATTTCTAATGAATTCTGTAGATACGTCCAATTTCAAATCAAAAGCGAAAACGCGAAAAAGAGAAGAAAACCCTTGAGAGCTATCAACAAAGGGTGTTCGAGACGACTACCGTGCCGATTATATGCGGGCAGGGCGAATCGAAAGCATTTTTGTGCCTTTAACGAACTTTCCAATTATAAACCCTTATTCTTAATCACGTGCTGGAATAAACGACGTCATTAAAACGTCGTAGACAAATATTATCTTATCTGAACGAGATAAATAGAGGCGTCTGTCTCTCCTCCTTATCTGTTACACTCTGTTTCCTGTGTAGGCTAAACAATTACCAACTATGCTCTTTTTTCAATACATTCGATTGCGTGACAGAGAATGCGTCAGGCTATTGATTATACTTCTCCTGCTCTCTTAGATTCAAACTACACACACAAGCGTACACGTTTTTAAATATTTCCGTTATATGATATGAAAGGCAAGTGTTGACTTAAACGATATTTTAGTGTTAGTATTGGTCTCCAAAAAAAAAAAAAACAGGTGTGCAGATGGATGAGTAAAAATGATTAATGAGAATTTCCCCGTTGTCACCAGCTTATGTTTTATGCGACATAAAACGTTCAGTCAAAATATTATTAAAAAAACATTCAAGTGATATAATTAATAACACGAGAAGAAAGTGCCCTGAATGCTAGAGGACAGGAAATGCCAAAAATATATCTGAACAATATAACACAATTGCACCTTAAAAGCGAGATTAGGTATAGCTGAAAACAAGGCGAATGTTACACACAATAAAAATACCATTCAATAATTTGCACCTTTAAATACTTAAAATAGAACAGTGGAATCGTATAGACAACTTTTCAAGTCGGCAATTCAAAGAAGAGAAATAGCGTCTTGACGAAGAGAGACGACGCCCCGAAAGGTGTTAACTTGAAAGTAAAGTGCAAAGTCGGCTTTATTCTACTTTCTTGAATTCCCCACCGCCTTTTGATCTCCAAACAGTTTAAATACTACATTTACTCGTCAATTCAAACATTTTTACATGTGGCAGGGAAAATATTCTTTACAAAGCGATAGGGCTGAATTAGTCTGATTAGATAAGAGGGTCCTTGATGAATTTACTATGAAATATTTATGCAGTTGGATAGTGCCGTGAAATAACTGCTTCATTTTGAACATAGATCAATATGGGTACAGAATCTATTATTTACCTTTCTTCTATCATTAAGTGACATTTTCCAATCAATAAACTCGCACAATTCAATCATATAGCTATTAACCTGATGCAAGGAGGCACGTTGACAAAGTTGTCTGTAATTGAGTATTGAAATCTCCGACAGTTCTTGCCTGTTATTGATTTTAATGTCTGCACGCCATTTTCCTCTTTGAAACAGTTTTACAACCCCTATACATTTTCGTATTCTCAAGAGTATACAAGGGTTAAAAACGACGAAAAGAATCGTCTAAATTCACAAATATTATACGCGCGAAAGAACATTAAAAACCACTGCACAGCATGATCACTTCTCAAATAAAAAAAGCCCAAATCCTCTGGTCCATTTATCAAAATCGATGCGTTTATTTTCAAGCCCAACAGCTGTTTGCTGAAGACGGCCAATTAGCCGACGGACTGTAAATAAAAACACGTCAGGGCTGCAATGCAATGCTTGTTTTCTTGACCTTTCTCATACAGGTAAACACAAAGGACCGTACAAAGTATGCATCTTTGGTTTTCTTTAAGAAAATGTATAAGAATAATTATTTTAAGATGGTAAGGAGATCATTCATATTTAACACGTTGCCTTTCTTTGTTTACTTCAAAAAATCATTGTGTCAGTGAATTGTATAAATAGTGCATAATTTTCTCAGAAAAGGGTTAAGCTTTTTGGGGGTTAATAACGACAAGCTTATTTCGGTGCACGAAAAAATTACATATTGAAAAGAATAAATTAACATTGGTATTGAATAATTTCACCATGTATACTCTAAATCCAAACTTATTATTGTGTTGTTAGAATTTGCTTTACTTTAAACCATTCATATCCAACATTAGAATAGTTTAGCCATTCACATTGCTGTTTATTGATAGTACGACTACAAATCTTGCATACTTTTGTCGACAATTACGAATATAAATATAGTGCGAATCTTATACCATCGTATAGAATATCGTGCAATTACGTAACAGGATGCTATTATTTTTGTTGGCTAGAATAAAGAAAACCACAATTAGAAGCAGAAACTTGGATGCAAAACTATTCAAAAGCCCGGATGTTTAACTGTTTCCTTCACCTTTTAATTCAATAATAAAGAAAAGTTTGCATAAAATATTTCATAATTTACTTTATATTGAATGGTTTCCACTAATAATAAAAACTTTTATTGATTAACTCTATTGAATGAACAAACATTCTTGCGTAACTAAATTTATGTCACGCTTTAAACGTGTCATATTTCAAATCCTATACCTAAAGTTTTGGGTTTCTAGTTGATTGAATCCATGAGCAACTTTATTACTTTCCGACAAACGTGACACAGGGGTATAAATATTTGCTATGAATTCAAGAAAATCGATCGTATAAAGAATGTACTAAAGAAAATAACCCCACTTCTAACACCCCGCTGTTTAGGCCCTAACATCTTAGGATTCGTCAAAAGAAACATCAAAGACATGAGACCAGTCTGACATTTTTATTACTAAGTAGCCGGTACTCTTTTTCCTTTTCACTTTACGACCTACTAATTAAGCTACTGGTACGGAGAAAAGATCAACTTTTGCTTAGATGAACATCACAGTACGGTTCAAGCTGATCTAAAGTCAATAAATATACTGTTTTGATAGGTGCTTATGTCGTCTTTAAGTGTGGAACTGGGAGTTCGGTTTCAACATAAAAGACTATTTTAATCGATAGAAAAAAAAATCCCAGTTCCTACCAAATGTAAACGATCGTTGAAAATAGCCGCGAGAAATATATCATAGGCAGAACTCACTGCTTCAGAGTCAATAAACGACAATGACTGATTAACATAAGAATTGAATATATTTGCATTTGAACAGCACCGGTCATTTTTGACATGATAGACACAAGGTCTAATTGCTGGAATTGCCAGATGACCATTTCGTGACAGTGCTAATGGTTCTAATAGGAGTGATATCTTGCACATTTGGCAAAACTGTTAAAAAGTTGCCAGAGACTTTAAAACAGTAATATTAATTATTAGTAGTTTTAACGATTGCAATCTTAACGTTTTCTACACAAATCCAGCCAGTTATACTAACTGACAGGGGTAAAATATATGATCATTATCAGCAGGTAGAGAAGAGAGAGCTTACAACACATATTATCCTAGACTTATGACTATACTTAATAAGAGTGCAATTGTTCAGTCGATTATCTTCGCCCCAATTCTTTGAAATTGTTGAAACCTAATCTATTGACTAAACCTCTTGTCCGCAAGAATCGAGTGTGAAGCTAAAAATTTTCAGAAGACATTAAATAATAAGATTTTGATTGGTTCTGTTACAAAGAAAGTAAAAATTTATAGATTTAACAAAGGAAGTTACGATATTGATTTAAACTCAATGTTTCAGCAACCTTAAATACAAAAAACAATACCTAAGGTTAAGTTATTGAAACTCTCATTTGAAATTCAAGAAAATCACTGAAGACTTTTGAATAAATATTAAATTCGCTAATCGATAAACTCAAGTAATGGTTTCCCAATATAACTAATTAAGATCTATCATATTGAGAAAACTAAATATATAATAAACGGTCAAATTTTCAGTTCAAGCTCGAGTTCCTTTTGTTGTTAGTATTGCACCTGGATAAAGAAATGCATTTTTAATTGTTAATAATTTTCAACAGTTATTGCACGAATCCGTTTACACTAGAAAAGAATTATTTTACAACATGAAAGAACTTGGATGGTGAATTTTAAAGGTTAATCTAAAGCTTGCGTGAGTTAAATCCACCGTCCAGAATCACTATGAATATTTGTTTCTGTGCCAACGGCCCTAGACAATGGACAAAAAAAATTTCCAACTGTGATGCCAAATTTCAATATTTCTGCGGGAAAAAATCAAACTCAGCTTGTTGACACTAATCTGGCCGTATAAGAGTGACAATGTTGTTTTAATCTCTTCTTCTTTGTATATATTTTCAAACATTCTAAGTGACTGACACAAAAAACTTTTGCAAACCTATACCCATCGTCAATAGATCAATACTAATAAAAAAAGCCCAATCGCTACTAATTAAACAAAAAGTGGGAAGGCAAACAAAATCGTTTTTTGTCGCTAACTTAATATTCCTTTAATTCAAACAAAAATAATCTCTTTGTAACTCTACTGTTTTTCTTAATTGACTAATTGAGGAGTCTGGTTTAGTAAATACGCGCGCGTCCTTATTATGTAATCAATGTAAGTACCAAAGCCGCTGAATCGTTTGGAAACTGTTCAAGCGTGAAATAACAACTCCCTCAACATCTGCCCATGGTCTAGCCTGAAAAGTATTATTCATACAAATTTGAGCGTTAGCCGTTAGCACCTGGTCGAGTATTTTTTAAAATGGTGATTAGACGCTGCAAACTTGGTTCTTTGAATAAATAATTCCAACTGTCGAGTAGTGAACACAATACTTTCAAAAGGCTGGCCTGAGCTCGCATACGTTTTCGTGCCATTCTTAATCGATCCAAATTTCGATCTTTATCTCTACGTAGAATAGCTCAAGCATTCAGGCAAGTACTTTATGTCGTTTTGGGTGAAATCTACGGCTCTTAAACGCGTCGCTAATTATTTAGTTGTGAAAACACGCCTTTTCTGACGACCTAATCGTTTTATAAAGACAAAACGAGGATCTCAAGTCGATTAAGAATTTCTTATTACAATTGTTGAATCATTCTTATTCATTTTTAATAATAGCAAGTTTTTTAAAGAAGTTTTACGTCAAGGTTAAGAGAATTTCATTTAAAAAAAATCCAATATAAAGACCTCTCTATTATAATTAACACAAAGAAATAGTAAAGTACTCCTTCGTTGAACAACTTAGAAATTATTTAATAAGTTTGACATATAGCTGCAGGCAAGATCGTCTCAAATAACCACCTATTTTGAACTGAATTCAAGCGAGATGATATTTAGCAACATGACGGAAAGGTGATATATAATTTCCCAATATGAAAACTAACCGATAATTAATGAATACAATGTAATGATGCCAGCAATAGCACAATATTGACTCGTATTATTTATGTCAACAAATATAGACTCCTTGAGATAGAAAATTTCTATGATGATGGTTTGAAGTAAGGAAAACACTAACACACACACACATTTATGAATAAACATGTAGACAATTTTGATTCATAGAAAACAAAAGCCTAATACACCTGCTTGTTATTAAGATGAATGATAAACAAATAATTGACCAGCGAGAGGAACTACCTACGTGCTCCATAGTAAAAATAAATTAGAAAGGGCTATTAATTGCGATTAATTGAAAATTAACCGCATCAGGTATGAGAAACATAAATTCCACATTGAAGGCTCTCTACGCCAGCTATCAGATCTCAGATCGTTAAGATTAGTGGAGACGTAGTAGACGTTGACCCAATTTACAAATTCCTAGGCCTACTTTCTTTATACATATTACACTCGAGTTAACTTTTAACACGGTCGGGTACTCACCACTAACTAGGACACCGAGAGTAGCGTTGATAGGCCTATCCGAATTCAATCGCGGGTCAAGTTTAATGGCTCCACTTTTACTGTCTAAATGTAGAATGTGAGCTTCATTCCTTTCGTAGAAGCTGTAAGTTAAACGGTCTGAGACATCTGGGTCGTACGCGGGAACATATCCAACAATTTCCCTAGCGAAGCTATCAGGAAAATTATTAAAATATATCACAAAATCTTGAACAATAGGGGGAAAGTCGTTTCGGTCTTGCACGTAAATGGTAACTTCAACGGTATTGAATAAATCGAGAGACATAGCTCGAATAGTTAACTTGAATTCTTTCTTCTCAGCTTCATAATCGAATACAGCCGTTGTCGTAATATTAGCGGGATCTTGATGCGCAATTTCAAAGTATTCATAATCCTTCTCTTTAACAATGGAATACACTACTTCGGCATTCTTCCCTTCATCTTTATCAATAGCTTGAATAACACCAACCCTCGTTCCGATTTTGCTATTTTCAGCGACATATAGATCTAATGAATTGGCCGAAAACTCTGGTATACTATCATTTATATCCTCTAGTTCAACGTGAACAATTGCTGTTGAACTTCTTCTTGGGATTCCATGATCATACGCCACTGCTATCAAATCGTACGCGGCTATTGTCTCTCTATCTAATTTAGTATTCGTCCTAATAACTCCAGTAGATAGTTCCATGAAAAATGCACCATTTCCTGAATGTCCTCCCTCGAATGTATATTTGATTTTACCATTATTTCCACTATCTAAGTCTGTTGCCATCACCGTTGTGACGTAGCTTTGTGGTCTTGCACCTTCCGATATCTTAATTTTGTAAATTTTTTTATTAAAAATTGGTGAATTGTCATTAACATCCTTTATGTTAAATTGAATTTGAGCAGTATTTGCTTTTGGAGGTTTTCCTGAGTCTGTAATATAAATAAGTAGGGGAATTGATGAAATTTTTTCGGTATCCAATTCGCCAATTACTGTTATGTTCCCTGTTCGGGGTTTAATGGCGAAGAAGTCGTTTTTTTCTATTTCGTAATGAATTTTAGCATTTTCCCCAAAGTCTTTATCGTAAGCATCAATATGCACTACCCAGCCTCCAACCTTTGTATCCTCAGGAACAACTACCACAGATGGTAAATTCCTGAAATATGGAGCATGGTCGTTTGTGTCTGTTACATTAATGATAACATTTGTTACATCAGTTTTACCCCCACTGTCTCTTGCTTCCACTTCCAATATATATTGTGAAGTTACAGTGTGATTTAGAGCTTTCGTTACAACAATGGATGCCATCGTATCACTCTTTTGAACTAGTCTAAAACTATTTCCAGTATTTCCTTTTATTATACGAAAGGTCATTCTTGAATTTTCATTTGCATCATCATCTCTGGCCATCACAGAAATTACTTCTCTACTAACAGCTATATTTTCAGGTATTTCTTTGGAGTAGTACCGAGAGGAAAACACCGGGGCGTTGTCATTAACGTCTATGACATTAATATCGACGACGACTTCGGCACTTTTCGGTGGGATGCCTTTGTCCCACGCTGTTATTGTCAGCTTGAAGAATGATGCAGTCTCTCTGTCTAAAGGTGTCTTAACTGTCAGTTGTCCAGTGGTTTCGTTGAGATTAAACGGTACAGTATTTTTGTTATCTGACGTGATACGGTAAACCAATTGAGAGTTTATTCCGCTATCTCTGTCATATGCTCGGAACTCATAAACTACCTCATTTACAGGTTTGCTTTCTTTTACAGGGACGCGAATCAACGAGGATGTGAAATTTGGTGCGTTATCATTCTCATCGAGCACATTAATCGTAAGAGTTGTTATATTTGATAACTTTGATTCCCCTTGATCGGTAGCTCTAATTATAAGGTTAAAATTTTTATTATTACTTTCGTAATCCAGCGGTTTAAGTATGGATAAGTCTCCAGTTGTTTTGTCGAGGGAAAAGATCTGATTCTCATTACCGGATTGAATTGTATATACAACTATAGCGTTATTTCCCTTATCAATGTCCGTTGCCTTGACTTGAGCAATAACAGGTCTACGCTTAACGTCTATTTTCTCACTAACCTCAACTGAATATGAAGATTTTGTCCACTGAGGAAAATTGTCATTGACATCGAAAATAGTTAATTTAACCAAAGCTGTTGAAGATTTTCTTTCTGTTATCTTATCTGCTTTATCAGTAGCTCGAATACTGAATTCATAATAGCCTGTAACTTCTCTATCCAATTTCTTTTTTAATGATAACCTTCCATCAGATGAATCTATTTTGAAAGTATCCAGCACCAACTTGGAGTCGCTAATTATCTCGTAAGTCAGTTTGGCGTTGTTTCCCTCATCATTATCAGTTGCTACTACCGTGTGAATGATTCCATCAACATCAAAATCTTCTTTTACAGCTAGAGTATATATCCCATTCGGTTGCTCGAATTTCGGAGAATGATCATTGTCATCTAGTACACTAATCTCAACTGTGGCTGTTGCTGATTTGGGATTTCGACTACGATCCCTAGCTATTAAATGGAAATAATGCGTTGATATTGATTCTCTGTCCAACTTTTTTGAAGTTGATATTCGTCCAGAGTTTTCGTCAACCTCGAACATAGTTTCGGAGAGGGCATTTCGTTGCCCTATGAGACTATACGTTAATACACCTTCGAGATTGCCATCTGGGTCTGAGGCAACTATTGTTGCAACAGTTATACCTGGATTTCTTTCCTCCATCACAGTTTCCTTATAAAAAGAAAATTTAAAGACCGGTCGAGTGTTGACTGATCTTCTTAATCTGACATGATTATTCGGTCTATCCTTTAAAATAATCTCGACCGGAATACGCTGAAAATTATCTGTCATAACAAGAATGACAAATTGAGTAGGAATACAAGGCGATTCTCTAGCATAAACTTTGCCTGTAGACCTTACAACACTGATTGTTCGTTCAGTAATAAACGGTTCATAAGATTGAGCATTCTTCAAAATGTCCGTGGGAAGATAATTAGATAAATCAAAGATGCTAATACATTGAGTAGAGTTTACCAAAACTTGTACGTTTACCTTAACGCTAGATTTACAGTCAAACTTTAAAAACGATCGGCTTTCATCCTTTGTAAAAATATTTTGAGCAGTAAATTCAACAGTTTCAGGAGAGCATTTCATTGAATATAATACTCCGTTACTCATATGAAGAAACTGTGAGTTGACATCGTAAGTCCAGTTTTCATTTATATTCCCATTGAACACGATGTTTGTTAAACTAGATAGTTGAAAATTAGCGAGTAGGTAGAGGTAGAAATTAACAAAGAATAGTTTAGCCTTCGTAAACTTCATGCCGCTCCGGAATATTCGTTGAACAATGACACTTAGACAATTTATATAGCGCTGTCCAAATAATTTGAGAGAGTATTCTTACATTATCCAATATTAGAGAAATATTTTCAATTTTTTTTTATCATATTCCAACAAAAACACTAAAACTAATATTTATAGACGATAAAAGTTTCGCCGTCATCTTGATCGTTCGCGGTCTGAACAGGGACTACGCTTCGTTTGAGAGGTTCACGTTTCCGCACGCAGGTGCGCAAAGCTTATTGGGTGGGAAGGCACGAAACCAGCCTATTGGGAATTTCAGCCTCGTTTTGGGATGCGCTTGATGTAGGCTTAATTGAATAGGTATAGGATTGTAAATATTAAGACGTGTTTAGAACTCATAACCCGTAGAATGGGTGAAATTTTTCAAAAGTATTTATTAATAGATAGGAATTGTGACAAATAGGTATCTTGTAATTCAAAAATGTTTGTAACAGTGTCTCCCTCTGGCAGTAGTGATATGGTGTTTTATACTATCTGAGGGGGTCATATTATCAGATTAACATTTGTTTTTATATCGAGAATTTATAATGTTTATATATACATACGGCTATCTGTTTATTATTTTACATCATTTTTACAAATTACCGAATTCTGTAATGTCAAAAAAAACCTCGGATTTTACTCCCTATCATTAAATTTATGTCAAATTTCCTCTTCTTCGTATCAAACATAGATTAACGTCTTTTAATTACCCATATTGTTCAAAAAAAGAACGTCTTTCACTTAAAAGTAGATTCCATTACTTTCTCATTTCTCTCTCTTTTCAGAAGTCAAATAATTCATTTCCGGCATTACACATTACCCTATACTATCTATATATAAAAATATTAAAGGTAAAGAAAACAAGGTGGACTCGCCTGATAATAAGATAAGAAATTAAATGTCCATCTAAATTTGAATAGAAAAATGAAACTGTTAATAACATTGTCCATATCCTGAAGGCATTTATTCGCTTTTCAATAATAAATAGCCAATCGATTAATTTTCAATTCACATTAAAGAAGAAAATACTTGAGCAAATTCACATATTCTTCAAATTTGATTACCATTACTAAATATTCTTATTTTTTTCTTTCCTTTTCCTCACACCTGTGTATGTTCAAGCATATCTAACCAAGTTTTCCAGAGGCTTGACATTTGAATAGACCCTCATTTTCTCTTTTTAACATTTAAGAAATGGCAATGGCGATTTGTATTAAATAAACTTTTCAAATGACGTCCTCTTTAAATGTTTTGTATCTTTTATTACAATGACTGCTCTTATTGGGTATAGTCATCAAAGTTCACTTAATAATTTCCCACTCCTTTGAACATGAATAAATCTTTTGAATGATTCTTAGAGATTGCTACCAATCTAGTAATTGCATCTAATTCAACCCCTATTAACATTCCATTAAATATATATAAATATATATTCATAAACAATATCCGCTTCGTCGAAATATAAGTCCAGTTGGACTTATTTAAACAAACTCACTTTCAAGCCGAAAGTAACTACTCGCGAGGAAGTGACAGATTGCTTAAGCTTAGAGATAAAAAAAAAACTGAATGAAACGTCTCAGTCAGATTAAAAGAAAAGGACAAAAAAAACAGTTTACCAATAAAAGAAAGCTAATTCGCTTTAAAAAAGAAATAAAAACTTTGACAGATGTTTTTATAGAAAGATATCAAACTTTTTCTTTATTTTAGCTGTTTAAAAGAAAGAATGATAGACAATCGTCTCTTAATTGTAAGAAGATTTCCCTTTTCTGTTAAATATTATTAAAAACATATAGTTTTTCTTTTTTTTTGATATTCTATTAACGTAAAAGTTTATTGTTTATTGCCAGGTTTGTTATATAAATAAAACGATAGGCCTATAAATAGGGTGCTAGCAAATATTGGGGTCTTTATAGAAAGAGACGAATTTTATAAGCAGTGCAATAGCTTGAATTAGCTCAAAAGGGTGTGAATGAATTCCATATTGGGAATTCGGAATATGTAAAGTGGCTGAATGAAAAGGTTCTGAGAGAAAAAATTAAACACTAATTAACTGGTAAGAGTTTATAAATAAATAAAAAAAGAAAATTATATTCATTATCCTCTTGAATATTTGCATAAATGAATATTCATAAAATACTAACAATGTAATTAACGTTCAATGCTATAAAGGATTATCGTGTTACATTTATATTTATTCAATAGAATGACTTAGTTAGAGAAGGAGATTTCTAGATAAATTTACTATATTTCTTTGACAAATAAAACTTTTTTCAATAAATTTTCACGCTTGAACTAAGAATAAAAATTTGTTCTATTAATTTTTTATTCGTTCAAGACTCTTACTCTCTTTTTAATGTAACTCCCGTAAATCTTTTAAGTCACTTACAAAATATGGCCTATTTCTATAAAAGTATTCCAAAATTACTTTATTCCATAAGAATTAATAAGATAGTATGAAAAATTTGTAGATCTATTATAATATACTATATACCTGGGAAGAAAAGGTGTGTTTGACAAGGTGATTGAATAATAAAACTAATATATTCGTACCTGTTGGAATTAATTAAGTTATATAGTATAAAGCTTTAAAGCTGTCACATTTTTGAGGAAAATATTCTAAAGTTATTTTTTATACAATCGATTATTTACACGTAAAATTGAACAAATTTATTATTAAACCTACGAATTAGATTTCAGGTGATAATCCTATTTGGAGAGATAATCCATTTAGTAGTCTATACAAAACGGATGATTACTGTACTGTTCATACTAAGAAAGAAGTGTTATATAATTGAAATTTGAGAATATTTAATTAAAAAGTCGGATGAATGCAATAAAATGACTAATTTAACGTAAAAGTCAAAATTACAATCAAACTTTTAAAACTAGTTGAACACAAGCCTATTCAAGAGCTATTGAACAGAATATCAAATGTAGATATTCATTCTATACTATTCTTCCAACTATTTTAAATGGTATTTGAGTATTTTCCTCCATACGCAGGGATTATGTAATTGTAAAAGGGAGTCGCTTACCTAAATTTCCATCAATAAGTCTAATCTAGTTATAAAAAGCTTAATTAAGATATTTAGATAATAATACCGCTAGATGAATTGAGAAGTTGAGTGGAATTAGATTAGAATTTACCAAAAGGGTTAGTTTTATCTGATTTAAAGTTGAAGGTATACTTAGATTGGAGATGAAAACTAAATAATTATACCATGGCTTGATGCTATCAAACAAATTCTCAACAGAGTACTACTTTCTCTTTTTAAGTATTGAACACTATAAATTTTGTATCTTTAACTAAACGACTAACTTATATAAGTTAATCTTTGAACAGAGTTTCAAACCAAATAGAGAACAATAATTAAACAGGTTTGTTTTTTTATTTATCGTAAACTTACTATAAATATTTGAATTTCCATTATAAAGGTAAATGTATCTTTGGAATATAAATTTATATATAAATATATAAAAGATATACCATTATGTAGACTACAAAGTATTGAGGTTAAAATGGGAGAGAGAGAGAGAGAGAGAGAGAGAAAATACTATAACTTAAGATTTTCTATATTGAAAGGATTTATCGAAATTTTTTGTTTGGTATATTATATTTAAGCTATAAAAATCTGATAGTTTAGATCCCTCTGGCGTTTTTTTCGTGGTATTTGTCCAGTATATTTTGTATCTCTAATATTTTTGTTATTTTAACATTAACAATACTTTATTCGCATTCCATTTTGTATTTGAGATTTCCATAAAAGTTTCAAGGGAAAGGTAAAAATCTATAATTATTTGATTAAAACAAATAACATGGAATAATTCTCTCTCTCTCTCTCTCTCTTTCCTTCTATCCTCTCTCTCTCTCTCTCTTTGGGAATAAAATGTTATTAATACTACAAAATAATTGAAAATAAGTGTTTTACACAACTAAAATAATTTATGTTCCTAGTTGTAAAAGAACGAAAAAAAAGCTTAATCTATTGTTGGCTTTGTTCAATATTCTAATAAAATATTTAAATTAAATAATCAACATCTAATAAAATACAAATGTTTGGATAAAATGCGCATAATCGTTATTACTATTTTATATTAATAGCACTTGTACCCTTTTAGCTTTTATTCCTCTCTTTCCTTTTCTCCATTCTTATCTTTTCTTCTCTTATTTTTTTATCGCCTGTTTATTTCTCTCTTTCTTTTTGAATTTTTAAAAAGATTACTAAAATGAAAGTTTATTGTGGTAAATTATTATTTTTCTCCTTTCATGTTCATTTTGTTCAATCTCAATTATCAGCTTGTAAACTACAATCGTGTACAGAAGAATTAACCTCCTTTATCTGCAAACCGTCGAAAACTGATAAGAAGATTGGCGACGAAAAGGTCATAAAATGCTTAGGCTTAGGTAAAGAACTAAATATTGAATGCGTTATACCAAATGAAAAAGTAAGATTTAGGGGTAAATTCGCCAAATTTACAAAAGAGAATGAAAAATATGATATTAAACTTTCATCAATAAATCTTCGAGCGAATGATGTAAGAGCTTTAAGAGAAGATTATGGTTCATTATCAATTTCTTCTTGTTCTCAATTTCCAATATTTATTGAAAATATGAACAGTTCAATAAGTATGAAAGAGTTGGTTCTTGATCAGGTTTCCTTAGTTTTATAGTTAAAATTAAAGAAGTAGTTGTGTTTTTTTCCTTTTTTTTTATACTAGGTCATAATACCATGTGGTCTAAAGGTTAACACTATACAAAGATTAATAGTGGTGCACAAAGAAATAAGGGAACAAATAAAAACCATACAAAAGAAGTTTACAATAAAACCCCCGTTGGATGCTAATGATTTTGGGCAAATCAATCAAGTTTATGAAAAGACAATCAACGAATTTTCCCAATTAGAAGAAGATTACGTAATATCGCAAATGACTAATTTTTTTAATTGTTATGACAACCCACCAACAATAACGTCTATTGGAAGTTTGCATGTCAATTCCTATATTTTAGATTGGACTGAGGACTTTGGTAAGTAAAAAATTGTAGTATATAAAACTTAAGTTTTTTTTTTAAATTTGCAAAGGTAACGCCACCTATTAATGAAATTTAAATGACATCAATTAACGATATTCATATACAATACAATTGCGCTATCTTTACATTAAATATAGATTTAAGGATAACAGAAGATTTAAAACTAGACGGTGGTTTAGAAATTCCAACAGACGATAATATAGGAAGAGGAGCATTTATTAAAGAGCTATTTCAAGTAGTACAAAGATTAGACATAGAAAAGATTTATGGTTGTCCTTCAGATTTTACTTGGTTAATGGACATTATATATAAACGTTTATGCGATGGTAGATATACCATAATAAAGCTATTCGATTGTCCAATGAAAAGTACTAAAGTTGATACCATGCCAACTATTTTTAGTGTACATTCTAACAAAACCAATGAATTTTCAACCATATTTGGATATACATTTAGTGAAGATTGTAAAATAACTATTAAACCTACTAAAAAGTCTATAAAGTATTTAGAAGTTGTGAATAATACTGAAAAATTTAAACGAAATATAGGAATACAAAGAGTTGAAAGTTTAACGAAGCGTAAATATCCTGTTTTTCATGATTTTCCAGATTTTTCTAAAGCTAATTTAACAAGAAACAAATATGCATTTCTCTTATCCTTCTCCGGAATAGGTTGTTAATAAAGGAAAACAATAATATAGTAATATTAGTATAGAGGTATTTTCTTTTTTTAAGGCTCAATTGCTGCGATTATCATTCTTGGATTAACTTATTATATAATCCGCAAAAGGAGAAGGAATTACTCGGAAAGTTCAAATCAAGACATTGTAACTATTTCTACAATCACCGACTATAGTGATGCATCATCCTCGTCGGATCAATCTTGAAGTTTTCGCGCTTAAATTCTTAGAATGTTAATAGACATTATCAGTACACTATTGAGTTGATTTATTTCGTTACGTTTGGCTGAATTAACTATGTTGTTAATAGGAATGAAATAATGTGAAATGATGAATAAAAGACGAAGTTTTATGACTTTAATTAGTAATTGAAAAGGTTTATTGACTTTTGTTCATGTTGATAAATGACGTTTGGACGGTGGGATTAAATGAAATGGAATTTTATCGGGTAAATTATGTCCTTTTAATTTAATATCAATTAAATACATTGCCAAAGCAAATTCATCTTTATCGAGAGTTCCATCATTCGATATATCGGCTAATTTCCATATTTTAGATAAAACTATACTTGGCAATTTCGTGCTGAGAAAATATTGTTTAGCAGAATCGCTACAAACTTGTCCGTCTGTTGATAGAGTAGTAAATATTTTGTCATATTTTTCCCTATTCTCTTTCACTATCCATTGTCCTCTCTTCCCTTTATTTATGCCTGAAAATAGAACAAAAACTATTAATCCGTCTATGATTGAATACTTATAAACCTTCACTAGAAATCGAACCAAAAAGGGAATTTGAGTAGTTTGTCAATATGCTATTTGTGTTCGTGAAATTCTCATTGTCCTTATTTACGCTGCTCTCCGATAAAATTGTTGATATTTCATTTGATAAATTATCAATATCAACAATCAACTTTGGTTTGTAATAGTACATTTTCGACCAATCATAATTGCGCAAATTATTTTGAAATTGATTAAAATCCGGTAAATCACCAATAGAAATTAATTCATCTCTTTGAATTTGATAGAATGTTTCACGTAAATTTCTTATTAAATCTTCTTTCTTTCGTTCTTTATTAAATAAGTAAGGAGTTTTACTTTTCAATTTATTCATTATATTCGCATGAACTTTAACTACTCTATTGAATTGATTATATATATATATATATATATATATATATATACGATAACCTATTTAAGATTGTTTACCTTGCCCTTTTAATTAGATCATTTAATTTTCTAATTGAACTATTTATAGGTAGTCGTTGAATATCGTCAATTAGATTATGAAGTTCAGATTCGAATAGTTTCCTATTTTCATCATATTTTAAAGCCTCTTCCCAAAATGAACCTATATATACTCTTACAACTTCGGGAGTTTGTAGTATTTTACCTAAACTCCACATTAGAGCTCCGTAAACTCTCATTAATGATTGTGTATTAATCATATCAGCCTTATTGAGTACAACTCTCACTTTTTCCTCTTGCGGTTTCAGAGATTCGATTACCGAACGAAATTCGTCGGAAATATCCAATTTATGAGCATCGAATAACAAAATTATTAAATCGGCTCTTTCGGCAAACCAGGACATAACACTGGCATAGTTGTAACCCCTATCTATTCTCTGCTTCTCACCTGATAATATCCCAGGTGTATCGATCATTGTTACATGTTGAAGAACTGCTAAAAGTTATAGGTGGGAGGGGGTGATGTTCAAAAAAAAGGTAATTGACGCAAATTGAGTCGGTACGCTTTGATCATTTCATTATAAAAGTATAAACCAGTTTTTTTTGAACAATCACTCCCCTGAATTATTTACAATGGAACATTGTAATCTTTGAAGAAATGCGTTTCCATATTGTGACAATTGTCTAAATTGTTTTGAAGTATCAACGACTAGAGCATTTCCCGGTATGACCTCCTTTTTCTCTCCTCCGCATATCACTATAAATTTATCCGTAGTCGGTTCCGGACCTGCTCTATAGCCGGGAAAGTCTTGTCCCGCTAGGAACCTTATCATAGTAGACTTTCCCGTAGAATATTGACCCACGAGTAGAACGTTAGGCTTAGACTCAAAATCATTATCTTCAAGAGGAGGCGAATGAAATTCCTGGAAGCTATAATTTTTCTCAACAGGAAGTAGTCTCTCCTTGTACAGCCTCTTTAATTGGTTGGGTAGTAGAGTTTTACTATAATTTCGTTTAAGGACTGTAAATATATTTCTTGATAAATGCATTTTATTTTATATTGTGATTCTTTAGAAATATTTAAATATTTTGTTTGTGTCACCGCCAAAAAAAAAGAGACAGTGTTTTGATTTGTTAAACACTGATTTCTTATAAAATATCAAAGTTCCATTCATTGTTCGACAAATAGATATAATAAAGACAATAAAACATTTAAAACTTTTTCAAAATATTAAAATATGGAATAATTTTCAAGGTTTATTTTAGCTTAAGCATGATAGGTCTGTGAATTCAATTGAACAAAAATAAATCACATTGAACCAAATTTTTAAAACTTTTCATTCGTTTTCCTTAAAAAATTTCAGCACCATGAAAAAAACGGCGCTTTAAAGAAGTGTTGTGAAAGTCTCGCTCCACTTTCCGCGCTGGATGAAAAGTTTGGCCTTCTATTTCGTCTAGTTCTTTCAACGATAACAACCTGAACTGGCATTTGAACCAACTGTAGAGGTGTTTTATTACTCTTCAGAGCATCAATTAAATTAACTATCTGTCCTCTCATAACATTCATTTGCTTTTCAAACAGTCTCGTATCAAAACCTTTGTCACTTTGAAAAAGAACGTATAATTCTTCAACTAACTCATCGATGAAAGTCCTATCGGAAATCAGCGGAAGAACCAAATCCTTTGTTTCCTCCGAGAATGGCTTTTTAGCTTGAGGTAACCAAGCCCAATAGTATGGATAAGCTCTCCACTCATCTGGATGTTTGAAAGGAAAGGCTAATCCATTATCAATAGCTGCAATCTTTATTTCGGGTTTCTTCACTACTTCGAAATCTCCTTCGTTTTCCTATAAAAGGATCATTACAAAGATGTCGTTAATTAGCAAGTAGAAGAAAAACATTTAATAATGAACAAAGAGTAACACGTACTTCTTCTCCTTCCGGCTTGTCATATCTAATTAACCAATTATCGTTGCCTCTGTCAGTATTTCTAATAATATAATCCAAAACAACTAATCTTTCGAATTGTTGTTGAAAGTCTTGTGAAATGTTTTCGGGCATTCCTTCGTCCTCAAATTTCCTTAACCAAAAATCAGCGTCTTTGTAGCCTAAAAAGAACATTAAATTGCTATTCAAAAAGGGAAGTATTAAGTTTTTAAAGCAAGTACACCACACTTCAATTGTTTACAGTTGAAGTAATCAAGCGTAAAAGTATTTACACAAAAAAATAATGTTTTTTCTTTCATTTCTCATATTTTTCAAAAAGAAATTCTCTTTATCAACTTCTTTTTTATTATCAATAAATTTACATATTTATACAGTTTATTAAATATTTTAAAATTTCTCTTTCCCTTTCGTATCCTATTCCCATCAACAAAGTTTAAAAAGAAGATAAACTTTCTTTGATGCTTACCTTTTACGAATAATTGAAATGATCCTACTTTTGGTCTTAGGCCTAATCTATTAAACCTTCGACCTATTTCGGGTATACTTTCGGCGATACTCTTTTTCGTTCTTGCTTTAACCCTATCAACAGCAGTGTAATTGAACGTTTCGCTAGCTAATTTGACTACCTGAAAAATGGAAAAGAAACAAAAAAATTATTAAAATAAATTGTCAGATTTTATAATGTATACACTTATTCAATCAAATAAAATAGTATATTTTATAATACTTCGCCGTCTTATACGTAATAAAAAGAATCATAAATTTTTTATAATGTACAAATAATTGAAAAGAGAAACGAACTTACTCTTGTCTTTGGCACGACATTTAACTGTAATTTTTCATCAACAAGACTAGCGCCCGCTTCGGACATATAACCCTAAATTTGAAATTATTTCTCAATTAACAATACTATTGAAAACTATTATATATAATTTATATATATGAATATACTTACTTGATTGGGAATCAAGCATGATCTTCCAAAACAGCATGGACAGCACATTTTATGTAACCATTTTGTCCATTTTGGATTCAAATGACCGTACGGTTCTTCATCTTTTGGCTTAAATACTCCTATAATGTCCTGAAATGTAATAAAATATACAAATAAATAAATAATTAAATTAATAAAATTCAATGTTTAAATAAAAAATTTAAAGATAAAACAGAAAAGAATAATTATAAATATCCAACTTTTTTTGAATTTCTCATAAAATAGCTTCCACTTGAACCTTGCCTAATGAGTAATGGGTGAATATTATTTTCAATAGCTAGCAAAGTCTGTTCTTAGAGGGGGATTTATGATATATTAAATATATAGTACTGTGTATTGCTAAATTTTTGCTTTTTACAATAATCGATACAATTTGCCTGTATAACAAAATATAATTAATTTTTTTTTCTCTCCTAATTTAGATAATAATAATAATAATAATAAAAAAAAAGAGAGAGAAAAACCTATAAAAAAAGAGAAAAAAACAAAAAAAAAAAAAAGAAAAGCAACTAGTTTGATGACTAAATAATATGTTTTTCTTATATAAGCAAAAAAAAGAAAAGAAAAGATAAAAGGAAGAAAAATTTGAAATTTTGCTTAGTATTCCTCTTTTCTTTTCTTTTTGCCTTTTTTACGTAAAGTAACTAGAATGAAAATAATCGTTTTGAATTTTAAATTAATATGCTAAGTTAAAAATAACAATTTTTCTGATATCTAATATTTCGATATCTAGTATACGTTAATGTCTTAAAAATAGTTGATAAATTTAGAAAAAACATATATCAACTATTCCATGTTGTTTAAAATTAAATTTCTCCTTATAGCTTTTCTTAACATGTGATTTGTTAAAATTGTCATTATTAATTTTTTTTTCTTAGTACGTGACAATTGTTGTCAATACAAACTAAACCTAGATTTTAAATAATTCCACATTTTTAATATATATGGTTGCTAATTCTAAATCCGCCTCTATGCCTCTCTTATTATTGATAAGAATTCAGTGTCACTTTGATATCTCCTATCTTTTGGCCTGATAATTGTTTCAACGTAATCAGATATCAACTGTTTGTAACCGCCTTCCGACGTCAATGGTTGAATTTTTCGTTTCATCTTCGTATTCGTAATTGCTTGTTTTTCATCATATTCCGTTATTTCACCACACGTATTCGAAGTAATAGAATATCCAGTATCAACATCAGTAATTTTTCTAGTTTCTAAATCCATAGCTGTTCATTTAACGATTGTCTTCAAAACAATAAAATGCCTTGAAATTCAAGTAGAGCTCAAATCTTTTTTTAACTACTCAACACTAAATATGAAGGCCTAAAATAACAAAAAAAAAAAAACTAAGCTCGTTGTCTAAAATATTAATTTTTTTTTATAATAAATGTCTTCTCTATTTAGAATATTTCTCCTTTAAATATATATATATATATATATATATAGTCAATCAGCTAGAAAAATTCTCTCTTCTGCTCAACTCAAAAATATGTAAATCAATAAAATAATTGATGTGGCAAATAGTTATATTTTTAGGCCTAATTATTTTTTTGTTCGACACTCATTACCCTTTTGCTTCGGTATACATAATTAGGCCTAAATTTTAGAAAAAATATAAAAATATCTAAATATTTTCATTTTTACAATATATATATATGTAAATACTAGTTTTAAATAAATTTTTATTTACTTATTTCCATAAAAGAATTCGTTTTTTCTTTTTTTTTAAACTATATTTTACATAAACTCAATAATACAAAGAATATACAAGGCAAAAGGAACAGGTGCATATCTACTTTTAATTTGTACTATGTATGCAAAATAATAGTATTATACAATTTTTAACGAATATTGAACTTAAAGATAAGAATTATTACGTCATAATAGAAAATATAATAGCTCAGTGTTTATGACCTTTTGTTCTTGTTTTGGATAAATTCAAGCGTTAGAATGTAAACAAAAAAAAGGAAAGAGATTGAAAGGTAAAAGGTGTGATTCGAAGGAAAGCTATAATATGTCTATATTATATATGTAACTTTTATATACATATACAATTTGATAACTTGAAATGAGTTAATTAGGTTAAATATTTGATAAGGTATATCCTTTTCCTATTTATAGATTATAGTTACTTCTTGATATGATAAAAATCACGTAATGTATTAATAAAACGTTTCAATGGATTAATAACTAAATTGTAGGCTAACTCACCCGTTTACTATTCTTAACAAAATAGCTGCCAGAAGAACCTTGATATATCCTTTCTGGATAAATACAATGACAAATAGCTAATTCAACATCTTGTATTATTGTAGAAAATTTAGGATCATCAGGAAAAGAATTTTCATCAGTTTCCTCTCCTAGCAAACGAGTATATTCCTGTGATGAATCCGCTGATCCTATAGAGATCAATTAAAAATTACATTCATGTTTTAAAAGTACGTAAATTGAAATTTGAATGTCTTATTACGTAGAACAAAAGTAAAAAACACTAATTAATTAAATAGCGTCATATGCTTTTTACAATCAACAATTATTTTGATAATAAAAGCAATTTTTACAAAATAAAATAAAATCCAAATAATAATTGGATAGATAATTGGAATTAGAGAATTATAACAAACAAAAAGCTTTCGTAACATTCTAACTACTTTCTAATTAATACTATTTAAAAGTTACGTGAAGAATGAAAGTTATTTTACTTTTTATTTAAACAACGACTTTTTAGGTTGGTAATACGGTATAGTACTTTCTTATATAAAAGCTTTGTAATGCAAACATCTATCATTAGTAACTTTAAATTATGTATGAACATTTAATTTCAAACAGTTTCACAAAATTTTACAATATGTAAAAAATCCTATAGTTGAAAAGTGACTACATAAACTTAAGTTAGTATAAAGTGCTAAAGTTCCTAAATGTTTACCGAGAAATATCCAATACGATGGTAGCAGGTTATATCCGGTCTGGACTGGAAATTTTAATGCTTTTTATACATATGTTATAATTACATACGAAACCCTTTTATTTATCACCCAAGATCACTAATCTCTTATTATAACAGCCAGTCAGACATATCATTAGTCTCTCTATATATTAGAAATAGTAAAAAGCTAGCTGAATTATTAGAAATCGACTTAGGAGGTGACAGGTGAAAAGAAACAATACAATAAATTATTTTAAGTTCATGATGTACCCACCAGTCATTCTTTGGGGGTTTAAACAAAGGAGTTTCTTATCAAATTACTCCAAAGTCATATAATTGTCTTCTACAGTGAAAGATTTAGTAAAACTCGCCTGCTAAGTGATCATATGAGGCAAAACCGACATCCAGAGCGGAATCAGAATCTATGAGATTTCCTAGCTGTTGTTCGTTCTGCATTTATTTAAAACATATCTTCTAATTCCTGAATTAAATGTTACTTAAGCCGAGTTTCTTGTATCAATCATGCGAGATTGAACAGTCAATAATTTCCGTTTCCGTTTCTCAGCTGTTTTTCTTTTTCTCTTCTAATTTTGTAATAAAGTACGTTTATCTAAAAGACTTCTTACGAAAGAGGTCGATAATTTTATGAAATTCCGATTTCGCTTTCCACGTAGGAGGCGAATGCGAAAATTATTAACTATCATGTGATATCTCTATTCTGCTAATTTGGCTTCCGGTTCCGTTCGCGGTTTCTCAATTTCAAACGACTCCTTATTACGTTGTATATTGTTATAAAACTGAAACGAAGAGATTCATCGATTAGGATATGAGCTGTACAGAATGTCAAAGCTCGAATCTTGGAGAAGAAAACCTAGCTGGACAGTGTCTACAGGTGTGCTACAATTGTGGAGCAGTTCAAGAAAGTAATGATTTAGTTGACGATCGTAGAGAATTCGTTCAATCTTACGATGAAAAAAAAATAAGAAACACAGAACGTTTAAGGACGAAAATTTTCTTCGAGATGCTCTCTATTGCTGATACAAACTCAAAACATCTTCGTTTGGATAAAATAACGAGAGAAACGATTACGAATTTTGTACAGAAAGTTTATGATGAGAATATACACAAAAAATCGAAAAGTAAAGCAGCATTGGCTTTAGCTTGCATTTATATAGTTTGTCGACAAAATGGAATAAATCTAACGATGAAAGATATAACTAGAACGTCAGGAATAGATGTAGGATCCATATATAAAGCAGTATATGTAGTAAAGTCACAATTTGATATAGTCATAAAAAGCTCAACGATAGCAGAAGTTACTGCTAGATATCTTGAAAGCACAACCCTTGAAAAAGAAGTGTGTACATCAACAGTAAAACTTATGAAGCTTTGTGAAAAAGCTTGGCTGGTAACTGGCAAAAGTCATATTGATGTTTTCGTTGCTCTAACTGCATACGAAGCATGGCGGGGTCATAATAAGAGGGAAGTTTTGAAAGGGTCTACCTCTTTTGAATCATTTATTGAACAGTATTCACCAAATTTTAGCTTTTATTTAAGCGATATTACATTAAATAAGTATAAAAGTGTAATTCGTTTTTTGCTATTGAAATTATTGAAAAAATTAAAACCCAATGAAAAAATATCAGAGAAGCATCTCTTCTTTCACACGCTGGACGTTGTTAAATATCAGAGGACTTTATTAAAAGAATTACAAGATGATAAGATTTGTTTTAAAACTGAAAGTAACGAAACCCCCAAACTAAATAACAAAGATGATAGAGACAGTAGAAATGATAAAAATGATGTTGAAGAAGTAGAAGAAAAAGAAGACGACGACGATGATGATGATGATGATGATGATGATGACGATGAAATTCCTTTTTTTAATAATCTTGAAGAATTAGAAGAATATTTAGAGAAACGTAAAAAGAAAAGATTAGAAAGGAGGAAAGAAACGATTAAACAAAAGAGAAAGTTTAAAGACGAAAATATAGGTATTTTACCTTTATGTTCATTTAAAAAAAAAAGAAAACGTTCAAATATTTGCGAAGAAATTGAAATTAAAGAAGAAATTTCTAACGAAGAAATTGATTCATATGTTATGTAACATTTATATAATTTCTCGTTATTATTGTTTCTATTTGTTGTTGTTATATACTTTGTTTTTACGTTTTTAAAAGAAATATTCTCCTTTTGTGATACTTTTTAATTCTTATTTGAAAAAAAAAACAAAAAAAAAAGTGATAAATTTTAATGTTTTGAATAATTAAAGTTTTTTTCTTTTTGAGTCTTGAAGTTATGTTCTAATGTTTTGTCTTGCTTTCTCCAGTATTTCTTTCTTTATCCTGGGATAGTTTGGATTCTTATCTATTACCTTTTGGCAAACATCAATTGCTCCAACGTATCTTTTAGACTTCAGATAATTGAAAGCTAGTTTAAATCCTGAATGAAAGAGAAAGATTACTTCTATTATCGTTGATTATCTTATTATCTTCATTCTTACCTATGTTCGGATTATTTTCGTGACTATATTTCCACGCTTGTTCGTAATTATTCGCTGCATCTTCATAGCTTTGTTCTTTTTCCATCACGTGACCCAGATATTCGTAGGCTTTTGCGCAAGAGGCATTGTATTGTATAACTTTTTTTAGCAGTTCAACAGCTAAATCGTGCTTTCCAGTTTGAATGTGCATGTCAGCGAGTAAGAGCCATGACCTTTCCAAAGCCTCGGCATCCTAGGAATAGTAAGGCCATTTTAGCAAAAAATCTTTGATTAGTCTATGAATCTTACCTCCATATTCCAAGGTGCTTTAGCAATTCTCTTCAAAAAATTCCTAGCTTTTTGTTGTTGTTTCATACCAACAAAAGCCACGGCCATACCATGTAGAGCCTCGACATTTTCCTTAGACTATTTTTGTAAATGAAAACAAACGTTTGTAACATTTATCTAACAATTTCAATATGTATCTTAAAGACTATTACTTGCTGCTCTTCCATTACTAATTCGCTTAATGTATTGACAGCCTCGTCAACGTTCTGTCGCTTCTTGGTCGCTATCAACCACATGCAATGTAAAATTACTGGTTTCAAATCATTTTGTTTAGGTTTCAACTCTTTAATAAACTTTTCTGCAGTTTTCATAGCAGCAAATTGTTCCGTATCTTGTCTTTCTCTGTTCAAAATTCAATATTATGACTGCAGTCAATAAATCCTTATTAGTTAAATAATTACGATGGATCAGCATCAACTGCTTCAAATACTTCTCCACCAAGTGTTTCATTGTCAGGATTTAGACAAATTTCAATCATATTGTACCTTAAAAAGAAAGAAAGTCATAAATGCGAAAACTCTTATAAGGAAGACGTTGAGTTTAGCATACATAGATTTTAATCCCCATTCACTATCTTTTCTAGCTTTGTTAAAAAGATTTAAGGCTGTAGTCGGATCTCCTGCATACCAATAGTACAATCCTTTACAATAATTAAAGCCAGCTTCAATATTGGCCCTTGAACTAGCTTTTTCAGCCATCTCTAAAAATTTTGGAACATCTTCCAACTGCCCTGCTCTCCTCATTAAATCGACAAGTCTTTCTAACGCTTCAAAATTATCTGGACGGTTTGATAAAAGTTGTTTAAAGTGATATGTGGCTTGCTCATAATCCTTTTTTCTAAACATTACATCAGCCATCATCTACATATGAATTTGAAAATATCCTATATTCAAATTAATAATTAAAGTATTAAATAAATCGTACAATGGTTGCTGCATCAGTTTCTTCATCTTTCTTTAGAAGACTCATACACAAGTGTTGGCATTCATCTAAATTATCAGTCGTTAAATACAACTTGGCAAGCTCTAACATTAGCTGAAATAGAAAATAAAAAACGAAAGATTACTTAAAAATTGTCCAACTATTTTGAATTTCTTTTCCAACCTTTCCATCATTTTCGGCATGGGTAAGAGCCTCTTTGTAAATTTGTATTGCTTTCGTAAAATCTCTTTCATTATAAGCATTTTCAGCCATTTGTTTACAAATTCTATAATATTGTTAAAAAGGTAAAAGTAATAAATTGATTTAGCTATTGTAATAGCGTAATATTACTTGGCAGCTAGATTTTTCTGTTCGGCTAAACTGTCAGGTTGCTCCATAGTAACTCTTCTTAAAACTCTGTTTGGGATATGTTTCAGTAAATATTCTATTAGTGATCAAGAGATAATTGATACCTGTTTTGAACATCTTTTGCTTTTTGAAGATAGGCAATGCATTGATTTTGATTTTCCAAAGAGTTGACTCTCTTAGCATACAATTGAGATAGCAGAATATAATATTTACTCTGACTTATGAGACTATCAAACTCAGTTGCATCTACATTTGTGTGAAAAATTTATATCTATCGACTAATTTCTTATAAGAATACTAACTATTTTCAGCCTCCAGAGCTTGATTTAGTACTTTTTCAGCTTTATCATACTGTCTAATTCTTACAAGAAGTTCTGCAAGATCGAAACGTAATCGAGCTTGACCTCCAGCCTTTAATGCTGCTTCGTAATAATTGATTGCTTTATTATAATTATGAGTTTTAACTAGGGCTTGTCCAATTTTTTGAGCCAGGCCATAGTCGCGAGGATTCTTCTTTAATGCCGATTCGTATACTTCTATTGCTTTTTCCGGCTGTATTTAAATAATGAGGATATTTTGAAATAATTGAATAAAACTATCCAACCTCTTGAATAGCCATATAAGCGTCTCCTAAGAGTAAGCATGTCTCTGGGCTAGGATGTTTGTCAACTAGTTCTCTGAATAATATTTAAAACATACAATTATAGAATTTTTAGATTGGTAAATTAACAATACCTGTAACAAGAAGCGTACAAACGCTTATCCTTTCTATAATTCAAGTAAATTTCAGCCATTTTCTCTCTAGCTTGAACGAAATATGCTTGATCAGGCGCAACATTTCTCAACATAGCAAGGGCTCCTTCTACATCTCCCCTAGCCAAAGCCAAATCCGAATTAGCAACTGTTATCCTAATTTCTTCAGGGGTTCCTTGGAATTCATTAAGAGCATCTTGCATTACCTTTGCAGCTTCATGTTGTTCATCCAAGTGTCTATGAGCTTCTGCCAATTCTAAGAAAACCGACACACGATCGTTAGTTGAGATAGAAATTTTCTTTTTATTAGTTTGTTGGCTGTTTGCTGTGTAAAGACAAAAAAAATGAAAATTTAAAGCGTGTATAGAAATTTCAATGAAATTTTTACATTTTACTCCTGGTAGTTGCATAGCAGCTTGTAACGTATTCCTAGCTTGTTCATAGTCCTCTTGTTTTTTGAAAATTCTCGCTTTGATGAGATGATATAATGGATGCTCTCTCACTTCAAAGTTGTAACTCAAACCATAATCCAAGGATTGGTTTGCCAATTTAAAATTTCCTTGATGAGAGTAAATTTGAGCCATAAGAACATGACCATCGGAGAATGTACTGTCAATATCCAAACACTTTTTCAAAGTTCCTTGAGCAATATCAATATTTCCAGTAAGGTACTTTACTTTCGCCATTAGAAACAGAGCCTCCATACTACCAGGGATATTTTTTGTCAATGGATCAAGAATAAATGAACATTTCTTAAGGACAGGATCAATTGGTTGACCCTTTGCGGTAGGAGGTTGTTGGGGAGCGTAGTTCATATATTCTTCAACAATTTCGATCAAAAAGTCAGGGTTGAAGTTGTAAAAATAATCAGTTCCCAAAACCAATCCCTGCAAGTGAGATATATATTGTTATTTATTATACTTTAACTAAACTTCTTACCCTTAGATTTGCAAAGTGTAACTCTACTGCTTCAGATAATAAATCTATAACAGTTTCTGGAGATTTTCCTTTTTTCCTAGCCAATATCGCAGTTAAGAAGCATAATTCCTAGAAATTTTCAATACATGATTCATCTTATATAAAGTATTTCTAATTAAAAAGAATCAATACCGGGCTTTTTCCGATATTTTGTTGAATTTCATTTAAAAATTCCAATTGTTGCGAAGCATCATTCAATTGATCTTCTTGCAATTGACATCGAATAACTCCCGTAAGAGCAGCAACAGAATTTTCATCGTATTTCATGGCATTTCTATAACATTTTAGAGAGTCTTTAACTCGACCTTGCATGAACATTTGCAATCCTAATTCATTCAAATATTCAGATTTAGTATTTTGTATGGAAACTGCTTTTTCCTGGAGAGCGTAGGTTTGCTGTAAAATGTGTGGACTTCTACCACTCTGTGAAAAGTTTTAATCAATTTGTATTTTAAAAATGTCGAACTTGAATTACAAACCAATCTTGAAAATGTTTTACTATATTCATTAAATAGGTAGGCATTCTTCGGTTCGGTTCGTTCCATATGCCCTAATAATTCTCCTATAAGATTCCCAGCCTAGCAGACAAGAGAAATATAATTAGAAAACGAAGTAAAAAATTCCGAAATCACTCTTATACTTCTTCGTAGTTTCCTTCTCTACACAAAATTTGTAGGATTATAAAACGATTTGCTTCTAAACAGCCTGAATCGATTACTAATGCTCTCTGAGCAACATCTATTGCTAAATCCCAGTCCTGAAGAGATAATTGAAGTTTCATCTTTTCAACAAGTGCAGCAACCATTTTTGGAACGGAGACAACAATCTGATTGATTAGCTCAATAGCTCCGGAATAGTTTTTACGTTGTTCGAAAAATTTAGCTTTACCAAATAGAGCATCAACTTCCTTTTGTCCTGCTTGACTGCAGAAAAATGATGAACACGGTAAAAATGAAAAGTACCATTAAAAAGAATAAATTAGTAAAAAATGTCTAGATGTATTCTTTGAATAGAACAATAGAATATATCGAAAATAAAGTACTCAAAGTAAACTTGTAATCAGTTTACAATAAGTTGAAAAAAATTTTTAATTAAGAAAAAAATTGATACATTTGTTGAAGTAGGAAATTAATAGTAAAGTTATGGAATCCATAGTAAAATCATAATAAAATATAGTAAAACAAAACATTCAGAGAAATTTCAATACCTAGGTGGCTCTCTGATCAACAAAAAAAAAACATTTCCAGGACAAAATTTAATTGTTTGTAGAGTATTTCTTTAATTATAATAGAAAATAAAAAAAAACTATACCCTAAAGCTTCATCAAAGTATTTTACTGCTTTTTTCGAATCTCTTCCAGCTTCTAGTTCTATCCAACCTCTTAGAGCCAAACCCTAAATTTGCATATATATATATTGTATTTATATTACACTAAAATATATATATATATTATATATGTATACTAACGTCTTTGGACTCTGCATTCTGTTTAAGCATTCTATCTATATATTCCCTTGCTTTATCTGGTTTACCAAGATGATATAATACTGTACCAGCATAGAATAAACCCTAGAATATGAATTAATTAGCCTTGAATAATGTTTAAAACTTCTTTAATACCCTTTCTCCCGCTTGCTTTCTCTCTGACTTTAATTTTTCGTCTAATTGAATAAGAGCTTCCTTATCTGAATTAATAAATTAGATTAAAAATTGACATTTTATTGAAGTACGTCAATAAGAAATATAGTTTTGAAAATAAAGTAAAAACTGTTTACTCACCAACACTTCGACATATTTTATGAGCGTACATTAAGGCAATATAGGTGCACAAATTAACGTCTCTCTTCCCTAATAGAGATTCTAATTCTCTCATACCATCTTGTACACGGTCTATTTTCGAAATGTTTAGAGTTAGCTTCAAATTGAACTATTTAGAAAATAAATTAACCCTCTAAAACCATTGTAAATCCATTAAAGAACCGAAGAACTGAGTCATTGTTATATTTCCTTAGACCCTCTTGAGCAGCACTTTGGGCATGACGCCACTGCTTTTCTCTAATGTAGTAATTGATAGTGGCCTAAAAAATAATTACAAAATATTTATTAACTACATCAACTATTAGTATAAAATTCATTGTTACCAAAGTAACCGAATCTACTTCTGCCATATCTCAAGTTTTAAACCAATCGGTTCAATATCAGTCAAACAAAACAATATGTCACAACAAGTTACTGAAGTTTATGAGGAAATTTCTAAAAATTAAGCTGTCTAAAGGAATAAATTTTTAAAATTTATCCTAAAAATCTTTAAATATCAAGGCATTCCAAAGCGGAAATGCTTGAACGTCGTCTGCAAAAAACTGGTTTGCAAAACAGTAAACTTTCAAAAATACATTTTCAAAGGTATTTTCTCATGAAAAGTATGAATTAGTTATAGTTGTCATAATTAAAATTTTTTAAAATACTCTGTAATATTTATTCTTGGATTATAACTTTTTTTTATCAATTTCTATGAGAAAAAAATGATCTTTTGAGTTAATTAAATTATCAATTTGTTATTAAAGCTAAATAAAATAATCTACTTATGAAAGGAAGACAAATTCTTTAAAAAGGCTTTTATAAATTATAAATTTATTTTGAAAGAAAACAAGTAGTCTGGTTTTGTGGTAACAAAATTAACATGGCAGTCCCAAGGAAATCGGCTATGGACGAATTTGAAACTGCTTTTCAGGTAAGAAAATTAGTAAAAATGTGAAAGATTGAAATTATTGTGTCTCATTTCTGTGTGATTACTTTGAAAGACTTTTTTCTCGATCCTTCACTGCTTCATCAAATTACGCGCATTTGCCCAATTATCGTTCATTATTTTACAGAATTTAACATCAGCTTTAAGGGATCAAGAACACTTTAATAATGCTGTTAGCGAAGAAGTTAAAACAAGTATGTAAAGATCTAAATTATATAGCTTTCTAAGGCTTTTCAACCAAAACACTAATTTACGATATTTTATTTTACAGCCGCAGAAATTAATGTTCAAAAGTTTACTGAGGCTACTCATCAGCTTGAAAAGTATTTTCTTGAGAAGAAGCTTCAAATAATGCAAAATAGACCAGTTGAAACTTTGAACGAAGAGATAAATGAATTAAAACTAGAGTTAGAAAGGAAAGACACGTTAATCAAGAATCATAATGAGAACCTTGTCAAATGGATTAATACTCTCTCAAGTAATTCTCTATCAAATAGAGGGAATCAAATCCCTAATGTTCAAGTAAGCCGTGGGGTAATTTCAGCATAGTCCTATATATTTTACTTAAATCGTCTCTTCTAATCTAGCCGGGTATGCCTCAACATCCTAATCCATCTCCGGGAAAAGCGCAAGGCCCTCTTGCTTCTTTAGAAGCAACAACCAGCAATATTGGACTCGGAGAAAGAAGGTGATTAACTATGGATATCTTCTTGAACAATAGAAAACGTTAACTTTTATTGTACTTTAATAACAATTTATTAAAGATGCTGTATATTACTTCAAATTAAAACATTTAAATGAATTTTTATCATGAACGTTAATTAAAAAAAGTTACTGTACATTTACTAAAATATTACGTTCGACGCGATTTTAATAGTACATTGGATTATGGGTAACCCAATGAGCCTTTTTTTGTTTCTTAGCGGCTTCGCACGTGTTAAAGAGGGATTTGTAAGCCGATGATGCTTCTGGATCTTCTTGTATAGATTTTTTCAGTTTGCTACCCGACTTCTCAGGTTTCTATGAGAAACAGAATAGGAAAATTTAGAATAAATTAAAAACAATTATATTATGTTTATAAAACATGTAGCTTACCTGCTTTTCTATCACTTTCTCAGCGACTTTAGGTTTTTTAGTTTCCACTTTAGAAGTTACTGTTTCCTCAATCTTGTGCTTCTTCTTTTTCTAATATATAATAATTTATGATTGTTTTTTATCATAAATAAGATTTGAATCAAATTACCTTATTTTTCTTTCTTTCCTCCATTTTTTCTCTATGTTTTTCCAACTCTTCACCGGAACAATTGAGTACTATTGTATCCGCAGGAGTAGCTGACTTGCCGCACTAAAATTTCATTAAGATATTGAAAATTTGAATAGTAAATTGAAAGCTGAACAAACCTCAACACATGCTTCAAACTTATTTAATTGTTTAATAGCTTTCTCAGCAAAAACACAACCGCAGTTTAGAAGATATACAAATCTACGAGATAGAAAGAATTATATACAATTTGCTTTGAAATATATCATATTTCCTACCTAAATGTTCCATCCATTTCTATACCACTCATAGGACAAATAAATTTGGGTGCTGTTGGATGGTCTTCAAGTTCTGGGTTCTTTCTAAATTTCAATTGAACAACATCCTTCATATTTTTTATATGTCCAACATTAGTGGACGCATACTTTTCTTTATCGAGGAGAAATTCCAAAATTGATTCCTTATTGAATAATTTTCCAAGCTGATCAGACACGATAGGTTCCTGTAGTAATTGTTCTGATAGGGAGCAGTTATTCCATAAAGCTGCTTTAGCGCAAGCTTTGTCTTTCTGTATAACGTATATTATAATTTAGACAATGAAATATAGTAGAAGCTTGAATCTAATTTAAATTAATTCGAAAAAATAACCAATGTTTAAATATTCTAAAGCATAATCCGAATGGTTTTTAAACTTTGATATATGATGTGAGGATTTATGTTCTTATTAAAACATTAATAATTACGAAAAAAAAGAATTACACGAAACATCGATAGTTTTAAAGAAAATTGGTTTAACGCGAAGACTTTTAAATATAATCACCTGCTCTCCTTTTTGTTTAGTCTTCACTAATTCCGAGCGATGGGGTATTGACCCACCATCATTTCCCATTACAAATGTTTGTAGGTGATTTACAATCTACGTTTAGTCGAATTATAAAGACCGGAACCGGATACGGAATATTTTTGTTCGAAGAGAATTCGAAATCTAGATTTGATGACATTAAACATTTAAACATTAGAGTACAGATTTTCCATCAACAATAAATGACAAATATGTACCACTCAAACGAGTCAAACAATATCTTATTTGACTTAAGACATCAAGTAGAGCAAGAGGCTCTAAACCTAAGAAAAGAGATGGAAGGTATAAAAGTTGGGTACGAACAATTAGATCTCAAGAATAGGACTGCTAAAGAAGAATTAAATGAACTAGGAGGAAAGCTTTGTCTTCTTCAAGGAAGAGCTAGAGTAAAAAAAAATCAAATTAATCAGAAAAGAAACGATATTAGAGTAATGAGGTGGAAAAGTTTCGAAATACAACAAGAAAATGATGCTTTAAAATCTCAACTACTAACTATAGAAAAACAAGGTGTTAATGTTGCAGATATCAGAAGAAGATATAATCTTCAAAACGATTAAAATTAAATATTTAAATAAAAATGTGAAAAATCAAATCATGTTTACTGCTAAAAAAATGGAATCTTTGACTAGAAATATGTGTTTTAATTTGTCAAGTAATATTTAAATTAAAGAATATACAAACTAATATTGAATTTATCATCATTTATGAAAATTGGATATAATTTTAATGAAAATTGAAATAAAACTTAATAAAAATTTGAATTTTAAATGAATTCTTAAAGATATTCGTAAATTAAATGAATGTCAACAAAAACTGTATTAACAGTCTTTCTCTTCGAATGGATTAAATCCGATAAAATCTGCTTTTACAGTATTGATCGGGATGAGCAATTTTTGACTTGTGTTAAATATAATACGCCTACAAATTGCGCCTTTGAATCAAAAAATAATATAACAAAGTTAGGTTGGATTGATAAGTTGTTTGTTAGGAAAAAGTCTTCTCTTTCAAATTCAAATGATAGTTATCATTTTTCTTATAATTGTACTAGTAGCAAAGAGTGTTGTATCGAAAAAGGGCGATCATTATGTTGCGATCCAATTAGGTTAAATAGTCTTGGTTCTACAGCTACTCCGTATACATTCTTCGCAGTTGTAATTTTCATTCTAATTGTCATATTTATTGTTAGAAAACCAATTGGCAAGAATAATAAAACAACAGAAAGTTGGATAAATCAGAGTTCATCTCAGTGTACCTCAGGCTATTCATTTAAAGAGTCAAATTCGTCGAAAAAAGAGCAATCTTATAAGAAAATAAAGAAGAGTCATACGCCGTTGAAGAAACGAAGTATCGCTAATTCAAATGCTCCCGAGTCTACGTCTAACGAACTGAAAGTTATAGCTAAACCTTTAGCTATTTCGGCTGTAAAATCAGATTTGTATCCATATCACTCCAATGTGACCCGAAAATCATCAGAGAGGCATAACTCATTACCAAAAGCTATGGAGCTTAACACACATTTGAAAGAAAAAAGCCTACCTCTCGATCCTAGTTTAATAGAATTAATGGGAAAGTGGGGTAAACGTTATTCAAATGATATTCACACAACAAATAAACAAAGAAGATCAGTTCAATATGATTTGAACAAAAAGAACGATAAGTCGAGAGTATCAATACCAGAGAGTGAATTTGATGATACAAGACCAATTCTAGTTGACACTAAAGTTTCAATATTAAAAAAAGATCATCAACTCAAAAATTCATTATCTAGAACAACATCAGTTGTCAGATTCTCTGATAAGCCTAGTATTTTAAAATTTGTTAAAGACTTTAATGAAACTCAACAGCCAATTATATCAAATCCAAATGGCAGTTCAAAATCAATAAACGTTCAAAAGCAAGTTTCGACTTCCGTAAATTCTAAAAATAAATTCGATTCAAACAATCATAATACCGTAAGTATTTTGGAAAGATTACAAAGTTAATGTAAAGTACGATGTAGGTTAAAATAAATACATCAATTTATTTTTAAGGTACCAAAACAGAATAATCTTAAGCTTAGTAGTATAGATTCAAGCTTTAATAATAGAATGAATAACTATAGAAAATCCTCTAAAAACCATTCATCTTCTTCAGCGTCTCATCTACATTTAACAAGTAAATTGTTAAATTATAAAACTGACGATAAATTAAAGGATAATAGCGCATCCAAGCATACGGATATTCAACGGACGCCATATTTTGATAAAAAGTTTAAACAATCGTCTGTTATTGTCGATATTGATTCATTTTTAGCAAAATTTGAGAATGATGATAATGTAAAAGATAAGATAATAAAATATTAAGAAACAGAAATGAATTTTATTATAATTTCCAAAAACTTTTAAGGTAATTTCAATGACGCAGTCATAAAACCATCAGTCTTATGTTCATTAACGATACTCAATAATCTACTCTTCTTACTCCATGGTAGAGAGCTTTCGAGTTCATAAAGAGTGCATAAATTGAATAAAATGCCTTCGTGAAGGCATTGAATAGGATCTTCATCAACTAGAGTTTGTAATAATTCTAAGGCTGAACATAATTTACCGTTATATAATTGGCAGACCGCAAGATTATTTGCTGCAACGTATTCCGATCTTCCTGCTTTACTAAACCAATTCGATGCCATATTAAAGTCGCTTTTACCTATTGATAGCAAACCTTGATTTATATACGTATCGACTGAACTTTTCTTAAAGTATTCTTCTGCTCGTTTAATATCTCCAGCCATTATATAAACACGACCCATACAGGAGAAAATACTGTCTTCATTATTCCTATCTAAATCTAAGATTTCTCGATAGACTGACAGGGCAGCAGGATAATCTTTACAGGATAGTAGAGCGTTGGCCATGGCGTGCAAAACTGATACTTCACGTCGATTCCATAGCTGAATTGATGCATTTCTTCTTTCTTCAGTCAGTTGAAGACCACTTCCATCTTCGGCGAGGCCATTGAGCAAATTAGAAGATATCTTTCTTACTACTTTTAATATACTCGAAAGTCTCTCCAAACCTTCATCAACTTTCCCTAAGTACTGAGGTAGTTGAGCACTTAGTATTCTCATTGAAAATGGCACCATAGAACCCCTTCCGTTTGTATCTGGATCATTGCAATAAAATTCATAGCATAGATCAGGTTTTTCGAAAAAAGCAAATTGATGACATTCCGTTTCCGCCAAACTATACAGGCGAAGTTTTACTAGTAACGCAATCCTTGTATACCACAGTTGTATGGTATATGGCGTATGGCGAGTCTCTGAGCTTTTCCAACCATCAGAGCCTTGACCAACAGCTGTCAATAAGTGGGTTGTGAGATTAAATGCTGATCTATAAGCTTGACCAGCTAATAATTTCTTTAATCCAGCGAGATCGGGTTGTACATCGTTTAAAGAGAGTGTAGGTGCTCTATCAGTCTTGTTATATTTTTGCATTAGATCAGTTATAGGATCTGTTATAGTTTCTTCTATCAGAACACACGGTTTAGTCAAATCCTGCTCGTTTACAACATAATTAGGATCGGCCATTATGGAGGCTAGTACTTTTTGAGTCGACTCGTTAAAAATCCATGCTTCATACATACCGTCGTTGAAACCTATATCAAAGCAAAAAAAAAGTGAACGAAATAATATAAACGTTATTGTAGATAAATACCCATATCGAACTTTATATCTTCAATATGAGGAAGAGTATCGTGAGACGAAACAGATTCACTTAGTGGATGACTTTGAATTAAATGGTTTTCAGATATTGGATCACTCTCTGCTTCGTTTCCTTCGAACGATTCAAAATCTTTTAATTGATCTACTTCTAGTGGAGGATTGCTTGCTGGCCTGTCTTCGTACTCAAAGCAAACTTTCTCTTCATGAGAAGTTGAAATAGTGCGGTGCCTAGTATGAGTATGTTCGTCCTCGGGACCTTGAACAGGAAATGAATCAAAAAAATCATCTTTTTGGTCAACTTCTGGCTTTCCAAAATATTTGCTGAGTGCATTTTGGTTAATTGGCGATTCTTCTATAATCAGGACAGATAGCAAAATTATTCAGAATTTCTAATCACCTCTGTAAAATTTATTCACACATACCTTCTATTGTACTTGAGCTAATATTCTCACTAGTTGTCTGATCATCGTTTGATTGATTTGTGTCTGTGCCTAGTTTATCTATTGCAGCTGTACTACCTAAATCTATACTAACATCCATTGCAGATTTATGATTTCTATTTTTAAAATATTGATAAAGTTGAAAAATTTAGTGGAAGATAGTTTTAGTTTAAAAGTAATTTTTTTCTTATTCAGCCAAACGCTCCAAATCAAATAATATGTATGGTGATTTTTGTGTGAAAATAATAAATGATCATGCAAAATATTTATACACTCTACCAGTTTTTTTGCGAACTAAAAATCATTCTAATATTCTCAATTGAGTACAATGTCCCTTGCAGAATTCAATTCAAGTATATTCATGTGTTATAAAACTAAAGAAATTGGTTATAATCATGGATAAACTGGAGTTTTGGGATTATAGTATACAATCTTTAGTATTACTAGACACATTCCTTATCACATGTGGAATGAATTAACTCCTTATCTATTAAATAACTCGATGTTTCGCTTCGGTTACCAAAGTTGCTGATTGGTTATACTTTATCGCAGGCATATTCATGAAAGGCACCACCGTCGATTTCCAACTTCCTGTTACGGTATCACTTAATCCTATAGATCGTTTGCCACGGCGAGCGTTTTTTAAATTACTCTATTAGTATGAAGTATCCAGAAATTTGGTTATAATCATCTACCCAGTAGAAATTATGCAAAATGCCAAGACGTCAGTTACCCGCTTCAAAATGCCTTCAAGCGTGTTTTTTCATCTTTATAATTTTAACAGTTATTGTCAATGTAACATTCTTCTGGCAAATATTTCAAAATATGAATAAATCTAAGATTGATACATTTAAAAGATCTCCAATAAGAGTAAGGAATGTTGCTATAGAAATTTTATCAAGTCATTCAAAAGTAAGTGTTACAGTCGGAGGAACAACTGTTCTAGATGATTCGAATGAAAAAACTGGAAGAGGAATACACGTTGTTGTTCTAAATGAAGTGACAGCTTCAGTAATGGCTTATAGAAATTTTGATACTTACGTTCGTGGCGAAGATGTTTTTCTACTAGAATTTTTAAGAGACATATCGAACGGTCGTATTATTATTTTAGCTATCAAAGATGAAGGATCCTTTTCACTCGGTAATGAAACTCGAGCATATATAAAATCGTTGGGTTCTATACACGCACCGAATCTGCGTTGGAGAGATATGTGGAGTTTAGTTGCCGCTAAAAATCGAAACGTAATTGGAGAAGGTATGAATGCGTCTCCACAATTGTCATCATGGGGTGAACCGCTTTTCCTAAATGCCCAAATGATTCTTGAGGAGACAAGAGAAGTATGCCATTGGAGTGGCAATGACGCAGATCGTCGAAAAAATTTCTGCGACAAACTTGAGGGTTATTCTGAAGTGTGTAATTGTAATAAACCTGTATCTATTTCTTTCGATCCTGAGGAATTGGAGGAAGATAACCTGCAAAATGTTCCAGTTGTATTAATTGCTAGTAATCGACCTTATTATCTTTATCGAACATTAAGGAGACTTTTATCCACTAAAGGAGTTAGAAAAAAGAATGTAATAGTTTTTATTGATGGATATTTTCAAGCTCCGTTGGAGGTGTGTCAGCTTTTTGACGTTCAAGGTATACAACATACCCCTATTGGTCAGAAGAATGCCAGAATTCATCAGCATTATAAAGCCAGTCTTACAGCAACTTTCAATTTATTTCCGTCTGCTCAGTTTGCTCTAATATTAGAGGAAGATCTCCTAGTTGCTCAAGATTTTTTTTCTTACTTTAGCCAAACAATTCACCTTCTTAAAGACGAGGATATTTATTGTATTTCGGCGTGGAATGATCAAGGTTATGAACATTCTTGCCAAGATCCGTCACTGCTATATAGAGTTGAGACAATGCCTGGTTTAGGATGGCTACTATCAAGAAATTTATATAAGCAAGAGCTTGAGCCAAGTTGGCCCTCTGCAGAGCAGAAATGGGATTGGGATATGTGGATGAGGACTGAGAGAATTCGTAAAGGAAGAGAATGCATTATACCGGATGTTTCCAGAACGTATCATTTTGGTTCCAAAGGATTAAATATGAATAGTTACTTTCAGAAGAGATATTTCGAAAATCACGCTTTAAATAAACATACAAATGTTCGTCTGCATGAGGTAAATAGTCTAAAAAAAGCTGAATACGAACAAACAATGGAAAATCTTATTCAATACGCAACAGTATTAGATAAGCCTTTTACATGTAGCGAGGACTACATCCCGAATACAACTCGGCAAACTTATGTCGTCTATTTTGAATGGTTGACAAAAAAGGAGTGGAGTTCATGGAAAACGTTAGCTAAATGCTTTCACCTTTGGGATATAGACTTAAGAGGCGTCCATCGAGGAGCAATAAGAATATTCTTGAAAAAAAACCACATAATCTTTGTTGGAGTTCCACTATCTCCTTATTCAAAGTTCAAACCTAAAGCTCTTAAGCCAATCAGCATTCAAGAGTCTACAGTAAAAACTTAATAAACTATAATTAAATTATTCTTCCCCTCAATTTATCTTCTATCGATTGTTAAGACTGAATCTATAAATGTAGTAATTTTTCTAATAATTTATTGGGTTGGTGCTAGACAGTGATTCTTATAGTGAAATTTTTTACCTTCTCTGTCCAAAGATAAGTTGCTATTTGTATAGATAAAAAGTATTAATTACGTAAGTAGTACTTTTAAAGATTAAACTTTTTTTTCATTGTTTTTTGTATTGTTTCCTATTGAGTAAAGAACGAATCGGTTTCATACTGTTTTATTTATTCTACTCTGATTAAGAATGGTTAACTTAATAAGTAAAAGGATTATTATGATTTTTAGAGTTTATTCGATGAGTTTATATTTGGAGAGCGTGATTCGTCTCCTTCAAAAGCGATGTTTTCAACTCCTTGGTCGGGTGAGTCGGTTGATTTTGCCGAAAAGGTGAAAATTAACTTGGCTTGATGTCTCGCCGCTTTCCATTCTTCTGGGGATAGAGTGTGAGACATGTTAAGAACATCTTCAGTAGTTGCTGGTAATTCCCTACCAACTGTTTCTGGAATAATAAGAGTAACGAGACCTCCAAGTAGTGCAACAATACCAAAAATAGTTGTTGGTATCCAATACTTTGTCGGTTCCAGCTCAGACTAATAAATATGCATGATTCGGTTTATTTAATTTATATACTAATATTATTTAACTTACGGCTAAGAGAGAAATAGGAGCCAAAACAGTTCCAATATTACCAAGTCCAGCTGTTATACCAATACCAAACGCTCTCATATAAGTGGGAAAGATTTCTTGAATATAAACCAATATTATACAGTAGGAAGCCGTTATTCCAATTTTACCAACTATCGTAAAGCTAGTTATAAATTTTCCAAGTTTATCTTCTCCCAAATTGTCTTTTAGACCCTCAACTTTTGAGAAGATAGCAGAAAGAAAGAGAAAAATGGCTCCCCAAAAAAAGAAACACATAATTGGAATCCTTCTGCCAAAATAACCCACAACTGCCACTGCTATAAAAACTCCAAAAATCTCGACCAAAGAAAGAGCTAAAAAATTAATATAAGGATCTCCAGCTAACGCACCACTCATAAGATTCAAGCCAAAATAGACAAGATTCGAAGCGCTCATAATAAAAGCCATAGCGGCCATGTATAAGACCAACATAGGCTTTTTGAAGAAGTCTATAATTCCTTCACTTTTTACTGGAACATCTTTATTATTTTCCGATAAGTTGTCAAAAAGAATAGCCCTATCTACTGGTTTTAAGCCATTAAACTTTGCAGCTCTGTTTAAATAAAACTCTGCTTCGTTGTTTCGACCTGAGTAAAGTTAACAGCAAAACATTAACAACAAAACAGATGTAAATTATAAGTTAACCTTTTGCCATGAGCCATCGCCAACTTTCTGGACAAAATGGATAGTATAATAAAGTTAGCAAAGGAACTAGAGAAATAGCAAGCTGTAGATGACTCCATTTGGGAAAGGCTATAGTCCATCCAGTAAGAATTGCAGAGCCAGTTGAGAAAAAAAAATAGATGAGGGGAGAAAGTACTGATCTCATGTCTTTAGGAAAAAGTTCACAAGCTATAACAAATCCGCATAGATCATTTCCCATCGCAAATCCTCCAGTTAGAAATTGAAAAACGCAAAACGATGCAAACGTTGGGCTGAAAGCCATACCAATACCAAATACACACATTAACAGTTGGCATAAGAAAAAAGTCTTTCTCCTACCAAAATAATCTGCAAACGGTGGACATATTGTAGCACCGACTAAAGCTCCTACAGTAAAAACCACTTGAGACCAGGTTACCCAAGTACCTTTATCGCAGACAAGATCCCATTGTTGTTGAATTGTCCCATCACTTTTTTCAAATTCATAACCAAGCTGCGAAGGATCATATTCGAATTTTGAACATGGCTCGCTCCCTTCATAGTAATAAGTGAAATTTCCAACAACTTGTTGTAATTTCGAACTGGGTACAGCCTTGTTTGTCTCAATCTATTAAGTAATTTCATATTACTGAGGAGCATGATGGCGCTGACAGTTGTTTATAATTTTATACTTGTACAGGGTAAAAAGTAAAAGTAAACATTAGACTGTAATGTTAAGTTAACATAAAATATCTTGTCATTTTAACTATTGAAACACTATATTAAAAAAACTAGTGGAAAAATATATAACTACAAACTTTTTCAACAAATTTCCATTGCGAACATGTATCGTTCTTTTGCGCTAGGCCTATTTCGGGTTTTGGAGAACAAGAGTAAGAAACTGGTACACTTGGTCCTAAAAATAATAAATAACACTTATGTAATATTCAATATTAAATTATAAAAATAATTTACTTATTTCGCTGTCTTTAAACTAGTTTATAATCAATAATAAAGAAAAAGATAAAGTATATACAAACACACGTACACATACCTCTACCTTACAATGAAAAACCCTAAGTTTTAGAGAAAGAAATTTTTAAAAATAAGATATTAAGTCAATATTAAAGTTATTTATTTTACCTTTATGATTTGACATAAAACTTAAACATTCAACTATATTTTTTTGCATTCTTTTTATTCAATGCTTCTAACCCATTTTTCAACTTTTTATTCATGTTTTTCATTGGTTAATTTGAAATTAAATAGAAAAAGAATAATTTAAAACGAGAGAGAGAGAGAGAGATATATTTAATACCTTCAAAAACAATTCCATATAATTGCCAAGATGTTGGATAATTCATGCAAACGGCAATAATAAAATAGGTTAACATTTGATACTTTCCCCATCTACCTAGGTAGAGTAACGTCTCTTCCAAGCCCATTCTATAATTGAATTTGTCCAACCAAGCTAGCTTACACAGACCAAAGTGATATTACCTAACTGTCCCAGGCATTGAATACCTGAAAATTAAATATCCCAAATGTTTTCTAAGTCATTTACCGCCCTCTGTTGAATTAATTTAGTTTTTCCTCAACAATTCATTTAGAATTATATAGTTAATGATTATATAAATAAATTAGTATACTTTTATAAAAAAAATACTACCAAATTTAGTATATTCCATTAAAGAATTACTTTTAAAAATATGTTTCATTGAGAGTATTAAAACTTACATTTAAATTATAGGCTTAATTTATAGTCTACTTTACAATTTTAGATACTCGTAAAAGATTTAATAATCCGTTTTTATTAAAGTAGCAAGTATATTATATGTTAAAAATGGGAATATATACTTTATTATACATTGAATATATGACGGAGAAGGCGACATACAGAGTTCTTAATAAATGATAATTTAATGTTAAAAAATAAAAATGACCACAAAAACAATATTATGGATAAAAGTATAGATTACAACTAAACATGATATATTATAATTTAGTTATAAATTCTATATATACTGTATATATGCATCAAATACATGCCTATAAATTTATATATACTGTATATATATATATACATTTTATATATATGTGTGTGTGTGTTTGTGAGTGTATTTTATTAGCACTCCAAGCTATTTTCGTGTTAAAAAAATACTCTCCCCAAGATCTTCAACTAATTTTGATATAGAACTAACAAATAGAGAATAACAATGTCTATATTCTGATAACAGTATTCGTTACTCCTCCTTTATCTCCTGTGTATGCTGGATTATCTCTACCATTTCCATTTTTATCGGCGAATTCTTGTGGTTTATCGTTTTGTTTAGTGTTGTTGACAGAATATGAACTTCCTTCTTGATTTGATTCACCATTCTGTTCTGCTTGTGCAAATTTGTTGGATTGCCAGAAAAAGAAAATATTACAAGCTTGCCGTCTTGCTTCAGTCCATTCTTCAGCAGTAAGGGTATGGGGCATATGTAATACTTCATTAATAGTAGTTGGCAATACCCTTCCTAAAGTCTCCGGTAGAAGTAGAGTAGCTAAAGCGGCCATAAATGATACGCAGCCAAAGACAATGATAGGTATGTAAAACTTATCAAATTCAAGTTTTGACTGTTTTAAAGTAATATATTAAATTGATTACATGATTTATATGTTAATCTAAAAATTTAACTCCACTTACGCTAAGAATGGCGATGGGAGCCATAACTGTTCCAATATTGCCCAAACCAGCTGTGAAACCTATTCCGGAAGCTCTCATAAAAGTAGGATATATTTCCTGAATATATACCAGAATAACACAATAAGCTGCTGTTACTCCTATTTTACTAATAACAACAAATGACGTAATTAGTTTTCCTTTCAGGTCTTTATCTACGTGTTCATCGATTGACGGAGCCCGGTCAAATATAACGGCTAGGAACAAGAAGACTGCAGCCCAAAGAAAGAAGCCCGATATAGGATATCTTCTTCCAGCAAAGCTGACGATTAAAACAGCCAAGATAACGCCAATAATCTCTACCAATGCAAGACAGGCAAAATTTACGTAAAAGTCTCCCGATAAGGTAGCAACCATAAGGCCCAAGCCGAAGTAGACTAAATTAGAACTTCCCATAATAAAAGCCATAGCTAGTGCGTACATAAGCAATTTTGGTTTCGACATGTAAGTGAAGAAATTGTCATTCTCGTTGACAACAACGTTTTCTTCCTCATCGGCTCCATCGTGAAGTATAGCTGGATCTATTCGATCTATTCCGTTATATATAGCAGCGAGATTTAAACAATCTTCTGCTTCCTTCTTTCGTCCTAGGAAAAAAATAAACTGTACTTAGCAGATTATCTCTTGATTACATTAATTTTTACCTTTACTTAATAGCCACCTCCAGCTTTCGGGGCAGAAGGGCCAGTAGGCTAATGTTATTAGAGAGATTACAGAGATAAACAATTGTAAGTGATTCCATTTGGGAAATATTATAGACCATAGCGGTAGTAATGCTGAACCAATAGCAAAAAATGCATAGATCAAAGGAGAAACGAATGATCTCATATCTTTCGGGAAGAGCTCGCATGCAATGACGAATCCACATAAATCGTTACCCATAGCAAAAGCTCCAGTTAGAAATTGAAAAACACAAAAAGAAGCCAAATTAGGACTAAAAGCCATTCCAATTCCAAATATACACATTAATAATTGACATATAAAAAATATGCTCCTCCTTCCTAAATAATCACCAAATGGTGGACATAATGCCGCACCGACAAGAGAACCACCAGTAAAAATAACTTGAGACCATGTAATCCAATTTATCTTATCGCAAACAATATCAAATTCTTGTTGAATGGTACCATCCACTTCAGGAAATTTATAAATCGGTTTCGGAAAATATTTATATTTTTCGCATCCAATCTGTTTGCTGCCATCGTAGTAATGATGGACACCATTTAATGTTTGGTTCTTGTATTTCTGTTTGAATAATGGTATATCACTACTTAAAATATCAATGATTTTAATATCTTTTCATTAATTTTTACCTCCCAATCTGGGTGTTGCTGGTTCCCCTATTATCATAAAAAAAATATAATTTTTTTATTAAATATAGATGGCGCTCAGAAAATAAAATGACTTACTTTCATAACAAAGGGATGATATGAACAAGGGTCGTCGCCGTTCGGTAGACCAACATGTTCCTTTACGTCACACCCATAGGGCATAGGAAAGCTTGGACCTTATATGAAAATAATATATATATAAATAAATACAAGCATTTTATCCAAAAGTCTTGAACTGTATGTCTATCTTTAGTCATAAAATTGATGTAACGTCATGTTATTTCTTATAAAAAGAAAATTGAAACGTTAATTCCTTTTTTTTGCATATTTTAAATACTTTTTAACGGCTAAGTACATTTTTTCGATACATTGTAACAGTTTTAGACTTTCAAAGAGAGTCGTAATATATATATATAAATAATAGTATATATGAATAGTCCTTTCTTTAAAGTAGCTTTAATAATCAACAGTTCTTTACTAAAGCAAAATATAAATGATAACAATTGTATAAACAATAGATAAATTACATAATTACCTTCAAATGTTATGCCGTATAATTGCCAAGCAGTTGGGAAGTTCATACATACTGCTATCATAATATAGGTTACAATTTGATATTTTCCAAATCTCCCTAAATATTGTAACGTTGCTTCTAAACCCATTTTTAACTTTGTTCTTACTGTTCAAAGAATAAAATGACTACTGGCTATGAAGTGTTCAACATTTCCATCTCAGTGTATGGTGAAATAGCGCCCTCTGTTAAAAGTTTTATTCAGTATTGAAATCTCCACTTCATGAATATTTAGATAAGTTCTCTCCAGAAATTCAGAATACGTAGACTTTTAAATTAAAGAACTGCATATGAACTTATTGAATTTTATTTTCTATCAGAAAAGAATAGAATAGACCAAGTTAAGAAACAAACTTAGGCCTACAATTTTCATCGAAAGTCGTAAATTAAGATATCCTTTTTGCGTTTTTAGGTCAAGTATTATTGTATTCAGTACTTTATTGAATAAATTTGTATAAAACTACAGATTTCTAGTGTGTGAGTTAAAAGAAAGAAAAGAATTAAAAGTTCAAAAAGTATAACAACAAAATTAAAGTTCCTATTGTCTTCATATATACTCCTTATAGCTCAGACGTATTATCAAGTGACTTTTACAAGTTAAAAGACAACTTTTGGGAATGCAAAATCCCCGTAAACCTATAGTATTTATTGTTGAACATATAAACTTTTTTAAATAAAAGACATCGTTAATCAGGAAATTTGTTAAGAAAAGCTTCAATGGATATCAAGAGTTCAAGAGATCTAGGGTAAGCTAACTAGATTGAAAATGCAAAATAGAAATTTTACTATATTTCCTACAATACGAATTGAAGTAATAATAATACTATTAAATGGAATTGCTTTATAATACTTTTAACAAGAATTTCGATTATTTTTTGATTAGTGAATATTTATATTTAGATAGATTGAATTAAAAGGATTTTTAATATTTAACATCTTTGTGTATAGACTATATGCGTTATGTAAATCTAGTAATATATTAAAATAGATTAGGACGTTTAACATTCTCATTTAAAAGTTATAAACGATATTTTTGCTCTAGGGGTGCTGCCTTGATTATGAGGTTATAAGCTAGAGCGCAAACAAATTAGACTATTGAAATTAAACTATTCTTATTCTATCGTAATATTTGAATGGTCCATATCTATCCTATTATTTATAAGTAATAGTTTTTCTTATTCAACACTTTTATAGCAAGTTCGATAGGAGAATTAATGTGTCTTCGTATCAAACGTAAAAAAATTGGCCTCAAGGTAACGTAAATTATAAATTATGTCACATATACTATTAAGTGTGTCTTTGAAAAAAAACCTCAAGATTTTTGGCGGTAAAATGGCTATAAAAAAAAAAAGTAGCCTGGATTTTGACTTTAAAAATAAAGCTTTTTTTTTTATCAAAGGATGTAAAGAGTGTAGGCTTTACTTTTTGTATGTGAGAAAAGGACTAAAAAAGCTTTTTACCTTTCATTGCATAAATAGACATGTTTTTCACCTTTTTTGTTACTCTTTTGTAATAAGAGCAAACATAAACCTTCAATTTGCTAAGAATCAATAAAGCGTTATTATAAAAAATTTTTATTCCATAATATAACTATTGATAAAATGATTAAAAATGAAAATATTCATGGATAGTAACAAAGATTTTTTAAGTTTTGATTCTCTTAGATTAGTTCATCTTTTTTTGGACTTTAAAATTCATAAACTCTTCTATTTTTTCGTTTAATTTCTCATCTCTAGTCTTGGAATTTGTTAAATTATCAGATTTACTATTAATACTATTATTTAAAATATTTCCGTAATTTAAGCTCTCCGTTTCGGGTGGTGTTATTTGATCTGATCTTTCTAGTTTTATTGGTGAATTCGTTGGATTTGTTGTAATTGATCGATTACAATCTAATGAATATTCATTTTTAATTGTGCTGTTATATATTTTCTTGTCTCTAATTTTAGATAATTTGGACAAAAGTACAGGAATTTTTGATTTACGACTTTTAATTGGTAGTTTAACAATTCTTTGAGAAGATTCTGTTGGTTCCCACGCTTTATAAAAGTTAACTGCGTCGTCGATAACGTCTTTCGAACGTTTACTAGGCTTCATACTTAATAGAAAATCAACTTTAGCATTTGGAGTTTGAAAATTTTGTATTCTTTCCAATTCCGAATCCTGTTTATCCTGATTTTCTGTTGCTAAGATAGAGAAAAAGTAGAATAATACTTAGAATAATAACCCTTCAATAACAGAAGGTAATTGAAAGAAAAATAGGTAAATACTTGATTTATATTGTGTTTCAGTTTCAATAGTTAAATCGGCTGTTGGTGAGTCACCTTTAGAACTACCAGCCGCACGATTATTTGTGCTACTACCCTTGTACAGTATCCGTTTTAAAAATGACAAATACTCCGAGTCATTTACTTCAAGGCAATCTGAAAATGCTGCTGAATAGTCTACATCCAAATCTTTTTCATCAAATTGACGTCCACTAAATAGTTTAATTAAATTAAAACGTAGTTGATATTTCCTATCGGTTTCTTGTAACTTTGATAGAAGTGAAAAGTTTATTGATGCAAATATTACCATAAATTCATAACCTCTAGGGTGATTTTTCAATAGTGCGTACTTTATTAAATAATAGCAGCATTTTTTCATCTTATTTACGCAGTCGGGTCTACAACAATAAAATTCAATATAGTTCAATTATAATACACTAGACTACCAACTTTTCTTTAAAAATTCTATAGATATCTATACAAATATTTTAATATTATACCTTCTAACGGAAAAGATGGTGCTTTTCAAATCGGAAGATAACTCCAATTCTAATTCAGCTATTCTCTTCTTTATCGAATGAAATATCGATTTCATTTGACCATATATTGCTCGTCTAAGAGGTGTTGTCTCATCTTTCCTAGCAGAAAATTCAAAATCTAAAAGAAAACTTATCTCTTCGTTTGCGGCAAATATAAATGCGATATTGAATAACAATTGCCTTATAATAATACGGCAATTATTCCAATTTTTACAATATTCTGGCTGAACTTTATGCAAATCTCCAACAATAGATGATAAATTCGGAAAGACTTCTTGAACCCAATGCTCATAACTACGTAATTCCAATTCCATTATTTTATTGACTTTTATATCTGAACTTGTAGGAGTTGTATTCTCTGTTATAATCTTTGAAATTGATAAACTCGTAGAACTAATCAAATTCTTGTTCGTTTTCTACGTAATAGGCTTTTTTATTCATTCTTATTCATATGGAATAGTATAATTTATTACTCTACAAGCTGTATTGTTGATTTTAAATTTATGGAGAATGAATAAAAATGCACATTAATTAAAGCTGTATCGCTTGTCGCTTGAAGACAATTATTAAATGAAACGTGATGATTATTCATTTGCATATTTGGTATTCTTTGAGAGTTATCAAATATATTTGATAGTGTATCTTCATCTTTCAATTCTGGTTGTTTTATTGTCCTTTCGCCAAAAATTGGAGGAGAACTTTCTTCATCCTTGGGAGTTTCAACGCAATATTTCGCCTCTCTTACAACCTCATTAAAAATGTAATTAGTGATTGTCAAGTTTTCTTTTGACGATGGTTGACTTTCTTGAACAGCAATATGAGTGTTTAAAACTAATGGATCAGATTTATCATTAACTAAAAGCTTCGAAGATGATTTTATATCAGATTTAGATGATTGAACGAGGGAGGCTATTTTATCATCTGTGGTTTTGTTGACGGTCATTTTTGACGAAGATTTAGAATTGACGAACTCAACAATAGACGTTTTGTTATTATAATTGTATAGAGTGTCTTTAGAGTTTGATTTTAGTGTCATTGACTCTACAGGTGTATATTCAAAAGAGTACTCGATAAATTCTATCTCGGTACTTAAAGAATGATCAGAATGCTTCCTTTTAGGTTTCATCTTGTATAAAATTGAAAGTTGGGAAGGTGTTAAATCCTGTTTATCTACTATCTTACCCATAAACTTGTTGGGTAGACTTGAGCAGGATTTTGAAGATATTTTATCCCCAGTATAACATTGTAAATAATGAATGAAAGGATCATCTATTGTAGCATTAGCAAATGTTTCATTTCTAGCAATACAATCATCACTAGATGAACTTTTTATGCCATCGCTATCGTTACTAGTTAAATTATGACTAATCAAACAACAATGTATAGGTATAGAAGAGTTTAGGGGATCTTCTGAAGAGTGCATACTGTTAATAGACTTTTCATCATTTTCTCCTTCTTTTACCCCAAATAATTCCTCCGATTTCTTATCTTTTGATACATCTGGACCCAAAGTAGTGCAGCTATTCCTTAAAGAATCTCTAAAGTCAGTTGTTTCCAACTTTCTATCCGTACAGTCAACTTTTGTCGAACTCTTTTCGTCTTCAACATTTACTACAATCTTTGTCAATTTAGAATTAGAAGAACTTTTAACTAAGCCTTTGTATATTTCATTGGCCTTTCCAATAGCTAACTTTATCGTTTCAACGTCTCCATCTTTTGGAACATTTATAACTAGTATATCCTGTTCTTTATATGGTTTATTAATTTTATTGTTATTTTCATTTTTATTCATTGATTGTAAAGATTTGAATTCCCCATTAGGGTCCACAATATACTTCTGACAATTTTGCTTAAGTATACAAATACCATATGGTATTGATAAAGAGTCCTTAGTGTTAAAATTATCCTTCTTCAAGCTAATTGAATTATTAATATTTATATTTTCGGATAAAAGATTCCTAATACTATCTCTAGAAGAAAGAGTTGATAATTTCCCCAATTTTATTTTCAATTGCGAAAATGGATTAGTGTCAGGATTATCTTCGTCATCTAAATGCTTTCCAAATTCTGATATATGGAATGATGTAGCAAAAAAAAAATATATATCCTATATCTCGCAAATTTTTTTCGCTCCACTGCTAAAATATGACAAATATAGGCCTACAAATATATGGAAACAAATGCTACGGTTGATGGGATGACCAATAGAGCGTTTTTCTATAATACGAAAGCGAGAAAGTAAAGGATGTTACTATTTTTTTTTTGAGGTATTGTTTTTTTATAGCTAATTTGTAGATATTCAATGAGTCTTCTTAAGAGATATTTCAGTTTAAGCGATTTATCATCATCTTTTGTATCTTTTTGATGAACAAGCATGTAATCCATTAAATCATACAATCCTATAACATAAAAAAAAAGAAAACCGATAATTTATAGATGCTGTAAAGAAGATAAAATAAAGAGCAACAAAAAAATAAAGAAGGGTGAGAAATGGCGCTAAATTAATAACTATACAAAATATGCAAATTATCTTAATTAGCATACCCTAATATATTGATATTTTTTTTTATTTTTCTTTCAATGTATACTTAAAAATTTTCAGTTGTTTTAAATATTTAAATAATATGATAACTAATTTGCATAATTCTAAATATAGACCTAAAATATATAATATAAGATTTTTGTCATAATTATTTAAATTCTTCTCATAAAGCGATTAAAGAATGTTTTTTATTTTGGATCTTGACAATTAAAAAGAAAAAAAAGTGGAAAAAAAAGTGAATAATGAAGGAAAATGGTGAACAAATTTCCATTCCAGCTGATTTAACTCATGTTAGAAATAAATTAGATGCTACAAGAACGTCTTTAACGCCAAAAGCCCATAGAACTTTGGCTGGTAGAATTAATACAACTTCGGTTCAAGTACCAGCCGCTCATCAATCTTTGCCATTAAATGCTCAAAGACGTCTTCTTATCTACAAATTAAAGAGGAGAGAAGAAAATGATAACGAAATTACCGAGGCTATAAAGGATTGCGTATGCGAAAGTGGTAGGATTATTTGTCGATAGAAGTACATTATATTCTCTTGTTCATTTAAAGTTTCGACAAGAGAATGCATTACTATATTCATACTACTATATCGACAAAAAATCATATAGGAATGAAATCATCAAGAGTTCATTCGGCTGCCGAATGGTTTGACAAACGACCAAAAATAATTGAACAGACGAAAGAAAATGATTTTCAAAGAAAACAAATAGATCAACAAACTCAACCTCATATACGTTTTGAGCCCAAATTGGAGCAATTCGTTTGAAAACTAATAAAAAAAATGTTTGCTAAATAATAAAAAACTGAAGAGAAGAGTAGAAAGATGAAGAAAAACGATGGAAAATTCAAAGAGATCTTAAAATTCAACTGTTTCTGTGTAATTCGTTTCGTCGCAATCATTAGCGTCACGCTAAGCTAATTAGTTAACTTTAAACATCAAGGAAAAACAAATAGAGGTAAATGTATATATATATATATATATATATATATATATATATATATATATATCCTAGAAGGTGTTATACTAATTTCTTAGCTCCTAATGTTAGATGGCTTATATATAATTATTAAACAAATTCATTAAATAATTACTAACTGGTATTGTTTGTTACTGATCAAAGGAATCGCAACTGCTCATTTCTTCAATACTATCAACTATTTCTTTAGATTTTTTTAATGTTCTCTTTAAATTCACGCAAGGTGATGTCGATTCGACCTTTGACGTTACGGAATGTAACTTAAATTCGGGTGATGACCGACGTCTAAGCTTGTTAATATCTGTACGAAATGACGACGGGTCCATTGACGTCCGGCAAGCGTCTGATTTGGTTTCCGTTGGTTCTATACGTTTTTCTAACTCGTCCCTAAGAGAATTCAATTCGCAATCGGAACGCTCTTGCGCCGATTTTAACAGATTTATAATATCCTCCTTTCTCGAGTTGCTATCCTGTAAAATTAGAGAGAATTTTGATAAGCATATTAATTGTAATACAATTTTTACTTGTAAAGAAACCAAAGCTTCTTGCATAATTGATTTTTCTCTTTGTAATTCTTCAAATTCTTTACATAACTTTGTCCATTTCGACTGAACACCTTCAAGTAATCGTCTCTTTGAATTCTCTTCTTTAAGACGTTGGTTCAATTCAATAATATGTTTCGTAGCCGATTCCATATCACTCTCCCTAAGGCTAAGCATATTGCTATAGAAGAAATAATAATAATCTTTGATGTTTGTGAAATAGTGATCAAAGTTACCTTAATTCAATTTCTTTTGCTTCCAAACGTCCCATATTGGAGGTCATTTCGTCAATAGCTTCCGCCAAATCTTTATTCTTTTTTTCCATTTCTAAGGATCTTGCTAAATTACAAGCTTTGTTCTCATTCAATCTATTTACTTGTCCTTTAAACTTCTTGATTTCTTCTCGTATTCTTTCATTCTCATCTTTCAATTGTTTATTATCCTTCTCTATAGTCTGTAGGTGTTCCGTTGCCGCCTTCAACTTTCGTTTATCCTCTTCCCAACTAAGCAGTTGACGCCTATGAGAACTCGACATTGTCGTTAGCTCCTTGTCTCTTTTCTTCAATTCGTTAATTAACAATTGCATCTCTTGCCTTTGACGGTGTAAAGTATCCCTAATGTGCGGATGAAATCGTTCTCGGGAGGATGAGGCACTTCGAGTTTTAAATAATCGTCGATTAGGTTGTTGAAAAATAGGACTTGGCATATTTTTACTTTGTAATTATTTTAAATTTCAAGATGTCTTTGTTTTTTAATAAAAAAAATTCAGTGACTATATTTTTAAAATTCATTTAAAACGTCATAAAAAAAAGTTTCTCTTTCTCCTTATCATAAATTTCTAAAGAATTCCATACACCATATGTTTATTTAATTTAAAATACGTGTATATATAACAATATAATACTTTTGTTATTTGCAAATTGCCGTTCCCTCTGTGCTATTGATAAAACTTAACTTGTCAAAGTCAACAACAATCTTTGTAAACAGCTTATGCTTAAATATTTTTAACAATCTAAATTTCAAAGAATTCAGTCCATCTTTACTGAACCTTTCAAAACCACTATATAGTAACTTGAATCTCTCATGTGATCGAAACTGTTGGTCATGTGTTAACATAGTATATCGAGCAATTGTTTCTGATGGTCTGACTATACGATAAGCTTTCTCAGTTAGTCTATTTCGGAGATCGTCATCTTCCCCTCCCCAACCGAAAAAACAGTTAGACATTCCGTTAATAGCTTTAAATTGATTTGAAAAAACCGCTCCAACTCCTCCAAAGATGTCAGTATATGGTAGTTTATAATCAAAAGATGACACAGCCACAGACATATGCTTAGGTTGAGCAGCGCAGTTATACAGGTTTCTATCGTCTTCAGGTATGAGGTCAACGTCATGAAAGATGAGACAATCAAATGGATGAATCTTCATTGCTTCGGCAAAGCCGATGTTTATCAGTAAAGCTCTGTTGTATATTTCGTTATTATAATGAATAAAGTAAATGAATGAAAAGGCAAACACTACTCATAGTGTTATGACTAACCTATTAAATGGCAATTTGTTCTTTTGTTCTACAATATATATTGTATATTCTACTAAATTTTGCCGCTGTAATAAAGGGTGCAAATAACGTAACAGTACTCGGAAATGACTGTCCCTGTTACGATATGGAATAATGATTGCAACTCTTTGACGGCGAGATTCCGTTTGTTTCTTCCCTTGAAGTTTCAAATGTCCTCCCTTCAATCTTGAAGCAAACTTCTTCTGTACTAATTGTTTCCATGTTAAAGGTGTCTGATCAATTATAATCCGTCCCCCTTTTTAAAGATAAAAGGCTTAAGTAAAAAATGACAAGAATTGTGTGCCCTTTTCCAGTTTCCCACTTTTCTTTCATTCACTATTTTCACGGCTCAATCGTCAAATTTGACTTACATAGCCCAATAAATAAAGGAAACGTGCCCATACACCCGTAAAATATATATACTCAGTCATCCCGAATATTATTCTCATTCAACAGTAGGCCTACTTACTCAAATTCCTTGGTCTCGGAGAAACAGCAGTTACTTTTGGCATTGAAACAATGGTTGTATCCCTTGGTAATGTTATTAGAGATCTGTTAAAAATAAAAATTAAAAGCTTTACTCGTTCATTAATTAATCTATTACTTTATAATCAAATATCTTCAATCCGCTTTATATCAATATTAAGGTTATAAGTGAGAAAGATACAGAAGGATAATAATAATATAATAGTAATAGTAATAATCATAATAATAACAAACTTGGGCTTATGTATAACTCTTAATTTTCCTAATTCTTCGGCTTCGTCAGCTCCTTCCTCTAAACGAATTCTCTTCTTTATTCCTTTTGAAAGCGTTGTGGATTTGTTTATAGAATTATATAATTTGTACAAAGAGTTTAGCTTTTCTCGTCTAGTTCTTCCTTCAACAATAAAACTGGAACTTGATGCTGTTGAAGTAGGTGGAATCGGTTCTTGAAATGAAGAAAAAATCCAAGAAATACACAATATAGATGGAATAAATAGAAATATAAAGGATTTGATGAAAGATTGTTGCATGTTTACGTCTGCAGGCGCTTCCCGAGACGTTTGTCTATAGTTTTTATGCTAGTAGCAGCCCCGGTTTGTATTTTATAGGTCGGTGTAGGAGCGCATCTAGCATCGAAATTCCAAGCGGAACTCTGGGTTTCACTACTCTACTATTTTTCTTATCATGTATATTGTTTAAATATCTATTGCTCTATAAGTCCCCCCTTTTCCAAATAATTGTTTTTTAATGTTATTTCAAATTTTAATAGGTCTTTTCATAGTTAATTTACTGTAAATTTGTCGACCTTATCGAACCCAAGACACTGATTGGCCAGCAACTGTTGGCAGCTGATAAACTGTTAGGAGCCATGATAGAGCGTTACTGCCCCAAATTTATATTCCACTTATTCAAATCAAGGATTACTCACTAGTTTCTTTCGCTAATCTTTCTTTACTCTACTTTCTATATATATTATTAATATAAAGATTAACCGTCTAAGGAATACAGACTTTTTTTTCGTATTTTTGTATATTGATATCAAAATTTATATGTATATTCTCTTAAAATATCGACAAAATATACTTAGATAGACTAGTTTTTACTTTTAAAAAAAACATAATCTATAAAATAAACAAACAATGAACAATTTGGAAATTTTTAATTTTCCTCCATCAACTTTTAGAAAATAAATAGCTGTGGAGAGATTTAAGATAAAATCTTTGCAACAAAATGATTAAGTAGGTCATTTATAAGATTTAATACTAAAAGAACATCTTGTTAATAAGTTTAAAAGTATTAAATAATGATATTATAATTTGTGTTTACATTTTATTATTATTATTTGATACATTTCGTCATTTTTTAATTGTTAAAGAGTTGAGAATAACTAAATTATAGTTGTTATAATTGTCTTTTATAGAGTAAAAAAGAAATAAACGCATATTTCTTAAATAATCTCTTTTGGATATTTGTAATAGATTTGAACGATAATTCATTTGAAAGTGTATAGTCTGAGGAAAATGGTACAAGATTATTCCAAGTATGTTTTGCAGATAATCAGCTCTTTAAGCAATCTTAAAAAAACATTAAACATTGGAACAACGGAGGTTAGTAATCCTTTTCTTAATATTTTAAAGCTTTCTTTGAATTAAACATATTTTATCTTACTTGTTCAAAATTAAATTGTGTATCTAGAAAGTTTGCTCGCTATTATATTCGTTGTCCGAAGCGCCATCTATATACTCTTAAAACTATGTTAAGGGAGGATTTCTTTCAGAATTTCTTCATTAGAACAATAAAATAAGAATGGCTAAAACTCTAAAATTGTTAAGTGGTGAAGTAATGCCAATAGTGGGACTAGGAACATGGAAGGTAACTTTAACACTTATTCTATTTAATTGATATCGTTTATTTAAAACAAATACATTTTAGTCGAAACCTGGAGAGGTAGAAAATGCTGTCAAAACTGCAATCGACAATAATTATAAACTTATAGATTGCGCTTATGCTTATGGTAATGAAGAGGAGGTGGGTAGAGCTTTAAAAGAAAAATTTCAAAGTGGTCTTAAGAGGCAGGAAGTGTTCATTACAAGCAAGGTATAATTTAAAAACGGTAATGTTTATTTATGTATAACTGAAACTTTGTATTAAAACGTATAGTTGTGGAATACACGTCATCATAAAGAAGATGTTATCCCATCTCTAAAAGAATCATTGACCAATCTAAATGTTGACTACTTAGACTTATTCTTGATTCATTGGCCTACAGCTTTCAAGGTTTGAACTCGACTGTAATAAATATAACTTATAATATGTAGATAACCGGTATCTTTGTTACTATATTTAGCAAGGACGAGAAAATTTTCCCAAAGATGACGAAGGAAATCTTATATACGATAAAGTTTGCCATCTTGAAACCTGGAAGGTTTGGTTAAAGAATAAAAATTAAAATAATATTAATAAAATAGAAATTTCTCTCTTTCTTAAAAGCAAATGGAAGAATGCGTTAAACTAGGTTTGACAAAGAGTATTGGAGTATCTAACTTTAATAGCAAACAAATTCAAAACATTCTTGATAATTGCTCAATAAAACCAGCTAATCTTCAGGTATATTTCTGTTTAGCACATTGTCTATTGAAATTTAATCTTTTCAATTTCAAGATTGAGATACACGCCTACTTTGGTCAAAAAAAACTCGTGGATTTTTGCCATAAAAATGGGATAACTGTTACTGCTTACAGCCCCTTAGGTTCACCAGACAGGCCATGGTAACATTTTTCTTTTTTTATAGTATTAACATGTTGTTGCTCTATGCAAATTAATCCATTGCAAGGGCTGGAACCAGAGAAGAACCAATTCTACTTAAGGACCCTGTCATAGAAAAACTAGGTCAAAAATATTCGAAAACACCCGGACAAGTAAGTTACTAACATCAATAGTTTTTAATCTATGGGTAAACACTAACTTTTGTGGCTGATAGATTCTTCTTAAATGGCTGGCACAAAGAAATATCGCTGTTATTCCGAAGAGCGTAACACCCTCCAGGATTCAGCAGAATCTGAACGTACGTTATCAATTCAGCTACATTTCCTTTCGATCGTTTAACAGCAATGTATTCTTCAATAGATTTTTGATTTTACTATATCTGATGAAGATGTGAAGATTATTGATAGTATCGATAAGAATTATAGATACATTGCACCCGTCGTAGAAGTGAATGGTAAGATAGAATTTAGAGACGGTAAAGCTCCGGACTTCCCATTTTATGAAGAATTTTAAAAAGAATAATGATTTACTATAATTAAAAATATATTATCAAATACGTATGCGTTATGCTTCTCTACTACTATTATATAACAATGGCGTATATAACCTTGAAACGACATTTGGGACGGTTTTCGAAAATAATAAATACTAATATATTATCGAGTTTATTTGTAATTTACAAAATATTCAGTATTGAACAATAACGGAAAAATTTACCTAAAAAATATCAGAAACTCACGAGAATATTGCCAGATCAAACGACAACATTTGCAGATTAGTTACTTATAAATAGCAAAAAAAACGTCTCTGTTTCCGATTTTCATATGTACAATCAGTGCTTTCCGTTTCCATTGCCATTGCCGTTTTGGCTCTTCTTCCAGTAATCTCTAAAGAGAGTATAAGCTACGCCAACGGTCATTGCACCCACGACCATGGACTGAGCTTGTACACGCAAATGCATCAAGTAAACTGATGTGCTCATGTTTCCTCTGTGCTTATATTTATAAAATCCATAACCCAGAGCAGAGATCATACCAAGGAGACCTAATATAATTTAAATTATTCAAAAATTTAACAAAAAATTTAAAATTCAACTAACCTAATGGAACAAAAGGTTCATTTTTTGTCTTTTTCCACAACTTTCCACCAACTGTTTCAGTATTTCCATATTCCAAGACAGGTTGGCTAGCGTTTTGTTCAGGCATAGTTGTTTCCTAGTCAGAATTTTCGGGTAAACTGGAACGATTAGAATATATATACCTATCCTAAGAGCGTGACTTTGGTGTATGCCAATGTCCGCTTTACGTCAATGACCTTTTGGAGGTTATTACATAGAACGACAACTATTACTATGAACGATAACTAGGTATGATTTTCAAAATGGAGAATATTGTTGAAAAATAAAGTCGTTGCAAAGTCTTTTTTCATATCAAGTCAAGACACAGTTGATAATAATGTAAATATTCGTTAAAGATTAAAAAATAATGTTTCCGAGCTGTTTTGAATTTAAAATAAAATACATTCTCAAAGCTAAGCGCCATTTTGATTTTAATCAACTACTCCGCGATCATAGAAGTTTAAGATATCCTCCAATAGAGTCCATTTTACGTAAGTTATCCTATGCAAATTAATTCTCAAGATAAGACATGAATTATATGACCTAAGTTACAACGCACTTTCACATTTTCTTCACATTGCTTTCCTGAATTAAATTATCATTTAGATTATTAATTCTCCCAAAAATAAAAAAAATACTGTACAGCATTATCATATACTATTACTGTGAATCTTATATTGTTAAACTAGAGAATCATAATGATTCATTAAAAAACAAAGCAAAATAAAATTAATCGTATTCGCTAGTAAAAATCATATAAAGGTCACCATCTTTGTTTTAAACAGTCCTTTAGGTGAAAAATTACGCTGTATACTATTCAATTTATTCAATGAGTATCTTTATTTTCATCTTGTTGAAATATAAAATAAATGATAATAATGTACTATGACATAAATATTACTTTTAATGGTTATTAAATAATTTCATATTTCGACTAGAGATGTCGCTACGAAAACATGCAGAAAGCTTTTGGAAAGGGCAATTTAGGTTTATTATAACTATATAAAAGTGATTGCTGTCAACAACGATTTTGTAAACATGGTATATAATACTGCTTCTTCCCTACTTGTGAGCCACAGACTCTATTCTTTCCATTCGTAGTAAGGGATCAATGCCCCTGAATATTGGCCTATAGGTGTATATGTTTTTTAAAAAGAAAACTTTGAAACGTTACACCGGCCACTTTAGCAAGGAGACTCTGTTAGGATAAACGAAGTAATGAAAAAGAAGAAATTTCTTAGTGAAATTCAACAAGAGTTAGAAATGCAGAGACGTCTTTGGAGTTCAGAAATATCAAGATTAACAGAAGGAGTAACAATAAATAATAACGAACGTTCATCTAAACCTACATTGATAATTGGCAAATCTCCCGGAGAGGTTTTGTTCAAAGCTTTTTTCGATGTTAGGGAATACGAAGAAGGTGAAGTATTAGTAAATATAGATAGGATATTAAACAAGGTAGTCGTGACAGCTGTAAAAAGAATTGGCGATTTAACGAAAACATTAGTACAAAAAGTTAATTTACCAAAATACGCCGATCCTATCAATATGTCTAAGAATATTAATTACAATGGAATTCTTGAAGTGACCATTCCTATACTGTATCATTTTCCCAATCAAAAATGGATTAATAACGATACGAATTACTATATGAAAAAGATAAATAAACAAAAGAAAAAAGAGTATTATGCTTTAGAAATTACAGTAAATCTTGAAAGTTATTGGCAAGCTTCGAAAGTTGACATAGAAATAATCGATGATAAAACTCTATTGATAACAGCATTTACAGAGAACGGAGATAAAGTGTTAAAAAGAAGATATATCTTACCTAAAAAGAGCGATATGGATAGAATTAGTGCCGAGATAAATGACGAATGTCACATTACTGTTTACGTCCCCTTCATAATTGTATAATTTTGTATAAATATTGCATTTTTTCCCCTCCTTCTCCTTTGTATTTCTTTAACCGCAAACAAAATTCTTCTTCACAATTTAAATATAAAACTATTCAAACAATGTCTTTTTTATAATAGATGTTTGAATATTGTTATTATTAATAATATAAAATTAAAAAACTACCTTATTTTTTTTATTACGCAATTTGTCAATTAATAACATTATTATTATATAATTTGAATATTACTTTCAAGAAAATGTGAGTATATTGTAACTATATATTCAAAATGTTGGATCGTTTTTCTCTATCGATTTAAAGCGATAAACAAGATTATAATCATCCGTTATTGTTGTATAATATTTAAATTGATTAAGAAAGGTAAAATTACATCGATTGCAAACATGTTTGCAGTAGCACTGCAATCTAACTCACTACTGTAATAATCATCAAATTTAATAGGTACAGTATCAATGGCATCATCATTTTGGTCTAAATTCACAGAATAACACAAATGTTTTTTCCCAGATAGCTTGTTGTTGTTATTAAATTATTATTTACAGCAAGCAGTCTAAAGAAGTGCTTTCTAAAGGAGAAGAGAACTGTAATACCTTTCCCTTAGATATATGCCTATATCTAAGTCAAGAGTCGCAGTGGCTAATCTTACAACCGCTACAGGGATATAATTTATCAGCAAAGCAGTCTAAATATTATGACTGTTTAAACGTTGACCGATTTGAAATTAGCCGTGATCATAAGCATCATCTCTTACAACAAAACCGAACGCATAACGAATATCAATTATCAGAATACCCAACTATTTTCGCTTTCGCTTATATAACATTAAAGGTCTTTAAAGAATATTGATTGTTGTATACTATATATGCAGATTATGTACTATATTCTCAAACATTCACTGAAATAGACAAAGTTAACAATGTTATTAATAAATATCCCGATCGCAGCCCTGAACGCTCCATACAATGTTCTCTATAGAATTGGATTCTGTATACAATCTGGGTATTCGACAACTAAGCCTTGTAGCTACTTCATAGGATATAGAATTAACTTTCGCAGCTATAGCCAATGCAGATGTTTCTTTGTCGTAATCAGGACTTATTATTGTGACGTCAAACTTATGGCTTTTTGTTACTGATAGGATATCCCTTGGTATTTTTACTGTTATTGCGTCCATTGAAACCCGCCCAACAACTGGACAAAGCTGATTTAACAACTTCAGGTTCACCTTTCCAACGTTGTTGCTAAGATGCCTCCAATATCCATCTGCATAACCAATTGAAATAGTTGCTATTACATCGCCCTCTTCACATTCGTAGGTCCCGCCATAACCAACAAATCTTCCCTTCTGCATAACTTTAACCAAATTTGGACGGGCATGTAAACTTAGAATTGGCCTAAAACATCAAAGAATACATTATAACATCTTTGAATATCTGATAATCAAACCTAAATCCCAGTGGTTTTATTATGTCAGAATCAGAATCTGAAGAAAGGCCGTACATGGATATACCTGGTCTAATAAAGTCTAAATTAGTTCCAATATCATGTAATATGGCTCCTGAGTTCGAAGAATGAAGATGAAAATTTCTATGTCTAAGAAAGAAATGAAAGAACATTAATAGTGTATTTATTATTGTTTCATATTAAATTAATAGATACTTGTGTTTATTAACAACTTTCATAAAAACTTCCAATTCTTTTCTAGCAGAATCAGGATTAGCGTAGGAATCGGAAAAATGTGTGAAAACCCCATCAATCTTTACCTACGTCGAAATTCATTTCTATATAATTGTATCTATTCATAAAAATTGTAAATTGAAAATTATTTACTCTCGACTCATCGCATATTTTCAATAGAGTGGCAAAATCTTTCGGTGAACAACCATTTCGAGACATTCCCGTATCGATCTTGATATTAATTGTACCGGGTTCGATATCATTACCCTGTTTGATTAAATTTAACCACTTTCCTGGGTGTGATTTCAGTTCATCCCTGGCTTTACCTATTGCCTCGATGACATTCGGACTGTTAGCAGTTGGAATCAAATTATGTTCAATACAAGGAAGCGCCTCTGACTCATAGAGATTGCCAAATACATGAATTGGTCCAGAGATATTATTTCTTCTGAGGTAAATTCCCTCGTGAACAGTTGCAACAGCGAGTCGTTCAACACCTAACGATAGTATAGCAATTCAACATCCGATTTCAGGAGTAAAGTATCAATGATTACCAATCAATTTTAAATGTTTTGATATATATACAGATCCGTGTCCGTATGCTCCAGCCTTAACAACACCAATAATACCTACAAAGGTAAGATGGAATAAACAAACATAACAAATGTATTATTATGTTCTTTTTACGAAACCTGCATTTGGCTTTTGTAATTTATTACGAAGAATTTTGATATTGTTTGTAAGGGCTTGCAAATTGATTTGAGCAAAAACTAAACGTCCAGCTGCTGAAAAGCCAGCGTTGTCTGTTGAGTAACGAAAATAGAATAAATGAATAAGAATTAATTATTTAATTAATTTCTGAGATAAAATGAAGTAGATGATATAATGGTGATATTTATTTCTCTTTTAAAAGGGTGACGGTCTATTTCTATTAATAGATGAAACATTTTCCACTTCAGGGCATATCATACCATCATCATCTGTTGTAGACAGTTCACGGTAAATTGAGGTCGTTTCGGTAATACCGGAATCATTTTCGATTTTCCTGTCCATTGTATAGTTTAACTTGAAAGCTAAATTCTTATATTAAAGATTGTATAAAAAATTGAACAGATTAAGATTTTAATCAATGAAATATATGAGAATTTCGATGGAAATGACAGAAATTTCAGTGGCTACATACAAGTGGCGCCACTCAAAAATTTAGTAGTTCTTATTGGCTTAGAAATTTCCGCCAAAAATTTAAAAATAACTAGTTCATATTCAAATAATTCATTAAGATGTTAGAGTATATTTAATCTAAAAATAGAATTGGTCACAAATCGACAAACTGTACAAATTTTTGTTTAATATTCTCTAAATAGTATGGATCTGGATAGCCCGAACTGCAAAAGAGAGAGAGAGAGAGAATGAGAAAGAGAGTGATAAAAAAAGATCATCAAAAAGGATGAAATAAGACAAAGTAGGATTAGAATATTTTTATGTTAAAAACTTACTTATCAGGGCCACCGTATAGGGAGGTTTTCTGTTTAATAATATTCCAAGTTACGTAATTCACTTCGTCGTTTGAAGTTGACTGAATTTTAAATAAAATTCCTATTTCCCAGGCCTTTTGATATAGTTTTAAGGCTAATAAACCATCTTTATTATTTGGTAAGAATGTAATGTATTTACAGCCAACAAAAGTTCTCCCGGGGTTGGGATGGCAATTTTGTTGTATACCATCAGGGAAAATATATTCGATAATGATTGTTCCTTTATTCTCGTATCCTGAGCAATTTATATCTTTATTGAAATAGTGGCGCATAGTTCCTGGAGGTTGCTGATACGAGTAGGATCCTTTGCAATTAGCCTCAGGATTATACTGCGACAACTTGGAGCATTCCCTGCATAGATAATGACCGCATTTCATTTGCTCTGAGCCGTCACCCCTTAGGGCTAAACATTGGGCGCACGTTAGCGACACAATCTGTTCATTTGAATCGTATATTTTGTCTCTCAAATTTACTTCTTCTCTCTCATCTTGTTCACTTGGATTAACTTTATTGCAGTTTGTAAGTAAACCTTTTTCCGCCCAGAATTGACAAATTTTCTTAAGTATTGCTACATTTTGTCCATCATTATCAATCAATATTGTATATTTAAGACTCTTTAGCTGACTAATGGAAGTTAAGACGTATATAATCGATCTAGCTAGCGCATATTTTTCTTCCAATGACCAAGATAAGTATGTACCTAGGATGCTTATTGAAACGCAAATGACGTTATGTTGATCCATACCTAGGAGTATATCACCCAAAGAATTTTCAATCTTTGACGCTTTAGCTTCTGGTATTGCTGTTGAAGGTAGTACCCAATGAACTATGTGAACATCGTTTGGCAAAGTAGTGACAATGTGGTCGTAGACCTTAAGGATAGACAGTTGATTTTGATAAGTTTTAAAAATATCGTCGCTAAGAATTTCTTTAACTGATTTTGCTAGACCATTTCCAAAATATGGTGGATTTGTTTGACCGTATATTATAGCATCTGTTGTTTGCTCTAATATCTCTCCTTTCGTTATGCATATTTGTAAACCGTTGCAAGTTTTATAGCGTTCTCGATCTGTATCATCTGTAACCGGAGGATCTAAATCTAAAGATGTATTCTTAGATGTACGATTACTCTATAATAAACACACATTATGTAAATAAATTAAACTAAAGATACATTAAAATGTACCTTATTGTCGCTAAAAGTACTACATCTACGAGATAACGTATGACGAGATGTAAATTTATCATCTTCTAAACGTTTTAATAGTGTATTTTTCATATCATCATACCAGTAGGAGTGAGAAACCATTTGTCGTAAATAGTGTGCAAAGTTTCGAAAACTTTCAAAACCTCTTGTATCAATAAGATGTATTTGTTTAATGAGCGTTTGCCTATTTCCTATAAAATCTACATAAACTCTCGCCTCCATTTCAGGAGTTAATTTAAGCGATGAACCTTTACAGAATAGCTAAATTATTAGTATATATAAAGAAAACTGATTTCAAGTTAATTAATTACTCAAATCATATAATGGAAGGGCAATAGAAGTAGAAGAAATTGATTCAGCCTTGTTAAATATTTTTGTTAAACACCAATAAAATACTTTCATACTTGCAACAGCAGAACCGTAAGGTTCTCTATTACAAGGTCCGATTACTCTCAACACAGAAGTACCATTCTCCTCACCAAAAGTAACTTTTATATCGAAATCAATATCTGTATTGGTTTCCCTAATCTGAATAACCCTTACAGCAACGCTAGTTGAGTGGATATCATATTGATATACGTATACTTTAGTTGTACCAGTTTCAAAAACAAGACATTCGTTAGTATAGGTAGTTGTTTCCATAATTTTTTACTAGTTTTTCAAAAAATATTTATTATACAATCAATTCAAAACAAATTCAAATATAAAGTATATTTGTAAAAAGTAAATAAATAAAACAAGACTACATGTACACTATAAGATAGTGTTTGTCCTATTTGTAAGATGTATAAATTTATTTCATATTTAAATTAGCTTAGAGTATTAAAACCTTGACCTTTAATTTGGAAAATTGGAATGATCGGGTTCATGATCTTAATAAATATTTTTCTGAAAGATAATATATACGGACTATTTTTTTTTTTATAGACAGTTAAGTGTAATTGTTTCAATAGAATTTCGAAATACTATAATAAATATAATATAGTAAAATAATATATTCTTTCTTTTTACAAACAAAATATATAAGTTACAAGGCTGCTAGATGCGTCACTATTGAAACTTTTTGTGAACGTTTCTGCTTACTTCGTTTCCATCTCATTTTTTTGCTTCATTTGTTTCAAAGTTTTTATTTCACACGTTTCTGCTTGGGATCTGATTTCTTGGTGAAGACGGCTGTTAATTACCTTTGAAATTGCCTGTAACAATTTAAATTTCTTATCTTAACTGGTATTTTATTTTATCATATTACGCAAAATGTAATAATTAATAATTAGCTTAGGAACTAAAATCAATGAATCAAATTAGAATATACGAACCTGTTCTGTTTTTTTAGCTTCAACCGCTCTAGATTTCTTGGGGGCAATAGTTCGCTCTAAAATTGAGAAACAGATATATTTAATACAACCAATCATACATTGCCTTTCAATGCTCACTTCCTCTTTTTGTCAATGATTCCTTTTTTTTAACCAAATTACTCTTTTGCTTGGTTGGACATGGTTTCTTAATTTTTGTTTTTAATTTTCCTTGCGGCATACTTTCAAAGCTAATCCTTAATCTTTAAGAAACGAGTTTAAATATTGCACGTGATACCAGTAACACAACTACAATGTCAAGGTTGTTCTAACCAGTTTATAAAAAAAGTCATTGGATATTTCGCAATTATTAGGTTTATTTCAATAAAAAAATTTGAAGTGATACTCTAAGCCTTTGAATTCATAATTCTATTCTATTAAATGCAAAAAACACATTAATTTCATTCAAATGTTTATTTATGATACCAATTTTAGCTTTTGCTAACATTACGAGCAGAAATTGTAAAATAAATATTGCAAAAACAATAAAAGAAAATAAATTGTGTGGACGGTTTTTTTAGACTTGAAACAAAAAAAATAAAAGAATATAAGTAAATCTTGACGTTCCAATAAGAGAATTTAAAAAATACTGAGTGTTCGAAGATATGTTTGCATAGCAAAAAAAGGCATGAATAGTTTTAAAATTTAGGAACGAGACCTCGAGATGTTGGAAAAATGCTCGACTTGTCAACAGAAGGCGATGATTTTCTAAGTAAAAAAAAAAGATAAGAAACACATTAATTACTTTCTTTAAAAAATGTAAATCAAGGAAAAAAAATATACTTCGCTGATTTCTTCTTTAAAACGTTTCCTTTCTTTCTGACTTCTGGCCCACGTTGAGGACTGTTGATAAACAAAGAATAGAATAAAACTTTAGATATTTATAAATCAATCAGCAAGATATCATTGCATCTAATTTTAGTAATCAGTAAAATATTAACAAGACTCCTTTCTAGTTAGACAAGATAACAGTGAAATGCATTATATACTAAAGGATTATCAAATAAAATCATACTTTGTATTGATCAGTCTGTTGTGACTAAAAAGAAAATAAAAAAAAATATACAGCTTCTTTTCTTTTTCATAATACACCATTAAAGATAACTTAAAATACATGGATAGAATGATAACAACAAACCACATACCTATCGATATCTAAATCGCCATCAGATGCTAAAGCAGCATCTATTGCGGCCTGAACTCTAGGAGCAACTGTTGGTCCTTCATAATCACGAGTAGTGCGAGTAGGCATATCTAATTCCACAAGTAATATGTTTTCTCCCTGCAAAGCAGAAATAAAATATTTTAATGATTTTTTAAAGAGCTTTGTTTAGAATTCTGTACCTTATATCTGGGATTAGCAGTTTTTAGTGCCTGCGTCTTTGCGTAATCGCTCATTGGTCGTCTATTCCCAACAGCAGAAGCAGGTCTTTTTGCCATTGATCCTGGTTCGGCAAAAGGTGTAACTCTCCAGCTATCTTCATCTTCATCGAAAATGGCTCGTTGCATGATCTTCTGTTTTTCTTCGATGGGAATAAAATTTTCGATTATGAGCATTTTCATTCTTAAATCTCTTGTAAGTTCGTTTTGAGTTCTTTCCAGTTCTTGCCGTTCCCTTGCATGTTCTTCTTGTAGATCTACAATTTCTTGTTTAGTTGATTGCAATTTAGCGAATATCTAAGATAAAAAAATTAAGTAATCATTAATGTTGATAAATGTCTGAAATACAATTACTTTTTTCAATTTTTTGGTTTTCACTTCGACTTCTTGTTGCAGCGACGAGAAAGTTTCTTGTAAATTAATTGCGGTCTCTTCTTTTTCTTCCAGTTTTTGTTGCATTTCTCTTTCTTGTTTCTATTTTAGAAATTGATATAATACAAATCATAATGCTAAATGTGAAAAAATACCTTTTGATCAGCAATTTCTTTTCGTTTCTGCTCAAGAGCTCGTTGTTGTTCTTTCGTATGGTCGACTATATTAACGTCTCCACAAAGCAGTTTACTCTCCATAGCCTAATCAAATTTTCTATAGAATATGATTGAAACTTAACAAATCTGGATACAAACTTTTAATTTCATTTGAAGGGCTTGTTTAGCCTCTTGTTCTTTTTTCAATCTTGTCTCTTGATTATTGAGTTCTTCAAGTAATTTTTGTTTTTTCTATTTTTAGATAATTAAATATAAGGAATATTTTGTTTAATGTCTATTTTGATTTCACTTACTTCTGCTATCATGGACTGATCACCCATAATTGCTTGCTTTTCCTCTTCTAATTTTTGTTGTTGCTCTTGTCTGTAGAGTTCTGCAGCTTTTTCTGGATCAACACTTTCATCTTCTTCGTCGTCGTCATCTTCAAATTCACCATCGGCACCACCATCACCTCCCCGACGTCTCCTTCTTCTTCTTTTTTTACCAGATACAACTGCTCCTCCTCCCTTACCTTCAATCTGTTTCTTTAATCTTGCAATTTCCTCTTGAAATTCTCTCAGTAAAGCATCCTTCGGATCTTCGTTGATCTTAGGTTTATTTTTTATATTTTTAGCTCGGTTCGCGTATCTATATTAAAATATTTATTTTAGATTTAGTTTAATTTACATTTCAAAAGAAAATTACCTTAGTGTAGTAACACTTTCATCATAATTATAGCTAGCAGGACCAATGTTCGCCACCATGACTGTTTTGGCATTCCCACCTAGAGAGTCTTGTAATAATCTAGTCAATTTAGAATCTCTGTAGGGTATATGGGAACTTTTTCCATCAACAAGAGCGCAAATGACGTTTCCCAAAGCGGACAGTGATAAGTTTATTTTAGTTGCTTCTTTTAGCCTTTCTCCCTCAGCTCCCGTTTTTGCTTGTCTCTCGGATCCTGCCAAATCTACTAAATTTAATTTTCCTACTCGAATATGATTTTCCCCATCAGCTCCTTCCTGCAATAATTGTTGTTTTCAATAAAACGAGAAAAAATACTAGAAGTATCGAATATGGTACTTACCTCACTACATTCTATGGTAATGATGAAAATAGCATGAGATCTTGAGCTATGCTCATTCATATTTGTAGACCTGATGTTAAGTTATGATAGCAACACTGATTAGACTATACATATATATGGAATTGTAGAAGTAATTACCCAACTTTCCTGTTGGCATCTCCTACGTTCATTATATGTTCGATTTCCCTAACACCTTTTGTAACGATGGACGAAAGATCCTGTAAAATTGCATTAATAAATTTTAATATATACTATTAGTTAAACTTGGCTATCATACCTTTACATAAACTCCAGTATCAGGTCTTTCTTTTAACTCTAAACGTCTACCTTGATCTTTAGCCAATAAGTCGCGGATTTCCTCCTATTAAGAAATATAATCTTAGGCTAGAAGCTGAAACTTTTCAAGTGTTTTAAATATAACCTGATAGATTTCGAGATACGATGCTCTAACCAAATATTGTTGGTTTTCAGAAATAGCAATATGCTGAAAAATATGTTCAAAGGAATTTGGTATAATTCCTCTCATTTCTGGATCGTTCTTAACACCTATATTAAGTAATAACAGATGTATTGTAATATTAAAAGAATAAATAGGCAAGTTAATATTAACCCTGCATTGTGAAAGTTTTCCCCGTGCCAGTTTGACCGTAGGCAAAAATTGTACCATTAAAGCCATCTAATACAGACTGTACTAAATCGCGGAAGGTTTCATCATATAAGTCTCTTTGTTTTGAACTGAAAAACATTGGTTATAATAATTAATAACATTATCTGCGGTAATATTTTTTACGAAAATAAGCCTCGCTTACTTCCAATCATAAACTGAGTCAAATGTAAAAGTTTTTTTCGCCTCATTTTTTGCACCAGCAATATTACGTATATCTATAACTCCTCTTTTAACATCCATATCCACAATTCTAAAAATATCGAATGTTTATTTATACACTGAAATTGAAATTTTAGAGGAAACTAAACCTGACGTGGCCTTGGCTCTCCTCTTTGCTGTTTAAAGGTCTACATCTTACAACTACTTTTACACTCTCCGCTTTGTTCGATTTCGGTTTTGGCGTCTGAAAGACATAGGTCTTAAAAAATTTTATCATTTAGTTTTATTAGAAAACAAACCATTTCTCTATTTTTTTCTGATACTTAGGCAGTAAATTCTTTATTGCTGAAAAGTTAAAATAATACAAATTACTAAAGCATTTGCTAAAGTTGCAAAATTAATCAAACAATGGAACATGAAAACCGCAATGGAAAAAGACTAAAAATAGCGATTTCTTTCCATATAAATATATTAATTGATATACGATGGTAACTCTTACAATATGTTAAATGACATTTTTATATAAATATTAGATTTTATTAGAAAATAGCTTAAATTTCTTTGAAAATTTACCATTTTCAACAAAAAATATTTTCAAGATGTGGTATCCTAATCCGAGTAGAAGTAATAAAATTCTGACGTAAATAGTGTAGTAATACATTAAATTTATAAAAATCAAAGAGTTAACTAGTTATTTTTTTCTACTTGCTAAGAAGATTTGTTTATAACAAAATTACTGAATGTTCCACTAAGAAGAGAAATTCAAACAAGAAAAAGATAATTATGCAGGTAAAATAGTGCGGCGGAAGAATGTCCGCTGTAGTTTATGCTATGTTTACATCGAACTGCAGAAAATTTTCTCCAAATTCCTTAAGTACTGATTAGAGGAGTACTTATTTAGGTTAGCATATGCACAGTTTGTTAAATGTTAAGTGGTATATTGCGCAAGTTCTTGATGTTATTTATGAAATTGCTAATTTTGAGTGGATTATTTCAACCGGTAGCCATATTGAAATGCCACCAAGCGGTTTTATGAATTTTTTTCATAAATTGCTGAAAAATTACTAATACAGTAGTTGTAAAACGTACTAACAATAATCTTTCTATAAGTATTATGCGATTTTTGTGTAATCACATATGATAAACTACATGAAATTTTAATATCAAATTCATAGCTTTCTTGATATGGTTGTGCAAGAGGATATCTATTTTTTATAACATTCATACAGATTTTTTAATCAAGATATAATAGAAATAATAAAGAAAACATGACAATCGCAAGTGGAAACAAGAAGAATGATGATTCCCCAGAAAAAATGCAGAATCAAAAAGCTCCCATGCAACATGATGAACTAGAAACACAGAGTGACGAATTTGATGAGGTTGACTTTCCACTTGAAATATTGAATAGATTGGATGAAATGATTAATAGACCGCGATGGGTCGTTCCTGTATTACCCGATGGAGAATTAGAAAAATTACTTAACGCTGCAATCAAATTATGTAAAGAAGGTATGCTTGTATTTCCTGGTTTGATCACGTTACCATCATATATATTTACAGGAAAAGATACAAGGAGCGAAGCTTGTCAACGTTTTTTTCGAGATGGATTGACAACTTCTTTTACTAAAATTCTATCGGATGAAGCCGTAAGTGGCTGGAAATTAGAGATACAGGTTAGCCTTTATGCTTTTCTACAATCAATGATATAACTTACCATGGGAATACTCTTAATTATTTCAGAAAAGCATTTTTCGAAATACTGAAAAATTGATAGAGCTTATTGTAACAAAATTGTCACAAGATTGGTTTCCACTTTTGGATCTACTAGCTGTGGCTTTAAATCCTATGTCTAAGTAAGTAAACATATCACTTTAATAGTTTTGTTTTGCTAATTTGTCAATGTTGTAGATTTCATCATTTTAATCAATCTAAGCAATGTGAATATTCAAGTAAATACGATGAAGAGGCTGCTTTTGCAAATACTTATGATACCAGAATCCCAAAAGTAAATAAAATTAATATTTTATTGCTGTTTTGTTGAGGTATGAATAACTGATTTTTGAATTTCCCCCTCCAGGGTTGGCTTGTCGATTTAATAAATTTATTTGGACGCCTGGGTGGTTTTCAAATTATTTTAGAACGATTTACTAAAGGCAGTAATTTATCTGTATCGCTTATAGCAGCCTTAATCAAGTAACTATATCTAAATTAAACTATTTTACGATTTTTTCATTTATTACTTATAATCAGGCCTTGGGGAAATTGTTACGAGTTATTAACGACTCATACTGTGGAAAATTATTTTCTCCCGATAATTAAAATTGTACCCGGTATTCTCAAAAATTTATCAGACGAAGATCTTAAAAAGGAATCTAAGACTGAGGCGAAAAACGACACTTTATCTGGTATCATTAAAGCTCTCAAGAATTTAGCAGGAAGAACGGTGGGAACAGAAGAAATAATTAAGGAATTAGAAATACTACGATTAGAAATGATTTTAAGGTTGCTACAAATATCGTCATTTAGTGGAAAAATGAACGCCTTAAATGAAGTGAACAAAGTTTTAACCAGCGTTACGTATTGCTCACCTAGACATCATATTGATGTTGATGAATGGCTGACAACAGAAAAAATGGCGGAATGGATAAATACAAACAATGTTCTTGATATTGTTTTAAGAGACTCATTACATCAACCCCAATATGTAGAGAAGTTAGAAAAAATTATTCGATTTATGATAAAGGAAAAAACATTAACCTCAAAAGATCTTGATCGAATTTGGCAGGCTCAGGCTGGAAAGCATGAAGCTATAGTAAAAAATGTTCATGAACTCTTGGCTAAATTAGCATGGGATTTCTCCGCAGAGCAGCTAGATCATTTGTTTGAGTGTTTTCAAAATTCTTGGACTCATGCGTCTAAAAAGGAACGTGAAAAGTTATTAGAGCTAATCCGTCGATTAGCGGAAGATGATAAGGAAGGCGTTATGGCCAATAAGGTATTAAGTCTTCTTTGGAGTTTAGCACATTCTCAAGACGTTCCAACTGAAACAATGGAAGCGGCAATGAATGCTCACATAAAAATTCTCGACTTTTCGTGCTCTCAAGACAGAGATACGCATAAACTGGATTGGATTAGTACGCTAATTGACGAGCTTAAGAGAAATCCTTCTTGGGCAATTCCTGCCTTAAAACACATCCGTGAAATCTGTCAACTATTTAGCGAAGCTCCTCAACAAAATTTCAATAATGTAAGAACTGAGAATCTTTATTATAGACAGAATATAATTTCCGAACTTCAAAGTCAGCATAGTGTTATTGGCTTGGTAACAAATAACTTAGAGGATTATATAAACAAAGCTCGCCAAGCTATTGTGGAAAACAAAACACTTGGAACTGATGCTAAGTTGTTACTACTAGATAATAGATATGATCACAACATACAGGTGCAAGAAAGATTGAGGTTTATCAGATTTTTGTTAAAAGAGGGACAAATCTGGCTTTTGGAGGAACAAGCTCGGCAAATTTGGAATTGTTTAGCGGTTAATGCAGTTTACCAATCTGATAGGGAGGCTTGTTTCAAATGGTTTGCCAAAATAATGGGGGATGAGCAAGATCTAGATCCAGAGATTTCGAATCATTTTTTTGTTAGTTGTGTTCTCGAATTGGATTCATCACTATTAACTGAATTTGGCATGGGATGTTTTGAGAGATTTTTTAAAATGGTTAACTTAAGAGAAAAGAAATTGAAATGCGGGGGGAAGAACATTGTCATGGATAGCGTTGATTTGATTGGCTTAGATTACGTATGGCGAGTGATAATGAATGCTGAGGAAACAGTAGCTTCAAAAGCAATCACACTCTTAAAAGAATTATATACAAATTTAAGTCCAAATTTGCAACCACAACAATTAGAATTACATCAAGAATTATTGAATGATTGTATGCAGAGATTAGAAACATCAGCAGAAACTGTCAAATTATTAAAGTCAACGAGAAAGGAAGAGGGAGATGAAATTGCCTTACGAAAGGAGCTAAAAAAGATGACGAGAGTACTCATTGTATTATGCGAATATATAAAAGAATGCGATAGCACATATCTTCAGGAAAGAGCATTGCCTCCATTATTTAGAGCTTCCAGAGGTAATAATATCCTGTTGAAAGTTCGAACAATCACTCAGCATCGATCGCAAAGTCAAGATGAATTCGACATTTGGACTCACGATGTTGAGACTTTGGCCAGTCTTCGCCGGGCGATTGAATTAAAAATTTCAAGCAGAATATTCAAATGCTCTCAATTTTCCAGTCCTTGTGGAAAAGTTGAGTTAGGCTATAATGGAGAGCTCCTTGAGCCAGCCATTCACGATTCAAGATTAATAAGCGAGTTATGCATTCAAAATAGAACGACGATTACTGCAAAATTAACTAACATAACTGGGCATCCTTCGAGCGCTGAGAGTAGCTCGGATAGTTCACCATCACCTCCGCACCATATGTCTACTAGTCATCACTTTGAAGGTCCGAGTTTAGAGATTGAATCTTGCTTACCAGGAGTTCTCTTAACTGAGCATCCTGTTAGAGCTTTGTTTTTATGTAAGGTAATTGATTTAGGTTGTGAACTTAGAGAAGAAGCTCTAAGAGATCATGCCTTGCAACTACTATTCGTAATTCCGGCTCATGACCAATCAGTCAAAATCTTGAAGGAGGCATGCCCACAAAAAACCGTTGATAAAGCCAAAATGAGTAAAGTATTGCATGAGATATTCTTCAATAATTCCTCTCATGCAACTGTTCTATATTATGTCAATATTTTATACTCACTTCTACTCCCGGCTCAAGATATTAATTGGAAAGATGCTTTTCATATGCGTACAAATTTTTTGCTTAACGGAGGAGTACAGTTGTCTTTAGCCATGTTGACGCGACATGATTTTATGAAGGACGCAGATATTTTTCTTAAACGTATGGCTTACTTGCACGTTTTACGGATTTGTAAGCTTGTTCTAACGATTGTTGCTCACGCACGAGTACAGTATGTGTCTTCTAAATACGATGGAGTGAATAATATTCAACAAAACAATGAACAATTCGATGAATATGAGGAAGCCCGAATTCTACAAGAAGCTCTTACGAATGTAACATGCTTTCATCCAGAAAATAAACTACATAATGCTACGCTCTCCCATGGTCAAGAGCTAAAAGAGAAAGTGATAGATTTCCAGCCCGATTTGATCACTGCAAAAGTTGTCCAGAAAATTGCTTGGTGTGCTAGCTGGGGCGTTTTGCACTTATCCCATACAATCGATGATTCGGAAAAAACAATAGCGTCCAGTAGATACGAACCCAATGATATTGATGTGAAGGTTTCGTGCGAAGCTTTAGAACTATTGAGTTTAGTATTAGCCTTGTGCCCTAAAGCGTTAGAATCTTTGAACAAAGATAAGCAATGGCAAGCTTTTATACTCGATGTTCTTTTGGTGTGCCCAATATTAGAAATTCGTAATCAAGCTCAAGATTATTTCTTTAACATCGCTACAAAATGTGTGAAAGGTCAAAAACCTTTGCAATTTTTTGTTACTCTTCTTTTTACGGCCTTGAAATCACAAGTTCCGAAATATTCTAATCAGTCACATGAATATTTTGTTTTGCTGTGCAAGTTATTGAACGAATCGACAGAAAAGAATATAAACTTTACAAATGCCGATGTTTTACTTCAGAATGAAATTACTTGGTTAGAGGACGCCAGAAGCAAAGTTACAAAAGAACAGGATGAAGTTGATCAAGTATTATTGCAGGGTCATCTTATGATTCTTCGTTCATTTTTGTCAATGTACAAAAAAGATAAGAAAGAGGAAATTGGGGCTGATTCACGTAGCGGAGTTCGTTTGATACGCAAATTGGTGGAGGATTTCATTTTCCCCGCATCAAAATACGTTGCTGTATTGAAAGATCATTCAAGTATTATAGCACCAATTACGAAAGCAGTATGCCATTCACCCATGGCAACTTCGGCAGCCTTTAACTTATTGGTAACTTTATGTGAGGGATCAGTAAAAAATTTGGAACTATTATCAAAGCTTTTGACAGTCATGTATTACGCTGATAAAGATTCATCTTTAACAGACTGGGAGTATGTACCTGCAGTAGGGAAGAGGCCAGCAAATGGTTTTGTTGGATTAAAGAATGCGGGAGCTACATGCTACATGAATTCCGTATTGCAGCAGTTATTTATGATTGATCCAATCCGTCGTTCTGTACTAGAAGCGAATGCTGGAGGAGAGGATGATATACCAGATGACTTTGACGAAGATGAAGATGTTCAACAATCGAAAGTAATAGAAGAAAAACCGGAGGAACAACAGAAAACCTATCACTTAGGAGTTTTACGCCATATTCAACATATTTTTGGCCACTTGAGTAAATCCGATCTGCAATATCATATTCCAAAGAGGTTTTGGAAACATTTCCGATTGCAAGGCGAACCCTTAAATTTGCGAGAGCAGCAAGACGCATTAGAATTTTTGGCAAGCGTAGCCGACAGTATTGATGAAGCGATGAAAGCCATTGGTGCTCAGCCTATTATTTCAAAAGTTATGGGTGGAGCGTATGCTGATCAAAAAATTTGTAAAGGTTGTCCCCATCGATATTCGCGTTCTCAAAGTTTTTTAACTTTAAACATTGACATAAGAAACCAACACAATTTATTAGAGTCTTTAGAACAATATGTAAAAGGTGATCTTCTTGAGGGAGCGAATGCCTATCACTGTGAACGTTGCGACAAAAAAGTAGACACCGTAAAACGAATGTGCATTAAAAAACTACCCCCTATTTTAGCCATTCAATTAAAGAGATTTGATTACGATTGGGAAAGAGACTGTGCAGTTAAATTTAATGATTACTTTGAGTTCCCTCAACAACTAGATATGGAACCCTACACAGTTCATGGTTTAGCTAGAATGGAAGGGGAAGCAGTCGTCGATGAAGAGGCTGGAGGAGGAGATGAAAATGCCAACAGTCAAACCTGTACTAAATACAGGCTTGTCGGAATGGTTGTTCATTCTGGACAAGCGTCCGGAGGTCATTATTTCAGTTATATATTGCATAGAGTACCTGGAGGTACTGAAAAGTGGTACAAATTTGATGATGGCGACGTAACAGAATGTAGAATGGATGACGAGGAACTAAGAAATCAGTGCTTTGGAGGAGAGTATCTTGGTGAAGTATTCGATCATATGCTAAAAAGAATGTCATATCGCAGACAAAAGCGATGGTGGAACGCGTATATTCTTTTATACGAACGTGTAGATCAGAATCGTAATATTGAAGGCGAAGGCGATGTTGAAACCGTCGCGAAAAGTCTTGCCACCTTAAACCTTAACGAGATAATGCCATCGTTTATTGAACAATCTGTTCGTCGTCATAACCTGCAGTTTATGCATCAGAGAGCTCAGTTTTGCCCGGAATATTTTCATTTCATACGTAGTCTTGTACAGATCAACGTAATTTCACCTTCACCGTCTTATTTGAGTACCAGTGAATGTGAAGAATTAGCAATGTTAAGCGTGCAACTAGCAGCAAAGTTTTTGTTTACAGTTGGATTCCGAACAAAAAAGAGTCTTCGAGGTTCAGCACACGAATGGTATGACGCTTTTGCGTTTCACTTGAGAACTTCCAAAAACGTTCGATTGTGGTTTATCGAGCAAGTTCTTCTTCAGCATCCCAGCAGATTTTCTGAGTATTTATTGGAGTGCCCGTCAGGAGAAGTTAGACAAACATTCATGCGAATTCTTGTCTTTCTCGCACACTGTAGTCGCAGTGACGGTAATCGACCACTAACAGAAGGAAAATCACTATCCTATTCAGATCTTTTGATAAGTAGTGTTTTGAATTTATTAAAGAGACAAGTTTCGGAGAATGGACGACATTTAGCACAATACTTCCAGCTGTTCGTCATGTACGCTCAATTAGGAAGAGAAGAAAAAGAACAACTCCTCCGTCATCAAGTTCCAACCTTGTTTATAACTGTTGCTCTTGATGAAGGTCCCGGCCCACCAATTAAGTATCAGTATACTGAATTGGGAAAGCTCTACTCTGTTGTATCAGTATTGGTAAGATGCTACGATGTTAGTGCATTCTGTAAAACAAGTGATGGTAGTACAAATATAAAACCGAATCCCTACGCCGATGAAGGTGGCCCAATACATCCAATTACTTCAGAAGTATCGGAGATGCTCTATCAAAGACAAAGCATTATTAAAAAAGTTGTAGAAGATTGTCAATCTAGTGAAGACATTACAAAATTGTTGTTATTTTGTTCGTGGGAGAATGAGAGTTTTTCAAATTATTTGCTATCGGAATTGGTGTGGCAAGTTGCATTTTCTTACACCTACGAGCTAAGACCGTATCTGGATCTTATAATGAACACTTTATTCATACAAGACTCTTTCCAAATGCAGCGAATTATGTTAGCATTCAAAGGAGTTCCTGATGATAGAGACGGTTTATTTGATATAATTCAAAAGTCTAAAAACCATTACCAAAAACGAGGCTATCAGATTATTAAAATGATGGTTCAGCTATTTAATAAGTGTCAAAGTTCATTAGACATACTGTGTAGATACACCGATTTCAAGAAAAAATGGCAACATGCAGTGGAGTGGTTAAGCGAGGAACTAGAAAGAAGACCTTACACGAGTCATAACACCTATGCTTGGTCTCCACCAGCCCAATCGAATGAAACATCAAACGGTTACTTTTTAGAACGTTCAAATTCGGCTAAATTGACACTTCAACACGCGTTACAAATTTTACCTGAAGAAGATATGGAAGACTGCCGACGGTCACCGTCGCCAAAATCCGTAAGTGAAAATATTTTTGATAGTAAAAGTAGTTAGTTACCTAATAAAAAATTAATTTGTTTATATATTTTCATTAATAACAGCCGGCAAGTCGAGAATGTTCAGACGACATACCATCGCCAAATGAAGAACTCTGATTGAGCATGTCGGTTAATTTTTTTTATGTAAAAGATATAGGTTATTTTTTTGCGTGCTTGTATGAAAAAAAAAAGGAATGTTTCGATTTATTAAAGCAAATTGTGATATCAACAAAATGATCCTGAGTGTGCGTGCGCTTTTTTTTTTCAAGAATTTTCGGACTGATTTATACGCCGTATGGGGGAGGGGGGAATAGGGATGCCAAAGACGATGCGTTATATTTTTAGCCGAATTTATTGTCTAATTCTATATATACATATATATATGTATATTTATACATATACGTTTAAAATAAGCTTTTTTCAAACAAACGTAACGCGTTATTAATTTTTTGTAGTGTTGCAACAGTTTATGTGACAATTTAAAAAGAAAAAAACGAGTCTCTATATTGCAGTATATGCAGTGAAAGTCGAATACACTTTGGGTTTTGTTACAGTTTTGAAAGGTAAACTAGGGCTTAGAAAATTGTAAAGAGTGAATAAATTGGGAAAATAAAATTTTTTACAGTAAGTGGACTGCTAATTCGTTATTTGTCCATTATTACTGCATGTCGATTACGTAATTATGACAGCTCAAATATTCTATATACTATTATATGATACTATATATATATACAGTATATAAATGTATATATATATATATATTTATACCAAGTATATATAAATATATGAAAAAAATAACAATTACACCTTTCAAATGTTTTAGTAATTTTTTTTTTTGACATTTTTTTTTACCAATCTACCCAAAGGTATTTCTTTCCAAGTGATATTAACTTTCCTTTTACAGCCTATTTAACTCGAATTCTTTGTAAGTTAACCAACCAAATCCCAATTTTTTAATGAAATGATTTGGAAGATTGATTAAAAGAGATGTTAGACTTTTTCAATCGGAAAAATCAATACATTTTTAAAAGCCTGTATAATATTTTTTCATTTAAAGAGTTTTTAAATTCTATTTTAATGATTAAAATGTTTTAGTCGAAATTATTTCTCCTTTTCTCTTGATAATCTGTAATGTTATTGATAGATATTTTTGCGGCGGCGCACATTCCATGAAATATTGAGTCTTCATCCGATAATAGTTTTAGCGGATTAGCATATTCAAGTACATTTCCTTTATCCATTACTACAACTCTATAGGTGCATAATTAAACGGTTTTTAATATAACGGATTATCTATTTTCCTATACTTACCGATCATAATCCAATATAGTATTGATTCTATGAGCTATTGTTATGATGGTGCAAAATTTAAACTGCTGCCTAATAGTCCTTTGAATAAGTTCATCAGTCTCTAAATCAACTCCAGCAGTTGCCTCATCGAGTAATAGTATCTTGGTCTTTCTTAGTAGAGCTCGCGCTAAGCAGAGTAGCTGTCTTTGACCCACGCTGTATTATATAAATATTAAATAGTTTATCTGGGATGGACCATTACAAGTTATACCTTAAATTCTCTCCATCTTCTCCGCATTCGTAATCTAACTGTTCTGGTAAAGTGGAAATGAAGTTGAGCAAATGAGCATGTTCAACGGCCGTCCAGATTTCATCGTCAGTATAGTCATTTCCGGGATCAATATTAAACTTGAGTGAACCAGAAAAGATAACGGGATCCTGTATTTTTTTGAGGAGAAGGAAAAGGGGAAGAGAAAGAGCTTAATTGAGTGTTAAAATGGTAGAATTAGATAGAATATTACTTGAGGAATTACAGTCAGCCTCTTTCTTAGATCGTGTAAACCTAGAGTCTTAATATCTATATCATCTATTATAATTGATCCGGATACTGCTTCAATAATTCTAAATAAAGATAATGCAAGAGAAGATTTTCCAGCACCAGTTCTTCCTACAATACCAATTTTCATTCCCTCCGGAACGTCAAGGTTCATTTCCTTTAGGACAAAATCCAATTCGGGCCTATACTTTGTACTGTAGTCTTTAAATAAAACTCGACCTCTTTCTGGCCAGTCAATTGATAAATGTTGATCACTTTTCCAAGGTGCCTTTGAGCGAAAAACAAGCAAGATTAATATAGACTATATATAAATTTGTTTATATATTTAATCTTACTTCTGTTGGCTGATCTATATATTCCTTTATTCTTTCAACAGAAACGATATAGCTTTCGAGTTCGCAAGAGTTCCGAAGTAAAACAACCAATTGTATACAAGTCTACAGTATATTTTATAGGCGTTTATTTATTAATTGACATATAAATATAATTAAAAAAACATACCATTATGGCGTAGCTAACACTTGCACCCACTAGACCAGGATCAACTTTACCCTTTTGAGAGATTGCAATAATCGTTGCAATAAGAGTTGTGACTGCTCCAATAGCTTCGGCGTGAATAGCTATCCATCTATGATAAAATGTGAAAGATTAACAGAGTAAGATCAATGAAATAATTCTGAAGGAGATTCTACCTAAACGATGAAAACACCTGAAACCAGGTACTTTGACTTTCATCTAAGTGAAAATCACTCTTGTCTATGAATCTATTCTCTACTTTATAGGCTCTGATGGAAGAAACTCCGTTCAAAGTTTCACTAAAGAACGCAAAGACCGGCGACTTTTTAATAGCATCGAGTCTTTTAAGTTGTCTAGCGCAGCCCATGTAACACCTTTGTACAAATCCATATATCAGAACCATTGGAATAGCCGCCGCAGAAAATATTGGTGTACTTGCAATCATCATAACAATTGTAGCTATAACTTGCGAAATAGAGCTCAAAGTGAACGTCATATACCTTGGTGATAAATAAATATAGAACTTTAAGAATAAACAGTTAAAGATAAATGTAACTCACAAAGGGATACTAATATCTAGATAATCAATATCTCTGGAAAATCTATTCAGGATTCTTCCTAAAGGTGTTGTGTCGAAGAATTTCATAGAACTTTTTACTATGTTCATCAATAGTTGACTGTGGATTGTTGAAGCAGCTATCATACTTCCAAAAGCAATTGTTAAAGTTATCCCGAGAACGGATAAGACTATAGGAATTTAATAAATATCTTAAAATTTCTTTTAATTAACTAAAGATAAAGGGAGCATACCTTGACCTATTCCAAATACTCCGTATATTGCTAAACGATATCTTATTTGATTATAAGGATTAGTAGCATTTAGGATCTTTGGATCTGTACTCCAAGCTGCTAGCCAAATGTTCGTTCCAGTTATAGTTGATATAAGGCATACTACGGATACCGCCAAAAGAATTGTTAAAAATACAGTAGCTGCCTTAACATATGCGATAATAACTGAAAGTTTTATCTGAAATGAAGATAATTTTTAGGAAAAAGAAAGCAAAATAATTCTTTCTATCTTACCGCTCCAACTTCCGATCCTTCATCTTCAATTAGTTTAGCAATCGATGATACATTATTTTCAGTTGTTGATTGTCTTTCGAATAGTGAACTTTCCATACTTGCTGAAAGACCGGTTTCTATAGTTGATAACGTACTGATTAATCTTTTAGGTTTATAAATCGTTTTTTTATTTTGTTCATCTTCTTGATTATCTGGCGGAGAAACAGATAATTTATTAACAAAATTAGTTATATATAGAACGAGGGAGAGAGAGTGAGAGAGAGAGAGAGAATTCACTACCTTCCGTCGCTGAATGAAGCTTTATAAATTCTAAATAACTTTCTTTAGTTTTCATCAACTCATCGTATTGTCCTCTGTGAATAATTTCACCGTCTTTCATGACAATAACTTCATCGACGTCTGGTAGTATACTCAAACTATGAGTAACAAGTATTCTTGTCTATTTTAATGGGAACAAAAGTGTAAGTTTGTACGAAGAAAATGCGTAAAATTTGACTCTAACTTTATTCCTTAAAAGACCAGTTGGTCCAATGACATTCTCAAAAATGTGCTTTCCTACATGGGAGTCAACGGCCGACAAAGGATCATCAAAAAGATAAATATCACAGTCCTGATATACAGCTCTTGCTAAGCTGATTCTCTGCTTCTGACCACCGCTGACATTTATTCCCTGACGAAAAGAATGAGGATGACCTTTTAGTTTGGAAGATAATCAATAATTGAAATTTAGTAACTCACTCTCTCGCCAATTTCAGTTTCGTCACCAGCCGGAAGTACATCCATATCACTCTTTAGAGCACATGCATTAATAACCTTCGTATAAGATTTAGAATTCAATAACTTGTCGAAAAGAATGTTATTTTTAAGTGATAAATTCTGAATCCATGCTTGTTGGGGAACGTAGGCTAATCTACGACTCTAATGAACAGAGAAGCTTAAAATCTAATATTTATGAACAGAATTTTCATGATATTTACATTCATTGTAACTTTCCCTTCAAGAGTTGTCATTTCACCTAAAATTGCTGATAAAAGAGATGATTTGCCATCACCAACTCGGCCTATAATGGCAACTAGAGATCCCGTTTTTACATTTAATTGAATGCTTTAAAATAAAATGTAAAAGAAAGAAAGATAAATGGGTTCATTCCCTTTACATTATATAGTATTTACTTTTTCAAAGAAGGTCTTTCATCCCATGAAAATGTTCCATCTTCAATTCTTATGGCGTCAGCTGTATGAAACGATTTCGTAAAGATAAATAAGAAATTTTTTTTTATCTTGCAATAAAGAATTAAAAGTAATTAAGTACAAACCACTACAAACATCATATGATATCGACAGTGGATCTCTCTCCTCTAAAAGGAGAAAAGCTCTTAGACGTTTTGCAGAGATCATTGCCTATAAAAAGTTCGTTAGGTATAGGATAATATGTTAATTATTCTTATTCAATCAATTTATTCTACTTGAATTAGGCCAGAGACAGCATTTCCTAAGATTATCATTGGCATATTCAAAATATTAATAAGGGCTAGGCAAGTAAACGTCATTGAGGGAGTCAGCGTATTATCATTGCTAAAATAGACATATGTACCAAAACAAGCAAGCGAAACCTATTAGAAAATATAAGTAAAAGACCAATTAATTTTTATAGTATTTAATTAGAAATTATTAGGATATAACCATATAAGGTGAACATATCCATGTGATGGTTGCAAAAGCATTGTAAATAGCTGCCTTTTTTAACAAATAGATTTCCTTTTTCCTAATATCCATTGCCTTATTTGCGAAATATTGTTCCCATGCGTAAAGTTTTAAAACTTTTATTCCCATCAAAATCTGATTGACAAACTTTATTCTCGAGTCTTTAAGTTCCATTTGTTTTCTTTGCAATTCTTTCACTTTCTTTGCTAAGTAGAAAGTGTTGAATGGCGCCAAAATCATTATAATTATAGCTCCGGTAAAAGCAGATACACCAATTAATTTGTATAGAATTATTAACACGGAGATAATCTACATAAAAGTAAATTGAAATGTAAAGAAATATTAGCTTTTAAAGTTATATATAAACCATAAAAGGAGCATTCCATATCCAATGTAAGTTTACGAAAACATCCTGAATTTTTTGACAATCTACCGAGATAAGATTAACAATTTCTCCAACAGTTGTCTTCCTTTTGCTCCTATTAGATAATCTAAGAGATTTTCTATAAATGACTGCGGTAAGAGCAGATTTGGCTCTCATTCCGCCTAAATAATTATAAAAGAATGTATTATGAATGCATAAAATGTCAATAAGTTGACAGACGAATAGAAGAATAGCCCAACTGTATCCTTGCCATATTTGAGCATCCTTGTCTTGTATGAAATTAATAATCCCTCTGTTTACAAAAAAAAAGAAATATATTTAAACATGTTAGAAGTTTCTATCTAATCTCGGCGTATCTATTACATTTAAAAGATAATATAAAGAAATTGATTCCCTACCGTAAGATGAATGGCTTTATTAGTTCTAAAATTGAACAAAATAGTAGTAGGAAACCAGATGATATTAGGATGTTAGCCGTTGTTATAAAAATAGGCCAGGCTAGAGAAACATTCGATTCCTTTTTAGTTTTTCTTTGATATTTCCAAGCTTTACTAAATACGCTGTAAGCATATTTGGCTGTATCGCTTATCCTTAGACTCCATGTATCGTCCTCGAATGTTAGACGTTTCCTATATCCTTTCCAGACGAGTCTGGAATGAATGTTTTTATTTTGGTTTGTTGGAAAATAACTGTTACGTTTATATAAGAAAATATTAAAAGTCAAATATTTACGGTGTAAACCATGTAAATACGATTCTATTGAAGAATGAACACGTTTCAATTGGACACTTAGTTTTTGGTTTTATACTATCATTCTCATTGATAAATTCTTTGGATGATAGCAATAAAGGAACGCTTTCATCTAGTTTATAAACGTTTGATTTAGAAGCTTTTGTATCAGCAGGAATCGATAGTATTACTTGAAGAAGGAGGACAACAACAAAAGGAAGAATTAGTTTTGTTCTAAATTCGTCCTTTTTAACCTATAAAAAATAATGAGAAAAAACCGATTGAATGCTATTTAAAAGTTGTTCTTTTCTGTTTTTAATTTGTTTGAACCTCTGCTTCCCATCTAATCAGTCTCGATCTAAGTATTATTAAGTAAGAGGTAAATAGTAATAGCCAAAATATACTCAATACACCATTCGTATGCTCTCCTCTCCTAAAGCTGTATCTTGTGAAGATGGCAGCAACGGCCTAATAAATTAACAAATAATCGTTTAATTTTGCAATTTAACATTCATTAATTAATGAATAATTATTATAAACTTACTAATGCAATTGATAATAAAAGAGGTTGAATTATATCAATCCAACTAAATTGTGGATAGTTTCTTAATTTTCTAAGATTTTCAATAACCCAAAAAAGGTCAATTAACTGAGCAACTACTAACAAAATGATATTAATCTGGAACAGAGGCCAGTAATAGAAACTTATAGTATTGAAAGTTAATTAAAAGTATAAGTATATACTGCATATTTAAACTTACAACTTTGAAAAAGTTTAGCAAACTAGTATAACTCCATTCATGTTTAATTTCTGATTTTTGTAAGTAAAATACATATGGAATAAGTGAAAAGAGTAGAAATCCAATAGGAATCCATTGGAGAATTGTTCTTTGAAAACATTCAGTAAAATCTGGTGATGTTGTATTCTCGTACAAAACCGGCGCCTAAAAGGAAAGAAACAATAAAATAAACAAAGTGGATTTATCAATATCTAAATTTCAAAGTTATTATTTTATTTACCCAAAATGCATCGTAGGTATAGTTGAATCCACATAGAGTCTCCCACCAAATATTTCTTGGATCGTCCATTGAGAATAACTACTTTTTTACCGCACAGGAGAAGCTTATATACAACAATATATATTATTACGGTTAAGATTCTTTCTGTATATGTCTTTATTGTTTGAAGGATCGCGGTAAAAGTGAATTCGTTCCGAAATCACGCTACAATTTGAACAAGAGTTTTTTAGCAGAGAGCAAAGATAACAAAGTGCTAACGATAAGAACAATATAGAGTAATGAAACAAACAAATAAAAAAAAGACAATAGATATAGTGGCTATGAAGTAAAAGATGAAGCCATAGAAGAAACGATTAACAAAGAGATTCAAACAATAATAAGGTGATATTAAAAACAAATTGTTATAGTCTTTATAATCTTTTGAGGTAATTTGCATACCTGGATGATGAAATATGAGAAAATATAGATTCTGTTCAACCTATCTTGGCTGAATGAAACAGATTAAATTTTCGACGTGCCTGATAAGAAATTCAATACTTTTCAAACAATACGACCGGCTCTTTAATTGTTTAAAATACTAAGATACAAGTTTGATAATATATGTAGCTATTCAATTACTATTATTCCCCCTTTTCTGTCTCTTTCTCTCTCTCTCTCTCTTTAACTAGATAGTACAATATTAAACTCAGCTGACCTATAGGTCTAAAATAATTCTTTTCTTTATATGTAAACTAAGGGTAATTGTACCTACTAATTAAAATTAATATGTTGTTGTTGCTTTGATTATCAATCGTTTTGATTAGAAATGATAACAAAAAATGTTGCGTAAGATGATGAAATTTTCTTACTATTCATTTCTCCATTCTGATTGTATTATCAGTTCAGTTTTACTCGTTTTTCGTAGTAAAAGATTACGATCTCTACCTCTTTCTATTTATTAATTAATAAGAAAATTTCCTCTCGTTTTCCTTTCATTTTCCTTTTTCTATTGTTGACTATTGTTTTCTTTTCTTTTATTACTCTTCAATTAATTAAGATTTTATCGATTTTTCATTTTCACCTCTGCTCCCTTTTATCAATGACTACTCTTTACATAATAATTAACGGAAGAAAGAAAGACAGTTTGTTTATTGGGTGACTAGTACTATGCCCCTGTGGACTAATTAAATTGATAATTTATATTATCGATTAAGATATCACTAATTTTCATTGAAAGAATTGAGAATTATTTGATTTCCCGAGCTAGTTCTGTGACAAGTTATATATACTGTTATAGAGAAAAAAAAGTTTGGTAATTTCAAGTACAAACAATCTTCCCTCTTGAAGAGTATTATCGATTTTTTTAACCAGTTATTTTATACGAGTTATTTAAAAATAGTATATTCTAATCATTCTTTCTCTCTCTCTCTCTCTCTATCGGATTAATAACCTAACAATACGCAAACGGCTTTTGTATCATAGAGTCTGTCTTCTTTCTATTAGTCAAGGAAACAATATAAATTGAAAGATATTCAAAAGAGAACAGAAGTTTACTTTAAAGTTTAATAACATTTTCTTTAAAAAAACAAAAATATAGTTCAAGGTTAGAATTTAATTAAAATGGAAAATAGTTTAAGCAAATGGAGGAAAGTACTCTTCTCTTTATTTCTAATCTTCAGCATAGTCAATAGATAGTTCAGAAATACAAGTAGAGTATGATGCAATAGATTGATTATGAATGTATTACTAATAGTATATAAAGTTGATATAGCAAGATAAAATATCAAATATAAGTATCAAATTATCAAGAATGTTTTAGATTTACTATCAAGCAAAGGTCTATCTTTGACTTTATATTAAAATAGCTCATAAGTACGGAATTCCCTCTTGTTTTTCTTTTAACGTCTTACGTGCGTTCTTCGCAAAGATACCGTTTAATTATTTTATTAAAATGCTATTAACGACCTTGAAGTAAAAATTTGTTCATGTTTTTTTCTAAAACGTCCGTCTTTAAAGAGTAATTTACAAACTGGTAATCGATACTTGATTATTTATTTTGTATAATATTGAAATCCAGTCTTTATATGTTTAAAACGAATATTTTTTACTCTTTTTCTTTATTAATAGGTAAATAGCGATAAAAACAGTAGAAACTATATTTCCATTCTTTACCTATAATAACAAAAAAAACAAAACACTTGTATAAAATTGATGTTAAAACTCTAGAAGCCATATTGTACTGGAAGAAAGAGGGATCAGTTCCTCAGTTTCAATTCTACGAATTATAAAGAATAATTTACTTTGATGATAGGACTATTTATAATCCACAGGTTTCGTTTTCCCTCTATGATTATTACTTAAAAAAAAAACCTCTATAAAAAGAATTGCAGGAACTATTATATTCTTGTATAAGAATAGTTTCAGATTAGAATAAATCTATTATAATATACTAATTATTCTATATGTAACATTCTTCTGTTTTTCCGTTGCACTATTCATAGATTTTCATCGATTGTTTGACAAGTTTGTTAGAAAATTTCAATCGTTGAATGATAGTCAATTGTACAGTAGTATAAAAAGAGATTTCAAATTCCCTTGTTTATAAACGCCTACCTGCTATTTTACTTCATAAGGCGAGTTAGCATAGCTTTAATATTACATTATATACTAATACGATGTATGTATATACAGTATATTGATATATAAGTACAATAATAGGTAAGGTACATTCTATAGAAATAATATGATGATGATATGTGTGTGTGTGTTTTAAGCGGTAGGTACTGTGTTCTCCATGTAAAATACTATTGAATAAGGTTAGTATAATTATTCAATACAACTATTTATGGAGAATATAAAACGTCTGATATGTCGATATATAGTTGAAATTGCTTGGATAAGAAAATCTGTCGTAATATTCATTTATTAGATGACAAAGAATTTATTGAAATATAGCAGCAGGTATAGATTCTTAAGTCTTAACATATATATATATATTGACTATGTCACGTAATTAATAAGGTTTTTTTTTCACCTTGTTTCTCCACCCTCCCAATTTCTCCACTTCTTAGACGACTATTGATAATCATACCTTAATTAGTTCTAGAACATTGACTGAAATGATTAAATGTCCGACTTAAAATAAGATTTTTTGATTGATATTTGGTACAGATGCTGATATTTTTTCCCATGTTTAACCTGAATGTCTTTAATTATAAAAGTTTTGTGGATTTCATTGACAAAGGAGGTTAACCTGACCAACAACCATACCATGAATTAATACTACGAAATTTTATCGCTGTTATTACAAAAATTCATGGTTGTATTAGTCATATCATGACACATTACCACCCAGCGACCTCTATATATATAAAATTTTCTATCGAGCTCTATTACTATTATTACCTCTCTCAAGAAAATGGCTAGCAATCGTTTACGAAAGGAATTGATGGATTTTACTAAAAGTCCCTTACCGAATTGTTCTGCACAGCCTGTCAATGATAATATGAATGAATGGAAAGCAACGTTAATAGGACCGGAAGGTACGCCTTATCAATCTGGTACATTTGTTCTCAGAATACAGTTTCCAATGGATTATCCATTTAAACCACCAAAGATAGAATTTAAAACAAAAATATTTCATCCAAATATCAACGAGAGTGGTGGAATTTGTCTAGATATACTAAGAAGTAGCTGGTCACCTGCGTTAACCGTACCTAAAATTCTTCTCTCAATTAGTTCTCTATTAGCTGAACCTAATCCAGAAGACCCTCTAGTTCAGAATATCGGTAAATTATATCGTCATAATAGAGATAAATTTAACGAAACAGCAGAACAGTGGACAAAAAAATACGCACATGGAAATAAATGAAAAGTAAATGTAAAAAGTAAATGTATTACGTTGTTAAGAAGAGATTTGTTTTGTTACTGATTTAAACTACGAAGTAGATTTTGTCGATAATTTGTTTATCATCATACTCGATATATTCAACGTACTTCTGTAAACATTAATTAAAATCAAGATGTCCGTTAAGTTTGTTAATATTATTAGTGTTCTTTGTCAATACATTCTAAAGAAATTAATCATAAGTTCAAGCGTATGGGACAAAACCTGAATTTTTCAATTAAAAAAACAATGTATGACTCATACCAATAGATAATAATCTTTTTTCTTTATGCAAGACTCTGTACGTTCTTTAGTCCTACAAAATCGATGACTCTATAAATATCTCAATTCACTCCTTCTTTCTCTCCTTATTCTCATATGCATTATATTTGTACAAGATAATTTTTTATTGCTCAAACAATTTAATAATTAAACTGAATCTATATATAGAAAAGAAGGATGTGCTTGCAATATATACAGTATATATAAAAATATATGCACAGTACATACAGTACATATTAACAGTTTATACAACATATTATTTATTTTCTATTCATATATTTTCAATAAATAATATTAAAATTAAATTGTGATTTGATCAATAAAATAATTAATTTCGTAGTTTTTGTTTTATCGCCTATTTACAAGAAACAATTTATTCTTTCCTTTAAATCATCGATACCGACTTGTTTGTCCGAATCTCTTGGTACTGCTGTATCAACCCCCGTCACTTTTCTGTCTTCATTTAGCAGACCAAATTCTTTAATTATGTAATCAAATGGCTTCGAATGTTGTAAATCCTATTAAAAAGTATATTTTTATTAAAGGTTTAATAGTTGTAACAAAAATTAAGATATTTAGATATCAAGATATATGTTACTATGTTGTTACTTTCTATTTATATGTTATTGATTTGTTTCTCTCTGTGTTTACCTGTTTATTGGCACAAAGTAATAATGGGACGTTTTTCATATTTTCATGCGCCAGAACCATTTGCAGGGCGTCACTTGATTCTGACATTCTAGAAGAATCTGCACTATCTATTACATAGATTAACAGGGCCAAATCGTGGGCATTATCGAGAAATTTTGGCCAATAAGTTCGATATTTAGGGGAGCCACCAACTGAAATATTTCAACATAATTTGAAACGTGGTTATATCGTATCAGACAATAGTTCTTTTATGTTGTAATTATTACCTTCCCAAAAATTCATAGAATCTTCGATACAAACGATATTAAAACCTTCCGTTGGTTTACTAACAAACGTTTCACCCTTTTTCTTTGCGCTTAATCCATGTATTATAGTTGATTTTCCCGAATTGTCTAAACCTAGCACAAGTATTCTCTTACTACGAGATTCTTCCTTTAAAGAGAAGAAAAGCTATTAAGATAATCAAGTTTGTAATGTTATCTACAACTTACTTTATCATTGCCGATTGTTTCACCTTCATCTTGACAGAGAAATTTATAGGCCAAATAAGCCGAGCCAGCCACGGCTGCTCCTATGCCAACTGTAATAAATGCTCGACTTACCATTACTAACAGAATATTCTCTTCAGTATATTTATTGAAGAGAAATGAATTTATGTCACGCTGACGAGAAAAGCAGCTTTTCTGAGACCGAAAGATGAAAGTTTTGTCCGCGGTATGTGACGGAAGTGCTGATAAAATGTTCCCAGCTACTACTATAAACTATGTAACTTATAAAAATTTCAATTTTTCCCACAACGATATTTTACTTGTTTTCTTTTCTTTGCAAGAGGAGAAATCGTTTTTAAAAAATACGAAAATAGTCAACATAAATTCGACCTTGACCTTAAGGCTGTTATTTTGAAATTAATCAAAGAGGTTTTTGATTAGTTTTCTCTCTAATTGGTAAATTTTATGATTGATTTTGAGTAAATATTTAGTGGCTTTATAAACAGGATATATATTATCGTCTTTGAATAAATTTCTTATTAAAAATCAAAATTTTCTTTTATTCGGCAAGTTCAGACAAGACAAATGCATAAAAAGAATTATTAAAATGGAATTAGAAAAAAGTACCAGAAAGACCAAACAAAAGATGCCATCACTAAATGATCGGCTGGGTATACATTTATACAATTCTTTAATAATTTGCATGATAAAATGTTTAAAACTTAAAACAGGTCAACTTCGTCCATCTAGGGAATTGCTAGAGTTTTACAGGAAAAAGTTACTAGAATATGATTGTGAACATGATAGTATGGTAGAGAGATTAGAAAAGTACAAAATGACTTATGAAGAACAGGTATATGTTTTCAGCAATACGCATCAGAATCAATATAATTTCAATATGAATAAACGTTCTAGCATAAAATAGAATGGGAGATGAAACAAAGGGAAGAGGAAATAACAGAATTACAAAAAGCTCTAAGTGATATGCAGGTATAAAATAAGTCATTTAATTTCTCTGTAGGATTAAAGTTTTATCAGATAATGACCCTTTTGCAGACGTATCTGTTTCAAGAAAGAGAGCATGTCCTTCGTCTCTATGCTGAAAATGATCGTCTTAAGGTATTTAATAATATTCACTTGATAATATTGAAAAGCTTTACAAAATTTTTTCAATTAATCATTCTCAGATTCGAGAGATTGAAGATCGAAAAAAAATTCATCTTTTGCTATCTTTAAGTGGTCTAACTGAGAGAGAAGTGTCTTATTTCCTAAAGGAACCACCCTCAGCAGCTGTTATACAGCAAAAGCTTCCTCAAAAGCTTCGACAAGAATTAGAAAGATTACACTTGGATGAAAAAATTTATCCGAAACGTTAGCAATACTATCAATCAACTGACTCCCCTTTAATGTGTTTCTATTTTAGAGGGTTCCAAGAAGTTTTCAAGTAAAGATCCAAAAAAAAAACAGACTAATGGTATTTATGAACGTGACAACGAATCACTAGCCTTGCAGGTAGAGGCCTTACAAGCTCAATTAGCAGAGCAGACCAAATTAGCCAAAGAACAGATGGAGGCTTTGTTAGAGGATAGGAGAGTAAGGCAAGAAGAGTCTGATACTAGAGCCTCCAGGGATCAAGAAAAATTGAGACAAATGCAAGAAAAATTAAATAAGGCCCAAGATCTACTTTACGATTCTACTAAACAATTTCTCCAGCAAAGAGCAGACTCTAGGGCCCAAGAGTTAGCTGCCGTTAAGGAAAAAGACCTCCTTTTACGACAACTGGACGATGCAAAGTGTAAATTAGAACGAACAATAACTTTTAATCCTCACCAAGATATAGATACAAATAGCTTTGATTCTACCGATAACAAATTACATGCGGAAGAAGAAATAACCGTAAGATTTTCATCAGCTTCGTGAACAAATAACGATCCTTACGATTATTTTATAATATATTTTAGATACTTAGAGATGATTGCGAAAAAGCTCAAGAGCTTGCAGAAATGTACCGCGAGCAAGTTATTCAGTTAGAAGAAGAATTGTCAAAAATTCGTGAGGAAGGTGATGTTGGAAAGGAACTTTTTAAGGTATGCTAAAAGAAACTAAATTTAAGAGGAAGGTTACTTGAACTTTAATTATCAAAATAATTTGTATATAGGAAAGAGCAGAAAAGATGGCCAAAAGATTAGACTTGATGAATCAACGATATCAAGAATTAGAGAAAAGAAGAATATTAGAGGTTCGCATGTCAAATACATTACTTTATTCAGTAATGATTTTCAAAAAATTACCCCGTCTAGGTTGAAGGATTTAAGACGGATATTAAGAATTTAAGAGAGAAAATTAAAAGTCTAGAGAAGCAGCTGTTTAGGGTAAATATCCGAGCATTTAAGAATAAATCTATTTTCTTCTACTATGAAATGATTTATATTGTAGATAACAATTGGTGTTGGAGATGACTTGGCAGAATTATCAAAATTGAAAAAGCCAGACGAAATTGACATGGCAATGTTAAGAAGAATACACTCATCCGCTCAGAGATCAAAGTACATGGTTGGAGAATTAAAAAATTTAAAAAGTAAAGTATACGGAATGGAAGCCGATCTGAGAAGAATGTAACAAGAATAATTAACAGCTAACCTTTAGGTTGATTTTTAATTAAACTACGATATTTTAGTTTTTTTTTAAAGACTTAAATTATTCTTTCATTTGTTTTTTTTTAAGTACAATTGTTTTATAGACTCGACTAATAGGAATGTTATTTATAATAAAGAAACAAAAAAACAAATATCTACCAAACTACACTTTTTCAACTACGAATATATACACAAGTTATAACAAACATAAAAGACTATTTCAAATTTTTTCCTTGATGGTTGAACTATATATTTTCGATTCTTTCAATATAAAACATTCATAAGAAGAAGGCGTCTTTCGCTGATTTGACAAATTCATGACAGTTTTATTAAAAAGAAACATCTCACGATTCTTCATTGGCAACATGATGGACTAAATCCCCCAAGGCATGATCAACCATCGTTTGAGCTGCAGCCTCACTCATCTTTATAAAGTGAATGGTTTAAAATAAAGAATTTAAATGAAATTTTTGACTTACAGAACGATAATCAACTTCATCTTTAGGAGGAAAATGAAATTTAGGTCCGAAATTAACATTTACCTATAAATTGCAAATGGTATAAATTAGCAATAGATAGAATTTGAAATATAGTAGGTATGATGATCTTATACGAACCGTGCAATTTCTATATAAAGATATTGCTGGATAATAAGTGCCCTCGTAAATATCAGTTTTTGCAACTCCCTGGCATTCTCCATTTTTATACATAACCAACTTTAAGACATTAATAATTAGATAAAAAGAACTCATAAAAATATAAATAATAACTAACCTTGCTTCCATGGGAAACTGTAAGCTCGCTAAGAGCTTTGTTCACCTCGTCTCTTTCTTCAAAATAGAGATGATTCTTAAATTTCACCAAAGGCTGTTTGTTTTAGAGAATAAAATTTCAATTTTTGTAAAGTTTTTAAATAGGAAACTAACTTTATCTTTGTAAACGTAAGGTAATAATTTCTTTGGAGAAGGTAAATGAATTAGGAAACCCAAAACATCTCCTTCTTTATAGCCAGATGAGTAATGCTTTCCTCGAGCGTCGTGAAAGATAGTACCCTTGCGAGATCTCCATGAATATCCAAACTTTTCATATCCGCAAGGAGATTGAAGTATAGCTGTAATAGATCAAAATATCTCTTAGTTATTAAAGTTTATCATTTTATAAAATATCAACCTAAGTGCTGTGACCATCCCAGTCTACAGGCTGATTTTTCGGGCATTTCGTCAACCGTAACCTCAAAATACCAGGTACCTCTGTTTACTCCTGCAAGAAATTTCAATTAGAGGGATAATCTATTTTGATGGAAATAATTTAGAAATATTACCATGAGTTGCTCTAATAGTACTATAACCTTTCTCTCCAGTTACGGTAAAACGAGTTTCAGAGAGTTTCAACTGAGGTGCTATTTAAATCATAGAATGAAAAAACTATTAAAGTATAATCATTAAAGAATAATAGCAACCTCGATCGTGGAGAGCTAGGAAGACATTTTCTTCTAAATAGGCTCGATAGAGATAACCGGGAATTGGTTTGCCTGCCCAATCGGTACTTTGATCGTAAGTAGTTCTATTTGGTGCATGCATATCAGGTTCAGCTAATATGTAGCGATATCCATCCTTATTGAACGGATGGTCAGTAGGAAAGCAATGGGGAATAAGCTTATTAATAGACGTCACTTCACTAAAGAGAACAAAAAAAATATACTTAGATTATACTAATACAGTATATACAGTATATATGTATTGTATAAAAGCAATTTACCCTTTCTTAGCTCTGTAGTTCATACTGGCTGCTTCTGCAGCTTTTCTCTTAACTCCTCTACCACTCTTACCTATGAATTTATGACAACGCAATTAGAAAGTAAAGAACTTGATAAAGATTTACCATCGAAAGTTACAGCAGGACTGATTTTATCCTTATTTTGTTCATAATTTGGACAAATTTTCGACAGATCCTGTTGAAAATGTTTTGTAGGTGAATATATATACAAATATAGCTAATTTAACAAATATAGCCAACCGTGCAAATTAAACCGTAATGATAATCTAGGGGATTTTCATCGTTATAAACAAAAATATCCAGCTTTGTTAACTATTATTGCAAAAACCAAAACTTTAAATTGATTTTTAAGATTAAATCTTTATTATTACCATAGTCTTTGAAACAGTTGTATGCCATGTTTGTTTAACTCTTCTCGCCATCGTTGTTAAACTTTCCCAATTTTCATCAATAAACGGTATAATTTCCTAATTTTATTAAATTTTAAAAGATTTATTCAAGTTTAATATAAAAATAGATTACTTACTTTACTTAAAGAGAAAATTTGTTTACCAGGATTCATAATCATTAGATTAGCTATAGCAGATTGACACATTTGTGTGAAACCTGAAAGTAGAAGGAATAGTTTAATATATTTTTAAGATTTAATAAAACCAATTACCAATTTGTTTTCTTGAAAAGTTTTCAATATTCTGAGGAGTGCACCTCTTACAAGTGAATGTATAGTTTGTGGTAAATGGAACATTTTTGCTATAAAGTTGATATAGATTTTTTAGAATTCTTTTGAAATAATATAAACGTACTCTCGATTTGGGATATAACAATTTATACATTCCTGATGACAAAATTGAAGGCATTGATTACACTGATATTCAACTGATCCAATTTTTCTTTCTTTTCCACTGAAATATTTGAAGTAAATTAAAAAAAAATTCACTATTTATATGAATATAATGTAAATTCTAAGTTACCAATAACACTCTCCAAATTCATCTAAATCGCAGTCATCTTTCGTATCTGATTCCGTTATATCCATCTTTTTAACTTCAGAGACCTTTCCTTCGCTTGAAGCTAGAAATTTTAATATTTTGTAATTTTTTACAGAGAACATCTCATTTTTGAAATATTTTAATATATGAATGATTTCAAGATAGATGTTATTAAACTAAGTAGCAAAAAAAGTAACGATGAAAAAAATTACAAACATTCACAATCCGCCATTTGAAATTCTTGAAAATTGATTCGTTTGAAGCAATTTGAACCTTAGGAAGAAATTGATGTTATATTTGAGCTCTTAACTTTATAAACTTTGAGAAACCGATATCTTAATTTAGTGGTTCTGCAATAAAAACAGTAAATTTTTCTTGAAAGAGATTGTAGCTTTTAAATCCTTATAAAACACGGAACAACCGAATTTGAGTACAGGGAGTCACATTTTCCGTAACATTCGACTGGTTTCAATTTAAGATTGTTCACTTCCGGTTATTTTCGGTCAAAATTGTTTTTGAAAATCAAGAATATGTACATATTTTCACACAGGATTACAAACTGATTACGACATATCATTGAAAAACTAAACGATATATGGATCAAAATGGCGTCTACGATCGCTGTGGGATCGGTATGAAGTATAAATAATAATAATCCCTTTATATGTAATTTTCTTTAACAAAAATAGAAAAGAACATTGGAGTCTGTCACCAAAGGCAACAAAATTCCGGTATTCAACCGTTAAATGATAATTATTAACTTCTTAAGTTTTTTTCCTATTACAAACAGTCAAAAATTATGAAAAAGCATCTGGAGGGACGTCTTGTTGATTATGATTCTGACACGTCGGAAAGTAGTCATGAGATGGTAAATATCGTGTAAACAAACGTATTATGCTAAAAAATCCGTCAAAGTAGATCACAGTAAGACGACTCCGAGCTTTCAATGAACCAGAAGGGAGTAAAGCGGAAAATATTGTGAGGAGAGTAAGGTCTCCGACTGTTGAGCCAGAGATTCCAATAGAAATACAATTGAGCGAAAAAGTAGGTGTTTTATCAAAGAAACATAAAAGACAAAAAATATTACAGTAAACTTTAAACTTGTTGAAATAGTTTGCAGACCTTGAAAAGATACTTTCTAATACATGGTCACTTTTACTAAAAAATCGTAATGAAGAAGTAAAGAAAAGATTAAATTTAGTTGATTTGCAGTGGGTAGGTTATTTGTTTTGATAAATTAATAATGAGCTCTAAAATTTATCTTTCTCGTTCTTTATTTTATTCATAGATTCAAAACATACTGGAAGAAAAAGATGAAAAGAATATTAAGCAAAGCTTTAAGCGAAAAGGTCATTTTATTCTTTGCGAAATTGTCAAGCAACAAATTAAATCAGAATTATGCGACTTAAATGATAAAGACAAAATCAATGAAGCCATATCAAAAATAGATGATGTAATTATCTTGTAAATTTTTCCTCTTTTAATGATATAAATACCATATTCAAATTTAGGCCCTGGTGCACTTGAAAGACAGCGGCAACGAGAATAAAAACAGCATGTTGCATTTATATAAGATTGATTTACTCATTAAAAAGGGATGTTATCCAGAAGCCTTGAGACTTTTAAAACAAGTAAAATTTTGCTATGATTTTTCTCATTATATATAATTTAGACATTTTATGATTTTCAGCTATTGAATCAAAATCCAACAGATATGCTTTTAAGAAAAAAACAAGTGCAATGTTTATGCTTATTCGGTCTTACAAGAGGTTTTCACCGTTTTTTTGTCGTCTTTGGTAAAAATTGACTTTTAATTTTCAAAAATAATTTTGTAGATGCTATCGAAATTTGTCAAAAATGGCGACATATCAATGTGCCGTACTTCCGGGGACTAGAACTCAGATTATGCGAAAGATACTTTTGGCTTGAAAAAATGTAAATTGTTAAATTTAATATACTTTTTCAGTTATCTAATTATTTTTTTTAAATATTAAAAGGAAATCTAAGCCGGATGAAATGATACCAGACGAAGTATGTATAAAATGCGTAAATGCTGATGACGTTAAAATTGATAGTCAATTCAATAACGAAGACGAACAAAAGAAATCAGAATCTCCCCCTCTTCTACCCGAACAGTAAATACATATACAAGTTATAACATTCTATAACACTATACCACATCTTTTATTTACAGATTTACTTCTGCTTTACATACGATAATTGATTATAGGAAAGTATATCACTATTGTACAAAAAGATTTAGTTTATCAAGTTGGTTTGGCGATTTAATGATTAAATTTAAAGAAATAAAAATCAAAGGTAAAAGACGAACCACTTAGTTTTTTTTATAATTCTGAAATATATTTTTTTAATATTATTAATTCAATTTAAAGAAAAATATGAAAAAAAGTTGAGGAGAAGCATGGAGAAACAGCTCAGTATGCAAAATAATACAGAGAATCATTCTACAACAAAAAGTCCAAAGAAGAAGAAAGAAAAATTAGCTGATATAATTGATGCAGATTGTTTGAGAAGATCGTCAAGAGTAAGTCGTTAAATTATACATAGTGGAGATAAAATGTAATTTATTTCTTATAGGGAAAATTACCTGAAACTCCAAAAATAGTTGTTCAAGATACCGTTAAAGATTTCTCTAGTTATTTACCACTTGACGCTAGGTTCTATTATTAGCTATAAGTTTTAATTTGTTAATTCAATATTCTGTAATTAATAGTATTGATACCCAAGAGGAGGAAATTGCTGATTGGAGAAAGTTTTTGTGGTTTTTTTCATCAATCCATTCAGAGAGTAATGACACAAGCGAAAGTATTATGGCAACGACAGCAAAAGCAAATGCTAAGAACTTTGGAGGTTCTTATTTTAAAATACTAAATTATTTTATAATTCCTCATTTGCACATATTTAATTATTATTTTATTTTAAAAAAGATGATTGTCGAGATTTTGTTGAAGATTTAACACTTCGTTTAATCGAAAATCCAGACGATATTGTCGAAATAAACAGTATTGAATTACAAGTTTTAATGCTCATGTGGATGTTAAAATTCCAAGATCACCTATGGACGGAAACGGTTAAAGAAGTTTTCGTTATGGCGGCAATTCAAATTATTAAATTTAATGAAAAAGATTTTCAAACTTTCGAGTATGTCAATCAAAAGAAGAAACATTTATATTACATTTCATTTTTTTAGGTTTGAAGATGAAAAACTCTTACAAAAATTAGTAATTCTTACTGGGGAAATACTATTTCATAATGAAATTGAAGGAATTGACTTGTAAATTTCTTGACTGCTTATTATAAATAAATATTAACTTAAAATGTAATTTCATTATATAGACCATCATTTATAGAAGATATTCTGTTTAAGAGAAATATCAACTTTGAATTTGACGATGAACCTTTGTGGACTATTCGATGTAAGTTTGAAAAGAGTGTATGATATTAATGTATATTTAATATTAATCCCTCTAGGGTATCGAATTCTATATGGAAGTAAAAGAATTGAATGGATTAACTACTACAATGAACTTTATAACAAAGTACAAAATATTGAAGACTTACTAAAAGAACCAACATACATTGTGGCATCGAATACAGTTCTCTCTTATGGTACGAATCTATTTAACTCTAATATATGTATATTTTAACAGATTTAAGGCTTCTTTCACATTTCTAGATTACGTTATTCGTCTCCATTTGGTGAAAAATAAACAATCAACTGATTTAGACACTTTAGTAAAAGAAGAGAAATATTCGAGCGTAGTCAAATATCTTGCTGATCATGTTTATCGTAAAAGTATTGATGTAAGTAATTATTAGTATATTAGGCACTATGTATAATGGGCGAAACAGAAAACGTCCACAAATTAATACTCTCAACCTAACCCTATCCCAATTCTTGTCTCTGTCTAATCTTTTCCATGATCCCACACCCTTAGATAAGTATAAATCAGCTGCTGTCTTCGTCTTCTTAACCGCTTTTCGATCCAAAATCTTTCTCAATTGTAGACGTTTTGTGTTTCGTCCATTATACATAGTGCATAATATAAATGAGGTTAAAGGAACAAAAGATTAATTTTTATACTAATACTAATAATAATTAACAGATGTTCCGTTGTCTCGAAGAGGACCACGAAGGTTGGAAACAGTTTTCATTGTTGATTAAATCCTTGGAATTAATAGGAAAGCACGAGGTTTATTTATTAAAAATTAATCAAATTTTAACATATTTCATTATATATTCATGCTTTACTATTTCAAAAGGAACTGTTAAGAATGTATCAAATATTCCTTCATTATTATCTAAAACAATTCATGAACAATGAAGACAAACATGCTTATAACATATTGGAAATTGTACTTGATAAATTAAATTGGGATAATCTGGAATGTTTGGAAGAAAGTAAAATAGTTACTTTATCGCAAGATATATCGAAACTATTATATTATCGATTAGTTGAAACTGAAAATTATTTTTCACTATACGATGTATTCAAATTATACGCCGACTTAGCATTTAGGTAACCTATAAGTGAGAGTTTATACTGTAGATTTTTATATTTTCCGTTTACTCCATTTTAACAGATTAGACGACATTTGTGGTTTTGAAAAAGATCGCACGGAAGAGAGCTATCGCAATTGGGCTGCTATTGTTGATAGAGTACATTCGTTAATGGCAAAGTAAACATTTAAAACTTCACTTTAAATAATTTTAGTACTGAAATTGTTTTTTCTTTTAATAGACGAAAAGACGAAATACGTGTCCTTGAAGAATTGGAAAATATTGGTACTAAAATATTGCTTAAATCTCAAGAAATCGAGTATCCAGTCTATGAACAAGTTTTATATTGTTTAACTGGATTAAAGTTCAAAACTGCTGTTAATACTGATTTTCAAACTCATAAATGCGAAAAAAAAGACGAAAGCAAAACTTATCATACTCAAATTTTTAAATACTACTTTATGACTGAAGTTCCATCATTTGATGATCCTAGAACAGCGTGTATACCCGACGACGTGAGTATTTTAACATGATTTCAAATTTCTGTCGATGTTTTTATTCTGTTTTTATATAATTTTAGATGAAGGATTATCTTTGGAAGATAAGCCAAAAAATTCCCAAAGATGTTAAAAAGTCCAGTCTCTGTGAGATAGAAGATATAACACATTTTAAATATCTTTAATGAATATTTTTATTTTAATTTCTACAGTTATTGGATATAGTAGATTGATTGAATTACTAGAAACAGATTTAAAAACATTACTCAAATACGTTTTGAAACTTCCGCCAAAATCTAACAATGAACAGTAAAATTTTCTTTAGTTGTTTTGAGAGTATCGTCATTTACTTAATATCTCTTTTTCAGGGTTTTCTTTTTGAGAAAAATGTATTATTTTCTTGCTGATTACGAATTTAAAAATCAATACTTTAGAAAAGCTGAAAAACTTTATACCAGACACCTTTCTTATTCGCCGAAGGATTTTGATGCCTGGGCATCTTTGGCACTGTGTAAACAGGCTTTAGTAGAAGATGAACTAAAAGATTCTTATGTTGAATCTAAACATTTAGACACAGCCTACCTTTTAACTAAAATCAATGCAATTATAAATTCATTTATAATTGCTTGTAAATTGGAACTATCTTTTAAAATTACAATAGAATTTGGTTCGTTTGCGTATAATGTTAGAGCTTATATATCAAGAATTTGGAAGAAAAGAGATTCATCTGATGAAATAAAAGACATGGAAGAAAGAATGATAAAATATTCAAAGAAAGCCTTTGAAAAATTTTGCACTCCTGTAAAAGGTGCTGCTGGGGAGGAAACTGAAGACGAAGAAGAACAATGGCTTGCTTTTTACATGTTGGCAAGAGTAAAAGAAAAAGCTCAGGAAGATATTCAAGAAGTGTGTAGACTTTATAGGAAAAGTGCAGAATATTTGCATGGACAAAAACCCAAATACGTGAAAAGGATAAATTACGCAGGAACACCACCAAAATTAGCTTTAGAAGCTTTGGAATTATTTTACAGAAGTCATACAACAGTTGTTAAATTTTTATTAGCAAATGATAACATTGAAACATGCGTTTTACAAAGTCTAGTAATTCATTTAGACATGATTTCTAGTACAAGCTTCGTAAGAACTGAAGAGAAAACTCCCAACTTTTTCATGGATTTCGAGTAAATAATAAACACATTTATAAAAGTTTGTATAAACTAATTTCTTTATTTTTCAGCGCTACAAAGGATGAAAACAATAAAGTGAAGACAGATTCAGAACTTCAAACTCAATCAGAACCTAAAACGGCTTCAAACGAACAAGATGACTTTATCATAACAGAAAATCAAGATTCTTCTTCAAGGCATAATGATGATAATCCACCAGTTAATGTCGAGGGAAATGAAAAACAAATGGAAATTGAAGACAATAATCCCATAACGGCAAATGACGAATTTTGTATAAGAACGACTGAAAAGGAAACTAATGATAAGGTAGACGATAAGAAGGATATGATTGAGGAGGATGAAAAAGTTGGACACCAAACAGATGAAAGCTCCCGTTCTTCTTCAAAGAGTATTGATAAATCGACATTAACACAACCAAAAGCCGAAGATTCCAAGTCTCCAATGGAAGAAATTGATAAAACAGTCGAAGAAAAGCAATCTTCAAATTCTACGGACAATGACATTGGCCAAATACGCGCATCCCCAATGGAAATAGATGAGAAAAGTAATGAAAAACAAGGGGAAAGTAATGCAAAATCTTCAAACTCGACAGATAATGATATGCCAGCTGCTTCTAGACACTCGCCTATGCAGTTAGATGAAAAAAGTAATGATAGACAAGAAAATGTTGATGTTGGACCAGTCTTAAACTATAGGGATCAAGATAGTGACTCTCGCTCAAAGTGGACTAATGAACCGCATGTTGCTAAACAAACAGACGACGATGCCAAATCTATTGATCTTACAAAGAGTAGTAGTTCGAGTGAGAGTTCAGACGAGAATTCAGACGAGTCGAGTGATGAATCGAATGATGAAGGTGTTAAAGAAAATGAAGATGATATTGAAGATTCTAACAGAGAATCTAATAGTGAATCATCCTCTAGTTCTACTTCAAGTTCAAATTCGAACTCCAGCTCCAATTCAAACTCAAGTTCTTCGAGCAGCTCAACTACTAGTTCTTCGTCCAATTCCAGTTCAGAATCTAAAAATAATACAAAAACTACAATGAATATTTCAAATTCGGCAGATCCAACATCTTCAACAAAAATTCATCAGCTTGACGGAAATGGGGATGAGGAACCGACTCATCCTGGTTTACCTAAACCCAAATTTGATATTACTAATCGCCCACAGCAGGAAACTAGCGCTCAGGCAAAAGAACCTAGAAGAATAGTTTTGTCACAATCACCATCTGTTGTCTATCCGTTTCTATCAACACTTGCGACTACTAACAAGGATGAAGCAAGTAAAAAGTCGGAACAAATAAGTGCTGCTTTCAGAGAGTGGCCAAAGGATTCGACTGATGAAATAAAATCGGTATCAACCCCTTCAAATTTACCATTGATGTCTACGCCTCAATCAGGAATAAGCGTCTTCAAATCAACCACCGAATCTCCCTCTGCGTCAGACATAAATTCCTCTTTTCAGAGTGGCGCTTCCGAAACAGTTAAACGGAGCAGAGCTAGATCAAATACTGCCAATCAATCTTACAGAGGACGAACTTTAAGTGATGTAGATAGCTCGAAAAAAGTTAGAAAAAGGAAAGCACCTGTAAATACAAAGCAAAAAATCAGCACAAGACTTCTCAGAAATCCAGCTTTTCTAGTTGCTCAAGCTAATGTACATACAGTTGACACGTTGAAAGTAACTTTAATGAAAAGATGCATAGCTGGTTTACACTTATGCGCTGAGCGATATCCTCAGCATTATAAATCTCTCTTCCGTCTAGCGTATATCTACCACCACTACGAACCTCTACAGAACAACGAAAAAAGTAGAGAAATACTCTTAGGTCATAATCAGTGGAGTAGCATGAGTCATATGCCCAGTCCAGGATTATTTTCCGAGAGAAAATCAAATAATCTTTTTGCGGTTTGTTGTTTTTCAAATTTACTTATTCTAATTACCTTTAAAATTATCGATCTAATAATTTTCTAACCAGGGTTTTTGGAGAAGTCCCTCAGCTGAAGTAGACAGATTAGGATCGTTCTGCACATATATAGAGAAGATTATATATCTTCTCATTGCGGTTCTTAAACAACTAAATGATTGCTACATGCTTTATTATTTTCAAAAAGCATTACAACGAGTACCTGATCAAGAAAAGTAAACATTTAATAATTAATATTCAAATACGTAAATATATGCAAATTAATTCGTTTTTTTATATACTTATTTTTAGAAAATATATATCTAATACCGTCCGAACTGAATTAGCTCAAGAGACAAGTAAAATATATTTTCAAACTTTGGAGACAGTAAAACGAGACTATGAGCTTTTTGATAAGAAAAAGAAAATTATGTAAGTAAAACTTTGCTCTTTTTTAATAATAACAATACAACAGTTGTTTACATTTTTTTTGTTTTATTCTATTATAGAATGACAGTTGACCTATATAGAATTCAAAGAGAATCCCTAGCTCGAAGAAACAATGCCTCTGATTCGGCAAAAACTGTATTACTACAACTATCATCTCCCGATGTAATAAATTCAAATTATAATGCTTTAATAATTTTTTTTAACTAATAGCTTTTTATATTTCTTTATTAATTAGCCAAATTTTGCAACTGCAACGGAATTTGCCTCAAATTGGTTGTCTAAACATCAAGAAAATACCTCAAAACCATCATATCAGTTAGAATTGAAAGCTGAACCAACAGTATCCATCGAACTTCCTAATTAAAGTATAAAGTTTATTTATTTATATTTTTAAAGTTGACAGAAATAAGCAGAATTTTGAATTTTATAAATTTGCTTCAGATACATATTTAAACAATCTTCTATGATATTGTCAATGGTGTGTAAAGTGTGTAATTTAGATAAGATACGTTTTTTTAATTATTCCAATTAAAGTTCAATCTAGAGAAAAATATTTATTGATATTTTATTTATTTACTTGAGATGCGTATCTAATCAATTACACTGCAGGTTCAAACTTCGAAGTTTCTCGATCACATGAAATTAGGATATCTTATTGCTTGTTCTTAATACTGTCAATTAGGATATGAGTACTCTAACTTTTTCAAAAGTGAACAGCATAGCAGCGTTTGCTGGTATTGACCTCATCATGCATGGTGTCAAACCCTTAAAGAATCTTGTAATACCACCTTCGGCGTACAATTTCCTAGCGCATTCGGCTATATTTCTATATTGTCGAGTTTTTGGATCTAGGTCGTCACTCTGCATAACCGACTTAATAACATCCGTTGGATATGTCATGCTCCAATAGAAAAATCCGGCTATGCCTCCCGAACAAAATTGTTGAAAGAGAGTTATGTCAGCAACAGTTCCACCAGCTGGTGTAAAGTGTGTTCTAGCCAGTTCGTAAAATCCTGTTACATATTATGAACTTATTGTTTTTATAAAAGTATCGCGTGTTTAGGCGAACTTACCAAAGTATATGCCACATGCAGGAATATTTCTCATATGAGTGGCAGTAAGACCCTGAAACACTGCTTTAAAACCATGCTGCCCTATAATAAGCTTGCCTGCATGGAAAACGTGCTTATAGCGGAGAGGCACTTTATTCTTTTCTGAGTTTATAATATCGGTTTGCATTTTAGTTTTCAGCTGAAAGTTTATAAAAATTTCATTGTGAAATCGATCTTGGTACATCTCTACCTACCAAATCTATTGGTCCTTCAACAAAAGCACTGCAAAAGCCAGTCCCAGCCCCCGCAACATAATATTTATATGCCTCAAGTCTTTTCTTTTTACCACCTAGGGAACTTCCAATCTCCCTATAGGATGAAAACATTACTGCTCGAAAAAACATTTGTCCTATCAAAGGTGACCCTGAAACAAAAAGCACAAAATAAAAATCATATCTTTCTCAAATGGCACTTTCTTTAAGCTTTTTACTTACCAACGCCTTTATAAAAACCACCAATGCCTTCATACTTATAAGTTTTCTTACAGCAGTCTATAAGACCGTTGTACACTGGATTTTCAATCGGTTGAGATTGAAGTCTGACCTTCAATGTATCAAAAGGATGACCGACAACGCAAACGGCAATTCCTCCTGCAGTACCCGCAGCAGAATTTTTCATAAAAAACTTAACAGCTGACTCTTCTTTCATTTTTAAGACTTTTATTGCTGTTGAGATTTTATTTATCAATTACGGTAAAATATTCAATACCTAGCATACCAGTTTATATCATAGTAAAAATACATCCCTATCAATCACTCTTAAAACAATTGAAATAAATCTTTTCGACAACATTTTATCATAATACAAATTTGCTTATATAAACAATTGCCACTTAATAACAAATTTGACAAACAATTTAAGTAGATAATTAAGAAAATATAGATTTTCTATGAAAAGAAGAAAGGATAATCAAAATAATTTTATATAAAAATCAAAAATAGAAAGAAAAAGAATACTGTTGAGTAAAAGACAAAAAATGTTGTATTTAGAAGATGTCAGCAAGGCTTCACAGAAGTTAATGAATTATCAACTTTTGGATCATCGTTCAATAAATCACTTTGATCAGGGGCCAAAGATTCAGAATTCTTTTCCTTAACTTTATTTATCTTATCAATTTCATTTATCATAAATTTTACGGAATTTTCTGGCCTATTATAAACTATTCCAGCGGTTAAAGTCCGAAATAATTCAAAAATGTTTTCTTTTGATAAATATGTAGCGGCTTTTCTACGAGGATCTTCCGATACGTCGTGTTCTGAATTTTCACTATCCGTAATATCTTCTGAATCACTACGCTTTATTTCTAAAGATAAGTCGGATGACTCGCTTAATTTTCGTTGGTTTTCCATAGAAAATTGACAATTATCTCTGTATCAAAGGTATAGATTATTGTAGATATTACTGTTTACTATTATCCTTCTCTTAATTAATTAACCAATCAATCTTTTATTCTCGTTAGTTTGTTTTGAAAAGACTGATTAAACAAAAGAATATTTTAAGTTGTATAGTTTATCCTTATCTTTGTTGGATACCATAACAACGCAATCGATTTAAAACTCACTCAGGCCAATAAACATAGTTCATAATTTGCATATTTAAATTAGTTTAAAAAGAGGTTCAAGTCAGTAAATGGAAAAAAAAATACAATAATATGTATATTAAACGTATTTATATAAAATTAATAGTAAAATAGATATAAAGTAATAAATTAAATCCTGTTATAACGTTTGCTAGTTTATGATCTATAATCTAAAATAGATAGTCTTTAAGTGATACCAGACTTTAAGCTCTTATCAAAACAAATTTCCTCTGGAATTCCCACTCTAAATACAGGCCTCTTGGCTTTTTATAAAGGCAATATATATATATATATACTGTATATATATAGTCGAAAGTATATTATATAAGTATTTCATATTGGAGTGAGTACCGACGGATTAAAGCACACCTACTTGATTAATAATTTTATGATTATTTAATTAACATACATCATGTTTGAAGACTGTTTTTGTAAGTTTTTTAACTAATTAAAGAAAATTAATGAAATGACATTTCGTCCTGTGTAGATTTAAGTAAAAATGAAAAGCCATATTTGTCTATTGGCGAACAGCCTCAACAATACGGTGTTAGGTTTAGATACAAAACGGAAAAGACAAAAGGACTTTTAAGAGGAATAAATTCAACTAAAGAAAAACCTACTTTTCCTACTCTAAAAATCCATGGATGCTCTCCAAATGAGCAAGTCTTAATCAGAGGAATTTGCGTTACGAGCCAAGAGCCTCATTTGATTCATGGATATATATTGGATGGACCCGATTGTGAGAATGGAGTTTTTAACAAAAAAGTTAATGGGAATATCGAATTTGAATATCAAATAGGTATAAGACGTGTTAAAAAGAGAGATGTAGCTGAAAAACTGAATAACTGTCAAAATTGTGATTCAAATGTCTTTAATGAGACATATAACTTTCCTAAGGATCTTACGGAAATGGATTTGAAAAGCTTAAAGATTCGCTTTGAGCTGTTTGTAAAGAAAGATAATTTTAGTATTAAAACTGATTCGATATTAACTGATGTAATTACATGCGAAAATCCACTTGAAATTTGTCAATTAAGTCATGAATGTGGAACGGTTGAAGGCGAAACAAAAATCTTTATTTTGGTTCAAAAACTAAAAACGAAAAAGCTAACAGTAATTTTCAAAGATGATCATGATTGGGAAGTTGAAAAACAACCCAAAGAGATACATAATCAGACAGTAATTATTGTTTTCTCGCCACCTTATAACGGAAGCATATTGGAGTCAAGAATTCCAGTAAAAATATACTTAACCGCTCAAACAAAAACTGGGATTGCAAGATCCGAAGCGATTGACTTTTTCTACGTTAGAGAACAATTGGCTGATATACAGACTTTAACCAGAGACTATTTGCTCAGTTTGGACCAGAATCCAGATCCAACTCAGCATTTGGAAAATCGTCAAAGAAGCTCGGAACAATGTTGTGCCTGGCCCAATAATACCAATTCATATAATGAACTCGAAATGCAGATGGATACAGAAATGAATATTGTACCACATTCTTACTTGGCACCATCACGCACATATCAAAGCATGATGATATTAAATAATCAATCCGCTGATTCGTATTTAAGAACCTTTAGTCCTTATTGTCCTTCACAAAGTACCTAATTCATCCTTATGGAATTTAGGTATTTCCCCCCCAGAAAAAAATAATAATATCCCAACTTAAATAGAATATCGCCAAAGGACTGGCGATATAACCATTTGATTTTGTCCAAGCTATAAAAAGTCTTGGTAGTTTTATTTTATTTTCAAAAAAAGATGTTTTAACAGAATAAACAGTATAGTAACAGCCATCAAAGAATTGTATATTTCTACTTCCGTTATATTATTTTCAATCAGAAGATATTTTTTTGTCGGATAGCTTGGCTTACGGAGAAGTTTATATACTTAAATAAATATAAAGGAGGGGCGAGTTTTCTCAATGACATTTCGTGGAGCTTTTCAGGCCAGTTTCTGTTCCATTTATAGATATGTTTAAAGTTTATTGGTTCTAATAATTGTCTCTTTTTCAATCCATGTAATCCGTTCAACAAGTTATCTGTAGAATGTTTTGAATGATTTAGAACATTATTTGTCCATTTTACTCCAAGGAAAGCCAGGATTGACGACAAAGTCTCATTTCCATTGAGAATAATATCCTCATATTTCACTATTTTGCATATTTCACTATTCTTTATCCTATTTAATTCTATACATAGCCACGTAGAATGGCTAACTTTTTCATTCCAATTTTTCAGAATATCTTCGTATTTTCTATAATCGGTGTACGAGTGTCGTAAGTGTTTAACGATAGAATCCGTAATTGCTCTTCCATCTCTCACAAGTAACAAATATTTCGAATTTGGAAAGAGTTTATATAAAATATCCATATAAATAGGGCTATTTTTTTATTTAATAAGAGACTTTTAATTATAATAAGAATAAGAAACAATTAAAAAAACAGGAAAAAACAAACTTGCTTTGACTGCAAACAATACGGTTTTCCCTTTTGGGGAGTAAACTATATAATAAACGACTATATGCTAATATAAGATCCTTTATTGGTAGTTTAGCTTCAAGTATCCTTTGCCTTTCGATTTTATTATAAAATTGCATACGCAAAGATCTAAGTAAGTTATCAATTTTATTGAAAGAAGGAGAACAGAATATTTCAGGATGAGAGGATAAAATCAGTCTAAGTAGATTAGAGCCTGAATGTTGATAACCTCCTATAAAAATAATTGTATTGTTCTCTAAATTAAATCTGGCTTTATCATTAACATTATTAATTATATTTAAGCTATCATAACACTTATAAAAAAGTATGAATGAGTTTAAGGAAATTGAAATTATACTAATCGAAAGATATATCTTAAATTTCATACTTAATCAATATTGACAAACAAATGTACCAAACATTTAAAGTGAAAGTATTACGCCGTAATCATATTTTTTCTCTTTGAAAAAGAATGTTCTAAGCTTTTTTTATAATTTCTATGATATAAAGCGTATTTTTTATTTAAACAAAGTAATTATTGCAATCCACATATGTATTATTGTCTATTATGTATCATTGCGTAATGAAACAACAGATAACCAACAATCGAATACTTATTGTTCGATAGACCAGAACGAATCTATATATAAAAGAGTCAACTAAGGGTCAAAATTACTATTAGTTTTCTATGGTGAGACTTAGCTGAACAATTCAAAATGGTGGTATAATGACTTTAAAGAAAGTCCGCCATTTTGTATTTAGGTATCTACAAGTATCTGTTTGTTATTAAAATGGTGTTTTTGGACAGGTAGTCATATACTTACCTTGATTTTTGTGAAAAATGAATTTTATTAATTTAACACGGAATTTTTTTGGTACTAGACTTCTAATGATTTTATTCTCACTCGGTAAGGACTTTTTTTATTATCTTTAACCGTTTCGGGGTTCGATTTAAACTAGGGATTCGAATCTGTTATCAAGATGGCTATCGAATTTATTACTGATAACCTAGAAATCTTATATAATAGGCCTTAAAAATCTTTCTTACTATTTACTCTATAGTAAAGATCGTAAATTTATTACAATGTCTAATATATTAGATGAACTTTTACTCCATTGTTTTTTTTTCTTCTTTTTTAGTGGTTTCTTCTGGTTCCATTTCTCTTTCAATATACCCGCCAAAAAATCAAATATATTCAGGTTTGTCCTTAAATACTTAATACATAATTATTCATATTCTAATTAAATATTTCAATTTTAGGTGATTCAGTAACGCTTGAATGTCAAAGCGATGTGGGAAATTCCTTAAACTGGTTTAGACAACGGGCAGATATTAGAGAAGCAATTGGGACAGGAGTACAATTAAATGACTTCATTAAAACTAAAAGATACTGGATATCTCGTGACTCTAAACAAAGTGGAATTAAATCTACTTTAGCAATTAACCGTAACTTTTTACAATTGACAGAATAATCGAACAAATTGAATAATATCTCGCCTTATACTTTTTAAACAGACATAAAATACCAAGATTCTGGGATTTTTATTTGTGAAATTGGCGGAAAAACAAAAGAAGTTGGTGTATCTGTTTGTGGTAGGTTTTTTCATTTTTTTTCCCATCTAACTATTTTAGGAAAAACGATGGTAATTTCTATATCGAAAACTTTTAGACACTTCCAATCGAAACAAAGAAGACTCTGTTTGTACCTGTCTCAGGAAACGTTCGTGGGCAGACCCTACTTGCTTCGACGAACCTCCAACTGTTTCTAATCTGAAGTCAAAACATAAAAAAGCTATTATAGCCCTCAGTTTCTTCTTTGGTTTGGCTTGTATAGCTTGTATGGTGCTAGGTATAATTGTAATAAAAGACAGATATTTTACGGCTCAAGATGTGCAACGTCGTCAGGCTGCTACTGATAATAAACCTTACGAAAAGCACGATAATCAAGGATTTGAGAGCGAATTCGTTGATTGCTATAAGATGCAAATTAAGAACTCTAATAATGAAAACAATTACTCAAATTCATTAGAAAAAAAAGAATATGACAATGACCTACCCAGTAATGGAGATCTGAGCCAGTCTTCCAGAACGGCCAGTGTTGACGTACATAATTCCTATATTGAAGAAACACCCATTAAGAATAGACGTGAAAACTTGGGTAAATTCAGCAGTAATAATCAGGCTTTGAACGAACTAAGTCCCCGTGGCCTATACTCTTATGCTGAAAGAACAAGTGAAGGACCAAGTGTCCATGTATAGATATTCTCTTTGCTATAGTCTGTATATAGTGCTCTGTAATGGGTTGTTTATAGAAATGGTAGTATATTTTTACAACTATTTTTTACATTTTCAGAATCTCATTTTCTGTTATTTCTATATTTTTGCTGATACATTTTTAGTATTTAAAAGCTCTTTTCTATAATAAATTAATATATTTTATCTTGAACTGTTGATTTCCTCTTACAAAATTTAAGATATACTCTTGAATAATTTTCTTAAATAGCCAGTTAACAATGTAAAACTGGTACTAAACTTTCATGTCAAAAATGGAAAGTTTCTTTGAACGTCAATTTTTTTTTTGCAACATATCTTTTCAATATTAGTTGTGTGTTATATTGGGATTTGGATAACTTAATATATATCTGTGCTTTAATTTATAACTTTAATTGACAAATTACTATAAAATAGAAAGTCTTCATACGGGCAGTCTATACTGGATCCGGTTCCGCATCTTTTACATTGAATTTTCCCCTATGTATTACATTATTGTTTTCGAGGAAACCACATTATACGTTTTATGATACAACTTGAGTGTTTTAGCAAGAGAAACTCTATTATCGATCACCACGGCGAAAGCTATACATAGGCATCTGGTAAAAATACTTGAATTCTTTGCTTTTTTATTTCAAAAACGGTTCAATCTGTGACAAAATTCATAAATCATAAAAATTTAAAATGGACAATTCCTCATCGGCACTGGGAATGGAAAATCTTAGTGCTGTAAGATCGATTATAGAAGTTGCCTGTCGCCAAGATGCCCAATGCGTTACTTCGGCAGTAGATGTTTTGAAATCATCTGAAAAGATTCCAAACTTCTTTGAGAATTTATGTGTAAGACTTTCTTTAATACCTATTTATTTTTTCAAATTATATAAAATTCTTTTTAAATAAACAGCTGATCTGGAACGATCGAAATGTAGATATAGAAAATAGGCTAATGGCAATAATATATCTTAAAAATGGCATTGATCGTTATTGGAGAGAAGGTGTAAGCAATGTTATTCAGGAGCAGTCAAAAAAAGTTATTAGGAACATGATATTAAATTTTTCCGAACCATCAGAACAAATAGCAGCTCAATTATCCGTTCTAATTGCGAAAATAGCTCGATACGATATTCCTCTTAGGTGGCCTGAACTATTTCCAACATTAATCCAGAATATTCAAATTCCTGATCCATTTCAAAGGAAACGAGCTATAATAATACTTTTACACGTTATAAAAGCACTAGCGTCAAAAAGGCTCTCAAACGATAGAAAGGTGTTTGAAGAACTTACAAGAAATTTATTTGAAATAGTACTTAATGTTTGGCTAAAAAGTGAAAATGCAGACGAAATTGTTGTTACATTAAAAATTCTAAGGAAACTTATAGTTTTCGGTTATCCTAAACCCGATGATAAAGTTGGTTGGTTTATGGATACTTTATTAAATAAAACAAGATGCAATGTCCCAATTTGTAAGTAGTATTTTTATAATATATCCCTTTTTGATCATTTATAATTTTCTTTTTTCCAGTTAGAGCCGAAGCTGACGGAGAAAATAAGGAAAAAATGGGTAAAGTCTGCCTATGGTATACTAAAATATTAAGAGATACAATTGAAGAACATCCATTATTTTTTGGAAATTTTGTTTTAAGAGCTCTAAATCTAATAGCAGAAATAGCTTTTGGAAATTTATCTCCGGATGAAAGTAAGTTTTTTTTGCTTTAAGTCCAATTTTCATTTAAAATAATTCTCACTTTTATAGATGATATAAAGATAAGAATAAATCTGTTGAATGTTTTGCATTCAATTATACGTTTACCTGATTATAAATTAATAAAAACATCTAAAACTCATGATGCAAACGAAGGACTTAAACAAAAAACAAACTTTTTCACTTACTCAACAATCACTCAGCTTGGTCAGCATTTAGTTATGGATATGATGGTTCTAACCGAAGATAGTCTACAAGCTTGGGAGGAAATTCCAGAAGAATACGGTAAAACTATCTTTGTTAATGTTTTTAGATAGTTGATCATATTGATGTTTCTCTTCGTAATAGGCAATGAGGACCACGCTGGTATCTGTTACAAATATTATTACTTTGAGAAGTGCGTTGAAAAGCTTTTCCTATCCGTAATTAAAGAATATTCGGAACAACTCTGCCCTCTGCTGCTTGAACTGCTGAACCAATACTGCGGTAATCCTGCAACATTTTCTCACGACTTGGAAAGCGTACTCAGAAGAGATGCCGTTTACAAATCCATTGGATTAGCCTCCTATCAACTATACGATGAACTTGATTTTGATTCCTGGTTTAAGAACTCCTTAGTAGCCGAATTGAATTTCGATCAACCATTCTCCTTTATTCTTAGAAGAAGAATAGTCTGGATGATCGCCAGATGGCTTGGAGTGAAATTTACATTAAAAAAGGATTTTTACAGAATTATAAGTATCCTTTTGGGAGAAAAAGATACTGTTGTAAAATTAGAAACTGTCTCAGCTCTTCGTCTAGCTCTGGATGATTTTCATTTGGAATCCGAAGATCTAGTTCCAGTTAGTACTATAATCTTTACTTTTGTTTACTTTTCTTATAAATTTAATATTCATTTTGTCTTTTAGTATCTTGAAGATATATTCCGTAAGCTATATGACATTTTACTATCTGTTGAAGAGGTTGAATCAAAGATTTTGGTTTTAAATGTAATATCATTTTCAATGGAAAGATGCGGAAGGAGTATTATACCTTTGACTAGTAAATTAATGGACTATCTACCTAATTTGTGGACGGCGGCTGAAAAAGAGCACACTTTAAAATCTTCAATTGTCACCGCTACGAAATTGCTACTTGAAAATTTACAAGAAAAGAATTGTTCTCTTCTACATTTTGTTTTACCGGTCATTGATAATTGTACAGATTTAGATAATCCCGATACTATTTATTTATTAGAAGATGGTCTAGAGCTTTGGTTAGCCCATCTTCAAAACGTCGAAGCTATTTCCGATGAGACCCTATCACTTCTAGGGCGTATAGTTAAAATAATGGAAAGTTCTACTGAGAATGTACGGTGTTGTTTGAAAATATTTGAAAGTTGTGTTATGGCATCACCGAATAAAGTTTACGATGTGTTTGGTCAGATGTTTGATGACTGTTTCTCAATGATGATGTCTGAATTGAAAAACGAAGGGGTATGTGTACTTTCACTAATAATCAATCATTTGATGTATGCTTTGCAAATAATATGCTATATTTTCTAATTTTCTCCAATCAGATTGTACTCATTCTAAGAACAGTTGAACTTTCAATCCAACTTATACCGCCGTCAACCTTTAAGAAAGTCTATGAAAATACAGTCTCATATCTAGTTCAGCCATCAGAACCATTAGATGAAAACCCCGTAATGACATCCTTTCAACTATCCATCTTAGCAAGGCTTATTTTAAAAAATATATCATCTCTAAACGAATTGTGCTCAGAAAGTGGTCCCTATATTATTAAACTATTCATACAGCATAACGACTGCGTTAATCACATTGATAAGAAAAAATTAAGCACTTTGGCAGTTCTAACACTTCTTAAGTCGCCTTACAGACCAGTTCTATTAGAGATTTTCCCCGAAGTTGTTGACTTCTTGGTACAAAATGCAGTCTGTATTGTAAAGAATGATAATACTTCGGACGCCTTAAATTGGTCAATAACACCAGAAAGTAATTGGCACGAACGTCGGAAGATGGAACTAAGTCAAAAAGACCCGGCACAAAACTTTGATGTGATTGTTTGTATTAAACAAATTATCGAAGAACTCAATAGAGAAGCAGGCCAAGAAATATGGACAAATGTCAATAGTGAAGTTCTAGATCAATTAAGAGAATTGTTAAATAGGTGAAAAATGACAGATATATATATAAATATATATATAAAGAGAAAATTTGCATTTATAGAATCATCATTCATCTAACCTTCATATCAAAAAAACAAACAAACAAACAAACAGAATACTTAATTTTTAAGTACATTTCTGGCAGAGTTTGTTATTACTTTTATGTTCTGAGATGATAAAAATAATAAATAGAGCTCTTAAAAACCTCAATATATAGCTTTATTTAATGGTCTTAATGTTCATTTTTATTGTTATGCTTAATACTTTTTCAAATTAAACTCTCTTTCGGAGGATATACTATGTTTAGATAACTGGGTCAAGCTAAAAATGCGATTAGAGTTTGCCATTGCAAAGCCTAAGTCTTTCACATATTAAGAACAGTATAGCTATTTACCGATTCTTAATTAACTAATAAATAGAATATTACTCCCTTCTGCCCTATTCTTCTTATAGTTCATTTCCAGGAAGCGTTAATATTACTATCTAATCTATTTATCCATTAATGTTTATTACTGTTGATTTAAAGGGTAAATAATAATCGTTTAATGCAGATGGCGCTTCTAGTAAAAGTAAAAAAAATTTCAAATTATAAGCATATTGGAATAAAAATTAGATTTTCTCACTTTGAATGGAGAAAGTACGTTGTAATTGATAGAAATTGTTTTAAAAAAAGCAACAATTTAGTTATGGCTAATAGTAATCCAATTGTAAGAAAATCTAGGAAAAAGGATAAGAATTATTCCGATTTGGAAAAGACTGAATTAGTTAAAGGTGTAAAAGACAACTTCGATATCTTGGAAAATGGAACAGCTAAAACTTGTACTTTTTTTTCAATCGATTATGTACAATTCCCATGCTAAATTCTTCTTTTTTCGTTTAATAGACCCGAAAATCCATCAATTACAAGCTGCCATTTGGATGGATATTGTAGAGAGGATGCGAAAAAAAAGTGGAATACATAGAGAAATTAAAGATGTTGAGTTTCTTTTCTTTTCTTTATTAAGGAAAAAATAGAAAAAATGGAATTTTTTTATTAAAAAAAAAAACTAGACAAAAACAATTTTCTATATTTAGTTGGTCATTTTACGCTCTATTGATATTCAATTCCGTTACCCGTATATCCTTTGTCCATAAATGGAAATGATGTATATTCGCACTTAGTTTGAGATGGTAAAGCTTGTTTCCTGCTTATAAATCGCTACTTTTTCACTCTAACAAATTTCTATTCTCATTTCTTGCGCAATATCAAATATATTCAATTAATCTAGAAAAGAAAGCATTAAAAGATTAAACAGTGAAAAGAATATTTAAATTTTTACAAAAGTAAGAAATATAATAAAGCTTTTAAGATAAAACTATTTTACATTTCCCAAGGTGTTTTGACATTCGCCGTTAATACTGTCAGTATAACAAAAATCAGCCTATAAGGCATGACATTTCGTGTTGGTGTTTTTTTAAAATCTCCCTCTGCCTTCCCAATAATAACTATATATATTGGTAACAAAAAACAAACACTAATATCTAAGATTGACAAGTAAATACTATATAAAGAGAATGCCATAGAAAATATCTCTTCTTTCTGTCCATCTCATTGTCTCTTCGTCTTTTTCTCTCAGTCTTTCTATTTAATAGTTTTTAATTAAATAATCAACAGGTAAGGAAAAAATGGTTAGATTTAAAGTCGAGAACAAAACAACATTATATAAAAATTCGAAGAAAGGAAGAGTTTGGACTATTTCGTAATGTTAAACCGCTAGATGAAATTGAAAAAATGGTTCTCTCATTCATAAAAAAGCCTACAGATGATCGAATAGAGAAATGTAAACAATTTCCAATAAAAACTGATAAATCAAAAGTGATGACAAATATAAAGTCTATTGGCGATAATGAACTTTTTAAAGTTGAAAGCCTTAGTTTGTCAGCATGTCAAAGATTAGACAGTGAAAATTTGGAAGAAGTAAAAAACAGCACAACTCTACTATTGAGAAGAAGTGCCCAAGATAACTATGAATTATCTAGTAATATCAGCAAGAGAGGGATAAATTCTCCACCTAGCCTAGCTTCCCTTTCCACACAAAACGATAATAGTTCAATTACCAAACAAAATGAAAGGTTAATAAAAATTCAGGAAGAGAAATTATCACTATCCACGAAGAAGATTCAATTACTAGAGGGAATTTATGAAGAGTAAGTTTATTCCAAGACTATATAAACAAATAAGCAAAGAAGCGAATAAGAAATAAGTCGCGTTTGTTACTTTCCAAGAAAGTTTCATATAGCTATATATACTTTATATATTGTATATGTATACCTTTATATGAAAAAAGTACCTTTTATACACAGACTGAAGGCCCTGCGAAGAGGAATTATTCGATCTAATGGAACAAGTGAATGAATATTCTAACAATTTAGATACAAGAATAATGATACTAATGTTGTGGTTGACTGATCTTGTTACATTTTTATGAAGTCTTCGCGCAGCCATGTATAGAATATAATAATCTCTTCTTTTTTTCTACGTTAGACCATATACATATACAACTATATATATATATATATATATATATATATATATATATATATATATATATATGTCAGTATTTTGAAGCCTATAAAAGTTATTCTAGAAATGTACGCTTTTTTTTTAAATAAGAATCCTAATAACATGGACAAAGTTTTAATGGGAAAAAAAAGCTTCGTGTGTAAGTATTTAATCAAAACATAAATAAAATTAGCATGAAGTGATATGTTCTAGATTTAGTTGTCAACCCGTTGGATAAATTTCTCTTGCGTCGCTTTATTAATTCTCCAAGCGAAATACAGACGATTTTCCCTATACTCTCTCTCTCTCTCTCTCTCTATGTTTCTCTTTCTCTTTCCAACTACTTTCTATTTGATTTTGTTCTGTTCCCTATTTCGTAGATTAATAAGAGTGTTTAATTAATAGAGAGAATAAATCGTAATCTTGGAATTTTCAAGTCTTTTTCTTTACACTACATAATATCTTTGAGCATGAGTCTCTCGTGTATCTTAAACAGGTTTATCATATACAATTTTCTCATCGATTCAAATCTTTTTCCTCATCAATCAATATTAAAGAAGAGAAAAACATTGAGAATGACAGGCAGAGAGATATGCACCCAATACTATCTACTAGATACATATTATAGTACTGTATATACATCAACAATAAAAGAGAGAAAGAGAGAGAGAGAGAGAGAGAGAGAGAGAGAGAGAGAGAGAGAGAGAGAGAGAGAGAGAGAGAAAGAAAGAAAGAAAGATTGGGCTTGGGGCAAATAGTCTTAAAATGTAACAGACAATAAAGTACATGTACCGATAGATTGCGCCACTTAATTAGGGATATATAACAGAATTTTATTAACATTTCAATTCTAAAATATCACATTTATGTTTTGTTATATTTATAAGACTTCTATTTAAGGTTATATGTTTTTTATTGTTAAATTGATAAGAATAATAATAATAAATAATAATAGCAGCAAAATGGTACACTACTCCCTTAGAAAAGCATCAAAATGAAGCTAATTTTGAATAGTAGAAAGCTGGCAACTGAATATGTAAAATATAGCACTATAATGAAAACTAACGTAGCATAGTAGTCTGTTCTATAGAGATGTAGAATATTCTTCTTTCTTTTATCTAAAAAGCTTTCAACTTTAACGACTAGGAATTATTTTTTTCTATGGGTTTCTATCCATAGAAGGAAATTGCTCGTTTAAATCACTTAGCTATTAACTATTGAGCGTAAGAGAACTTATAGTAATTTCTGTTATTATCTAATTAAACAGGAGAGAGATAAATAGACAGTGAGACAAAGTGTGTGTGTGAGAGAGAGAGAGATAGACAGAGCAGGAAAGAAATCAGATATTTCTTAACCATACATCCCAAAGAAATATGACATAAGTGCTCTAAATGTCCCTTTAAATTACCTTAGTAAAATAGATCGTTGATGAAAGATTTCTTATAAATTCGAGTGTTATACAAATCTATAATGATAAACTAAGTTAATTAAATTAAAAGTGCAAAGTAAGAATAGTAGAGATATTGAAAAACTGTATAATATATACTTTCTTTTGTATTTTTTTCCATTTGTTTTCTCTTATTAGGTAGTTTATACTTAGGTCAAGATATTTACGTCCAATAGGTATAATAATATAATCAATCTAATACTTTATATTATACTATATAAACCCAGAAAAACTCGGTGCAGCAGAAATTAACAAAAGAAATAAGTTTAACATTTAAAATAATGTCTTGCATAGTTAGGTTTTACGCTGCCTAATATGATGATCGTTGGAATTTGTTAATTTATCAGCAGCTTCATCAACAGCTTCAGCCTCTTTTGCATTCTTCTTCTTTCTTGATCTTTCATAAATGAATATTATGGTACAGAGGATTAAAACTTCCCCGCAAATGCCCAAAAATGGCCATAAAGCGGCCAATTTATCCTTCACTCTAACAGTAATTGTTGAATTATGCGTTCCATATATATTAGTTGCTTCACAGGTGTAAGTTCCTTTATCATCAAAGTCCATATCTTTTATCTTAAGCGTAGCATTCTCAATACCTTCGTTGGCAGACAAGACTACCCTACTATTAAATTCGTTAGATAGAATTTCACCTGCTGGATTATACCAAGTAACTGAATCTGGGCTCGGACGTCCATAAACCCGACATTTCAGAATTAAAGGATCTCCTTGGACGAGATTTTTTGATCTCTCCTCCTTAAAGCTAACTTGTGGTTCGCCTGTTTAAAAAAAAATCCTTTATAATCTTTCAGCCACTCGTGTAAAATTTAAGAAAATTCCAGTTGTTGTCGACACATATATACTTTTAATATGTCAGAAGCTTATATTTTCAATATAAGTACATTACACTTAATTGCCTTAAATGATATCGTTGAAGGCTGATTTATTAAATTGTTCGTGGCAAAAGAATGAGGTCTAAACCTTTTCTTATAAATTATAATAAAACATACAACGCTAACATAGTATAAAACGAGTTTTTAAGATACTTACTTTCAATTAAAATTGTATCTTCATTTTTCTCATCATCGGATTTAATTCGGCATGTAAAATTTCCACTATCTTCATCAATTCTTACAAATTTGATTTTAAATTGGCCTTTTTTATTATCCCTGGCATAATCAGTTTCCTTCTTAAAATCGATTTTTTTGCCATTTCTTAACCAAGTAATTTCGTCATCATCAAATTCATTATTACCATCGGAGGTGCAATTGAATAAAATAGGACTCGTCCACTGTTTACCGTTTCTTAGAGGTAGTGTTGCATTTGAAACTAGCTTAACTACACAAAGAAAGATGGCGAAAAATAATGATAAAATAAGATGATATTGTTTGTTTTTTTTTTGAACAAAAAAGTAAAAATTGTAAGCAAAAATCAAAGCAGATAGATACTTTGTATCATATTATACTGTTTATATTCTGCATAGTATTCATGCATCGATGAGAAAACTACATAGGTCTATAATAAAAAATCGTTGAAAAGTTTCGTTTTTATTGTTGACAAAAGAGAGAAACTACATCAAAAGGTATTTACACTCAGAGGCAAAAAAAAAATCTCCTTTCCTTCCCCTCTTTTTTCTCTCTTTTTTTTGCTTCCTCCCCTGCCTAACCCTTCCCTTAATTCCCCCCTTCCCCACCTCTCATAGACTTATAAGGCCTATATACTTAAAGCAATATTCCATCTTTATAAATGAAATATTTATAGCAAAAGAAGATAAAACAAAAATAAGGAAATGAAATGTTTCGCGGAAAATGTTGTCAATCTATGTATTTTATAAATTTCTTGCTCTTCTCTCCCTCTTTCTCTCTAATCTGTCTGTTTAGAACTCTGGAGAGAAGTGACTAATCATTATTCTATGTGAAAATGTCTCATATTTCTTTAGTTTGTTTCTTTATTATAAGGCTTCTAATATCAAAACGACAAACAATTGCAAACTTACTTGATGGCAATAGAAGTTTGGTTTTCTTCAGTTGCTTTTACAAAAAATTTCTCATTATATATATATATATATTTTTGCTCTGGGTAACAATGAATCTTTTGACAACTCTATAGTTTGTACAACTTCATAATCTATCTCGTTTATTCTTTTGCCTTTTGTAAAAAAAATAATTGTATAGTTTCTCTTTTCTCTTCTTCTTTTTTTTTCATGTTTATTAATTTTTAATCGATTAAATGTGTGTATTTTAACTTTTAAAGTACAGTGTTGTATAGAGAAAAAAAACTAAAGAAAGTAAAGCCTATAGTCTTCTACTATAGTTTAAATTATGTTCGGTACTGTTGACAAAGGAACAAAAGAAAGAAAAAATAGAAATAATAGAAGAATTAATTAAAAGATTTTATAGTTCAAAATTAGTTGCAGAAATGTTTATTTTATTTTCATGTGCGTCATAGTTTTTTTTTAAAAGCAACCTTTAGAAGTTGAAATTGATTTTTTCTTGTGATTTATCGCATTATTATCATAAAGTAAATTTAAATTTTATAAAATCTACTGTTCTTAAAAGACTTTTAGATTGATAAAGATAAATATTTGACATATTTGAAGTATGCAACTACATCTATTTATATCTTCTTCTTTTCTTTCAATCAATGTTATAAAGAATATATAAATACAGTACATGTATATATAAATTTAAACAAATAGTTATGAATAAATTAAGAATATTTTGGGTAGTTTACACCAGTGGATAATAAGGCCTTTGATTTCTAATTAAAATTCTAATAGGCATTATTTTTTAGTTCTGAAGGTTGGTAATGAAATGCAAATAGCAAGTACAGTTTTATTGGTCACCTGCTACTAGTGGTTTTTTTTTTCTCTTTGTAATAGAAAAACTTCCCAGGGTAGATGTTTAATGTAAGACGCAGCAAACACTATCCCATCCCTCTTTTTTATATTGGCTTCTACGGGGGTATTTAATTACATAAGAATAGGCTTTTGAAAACAAATTTAGCTTTTTTCAACATCAAAAGGTGTAATGGACTATTCTATAAGCAGTTTTCTAGAACCCTAAATATCAAAGTGGAATAGTTTAAGGGAAAGACTTGGAACTAAATTTTTCAAGTTTTATAGTGTCGAGAATGCATATATTATTAAAAGAGACTATTTTATACTGCAAGAAGCTCAATAAAAAGATATATAGGAATAGATTAAATTTATATATACTATATCTACGTTTGACAGTTGTCGCGTGTTTTCCTCTGCATTTACTTTTTGATTTTTCTTCTCACTTGACGAATTATTACGCCTAAAGCTTCAATCATGTTATTGTTTAGGTTAACGCTAAATAGAGAGTAAAAGCTATGGGCCACGAAATGCATTGCATGATTCGTAGAAGAAAAAAAAAGACTTGTCTCGCAATCGGGTAATTTTTTCCTTTTGATGTTTTATATGAACAAATAAGTTTTTAACAGACCTAAATTAAAAAAAAAGACCAGTATAAATTAAATCAAATTAAGACCATAGTAGTAACTATCTTCCTATAGTCTTTTAGCACAACAGATGGTTGGTTATCAACCGATTTATATGTCGTGACTAAGTTTGCCTTTTTACATATAATCATTAAACAAGACAGGAATTACTTTATATTATGAAGATTTTTTTCATTATATATAAAATGATTACATCTTTCTACGCTTCCAAAAAAATAAAATAAAAAAAGATAAACTTAACGCCAGAATAAGCTAATTTAATATCATCCTATTAGTAAAATTAAAGAGCCACTTACTTAGAAAATAATAAAAACACCCATTAAACTTAAGGGAAGGAAAAAAAATAGACGCTTTTTTTTATTTTTAATTTAAAATTTTGATCTTTTTTTCTTTCTCAGATTAGAAATAGATAAAATATAATAATTGGACTATTTTGAATAGAACTAATGGCATAAATATAATCCAGATGCAAAATAATTCACAATAGAGTATTAACATATTAAATATAAGTCTGTTGGGAAAACCAGGGATATATCATACTCCAAAATAGCAAAAGCAAGCAAAAATCAGAGCCGAAAACAAACATGCAAAAAGAAAATATGTAATATATACATATATATATATATATATATATATATATATATAGAGAGAGAGAGAGAGAGAGAGAGAGTGAGAGTTTATATATATATATATATATATATATATATATATATATGATCGCGATTTTTAGTTTTTGGCTTGGTTTCAAATTATATTTTATCTCTTTGCAAAGATGTAGACTAAGAACTTGAATAGAAGATATTAAAATTTTCTGGATTAGTTAATTTTCTAATATCTTCGTGATTTTCATTGACAGTAAGCGATGATAAAGAGTTTTTACCAAATGAGATAAATGTAGATTATTTGAATGAAAAAAAATTGGTTCCCTTTATTTGAATTAGTTATTTAAAATCGCTCTTAAAATCCTTTTATGAAAAAGCATTGATAATAAAAACTGCTGGTAAAAAAATTAATATAAAAAAAAAAGAAAAGCGCTGCTAATGTATAGTCCAAATTGACGCGGGTACTTGTACAAATGGGATTGGCTAAGCAATCCAGTTATAGTTTTCCCGCCAGATGACAGAATTACACTTGTAGGTAATTAAATTTTCGTCTACCTTTATGCACATTTTTCCTTTATATTTATATATATATATATAAACGAAATATTGTTTCTATACTTCTATCGTGCATTGCTTTACACATAGCTAGAAAGATAAGCTGTACATATATAAAGGAGAATAAAATAACAGGAAAAAGAACACTAAATAGTATTGACAAGTGACTGTGTTCTTCATGATGTGTTCATTTTCCAGTCTATATTTGGCAAGAAAAAAATTAGCCTTTTTGCGATATCTTCTATGACATTTAATAGTTGCACTTTTCCTAAGATACACTACAATGACGTCATACGGTGATTATGCCTGACAGAACGCCAGTTGCTTTTAAAATATTCCACTTTTAAACGTAAAATTTGAAATCATTTAAACAATTCTCTTTTAATTTACCATATCTAATCGCACAGTTCAACATTCTACGCGTTAAATTTCATATCGCTATCTGTGCAGAGTCACTTCTTTTTTTTTAATTATAACTAATAAAATATACTATATTTACTTATGTTCTCTTGATCATTTTCTTGTGACGTTTTTATAAGAGCTAAATTTTTCTCTTTCCACAAGATTACACTTCGTTTCTCAATCAAGTAAAGTCTAAATTAAATTTCTCGTTTGTGGTTGATCTTCAATTGGCCTTCCTTGTAAAGTTTACCGGCAATTATGAAAGGCTAACAACAAACGTCCAAAGAAAAGCTATATATATATATATATATATATATATATATGAAACTGCATATATGGAACAATGGACATTAACATGTTCAACTATATCAGAATTGCGTCATTTTTCAATATGCTTATTATTAATGGAAATCGTTCTTATTAAACCTTATATATATATCTTAGATACTGTGCATACAGTAGCGTTTATTTCTATCTCTCCGAACGTGATAGAGTTAGACATCTTTCGATAGGAAAAACATGTTAAAACAAAAACGAAAAGATCTTTGTACGCTATTAATCTCAAATCTGTTAGTAGTTAAAGTTAATTGTCTACATTTTGTGGAAAGTAAGGAGATATGTCTTCTTATCAAACTTAGCTTTTGCACCGAGTTGATCTCGAATCAAATTATTATGTTGAATTAATACCAAAAACTAAAAAGAAATCACGAGGAAACCTTACAAAAGTCTTTGATAATTGATTTTAATATACTGCTGTCATAATTATTTAAACTTTTTATCGAAAAGAATTCTTTTGTACAGGTGATAAACAAGGAACATTCAAATTTGTAGGCTAATCAAATTATAAAAACTTACCTTCCGCAGTACATAAAACACAAAGTGTGGCGATACATATTGTAAAAGCCAAAATATTTTGAAAAGACATTTTATGAAACGACTACTTTCACATGTAATCAATGGTTTATAAGTATGAATGTTTTTGGACTTCGGTTTGGTTAAAGGTTAAGGTTAGTCACGTGATAAATTTTAGCATAAAATTCAGAGAACATCTAAGAGTAAAGACATTGTAGCAATAGTGAGCATCACCGCCATTTTGATTAGGTATTGTAGTAACTTATTAGGTGCCAATTTGGAGGCCTCAAAATATCAAATTCCTTTTTATGCTATAAAGATAAAGGCAGTCAAAGCTGCAATTTTTAAGCTCTAAATTAACATTCTACGGTTAATGTTTCTTTGCTTTTCGTTCTTATTCTACATAGTGGGATGCGCCTTAACAAAAATGGCCGTAGTTTCTGTTTTTCAAGAGAAACGGGTATCGCATCATGTGACCGAAAATTTCGGAAAACGCTCAATAAATCCAGTAATCAAAGTGTAGTAGACAACTAAAACAAATATGGCGGTATAAACGTAAGCGATTTTTTACTAATATCATATGCTTAAAATAAGTCTTCCATGTACATTGTCAAATAAAAATTTCTATAACAAAATATATAAACGATATTTCTTTATTATTTTCCAGTCGGAGATCGTTATTCCACCTTTTTGTAACAGAGTAACATTATTTATTTCTATTAACTGTGACTGCCGCTGTTACAGAAATAAATGCAATAACTCTTGGGTACAAGAATAGGACAATTAATCAGTATGGCGTAAGTAGTTAAGAAAGACATGGATAATATTTTGTTAAACTAAGAGTGAACTTCAGATATCGAGACAGTCAGTACAGTGCTCCAGGATATTCCAGCCATGGAGCATATGAAAGATACATGCAACATACTGAACAATCCACAATACATAAAATGAAAGTAATGAAGTATAGTAAGACTTATGGAATAGGTTCTTAACGTTAATTAATCTTTTAGGAAACGTATTGGACCACTAAGCAAGTTGTGATGAAAAAGCTGGGTAAGAAAGAAGATGAACACGTGGTAGCGTCAGACGCAGAACTAGATGCTAAATTAGATGTCTGTTTCATTAAACAATTCGATAAATTTTTTAATTGAATATCAATTCAAACAGTTTTTCAAGTCTATTCAAAAATCATGCTTTGATTTACTCAAAGTACTCGAAAGGTATCAAGATAGGCTATACGGTACGTGTTTTTATATAATTGAATATATCTTATTGAATTTATTTATATTATTTGCATAGCAATACTTCAAAAACTGCAAAAAAAAAATTCTATAAGATTGAAAATTATATTTAGATACAAAATAAGATTTATATTTATAATCATATTAATAAAAATTTTATAATTATACATGTATATTTCTACTATATTTATATAAATACTAATATAGGCCATTTCCTATTAATTTAAAATTATCTATATACGCATTTAAAAAAAAATTCAAACAACCGCATTGTGTAACATATGTTTTTTTTTTTCATGTATATTTTTTTAGAGCTTAGAGTTCACAACTATTTAAATTCTTTTCCTAGTTACCAATAAAATCATTTTTATTTATCCACCTTGTTTTTAAATAATTAATTGCTATTTACATAGTATTTGTTAGTATCTTTTTATTTTTGGTTTTATTTGTTTACTTTATTCCTCGTCTATTTCTATCTTATGTCATTTTTCGAATTTATTAACTATATTTTACATTTAATAGCTCTATCTCAAGAAGAAAATGCTATGGGTAGATTCTTAAAGCATAATGGTAAAAATGATAAAACTAGAGCGGGAAAAATGATGTCATCTGTTGGTAAGGCTCAAAGCTACGCATCCCAACAAAGGTTAGAGCAAGTTTTTTAGTTCCACTCTTAAATAATTATCGGATAGCGATGTCTTAAATCATCCAACAGCTTGAAAAAATAATCTTTATTTTTTATCTTTATTGTATTTTTGTTCAAATTTAAAAAAGCAAAATCTTTCTTTTTGTAACTTGTAGATTGGCACTACGAGTACCTTTAGTTCGACTTTATCAAGAGGTTGAAACATTTCGAATTAGGGCCATAGCTGATACTTTATTAACAGTAAATCGAATGGAAAATGCCCGAACTGAATATAGAGGAGCCTTAATGTGGATGAAAAATGCTAGCGAAGAACTAGACCCTGATACTTACAAACAGTTAGATAAATTTAGAAAAGTTCAGGCTCAAGTCCGGAAGACTAAAGCAAAATTCGATAAATTAAAGTTGGATGTTATGCAGAAAATCGATTTATTAGCTGCTTCCAGATGTAATATGTTTTCACATGTGTTGGCTACCTATCAGGTTTTTTTTCATATTTCTATTATATAATCTTACGTCACACTAATTACAATCATTTTTTCAAACAGTCAACTCTCCTACACTTTTGGAGCAAAACCAGTAACACCATGCAAACAGTTTCCGAATCGTTCAAAGGCTATCAATATTATGAATTCAGTATGCTGAAAGAATTAGCTGAACCCAGCAAGAAGTTGGTAGATGCTACAAAGTTGGAAAAAAGCGATGACGATACGTCCACTGCTGCTGCTACTGCTTCTGGGTTAGTAAAATCACTTAATTAGTTTTCTATACTGTAAAGTGACTTTTATATATTTATAATTTTATAATTTGTTACCGCTGATTGTAATATCTATGGAAGAGATTTATTCCATCGAGTTTAAGTTTTTTAATATGTAATAGCGAAGAGATTGAAGAAGACGAGACGGCAGAAAGCGTACATGAGGATAATTCTTCAATGTCGTCAAATAAACCGCATCCTAGTTTTTTTGATGATCTAATAAGCTCGGAGGAACCAGATAGTCTTCCATTACCTATTTCCCAATTTCAATCTGACTCGTCAAACCACAATTGGTTAATAGATGATCAAAAAGACTCAGAGGAGACTAAATCAGCAGCATCCTTACTTTCAGATAGCGGGTTCGTGAAAAAGATTTAAAAAAATCGGACGCTTTCTTATCGTCAGCTAAACACGACAATTTCTTTAACAAATCTATACACATTTATTAATATTTTATTATCGGAAATGTTAATAATTTTTAACTAAAAGTTGACGATAAATGTACGATTTATTGGTAGTGGAAATATTACGGCTGTGGGAATTAAGGCTTTGTTTTCAAACTTCTATTACATAATCCAAAGCTTTATTTTTTATACTTTTGCATGTTATTACGCTTTAGAGGCATGTGTGATAATTTTTTATATTATCTCTAATTTCAGTAGTAAAGATCAACAGAGTCAGGAGGAACCCAATAATAAAGAGCAAACGAAAGAAATGGCTAAAGAAAATAATCTAGAAGAAAAGAAACCAATTAAGTTAGACTTGCCATATTGCCGCTTGAAGAATAACTAACTAATTATTTTATTATTAATCAAACTAATTCTGCTTTGACTTACTTTTTTTGAATTAACAACAAATATTTTTAACTCTCTTTCCTCGCTATAGCCAAATGACCTTTAGATTCTTTGGGATTCTAGCTTTCAACCTTGATCATCCTCTATTATTCAGTGAAAAAATATATATCTATATTCTTTTATGAATGAAAAGAATAGAATAATTCGTCTGACTAAATTTGTACGTTTTTCTCTTCACAGATTGATTGATTTCAACGAATCGGAAAAACAGGAAAGAGATTTGAAAAGTAGTAGATTTTTTTGCTTTTTTTCATTTTCTAAAAGTTTAATAAAATTTTTCAATAGATTCTAACGAAAAGGCGAATAGTCCAGATTTAGACATTGATTGGAATGAAGATGAAGATATTGAGGAAATTAAACGCCGTCAAGTTTGTAACACTTTACGATCACCATTTTCAAAAATATAGATATTTTTTTTCTTTTATTGTAGGACGTTGAATTAGATTTAGATGGTAAATCGTTATTGACAAAAGAAGGAAAGAAAGAAAGAGAAATTCAAGAAAAAAAGATGAAAAATACCGTAAAAGACCTTCTTAGTAGTGACGACATCGAGGAAGATGATAATGATAAGGATGATATGGATATTTTGAATGACATTTTAGCCCCATCAGGCGGAGATGACTTGGCAAAAGAGTGGAAATCTGTTTTTGGAGATGAACCTATTTTACCGACGCCTTCCACATCTGCTAACGTTAAAGGGAATAGCGAAGTCGATAGCTTCTCTTCATTCCTTCCTTCTCATTTGTTGGATACACAACCTCCCGCCTACGCTGACGGTATGTTAAATGAACTAACGGCAAAAATTGAATAGTTTTTATTTTCAAAATCCTTTCCTTTTAGCCTTAGCACAACAACGAGCTACAGCCAATCTTATGAGCCAACCACCTACGATGCCAATGAGATTATCAGCACAACAGAGTCCCGTTGCAGCTGGTAAATCGTCAGCAAAACCATTACCACTTGCTAGTAAAGATAAAAAGGTAAATTGACAAGTAGAATACGGCTAGATTCTCATTTAATTTTCGTTTCAATTATCGTAGAAACAGGACATGTCTGCTTGGTTTAATATGTTCGCTGATCTTGACCCGTTGGCTAATCCTGATGCCATTGGGCGTAAAAGAGATGATATAGCTGGAGCCTTATAGAAAAACTTTTGCATTTCATTCCGTTCTGAACTTTGAGAATTTAAAAATCGACAAAAAAACATGTACAAAACTTTAATTGTTGTCTGCATGTATAATTCTAGTCATGTGGTTGTTCATTCCTAAATATGAATGCATGCGTTTGCATTGTTCAAACGAATAAAATATTTTATTTACCCCATATTGTTTAACTAAATAACAAATCGTTTTAGCTTATCTAACTTTTTGAATAATTTCTTTTTTTTTTGTTAATATGTTTAAAGAAATATAATAAGGAATTCTCACTTGATCTGTGAATAGTTTGAATTTTAAACCAACGAAAAATTTAAGGAAATATATCAATAATTTATTATTTTATCAAAGAAGTTTTAGCTTCTGCTATTTTTCTCTTTAAAGGATGAATTAAAACAAATGCAGGTATCATAAGTATCAACACAGCGATGGCAAATCCAGCAAACACATATGCAACTATAATAAAATTCTTGTCTCTCGTATTGGTAACTTTTTTGTAATAACATTGTTCAGCATCACCTGAAATAATAGACAAAATTATTATTTTATTATTATCCTATTTCTTAAATATACAAGAAATATTCACGCCTAAATGGTTTGTACAGATATTAAAAAGCAACATTTGATTGCAATTGATCTTTCAGGCGTTGAATTCTTTTATCATTTTTAGTTTAATCCTATACGAGTATTCAATTAGAAAGATTTACCAGTAAAATTGTGCGGTCCTGTAACCGTATCTTCATTATCTTTAATATTACCGCAATTTGTGGCCGCAAAACCCAATCTTTCATTCTTTCTATCAAATATTGTATAGAAACCGGCCATTGCCACTGCACCAAATACAGTTCCTATAGAATATTAGTAAATATATGAAAAATAGTAATGTGGAATAGATCTTTTAATATCATTTTTTCAAATGAAAAAGAATGTTACCTCTCTTTGATTCTGATATTGAAAATGTATAGCAGACATCACCCAAGTTAACCTCTTTTCTTTCGATATATATATGCGGTTTAAGAGTTAACCTTATTGTTGATGTATCATTTTGTAACAGTTCAATTTCTATTTTATCGGAAAAATATTCTTGTAATATAATCATTAATCATCAATAATAAAAATGAAAAGAAACCTAAATTTGGAAATACTTCGTCTATTTTAACAGAATTTGAACAAAGCGGTGATAAACCTTCCCAAAAACTACTCCTTACTTGCCTTCTGAGATCTTCGTCTTGCTATAGAAACATTTTACATTTTTTAATAGAATATAAGAAATTCAGCTAATTCTAGCTTACGAATGTAATTGTTTTAAGTCTTGAAATTACTTCTCTATAGACCCTTTTCGGAAGTTTTAAATCAGTTGTGCCAGTATCTACTATCGTCTTATCGAAATTATACTATTTATTGGAAAATAAGAATAACTAAATAGGAGGATATTGAAATTAATATAAAAAACCTCTTTACAATCCATAGACAACGACTGACCATTAACTTTAACATCACCAATTACTACTTCATAGTAGGCTTTTCTTTTTATGGGAACATATTGAATATCTCCATTAAATAAAGATTTATCAATGCCACCTATCGTCTAGAAAAATATACAAGAATTTAAAAAATTCCATATATGTTCTTTTTACTTTCTTAGGCGAAATTATTATGGCTAAATACAACATAAACATGCTTTTTAAAGATAATCTTAATTGTCTTAAATCTCTAGAAATGACAGTAATTTTCAGTATATAAAATCAAATAAGCGACACGGCAGGATGATAATTTAGACAATAGTTATTTTCAGTGACGTACGTTTCTACTTACCAAAGTATAAGTAACTTTTATAGGAAAATGTATAAATATCTAAGTCGTTAAATTAACAATAAGAAACTGTTACAAACCATAGTTCCGGCAGTAGTATAATCTTTTCTTACTCCACACAAATGCACCGAAAATAAATCATCAATACCAGGATTTTCGGATATTAGCGAATCAAAAAATGGTGTTACAGTTGAATCAGGCTTTTAAAAAATAAATTATTTTAGAAGAGTAAATTAAAAATATTGTATATTATTAAAGAAATACTTACTACAGCCAATTCTGCGTAGGCTAAACCGAGTATACCTTCCCAATTTGATCCCTCAACGAAAAATTGACTTGATTCTTCTATCAACGAAACGTACGCAGTACAATTTACATCATTCACTTTCGGTAAATTTATTTTATCTGCTCCCAAAATACCTATATATAAAGGAAAAGTTATTAGTTATCAATTAGATACGTATCATCTAGATTAAATATAAAAGTTGTAAATTCTGTTTTTATGCTACTTGTAGAAGTTTTCCAACAGTTTACTATGATTCTTTATATTGTAAATACGCTGTAAGAAATTAAATAAATAAAATTCTATGAAATCCCAATAAACTATAAAACAGTCTAGAAATATGAAATTTTGTTGTAGATGGCCTTTCAAAAGAGTAATTTAAAAAGTCCCTTAGGAAACGATAGACCCTTTCCGATCATATATAAACATAAACATTATTTAAAAATATAGTAGACAGCTTGATAAGCAATAATTGCCAGTTATAAAACACTGTTACGTATAAACAGAACTCACGAATTTTATGATCACATTTAATATGGAATGTAAAATTATATAGAAAAGTATAAAGTATAAATGTTCAACTGCTTACCTAACCACTCGCCTTGAGTGTATTTAACATCAACGACTCTTCCAATATTTGTAAACGTTGATGAACTGTGATATGTAAATACAACAAAGATGTTTTCAAGAAATCAGAATAGAAAGTACATTTTAATAAAAACAATTACTTTTTACTGTTGAAATATTTATATAAAGTATTTTCAGGCTTTCCCGCAATTGCAAAATTACTGCTCCCAGTATCAATAAGAACGTTAAACTAAACAAAAATATAATCAATTATTTTCAACATGTGTACCAAATTTTTACTTTTTTATGTCAATACTAACCCTTTGAGGGGGCGTACCAATATCTATCGCTACGTAGTAACCCCCTCCAGCTTTACCATTTAAGTTATTTTCCTGTGACGTTATATTTTCTGATTGCTTCTCATTTGTAGTATCACGGAAGTTTGATAAACGATCACTATATTTCAAATTCAAAGATATCATATTTCCAATTTCACCAGTCATTGAACACTTAGGTAACAATACTAGAATCATAATTAATGAAAATTTAATCATCTTTTTATGTTTTCTCATAACTTATCGTCTTTTAATTCCATATATTATTAAGATACGTCGCTGGTGGAAGTTTGAAGTAAAATGGAACCGCACGAAAACTGATATATACTCTGATTGGCCAGATGTTGCAATATGATGTCCGTTTACTACAAGTCACGATTCCAAATATCTTAGAATAAGCGTTTTTTAACACACTGTTATAATTAAACTAGAGTAATTAGTAAAACTTTAAAAGCTGAATTCTTTGAAGTATTAATGACTTATCTTCTCAACTTGTATTAATAATACATTAGATTTGCTATTAAGAATAAAAAACAACTTTTAAAATATTTCGCTGTGTATTCCTAATCAACAAATTAATTCTGGTTTATGTACCAGCACAACCTTAATATAGTTGTTATAACAATTTTTCAATCTGCGGAGTTTCTATATTATTCGTTCTTTCGTGTTCTTCTTTCAGTTTTGGAGAAGACTTTATAAATAAGTCTTATTTGAATGTATCAAATCTTCTAATTTGAAAAGTTAGCTTAGTACAGAGCATCTTCATCAAGATCATCATCATCATCTCCTCCGTAGCTTTCACCATTGTCAAAATAAGTCATATTATAATCAGTCTCCTCAAGATCTTCTTCATCATACTCCTCCTCTTCAATGATGCCTTCTTCATTCTTTTTCTCCTCTTCTTCGACATCATCGTCATCATTAACTTTTTCAAACTCTTCTAATTCTTTTAGTTTTTTATCAGCATCGAGTTTCAATTTAGTTATATTTGGTTTCACCATTTTTCGCATTTTCTTCTTCTTAGGATGAAGTTCCGAAGGTAAAATTTTGAGATTTGGCTCCCAGCTACCATTCTGTATTCCTAATTGATATTTATCGCTATATTTCTTTAAACATTTATCTTTTTCAGCTAAAACATTGTAACCAGATTCTCTCATCTTATTTCTAAAATTTTGCTTTACAGCTATAATGTAAGAAATTTCTTCGGATGTTTGTAGAGGATGGACTTGTTGAGTTAACGGCTGAAGATATAAAACAGAGTCTGTTAAGTCAAATTCCAATTTTTTAAGGATTTTATCAACTTGTGTAACATTCTTTAAAAAAGACTATATATAAGACAAAACCAAATTCAAAAAATATGTAAGGTAACCAAGAAGTGATAATTTTAAAATTAAGAGATATTTTCAAGTACAGAAAGCGTCAGAAATGAGTAATTGAAGAAAAATTCTAAAAGCATTTATTATCACTCACTGGAAAAGTTGGTGGAGGTTGTAATGTTGCTTTAGGAAGAGCTTCTCCTCTACCAAATCCCAATTGATCAATATTAAAGGAAACACCTCGACCTCCTCTTCCCCTACCTCTTCCTGCCATCTGTAATTTCCAGTTTTAGCACGTACTTTCTGGAAAAGCTAGTGCTGAAGCTTCATAATTTTCAGAAAACTCGCAACAATCAGACGCAGCGTGAAATATATTTTAAACTACGCTAGCGACATCTGTTGTTATCTAAATTCGTACGAAAATAGACAAAGAAAAAATAGAAAGAAAAGAACAAAGTGTTGAATAATACTGAAAAAGATAAAAGAATGAAGTGAAGATCTATTGATAAGTTTATATTATTGTACGAAACTATCACCTTACAATGGTCGATAATAGGTGTAATTAATTTACAAAGACCTTTTTATGGCATGAGTTAAATTCAGACCTTTATTAATTATTTTAACTTTGTCATTTGCACATTTATTTATCATTTATTAGAAGGTCCACAGGATTTTAGCAATAGGTGAGTATTTTCAGATTTCGACTTGTTCATTAATAATGAATACCATCTTCTGCAATTTTGCAGATCTATGCTCAATTAAGAAACAATAGAATGTCCGACGGTTTCCGTAAACCGTTCAACGTCGACGATGAACGCAGTTTATTCTCAAGGATGCCCTCAAAGCCATCGCTACCGAAATCTGATGTCCACAGGACAACGCTTCGGTCATATTACAAACTGTCGACCTTAGGATCTATGTCGAGAGATAGTCTAGCTAGTTCAATATCATCTTTAACCGCTTCTAGGGAAAATCTTTTTTCGTGTGAATTCACTCCACTCGGTTAGTCTATTAATTGAACAAAAAATGATAAATGCATTATTTGAACAACCATTTTTCTTTGAAAGGTTCCAGTTGGAATTTAAATAATAGTGCCAAGATGTCCCTATTAGAAGAGGTTAAATCGCATAAAATTAGTGCGGAAGTTATGAAACAAAGACTATACGAAAGCGTTATAACATCACCTAGTCGTCGACGTCATTCAACTCTTCAGCATAGTTATTACGCCGATTCTCCTCAAAATTTTCATATTGTTCAATCGTTACCTGTTACCCCAGCCGCTTCTAAAAGTACTAGTCCCCTATCAAGCCCCAGGTCTTCCCGCTACTTTACAAAGCGCACTGAAGAAGATATGTGTATTGAAGAAGAGAACGGTTTAGAGGAAGCAAGATGTGCTGGCCTGGCATCAGTTCTGAGACCAGAGGCGAGATTTGTTCCAACGCCTGGACGAAGTAGCGAAACAAACAAAATAGCCGAATTTGAGCGAAGATTGAAAAACTACCCTTCAAATCATGACCTATCCATGTCATTGACCGATGGGCCAAGTCCGGCAAAGCGAAGAACGAATAACTTGAATTAGAACTGCTGTAGAGTGACGGACGAAAGAATTGTACAGAATATAGAAATTTTCGTGATAGTTTAGCTTGAAACTTTGCTGAATTGTTAAATGGTTTGAAACAGTAAACTTGTAAAAACTAATTGCTTAAGCGGAGAGAGCTGCGTTATTACCGCTCAATAATCCCTTTAGAATATCTTGTATTGAATTGCGGGATTTAAAATGCTCCGCTTGCGGCCAAAATGCTTGTTTAACTTGCATTTGTTAACAGAATAGGCGGATCATGCCTACTGGCTTGTTATTAGGTAAAATTTCGCCGACAAAACGTTCTTTATCGCCCGTGAAACAAGCTCGACGCTTTTTGCACGCTGCGAAAGGTAGACGTCTTCCTCCGGTCATCGAAAAAACAAAGTTACCTCTCATACCAATTGCAGCGGATAGACGACCTCATAGTACAATAATAACTTCTAGAACAGAGCCAATTAATCTAGAGGAAAGAAAGCTTCACCAAAGTCGTTGGCCGTTTGTAGTGACTTCCTTTACTTATGAACAGCAGTTGACAGAGACAGAATATCAGCTTTTTGTAAGGATTTCTGAATGGGTATATAAAACCAATTGCGCAATGGAAACTTTTTGGAACGGGTCGTGTTACGATAACCCATTGGATATTTAGAATTTTGCCAAATTCAGTATTTATTCACCTTAAAGGCATAGCACAAAGTTTTTAATAAAAATAAAAAAGATATATATATATATTTATTTATTTAATTAATTCTATGATGCTCTGTTACTTGACAAAGTTTGAATGTATAAACTTCTCTTCTTCAAAAAACCTTTTGAATCGGTCTGATAATTATTGTCTTTCAAAGCTCTTAGCACTTCAAGCTTGGCTTTTTCCATACTTTTTACGTTCTGTTGACATTGATCGCACTCAGGTATTTTGATAGAATACAGCTCTTCGCTTAGTTCTTGAGAGTAAACAAGTCCGCTTGAAGCTTTTTCTAAAACGTTTTGATAGTACTTGAATAAATTCCTTACTGCCTTCATTTTTATCTTTTTATAAACATAATTATTGAAAAGTAGCAGTGACACAATAGCTAACCAATCCCCAATTGATATCGTAGCATCATTTTTCAATCTTTCAACGGATTCGTCAATTGAATTCTTTACTTGTTCAATATCGCATTGAGGTTGATCGCTTAAAAGTTTTAATAGCGAACATAACATGTTTAGAATTTGATTTGGTGGATAATTATACGTTGATCCGTCTATAGTCATAAATGGAAATTTCTCTTCGGCTAAGTCCGAGTCTTTCATTTCACTAATAACCTTTTGCAAATCTTCAACAACGGATAAAATTATTTCTTTGTTATCGGGTGTTAAAACTAAGTTAACTATCAAATTAATAATTAATCTTTTCATCTTAATTATATTCAACCATTTCTCAAAAGAGATATTTCTGTCTTTATCTTCGTTCCATCCGAAAACATATTTGTCTCTGTTGTCCATCAATTTTCTATTGTTCGAACGTAAAATGTATTTTTCCTGTATTTCTTCAGCTGTATCGGTAAGCTTTTTAGGAGTGTCTGAAGCCAGTAGGTGTAATAAATGTTTCTCTGCCGCACAATACTCTAAAGTTGCCGAACTTCTTAACGAATCCCTTAAATTAAGAGAATCTTCAACTTTGCCGTATGCCAAATTGTTATATGCCCCAAATACTAAATTATTAGAATCTTTAACGCCATCCTCTAGTGATTTTAAAACAGAACTAACAATATCGTAACGCGTTGCGATGGGGAAACATTGAGGAGGAAACAAAGGTAAAGCATCCGATTGAATATGTTTCAAAGAAACTTGACCGTAAACCTTGTGCCACAATTCGGGAGCAAAACGTTTGACAAGATTTAAGAGGATTAAGCATGATATTCGATCATAGGGCGCTATTCTTGTTAACAAAACCATTGAATTGATCAATTTCTTGGGCGACTTTTGACAATTTTTCATGAACAATAGAGCTACAGTACGAACTCCAAAAGAGACCTCTGTTTTGTTACAGTCAATGCATGGGAGTTTATTTAATATCATTTCGGTTGCTGTTTCATCATCCATCTCTATGTCAAATCTTCTTCTCAATTCAATTATATTCACCAGCCTGTCAAAGTCTAACTCATCTAATTTAATAAAATTTGTATCCAGAATTTCAAAAGATTGCCTACATGAAACAATATCATGTACGAAACTAGGTTTATGTCCAGAATTATTCCATAATATCTTAAATATTTCATTTGGCTGTGTAAGACCGTCGCATAATTTTGAATATCCTAATTGTTTAGTATATTGAATTGTACTAAGAACACAGACACCGCCTTCCCGACCATCTATTTCAACACTTTTAAGCTTAGTTATTGCTTCTTCAACAAAACTATCTCCAAGCTCCTTGCAACATTTTAAATAGAGTTGCCAATGATGAAAGTTCTTAGATGTGTCAATGAACGTCTTTAATTCTTCAAATGCCTCTTGATACTTTCCACAGTTCAACAAAACTTCTGCAGTTTGCGGATGATTGAGACTTTCCAATTCAAGAGCTTCTTCCGTCTTTCCAACAGCCTGGTAAACTTTACTTAAAAGTGCCTTTTCATTCTCAGTTTTCGGTTTTCCCGACAGTAGATTCATTGCAACTGGATAACAAAGTTTATGAGCCAGCAAAGGATTATATTTCGCTTGCATAACCAAACTAGTTGCTCTCCACCATATATATTTTTCGGCTTGCCATCGTTTATGCAACATTACTGCTGCTTTTTGCTGTATGGGAAAATCGTCTACAGCAATTGCAGCGCTAAATACTTCTCTAAAGACATCTTCTGTTTCTATGCAGTTAGAAGTGGCTTGCCAGGCTTTTAAAATACCCCTTGGATCGTTTATTTCGTAGAATAGCTTTGCCAAAGCATGGGCAGCATTTTCATCATTTAACTTTCCATCAGCTATTAGTTCATTAGCTAATTTAATACCACGCTTTCTTTGTCCACTACAAACCAAACCCACAGCCAATAATGCATGACATGTAACATTGACGTCTCCTTTCTGTTTATTGATAATTTTCTCAGCTTCATTCACAGCTTTTTTATATTGCTTCGCCTCCAAAAAATCTATAACAAAGATAAAGTTTATTTTATACACGAAAAAAGAGAACTGCCCCAAAAAAAAAAGTTTCTTATTTTCCAGAGATGATATTCAAACACGAAAATATATTTTAAAGTAGAAAAAATTATCTTATTAATTTACACCGAAATACTGACCGTATATATTGCGTAATCGTCTTTCCCCAACGGAAGAGTGATTTTTAACTCCAATCATGTCGGTGAGACTGTCAATCAATGATCTATCGAGTGGTTAACTAAAACCCAGTGTTAAACACAGTTCATTTGGTACATTATTAGTTAATTACTTAAGATTTCAAGATTATATCTGTCTAAAATGGTTCAATACGAGTGTAGAAACAATGAGTATTGCAGTATTAAGAGATGCAACAAGTGAGCCGAGTTTAAAACTTTCTTATACGACCTTTAAACCAGCACCGTCTGCGTTTTAGTCCTACCAGCTTTTCAAATTACGCTGTCTCTTAGAGTCAACGGTTATTCGTGAGTATTTTTATATTCGTCGAAAGGATATCCTGAATTTTGAAAATATGGCAACTATCGTAAGAGTTAAAAGGCGGAGAGATGAAAAACCAGCAGACTCTTTAGTCTTTAGTCGTAAAAGAGCTAGACTGGAAAATGGCGTAGCTTCTAAATCCGAAGAGGGTATAAAAGATCAAGAACAAGTGTTTAAATTTGCCGGGACTGTTCAACCTGAGGTAATGATTAAAACATAACAACCAATTCGATAATTTGAACTAAACTGTTTTTGATAGGATAAGGTCGTACCGCATGTTAAATCGGCCATTAAAAAAGATAAATTACAACGAGAATATAAAAGACATGAGTTGGGCGATTTTAAGGAAGATAATAGAGATATTAAGCAATCGTCAAGCAAGTCCGGACGTTACAAAATCGTCTCGGAAAAAAGAGCAATCGAATTAGATAGCTTGGACGGTGAACTTGAAACTGAAAAAAAAAATCTAGACAACAAGTATACTCTTCTCGATATAACCACCGACGATAAGAAAGAAACTGAGGAAAAACTCGGATGTAACGGCGAAGAGATGATTCGAACCCAGTCAGATTTGGAATACGTTTACGATGTCTACTATTATAATAAAGGAGATTTTGGAGATCCTCGAATAGATGAAATATTGGATATCAGACCTGTATTTAACGATGTAATTTTAAATCAATATAGGTAAACAAGCTGTATATTTTATTTAAACCTTTAGTAAATATTTTACTCACTTAACTTTAAAGGTGCGGTGACGATAGCGATGATCAAGCTTATGAAGATGATGACGACAGCAATGACGAAGGAAACTATCGTAACGACTATCCTGACGAGGATCCTCATTATATTGATCCTGAAAATTTTGATGACGATGTAGAAGATGACGATTATACGAAATGTACGTAATTAAGTTTAATAATGTTTTATGATTTTTAAATGAAATTAAATCATACAGACGTGCAGAGTTACTACGACGAAAGTGAAATAACTCAGGCAATGAAGGAATGGACTATAGAAGGTTACATTCAAATGAAAGTGAATGCTTCGTTACTTAATAAGTTTTTTATAATATACAGCTAGTCCTGATCACTCAGACGTTAGTGATGACGATAGAGGAGGAAAAGTGTCATATGAAGATTATAAATCTCGAGTTATGAAAGAACTCGGAATGGATAGCTAAACCTGTAAAAAAACTCAAACGCTTACCTCTTGTTTTTTTAATCAAGCATTTACTTAAAACTATATGTACATACAAAAGAACGGAATAACAAAAGAAATCTCTTTTAATACATTATCGAATTCTTTGTTGCTTTTTCTCTAACTAAAATTTAAAAAAAGATTAATTTTCGATATTATTCCTTAGGCTATTTCAGCAACCTTAGAATAAAAACTTGCGCTATTGTTGTGTGATGCATGCAAAAACAAAGAGAAACATTGGCTCCATTATCATCTTTTTAACACGCTATATACAAGTATATATAATTTCGATCTCAGAGGAGCTTTTTGCCTAGCTGCTTGCCAACCGTTTCAGTAGTTCTAATATCTCATAAAAAAAAACTTTTGTACTGAGGAGAAAGATGAATTTATCAAATCTTAATGAATTTCCCCCGGAAGCTGGACCACCACAACCTCCACCGCAAAGTTCTCAGAATATGAAAGACATTGTCATTGGTGTTTCAACAGCTTCAGCACTAATCTTAATAATTGGTTTAATTGGTAATACACTAAGTTTTATTGTTTTCAGTAGAAATTCAATGGCAGATTCGACCACATCTGTTTATTTAAGATTTTTGGCTGTTGTCGATTCGTTAAGTTTAATATTTAATTGTATCTTTATGACTTTGAAGTTTTATGTTGGCTTTGTGGAATTATCTCAACCATTTTTAAAATACTTTGTATGTGCATTCATTTTCCATGGTAGCTTGTCATTTAGTGAGGGGAGTTCTTGGCTAATTGTTGCCATGACAATTGATAGAAGTATCTATATATTCCTACCAACAAAATCTAAACTAATATGTACAAAATCTAGATCATCAATTGTATGCATTTCTATAATATGCATATTTGTGATTTTCTTTCATCCTTACTATTACATAACTGGGCAGGTTGACGTAATGAGAAATCCGAAAAATAAATGGGAAACTGGTTTATTCTGTAGTGGAATTTCAGAATCGGCTAGAATATTCTTATACGATGTTTTAATACCTTTCGACGCTCTTATGTATTGTATTATACCTTCTATATTACTTTTAATTATTAATATTGGATTAATTGTTCATGTTATAAGATCGACAAAGAAGAGACATGATTTAATATCTGAGAAACAAAGAAAATTTTCGTACGATAGAAAAACACTGCAGCTAACTATAACACTTATCTGTGTTTCCTTATATTTTTTTATTGCAACTTTTCCATCATTCTATAAGATATTTCTATATTATTTTAAAGAGCCTGGTCAACCACCAACTCATCAGTTGTACATTATCACTGTAACTGTTATCGGTTATTCAAATAATGCAGTAAATTTCTATATCTATTGTATGACGGGATCAAAGTTTAGAAGGGAATTAGCCAAGCTAATTAAGAATAGAAGTTTTCAGAATAGCTCTGAAAATTTCTCATCAACTTCATCAACTGCGGTAAATTCGTACGAAAGAAGAAAGGAAGTTAACCTGAGACAGGAAAAATCAAATCGATATTGAAAGAAATAATAATATATTTAGATAATCACAGTAATTTAAATATTCATTCTTTAGTTTATTTTGTATTAGAGATTCGTGTACTATCCGTTTTTGTATAAAAAGGACAATTCTATCACATTTGAAAATAATAAAGAAATCACAGATGTTTTGTGGACAACATGTTTAATTTTTTAATAAACAATAAATTTTAATAATGTTTTTATTTGGTAATTTGTTTAGTTAATTTTATACATCTCTTTCAACTATCAATCAAATTTAATATCCTTCTCCGGATATTCCTATTTTACCATCTGATAGATTGCCGTAACCTGGATTCTCGAAAGCGACGCTATGTTCAGTAGCAGAAGTTGAATAACCGAATGGTCTTCTCCTTATTCTAAACCACCAGAAAGCACCAACAGCGCCAGCTATTACTACAAGACAAATGAGTATAGGAACAACAATAGCGGCAGCATTTGTTTTGCTGATCTTTTTCTTCGTTGCTTTATCGGATTTTGTTGGTTGTACGTCCAAATGAGTTTTTGGACTCGATCCTAAACTTCCAACAGATTGAAAATTGAATGAGTATTTTTTAGTAGGATCAAGTTTTAAGGTAATTGATGTAACATTAAAATCGACGACCTTTGTTTCTAAAGTTTTTGGTTCTGTTTTGGATTTTTTCTGCAAGTTGTAAGATATTCTATAACTTTTTACCAAATAAGGATAATCCTTTGGCGGTGACCATGAAAAGGTAATAGCTTCTCCTTTAGTTTGTTTTATATTCGTTGGTTTGCCTGGTTTCTCGTTTGGAGTTGTAAAATCAATATTTGTTAGACTTGACGACTTTCTATTCGTAATTTGATAGCTGATTACCGAAGCTGTATATTTAGTACTCGCTTCCATATTTGGTCCAATGCAAAAGGTTGCTTGTAAATTTTTGCTTTTATATATTTTAATTCGTTTATTTGACTTGAAAAGTTCTATTTCATACTTTTTCACCAAAGATCCTTTTGTTGGATAACTCCACGTTAATTTTATACATTCCTTTGATTGTACTATTTTCAAGTCTGATGGAATTGATTTTGGAACCAATCTGACACATTCCAGAGATCTTGAAATTTCGATTCCACATGGAGACCCGTTTACTACTTTACCGCAAGATTTCTTACATTTTTCTGAGACAGCAGACTGGCAACATTTGGTAAATTTATTTAATATTTCTGGATTTCCTTCATCAACATTTACTGTTATATCTTCTTTAGCGCTTCCTAAATCATTTTTACCTTTGCAAGTATATTTTCCATTATCCCCTGGTTGGATTGGGCTAAAATCAAGCGTAGAAACAAATGTATGATCTACTTTATTTTCTTCACTAGCTACATTGAGATGATAGTTTTCCTCTTTACCATATTCAATTTCTTTATCATTTTTTAACCATACAACGCTTGGCCATCCTTTGAATGAGCAAGTAATTTCTCCAAAGGAATATCCCTCACTAATTATTTTACGTTTGAAGACTGGTTTTACCGATATTTTGGGTTTTTCCAAAAATTTTATGTAAACATGGGTGCTAATGGAGGAACTATTATTCTCAGGCCGGCAAGTATAAATTCCTTGAGTTTTTTGGCTTATTTCAAAAGTTATTTGACTCTTTTTGAAGTCGGTATCTTCAAACTTCCAAGTAACTTTTGGCTCAGGATTAGCTAATACATTGCATGTAAGCGTTACAGAACCTTTCTTCAAAGGTTTATCTATAGTTGTAGGTTTGGAAGTAATAAATAATTTCGGTATATTCTGATCATGAGCAGTTTGTACATGGAAAATCTCTTTTGAACCTTCTCCATATTTGTTAACCGCCACGAGATAAACTTGATAGAAAGTACCAGCTTCCAAATTCGAAAGTTTTATCGGTGATGTTACATTAGTTCTTTTATTCTGAATAAGTTATAGTAAAGAAATTGTATTAAAACAAATTTTTAAATATATTACTTACCCAAGATTCAGTTCCAGTTAAAAATTTATAATAGATGTTATAACTAACACCTGGATCATCCGACTGCTTCCAAGAAAACGTTAGAGAATATTGTGTTCTTTCTATTATAATAAAATCTTTGGGTACTTCTGGGAGAAGAGCTCCCTCGTTAAGGCAAGAGATATATTTCTTCAGGGATGACGTCGAACACCTCAAAGCAGGATGTGAACCAGTTGAATCACCACTGTTGCACGTAGACAAACAGCTACCCAGGTTAGCTGTTTTACAGCAATCAGGACGTGGTTTACTTTTTGCAGCACAATTTAAAATAGTAGTCAAATTATCTCTGCATTGGTACAGATTTAATGGAATGTTCCCTGAACAAGCTTCCATACATGATGATGAAACTTTTTGCTCTTTGCAACAATCAGTTACGTTCAATACTAAATAGGTTGAATTATCTCCGGGTAATGTTCTGACGACAATAGATTCACTTGGTAAACTGGTTCCGGAAGAAGCTCCGGCAATAACGTATACTTCATATTGAGTGTTAGGCTTAAGATTATGGATAACAGCCTTGTTTAGTTTCTTCTCAACAGGAGGCTCTGGGTTTTTATCAACGAAAACTCGGAAATTTGTGATTTTGTCACTAAGATATTCTGGATATTGCCATTCAATAGTAATAGAATGAGTTGTTAAACTAACTAGTTTGACCCCTCTTGGTGCACTGGGAAGATTTTTAATACCTTCTTCCATACAATCTATCATCGACGGTAGGTCTAAGAGACACATGTTTTCAGATAAAAGCCAATTTAATTTTCCATCTTTAGATTCTGAATATTTGCATTTGTCAATACAATTACGAGAAACGCGTCTATCAACACAACATCTTCTATTATCTCGTCCAGCGTTGCCACATGATATTATAGAACCAAAATTATTATTTGATACACAATTAATTAAATTTTCTGTATTTATATTTGCAAGATTCAGACCATATGAACAAAACTCCATGCAAGTGGCCGTTACATTGTTATCCTTACAGCATTTTTTTTCATCATAGGGATTAGATTTTGGAGGAAGATTTGGATTAATTAAGTCGCTTTCATCATTGGTCAGAAAGCTAACTTCTGTCGATTTCAAGGATCTCGTAGAACCGTTAACTGATTGAACAGCAACAAAATATATAGTATCCTCATTTAAACTTTTTAAAGTAACTTTTGTCTCAGAAGTGGTTGTTGATTTCGTTTCAGTAACCATCCCTATAGGATAGTAACTGATTATAAAATCAGTGATTTTATCTTTAATCCTCCAGCTTATATCTGCTTCGGTTTTTCTGACATTTAAAACGCGAACGCTTTTTGGTATTTCGGGTAGGCTTACACCTCCTTCATCAACACATGACAATATAGTTGGTAACCAGTACTGGCAATTATCATAGTTGTCAGTAACGTCTAAAGTTCCATCACACATATTATAACACGTTGGATTTACTCCACGACGCTTACAACAAGATGTATGATCTTCATTTTTTATCAGGCATTGATAAAACTTTGTCCTATATTCGTGACAAGCAACTACACCGGCACTATTTCGTTCGCCCTCAGCTGTACATAAATTTTTGACGCATTCCTTCCTTATACCTTGGGTTTCGCAGCATTTTTTCATAACTATATCATCCTTGATTATAACTTGTCCTTTTGTATAGTCCCTTATTTGACTAGAAGGTAAGGAAAATCCATGTTGTCCTTTAGCAACAACATAAATGTAATATAGTTCATTTTTTTTCAGATTCTCTATCTTGTAGGTGGTTTCAGTTGATAATTTACTAGTAAAACTGGAATCTGTTACTGCTCGATAGTGAACATAATACACAACGCCTTTTAAAGAAGATGCAGTCCATTTAAGTGTTAAAGATGATTCATCTTTGGACGTTATTTCTAAATCTGTAGGTTTTGAAGGTAGTGAACCCTAAAGGAAATTTAATAGCGTTAAACAAATATTTTATGCTGAAAAGACTTTATATCAATTGTACTGTTCCGTAATCGATAAGTTTACAAATATTTTTATATGTTACTACGGTAACACAATTCAACATAAAAAAATAAACTACCTGTCCTTCTTCGAAGCATTGAATGATATTATCCAATGTGTGAAGGCAATGTAGATACTTGTCTCCGAATATTTTGCCTGCCGGCGGTGCACAAACATCATAACATGTAGGGTGAACATTGTTTCTAGAACAACAGTTGATGTGATTTCTTCCATCGCTACCGCAATGGATAAGTTTGTCAACATCGGCCGAACAATGGGTTATGTCAAAATCATCTCCTCTAGTTGAGGGTTTGCAGGCTGGCAAACAAGATTTTGAAACTTTTTTCTGAATACAGCATTCTGTAATAAAATAGATATTTCTCAATTATAAAAATTTATCAAGCCCTAGTTGCATAATAGGACATAAAAAGCATATCAATTCAAGGATTAGGAGAATTTCTAAATATTTATTAATTAACGTTGGAGAATTTCTCCAAAATGCAATAAAATCAACAACAAACACAATGATATCCGAGAAAAATCAATAAGTTTTTCATGAGTTTTCTGGTTGCTATATGTGCAGAATAGAGCTTTTCATAATCAATGGCTTACAACCCTTACAACTCTTTGTATCTTAATCTATTTCTTACTCACACTATTTTAAGACTATACTGTATTGGTCAGATCTATTGCTTAAGGATTGAAGTTATTGCTACCGTAGTAGGCTTAGATTAGTATAATTTTGAATAAAGATAAAGAATAAATACTCGTAAAATCAGCTCCCTCCGCAGGTTGTGGAGTAGGTAATCCTTTGACTACAACTTTTGCAACAGCACTTATATCTTTCACTCTGCATTGGTAGGTACCGTGTTCGTTTCTCGTAGCTCCTCGAATCGTAAGAACGCTGGTTTTGGTACTTTCCTTAGCTGTTATAGATAGGTAATAATTAAAATAAGTCGATCAGTCAATCCATAGAATGTATTGTAGAGTTTGGTCAATAATTTTGAACTCGTAAGTCCACGGAAAAGTCAATAAAATAAGGTTAAATATTATGAATGCAACCACCGTAACTAATGAATTTTTTTATAGATGAACACAAACCTTCGAAAGTAACGGAGAAGAGCTTTGAATCAGCTTTAATGACATCATCTTCACTTATGACCATACTTGCGTCTTTTCTTTCCCAGATTACCTAGAAATTCACCCAATCAATAAATAAATAAATACCCTATGAATAGATCGAATCGATAGATCACATGATAATTTGTAATATAAAAGATTTTCTAAAATTATTATATATTATATTTTGGAAGGAAGAAATGAATAATTTAGGAAGTGTTTTTTTTTGTTACCTTCTCATCTGCAGAATTTATAACAATACATTTCAAGCGAACATACTCATATTCTTCTATATCGGCTTGTTTTGGAGTGACCGACACTTTTATATCATCGCCTTTTTGAAAGATAATAAGTTTATGTTTTTTAACAATTAATTGCTCGATATCAACTCACAAGATGCCGTTAAAATGACCACAAAAGTAGTAGCAACTAAAAGCACGATGTTATTCATACTTGCCTTCAATTCGCAGATTTAGGTCTGAGCTAAATCTAAGTTCTCGGTCTTTGTAAGGCCTAAAAGGAATATGCGTTCTATACGAAATTTAACAAAAGGTAACCCTTACCTGTATTAAAATTCTTGTGCTATTTTCTATGACTCACTATGAAATGTTATCTTTTTTAAAGTGAAGTACTAATATTATTCAATCACGAAAATATAGGGATTTATTAATTATCATCCGTCCATTTTATTCAGGGTAAACACGTCCCTAGATGGCGCTCATAATTACTCTGAAGACTGACATCTATAAACTGTTATTTTAAATAGGGTAATTAATACGCATATCGGGTTTTGTGAATAGTTAATAAATATTTGATGATCATACTAATAAAGCAGCATATTAAAACAATAAAGCAATAAATAACATCTTCTCATTCACTAATTACTGGATCCGTAGCCGAAAAATTTATCATATTAACCTTTTGCAACCTTATCAAATTTTAAATCCGTTTTATTTAATTATTGACATTTTTCTTATTTTTTTCTGGTAGTTGACACGATAGTACTCTTCACAAACAGAGTACGAATAGATGGAAAGAAAATATTAACATCAATCAATCAATTTTAAGAATTACGTAATGACACATTCGCATGAAAAGCAACTACGTTTAATGTTTTCTTTTTTCATTGTAAATAATTTAATGCTAATTCACAAAAAAGAGGATAATATCAAACAAACTTTCATCAATGACATAAAAAAAAGCTCTATATTATTTGGAATTTTGCACAAAAAAAAAACGATGAAAAGTTTTCACGTAAAAAGCCTGAAAAGGTAATGTTTGGTAAATTTATGCAAAATTTTTTTTTATCTAATTGTGTGAATTTGCATCCTCCTTGTGAACTTTACATTCATTTTGCGATACGTCTGGACTTTTGAGTAAGAGTTCGGGTCCACCACCATATATATCTACTAGAAACTTCCATGTTTCCGCCGAAAGTTGACCTCTGTCTGAACGTGGTCGAACGTTTCTGCCGTTAGCTATGGCCGTATTGTCAATAGGTGGAGGAGGTGTTGAACGGTTGCCTTTAACAAATGCTTCCCATTTTCTAAACCATGCCATGTTGATTGCATATATTACGCAAGGAGAATCGTCTTGACGAAATTTTTCATGAAACTGAGGAATTGAATGAACATTATCGATTAAGAATGATAGAATGTTTTATATATAGAAAAATATACGTAAAATAAGTAATATTTTTCTTATTTAAATTTTAACTTCAAATGCTCTATTCATTAATTGGTAGAGTTTTTGAAAGTGTAAACTATTTCAATACTAATATAATTGAAAAGTTGTAGTTGTTTAGGTAAAGAAAATAGATTAGTGATAATAAAATATGGGCAGTTGATTATCAAAATTCATTTTTAAAAGATGATTTTACCTGAACAAATTGGTCAAATTCTGCCTCTTGTCTTCTTTTTAGTTTTTCAGTGTTCTCTAAGCAACTATTGCATTGATGGAGATGATTAACTGCAGGTCCACCTCCATATTTTTCGTACAAGAATTCCCATAATGGTTGAGGAACTTCGTACACTAATTCTTCAAAGTATGGCCACTTACATGGTGGTATAGCACCATGCTTACAAAGGAAATCTGAATTATCGATTGGTGATGTTTCTGCACACGTGTTGAATTTGTTAATCCATTGTTTAGAAACAAAGAATTTCATAAGACTACATTGCGATTGTTCATTCAGTTGAGCAGCTACTTGCCTAAGATTCAAAGTTTCATTCGATTCTTTCTTCTTGTAAAAAAGAACGTAAGCCTCAGCACTCTCAACGGTTTGAATGTCTACTTCTGTTACGGATTGATCGTCATACTCGTACCACGATTGAGAAGGAGCGTTACAAGCGTAAGCTGTATAATGGCCTCCGCCGGCTGTACCTTGGTGTACAATTACGCCTGTTAAGTCGTACTCTTTAATCTTGTTCTTACAGTCTGGAGTGGTGTAAGGAGCCATATCTAAGCCTTCGATTGGGAATGAGACAAAAGTATTAATTTTAGTGGATCCGAGAAATTCATGGCGAAATCTCTTCAAGTGAATGCATAAGATTTCTGGCAAGTTTACAACCTTTGAATATTTCACTCCATTTCTCAACAATTTGCACTTTTCACAACTATACATATTGTCACCCTTCAATTCGTCAGCAGAGAAGAATGCAGCTAAGCAGTCTTGCAGTCGAATATTTGGCCCCCAGAACCATGATTTAAACAATGAAAAAAGCCAAGTTAGCCAAGATTGCTGCACTTCTCCGCAGCTCCCCCTGACACCGACTGTAGAAGTTACTGGATTTTGATATTTGACTTGACCACTTTGAATGAGTTGCAAGCACTCCTTCGACGGAATAGGGAGAGATAGGTCTTGAAAAGTTTCAACTGTCGTTGATACTCTCTCACAAGTGAGACATTGTACAGAGCTCAAAACTTTTCCTTCGAATAAATCTGATATAATACTTCTATATTTAATTTTATAATCTTTCGAACAAGCTCCCGGCCCAGGTTTATACATTCTCGGCTCATTTTCGCTTCGATTCGGACTGTCACCGGACATTTCCAATTTTTTGTCATCCGGTATATTAGCTAATTTTGGTGATGGTTTTTTATTATTATCTCCGTCATCATCGGTATTTTCTGGTTTTGATTTTGATTCCATTTGTGAATCTACTTTGACTTTATCGCCTTCACCTATCTCGGGTATGTCAGTTTCAACTGTTTGTTTAAGTTCTTCGTGCATTTCGTCCATGAAGCATCTTAGAAATTCTTGAGCATCTTGTTGCATAAAACCTTTAAACATAGGGTGAACAATTTTTATGGCATTTACAACTTGATTTGGTGTGGCGTATGGTGATCTTTTCTTGCTCCACATTTCTAGCATGAGCTTATGATAGTATTTACATAAATATGGTTTTCGATCCGTTCGTACAAAACCTTGGCAATCGAGAAAGAATCTTTTGAGAGGTTCGCAGTTTGAAAGACACTGCACGGCAGCATTAAAGTAACAAGTATTTCCTATATTTTTCAAACCGGTTAAGCCTCTAGCTCCTCCATCGCTATCGTCATCGCTATCGGAATAGTCTGTTGAAATAATATTCCTCTTCGGACTTCGTCTTGGTGTTACAGAACGATCATGCAAGCTAAAATATTAATAAAATAAGAATTAATTCAAATCATATTTTATAATAAAAGAATAAAAATCTTCATAAAGTAAAACTTGATGTAAATGCATCTTACGACATATTTTCAAAACAATCTTTCAATTTCTTTACTTTATTTTCAGTATAATTATCATATTTTAAAGTGTTAGTTATGGTGTTAATGCTCTTTTCATCTTCTCTTTCCAAATCAACACTATCATTTTGTTTAATCAACTCTAGACTAAAATTTTTAATATTTCAATAAAACACTTGACACTTACAGAAGTGGTGGATCATTATTATTTTTTACAACTTCCGTTTCGCACGCATAACACCATACTCTTTGAGTTGACATGTTGAGCGTTAGGCTATGGTCTCGGTTTTGCTGAAATAAACAAGTAATACAACTATTGGGCTTCTGTATTTAAGAGTAACTTTATAGATTTCTAACCTGATAATGACTGGCACTATGATCCTTATTAGATTCTCCGCAACCTACGTATAAACAGCTTAAACACAACCACATATTCATATCGGAGACCTCGCAGTCATTACAGCCCTCCTTGGTTTCGAGCTAAAAGAATATATTTATAAATAAATTATTTAAAATGCTAATCGCGTTTGCATTTGGGTGCATGTTGAGATAAAGTACTTGAATGACATTGTCGGTAAACTAAGTAGGTATGTGTTTGTCTTACAACATTCGAAATGATTATGAATAGATGTAATTTGTTGAATTTCTAAATGATTTTGATTTAAAGATGAGTATTTAATTTAATTTCGCTCTTCACGATGACTATCATGCCGTATTGCTGACTAAAATTTTAAGTGAAGGTTATAACCTTTCGGACTACATCGTCCCAAGTTGTTGACCCAATACAATCGACATGAGAACACGAGCTTCTTTTACTTGGCTTAGATACGTCAGACATCTTTATATTTGTTATGATTGTGCAGTAAAGTTCTGAAAACGAAAATAAAAAACAAATTGAAAAGGGGAAATCACAATCGAATTGTCCAACGATTCGTTAATCACATGCTCTTTCGAGGACAAATTATCATTAATTTGAGATATTTAAAGAAACACTAACTGTAATGTGAAGGTGAAAATATTGCAGGCTAATATTATAAATATATCCGTTAGCTGAATCAACGGTTAAAAAGCAGCATCATAAGTATTAGACCCGCACTGAATAATATTAAAATATTGATTGTGATTTGGACTTGGCCGAAAAAATTGATACTCAACTATAATATTGTAAAGCATCAAAAAACATCAAATTATAATTGAAAATTGTCAAATATCCATTTTTATACCAAAATATTATTCAATTGCCTAAATTAACTTTATAGAAATTAATATAATCCCTTAATAATGCTATATCTACGCTATAGATGTATTATATTGATATACTGTGTGTATATATATATATACAGTATAAATATCTTTATATGTGTACGATATATCTAGACCCCCTCAAATCTAATTATTAAATATAAAAGATTAGAAAAAATATTAATATTAATATTCTTTAGAAAAAATATTATAAATAAAAACTGTAGATATCAAAAATGTATATAGTAACATCATTGAATAATATAGCAAGAGTTCTTTTCTCTCTCTCGCTCTCTCTCTCTCCTTCCTTCTCCCTCCCTCTCTCTCTCGCTCTCTCTCTCTCCTTCCTTCTCCCTCCCTCTCTCTCTCTCTCTCTCTCTCTCTCGCTCTCTCTCTCTCTCCTTCCTTCTCCCTCCCTCTCTCTCTCTCTCTCTCTCTCTCTCTCTCTCTATCCTCATCTCATTTTATTGATTTTTCTTATATATCATAGAATCTAAATTGCACCATATGCATTAAGGCTTAGAAACCTGAAACATCTCATGCCTATAAATTTTCTTATATAATATTTAAAATTATGAATTTATTTTTTCATCAAATATATAATTTATTCGTATTTTTTTTAATTTTATTATCTAGAGCATAAAAAATATAAAAATTTTCCCTATAAATAATCTAAATATACCATTTACCTGTTCTATCTCATATTTCGTTTCTCGTTATATTTAATATACTTGTATAGAAACGTATTATTATTCACATTGTTATTTTTTCCCTGTTTTATGCATACATATATTTTTAATCAAGCAAACACGTTCCCTGTCCTTTAAAATTGAGGTTTTGTGATAAGAAATAATAATAATAATATATAAAGGATTGGAGAACGTATAAGGAAAGACGGATTGAAGGATAGAAAGGATGGAAAAAATTTCGTTTGGAGTCTGACATAAATAAATCAATAACGTACTTTTGTAGCAAACTGCTGACGTTCTAATGGGAAACTAGAATCGTTTGGTGAAAAAATTTTCCCATTTATTAAATTTCTATATCGTTCTATTTAGAGAAACTTAATTTATGGAGCAATAAGCCTATGAATAAATATTAATTATTACGTTTAATATAGTGGTCTTTTAAATATATAAAAGAATGTAAAACTGTCCCCATCGCTAAATATATAAATATATATATATAATATTTTCTAACAATTCGTGACGAGTCTTCAACGTGAGACAACTAATGACCTAATGAAAGTTGCAGATATTAAAATTAAACCTGTTTGTTTATTTAACGAGTCTACATTTCTCTCTTCCTCCCTTTAGCTAATACGTTTCGTTCTAGAGAGTAATGAGGAATAAAAAAGTTGCTTTGTTTTTCTCTCCCTAGCTCTCTTTCTCTGTCACTCTCATTTTCTCTCTTTCTCTCTCTCTCTCTCTCTCTCTCTCTCCCGCTCGCTCGCTCGCTCGCTTGCTCTCTCCTTCTCTCAATCTCCATCTCTCTATTTTTTGTCTGTCTATCTTTCTTTTTTTCTCTATCTTTCCTCTGTCTCTTTCTCTCGTTCATTCTCTCTATTTTTTTGTCTTACTATCTACGTTTTTTTTATATCCTTCATATCTTCAATTTCTTTTTCAAATGTCTTGCACTAAGATTCTTGTTTTTCTATGGAGGCCTAAATTGTTTGTATTGGCTGAGAAATAAATCTTATGTTTACCTTTATCAACTGTTCAAATGATTGCAACTTCATATTTACATTTAACTTGAAAAACAATTCTTCGAAAAACTTGAATCTATAGTAATATTTTACACGTAAACGATAACAAAAAATCAGCTTTTATAATAAGCCAGGTGTAAGTGTGACCTCTGACATTGTCATAGAACAGAAATGGAAAATAATTCTGCTACATATACATCAATAGATTTCTATCGAGCGTGCGACGCCGCGTACAATATACGCTGTATATAATGAGAAAAAAAATAAACAGACACACACGCATGCGAAGTTTGTAGCGCGTTACTCTATTTAATGATAATAATGAAAATGGAAGCAAGACTTATCCGACGCTTTGTAAAACATTCATACATCATTAGAAATCTGATATTTTACCTCAAAACAAAATTTATAGAGCGAAATAATGAATTTTCATGCCTAAATCGAAATGAAACTTTGTTAACACGAGCTTCACATTGTAATCGTAAGCTTTTTGCATTTCAAGGAGAAACAATTATGTAAATCAATACGAATGTTTTCCTTTATAGCAAGTATTAGTTTTACTGTTACAAGTACCATGTAAAGTGTATTTTTATTTATTATAAAAAATACTCGAATACCTTATATACAGTAAAAACAAGTATAGAAAATGTCTTTTAAAGGATTGTTAAAAAATACAAGCCATGTCATAAATATTGTCGTATACACAGTCTTATTAGGCCTATAAATGAAACGGATTTCTACCGAGATTGTATCGCGTTTCCTATCGAACCAGCTTTAATAATTTTCTTGATCACTACTTGACCTAGTTCTTTGTCCACTAACCTAAAAAAGCTTGATAATTTCTTTTCTCTGTCTGTGCGCATATATCTGTTTCGCTCGTTCTTTCCTACTCTTTTCCCGCCCCTTTCCTACCAGACCATCGTTTAAGCTTTATTGTTGAATAGTAGGGGACAATGTAATAATTTTTTCCCTTCTTCATCTTCTTCTCATTACCGACAATTGATGCTTTGGAAATTGTTCAGAAACGCTGACATTACAAAAAAAAAAAAAATTTGTAAAGCAGCATTCTCGTTCTGCAGATAAATCGGATACAGAAAATAATGAATATTTTATAGCAGATTCTTTTATATTGAAAAAAATCTCAGAGAGGAAAGCATATAACCTACACAACACTGTACGTGGTGTGAAAATATGTATAAGTTTGTATAAAAAAAAAAACGAAAAAAGGTGCGATATGCCGCTGTACACGTAACAAAAAAAAGAACGCACGGTTTCAGTATTATGTACAAAAAGAGAGAACGAATAGTAATAATCAATCTTTTCATAAATACAGAAATACAGTCCATAAATAATTACTGATTCTATATACAATATCACGATCGGGAACTCCTGTGCATAGAGGGACTAATAAAACATAGACCCAGGCCCGTTAAAGCGTTCACCATGCATCATTGGGTGATGCATGGGGTGCATATGCATCTGTTGCTGTTGATGCGGCAAAGGAGGTCCCGGATGAGGGGGTCCTTGTCTTGGAGGAGGCCCGCCGCGTATATCTCTCATGTACATTGGTGGTCCTGGTTGCATGTGATGATGTGGGGGACGTTGATGAAAAGGGTCCATCATTGGCGGCCCTCCTGGTGGCATCATCATCGGTCCTTGGTCAAAATCCATCGTGCTCATCAGAGCTTCGCCTCCTCCTCCCATCATTGCTGTCATCGGGTGTGGTGGTTGACCCTGCATTGGCGGTGCTAGCGTAGAGGGCATCGGTTGGCTGGATGGAGGATTAGCCGGCAAATATTGTATGGTATTTGGCGCTTTAGCTTGAACGTGAACATTAGCATTACTATGACGAACGCCCGGAGATAGGACGTTGGGTGACATGGAACGAGGTGTCGATGTACGTTCCTGGGGAGCGGCACACGATTGCGGAGCCTTCGTAGCCAAATCTGCAAGTGCAGCTAATGACGCAGAAGTTATATTCGTCATTTTAGGCCCCGAGTTTGTATATACAGTTGGATTTCCGCTGGATAAAAACGGAGCACTGTACGAAGGTGTACTCATTACGTTCGACGTATATGTGAGAGACGAAGAAGAGGTTATTGAGGAAACCGACGGAACACTACTGTAAGTTGGTGTTGGTGGATGGCCTTGAAGAGCGGGAGTAGAACAGGGAGTATTCGCGCGTGCAGGAATGGGCGTACTGGGTGACCGAGGTGTATTCGGCGGCGAATTCGTCTGAGAGGCTGGAGGCGCAGGGCTCGGTTGCTCTTCTGAATTCGAATCTTTAAAGGCTGAGTTCAATTGTCTCGTTATTGTCAGCTCCTGCCCGTCGAATTGCGTGAGATACGAGAATTGTTTGGGTGATGGAGCCGGTTGTAATTTCCGGTGATTTTCGTCCAATTCAGCAGCTGCTGCTGTTCTCTTTCTTTTTGTGCCACCGGAATTTACAGGAGGTTCATTAGCAGCGGCCGCGGCATAACTAGGAGGAGGTTTAGCTTCTGGGGCTGGTTGAAGATCGGATGGTTTCAATTGATCAGGAGGTCCGGCCCTCTGAAAAACTCCGTAGTCATTTGATGAGGGCGGCAAGTGGGGCATCATCTCTCCAGGCATCATCATACCATCAGGCATACTGTTAGGCATTGATGGAGGTCCCATGAGGCTGGTTGGTGGACCAGAAGAATAGACAGGCGAAGGATTGTTCGACGGAGGCATGCCAGGTCCGTTAGGTGGATTTGGGGGCATATCTGCTGGAGAGGGCATCGACATACCAGCAGGAGGCGGCTGCATCTGAGATGCCGGCGACATGGGTCTCATCGGCGGAAACTGGCCGTTAGGGGGTGCCGGAGGCATTCCGGATGGCGATAATGGCATGGGCTGCATTTGCGGTGACATAGGTCTCATCGGAAACTGTCCATGAGGCCCAGGTGGTGGTGGTCCGGGACCGCGTTTAAACTTATCAATATAGTAGTCCTGCTGTAGCTTGTGCCACTCTCTTTGGGCAGGATTCATATGTTCCCAGCTCATAGGTCTCTGCATTGGCAAATGAGGTGGACCACCAGGGTTAAAAGGCATTGGCCCAGATGAGGGTGCCATCATTCCATGTTGTTGCATCATAGCTGGATGATTTGGATGCTGCTGTTGCTGCTCAGGAAAGAGCATCTTCTGCAAATTTCTCAAACTGGCCAACTGTTCTTCTCGACGAGCCCGTTGTTCGGGCGTAAGGTTTTCGTTAGGAACCTTGGACTGATGAATGTTCGTAGTCATATAGTTTGAGGCCATGTGCATTTGCATGCTCGATGGTGACGGCGATGGTCCTGGCTGGGCTGACATTGCTTGAAGATTGCTACTACTAGAGGTCGGCATGTTTAATCCAGTGGGAGGTTTTAGATTAGGCATTTTCTGTATCATACTCTTGGTTTCCGGTTGATCGTAATGGTAGGCGATAATACTCTTGTATATACCGGATTCCACACTGTCCGCAGCCTTGTTAGCCCATTCAGTCGAGAAGACATAAATTTGGCTCTGATGCTGCATAAAATCAGCCGGTGACGCTGCAGGAAAACCGTTGGCGGGCGTCTGTACAGGAGTGGCGCCGTGTTGCTGCTGGGGTTGTTGTTGCTGTTCACCGTTAACTTCATCCTTCACTGTAAAAAATTACACGGATAATTGAAATAAAATTCCCTTCCAGCGTTCTACTTCTAATGATAAATTATCCCAACTACTAACCGTTTGGTGCTGCTGGACCAGTCTCGGTTTTGATATGCATACCATTTGATTCATCCCCTGTTGAAAAAGATAGATATTAACAAATCTTAATTAAAGCTCTAAGTAATTATTATATGTATTACCAAGTTCGGTTTTCATTTCACCGTTGGCGTTATTGAATGCCGGTGAGACCGGGGTATCGTGCAGCATACCACCGGGTTCTGCACCGGGTCTCTCTATATTAGCCAGTGCCAGGATTACCTCGCTTATGAAACAGCTAAAACGAAGAAAAAAGCCATTTAAATCATTTTTATATAACGTTATACACGAGCATACTGTACATATAAAATGTATATTAAAAGAAGAGGTCGTATTTCTTATCACACACGAACAAGCGACAAGCGGTGCTTGTATAGTTTGCCGTTACATACAGATAATCAATAAACTAAATACATTATCTATAAAAACTTGCTCCTATTATACACTTATCTAAACGTAGGATTATTGAACATTTTGAGAAATCGTATGATTCGTATACAGGTAAGAATAGCTGAGGTGATCAAGAGCTAAATCGAACGATCGCGACAAAAAGTATTCTGTTTTAGTCATATATATTAATTTCTAACGTTGGTAGAACATTTTTACGGAGCTACCTTCGCTAATATACAACATCGATTAAGAAGCTGTGAAAAAGACATGAACACAAATCGAGATTTGTTGGAAAATTAGACGATCGAGCGGCTAAGTTTCGTTATCTCGATGCGAAAATTAACGCAACATAATTATTACATATGTATGCAACAATAATGATAACAAACTCACAGTAACGATCTTTAAATAATCCTATCTTCATGAAACAAATTGCTTCTATTATCGCGCAGCTACGACCATTTTAAGTCACGTGATAAATAAATAGACGCCTATTGGACAACTGAAGCAGGTCGGAATTGCAATTTAACTTTTTTTTATATCTTCTAAGTAAACGTCTAAATAAAATATATTTTTATTTTAAATAATAATCTACTAAATAAGAAAATTTTGTTGATAACTTAAATTATAAAAGATACTCCCCCATTTTGAATAAATTACCCATAATTAAAGTGAACGACGCGCCAACGGTTTTTTGTAAAATCTTGTTCATAAGTGAAAAAGTAATTTTTTAATAAAGTAATACATTTTTGAAAGGAAATTATATTTTTTTTAAATATTTATACGAATATTTCAAGGGTGAAGCCAAGGACCGACAAGCGATAAATGTAACAGCCGCAATTATGTACACGAAATACGAAAATGAGTTGATTGGTTCGATAAAATAAATAGAAATGTAGATTTTTTCATCGAATTAATGCTTTGTATTGATTGACAGGTAGACTTTTAGTTTGCAAATGGAAGTTTGTTAATATATAAAACTACAATTTAAATTTTTATAAAACAGACGTCATATCAAAGGCGGGAAATTTATGGGAACACAAATGTTACAATAATTTTATGAATTGCACGTGTCCTATAGTAAAATAAAAATGAAATCACCATTCTCTGATTTTGTTGACGATAGCGTCAGAAACCAAGAATTCAACGTAGAGAAAACAGATGAAATTTGTAACTTAACCTCTCTAGAAAAGGAGACAGACTCGTCTAAAGTTGTTCAACCGTTATCTTTTCAAAGGGAAACCACCCACTAATTTAAAGTTTTATTGCTATTCAGATTCAAAAGCAAGTGAGAAGTAATGACTGGTCTATGGAGAATCCCATAAGAACGGGATTGTGGCAACTGTTAACTGCTAGACTGGCTCGTTCTCGTTTGATTGACAACGCTTCCTTATACGAAGAACTGACTAATGATGTATTTGGTCCTCCGGGTATAATTCTAACCTTATTTAGTAGTTGTTTTAACTTTAATCTTTCTCGCTCAACAGATAAACGAAAAGAAAGCGTTACCCTCCCTAGCTTCGTAGATCCACTCTCTCTACAAATCCACTACCACCTGAACCAATCAGGAGTCGGTACGAAAGCTTACTTTTCCCTAATAAATTATAAGAAAATAATTAATAAACGTTTTTTTTATGTGTTCCTCAGCGGCAACAAAGCGAATTATCTGCGTTTTCGGTTTTTATCGATTATTTTTTTTCTATAATTTTCAAGTAAATTTTAATGCTTCAATGAAATCAAAGAGAAAAAGCAAACAAAAGAGATAATCTAGTAAGACATTTATTCAATTACATATTTAGTAGAATCACGATATAGTATTAGTATTTTACATAGTAGTTCTTCTATACTGAGGCAAAGTAAATATTTAGTAATTTGTATGCTAGATAACAAGAGACGATTTCGTCTAAGCGCTCCTTTATCGGAAAACTTATCAACAGGAAGTTAACAATTCAATGAATAAGTTTACTAGAAATCTTAATAGAGCGTCGATAAGTAAAAGTTTTTCGTATCAGTTTGAGAATTCTTTCTAACAAATTGGTACTTTTCTTATCGTTGATCTCGTTACGAAAAATAATCGATAAAACCCATTTCGAACACATCCATCCGGAAATTAATTACGCACCCGTTATTTTTCCAATAACGGCATTAATGCTTCACTACACTAACGAAATGCAAACGTTCCGATGCCTTTGCTTGGTTATGGGTGGAGCCGATTTACTATTTACAGCTAAAGTACCATACGAAGCCAGCAAGTTTGTACTTAAGGATTTAGCAAAAAACTATGCGGTTGGTTTGTTAATTTTTTTTCAAAAAAAATGTTCTAATACGATTAAAAGCTTACATTCTTGATCGTTCCGGCAGAAAACGGCTGTAAGAGAACTTAATAAGCGAAACGCATCAAATGCTTTCGATGATTGGGTATGGTGGATATTTAGGGATTTACCTTTTTCTCATCTAGTCAGAATATTTGATTGTTTTCTCGTTGACGGAAGAAAGTTTCTGTATAGAGTAGCTCTTGTCCTCCTCAAACTGTTTTTCAAGTCAAACGGTAATTTACTTACTTGTTTACAAGAGTAACTTGTGTCTTTATAACTTTGTTTTTTTAGTAAATAAAGAGGATAGCTTGAAGATTTCTGATCAAATGAGGCACTTCTTTAGCGAAATACCCTTATCAGCAGAACAGTTGTTAAGGAAAAGTTACAAGATAAGGTTGACAAGAGCTCAAGTCAGGAAGTTAGAGAAAAAGAATGAGATGTATGTGAAAAGTTTACGCCATCAATCGTACGATAAAAATGCGCTGAAAAAATCCGAATCATGCGAGTCGTTAAACATAAAGGTTTCAAGGTCGTTTAGTGGCCCAATATTATCCGTTTACGATGAAACGGACCTAAAAGCGGAAAGACGAAGGTCTTTCCAATCTCTCACAGCCTTGCCATTTACATCAAGTTCCTCCTTACTACTCGATATAGCTCACGTAATTTTCTAAAATCTGTTTTAACTATTAATTAATTTATTAACAAATGCTTTGAAAACATTTAAATAGTGGCGCCAGATTTACAGTTGGATTCCAATTCGTATTTCTCTACTTATTCCAAAACTACTCTATTCCACAATGGAAAATGGCTCAAGTTTACAAATGATGTACTCTCTGATTGAAGGATATGAACCAACTCTAATAATAGTCAAGACAACTCAAGGATTCGTAAGTTTTTACAATTAACAAATATACAATATTTTATACTTACCAAAATCTAACTAATCCGATTAATACACTATCTTTAATAGATTATCGGAGGTTATTGTTCAGCTGACTGGGCTGAAAGGAAAACTTTTAAAAATAGTATGTCCTATTTTGGTACTGGAGAGTCATTTGTTTTTACATTGGAGCCAAGCGCAAAGAAGTTTGCCTGGCAGGGTATAGGCAAAACTAACGCTTCGAATGATACTCAATACTTTCAGGCGGGAGATAATTCTAAATTAACAATAGGTGGAGGGTGTGTATTAAAGCTTTTCATAAGAAATAGATATTTTAAAAGGATATTAAATATCTGCTTTTTGTACAGAGGTGGGGAAGCTCTACAATTGGACGAAAATCTTACTAAAGGACGATCTGAAAAATGTAGTACATTTGATAATGAGCCACTAGTCGAAGACAGCGATTTCGTCTGCAGTATTGTCGAAGTGTTCGGATTTAATAGGGATAATTAAAAAAGTGTGACAAACATTTAGTGCCTAAATATTTCTGTTCCAATCTAATTTCGCTTTGCTAGTTAGAAAGAAAAAATTAAGAAAGCGAGGGAAAAGTTTCGTAATCACCCTTAAAAAAACAAAAACAAACAAACAAACAAACAATTTTTTCAACAAACAGTATTGTATTAAGATAATTTAAAATTAGTCGATTCAACAAGAGCCTGTTTAAATCTAGGTATTTTTGTTTTTTTTTGTTTGCAACGAGAATTTATCAAATAGAATATTACAAAAGCAATACCCAGTGGCTATGGAATGCATTTTTTTTAAATAAATTGGAGCAGGGAAAAAGAAAAGAAAAATTTGTGGAAAATATATCATTTATGTAGAAATATTTAAAAATTAAATAAAAAAAGCGTTCATGTAGTCAAGAACTTGAGCATACTAATTTACAATTATAAATTAAATTATAGATGAGTCGATTCCATTGCACTGTCGTATGACGGGTTGGCAAAGCCTTTTACAGTGTTCGATACAACAGTTACATTTCGAGGTATGTTATTGTCAGTATAATCCTCTTGTCTTTGGTAGGGAATTGACTGTAAACGAGGCGAAATAGTATGTTAAAAGAAAATAAATGCAGAAAATACTAGTTATGTAAAGCTTTAAAGATTTTTAAAAACAAGAAAAAAAGAAAATATCACACTCATACCTTGTGCACTGCGTTACTAAGCGTTTCTGTTGTATTATCGTACTGTGATGAAAAACAACTATTTAAGCAAGCTCAAAGAGAAGAAGAATAGCTCAACAATACCCTCTAATTTATAATAATAATAATAATAATAATAATAATAATAATAATAATAATAACCATAAAAGAAACATTCCTTTAAATCCCGAAAAGTTAATTTTGTTTTGATAAATCTTAATACATAGGTTTGGAAATAAAAAAAAACTGGTCGAAGAGTGTAAATTACTTAATCTAAATGCTCTTATTGATTGTTTAATATTTTTTAAAGCTATTTTGTTAAAGAATTTTCAAAATTTTTGTTACTTTAAAATTCGGAAAAATGTCATTTTATACATGAAACTAGGAAACAATAGTTGTGCAATAATAACAAATATACACACTAGAGTTATTTTAAACGAGAGGAGAATTATAGTTAACGGATTTAGAGACTGTTTCAAGGTTGTCTCTATCATTCAAATTATTCCTACGATCGCATGATTGGGATACCTGAAATTCGAACGATGCTCGTTAGTATGCATTTAGCTAATAAGCAATTGTTAAATCTCTTTAGCCGATGTACGTTATATTAATACTAATATGATTATGAAACCTAAGCAACGGAGCCTTCTAATGAGAACATTTAATTTAAATAAATTAAAAGAATTAACTGACCCTTCCGGAAGTTCTTCTGTAAATTGACTTTTTAAATCCTAATTTTGCATCCTGAATTGCTCTCAGAACAATATCTGGGACTATGCAAGTAACAATCAAACCTAAAATTGAAAGCCACCACATATGATTTTCACACATTCTGGTAAAACTTCTATAAAATATTGGAGTGAACAGAGCTGGCCTGATAAGATGGAAATTAAAACATTAGATTAAAACAGTAGGTAATAAACTAATAGATAGAATAGCTTACCAATTTGCCACACTATATATTGTAGTCAGAACGAAGTAACCAATAAACGTGACTAGGAATCCAATGCATGTAGGTATACACCAGTAGTAAGTTTCAAGCATCAGCTATAAAAAGGAAAATATATTAAATATAATACTCATTAGCCTAATCATTAGCATAAAAATAAGTCCTTACTTTTATATTAACAGTAATAACACATATTGTATATATAAATGATCCCATCTCGAATACGCCATATTGCTAAATAAAGAAAAAGTTGCACGTTTATTTTATGAACGCCTATACAATTATGCATAATTACCTTTCCGCCTGTTTCTATAGAATTACCAGAGACCATTAGTATATATACGCCAAAATATGAAACGACTGAATGCCATAAACCTAATATATTCCACTTGGCAAACTCAAACCACGAAAGCCTCGCATTTTTCCGGATATCTCTATGGTTTTATGAAAAACGATAGAATGATTATAGTTGACTTTTTCACGTTTTCCTTAGAGAGATACTAACTTGAATAATTGCGGTTTATCCATTAGGACTGTTTGGGGAATGTGTTGTTCGAAAAGTCCATACAAAAGAATTGGAAGCGATGTAAAAGTAATGTTATATAACATCAAACAGTAGCTGTCGTAAATGGACTGAGCTGAATAGGCGGAGAAGAATGCGAAATAAACATTCGCAGTGATAAATGCTAAATTCTAATTCAAATAAGACAACTGTTCAATGAATAGTTCATATATAAGAACATATGATCTTACTTTATAAAAGAAATATTGAACAAGTATAGCCAAACGAACATAAAAGTAATGTCCATGAACTAATATTGCCTTACGAAGAAATTTAAATCTCCCAAAAGCGTAGTCACTGGCCCTAACAGCCTGCCTACCTTCTTTTCCCATTAAACCTAATAAATAATATTGTTTATTTAATTATCTCTTTTATTTTCTACTATAGCTAGCTTACCAATTCCAACGTGAGCTTCTTGAATCATAGAAACATCATTAGCTCCATCTCCAATAGCAGCAGTTGTTGGATGTCTCTTCGATTCTTTAATCAATTTTACAACCTATAAAATTAAAGAGGAAAGAAATGATAAATTCCCAATATAAATAATAATAATAAAAAAGTAATATTTTCCAGCCTACATGCAAAAAAAAAATCGAACAAACAAAAATTAACGAGTAAATTAAAAATAGAGCAGCCTCAAAAAAAAAGAAGACGTGCAGTTCTTCATATTTTATATTCTAGCATTCAAAAGCTATATTCTTAAAACTATTTAAAATAAAAAAAAACAAAGTATTAATTAGTATTATCTAAAAAAAAAGAACAAACAAAACAAATAAATAACATAACTTATGCAAACTAGTATAAATTATAAGTATAGATGTAAAACAAAAAAAACATTACCAAGATCAACAACATAAACTTGTAATTATTTTTAATTGCTATCTATTTTATTATTATTTATTGTTATTATTATTATAAATTCTATATTTAAAAAATAATAAAATTAATCAGTGGTTTGTGCCCATACCTACTTGAGTGATTATGTACTTAACAAACAGAAATGAACTGAAAATTTTATAATAAATTAACTAATATTATGTTTTTCCCCCTCTTGCAACGATATTTCCTCTTATATTGAATTTTTTTATATAGAATAGAAAGGATTATACAACGTATACACAAAAATTGTATATAAAAACCTTTATATATAGATTTATATACACTTATCAATACTTACTAAAGGGGTATACGATATTTTTATAAACAAAGCTAATACTTACGTCAGCTTTTTGAATTGGAGACATTCTACAACAGAGTACGGTTGAAGCCAATAAACAAACTTCTTGTAATAATTCTCTGCAGCATTTTTGAGCAATAGCCAAACTGTGGCCATCAATTATTAAGGCGTACTGACCATGTACATTGTCGGTTAATCTTGTAGGAAAATGTTGGATAAATTAAAGAATAATATACTTAAAATATGCTTACATTTTCTTATTTTGTTTTAGAAACTCTACGCAATCCTCCTCGGAAATTCGATTTGTTAAACGCATTTCTTGCATATTCTTATCGAAATGGCCGGCAAAATAGCTAATATTTACAGCTGTTTCTTCTTTATCTCCTGTTAATACCCATACTTTTATACCCGCAGTTCTTAAAGAGGTAAGAGTCTCTGGAACCCCTTCTTGTAGCTCATCTTCAACCGCAGTAACTCCAACAAGAGTTAAATCTCTTTCTACCTGATCATAAGCTAATGCAACATTTTCATCTCTATTTGCAACTGAATTGTGAGCCGTTGTTAAAATTTCATGATCTCTTTCAAATTCACTTTTTGATAATTCTTTTTTGGCAATGACTAAAGTTCTTAGTCCGTCCTGAAAAGCAAAACATTTTCAAATATTTAGAAATAATCTAGTTAAAATACATTAGGTGTAAATTAATTATTACCTTAGCATAATCTGAACAAGAACTAAAAACTGTTTCTTTTTCACCTGTTAATCTTGGAACAATATGAGAGTCTGCACCTTTCACATATAGTGTAGCATCGCCTGAACAAACACAATCAAGATACGCATATATTACAATTTATCAGATTATTTTATCTCGTTTACACACCTCTTTCGTCCTGTATCATTACGCTCATACGCTTGCGAACGGGGTCAAACTCAAGTGTATGAATCAATTTATATAATTTCACTGTCTTTCCTATTTTTAATTTCATAACATTGTCAACGGTACCTTGAAAAATAACACCATAGTCCCTACAAGCTTCCACTAATGCCTTCTCATCAGGCGAACTGGCTTGAAAATTATGATTATGATCCGCTTCATCAGCGCTATCATTCAAAACTGACATAGGTATACACTCTTCTTCGTGGCTAAAGCCTTTATTTACAACACCATTGGGTTTATCAACTTTTTCCACGCGAACTGTATGACATAAGGCAACGGCTTTCAAGAGATCAATGACTTCATCGTATGATCTCAATGGATCGGGTTGAATGTTTTTTTCCTTTTTGCATAATTTGCCATAAACATCCACAAATTTAATGCCATTAACTGAACATTGCCGAAATTTCATATTATTTTCAGTTAGAGTTCCCGTCTTATCAGTAAACAAGTATTCTATCTATAAAATATAAAAAACATTTACGACAAAACGCTATGAAGAGGTATAAAGAAATGATGACACACTTGTCCTAATTCTTCATTTAAATCCGATGTGATAGCTCTGGCGGCTTCGTTTGTCTTCGGATCGTATATTTCGCGATCCCATTCGAAAAACATAGAGCCAAAGAATTTTTGCAGTTCTATATTATATAAATAATTTAAGGAGTAATAATAATAGATCCCATTAAGAAAATCAATATTTTCCACTAACCTACTGTAACATACATCGAAATCGGTATGGTATAATTTAATAAAATCATAAAGGCGAGAAGTTCTTCCACAATTACTTTAAACTATATATAAAAGAGAAATCTATATTTAGATATTCTTATTGCGAGTTAAATAAATACTAACGGACGGGCTGTCTTCATTATCAATATACCATAAATTTTTGTTCTCGTCGTTGGAAAAAAAGTTATGTTTCAAACCAACCAAAAGAGCAGATTCAAAGAGTAGAAGACAAAGGTAAAAAATTAAAAAACGATTCATAGTCTTTTCTATCCTCGAAAATTTTATTGTTGATTTCCTAGAGTTTAATCCCATTTTCGTTTCCTGTCCAGTGTAAATAGCGCAACCTGTTTTATCATATATTTATTTTGTGAGGTTATTCAAATAACATTAATAGTATACTGACCCATCACAAAATCGGTATTCTTTAAACAACATCCACGTAATAGGACATTCTCAGATGATAACGATACTTTTTTCCTTTCGCCATCGAAAATATTTAAAGTGCCAATAAATTTATATAAATTTGTAGTTGGTTGTTCGCATTCAATTTTCATCTTTAAGTTTGTCAAAGTTTCGTCATTTGTAAAAGACTTGGTTTCAAGTAGAGCTCTAAATTTCTGTTAATGTAATATTTATATTTATCTTTAAAAAAAAACACATTAATGAGTGTAATGAATACTTGAATAAAAATATACATCTATATGCTATAAATATGATGTGCAATTGATACTGTTTATATGAAAAAAGATAATATGTTTATTTTTATACCTTTAAATTCGTTTCGCCGTCTAAATTTGCAGTAGTGATAAAACATTCTCCATCGTTGCTTGAAGAAGATATCATAACCATATCACAAGGTATTCCTTCGTTGGAGAGTACTTTTACTACATCTCCGACCTAAAATTAAATTAATCAAAAATTAATTAATACTAAAGCAAAATGAGTGAAAATTTCATAAAATCTTACCACAATTTCATGAGATTCGACTCTAACGAAATTTCCATCCCTGAAAACATAGGCAGGACTTCTATTAACTTCCCGATCCGCCTTGTGCCGAAGAAAGTCTTCATAGCCCTGCTTTAAAGCAGTAAGAATGACAACAAATGCTAAAGGTAAGCCACTAGTTATGGGTGAAACTGGAGAATCGATAATGAGCTGAAAATAAAAAAAAAATATCAGTAAATTTTGTTTTTTGTTAAATTTATATCTGACACCTACTTCCACTAACAATACGCACAAAAAATATATATTGGCGATTCTCTGAAACTGCTCGAAGAGATTCTTTGGGAGGAAGTTGATTATAGTGTACTGTAGAGACAAAGAATTGAGTAGTAAAATAAAAATAATCCTTTAGTTCTTTATGTAATTGATTTGCTTTCGAAGCAGAAAGAAGCAATGACTCACTTCTTACCTTTGAAAGTGGAACAAGTGAGACACTGTAAAAAAAAACTTACTTTTGAGGATACTATTCTGTTGGATGGGAAACGCTGTTCTTCAGCCCCATCATCAGGTTTTATTCCAACAAAAACATTTCTTGTCTCTGGACGCTCTTTCCGTTTGATCGGCTTCAATGAGTAACTACGAATTTAAGAATAGGCGTTTAAAATGAAAATACACTCACCAAAGCCTTAAGTATTCGATCAACTAATGACATAATTTTTTATCTTCGCAATCATATTACAAATGAGACTGGGTCATTGTCCCTTATCAATCTCCTAAGTTCCTATCACAGGTACGTTGTCACGGCAAACGGCCTCACTCTTGAGTCGATTTAATTACATCAAAGAAATTTTCCTCCCTGTTTTCTGCGACGCAGCTAACTGTGTAAAAAAATATAAAGGTGTAATATCGAATAAAATACAGATGGCACTAGCAGAATGTTTTGTTCATTTGTTATCACTTCAGCAAGGTTGCCATCTGCTTGTTAGAATTGCACAACAACATGGTGAATATATATATGGAAAGAACACATGTTGAGGGGTTTAATTTTGAATAACAGACGCAATATGGCACAGATATATGCTATATCCGATCTCCACGTTGACTATGCGGAAAATTTGCAGGTTTGGTGCATTCAATCGTAAAATGCGTAATATATATCCTTAAAAAAAACACTGTTTTTGTTTTAGTTCGTTAGAGATATGCCGGAACAAAAAGACGACTATCTCATTTTAGCAGGCGACGTAACTGACAATCAAAAAATATTCACAGAAGTTCTCCAAATATTGGCTAACAAGTATTTGAAAGTATTTTTCGTTCCAGGAAATCACGATGTTTGGATTAGATCGTCGGAATGTGCTTATAATAATTCAGTAGAAAAACTTGAACGAGTTTTGAAAATATGTAAGATGTGTAACGTGTCCACTGAACCGGAGAAAGTAAAATTATCAGAAAATGAATACGTTAATATAGTTCCAATTTACTCTTGGTATTCAACACCGGAAGACGATAATAGAAATAGTCTTTACGTTCGTGCAAAGACTAGAAGGGATGACGATGATAAGCATCTGTGGATGGACAATCACCTAACAAAGTGGCCGGATTTTAAGGACGCCCGGAGCGTGTCAGAATTCTTTTACAAGATGAATGACAAAACTTTGAAAGCGGCATACGACGACGCGCCAGTAATTTCGTTTTCTCACTTTTTACCCCGACGAGATCTAATACGAATGACAACCAACGAAGAAGATTTGTGGAGAATGCACGGTAGACAACCGAATACAGATTATAAACCCACTCCGTTTAATTTTACCCGATACGCCGGTTGTAGGAGGATAGAAGATGCAATTAGGAAATTAAAAAGTGTTGTCCACATTTACGGACATCAACATAGGAACCGGGATCGTGTAATCAATGGAATTCGGTACGTTTCGCACTGCTTGGGAAATCCCAAAGAAAGAGAAAACGGACTTGTTTGGGGAGTAGATAATAATGCAAAATGCGTTTGGCCTTTCTAATATAAAAGGAACGTAGTCTTTTTTTGTTGTTGTATTTAACAAAAAGAATAATAGTAAAAAATAAAAACACCTTTTCAAGCTTATAGCAATTCGTTGATTTTTTTTAATTATAGCTGACGTTTAAGTATAGGGAAATTGAGACTTTTTCACAGATGTTTAGAGTTTTTTTGCGAAAATATGCTCTAGTTAATAATCCTATACATGCGGGAGTTTCATTAATAGGTCTACACAACTTATTAAAATTTCCGGTCAATCAGGATTGAATATGTTAATTAGAATCCTTGAATTCAAGCCCCGACATGTCTATATAGTTAGTGTTTTTTTCTTGGTGTCTTTGCTATTGATTCATCGAAACACAACGATTACGCCAGTAAGTATTGCTAGATAGAATTCTCGAGAATTCAGTAGGCCTACCGGACATTTGCCTACTAACCTACTGCCATTGGGTTTGCATGTAGAATATACTGCGTTAAAAAACACGTGTAAGATTTTAAATATTAGAATAGAAGCATAAAATGAATAAATTTGATCCTCAGTTTGTTTTCGTTATTTTATTATATGAAAGACTTGCAAATAAACAAGCTTTTCAGCAGGGCGTATCACTTAAATTAATATTAATGAAGCGCATGCGCAACGTTATTCTTGAATTGTAAACAAACGTTAGGGGCCGTTGGCGTCGCGCATACAGATTCTCTATCATACGGAGCGCAGTTCTCGCCTGAGAGTCGAATCGCAAACACCGATGTCTACGAAAACAATGAGCATCTCCCTGATCCTTCAAGCTGCTGAATATCTAGACAGAAGAGAACGTGGTACGTGATTTGTTTTTGTTTTTCTATATTTCTTTCTGGTTTACACGTGGCTTTCGATCGTATAGAAGCCGAACACGGTTATGCTTGCTCATTGCCTGCACCGCCCGACACGAATAGACGCCGAACGAATAGTTACCCGGGTGGCAAGACGAAGAGCAAACTTCAGGGAAATAGGTTTGTTTTGATTTTTCTATCACTAACGGAATCCCCAAAAAGCATCCTTGGGACTCACGTGTGATACGAACTGGCAACTAGCCAAATATTCTAATCAGCTGATATTGTTTGCTGTTTCGCCTCGTTGTCAGGACGAGATAAATCATTATTTGTATGCTCTCGAAGTAGAAATAAAATGGATCTCGCAAACGATCCGATTCTCTTCCAGAAATACATTGCTTCGATGATAGAATTTCACAAAAAATTAAGAAGGCGGCCATTTTGAATCATGTGATTACCTGCGCGCGGGCAAACTCGTTAGCAATGTAAACAAGTCTTCGATCGGTGGTGTTTTCGTATTGCAGTAGGCCAGATTCAAGAGGGCGACCGACCGCTGGCACAGTAAACAACCGATCGACTCTCGGTCATTAGAAATTTTATCGATTAGGCCATGATCGGGACTACTAACGTAAAAATTCCACCTCGTCCCAAATCTCTATTGTATTATTTAATTGATTAAATCATTTTTTAGACGAATCATGGTCGTATAAATCGAAATGATCTTATATTAGGATTAGAATGTTTGCTGCTTCTATAAGTTATTCAATATGGCCGCTTGAAAAAACTGTGTGTACGTGTTCGTAAATGAATCGCCTATTTTTCATTCCTCTATCTTTTTTCTTTACGACCCAGAATGATTAATACGTAACAACCGTTCAAACTTGCTATTCGGCAATTAAATTAGAGCTCGTTAACGCCTCGCCAAGAGGCCGTTCTACAAAGGGGGCGCGCACAAACGTAGTAGCAATCAGCTGATGCCTATCTAGAACGTTTTATAAAGATGGTGCTTTATTGATTTTTCTCATATAGTGTTATTATTTCGTTTTCTATTTTTTTGCCAATACAGATCGACTCACAACGAGCTAGAGAAGAATCGGTAAGTGTCGTGTAGAATCAAATATAACAAAGAAGTACCCATGTTTCTTTGTTTGCGCTTTACGGAACACAGACACCTGGTCCACATAGTATACGTGATGTTGAGATTTAGAATTTCACCTGCTTATTCGATTTTTTAAGTAAACAATTAAGCACTTATGGCATTGGCCAAGTGATAAGATTATACATTAATATGTTATAACCATGTTTTTTACAATCCTTTTTTTTTGACCTATGATGTCACAGCTTACGAAATTTATTGATTTCTGATAAATATTGTGAGGCTTACACGCGGCATCTGTGTTTTCCCGAATTCGGTTCATTTTTAAAGTTATTTTCATATCCACGAATAACAATTGTCAATTTGGTTCTTTCCAAACGAATAGGCGCGCGCATCTGCGTCACTGCCTCGAACACTTGAAATCGGCGGTTCCACTTGGACCAGACGCTACTCGCCATACGACCCTTGGATTATTAACCAGGGCTCGGAATTACATTAAGGTTTGTACAATTTATTGTAAATTTTTAACCTAATCAACCCGTGAGAGATCGGTTGTCCGCTGCGACGGCCGCGGGCGGCTCTGGCAGCAGGAGTGCGCCGATTGGTGGAGGAATTTATGAACGTTGGATCATTGCCAAGTTATTGTGGGGTTTTTTGAAATCAAATAGTTATACGATTTTTCGCTTTGACGAACCCAGTAATTGCTTAGGCTTACATCAGATTAATATTGCATAGCATATTTCAAATTTCCCTTTCTTTTTAGCAATTGGAAGATGTAGATCGAAAGCGTCAGCAGACGCTCCAAAGTCTGCATCGAGAACAACGCCACCTCAGGCGGCGCTTGGAATGCTTGAATCCTTATTCTTACCGCGTTCGACCGTCTCGATCTTATTCAGAGTGCTCGAATAATTCGTCGGCTTCGTCATACATTGCCTCATCCGAATCAGGTAATTTAAAAAATTCAATATATTGTCCTAGACCCGAGATGAATAAATTATTTCCACGGCCGGTTGCGCTCGACAGAAAAGTAACATTGTTGTGTATTTTTTAATAATTGTTGTTATATGTATTAATATTTTTCTTTTTTTATCTAAACCTTTCACTCAATCTGCCCTTCTCACTACTATTCGACACGTCATCAACTATTAAATAGACGAAGTAGATGTAATTGGTTACGGAAGTTCTGGGCAAAGTGACGACAGTGACGACCACTCCAGTGTGCAGAGCGGAAGTGACAGTGGTTGCAATGTTTCTGCCGACAGTTTGCCAATGTCCGAATGTTCCATCTAGCGTCATTAATCATCACTACACTTCTCTGTTAAAGACTGAACTCGATTTGCCTTTGCCTCATTAAATAGGCACTGGCCTATCGAGTGGTATAATTAAAAGTTTTCTTTTTTTTTGTTATTTTCCAAAATTCGATGTTATAATGTATATATAAATGTGTGATAGTTTAACAGGAAGATATGAATATTAATAGACTAGACATTCGTAAACTGTGCTATTCGACGTCTAGTCATTCGTTCCGTTTTAATCCAAGCAGCCGAAAAAATTGTCGATCTCAGTTTGGATAGAATAGAACGGACGAGTGAATATGTCTGTTCATGAATCTCGCCACCAGGAGATGGCAGAACTGCAGAATGTGTGCTTGTGTATCGGTTTTTAGAACGATTTTCATTCGATGGTCATAATAAAATTTTATTCAACACAAGTTAAAAGATGCTTTGTACTAATAATAAAAGACTACACAAAGGTTAATTTTGAACGCCCACTGTTCACTTGCCAGACGTTTAATTCCTCATATTCGTCGACTGTTTTCTCTACCTGGTCGGGCGTGAAACCCTTGGAAGTACAACGGTCTATTATGTCGGCTAATTTAACGGTACGTGGACCGCTGGGTGGTATCATTTCTTGTATGAGAGCGAAAATCATGTCGGTTGGACTTTGGTATCGCCCACTTTCCATCTCAGAGGTTAAGGAAGCTTTCGACGTTTCCATCAATCTTATCGCTTCGCGCACGTCGTCTTTCGATACTTCATCGCTCAATCTAAGACGCGCCTAGGGGCATATTGAAACATTGTAAGTATAAACAGCAAAACAAATTAAAGTCATTTAGTACCAGAGCCGTAGACAGACGAAGTACTGCCAAAAGCGACCTGGCAGATGTAAAAACGGCCGTGTTCTTGTTATTTCGCGCTTCCTTTCTAAGTTCGACGTAGGAGGCTGTTAAGTATTCAGTTAGAGCTTCTGGTATAATTGGTTGTTGTTTCTGGCACATTGATATATAGTGCCTGATAACATTCATTGGCAGCGGTTTAAACTGACTGGGGGGCTGAACATTGTGCTGATGAACGTATGTAATATGTTGTGCCAGGCGAAGATCATTCTCGCGATCAGGTTTATCTTGAATAAGCCATAAAAGATCGAATCTGGACAACAGTGCCGCCGGCAGTTGAATGTTCTGTTCAACTGTTTTTTTGGGATTGTATCTCCCGAATGCCGGATTGGCGGCCGCTAAAATAGACACTCTAGCATTAAGACTGGTCATTATACCGGCCTTAGCAATGCTTATGGTTTGTTGTTCCATAACTTCGTGAATGGCTGTACGATCTGAATCCATCATTTTGTCGAACTCGTCTATGCAACATATTCCCCTATCGGCTAAAACCAAAGCACCACCCTCTAACGTCATCTCGTTAGTTATAGGATCCTTGAGTACGGCAGCCGTTAAACCAACGCCTGAACTTCCTCTACCCGTTGTATATTGACCTAAATTTAGGGGTAAAAAATTTAATTTTTTTGTTCCGTACCATATATCTTTTTAAGTATCAAAAATCGACACTTACTACGTGCAGCTAAACGATCAATATAGGACAAAAGCTGGGATTTCGCCACACCAGGATCACCCATCAAGCAAATATTTATGTTACCTGGCAGAAAAAGAAATTGTGCTAATAGTCAGATTATTAATTTTGCTAGATACCTCTGATCTTCATGCCCTTTGGCGATTTGTCTACCCCGCCAACAAGTAAAAGCAACAGAGCTTTCTTAACGTCTTCATGTCCGTAAATTTCCGGCGCTACACTATATGCTAATTTATCATAAAAGTCCTCATCTAAAGGTAAAAATAATTAAATATCCATAAGCATATAAAAAAGAATCATTTTAATACCTTCTAAATGTTTTAAAACGTCATCATCTGTCACGCCAGCGTCTTCTCCAACAGTCTTGTTCATCTTGATAACTCTCTATTGAAATAAAATATCGTAAATATATTTCTACCAAATAGCTTTGTAACACTAACATGAGCATCCAAGTAAGTCTCCGATAGCAATCCGCCCACTAATTGTTTAAATCCGTGTCTCATCATTGGAAGATAAACACCAGTTACAAGAACATGATCTCCTGGCTGAGCTTGTCTTGTTAGTTCTCCTCTACAATATACTGTCATTGATCGAGGTATATTTCCTACCGGTACTTGATCGCTCTTTTAAATAAAAATCAAAAAAACAATTGAAGTGAAGTAAAAATAAACCTCCGTAATAAAAAAGAAAACTTACATGTTCTTGTATTTTCAATTCCTGAAAGCGTATAAACTTAGATCCGCGAGTTTGCAGATACAATCGTCCTCCTGACTTATTAGTTGTACACTCAGTGCTTGGACATAGTAAAAGTGGCATGAACACGGGTGATTGAATCTAAAAATTGAATTAAAGTGTTACATTAGATGAATAATATTAATTATTATACTGTTTTTTAAAATTACCGGTTGATAGGTTTCATGACCACATTGATCACAGGTGTAGGTTGCTACTTGCATCATAGGTTTCACCTGTGTAGATCTTGTTACAATTCCTTTGACGCATACTAACTTTCCAATGCTCTCTGCTTTAACATCTCTGACAGCTTGGGCTTTTTGATGTTGAGTCGCTTTAAAATACACTTCGCTGTGGAAGCACACCGTTAAACAATATAGTAGGAACGAATAAAGACAAAACTCACAATCTTCTCATAAGTTCAGGAGGATAGCGGTTTCTAGCGTTACGAGTTGTTTCTTGTTCTGGATGGTTTTGGTTCTCAAGTCTTTGTCTATGGTTTATATAAACGTCTAACGTATCTTTGACTACTGGCTGTAAAAGCAAATATAGATAACATGGCTTTTAGGAAAGTTAGAAAATACTTACTCCCAGAGTTGGATCTTTGTAGTCAGGTAACATTTCTGATATTATATCCGAAAATAAATTAACATAGCGTCTAGTATTCATACCAATAGCTTCAGCCAAATCTGGATCATGCTCTGATATATCGTCTATGTCAATTTCTATCGCAGTTTGCTCTCGATGAGCTATTTTCACCTGTAATTTTTTCAATTATAGTCAATTGATTGCATAAAACTATTAAAAGTATTTACCAATTGAGGAGCATATTTGTAATTCTTTCCTAGACCTTTTTTGTCGCCATCAGAGCAAAACTCGGCTAAAAATTTTCGTGCAGTTTCTATAAACAAACGAAAAACTTAACAAAAGCCTTCTAAAATAAAATTTAAAACAAACCTCTTTCTTCCGTATAATCTCTGGGTGCCATTGCTTGTAAAATCAAATCGTTAAACGTTAGATTTTAGGTGGTAAAATGAATATTCACTCGCTGCCGTACTTTGGCGCCAAAATACTTATTGACGCTATGTGGTCACGTGACCGGAAACTTGTTTTAGTAAAAAAAAAATCTTTTTACAGATAACTTGCCAAAATAAAAGATAAATAATCCTTAGAATTGTACATTTTTATACGAATTAGCGAGGATTTCCTAATACCGGATGTGACGTAGGAGATTTTCTACTTTCTGAACCTTCCTGAACATGGTAAGATTTTTCCATCTAAATAACGATTCCAAAGGGTTTGGAAAATTTGATCTATTTCGATGACTTTCAGCATAAATTAAGAAACTCACAAAAAGAAAAAGTGAAGCAATTCTGCTCTTTCACTCAGTCTAACGAAAAAAGCGCAATCACTTGCTTAAGTGCTCATGATTGGAAATTGGATTTAGCTGTGGACAATTTTTTCCAGTTTCCCGAGCGTTATAATAAGGCAGAAACGAATTATAAAAATACATCAGATAAAAAAAAGATAGAAAGTATATTTAGCAAATACAAAGGTAAGAGATTCTTGACATGAATTTAGATCGACGTTTATGAACATTTTTTGCAGATCCTCGGGAGGATAATCCTCAAAAAATTACCGCAGAAGGCATGCTTCGGTTGCTGGGGGATTTACAGTTAAATCCTGAGTCCCGTACTGTTTTAATACTAGCATGGAAATTAAAAGCCAGTAAACAGTGCGAATTCACAAGGGAGGAATTCGTTGATGGCTTATACCACTTACAGTATTTATTTTATTTGCTGCTATTCTCTGAGAAAGTTTTCACGGAATTTCCTGGATTTTCAGATGTGATTCCCTAGAGAAGTTACGCAACAGATGCTCTACGTTAGAAAACGACATAAAGGATCCGAACAATTTTAGAGATTTTTACCACTTCACTTTTAATTACGCTAAAAACGAAGGACAAAAGGGTTTAGGTATACTGTTTATAAAAAAACTGGTAACTTTTATTTAATCAAAATATTACTTAGATCTAAATATGGCAATAGCTTACTGGAACATCGTTATGTCGGGAAATTTTAAATTTCTTAATTTATGGATTAAATTTCTGCAGGTAAAAACACCTTTCTAAAATATTAAAAAGTTCTCTCATTTAATAACTACAAATTTTAGGAGCATCATAAATGTTCAATCCCAAAAGATACCTGGAATTTACTGTTGGATTTTAGCAATCAGATCGACGATCAAATGTCAAATTACGACGAAGAAGGTGATTAATAAAGCATATAAAGATATATGTATATTGAAATATTAAATTAAAAATTTAACTGCAATGAACAGGAGCTTGGCCAGTATTGATCGACGACTTTGTAGAGTATGCAAAACCTATTGTACAAACAGGTAATGGATCTTAGCAACCCAAGAAAAATGCTTCAGTGAAAGAAAAAAAGACTAAGAAAGTATTCTTGCGCAAACTGTAACATTGCGGGTGCTGTGTTACCCAAAATTGTATAAAAAAAATAACAAAAAAAATTTTACAATAAAAAAAAATATATAATAATAATAATAGAAAGAAATTCTTTCTGTTCTTTTTTTTTTGTTCCTTGTTTTTCCTACCTTTACAAATTTCTTACTTAAAAATTAAAAAGAGGTACTGATTTATAGTGCTTTAAAACAACTCTTTCCCCATTTACCATTCTTTTTCTATATCTTTTCAATTTCTCTTCCTCTTCTTTATGGTAAAACAATATAATATTGAAAGCGATTAAATTAGCTCGTAACAAGAATTAATTCCAGCGAAACATTAGAAATTAAATTTAATTTGAAACGTGTTGCGTTTATGAGACTTCCTGAAGTGCTTATGCTTGCTTTAAAACTTCATTTGTCTCCATAAGAAACAAAAATTTTCCATGAGAGTATTACAAACTACGTTGGCGTCTCTCAATTTACATTTATATTTATAGTTCCGCTTTTTGATTATTACGTTTTATTTGGAGGCAGTATGACTATAGAAAAAGCTGATTAAATGATAATTCTGTTTGAAGGTCGTAGAGATGTTCGAGATTTTTAAGCGACGCCTACCGTCTCTACCGACGTCAGTGTGCTGAGATGTCAGCGACAGCAACAAATGTTTCTAATTTTTATAATGTTACTGGCTTTGGTGACATAGGCTTGAAAAGTTTTACGCCCAGTCGTATGGCAAATATAATATTGACACCGATAATAATACTTGGTGGACTTGTAGGTAACTTCCTATCGTTTTGTGTCTTTGCGTTTACTCATCAGCATAGACTGAGCTCTCCAATATATCTTTCAACTTTATCATTGGCCGATTTTGGATATTTAGTGGCTTTAACAGTTTTTTGGATAGAATGGCTAGATCCATCCGTTATTGTTTTCAGAAGATCTGGCGGGTGCCAAGTTCTTGTCTATTCTTTTAATTTCTTGTCATTTGTGAGCGTGTGGTTGATTGTACTGTGTACGTTTGAAAGGTAATTTAAAACAGAATTTTTTTCTCTTTTAGTATATTCTTACTATGGAAGAGTGTCGGTTAGTTATTTTTTCCTCCAATAGATATATGATAGTTTATGAACGACGTAAAACATGTTGCTCTTGTGCTAGCCGAAAAACTGCTTTAACAACGACTTTAACAACGGTATTTTTAGGATGTATATTATTTATATGGCACTTCTGGACGTCAGGAGTCGTCAAGTATGTTATTTTCTTTTCTATATTACGACTCAGCACTAATTAAAAACAATATCACACGATAATAATTAAGCTTTATAGAATAGCTAATCAATTCACAATCACAACTAGTATGCATTGTTTCTTTTCTCCCTTTTTTTCACAGCTTTACAGACAATGAGCCAGTCTGTATGACTTATGCGAGATACTTCGAATTACACGTTTATTTAACTACATGTTCTACTTTCATTACCATTCTGCTTCCGGCTATTTGTATATTGACTCTAAACGCGAAGATTCTTTTTAAACTCCATCAGGTACTTGGAAACAGGGATCTATTTTAGGATCTCTTTCTTTTATTAATACAAAGTTATTTACATAATTTTTTATTATTGTATTTATTTTTAATTTTTAATTGAATTTTTTTTTTATTTTTTTCCTTTTCTTTCTTTTCTTCTTTTCTCCTTTTTCACTTCTTCAAAAAGGCACAAAAAAAAGCAAATGGAGTTTTTGATTTAAATAAAAGAATACAAGTTTCCTCGTCAGATGAAGGCGTCCGTATCCGCTTTAAATCTGCTAACGAATCAACATCTGATCCGGAGAATAAGTCTCACTCAATTCTAATGCGACAGAGGGCGTTAAAAGGAAGGAGGAGCGCCCGTGGAATGTTAATTTTTTCATCAGTCTCCGTTTTCTTGTATCTACCTAAAGCAATATATCAATTGCATTCTTTGCTTGTTAATGAATACGTTACTTGGACAGAAGTATTTCATATAATTTATAACTTGAATTTTGCTATCAACTTTCTTATCTATTCTGGTTAGTTATACAACCCTAAGAGGATTTATTGTATACAAACAAGAATAGTTAATTTTAATGTTTTATTGTTTTCTCTCTCGACAGCTTTTGACAAACCTTTTCGAACGGGTTTACGCCTTTTGGCCAGTCGTTTTGGTAGAAATTTGAACAGATTCTGCAGACGAATTGCGCTCTCTAGCGTCGATGAAAAGTAAAGAAAAAGCACCCGGTGGGTAAAAATTAATGTCATTCGATCGACATTAGCGAACAATAAGAAGAGTTGCATTATCTAAAAAAGCTGATCGATCAGCTCCCGATCATTGATTATTCTTTACAGGCTGTTGTCACCGACACTCTCCCCCTTTCTCCCTGTCTTTTTTTTTACCCCTGTCACTTTTCAGTCGGCTTTGGACTCGCGTGAAAGACGATGACCAACGTTGGTGCTCCCAAGCTACAGAGGGCCCGGGAATGTTTGGCCAATTCATTAAATAAATCGGCTACTTACTCTCCTAAACAGAAACCTCTGTTTACAAGAAGTATGACAGTCAGTGAACTACGGAAGTTATTAGAGACTGGTTCTGCGAAGAAGGATATACGAATAAATATAAGGTCACTGGACGGATCTTACCCTAATATTAGAGTAACTCTACCACCGTGCGTTGTACCCAAAGAGAGACGATATAAGCCAAGACCTCCTCCAGCAAAGGCAACAAATTTACCTACAACTCAGACAAGACGTTTAGCATCAGCAAAACCCGGACCTATCCCTCTAGCTAATATATTAAGTAGTTTAAGTGCAAAGAAACTCACTTCTACGGACCTTGTTAAAAGTTGGCTGGACTCTAACCCTGTAGAATGTGAGTTTAATGCAGAATCATCTTAGAATCGAGAAACTTTTTACAGTCGTTATTTATTCAACTTTTAAAAGTATAAACAAATAATAAATAAATAAGTGTGTATATTAAATATTCATAATTTACATACATAAGTCTAAAATAATGGGTACAAATTGTAACACATATAATGTCTCTCTTTTTTTTTCTTTATTATTTTTTTTTTTTAAAAAAATAAACTGATTTCAGGACTTTTCTAAACTTCTACGCGTACCATTTGCTCTTCAGACCTGCGTAATTGCATACAAAAAAACACTTAATAATCTATTTTAAATAGAAAGGAAAACATAGTAAGGCGGTAGCTGTGTTTGGAATGTAAGGTACAAGGCAACGTTAACAAGTTAGTGTGTTTGAAAACACTGTGTTACACGACAAGCCAAGTTAACTTACCCGCCTTCAAGCGCTTGCGTTGTTGCCTAAGCGACGTCAATGATTTTAAAAGAAATGTCTATAGGCCTACTAGAACGTATACGATAGTTTTACACAATTTTCCTGCGCTTACCCATGATTGTCCCTGGAAGACATCCTCAGTTGAAGCAGTTGGGGATAATGTTGTGGGATTATCGCGATAAGGTGTCCTAATTACGACGGTTGCGTTTGGATTTGTAGTAGTATTTGGTGACATCTATCGGACGTTAAATCGATTTAAAACGATTAAAATGTTGTTTTAGAAGGACAGTCAAAAATTAACCTTTGGAAAAAATAAGTAAACAAGAACGCTAACCTGAGCTTGGGATCGTTGAAGTCGGATTACTCGCATATTTCCTTTAACATTAGAATTTTCATTCTTCATCCAAGCTCCTATTCGATTTTCTAAATTTGATAGTACAGGATCACTTGTGTAATGATCAACAAATTGAGGAGCTTGAGATGTTGTTGGAGAGGATGAGTTAATCATCATGTTATTTTGCATTTGGTTACCAGATATACTATTTGATGTCGTTGTCCTTCTCCTACTTTCCCTAAGCAGACGCGCATTTTCTTTTTGACGTATTCTGTGAAAGACTGTACCTGGTCCGTATAGATCTATAACGGGACCTCTAGGCGGTATAAAACTATCAAAATTAACACCAGCAGGGGCAGCTTTGATTTTTTCTTCCCTATTACTGTGCCTAGCCTCCATCTTCTCCGCCTTTATTCTATTATACTCTTCCGCCTTACTAATAATAACCCGGAAAAGGGGAACGTGCCGCAATAAGTATTTCGACATGCGTGATACAAGCTTCCACTGTAAATCTTGTCTCATAATATCTATTGTCTTTGGATTCCTTTTTGTCAATAGCCTTTCAAAGTGGCGCATCTCTAAAACTAGAACTTCCGATCGTTGAGTCGTTATCGATGTCTGAACGAATGTGGGTAAATCGAGCAAAACTTCTACGTCACCAACTGTTTGATTTACACCGAGGAGACACACTTCCTGAGTTTGCTTCTTACTGGGTTTCCTTTTACGAAATCCACTTTGGCAATTAACCGAAGCTATACTCCCGGACATTGTCCTTTTCAATATAAAGAGAGAAAATATACTATATTTGTAGAAGTTATTTACTTGTCTAGATAGGCCTTCGTTCATATTTCAATATCTATAATTAATCGAACCTTATTAAGTCTTCTATAGCGTCTTCGTCATCCTTATTCTTATTTAGAGTAGTTATTTCATCATCATCCAACGGTAATTTAGGAAATTGGCTTTTATGTTGTACAGGTTCCACAGTTTGTTTAACCTCACCGCTAGATTGTAAATTATCAAAGAATAAAGATGGGACAAAAAAATTTTGAAGATAATAAAATAAATAAAAAAGTTATGATTATATATTTATTACGTGTTATAAAAAATATGAAATTCTCTTTTAGATATTACCTAAGTATAAAGTAGATTGCCTCAACTTTATCCCCTTGTTTACTTAGAACAAAATCGTAAGGTAGAACTTCTTTTTGTAGTGCCATTGATAAATGTTTTTTATACCTTAGGGGAGTAGTTAATAAAAGTAAAGAGACGGAAAAACAACATATTAGATATAAATCTTTTAAGTATAGGCCCTAATTGACCCAAAAGAAAAGAAAAAGTTTTTATACTTTGGTGGCCAATTATTGAAGAGCGGATTGTTGGCAATAAAATTTCTCTTATCTTCAAATTCTTTATGCAAAACTTCTTTAACAGATCGATTATATAATTCTCGATCAACTACTATTAAATCAGCGGGTTCTGTAATTATTATAGATGCTGTCCTAATGCAATCTTCAGAGATAAGGGCCATTTCGCCAAACGTTGCGCCTTGGTCTATTATTAAAATTTTATAAATTTTTATCAGATTTTAGGGCTCAAAAAGTGAATAAAAGTGTACCTAAGTGTGTAACGAGTGTACCAAGTTGTTGACGAATGTTTTCGCTAGCATTTGATGGTTGCGAATTTGATTTTTCTTCCCCGTCATTACCAGCTTGATTTTGATATTGAATGTAAATAGTAACTCTCCCACGAATCAAAATATACATGCTAATTGGTCGTTAATATTGGTTTGGAACGAGTGGAAGAATAGAAAAAAGATTAGTAATAATCTTTACATATATATAGATATATATATATATATATCTACCAATCTCCTAATTCTCCTTGTTTGATAATTACTTCGTCCTTCTTCTTCGAAACAAATTGGCAGTTTTTCAAAACGTCAACTAGCATATCTGCAATAATGACTTATTGATTTTTTTTTTGCCAATCAAATATTTTGACAAGAATCGATAGATATTTAAACTAAACAAATAATCTTTTGTTCTTGACCAAAAGAAATAAAATATACTTCAGCAGTTGTCTTCCTTTTTTTGTTCTTTAGTAAAAGAACAATAATCAACAACAATGCTACGGGGGTGGAGTAAAGAGTAAAGTCAATGATAGAGTTGTGAAAATGATATAGTGTGAAGAAAATATTGAGAGAATAAAAGAAGAAATTGAAAACTATCAATTATAAATTAAACGAAGATTAAAAATAACTTTTCTATTCACTTACCGGAACGAAGCTTCTGGAAGAGATTGCACTTTTGCTTGAACCATCCTACCAAATTGGATAATTCAAAATCGTTTCTTTTATCCGGCGCTTTAGCTAAAATATCAGTCACTTTCTCATAGTTTGCGGCCATCGCCTCGGAGAAAACTGCAGCAGACTGCCGTTGGACAAATAGAACAGTATAAACATGTAGAAAATGTCAATATGTAGAAAAAGGAAGGGAAGGTGTTTGTTGATCATTACCTACCGCCAATATATATATAGACTGCTGAGGTTCGCGCCTTGTAATCGGTAAACTTTCAAAATTGTCACGTGAACGGCATTGAACGAGAAATCTTAAAAAGTGAAAAGGCTATAATATAGCCTTGTATTGAACGACAGTAGACATTACGCATCAAAACATGGATTAAAACGACATAACTAGTCGTTCTTCAATATAATATCAGTAGTGATAAGCTAAGTATTAAACTTGAGTTAAAGAGCCGGAATCGAAACACTAAAAAATGACTTTTTTGTTCACGTTTTATGCTCACCTTATAAGCAATCTGTGATGCTCAATGAGTTCATTATCTAAAGAGTAAATAGGTCAGATTAAAAATACAGATAATCACTATAATGACGGCAGTTTTTCATTTCTTTCTTTTTTTTATTAACCGTCTTCAGTAATCATACTCTAGGATTACCGCTATCTTATATATTTTATCTCTTTACACACACAAAAAAAAAATAAAGCCAGTGATAGGAAAAGAAGACAAAGAAAAAAAAAATTCTAGATGTGGCCAAATCAAATAGAATAGATAGTACATTGAACTTGCGGACGTAACGGGGTGAATAAAAATTGACGTTTCCATCATCGTTTTAAACTTTCCCATATATATATAGATAAAGATATAAATTAAAAATATTACGTGACTATGCCTTCGTTTACTTGTTTCTTACTCTTCGTTTTTTCGATAAAAGCGGTCGAAGCTCATAAAATCGGTTCAATTAATTTTTAACCTTCCTTTGTTTAGATTTTTACAAAAGAAAAGCGTAGACTCTTCTATATAAAGTTCCTCTTTTTATATATTTTACTATTTCTTTATCATAATCTTACTAATCTCTTTTAAGTTATTCTTTTCTATCAATAATCTATCTGTAAGAGATACATATAAATATCTATTTTATAAGCTCATCATCCATAATTAATTCTAATATTCTTTTTCATGCTATTTATTTTTTTTTTGTCCAGAGGTTCTGTTATCCGACGACACAGATAAGGCAAAATTGGTTTGTAAATTAAAAACTAACTGCCAATACAAGACATTGAATTGCAAATCGAATGATTGTTTAGCGGAAACTGCTAATTATGGTAAATATTAAACGAAATGATTGCATATCGTATTTCAAATACGAATTCCATATTACTCTATTAATAGCAAGGAATTTTACGGTTACACAAGTTAATTTGTTATTAATAAGTCGCCAAATTAGTGAGAAATATAGAATGGTTGAAACTGTATTATCGAAATTAATAGGAAACGAGAAATTAGAGATATTACTCATTTCTCCCGAAAAACACGAAAATATTCGTAACGTTAGTATGCTTAATTTATTGTTTCGAACTCCTATATAGAAATAGGCTTTAAGAAAAAAGTATTCTAGATGTTATCACCTCTACGAGAAGAAATAAAAGTAGTTTGTCAAGTTGTCGCTTCAAGATCTATCTCAAAAAAGATATTAACTTTAGGAGAGAATAGAAATTTTCCCTATAGACATGCTATGTTCTATTCGACTCTTATAGAAGATTGTAGAACAGACATAAAATTTATTCATATTGAAAATCACCTAGATTTAATAAATCTTAATAAAACTGTTGAGAAACTAAACAAAGAATTACGTAATAACGAGGCATACATCTATTTAGACGCCGATTTGAATATGTCAAAAGTTATATTGAGCGAATTTTTAAAGGAAAATCATATACATTGGATAGTTGGAACTAGAACTTTACTGGTTAGAATAAATAAAAAGTTCTATTTATATAACTATATCATTATAATATTTCTTTATCTAAACAAATTTAAACATTTCTATGTTTAATTAATATATTTTTCCACCTTTTAGTCTCAAGATTTAAATAAAATGTTATTGCTAGACATACGTAATTTGATGCTAATCCTACCAGAAATTTGCGATCAAGTATTGAATAGAATTATCCAATAGGAGACTTTATTGATTTATATTCGTATATTCTATATTTTAGGTCGAAAATTGTACTGAAAAACTATTCCAAACAGCTCTCACAACAGACTTTTACTTTTCAAAAGAAACTTGCAAACTCTTAGAGAAGAAGAACGAAAGTTATGAGTCTGTTGTACTGCACAAGGAAAATGATATTGCAAAAATTCTCTACGTTGTCATTCCAAAAGTGATTAATGTATAATAAATAAATTATTATTGACGTTTATATATAGATACTTAAATAAGGGAAGAGTACACTTTTTTTTGTTTAGTACGAACCGTTTTGGCTAAAGGAAGATGGAAAAATTTCTGGCTTATTCGTCGACGTTGCAAAAGAAGTTGCTGACGGTCTTGGAATAGAAGAAATAAAATATTTAGAGGACGATAGAGTTGAAGAGGTTAAAGGATTTTCCAAAGTTCTACAATTTATATGGAGTAAAGAATTATCGGATTTACATTACGTAATATCGTCTCCTATAGATGTTACTATTCAATTCACTGAGCCAAATTCCTCCTTAATGGAAAAACCTATTTTCTGGTTTATAACTGCCTCTTGTAGTTTAATCTATTACATTTTCAAACATGTCTTTGATGTGATATCTCCTAATCTATTGATTATTAAGCCCTCTGATAACGCATTAGCCACCCACGAGCTCTCAGAAGATAGTGGAGGTTTATGGGGTGGAGTCTTTCATATTTTCACAACGAGAATTTTAACAGAACCAACAACAATTACCGGAAAAGTTCTTGCCTTCGTTTCCTCAATGTTTCTAAGTTGCTTGCATACTGCGGTTGTATCATACAATCTTCTTAAATATATCGGTGACGATAATTATGACTTTGTCAGTGAATGCGATATAACTGAAAAAGGTTTATGGGAGACACTTAGGTTGGCAATTGTTGAGAAGAACTGTTCAATAAGGCTGAATGAACTTTCAGCCTATTGCACTCTTGATAAAATTTCAGAGAAACTTATAATCGTTAGGCCTCTAATATCGCGTCAAATGGAACGCAATTATTTAAGTATTAACACCACCTATCAAACAATACGAAAATTCTTAGCAAATGGCGAAGAAGAATTAGAAATTATACGCGAATCGTACGAATCAAGAATGAATGACTTTCGCCATTTACTATTCTCCCAGACCAATAGTCAAGTCAAGTATCACAAGATAATGTTGTATAGCCTGGCAACACTGGCAATAGCTTACGCCATCTATGGCTTTTTTAGTTTCATCATTTATTCAGTAAAAGATGCTAGACAATTTAGGGATGTAGACCCAATTAGTCGTTTGAAGAAAGGCCTTAAAAATAGATTAAGTATTGTACGTGAAACTATAATGTTGAGTTGTAAATATCAATTAGAAAAAATAACAAGATTTGGTTGTTAACAAACAAGATTGAAAAGGTTTATTCAAGCGGCAGTTTGGAAATAAAAGTTTATCAATTGCTTTAAATAAAATTAAGTATAAATAGGATAAAAATAAAAAACTTTCGTATATAAATATTCATTAAGTATATAAATTTTCTATGTGTTTTTCTTCTTTTTTCCTAATTTCAAATATAACCATCCAAAAAATATTACAACCCGTTTATAACACGAAAAAAGGGACCTAAATAATTCCTAGAAAACAGGGTCATTAGTCTAAAAGGAAAAGAGGTAAAGTTCAATACTTAAAAGTTGAGAATAGTTTTTGTGAGCTCAATATAATTTCTTTAATTGTTCGAATGTCATAAAGAACTGTGTAAAAGGGAAAAGAAAACAAAGTTAAGGAAATTATTTAACCTTTTCTTTTTGCTGTTGTTTTTTTTTTTGTTAAATTAGCATTTCGTTTGTAATTTTTAAAGGATACAATAATATTCCAGGGACCTAATCGTAGCCAATTCGGTATAAATCCTTTATATAACGCAAGTATACCTTCAGTTTTAACAGTCTATAAATAAAATATGAAGCATATGCAATATAATAAAACTTATATAGATTATGTGCAGTTAATAAAATACATACTTGCAAAATACAATCCATAGAGCTATTATAAATGACTGGTGCTCCAACGCCTCCTTGCACACTAACAACTCGAAGTTTCCTTTGGTTCATTAATCTTGTCTATTAAGAAATATAATATTTTAATTAAATATACTAAAATAAATATAATTTCTAATAAACTTAATTTACTTTTACAACATCAATAGGGTTAGAGGCAATTGCTCCGGCAAGACCAGCTATAGAACTAGATCTAAAGTATGAAATGATAGTTAGTTGTAATTGTAACTATTTTCCCAGTCTTAAATATTATTTTCAGCTTACATAAAGTGATTATAAACATTATCTCCAAGAGGTGTATGATTGATTATATGTTTTTTGCAAACATCATATACAGGTAACTCAACTCCAGCCACAACGGCTGCTCTATTAGCCGTTGGTCCAACACCCTGGTTTAAGAAATTAATAAAGGATCAAGTATAAGAAAAACTCTAAAATGTCGATAATTTTATCCTTACTCTCCACAGACCGCCAATACCTTCCTTCCGAGCTATATCTCTAAAAGCATTAATGAGACTTATTTTACGGGTATCCTTGCTCTGTGCCTGCATCCTTACTTTAAGAACATCTGTTGGATTAGCTATACAACTTGAGACAACACCGGCAACCACTCCACAAAATACATTGTTTATTAATTTTTCTTTCATGGGATCCTGAACAAGTAATCTCTTTAGTGAATGATATATTCCAATTTTAATAGTTCCATATGTTGCTTGTCTTAATAAAGCTGGTTTAAGTCTACATAAAGAAAAAAATAATATTGCTCTAAAAAATTATTGATTTATTAGTTACTAACTAACCCAGAATAAAGTGCAGAGACTCCTTCCTCCTTACCAATAAGCACAAGAGCATGAGACATTCCCCTGTATTTTATAGTGCAGAAATTTTTGTCGATCTTTTGACCTTGAATTTGCAATCTTGTTTTTGTAGTATCAATTGGAAACGTTCCTTGAATGATGTTAATAGCAAAAACGACTTAAATTTTATCCTTCTTCCACATTATGCACATTTATGGTTTGAAATTCTTACCGAATTCTGCAGTCATTGAGGCCAATCCTCCGTAGACATAGGGTCTCCAGTCATTAGCCATAGTTTATTATTCTAAGATGGTATATTTTGGGCTTCTAATATGTTTTCCTAAAAGAATTTGAAGTACGATTAGTATTCGTATCTCTTTGGCAAAAAATTCCCAAGTATATTCAGTCGTATAACACGTGTCCTGGGACTGACGTCATAAGTAAAAGAGATGAATGCATATTGTGAAATTCCTGATCAAATCTTAAATACGAATGGGGAAAAAGTGATCACGATAAGATCACGTGAAAAATGTTTCTATGACCTTCATAGTGACTTTTTTTGAATGAAACAATGGAAAAATATTGATGGAAAAAGAAAAGTAGCACAAGATATCATAGTGCAAAGTTTAAATGTACATTTTGTCACTACAATGTTAGGCCTCTCCAATTTTATGAAGTTTTTTTTATAACAAATACATATTTATCTAGGCATATCGTCTCGTTTTAAAGAGCACGTGATTTTATCTAATATCGCTCACCAAAGAAGCTGTATCCACTGTAACGCGCTGAAGGATCTCTATTTTATAATATTGTATCCAATCTTTTTCCAATTTCTAACTTAGTGATACAAGGACGAAGAAATTTTTTTTTAAATAATCAAATAAGACCTCTTTTTGTTAAGTTCCGCCTCTTGCTACACATGCGCAAATCAGTTCGAAATAGACCTAGTAACCCCATCTATATCCAATAGAGAAAATTTATTCAACTTTACCCTCCAAGACCTTCAAGAATGACGTGCGAACACCTTGAAAACTAAACAAATGAAAAGGAACGATAATTTTATCTTTAATTTACATTTCATTCGTAAATATTTTAGTAGCTAGAAAAAGAAAGAGACTCCTTTCTTTTCCATTAATTTACATCATTTAGTTTATTTAAAAGAATGGAGAATCCCCATTGTTTACAAATTGCAAATATTCAATGCAAAAAGACACTGAATTTTTGACAAGATCTTAGTATAAAGATAGTGAACTATTTGTATTTCTATTTTAAATTTGTATTTTTTTAAAAAAGTAAAAACTATTGAGATTATATGATATTTATGAAGATTTATTGGTTGTTTTATGTCAAAATACTCTCTTAAGTAATTTTTACAGTGGCAGTACTTATACATCGTTTGATACTTTTATGATTTTTTATTTTTTAATTCTCAATACAATTCAATTATTCTATTTATCTGTTCAAGGAATTTTAATCTTATTCAAATAGAGCACTGTTTTTTCTCATGTTAAGAAAACGCCCCGAATATTTAATATATGAATATAGATTACAAAAGAGCGTGTGATGAAGAAGATAAGGTAATGAGTAATATCCATTTTAGATAATTATCTTTCTGTAATAAACTGTATTATAAGTTCATTAATATTTATGAAAATATGAAAAGGACATCTTAAATTAGCTAACACTTAGAACAATCGTAACACTCCTTGTATGAAGTTTAATTATTAATATGCAAAGTGGGATTAAATATTCAAACTTGTATTATATGAGGGTTTTCTGACTAATAGATATTTTATCTATTAATAAGGTTGTTTGTCTAAACTCATAATGTATATCCTTTCTACAATCTATCTATATATATACATATTAATATATTAAAGTAAAAACAGAGTATTTAATGAACTATTTCTCTTTGAAGTTTGAAATATAGTTTATGACAATCTTCCTCTTGGAACTATCAACATTTTTGTGCGAAATTTATCTTATACTGAATATGAAGACGTGTTCATAAAATATACGAGAGTATATTATTTTTTTGAATTTACGTCACAATATTGATCTGCTTACATAACACATAAGCATATCAGATTAGTCAAGAACAACCTTTGATACTTAGTATTTTCCCATTTCTACTCTTTCTACTGTTCAACATTAGCTGTATAAATATATTGATCTAACTGCACTCTACTGTACTGTGAGAAGGCAAAACTGTTCACGAATTTTAAAACTATGAACAACACTCTGATCCATTGCATTTTTATCTTCAAAACAGACCTTTTATATATTTTAGGACAACAAGTAGGTTATCACTAGTCTATTATTTTTTAAATTGTTCTAACAAATGATAACAAATTTCCTCAAAGTTCAATTGATTGTAATTTCATTTGAAAAGATAAAAGATATCGCGATAAAATTTCCCATATTAAAAGTTCTACTTTTTTAATAAGAATTTCAGCTGTGTTCAAAACTTGTAGAGCGCATGCGCTCAAATGCTTTAGTGTTCAATAACTCCATCTGCAGTTTCGATAATTAACTACCTTTTTTTACCTGAGATACGTTCAAGTGCCACCCGTTTACTTTACAAGTGACGTCACCGTATTGGTCACCGTGTTGGGTGGGACCCGTTTTACTATAGATTCGGCAAATCGAATCGTCTACTGTGCAGTTTGATTAGCTTGATGTTTATGCAGCAAAGGATTTTAAATTAGATTCGGTAAGTGTTCTCTCTTATTAATTTGCTGTCGATGGTAAATATAGAGAGCAAGCTGAAAAAACTCAGATTTCATAGCGAGTTCTGCTTCATTGATCGCGTTCAAGAGAATTGAAACAATATACGTACCCGAAACAAAATATAGTATTTTTTGAAAATAATAGTGTATGGAATAGTTTTGATGAAAACTAAATAGACTAAAAAATCACAGGCGTGTTAATATAAATGACTTTTTCTTCAACAGATTAACGGCTGTTCTATGCTCTAATATAGGCCTAAAATATTCTAGCAATTATATATAATTGAAGATGGTGCTATTGCAGCGGGTAAGTGATTATTTCTATATAGAATAATTTATAATTAATATTTATACTTCCTTATTGTGATTAGTATTCATGTTTTTTATTTTTCGTTATCCAATCATAAATATATATTAATATATATATATATTTTAATATGATATGAATATAAGAAAAAGTACATGAGTCATACCCAAAACCGACACGAACTATATAAAGAACTTTGGGCGCGTACATATAGTATAAATACACACAGAAAAATGTAGTGTGAATCGCATCGATTAATTTTTAAAATAGGTAGGCAATCGATAAAAAGCGAATTTTTACATCGTTAAATTTTTCACGGTTAAACAATCTTAATTTCTTTCTTTTGCGAAGTTATTTAAATGCATATGAATACATTTTAGTAAATTTTCTCACCAATAAACTATTTAATAATCCTTTTGTACATGCTTTATCTTTCTTTTCTTAGTTTTCTATAGTTTGATTTTATTATCGTCAAAAGTATATAAATTGAAGGAGATATATTAGATTAAATAATAAAAAGAGAGTATGATAAGAACGAAAGAATGTTTTACATAGTTTTAAAGACGTTTTTATATGAATAATCGTATGAGTCGACTAAAATTTTCACGTTTTTTTATTATTTATATATATTCAATAGGGTGAGTGGGTTTGGATTGAACCGGAAAGTCCCGGCGAATTTGAGGTGGCTATTGGAGCTCAAGTAAAATCAACAGGTTCTGGGCAAGTTCAATTAGTGGATGACGACAAGAAAGAAGTATGGGTAAAAAGCGGTACAAAGCTGAAGGCTATGCATCCGTCTTCCGTAAGCGGTTTAGAAGATATGATAGGATTAGGGGACTTAAACGAGGCTGGAATATTACGTAATCTCTTCATACGTTACTTTGACAACTATATTTATGTTAGTATATAGAAAATTTTCACATTTGTAGTAGAACTATCTTTTTAATCAAGCCATTACCTTAACCTCCCATTATTAGACGTACACGGGTTCAATTTTGGTTGCTGTTAATCCCTACCAAATTTTACCAATTTATACTGCTGAACAAATAAAATTATATCGAGACAAGAAAATCGGAGAGCTTCCACCGCATATTTTTGCCATAGGAGATAATTCTTACACAAATATGAAACGTTATGAGCAAAATCAATGTATAATAATCAGCGGTGAATCAGGTGCGGGAAAAACAGAATCTACAAAATTAATTCTCCAATTCTTAGCTGCTGTTTCCGGTCAGCATTCTTGGATCGAACAACAGATTCTTGAAGCCAACCCTGTTATGGAAGCTTTTGGAAATGCTAAAACTATTCGTAATGATAACTCTTCTAGATTTGGAAAATACATTGATATTCACTTTGATAAAAAAGGATCCATTGAAGGCGCTAAAATTGAACAATATCTATTAGAAAAAAGTAGAATAGTTAGTCAAATGCACAATGAAAGAAATTATCATATTTTCTATTGTATGTTGGCTGGTCTATCAAAAGAGGAAAAAGACAAGCTCGATTTGAAAACCGCCGAAGACTACCATTATTTAGTTCAGGGTGGTGATACGAAATGCGAAGGTCGAGACGATGTTAAAGAATTTCATGATATTCGTTCGGCCATGAAGGTTTTGATGTTTAGCGACGAGAGAATTTGGGATATTTTGACAATCTTATCCGCATTGCTCCATCTCGGAAACGTTGGTTTTAGTGCCACTGTTGTCAATAACATTGACGCATGTCAAGTGAAAAACATGTCTGAATTAGAAAAAGTTGCTCGTTTGCTGAAAGTTAACTCAGGAGATTTGAAGAAGTCTCTAACAACTAGGACTATTTATACCAGAGGTAAATAATTTGAAAGAATTTTGTATTTTAACTATCAAGTCAACGAATTTTCAACTTTTTTAGGAGAAGTCGTGCTAACTCAACTTTCTGATGAGGCGGCATTAGACGTAAGAGATGCTTTTGTTAAAGGTGTTTATGGACGTATGTTCATTTGGATTGTTGATAAAATTAATGAAGCCATTTATAAGCCAAACGAGAAGCACGCTTATCGAAAATCCATTGGAGTTCTCGACATATTCGGATTCGAAAATTTTGATAAAAACAGCTTCGAGCAGCTGTGCATTAACTATGCGAATGAGAATCTTCAACAATTCTTTGTTCAACACATCTTCAAACTAGAGCAAGTAGAATATAATAACGAAGCCATTAGCTGGAGCCATATTGAATTTGTAGACAATCAGGAGGCGTTAGATATGATTGCCTGTAAGCCCATGAATATATTGGCTTTGGTTGATGAGGAGAGTAAATTTCCAAAGGGTACAGATAAAACCATGTTGGAAAAGCTACATAGTCAACATGGAAGGAATAAAAATTATCTCAAGCCCAAATCGCAGGTTAACTTATCTTTCGGTCTAAACCATTTTGCAGGAGTTGTCTTCTATGATTCCAAGGGCTTTCTTGAAAAGAATAGAGATACATTTAGTGGAGACTTAATGCAACTGATAACAAATTCTAAATTCAATTATTTAAGCGGCTTGTTTAAAAATGATGCTGGAATGGGCACAGAAACAAGAAAACGATCGCCAACTCTAAGCATCCAGTTTAGAACCAGTTTGGATTCTTTGATGAAAACTCTGAGTGCTTGTCAACCATTCTTTGTTCGTTGTATTAAGCCAAATGAATTCAAAAAGCCTCTAATGTTTGATAGAGAACTATGCTGCCGTCAATTACGTTATTCGGGTATGATGGAAACCATAAGAATTCGAAGGGCAGGATATCCAATTCGCCATAGATTTGATGACTTTGTTGATCGTTATAGGATATTAATATCAGGCGTTGGCCCATCACATACCGTAGAATGTAGAGCTGCCTCCAAGAAAATTTGCAAAGAAGTTCTTAAAGACGCTGACTATCAACTGGGTAAGACAAAGGTATTTCTCAAAGATGCTCAGGACGCATATCTAGAACAGGAGAGAGACAGAGTATTGACCAGAAAGCTTATCTACATTCAAAAAGCAATTAGAGGATGGCAACATAGAAAACGCTTCGAACAGATGAAGAGTTGTTGCGTTATTATTCAAGCTGTTTACAGGAGTTGGACCGCACAGAAACGTTACGAGGCTATAAAGATGGGATTCCAACGTTTACAAGCTCTTGTGCGATCACGTCAATTAACACATAAGTTCACAACTACCAGAACAAGGCTTATAGCTCTCCAACGTCATTGTCGTGGTTTCTTGGGACAAATCTGGTATGAACAGAGAATGAAGAGTGCTGTAATTCTACAAGCTGCTTTCCGAATGATGTTTGCTCGCAATCATTATAGAAAGGCGAAGATTGAACATATGAAATTAATGGAATTGGAAAGGCAACGAAAAGAAGAGGAAGAGAGACTTCGTAAAGAAATGAATGCAAAGAAGGCCAAAGAAGTTGCCCAAAAACACCATCAAGAGAGACTTGAAGGTTTAGAACAAGCTGTTGAAGAAGAGATGCAAACTGAAAAGAAGAGAGCAGAAGCGAAAGCGAAACAAATTACAGATGCAGAAGCTCGTAAAGATCAACCCGTCAACGAAACAGACATTATTGCACAATTGTTCGAATTTACTGAAAATCTAACTGAATCTGGTCAACCGGCTGCTGGACGTTATGATGATTTGAAATCTGTTGAACGAGATAATATGTCTCAGGATACAGATATTGTTTCTCCGCCTGTTCCACCTGATGAAGATGATGATATTTCAGATTACAAGTTCAGCAAGTTTGCTCAACTATATTTTCAAGGAAATGCATCCCACTCTTATGTTAGAAAAGCTATCAAAAATCCTTTGCTACCCTTGAAAAATGAAGGAGATCAACTTGCCGCTCTAGCCGTTTGGGTGATAATATCACGATTTATGGGTGATCTTCCTGAGCCTAAATATCATACTTCGCTTTCTGATGTTAAAGATACAACGCCTGTCATGACAAAAATCTATTCAACTCTTGGTCGAAAGTTTAATAAAAAAGATTTAGAAGAGGCTCAAAAAGAGGCCAGTGAAATGGAAAAAGAGCACCCTGTTCACTCAACTCATAGGCCAAAAGGTACAACCAAGAAAAACAAATTAATATCCCTAACACTTAAGAAAAAATCAAAGATTACCGAGGACGTTGCCAATAAGCTGAGAAATGGAGAATATACTGGATCAGGAAATGCTTTATTAGAAGATAAGCCAACAAATAATTTAGAAAAGCTACACTTTATAATTGGACATGGAATCCTCAGACCAGAAATGAGAGATGAAATTTATTGTCAAATTTGTAAACAACTCACACAGAACTCATCCAAAACAAGTCATGCCCGTGGCTGGATTCTTTTATCTTTATGCGTTGGATGTTTTGCACCATCTGAGAAATTTATTAAATATCTTAGATGCTTTATTAAAGAAGGCCCACCAGGCTATGCACCCTATTGTGAAGAGAGACTGAGAAGAACATTTGCTAATGGTACAAGAAATCAACCTCCTTCCTGGTTAGAATTACAAGCAACAAAATCGAAAAAACCATTAATGCTTCCAATAACTTTTATGGATGGTAATACCAAAACTCTGCTTGCTGATTCTGCAACAACTGCTAGAGAATTATGTAATCAACTTGCTGACAAAATTGGTCTTAAAGATAGATTTGGATTTTCTCTATATATTGCTTTATTTGACAAAGTTTCATCTTTGGGCTCAGGAGGTGATCACGTTATGGATGCTATCTCTCAGTGCGAGCAATATGCCAAAGAGCAGGGTTCGCAAGAGAGAAATGCACCATGGAGACTCTTTTTCCGCAAAGAGATATTTGCTCCATGGCATGATCCAGCTGAAGACTCGGTATCGACTAACCTCATTTATCAACAAGTTGTCAGAGGTATTAAATTTGGAGAGTATCGATGCGAGAAAGATAGCGATTTGGTTATGATTGCCGCTCAACAATATTACATAGATTATAGAGGTGAACTGTCATTGGAAAGAGTTCAAGCTGTTCTTCCTTCATACATTCCTGATACTGCAATAGAAGGAGCGAAGACTCTAAATTTCTGGCTAAAGGGTGTAATGAACTCCTATAGACGATCTTATTTTGTAACAGAAAGAGTACCTCCTCTCCGTGTTAAAGAAGATATTGTAAACTTTGCCAAGTTTAAATGGCCTCTATTATTTTCAAGATTCTACGAATCTTACAAATTTGCTGGACCTTCTCTACCGAAGAATGACGTCATAATAGCTGTTAACTGGACTGGTGTTTATGTTGTAGATGACCAGGAAAATGTGTTATTGGAACTTAGCTTCCCTGAAATTACAGCTGTGTCAAGTAGCCGTACTGGCAAAATGCATGGTCAGAGCTTCACTCTTGCAACAGTAAAATGTGAAGAATACACATTTACTTCGCCAAACGCTGAAGATATTAGAGATTTAGTTGTAACATTCTTAGAAGGGTTGAAACAACGTTCAAAATACGTCATTGGTCTACAAGATTATAAAGCTCCTGTTGAACAACCTAACTTTTTATCTTTCAAAAAAGGAGATCTAATTATCCTAGAAGAGGCAAATGGAGAGAGTGTAATGAGCTCTGGATGGTGTTTCGGAGAATGTGCTAGAACTGGACATAGAGGAGACTTCCCTGCTGAATGTGTTTACATTCTTCCAACAGTGACCAGACCACCTCCGAAAATATTGGTAAGCTATTTTTCTATTTGCTATTCTAACAAAAAATCAATTGGAGTTGCAAAAATTTACATATATTTCCATAAATTTTGTACTCTATGTACAGGGATATAAATACACAGCATATAAAGGATATACTGTATATTTATATTATATCTAAATGTATAAAACATACAAATATACTTTTCATTATTTTTTTAATCTAACCGATCAACAGGAAGTAGTAACTTGGGTACGTTAACTGTATTAATGTTTTCATTTCACACGGGTCTGTCTATCTTTACAATTTTCTTATGTATGTAAATATGCACGTGTTCTAATGTATATTGACATCTTTAAACAGTATATAATATTCAAGTATATTGTATACTGTTTGCATATTTACATATATAAGATAACGTAGTATTATATACATATTTACCTTTTGTATTATCACATTCTACATGCATGTAATACTCTCACGTACAGCGAAGGTGAAGCAGTGTACTTTAGTTTCTAACAATTGGTACGGTACGGAGGTTTCGTTTTTTTTTTTAAATATCTTTTGCGCATTTTGTGCCTTTGACGCATGTATTAGAATAGTAGAAAGTATTGTTTTTGGTATACTACTTTTTAGATTAACATATATATGTATAAACAGATATAATGTATTTTTTTTAAATATTCTTATATATTTGTCTTACACTGTTGTTAATGTTATTGATTGATTGACTATTTTACTATTGTTTAATGCATTTATTTGTACTTGACATCTAATTTTATCCTTTTCATTTACCATCTACAGAATCTGTTTGCACAACAAAGTGAACATCCTGATAAATTCATACAATCTTCTGTACCCGATACGGAAGAATCGCAGATTTATACCTTGAAAGAATATTCTTTTGATCACTTTAGAATACCGGCAAAGAAAACTTTATCGAAAACGTTAACAATCAGCAAAAGGAAACGCCAGGATGACTTGTGGCGTCATAGTAAAGAACCAATTAAGCAGCCTCTATTGAAAAAATTACAAGGAAAAGATGATTTGAGTCAAGAAGCGTGCCAATGCTATTTGGCTATCTTGAAATATATGGGTGATCACCCATCTCCGTCTGGTCGAAAGAGAGCCGATTTAACTGATCTTATATTTGAACCTCCAATTAAACATGTATGTATTGTATTTTAATGAAATGTTTATTTTAACAGAGTTTTACTATTCATTATTCTTTAAAAATCCTTTTCTTTGCTCTTAGGATGTACTTAAAGATGAAATATATTGTCAAATTATCAAGCAATTAACTGATAACAAAGGAAGCCAGAGCGTTATTGCAGGCTGGGAATTGATGTGGTTGGCAACTGGGTGCTTCACTCCAGGTACAAATCTATTAAAGGAGGTTATGCTTTTCCTAAGATCGCATAAGGACTTGCCTACTGCTCATGATTCTATAAACCGACTCCAAAAAACCCTGAGGTTATTCTTTCATCCTTTAAATTTTATTCACCATTAGAAAATCGTTATAACTGTACTTCTTTATTCAATAGAAATGGAGCAAGGAAATATCCTCCCCATAGTGTAGAAGTTGAAGCGGTTTCTCAGAATAGAACTCAGATCTTCCATAAGGTGTACTTCCCAGATGATTCAGACGAATCTTTTGAAGTTGATTCGTCAACCAGAGCAAAGGACTTCTGTTCAAATATTGCACATAAATTGAAGTTAAACTCACCCGAAGGATTTTCACTATTTGTTAAGATTGCTGATAAGGTTATATCAGTTCCGGAAGGCGACTTCTTCTTTGATTTTGTACGACATTTAACTGACTGGATAAAGAAAGCTAAATCGAATCAGGAAAACCAGTCACCTAGTTTCAGTTATCAAGTGTTCTTTATGAAGAAACTATGGTCAAACACAGTTCCAGGTAGAGACAGAAATGCTGACATTAGATTCCATTATCATCAAGAATTACCTAAACTTCTACGGGGCTATCACAAATGTACCAAAGAAGAAGCTGCTCAACTTGGTGCTCTTATCTTCCGCGTTAAATATGGTGATAACAAAGATAAGACGAGCGAATTACAGTAAGTAACGCTACTCTATTATTGACTATTGATTATTGTTTTATAAATTTTCTTTAGACAAATTTTGAAGGAGTTGATCCCTGTCGATATGATAAGAACCATGGCTCCCGACGACTGGAGAAGACAAATTCTCTCACACTATCAACAAGATATTGGATTGTCATCTAGTGATGCTAAAATCAAATTCCTAAAGGCTATTTACCAATGGCCAACATTCGGTTCTGCCTTCTTTGAAGTTAAAGTAAATAAATATATTTTTATAACACTAATAAGAAAACTAATACTTAATATATTTTAATCGAAAATAGCAAACTACTGAACCTGAACTACCAGAAATACTCTTAATTGCCATTAATAAGAATGGTGTTAATCTTATTGATCCAAAAACTAAGGTAAGATATTACTTTAATCCAAATTTCATTAAACGTTAAAATTAATAAAAAATAATTTTGCTCCCGCTTTAGAACATTCTCGCCGTTCATCCATTCACAAGAATTTCCAATTGGTCCAGTGGAAATACATACTTTCATATGACACTTGGTAATTTGGTTCGCGGTAGCAAATTATTATGTGAAACAGTTCTGGTAAGTTGTGTAGATTTTTAATGGAATTAATTTCCCACATTTCCTGTTTAGTCTTACAATTAATTACCGTTAAACTTTATACAGGGCTACAAAATGGATGACCTGTTAACCTCTTATATCAGCTTGATGTTAACCACAATGAATAAGCAAAAAACGCTAAGACGTTAGGAATTAGAGAGATATTATTTGAATTTGAATTAATGAACTTTTTTTAAATAGTTTTTTATAGGAGAGAATCTTAATATATTCTAGTTGTATATTGTTAACTATATATCTCATATATGTATATTAATATATATATATATATATGATGTATATATATTAATCTATATACAAAACTATTCGATTTTATTAATTATTTTTAGACATTCATGATATTTTTTCTTATCTATATAAAGATATATAATTATTTACATATATATTTAATCACTCTAATCAATGATGAAGTTTTTTCAATACAAATGTTTCTTTACGTATTCAAATAAATATTTTCATGTGTTAACATAAAAATGAATTAACTCAATTATTACAATTTGTTTAATTCGTTAATTTACGAAAAAAATTTAATACTGTATTTTAAGTGTTATTCAAATTTTAATTGTGGGACTTGTGCAGAATTCGACTGAGTAGAGAGTACTGTTAATTATATCGGAAAATACAAATGAAAGAAATTAGATATATATATAATTGCACGAGTTCGGTGTCATGCTTTACTCGGCGCCGACAGTCTGACCAGTTGTTTCTGGTTCAGAAGGTGGAGGGGGCTGAGGGGCAATATATTGTTCTTTGGATAAGGCACTGGCTGACATGGGTCTCTGCCTAGCATGAACGTCCCCGGAGCTGTTTCCAGGTCTTTTATTGTTGTGAGAAGTCTTGGATTGGCGAGGTGCATTTGGTGTTACCAAATTTGGTAATTTTGTTGAATCGACCACTCCTTTATAGATATGACCGTCTGCTCCTTGGATATCCAGTTCGTCTCTGGTTGGAATTTCATCTGCTAGATTTGGAACTCTAAAATCGACAGTCAAATATTTAGTATAATATATATGCAAAAATAGGGGTATTAATACGATTTATCTGCCTTACCCAAACGCATTAGTCTTGGTTATCCTCCTATGTGGGTAAGTTAAAGTATGTTGACCTCCACAGGGTCTAGCTGAAGCTTGCAAATCCATAATTTCGGTGGAAAAGCCCATATTAGACTTGGCTTGTTGCCTCACTTGCTCTAGTTCGAAAATTGTATGGGGTCTGTTTGTTCGAGTTGCTGGAAGTCCTTGCGAAGGTATTATAGGTGCAGGTCTGATAGTAATAGAACATAATAAATACACAATATATAATATATTCAATACTTTTAACTGTATTGTTTATATTCATAGACTGTATACTACTCATACGTACCCGAGTGGTCCTACATCTAACGGTTTGTCACACGACAAACAATTGAATCTCTGTAAGAGTTGCTTTCTTAAACCAGCCGCTTCATCATCTTGATCGGGTGGTAAGGTTAAATTCTTCAGTTGTTTTTGCATATTTCTTAATTGTCTTTCAAGATCAGCTTTTATTGGTCCAAATTCTAAACGATCGAATTTACCATCCATATCGGAATTAAGACGTTCGATTGCCTTTTTCCATTCATCGTCCTATTTTTATTAACAATGTATAACAATAGATTATTGAATTTTACTTCGGCCTATAAAAACAAGCATTTTTTCCCTTACATGGCATGATAATTTCTGCAGCATATCGCTAATCATTCTAGATAAGTCATCGCAAGTATCATCAAAAGTAGACCTATCCACTTTATTACCCAATATTTTCTTATCGGCTTTCTGTTATAATAACAGATTATAAAAATCAAAGAAAGAATAGAGAATGAACTGTTTACCTTCGATAATTCATTCTCTAACCACTCCTTATCCGCTTTATTTTCTTCTAATTTGTTAGAAATTGAGTACAAAGTCTGAAAAATAGATACAATTATCAATTTCATCCGTTACATCACTAGTGAATATAGACTCTCCATATACAAGTGCTATATATAATATACTAACGTCAATATGCTTTTGTTTCTCTTCAGCGTCTTCACCAAGTTCCTTAAGCCTATTATGTATTCTATCCAAATCATTTTGAATATTATTCAAAAGGCCTTGTAATTTACGTATTTGTTCCGAATCCTAATCAATAATACAGGAAGAGAATTTGGGAGGATATAGGAAGGTAGAATAAAAAGAGAATATTAGATTATAAGTATTTATATTGTTTATATAAATAAATATATTTTCATAAGTGATAAGCTAGTTCCAAGCAGAATAGGAGTGAGAAAAGACTAGCATTACACAAAAAGCTCTATTTTGAATCTTTAATAATATTTGCCTTTACAAGCGTGAGGAAAGTACAACAGTGAGCCGAAACTAATTATTTTTTTGCAACCAATCACTAAGTAACTGTGATCCAGGCACTGTGCTTCGAAACAAAGATGACTAAACACTATATAGGCACGTTTATCAAGTGCTTATAAACACTATTAAGGCCAGCCCCTTTTCTTTTTTTTTCTTTTGCATACATACTTTTTATATGTATATATAAACTAAATTAAAGCTTTAAGAAAAACATACTGATGCCGAATTAGGCCTAGGCGGGAAATGGTTGGATTGGATAATTGTTTTATCTACTATTACTGACTCTGGAATCCGATTTGTAGAACTTTCCTCCACTGGTGACTATAATATATACCATAGATATATATTTTGAATAATATGCAGATTTTGCGGCAGGGAGAGAGTTGTAGAGAGAGAGAGAGAGAGAGAGAGAGGAAAAAGTTAGATATTATAAATTTTTTCAAAAAGAGAAATAAAAGAAGGAGAGAAGAATAAAACTAAGGAGAAGAACAAGTTGTAAAGGCAGGCAATGAATGGAATCAATAAATAAAATATATATATAAATAAAATAATATAGTAAATACAGTAATTATTTTGTCTTATGAAGTGGACATTGATCAACCTTTTCTCTCTTTTTTTTCAACTATATCAATAACTATAATAATGATAATATAATAAGAGCACAAAAAAACAAGATTCATTCAAACAACCATGCATATTCATAATAAATTTAACATATATCATTCCGGTCTTTTAAAGATATAGGCTTATTTTTTTTCCGTCTCTACCTAACGACAACAACGTAAGCTAATTTAGACATAAAAACTAGGAAAAAACATGAAAGAAAGAAAGATTGAAAGAAAACCTCAGTACTGTTAGCTATTAACAAACTTCCAGCTAATGATATGAATTCACTGCTAGAGCATAAACTAGATATTTCGGATTCCGTTGTTATACTTGGTCTGAATGTTAATTCATTGGATAATGTTGTTGTTTTTGTTTTTTTTAATATTGTTGGGAATGAGAAAAAAATTTGTTAATAGTAAATGATTTCCTTGAATGGAAATAACCAAATACCGTTTTCCTAATATAATTGTGCGGCAGGCTTCCGATTGATTTAAATCCATTGCTGATTCTTCAATCTCTTGTAGATTTCTTGGATATGAAAAACGCCGATCGAATAATATTTGTCTGGTGCTCCTTCTTTTCCTTATCAGTGAACTTTTACGAAAACGGTTAATTTTTGACGAATCAAAACTAACAGTCTTCTTAAGAATCGGCTTTTGGCGTGTTAAATTCGATTGATTTGAATCAAAACTAGTGAGGAGTGGCTCAGCTATATTCTCTTTTGAGCAGCCAATTGATATATTATCATAGAGAGAATTTGGCTGAAATAATATTTTCTTGGCAAATTTTTTAACTCATTCAATCATTCATACGACATCAAATAATAATTATAATGAAATAATAAACGAGAATATTAATAGAAATGTAGATATATAAATAATAATGTAAATAATAGTTCAGCTTACAAAGTATTCTTTATAATTAACTCGACATATATGATATGATATATATATATGTATATGCCTATGTACATATTGTATAGACTGCATATGGCTTATATACAGTATATATATATATACATACATATATTGTATATATCATACTTAAGAGATGCTTACCCGGTTTCTGCTAGCTTTTAAATTATCTAATTCTTTCCTCAAGTCGTGTAGAGCGCCCGAATCAATACCACTTTTGGATAAATCGCCTAACATATCCAAAGCTGATTTATCAGCTTTTGAAGCCAATTCAGCCTAAAGGTTTACAACTAATTAAAACCTCATTATATAAGAGTAAATAATCCTAAGACGTACAGCTAAGAAATCCACTCTGGCTTGTAATTGGTCATGTTGATCCGCTAATCTTCCTAGCCTCTGCAGCATGTCTCTCAACTCACGGGTCGGACCGCTATCCGGTCTTTTAACCTAATAGGAAGATGAAAGTAAATTAATTAACTATAAAGCACTAAATGGGTACATTTTGAAAGAAGAAACGAACTATATATTCAACTATATATAGAGAGTATATAGAATAAACGTATGCAACTTATGTACGTAGTCAGAACCCAGACTCGTACATATAATTGTAAGAAAAATATAAAAAAAAAATCAATAGGAAGGGAAGGGAAGGGAGGAAGAATCAAGAAAAGTCAAATTAGAAAAATAATAATTGAGAGGTGAATAATTTAAAGTAAAATAAAATGGCAGAAGGAAAGTGAAGGTATAACAGATATATATATATATATATATTAGTATATATATATATATTTATTTATTGCTCTATTTTCATTCGTTCACCTCTGGAGTTGACATTCTCGAAGGCACTCGTTGTTCTTGTTGTTCAGGCTGTTTAATTAAGTTATAATAGACCTTACAATAATTTTTTTTATATAAAAAAAAAAGAAAGAAAGCAAAGAAAAAAACTTCTCTTTCTTTCCTTTTTCATTGAAAATTGTCGCCTTTTTTTTTTTTACTAACAATAAAATTGTATAAAGTCATAAAAAAAATATATTAGACAATAACTGTAATATTTATATTGTCGCTATGATTCATATAATTAGAATAAAGAAATACCTCAGTTTGAATACCAGCTTCGATAACTACTGCGCTCTTTTGATTCAGTTCGTTTAATTCATTCATTTCTTTACGTAGTCCGTGTAACATATCTTCTAGAGTACTCCACTTAACGTAAGGATTTAAATCGACTTTCTCTTCTTTAGTTAGGAAATTATCCATTCCTTTTTTCATTGATTCCTTTTTGGAGGGAGAGGAGGAGACAAATGGAAAAAAATTGATAGAATAACCAATAGTAAAATTAAATGTAAACTTTTACCAGTTGATCAATTAAATTCTGAATAGATGATTTTAGGTGGCTGTCATCGTACTTTTCAACGTTATCCGGCTTCGAATCAATCTTATTCGATAGCTAATTTTGTCAATAGAGGAACGTATGGGAAAGGTTTTTTATTTCAAATATTATAGGCCTCTTTACCTCTTTTATTTGATCACTTAAGGAAGAGAGTTTGTCGTGTAAATCTTTACAGTCCTTTTGATTTTTTTTACTTTCAATCATTAGATCTTGAACCAAGGACATTAGCTGTTTTAGATAAAGATATAGTAAAAAAAAATTGGCTGTGATCAATCTTTTATTGACCACTCGTTTTCATCATTAGAGTATTTGTTTTTTCATACATATCTAACGAATAATACTCTAGCAGTGGCCAATGTCAATAATACGCTATCGATAAAAGAGATAGCTAACACCCGAGGGCTAGATATTTCTTTTTTTACCGTTTTGAATTGTTCAATTTCACTACTCTTTAAGAAGTTTACAGTAAGAAAAAAAATATTAAATACCCTATTAACGCCTTCTTCGTTAGCCTCGGCTTTTTTCTGTACTTGCATTAGATTCCACATATCGCTTACAGGCTTTGGTTCACTTCCTACTCTTTCAAAGAGGTCGTTATTAGAGGGTAAACTTGTCAAAAGATTGATCTGTTTTTCCATTTCGCCTACTTTTTGTGAAAGTTGATGGTAAAGGGAGCTCGGTGCAGATCTAATTTTTATTGATTGTTAGTTATAATTGTTTACCTAAGTATAGACAGAAGCTAAATTAATGTACTTAGAGACTCTCGAGTCAAACTTCTTAGAATCAGATTTAGCATCCTTTGAATCAATAGATTCGGCAATACCCGAATCTGCAACAGACGTTGGCCGAATATGAACTTTCTCTTCAGAAATCTCCGATACATCGTCTTCGAGTATTGTACCCGGCATCATTTTAACATTCAACTGATTTTTACTTTCTTTCTCTTCATCAACGTCAGCTTTTGAATCAGTAATACTCAACTTCTGAAGCATTTCATGCAGTAACTTTCGAAGAATGCTGAAATTTTTTATTCCTCATTGAATAAATAAACTTAATAAAATATCATAAAGGTAATTATACTTTAAGTTAACAACCCCGGTCTCTGGGGTTCCTATGGCCAAATTGACCATATCACTTAGGGTTACAGTTGTCGATTTCATCTTGTTGACTATATGTATCCACTAGTTAATCCACATTCTTTGATTAAAAACGATTAACAACAATTATTCCTCATTCGTAAACGAACACTTCGAATTGTTCGTCATCACAAAGTTTAGTATACGCGCTTTTCAACCTGAGAAACGTATAAATACGCCATTGGAATGAGTGCAGTGACAAAATTGATTTCTGTGATGTTTTCTCAATCAAATACTTACTAAAAGTTATTATCTTATAATTTCCTTTTATTTTTCCTTCACAAATGATCAGATCATCAAAACACAATGTTAACAAAACTATTAGAAAATCTAAGAGGGGCGTATTAACTTATACCTGTGTAAGTAGTGCTTGCCATAGCAACGTGACGCCGTAAACGAAAGCACAACACCTGTTTGCAGCCTTTTAAATATTTCAGACATTTTATATTCAAGATGACACTTTGAAGTACTTCGTAGGCGTAAAAAAAAAGTTTAAGCAAGCAAAAAGTATGAACAGTGATTGACTTAAAAATCCTTGAACTTTTAAAGTTCATCCAGTACAGGTTGTTCTTTCAATATACACATATACTTTTATAATGATTTAGTTTGTTGGATCGGCTGGTTGAATCACTTACCTTAACCAGACATGATCATGATGTCAGTAAATCTAAATCCTAGGGGAAACTTCAACATTTTTCTAATTCCTTCTTGTACAGATCGTAATTCAATAGAAACGTATAAAGACAATTTCCTAGACAGACTTAGACTTCACTTTACCTCATGACTATATAAACCTTGACGAAACACAAGAATGCAAAATATATATACTGTATATATATACATATACATGTAATATATATATATATAAATTAACAGACATTGGTACATATAATAAAATAAATAACATCTCATTGGTGATAAAAAATAGAATATGGAACTTCGAAATCCTATTTCGGTGATTTCAGCCAGCAAGGGAATTGCAAAAGCTCTAGTTAAGTATTAGTTAATTATGATACATATTAAAATTTTATTAAAACACAGAAAGCACCGATTCGTAAAATAAAGAGAAAATGATAAAAATTTATTATTTTCTTTTCAATCAATGCATAGCAACCGAGATGGTGTAGGTAAAAAGTAATTAAATACTGTTGCCGCGTTACTGCTTACGCTTCACCACTAAATCCTTGTAATTAATGTTTAGCTTCTTCCGTCGTTCTGGCTTTATAGTAGAGCTTTCTTGGCAAAATTTTTTAAATTGTTCTAACTCCCTTTCAGCATCATCCAATTCTTTCTCATCCAATTTAGGATTGAACACGTCCACTAAAAAGTTGGAATAAAATAGACTGTTAAACAATAATCAACTACTTACTATAATCTTCACCACCCCCTTCGCCGTTCTTCTTCTTATTTTTCTTTTTCCGAGACTGTATAAAAGTGGTCAAAAATAACAGGCTCGTATATTAACAGGAACACTCACAGCATCACTCTTTGGTGAAATTTTACGATCGCTTTTTTCATCGCCATTAACTTGACGGGTTTCCGGAGCAACTGGACTTCCTTCCGACTCACTATTGACCCTTTTTGAAGACGTAGATGTTGTCGCTGCTGGGGATTCTGTTGCCGTTGATGCTACAGTTGTTGTAGTAGTTGCTAAAGTAGTTACCGCTGTTGTCTTACGTGTTGCTTTCTTCTTTTGCCGAATTTGTTGTTGTTCTAAACTCAAAATATCTTGTATTGGCATTTGGGGAGCTACATCTACAGCAGTTTGCATTGAACCTTCTTTGTTTTTTCTCTCCAATCTTTCCTGGGGAAGCGGTTGCAAACGTTCACTAAAAACCTTTTCTAGCGTTGAAAGGTCTGGCTGATGAAAGAAGTCCAAAGCTAGTTTAGCCGAACTGTCGATAGTCTGCGAGCGCTTCACTTTGAGATAGTGTTGCGATGATATACCAGAGTTTTGTAGTATTCCACAGGCTTTTCGCTCTGGATGCTTTCTTTTGGCTACAGCTACTTTTCTTTCTCCCCGTGTTGGTGAAACAAAATGTAACTGACCATCAGCCCTAATTTGCAGCTGAAACTCGGAAGGATTACTGGTAGGAATTGTTGAATATGAAGGAGGCTGAGGAGGAGAAGACGGAGATAATGGAGATGGTGAGGGAGTTGATCGTTCATTTGAAGTTTTGGTAGAGGAGGACCGAATGGTGGAAGAAGCAGAATGGGACCGTTGTGTTTCTCTTTTAGCCTTCTCTTCCAGTTTCTTTTGTTTTTGCCTTGCTCTTTTTTGTGCTTTTGCACTCTTTTCTTTCGAATCGCCTTCAATGAACGCAACGAGCTCGTCAACATTTGCATCTCTTAAGTCATAACTGGCTTTGTTACTACCTCCCGATTTGCATCCCCGATCCGGAGCTGATGTTTCTTTTTTCTTTTTTAACCGTTGTCGCAGTTTATCTCTCATTTCGACATAGTTTTTACTGACTTGAGGAGCGGCAGGATTAGAATGTCCAAAAAACTCACAATAACAACAATCGCAAAATTTTCCTTGCTTTTCGCATTGATCACCGTTACTTTCATCTGCCTCTTGATGTTGCTGATGCTGATGTTTTGCCTGTTGTTTAAGAGATGTTTCGGAAGTAGCACGTTTAGACCGTTGGACAGATATAGTCGTATTCGTAGCTATGTCATTTGTTAAATTGTTTTGGCCACAATTAGCACAAAGCTTCGGTGAAGCTTCTGTATGAGTATGAAGTTCATATAAAGAAGTTTGCTCTAAAGACATACTTCGAAATTTATCTATTGGTGGTTGACTTGAACATTCCTGACAATTGCAATCATTATTTTGTGGATCGGGTTCTGGAGAGGCTGGTGCCGAAGATGCTATATAATAATCATTATTTTCGTTCAACGGAGGTGAATAATTGTTGCGAGAATAAGCGTGATTGGAAGTCGAATTTTCCACATTTAATGGCTCTTCTACTGTAGATTCATAATCAGATGCTGATGACGCGCTTGACATCGATGGCGGTTTTATACTATCTAACTCAAATTGTAATTTCCGTGAGGGTGTGCATTCCGTACTTGTATCAAATATTCCGCAGGTGATAAAGTGGGCAATGCAACATTCTGAACAGCAACAGCTTCGTTCAATTTTGCAGTTCGGACAGATTTCTTGGGCACTATGACAGCCACTGAGTATATTTCGTAACTCCTCCTCCATTTCTCTAGCAGTTTCTTCATTCTCCTCATGTTTACCGGATTTTTGAAGTAATAACTTTCTTTGTTCTTTGAAAAACGCGAAGTCTTCACTTAATATCGTTTCTCTATAGTCAATAACGTCCTCTCTTTCACTAGTTATTTTATTTATAAGATCTTCATAATCATCGTCGACTTCTTTCATTGTTCTACGAAATTCTGCTGCCATGTTCGATAATTTAACTTTTTTGCAGTTCTCTTCAATACTTGTGAGGAAGGAGACTACTCTCTCATCTTGACCTATGTGTATTTTAAATAAATAGCGTAAATATAGACCAAGTGACAAAGTAAACCGAGTCATTTGTCCTTGCAGTGGTTCTATTACAGGTTGTAGACGTTTTGCAACGTGTTCGAGATTATGGAATTGAGAGAGCAATAATCTTAAATGACAAGTTGACTCATCAATTGAGGTACTAGTTTGCCCAATAATACCTGTCAAGTGCTTCTTTCTCTCCATCATCCAATCGTAGGCAAGTTCCATAAGACGAGTTAACACTAGACTTTCGTCTTCCTTACATATTTCAGCTATTAATAATTTTGTTTCTCCATTGTCATTAAATTTATCTCCTTGTAATATGGCCCTTATATTTTGAGCAATGTTATCCCAACCGTCTTGATCGAAAGATTCATACCTCTTTGACTTTTGACAACTATTATTATTCATCACTAAAGGTTTCCAATCACCGTTTAACGTAAGCTTCCCTTTGCAATCTTCACATACACAATCTCTTCCATTTTTCCAAACGTTATCGTTTCGATTGAGATAGCATTTACAACTGGCACATATATAAAAGTCAATACTATGCTTGCAAACATCCTGAAGTAAAATTTTTTTTAAATTAAAAAAATTTAAAGAAGGATAAATTTCAAAATTTATCGTGAAAGCTTTTCCACCATATACTTACTCTATAACTATAACAAGAGTGGAAAAATTCATTTCCATGCCGTTTTTCACTTGAATTTTTTCTTAGTTTCAAGTCTGCAATATCTGCTCTTTCGAATCCATTTTCTAAATACTTTTCACGAGACTGACAGTGTGAGGAAGCGTTGCTGGCAACCTTAGACTTCCTCGATATCTTTTTTATATTGATCTTTGTTTTCGAGCTACTCATTTTCAACTTCATGAAAGCGCAATTTTACCACTTTCGAAACACTAAGCTTGCAAATGTGGTAATAAGATTATAACAAATTTTCAGCGTCTTTTCATGTATTGACAATTACAGTGCCAATCCAATATGGCGAGTAGAATATCCCATAATGCAATGGTCGACCGGGGTGCCCATCTATTTGCTGATGAATAATCACATGATCGATCATGTGATCAGGAACCAGGAAAGACAATAATCAAAACTATGGCAAATGAAAAATCGGAAAAGAATGAAAATCCAGCTGAAACAGACATAGTAAGTATTCATTAATATATTCATGTTCCATTAGGAATTTTCTGCAAAGTATAACTAATTAAAAACTATAATAACTGTACAATATTTAAGCTTATCCAATTCCGTCAGCGACAATATTCTAACCAGGAAGATGGATTTGAAAATATTTCCTCAAGCCAGAATCCTGTGTTAAATAACCCCTCTCGCGGAGAAACAGACTTCTTAAATGTAACTATTACTTTAGTACTATATTTGTTATTATGTTTATCTTATCAAATATCTTGAAGCTCGAATCCAGTTCAGATACCAATCGAGACTTGGATAATCCTACTGCAGTAGCGGTAAATCTATGCAACAGGAAAGTTATAAAGCCTTTCACATTTTTCCTTAGACTCGTATGTATTAAAATTCGATTTTACAACCTTTGAAACTTTTAAACTATGGTTTAGGTTGGATGGCAGCAAATCTACGCAAGAGATACTATTATAGCTAAAGTTATAAACATAATTCATCCAGTCGTCGTGTTGATAGTTATTTTAGTGGGATACGTAATACAATATTCTGCATGCTTTCAAAGAAGTGGAATTAGTCATGAAGTAATTTTTCCAACAAAGTTTTTTATTTCTTAAAATATCATTTTTACATTTGAAAAAAAAAACAAATACTTTTCAGAATATTAATGGAACTTGCAAAAATTACATTATTAGCGAATATATTATACCCGATATTTTCCATTTGTTAGCTTATATTGTATCCTTTATTATGCTTCGGAGTGCTCAAAGCGAACATTTAAACATGCTGATTCAAAAAGTGAGATAGTTTTAAAACAATCCATGTGTTTTATAAGCTAAACTATTAAAATTTGTAATAACCTTTAAGGTCTTTCTCTTTACCACATCTTCAGACCCTAGTGGTTTGAAAAAACATGGAAAATTAATTCGAACTTTGACATACCTATTCATAGCTGGTTTAATTTGGATAGCATTGTCTACAGGTGTATGCGTAATTCAAATTGTCCTAACTTATAATGATATTCCGTTTTCATTTCTAAGTCCCGAGTACTTATTTCTTTTAATAATCAAAGGAAATATTCTAAATAAAAATTTCTCTCTATTTAGGAACAAGACGGGTAGATTCTTCCTTTTTATTTTATTGGTTTTAAGTTTTATAGCTCTAGATATTATATACATGGCTGTAATTATTAACTATTGTTTGCAAGCCTTTTTAATTACGGAATTTATTGACGCTATCATGGTTAGAAGCTTTAAATTATTTAACTTCGTTCAATAACTTTTATCAATCATAGGAAAGACTTAGAAAGGGAACGTTACAAATGACAAATGCTTTAAAGGTTTGTACAGTGTAAATATTAAACCTAAATCATGCTTAATGAATTCCACTCGAGAAGGAAGCAAATGAAGTAACGAATATTTTGCGGACAATTAATGAAAAAACAGCATTAGCCTTATCGTTGGTTTTGCTTAATTTTTTACTAATGGGAGTTACCAGTATGTTAGTTTTGTTTGGAGACACCAAATTAGGACATGTGCAGAAACTTGTGGCGTTCTTAAATGTTATAGTTTGGTTTTCTGGTGCTGTTCCGCCTTTTATAATGGTTTGAGGATTTAATACGAATATATTTTTATTATATCTTTTTTATTACAGGCTGCGAAAGTTTCAGCTGTAGCCAATCGGCTTAGTAAAATTGGACATGAAATTCGCGCTCAACATTTTTACAAAAATACTCCTGTTTCAGAACTCGATTCATTTTTAATTTTTATGTCTTCTTTATCTTTGAAAGCGAAAATATTTTTTATTCCAATACGTGTACAAACACTTATGAGGATAGTAGTTATTATATTTTTTATACTTATAGTCCTATTCCAGTTTGGCAAAATTCGTGTATGGCTTTAAGCATTGAAATAAATTGCCTAAGGATATTTTCAAGCTAACGTCTTTTCAAATCAGTCTCTTTTACCTTATCCCTGAACTTTCGTTTGCGGCTAGAATAGGGGAGGCTCTAGCTGACTTTTTTGTTGCCAAAATAAACTTGAACGTCTCATAAACACTCCATGATATTGCTGTAGCTGGTATTTGGTATATAACACGAGCTGTTAAGCCTCTAAAGAATCCCTGTAGCCCACCAAATTTATATATGAGAGACGAAGCTTGACGAAGTCCGCTGATAGTACCATCGTTCTGATAGGCGCATCGTTCTTGGGTATTGAGAAGGGTTTTACAAACGTCCAATGGGGTAGTTACTGCTGCTGCTATAGCTCCAGCAGCGCCTCCAGAGGCAATATGTGTTATTGGTGAATACTTTCGGTCCGGATTGATCATATCTTGAGCTTTTTCATAAACCATGAAGTGAATAGCATGAAACGGTATGTTCATTGTCAGTTGAGTCATGTATGATCTATAAAAAGCATGTGGTCCTTCCTCCATCAATACGCGTTTACCACACTCCGAACATGTTGAATAGGGTGATTGATACATCTGCATTCTCTGTTTTATAACATCCGCAGGATTCATTACTGCATCGTGAAATATTGTAGCTGAACATCCTGCCAAGCCTGAGAGTTCAAAAACATACTTTTTTATAAAAAGAATGAATTAAAAATTATTAATATACCATGAGCGACTGAATGGTATTGCTTTGACATTCTTTCCGTAAGTACCAATTTGATTTGCTCGTAAGCAGCAAAGTACATCGCATGTGCAGGAATTGCACCAAAGAAAACTGCATTTATTCCTCGAACAGTTCGCCCGATTCCCTCTTGTTTTATAATAGTATAAAGAGCATCAGCAACATTTTTATAACTAGCTTTCGGATCTGGAACCAGGCTTTGCATTCTTGTCTAGAAGAAATATTGAGAACATAGAAAACAAGTCCTAATTCCTTTGTCAATAGCGACTTACTTTAACACAGTCTATTGGGTACATGATGCAATGTTCCATTGCACCAGCGCCTGCTCCAGCCACCATATGGGCGACAATATTTGTTGTTGGCAGTGATTCATATTCGCATTCTTCTTCAGTCATTTTTTACTCGGTTATCACAGATTCTGTAAAAAGATGTTTTAAAAGTCAATCAAAATCACGCTATCTATTGTTACAAAGATTTAGAAAGTTAATTGATATAGTGTATTATATTGGGCAAAAACAATGCGTACTCCGGTTGCTTAAAGCAAAGGTTATTTAGTTGACGCTTGCTGAGATAATCGGTTATTCATTTGTTGCAAGTTGCATCAAACGTGCCTGTCAATGATTGTTCACAGGGTTAAACTCAGCCTATTTTTAAAAACGTATATTCATTCTGACCGTGTATTTTTCGAACCCTTATCTTTTAACCAGATCCATTGAAATTTTATATCAAAACGTATGTATTTTTACTTAAAATACTCAATTGTTAAACAATATGGATCAGAAAATGTAACAATGATCCATATAATCGTCGATTTTTTGATAAATTCTTAAGCCGTAGAAAAATATAGGATTATTACAAAAAGCAAATATGTCAATAAATTTTCGGAAAAACATACCGATTAATTTATTAGTTAACAAAATTTCAAGTTACAGCCAATCTTTTCTGGTAATAACTTCAGGAGTCTCACGTGAGTCTTAACATGGTTATCCAGTCGGGGGCATGGTCATCGCCATCTTGCATCGACATAAAGATCGGTTTCAATATCTGCACAACTTATCGAAAAATCCGATTTTCTGTAAAAGTCCGTGAATTCCGAAAAATTTGACATTATTAATTTGTCATATTTTCTTATTTAAAAAATCATATCAATTTCACGAATAAATAGGCTCATTTGGAAGCTTTGTTAGAATTCTTTGGATTTAAAGTGACATTAGTCTTCAGAGAGCAACAATCAATTCAAATTCAGTTGTCTAAACAGTACTAAGTAAATTAACTGGCTAGCCAACTCAAGTACACTTTTTTGATCGTGTGCTCAGTGTCTTGGAGGTGGTGCAAACTGTTATATATTCCAAGATATTCGTTTTCAAATATCGATACTGAGTGATCGGATATCACATTAAGATCGGGCAATATCGGTTCTAGCCGGTTATGTCCAAAGTAAAAACAGCGCTGATTGGATAACGTCCCTATAAGTATAGCGAATGAGCGCGTAGCTTACAATTCAATTTAAAGACGCCTGCAATTTAAAGTAACGAGGGAAACAAGTCGCTTTAACTTAGCATAGAAAGGATTGCAAGTGCAGTTTTAGCATTAATTTATGTAAGTATCTGTTATTAATTGATGTTATATGATCTGACTTCATTTTATATCTTTGTTTTGCAGAATTTCTAATCGTCACTTTTACCATTTATTAACGTTTTTGTAATGGCATCCAGTCGCCGGTCTTTGCGCCTAAACGAACGTCTTGGTTTAACTGTGAGTTGCCTATATGTAATTAACTAATTTCATAATACTAATTCGATCGTCTTGATTCATATCAGCGTTTGCCCATTTCAAAAACAAAACGCCAACATGAAGATCAATCACAGCAAGAGCAAGTGAAGAAAAGAGTCGTTTTGGACGATGTTACCAATGTAATAACTTGAAATATTTTTAAATATTATTAAATATGAAACATGAATGTATATAGCGCAAAACGAAAAAGAAAATTTCCGCCAAAAAGAAAAAAGCAGTTACTGAAATAAAGCCCCCGCTTAAAACAGCTGTCGAACGAGAACAGAACGAGAATTCGTCCGATATTTCCAATGATTCCATTCCATCTTCCCAATCTTCTTGCGACTTGTCACAAAAATCTTCAAAAGGTTTACCTTGCGTTACTGAAGAAGATGTTCGTAAACTTAAAGTGGAAAATATTCGCTTGTCGATAGATATTGAAGAACAGCAACTGGAGGAAATTGAAAGTTTCGAATGGGAGGACATTGATAAGGCGCAGATAAATGATATTTACTATAATGGGTTATACGCTGCGCACATCTTCGAATATTACAAAGAGAGAGAGGTACAACGTCTTTGTATTAGATAAGAAAACGCTTAACTAACTTTCCCTTTCTCTCCCCTGCAGACAAAGTTCATTCCATCAGATTATATTTCCACGAATAAAGGAATTTCGTGTAACATACGCACTGTGCTAGTAGACTGGATGGTGGAAATTCAAGAAAATTTTGAACTGAATCACGAAACTCTCTATTTGGGAGTAAAGATGTTGGACTCTTACCTTAGTAAGAAAACTATTTCAAGAGAAATGCTCCAATTGTTAGGAGCAACATGCATGTTCATTGCTTCAAAATACGATGAGCGTATGCCCCCTCTATTAGATGACTTTTTATACATTTGCAATGATATTTATAAACGTAGCCAACTTGTAAGTAAATTATATTCCTGATAGATTCAATTGCATAACTAACACTAATGCTCTTGTATTTAGATATCTATGGAACTGGACGTTTTGAAATCCCTTAACTTCGACATAGGGATGCCCTTGAGCTATAGATTTTTAAGAAGATACGCTAAGGTAAAAATTCAAACGGAATTTGTTTTATAAATAAACGAACAAAAGATTGTAACTTGTTTGTTTTCTTTTCTTCCTTTACCTATAGTGTGCTAAAGACGAAATGCCAATGTTAGCTCTGGCTAGATACATTTTGGAAGTATCTTTGATGGATTATTCCCTTATTTTTTATAGAGATTCACAAATTGCTGCCTCAGCTCTTCTACTCGCTCACGCAATTGAGGGAAAATATGAATGGGTTTGTAATTTTGTTCTTTGCCTGCGCCTAACAAATATTCTATACTGTCTTTAAAAATACAGTCGGGAACTATGCGCCACTATACTGGCTATAAGAAGGAAGAACTTCAGGAAACTGTTAGAAAATTAAACGCCCTCATTATTGCGAACAAATCTTCAAAGTACAAGAACGTCCGAGATAAATATTCACACAGCGTGTTCCATTGTGCTGCTAAGAAACCAACCCTGACCGAAAAGCAATTGCAGAGTTTATTTGAACCGACCAATCAAGAAATTGTTAGAAAATGATAAAGAATCTATAATTAGATTGTTATTATATTATTACTAATGTTATATAATTATTATTGTTATCATTATTATTATTATACTTAGTTAAGATCTCTTACATCAAAAATTATATCATAGTTGTTTTTTTTTGAGAATAAACTTATTTTACACTAGATGGCGTTGTTGAGACACTTCCTTTGAATAAAAATAAAGCCCCGTATTGTATTTCACTCAATAGGTGGCGTTGAACGGCAATATTGATCATTGGCTATCGGAGGAGCGTGAGCTTTGTTGCTGGAAATATCGGCTGGAAAATCAAAATAGAATGACTGATTCACATCTAGTCAATAATATAAAGCGACCTCCTATACCGGGTCGGGAATCTTCGTTTACTTGCATAGAGGATTTTGAATTATTACTAAAGGATAGAGAAGGAGTTAAACTATTTAAGAAGTTCCTGGATATAACTGACGAGGCTGGTCAATTAGACTTTATATTTGCATGCCGTGGTTTGAAAATGGTAAACGACACAAAGAAAATAGCTCATATTATAAAAACGATTTATCGATACTATGTAAGAAGGAAAAGGGTTGATCTTCCGAGTGATATAAGGAGGAAAATGAGTGAAAAAATAAGAATTAATCGGTCGGATCCAAAATTATTTGATGAAGCTGAATGTTATGTGGAGGATATTTTAAGAAATTATGCTTTTAGAGCTTTTTTAAAGTGCGATATCTACTCTAGAGCCTATTCTGACTCCTCTTCAAGTTCCATAGCGGATCGGTCAATGTAAGTTATTTAAATTGCATAAACGCCGCCAGTGTTTGAAGTTCAGTGCGGGTAGATAAGGGGGTTGATTAGTCTCGCTAGCCGAAATGTAGTTTGAAGAATTCTTATCTAAACATCAAAAGAAAGGCGGCGCTTTCAATTCCTAGTTTGTTTTATAGCGCACTGTGTTCTTACTAATTTCGACAACAGGGAAAGAAAACGCTACTATTCAACGTTTGAAAGTGAATTACATAGCTCAAGCGATGCATTTACGGACGATACCCTGTCTTTAACAGATTCAAGCGTGTAAGTATTGATAAAGAACATTTTTTTATTGATATATGTACATTATATCCTTTACTAAATGCCATCTGACTATGTGTATTCTTTATTGATGTATCCTCATCGTATTACTTTAAAGTGTATTTAGTTAAATATCGAATACCCTATTTGTATATGACCTACACCTGTAGCCAGGTGCTTCATTTTTATAAAACCATTGTACGTTGTTCTTCGGTTTTGTCCTTTTTTTCTTGCTTATTCAAGAGAGTTTACGCATCGTTAGATACCTATTAAAAAATTGTTCATCTCATCTTTCCAGAGATGGTCGATGTGTCAGGGAAAGTGGACGGCTTTTTGAAAAGTTGTTTCATCCTATTATACCTGTAAGTTCACCCCCACTTTATTTTTCTCCTCATTTTCTTTTTATTATTCATCTTAAAAATCTTTTTATTATTACTTTAGCGTCATCGGCCTCGTTGTAAAGCGAATATTGCTGAAAGCAATCCTGCAGAATTCCATAAGCAATTAGTACATAAATTGAATGAACATATCAAAAAAACGGAAACAGAAACTGACACGAGTTTAAATGACTCGGAAAATCCTCAGGATATTCTGGACGAGCACGTTGGTAGAGTATTCTCCAACGGTGCACGCCAAGAAAAACGCTTTAAAACTGCAGATAGCAATCAAAGTATTAATAGTAATAGTAGTATTATTCAAAAGGATAATGATTCTACAATAGTCGCTTACTTCCTGCCTAATGAGGCTATTCCTTATAAGTGTACATTACCTGGAAAAACTGTTACATTAGCCAATATTAAACGTCACATAAACAAAGGTTCAAATTACAGGTTTGTATATATATTCTAATACAATTTGATTGTTTTGTTTATTTATATTATTCCTTTTTTTTTAATTAATTTAGGTATTTTGTTAAAAAAGAGTCAACAGAGTTCGACGTTGGTGTAGTTAATGAAGAAGTCAATGACGAATCATCTCCTTTACCGTTATTCGAAGGAAAAATTATTTTAACAATAAATAAACTAGATTGAAACAGAAACGCCTCCAAAAAAAAGATTGCAGAAAGGATTATAGGCCTGCATTAACCGTTTTGTAGGTGTGACTTACAACAATAATGAAGAACTATTTAATTTATGCGCATGCGCTTCATAAAAATTTTTTTTACAGTTTTTTTATTGAAAAAATAGTCTTTTTTTTTTTAAGATAAAACTTTCAACATCCAATTCAAAACTTGCTTTTCCTTCAATAGAAAGCCGAACGACATATTAAAATAATTCTCTATAATGTCAATATTCTTTTTGGTAACGTCAAATGGAATTTCCGGTTCAATCGGAGTAGCTGACGACTCTGTAAGAGTATCTTCCTTACCAAATAAGGTTCGAATCTCAGTCACGCAAGTTCGCAGTATTGCATCTAGTTCCGTTGTTTCCGTTTTTTCCTTTTCGTCAACAGTTAAGGTTTTCAATTTTGATGTAGATCTCTTATCCTTCTTTTGAGTTTCCTTCTTTGTTTGTTCAACTAGAATTAATTCGGCTTTTTGTATCAGAGTGACTAATTTCGCGTGAAGATTTTTCAGTATATCTTCGTCAGTTTGTACGGCAACTATATCTTTATAATTCTTCCTTTGAACTCCATTGAGGAAAATAACCTTAGAGTCAAATGAATAGGTATAAGAGAAAATTTCCGACTTTTCCGGCCAAGCAATCGGCTTTGTTATAAAATCTCCTTCTGGTGTTTCGGGCGCTAAACAATTAGTTGAATAGTGAGCTAAATTATCCCTTAGGAATTCATGCATTTTGGCGGACCTTTCACGCCAATCGGCGGCGAATAAGACAGTTCGAACAGGTGAATTTTGAGCGTGATTGGACCACGAGAAACTTTCGGTTGTAGAAAGTCGGTTTAAAAGCGATTGATAGCCAATGACGTGCACCCAGCTGAGTCCTTCCGTAGCTTTACAGGCGTTATTTAATTGTTGGTCGTAGGTTTCTGAGGGGGGAGGCTCTACCGCTTCGACCAAAGGAGCCATTTCGCGTTCAATTTCCGTTTTGTAAATCTTCTTTTTCTCACCTAAAACATAGTTTGAAACCAAGTCAAGACACGCGAATTGTGGCATATTCAATCTGGCCGCTTGCGGTATTTCCATCGATAAAGGATTCTCTCCGGCAATTTGAGCTCGTCGCCTTTGAGCTTGACCAATAAGGGATGTGCATTTTAATATGACCCACGCAACTAATCTATCATCTTCAGGTGGATCTTTAGACTTTTTTGTTTTTTGTGAAGGAAGGCGGATTTGTTTTTTTGTACCAACGGAGTAAACATCTAGGCCGTCTTTAGTTAATCCGTTTATTTTCCCGTCCTTTGTTGTTATTAGACCACAAGTTGATAAATAAATTAATGTTAATTCGGAATAAGCTTCCCTCATTCTAGAGAGATCGTGATCATGATTGTAAGTTAACGAGATGGCTTGCAAAAGGGAATTGGCGGCGGCTTCCCTATCATTTAGTTTCTTTTCTGTTTTGCCTATTAATAGTACTATTTCGGCTTCAACAACTTGATCAAAGGTAGTGCAGAACTTATGAACGGCTGAAGCTTCTCGTAAAACAGTCAAGGCTTTGTCAGGTTCTATTTCGGCTATGCAATGCCCCAACCTATGCTTAATATTGACAAGTAGAGAAAGAAATGGTGTAAATACATTTGCTATAGGTTTGAGGACCGTTGAGAATTCATCGGCGTTCCCTTTTGGCATTCGATGCTCTATATCTTGTCCAAAAGTTAATTTTAGAACATTTAAAGTAGTATAGTGAAGTTTCAAATAGGTTTGAAAAGCAGCTGCATAGTCTGTCACTCCAAGTGCTAATTGTATATCTATACTATGACAAAGAGACATAATCTTTAATTGAGACCATTCGGAAGAGAATACATTATTATCACATAATTCGATGATTTCATTTAGGGATTCTAGGGTAATCTGTGGTCGAATACCTTCAACTATATCAAGAACGGCACTCTGTAATAAGAAATGGGCGTGATAGAGATTCTCTCCCCAAGTATCAGCCTCAGCTACCCCTTGAGCACAATATTCTCTTGCTGTTGCTAACTTGCACTCAACAGGAACATGACTACCTTTGACTAATCCCATACCTTTCACTTCTCCCGCTCTACTTTTCACTAAATCCAATCTTGCTTTAAGCCATAGACGCCTATTTATACTCCCTTCAGCCACTTCTAACACGTTGTTTTCCTTAATTAATTGAGCAGCGTAGAAAGCTAATTGAGACGCAAATATAGAATGGTGACGTTGTCTAGCAATGCTTGCCAGTTCCAGTTTACAAGTTACAGCCAATTCCAATTCGACGGGAGACAAATAGGCTGGGCCGCGTTCGAATGCAGCTTTCTCTAGTATGATTTCGCTGACAGTACTAAGTATATTATCCGCCTTTGATAAGAGGGTCCCTTTAATGATATTGTTATTGAGGGGTTTTTCCCTAGCTGTCAATCTCTTGGTTGTTCTATCAGTTTCATCTATTAAAAGAGATAGTCATCATAAGTCATAATCATTAGAAGTATTACTCAATTTATACCTTTCAATTTTCCTCCCTTAGATTTTTTTGATAAACTTGACATGGGTTCAGTCTGTTGGGGAACGAGACTTATTCCACTAGCTGGGTCAAAGGTTGTATAACTTTTAGGTTTAATTTGTAGATTAGTTCCAGGAACCCTAAAAGAGTAAAATAGGTGCAGATAAAATATAATTACTAAGTGATAAGTTAAAATCTAATTACATGTCATCCTCAAACACCGGCATTCCCTGAATAGTTGAAGCTATCTCGATAAGGAGGTGGGATTGTACAATATTCACTTGGCAAGTTAAGTAGGATCCATATACAGATGCCTGATTGGACGCTAATCTTTTATCAAGAATCGAATCTAACAATTTTAAATTGTCGTTATCGGTTATTGATTTGTTGTTTAAAAATTGACGTTTTGGGGGTGATATTTCGAAAATTCGTATACCATTAACATCAGGAACATCTTCTCCATAAAGAATACGAAGAAGATGTTGAATAGCCTCAGAGAACATATGGAGATCCGTGAGCACTTTGACCTTTGTTAGTCTGCCCGCAATGGCTGATCGTGCCTCAGGTGCAATATAGGTAGTTAAATAAGTATGAAGAGTCAATAATGGTAAAGTCGTTAACAAATATCTCGATTCGACAAGGACATCAATGGTGAACTTTAGAGAGCTAATAAGGGCAGGGCCATCTAACCTGTAACGATCCGCCAGTATATCAACGCTAGGTATTAGATTTTCCACATCCTTATCGCTTCCAATTTCATACGTTGCATAATCACGATCGGCTAATGGGTGGGGTAAGGAAGCCCTAAAGACACTCTTGAAAAAGAATGAAGCCAATAGGCAGTAATCAGTTTGCTCTCTCAACTTCGATGGAGGATTGAATTGCGCAATATTTGATATTAAATTAGCAGATAACAAACAGATCCAGATTCCGTACTTTTTTAATAAGAAGTCTGAAATATCTTCCATTGCCAACTCTTTTCTCCAGATTTTCGGTAGATTTTCGTAACCGGTCAATATGCCTAGAGCCTCATTCCAATATTTGGCGGCTCTTTTATTATTATTTAAGTGCATTTCTAAATTACCCAAATCTCGTAAAGCCTGAGCTGCAAGATGTTTTTGCTTACTTGCTAATAGAAGCTCAATAGTTCTTCTATAAGATTCACGAACCAGACCTAGTTGAGAAGATGGAAGGGGATTACAGTGAACGTCAGTCATCGTTTGAAATTTTCTCTCTTCCAAATTTGGGGCTACAGCGTCAGGGGGAAAGCAAGTTTGTTTAACGAAATCGACTCTGGAATCAGCAGATTTGGGTTTATGGTCGTCATCTATGCGTAAAACTCTTCCTGCTAAATAAAGGCTTAATAAACGCCTAGAGTGCCTTAGAGCTCTTGTTGTATGCTCTGTACGATCCAAAGATAGCTTAAGACTTTCCATAGTTTTACTAATGTCTAATGGAACACGGCATAGACGTTTTGCCCATGTGGAATTAGAGTGAGGATTGTTGCTGTTCTGTTCATCTGAAGCTTGACCAATTAACTCGGCCAGATCTTTGCTATCGCCCAATTTTACGTTTAATTCCAAATTAAGATAATCCTTATCATCTGTTGTGGTTACTCTGGAAAAGTTTTTCTGATAACCGCCAGATGATTGTATTCTACTGATAAGCTGATTTTGAGCGCATGCAATCAAAGGTTTGACTTGATCGTCGAAGATATTGTTAGTCAGAGCGCAAAATTTCAAACCAATATGAACTAAGCACTCCCATTTATCAGCCAAACTTAAAAGTTCCATAGATCTTAGCGTGATCTTTCTCAAAAAGTCAATATCGACATTTTGTCCTTCTGTGGACATAAACATATCGAGAAGACAGTCCGCAGCCATAAAGAAAGCTTTGTTCATAAGCTTTTTCACATTCGGAAATCTTAGAGTTGAATATTGGAGAATAACAGAAGAATAATTCCACAGTGAGCGACAAATGTTTTGTAATAAGATCCAGTGTCTTCCTCTATGAGCGAGAACTATACTCTTTCTGAAATAGCTATAAGCTGATTTCAGACTTTCTTCTATATATTCTGTTGATACTTTTTCTTTTTTATGACTTGGTGTTGTACTAGTTGCGGCACCCGATTCGTCCATATGCAATAGTTTTCCACTACTTGCCGCAGCAGCTGCCAAATCAATTCCAGTAGGTTCGACTGCTTTATTACTTTTCGTCTTTGATTTTTTCTTTGTGCCATTAATTACTAAGATTTCACCGAGATTTTCAAAACCATACCAATCAGTATCTAGATCCGTAGTGGATAGTTGTATCTGTTCTATGGTTTCTAATTTTCTTAACAGTATCCTTATAATGCATTTAGCTTGAACATGGTGCATCTCGGATCTCCAGGGCATTTCATCTGTACATATCTTTCTTAGCCTTTTACGTCTAATATTTGTTCTCCACATGTTCGGTAAATGATTAGCAAATGTATCAAAGGCTTTAAATTGTTGTTCTTCCCTCAAAGCTTTTTGCGATTCAGATAAATTGGGATCAATTCCTATTGGTTTATAACGTGGTTTTCTTTTTTTTAAATGGCCGGCGCCGCCCTTTGATGTTGTTGTCTTACTATTAGGTGAAACTATAGTTTGACTATATTCGGTAATGGCGGCATTCCAGCCTTTAGCTGCAGATTGAGTAGGCTGAGTTGAAGCCCCTCTGTCGACATTGACAAAGGGTTCATTCCTCTTCATTATATAATGTTCAGTTTCTTCACACCACGACAACGCAACATCAGCGTAACCCTCGTTTAATGCTTTTTGAGCAGTACAAGTAAAGAATTCCAAAAATCTTAATCTTCGCCTAAATTTTATCACTTCTTTATAAGCCACTTTACTAGGAAGATATGCAATATAGGCATACAAAATGGAAACGTCTTCGTGGCCATACAACTCATGTTCTACATCACCTGAAAGAGGTAATAGGTGCGTGCGTATGAATAAAATTCTAGAATAATACTTTTACTCACGTTGCCTTTGCATGTATGACATATGAGCCTCGAGAGCTTTCAATTCTTCATTGCCCGTCGCTTCCGCTTCATCCCACAAAGCTTTCTTCGCCTTTCGAACGGTTTTTCTTTTTAATACTTGGAGTGTAACTGAACCTGTTTCAGTTCTTTCATCCCCAGGGTCTTTTCCTTCGTCATCGTCTCGACCTTCGTCACCTCCAGAAGTATCTTCTTCTTGTTTAGCTGCGTCCTTTTGGAAAACTGCCAACATCTTACGTCCGAGATCATTAACTGACGAAGCAAGCGATCTCTCTCCAGCTTTTCTAAACACTTTTGCTAAATGGAACGTGACAATAGCAATCATATGTTTGAAGGAATCTGTATTTTTACGATGACCAATTGCCGGTGCCGTATGACCCAAAACGGAATGGGCTATCTGCAATATCTCAACAACATATTTAGCCGTAATCTTATGTTGCAAAATTGGTGCAAGTAGGCCGTAGCTTTGAACAGTTGCTTGAAGTGCGTAGGAAGCATCGTTTAACCATCCTGCTAATTCTAAGCTAACCAGCATTTTTTCACAGCATCTGAACCGTCTTATTTGATTACTAGTTAACATGTCTTTAGAACCTACATCGTCACAATATAATTGCCAACTTTCTATCGATGATTCAACGTCAATAAACAATGAATTCTGTAAGAGTCTTAAAAGAACTGGCGACGTACGCTCAAGTACTTCTTTGTTTAAAGTATAAAAATTTAAGCGAAGGTCATTACGGTCGTCTTCAATGTAAATTGGAAGAAGATGAGGAGGTTCTGGAGCAATAAAATGCTTCCACAAAACACTTGAAGCTTCTCTAGCTAATTCGTACTCTTGAACCTGATAGGCGGCTTGGCAAAGATAAGCCCAAGCCATAAGTATTGGAATAGGATGAGAAGCGACTATTGAACATGTTGTTTCTCCTATACTATTTCCTATAAGCTTTCCGTTTGCAGTATAAGCGCCCACAGCGAATATGTATTTACAATTTGCTTGAAGGTTATCAACTCGTAATTCGCAGTCAACACTGGCGGGAACAACCTCTCCACTACCAGCTAAATGATAGTCACTGAGTCTAGCTTTTAAGTTATGGCCAACAGCAGCTCGACCAAATATAGAATAATAGGCAACACTTTCACCACTTTCGGGTTGCCATGGAGATGGTTTAAAGACCATCATACGGTCGGTCCGAGTTAAGAGTATGGGCGGTGGAGGAATTCTAGATTTCTTTTTTGAGGAATAATCTTTTAAATGGTTATCGGCGTATAACTTCTTCTCTTCCTTTTCACATGTCTCAATTAATTTTTTCGCCTGAGTAAGTAGCTTCCGTTTAGAGCCTTCCGCTTTATAGTGAACAGATGCTTGTAACAGAAGCAAAGCTTTTGATAGTAAATACTGTTGACATTCATCTATCAATTTATCAAGGTTTGCCGACATATTCTGCGATGTAAATCGTTTCTTGCCGATTACGCTTATACCTTTATCAAATTCCAATAACTTAATACACACTCTATGATATATAAAGAGTAGTTCTGCGTGTAAATCTTTCACCATGTTCCAAACGGCTGATTCTGTTTTAGATTCTTCATTAAAGTATTCTATGACCCATGAGACATCGGCAATGTGAGATCCGTCTGTTGTAGCTGTCATCCGTCTGGCCCTACATATATTATCAATGCCCAATTGAAGCATATCTTTCGCTTGAGTTAATTGGTTTCGAATAGTGTTCTTAAGTATGGAAGGAGGAGAGGTGCCACCGTCGTACGATGTGTTACTTAAACCTTCCACAGAACCTTCTTCATCGACGGTACCCTCCTCCTGGCGAGTGGGCGAAAGAATAGTACTTTCCATTCTGGAGTTATCAGAAATCTGCTGTGATGCATTAGCTTCTAAGACAAGAGCGAGACGTAAAACAACTTCGGCACTGAGTGCAGGGTCGACCTTATTGAGACCACACCAAGCAAATAATTTGTGGACAATTTCCAAAATATAAGTCCATTTTCCAGGATTTGGCATCCTTTTTAAGTATTTCGAATTATCGCTAGACCCAGTTTGAAATCTTTGGAAGATTCTCTTACATTGACTCCAAAGTATAAGGCATGCGTCAGTAACCATATCAACATCGAACGATGCTGGCTGAAAGTCGGAGTTTACTACAGATAATAAAACTTCAGCTAACTTTATCATGTCGTCTGTTTTTGGACCAGCTTTTCCGCCTATTGCTGAAGTTGGTATAACATCTTGCATGGGGTCAATATCATCAACTTCGGTTGTGTACTTTTTGGGACGTTGTCTAGGCATGACCTTGTCTATAGCCTCTATTATATCTAATTGCTTGGCAAGGGAAGCGTATCTCTGGTCACTTATTTCTTCTAATAATTCTCTCAAATTGGGCAATAAATAATCGAAAACTTCCCATTGTTCCAAATTGTACGCACTAGCAGTTAATTTATATACGCATTCAACTGTTGCTCCATCTTCCCCCCTTTCAGCCATTTCCATAAGAGAGTTATTAAGAATAATTCCATTCATATTCGGCTGGTTTGCCTGTCTGCAAATAGTGGGCTTTCCCTTGAGTAATTCTGTGGCGGCTAAAAAGAGCTCAGCGTAAATATCCCAAATTTCATTCTCATGTTCAGCTGCTGGAGGAGAGTGTAAAATTGTTCGTCTATTATTATCGTGTAAAGTTTCTACTATGCATAATAGTTGGGCAGCGCTTCCTTCAAACATATCACTTAATAATTTTTCGCAAGTAGTTCTGGGCCAAGGATTCTTTAAAGATAACATTTTAAAATTGTCAGTAAATATTTACATCTAATTAATTAACAGTCAATTGACCTACATTTTGAATATCTTTTAGGTTCGCTCTAGCTTTCGGTCTTAGTAAACCCTTTGGCTTTTTTCTCGTAGCAAATATCATTTCTTTATAAACCATTACCGCCATCTGCAGATAAAATAAATACAAAGTATTCTTAAAGGGATTGCTTAATAGTTTTAATAAACTATTTTAACCTTAACAGTTGCAAATCGAAAATTTCTTTCAATTTCTTCAGTATGATTAGAATTACTCATACTTTCTAATTGGCTTAGTTCGCTAATCTTACTAAGAGCTTTCCTTGCGAAAGACTGTTGAAAAAATAAAGAATTTTAACGATTAAAACTAGTTTAAATTTATTTCATCCTACTTCTGCATGATGCCCCGCTCTACAATCATAATAGCACTGACAGACAGCGGCGTAGAGTGTACTTCTCCACTTCAGGTATCTAACGCCTAGTAGAGGTATTGATGTCTCCATACAAACGCATGACCATAGCAGATAGTCAATAACTTTGATCGAAAGACCTACTGTCATAAGATGCCTGGCAATTCCGTATATATGAACAGTACCTAAAAAAAAAAACAGTAATTTTATCATTATTATTAATTATATTAGCACTCTATATCAAATTTAATTAGTCATTTACCGTTGTAAAGTATCCAACATAGTTTATTGTTAGGTAAGACAGCTTGCGTAAGCATTTGAAGGAATTGGAGTAATTTTAGGCCTTGATTTCTGTTACTTATATTCTGAAGTTTAGCATCATTTAATAGAATCATTTGATATGTACAAGTAGTCTTTCCCATAAGGGCTCTCATCTAATTAAAACAGATATATTCAATATAAAAGTCATTTTAAAGTATAAAAAACAAACTACACTTACTGTAAAACCGGCTTCTTCAGTTTCGTAGCCTTCAGGAAAGAAAGTTTCAGAGAAAATTTTGCTATCTGTCATCTCAACAACATTAAAATCACCAAAGGCACTTAGATATCTTTCAAAGCATTGCCAAGATGCTAGTTTATATTCCTAAGATTAAATTAAAAGAATTTTATTATTGTTTTTTAAATGAATTAACTAACGTTAATTGTCATTAGAAGTTCTCCCATATCTAGTAATTTTCTTTTAAAATACATTGGAGGAAGGCGCGGTTCGAATTTATTCCATAATGCGAATAAATCTTGTGCCCTATGTTACAAAAAGAAAAAAGACATTTATAATTTTTTTAAAGCGTTTAATTAAAATGTAAGAGGTTATTTACAGTCTACAAGCCGGATCCTTGGATTGGTGTCTCTTCTTAATAGCCTCAATAAAATCATTTGTTTCTTGATCTAATGCTTTATAAACGGGATTCGGCTTTCCTGGATCATAAAAGTTGCTAGATTTTGGTTGATTAATCGAATTGATGGCTGCCAATTTTAGCATGGTAGCCATCCTGACGAAGTTTGTTGAACACTACTTTAATTTAACAATACACATTCGAATACGCACGCTACAGTTGATATTCAACCATGGCAACAAAACCGGAAACGGAATAAAAACTAATATGGCGGCAATAAATAAATCCAAAGAACTTGTTTATTTGAAATCGAGTAAAAGTATAAAAATAGTAGAATAAATATAGGCTTTTTAGAACGAAAAAAAATTTCATTGTATAATTATTGTACATACCTTATAAAGACTAGTTAAAAACTTTTTGAACTTTGAACCTAGAAAGAACACTTATAGACGTAATAGAAATAAATACATTATTAAAAATTTAGATGAAAGGATTAGAAATTATTTTTCAGTCAGTAATGGAATTTTTCAGAAGTCATTAACTACATAAATCAGCATTGTAAATGTACTTGCGGTATTTCAAATGGAATATCTTTTTTCTTTCCTTTATACAATTTATCATGTACTAAGAATAGAACCTGTTTTTATGAATTTTTCATTAAAATTAAGTATTTAAAATTGAATTCATATATAAAATGAATAACTAACAACGACATTTTTACAACCGTGTATCAAAAATCTATCGGCTTGTTCGTATAACCACAATAATTTATTGTCCAATGTATACAGCAGTCCATCCTTAAGAACAATCCATAACGGAGGTACTATTCCAATAGGAATTTTACTATTTAAAACATCCAATAATGTCTGTTTATAATCGAGATCGAGTCGCCTTTCAAATATTCTAAAATCCTTGAAATCTTTAAAAAATTCTTCGTTACAATACCTAATCAAGTCTAATGAGATCTCTTGATGAGTGTTATGCCTAAATCGTTTAGTTAAACGTGAGATATGTTTTCGAATGTCATCGCCGCAAGATCGTTCATATTTCATTTTTCGAGTTTTAACGGGTAATTGTTTTCCATTTGTGAACTCTAACCTCAATTTAGCCAACTGTTTCAGTAAATCTTTTTTTAGTAAGACTATTTATATAGTTATGTATATACTGTATTTATATATATATGGATTTTGTCTAATTAGCAATAGCTTTAACATACCTCAACAATATCTTTAATACGTTTTCTTTCAGCTTTCTGACCAACTGTCTCACTACCTGATTGAATTTGTTCATCAACTGGAGAAGAAATTGATTGATCTTCCGTAAAATCACATTTTGATATTCGATATTTCCTCAAGTAGAAGATATGGAAGACGATGACAACTAGGAAAATGATAGCGTAATATATTCCTAACACAGTCCATACTTCAACTGAATTTCTCTCCGTCATTCTTACTTTTTTTTTATTAAAAAAAAAATATTAACTTTTTACGGTGTAAAAAGTGAAAGTTCATATATAGAGACTTAACGAGTACTAATCATAAAAATAAATGCTAAATTACTCATCGACTATTTACGGCATGTTATTCTGTCAGTTGTTTTAGTTACCAGAGACTATATACAATTAACAAATGTCGTATTCATACAAGACAAACTAAATGAAGGTCACATATCAAATGTTTTTAAACTAAAATAAATCCTGAAAAAGAAAATTTAGCATAGAATCCATTAACCCTTTTTGAACTTTTTCAACAATAGTAATTCAATATTCGAAGGATAGGAAAGATAGTCTGAAGAGAATAGAAAGACATTTGGTCTATAACTCTGTGTGCGTAGATTTACTGTATTGTACAAGTGTTCACTGATGCTAAAAGTTTAATTTTTCAATAGATAATATATAAATTCTTGATTTGAAAGTTGCAATTAAATTATGTATAAAATATTATAGGAAAATGTCTAACAGTGTTGAATCGGATTACTCTAATCATCGGCGAACATCTTCTATAACTTCCAATCTTTCGGCTATATCTTCTAAAACTACTATTGAAAGTTTAGAATCGGAGGATTTTAATGATAAAACAAACAAATTAGCTCATTTAATAGCTAATCTATTCTGGAAACCATCTCTATCATTTACAGAATTCGTATACGATGAAAATCAAGTAGACGAAGAAGGTTACGAAATAAAGAAATATGTTGACTTTGAAAGTCTCTGGCCAACTAAGAATAAATTTAGTAGTCTTCTTAAAGAGTTATCTCACGAAGATAATTATCATGAAATACTCAATGAAATTCTTATTTTCTCATTCTTCTGCAACATTAGGCACGTTTTTCAAATTCTGTTGAATGATAATTTCATTGGTTAGTAAATTTGTTTAAACCTTTATACTAAACTGCTCGCTTGCGGGTGGTCTAAAGAGATTGATAAATAAAACTTTCATGTGATTTCGATTAAACTTATTAAATATAATGATATAGGTATAAATCATCAACTATTGGATGGTTTCCCAGCATTACATACTGCTTGTATTGCTCAGAATATAGACGCTGTTTGCAGGCTAGTTACTCAAATGAATGATTCAGAGATAAAAAGTTTAGACAACAAATACGGTAAAAATTTTTTTTTATTATTAAACCTACTTAATCAATTCATTGACATGGAAAATAATAGACAAATATTAAACGCTTTTCATCTCTTATCCATCCCTCTCTCTCTCTTTTATTCTTTCTTACAGCATTTACAGCTTATCAGGTTGCTAGATGCCAAGATATTCGTCGGGTTCTGCCAAATGCTAGATATAGTCTTGTTCAAACTGCTAATATGATAAAGATGTCAAATAGTTCAAATTATTTTGAAATGGCAAGAAATCCAGATCAAATCACTGATTTACAGTTGAGATTACAATTATTCAAGTTTGATGTAAATAGGCAATACAATGAAGATGGTAATTATCTTATTCATATTGCTACTGAAACTGGTACAAAAAGCATTCCTCTCCTACTCTCCTTAGTCAGAATTCAGGTAACATATTCGTAATTACTAAAATAAACAAGCAACAAGATCGCTAACTAGAGCATCACCGTTATTATAGAAATGTGACGTTGATATCGTAAATGGTAGCGGGCTAACCCCTCTTATGTTGGCGGCTCAAAGAGGCCATGTAGCAGTTTGCGATGTATGTACAAAATTCAGAACAACAATTTGCCTCTATTTTATATAATATTCATGTGTGTTTTTCCTACAGGTGTTAATTTGTGTTCTTGGAGCTAATCCGAATATAATTAATCCAGAGAATGGATGGAGCGCTCTACACTATGCAGCAAAGTATAACAGGATTGAAGTTATTGGGTAGGGACCAGTAATTGACCTTTTGACATCTCTGTATTATTAATTAACTCTTTTACTTATACAACCAATTAGAACTTTGGAGAAGAGAGGTGGAGATTTTAATACGGAGGATTTCAAGGGCAGACGCCCCGATGATGTTGCTTCTTTTTACAAGAATTACGAATCGAAGTGGTTACTGGAACATTTACGATATAGACGTACGGATTTGTTGAAAAAAGCTATTGATACGGGAAAATTGAATAAGTTCGAGATCAGACCAACAGATCTAGTTACCATTGATCGGAGTGGCTATACGTTATTGATGCTCTCTAGCATACAAAATCGATACGAAATTCTTGAAATGCTGTTAACTTTTTCGGTATTTAGATTACTCAATCGAAAAGAGAATATAACTGTTACCATTGTTTTTTTTTTAAATTTTAGAACGCTCCAATAGATGCTCAACACTCGGAGGATCTTAAGACGGCTTTGTGCTTAGCTGCTTCAGCTGGTAACACTGAATCTTGCGCAGTTCTATTAAGGTTACTTGATTAAAAGCGTTAGAGAATTAAAAGTTTAAATCTTTAAATAAACTACAGTGAAGGTGCTAATCCAACTGTAAAAGACATGGCTAGTCTTCTTCCGCTCCATTACGCAGTCCAATCGGATAATTTGCCTTGCGTCCAACTATTACTTTCAAATTCAGCTGGTTTAACTGGACTGGTGAAAGCACTGGAGATGGCCAGTAGCCCCGATGTTGAAAGAGCCATAAAAGATAGCATGCTTAGGTAAGGCCTTTTTAAATATCCAAATTAAAGTATTACACATTAATATATCGTTGTTAGACGCCAATCTGACATCGTTGCGCCCGCTCTCTTTGATTGTGCCGTTAAGGGTGACGTTCAAAAACTGTATACAATTTTAGAAGACGGAGATGAAGTTAATCCTATGGTTAGTAATCTATTTTTTCATCTTAAGACTATTAAAAAAGAATAAAAAACCAATTTTCTAAGAATATCGTTTAATTAAAAACAGAGTGCCGCCGGAGATTGGCCTTTATACCTTGCCGCTGAAAATGGCCATTTAGAAGTTGTAAAATTCCTAATTGAAGTATTACATTAACTATTTTATCTTTATATTAGTATATTTATAAAAAAAAGTTTACATTTCACTAATTTCTACGATATTAAAGAAAGGCGGATCATTGTACCTTAAACATTCGAGAACGAATTCCACAGTTCTACATGCCGCCTCCATGGGCGGCCACATTGATTTATTGGTCTACTTAATGCAGGTATAAATATTAAGTTCCTGACTAAGTTATTTAACAAGCTGTCATTAAAGGATTAAAGGGAAAGAATGCGAATTTTTATACCTTATCTTATCTTATACTGTATATAGTACTATATACACACGGTATACTTTAAAGTGGTATTAAAACCAAGCTATTCTCTTCTTTTTTCTTAGTTTACTACAAACAACCAGAATTTTCGTCCCTTAAGGGAAAAAGAACAATTAGGCATTAATGATCTCACTTTTGATATGAAAACAGCATTGCAATTGGCTGCTGATAAAGGTTTTGGACGAATTGTAAGACTTTTACTAAGGAATGGGGCAACAACATCTGTAACTGATTGGAATGGAAAACTATACATTTGTCCAGATTATGATGGTGTTCAAGTATATTTTTCTTCTATACTTTTTTAATTATCTATTTCATTCAAGTTTTTAAAATCGCATCATCAGCTAATGATTGAACAACATAGAAGAGCTCATATAAAAGCAATTATGGAAGTACTTAACGATAAGAAAGGTATTCAGAGGTTAAAAAACATCTGGCTGGTTAGTTTTGCACTTTTCCCTTTAGTATTTTTTTTTAACAAAGGAAGAACTTTGGAATATGAAACTGTCTCTTTTTTATCCCTTTAAGCTGAAATTTGATCATAATTTAAAAGATATAAACGGAAATACTATGTTGATGTTAGCTTGTAGGCTGGGCAGAAGTGATATGGTTCAATATATGCTTGAATCTGCTGTATACGAATTAGATAGGAGGCCAAATACCCCAAGATTACATAACAAGTAACTTATTAAATTATATATATATATTATACTTTGTTCTCATTAATTATAAAGAAAAATTGGATTTTTATCGAGCTCTTCGTCGTCTTTTAACGAGATGATTGCCTCACAAGATGTCGAAAATTCATTAGGTACAGAAAATGCTGAGAATCCGGTATTGCACGATAGTATTACCAACTTTATGGAAGACCTTGTCAAACAAAAGGAGCATAGTTTAGTTTATCCTGGTAAATAAGATTAATCTTTTAATAGAAGTGAAAATATACAATCAATTCTTTTGTAGATAACAGAATAAGTCACGTAAGTGTACAACACAGCCAAACTGGCAAAACCTCTTATCATTACGCATTGGATAAGGGTGACCAGTATCATATTATTAAAATGCTGATTGAAAAAGATCAACATGCAGCTAATATACAAGATAGTAGCGGCCTAAGTGCATTGCACTACTCTTGTTTACTGAATCGTAAAAGAAGTGTCGAAGTATTACTTAGCAAGAAATCTACAGATGTCAATTTAAGAACACTGGAAGGTCAACTACCAGAAGAACTGACGAAAATAAATAAAATTCGTAAAATGATTGAAGATGCAAGGAAAGCATCGCCTGAAAGGTATTCATCAATCTATACTATTTCCTTTTTAGTGTACGTAGATCACTATTATAATAATATTCAAATACAGAATGAAAGGATCAGCTTCTTATGTTGGTGGAATATTCAGCATGCCATCAACTATTCATTCTGTAACTACTGATAGCCTCAGCGGATCAAGTGTTGATTTCGACCGGCTTAATACGCAATTTGTCTTGATGAAACAAAAAATGATGAAATCATCGGCAAATACAGTTATTGACTACAAGTAATAATTAACTTATTTGGAACTTTAACTAATATACACTAACTAATATGTTTTCTTTATGCTGACTTTGTATAATTGGTTTATTTATTTGATACACAATGCTGTATACTGTGTATTATACTGTATATCTTAGGCCAAAACGATTTTGTAATTTTGCCAAATTTTTTATTGTATTGTTGTATGCGTTAAAGCCTTTGAGAGTATTTATTCTGAAACCTTTGAATTCAATTGTTACTCTTGTATAAAATATTATTTCTCAGTTTCTCCGAAATGAACATTGTTATTCATTTTTCAAGCTTTTTATATGTGCAATAGGCAAATCTTTTTACATAAACTATTCATTAAAATAGCAAAGATAAAACTTTTCAAAATGACTTATTATTTTTTTAAAAACAAATAAATTAAATAGCGAAAAAGACTCTTATAAAGCGAAAGAAAAAAATTTAGATAAACTTTACCCTTTCAATGGTAAATCAAGCTTCGAAATGTTTAGAAACAAGAAATTAACCCTTATTTTAATAACTTTGCTAGGTGTTGTTTTATTTTTCGAAATCTTATTTTTTAGTAATCTCGTTTTATGATATATAAAAAACACTTGAGAATTTTCCCTACATAGCTCCCTCCTATATTTAAATATTTTTCTTAGAGACAATAATGTAGAAATGGCACATCTACATAAATGTCATATTTTCCTAGTTGCCAGGTAAAGAGGAACTATTTGAGGAATTACTCGAGTTCAAGTCATCTGGTGAAATTGCCCTAGCCACTCTTAAGCGTTGATCATAAATCCAATGACTCTGAAAATAATAAATTAAGTATTAGTCCTATTACGGATTAACCAATAACTGTTAAACATACTATTCTACCATCACGACCAAATAGTTCTATAAAATTACCAATAAAACTCTGACTCATTTCCTCCCATTTTCCAATTAATTCGTGTCTTTTATCGTCAATTTTGCCAATTAGATCACGAGACATATCTTTCATGGCGTCAACTTTTTCTTTAAATTTTAGCGACTTCTCCTATTTAAATAACATAAATAATTATCCCGTAAAAGCGACGATAAGCCATTTTACCTTCATATATCCAACGTTTAGCTCTTTAGCAGTATAACCACGAGCAAGATTTCTTCGAACGTAAAGGTCATAATCTTTGAGTATTCTTGCTATAACATCAGTAGTTGAAATTCCTTCTGTACGATTCGTGCTTACAAACATTCCGCGGTCCTTTAGAGCTTTATAAATATCTTCATCACCTTCCGCAGCATATGGAATATCATCATGAGCTACGAAGTCAATCTAAAAGAAAATTAGTATTCTTAAATAATTTACGATCAGTAAAGGGTAAACAAAACCTTATTTTCTTCCAAAAACTCATCAGTTATTGCCCATGGGGCATCAATTAAAATTTCGTCGACGTATCGACAATGCTTTACGGCTTCATAACGTTCGTTTTCATTCATTGCTGTCCGACCTTTCATTTCATGAGTCAATTCATCATTGCAAACTGTTACAGTTAATTGAATTAGTACAAGTTTTTGCATTAAAATATTACAGTGGGGGTACTTACTTCCAACAATTAGATAAACATTAGGAAAACAGTTTTTTGCTTGCATAAGTTGTCTAGCATGACCTGAATGGAACATGTCATAAATTCCATCTGCATAAACTCTTACTGGTCTTTGAGCTATTTAGGAAAATAAGTGTTAAGTGTATATACTAAAAATAAGAATATATTATCATACTCTTTCCTGATTCTGCCATTTCTTTAGTGATTTTGATTGTATAATCAACACGGCTTCGCTCTTTTATAGCTTTCTCATCAGTACAGAGCGGAGCCGGCTCAACCATATTCTGAAAAAAAAACATCACGCTCAATATTTCAGTGTTTTCAAATTTAGAAATCATTCACTACCGATTTCTTAGTCTGCAGATCTGAATCTTCTTCAGTCCTAGTTCTTTTGCGGTTAGACATTTTAAACTGTCGAGCAGGCATGGATAAATTTTGAGCTAGACTATATCTCTACATTTAATAAGAATATTAATTAAACATGTTCCAACCCATATCGCATAATTTACAAGTTTGGTAAGTTTTATCAAAATGGTATGGCCACGTCAGCAAGTAACGTCCCTAAATGAACGCCCTTAACATCGATTGCCATGATTAAACGAAGGAAATGAACGAAGTATTCACAAAGAAGCGCCTGGTGAAGTATACAAGCACATACCTTATCTTATGATTAATAGGTTTTTAAATAACCGATAGAATTTTAGAGCAACTAACAGTTAGACTTAACGTCGAATACAACGGAATAAAGATAACATTAAGGATATCATGAATCCACTAAGAACAATATTCGATTTTATGTAATTTCTAAAAAAAATTGCGTAGACCGCAGAAGCAAACTTCCGTTATGAATGAAAATCGAATCTCTTACATTTTAGTCTTTATTTATGTATTTTCTTATGTAATATGCGATGGCGAATTAGGATCTGGGAGTGAAAGATTTAAGATTGAAGGCAAAATTTTTGTACCTTTTGTAAACGATTTAGAATGGATATCATCAACAAAAATCATAATTGATGGAGGACGATATTTGGGGTTTTTAAAGTAACTAGCTGTTTGTCGTTGTTTGTCAAAAAATTTTTACCTAATTAAAATATTATTTTGACTTAACAACACGAATTAAAACAACTAAAAAAAGATATTTATAAATGTTTGCGAAATAATTAATAATTAATAAATTGTAGAAGCGATGGAGCCTTCTCAGTAAGCAACCTTCCGTCAGGATCATACAGTATTGAAGTCATTAATCCATCTTATGTTTTTGAACCTGCTCGAATAGATATAACTTCAAAAGGAAAATTCAGAGCTAGAAAAATGAACAATATTCAATTAAATGCAGTTTCAACCGTAAGTTAGAGTTTAAGCTTACATATAGTATTTGAAATCTATTATGAGAATGTGATGAACTTCAGATTAACTACCCATTGAAATTAAAGGCAAGGAGCAGAATAAACTATTTTCAAGAACGTGAAAAATGGAGCATTACTGATATGATATTTAGTCCTATGGTAAGTATATTATTAAGAGCGTAACAAGTTTTTAGATGTCTAATTGAGCAAATTTCAAACATTAGGTTCTCATGATGGTTCTACCACTTATCATGGTAATGGTACTACCAAAACTTATCAATGCCCAAGACCCAGAAACTCAAAGGGTAATGAAGAAAAAATTAATTAGCGAATTCTTTTTCTGTATCATAAAAAATCTTTTTGTTTTGTAGGAAATGCAGTCTCAAATGAATTTTCTCACACCAAAGAATAATATCCCTGAATTTTCGGAATTTCTTACAAACCTTCTCAGCGGAGGACCTAAAAAACCTTCACAATCAAGAACTAAACCATCCAAAAGACGCTAAATTCAATTTTACAACTGTTGTTCGCATGTCTCTGTGTATTACTAGTTATTGTTACAGTCAAAGTCATTAATTTATTAATTAAATGTCTAGCAGAAATTTTACAAATCATTTACAAAGAATATTTAATCAACAGTCAAAAAAATCAAAGATAATTTATTAATTTCCTTTTAAATTGTGAAAAAAATGATAATTTTCTCTTCTTAAATAAAACCAAAATTTTATATATTTTATCAGATTTCTCTTCCTTCGTCTCGCGAAGAAACTTTAAGCAAAAAATATTTAGAAAATAAACATAGAATGATCTTTCACATTTAAACTTTTGAGACAAGCTTTGATATCCTCTTGAAACGTTTCGCTTCCGCATATTAAAAAGTGTGTTTGATGAATAGAAGATCCTAATTTATCGGCAATTAAATTAGCATTTAATCTGCTTTTGATAAGGCTCTCGTTATATTTAGCTATAGCATTGTTGTCACAACTGAGACAGTAATGTACTTTGAAATTCCAGAAAGATGAAAATTGATCCAGTTGCTCTTTTAATAAGATTTCTTTATAGGTTCTACAACAAAATATTAGTTTAATGAGGGTTTCATCCTTTTCATTATCTAGTATAGAATAAAGAATTGGCATCATTGGAGTGATCCCCGTTCCTGCAGCTATCATACATATACGAGGATACAAATTAGGAGTATATTGAAAACTACCAAAGGGACCTCTCCATTCTATTTCATCATTTATTTCCCATTTTTTAATATAGCTTGACATTCTCCCTTTCGGATAGGTTTTAATAAGCACTTTAAAGGAGTTCTCATCAGAAGATATAGGTGTATATTGGCGAGTTAAACCTTCATCTTTCCACCTGAGTAGAAGGTGTTTACCAGGTTCAAGTTTGAGCTGATCGCATTGAAAAGTATAATTTTTAGTATCCTGAGTTAATTCCTCTATGCACGACAATTTTAAATACGTATAAGTTTCAAGACTTAAGCCTTTCGAATTTCCTAATTTATTTCGTTTTCCAGTTTGTATTCTCAAACATTCCTTTTCCCAAAGTTTGACTTCTTCTTCATAGATGTCAAAAACACAATGGGTGCACCCATTGCCACAGCAGTCATCGAACGAAGGAGATTTAGGTTTGGGAGGAAGTTCATTGTTTACGTTATCCATGTGTCTGGCGCTTAAATGGAACAATCTGACAGCTGATGTTATTAAACTATTGCTCTTCAATTTTCTTAACAGCATATGGTTTGCTCTTCTCTATAGGTATATTATATTGTAGACAATTCCACCAAGAGAATCCCTCATTTACATGTACTTTCGGGTGCGAAGTCAATTTATCTCGATCCTCCTCAATCTTATTTAGTTTTCTCTTTCCTGGCTGTTTTTTTGGTTCATCCATTAATATTACTATGAATTTACCGAATGACACAATTTATAAAATTCCCATTTTAGCGTAATTATGAAATATTACACAAGGACGATACCGAAAGATCATTCATGGAAAAACAGATGGCGCTAGAGTAACGATATTCGAAAACGAATACCATAGAGAAATATTCTCGAATACATTCATTATCCCTTATATATTTTATCTTTTCACCGACAAATTAGCTTGAATTAATTAAGTTTTAAATAAAAAAATCTGTTGCACAATAAATTTGAATCGACCGATGTCAGGACTGTTAAAAACAACATCCATTTTACAATCTAACAGTAGATATGTATATTTTTAAATAAAATCAGTTTTTAAGTTGTAAAATTTACTAGATCTACCAATCAGAAGAAAGGAGGGAGAAAAAGACAAAAAATTCTAGTCTATCTACTAAAAAATCAAAACAAACGATAAAAAAAACTTTTAAAAGTTGATGTAAACGATTACCCGCCAAAAAATATTATTGAAATCTATTCATACATTTATATTGCGTAATTCACAAAATTGTTCCCTTCCTTTCATCAATTGAAGGGGGATCGTTGTTGTTGTTGTTGTTTGAGAAGGAGACATATATGAATAGAAAAATGCTTTAAATAAGTAAAATGAATGAAAGTATAGATTGAATATATGTATTAAAATTGTATGTAATAAAGCTGTTATTATTGAAAATACTTTTATAAATTTCACATGCGTGCAATTAGATATTTGACTGCATTAAGCGTCAATAAAGATTTGTCAAATTATAATGGCCTGGAGGCGGAAATGCTAAAATATATCGGTGTACCAAAGCAACCAGTCGTCAGTTTTCCGAATATGAGAACAGAAATTACCTGTCTTCTACTACTCGGGTAAATTTCCTTTTAATCTACGGAAGATTTATATACAATACTCAATTTATTATAAGTATGTTTTCATAAATTCCAAAGCGAGAATGTCTGTGGTGCTAAGAACGGTAAGGGAGAACATTTGAATAGCGTAAACATGTTTTTATTTTTCCCTTAAACTACACTGTAGACAAATCGATTTTTTCCCTAAAGAAGAATAAATAGAAGATCGTTGCTTATTTTATGATTAAAAAGCCCTAAGGTTTAACCTAAATTGAATTGATTTGAAGGATTGGGAAAGTGAATTTGAATACGTTACATAACATCTGTTTAATTGTACCGTTAGTCGAAAAGGATCCTTCAATCGTCTCACTATGACTGCTTCCTTTTATGGTAATTGTCTTGTCTGTTCTGGAGAACAGGAGGAAATTGTTTGTAAGATTCTTAAGGATTTAAAAAATTACTATTATGGCAACTGGTCATATCGACCTTGCTTGGACGAATTGGAAAACGCTGAAATAATTACATTTTCGACATATTCTTCAGCTAAGAGGTGTATTGGAGAATTAGATTCTATAGTTGAAAGAATAGATAAAGATATTAATAATTGTAAAGATCCAATTGAATTGGAGGTTATGGAATTCTTTAAATACGGAACGTCGAGGTCAGCCGATTGTTTTCTTGAAGTATTCAAAGAAAAACTCTCTCCAACGATAAGAGTAAGTTTTCCTATACAGTTTTAAAAGTATATGACTATATATGCTTGTTTTTTATTATTTCTAATAGAAAATGTACGACGCTATCTATTTCGACCGATTATCAACTGAAGAAACAAGTAGAATTCAATAAGGATATAAACATTCCTAATTGTAAAACTTATGAACTATTTTTACATTATCATATATTTTTCTATGCATAATAATAAATATACATATATATGTTTAACGTCTTGTATCATATTAGATACTTTGATTAAATTTTCATAATAAAAAAATTAACTCACTAGTGCCTTTGTTTAACATGTGATATTTGATACAAAAAATGCAAAAATTGGATAAACACTGTTATTAATCAGCGAAAGAAACTACCCACTCCTTTCACCTTTCTATCGGTCAAGTAAACATTGAATTACCAACTTTAAGGTCTTGTTCGACATTCTATTTTTAATTGTTTATTATGTAATAATTTTCACCAGCACATTTAAAGTTCACTCAAGACTAATTTGTATTCATTTTTCAATACATATTGAAAAAATCCCTCACGTGTTAGATTGTGCGCGCCAATTCGAAAAAAGAAAAGTGGCACATCCGGTCTACAGTTCTTTGCAAAAATTTTTTAAACGTAAAATAAACTATGTCTCTTAAAAATAATTTTATTTAATTATTTCTTAAACTTATTTATTAATATAACATATAAATTACATATAAGTTTAATATAGACTTCTCTTCGTTTACGTAAACTTGGCCTAAATCATATTTCATTCCCGCGCTTTCCAGCAAAATGGCGGAAAATGATACAAACTCAGGTGCTATATTTTATTAATTTAGTGAATGAATATGCAAGCTACTTGTGAAATTATGACAGTAGCAGTAGGCTTAAGATAGATTTTGAATGCTTGTATTCTTTAATATTAGAATCACTTGCTCGTGGCCGATCAAGAAGACAGAAGAAAGATAAAAGTGGTAGATTAGCCGCATTAGGAAAGTTTAAGGAACTTAAAGCTGCTGGAAAAAGAAGGTTTTCGGAGGTGAAGATAACATGTTTTTTTTATTTAAATTTAAACATCTAAAAGTAGAGTATTTTAATTTGTAAAACACAACTTTAGGATGAAGATAGCGATCCAGATAATGTCTATGATTATGTTGATGAAGAAACCTATTCAAACATTGTTCAATCTCGTCAAAATGATGACTGGATTGTAGATGACGGTTTGACAACTTTCTAATTTATATTTTCACGTTCAATATAAGTTTACTTTCAAACTTCTAGATGGTTGTGGATATGTTGAAGATGGAAGAGAAATATTTGACGAAGATGTGGACGATACACTAAATTCAAAATCTTCGAAAAAGCAAAGTTTGTAAATAATATTTACTGTAATTTTTTGCTTATTCTGTACATGTTCAATAGAAAATGCTGGCAATCAGAGTAAGAATAAGAAAGGATCTAGTACAATTACCCCAACACCTAAGGGAACGGGAGATATCAAACGCATGTTTTTAGCAAGTGCTGTATCGAGTTCTGTGAAAAAACGAAAAAAGAAAGAAGAGACTGTTAATGAGGACGATGTCCTGGAAAATTTAATGTCGGAAATCAAACACGACTCTACACCTAAAACACCTACCTCAGTTCTAAGAGAAAAACAGTAAGATAGCTGTAATTTATAAGCGAATTACTTACTTCAATTAACACTTTCCAGGCAATCTAACCCGTTTATCAGTAAGCCAAAGAGGCCAAAAATAGAAATAAAACAAGAAAAACCTGCTGAAACAATTCAAAAACAATGGTAAGAAATATTCAATATATCAATATATTTATTACACTACTTCTAAATGTCAATTTAAATTTAATGCGAATTTATAGCATTGAAATACCAGATGATGATGATGATTTTAATGAAGTATGTGCTAGTATGGAACCAATTGATGATGATATAAAGCCAAGAAGTCCAAAAAAAGTGAACAAAGAAGAAGTTATTGAAAAGAAAGTCGAAGTAAAAGCTGAACCAAAATTGAAGTATGCTATTTTAAAATAATTTGTTTGAACTATTATTAACCTTTATTTTCTTTATTAATTATCTTTGAAGTTCGTTGACATTTTCTTCCGATAATAATATTGATCATTCTATGTGGAAGAGTTGTTCAGAAGATACCGAAAAAGAAATGGAAACTGTAGCTGATAATGGTTCGCTTCCCACCTTAACTAACGAAGCTGGTGAAAATATAATAAGATTATATTGGTTTGACGCCTACGAAGACCAAATGAAACATCCAGGTAAATTTTCGTTTTCTTTGTCTCAGACTAAATATCTAATTGAGTGTTTTGAAAACGCATTTTCAGGATTGATTTATCTGTTTGGTAAGATACAAAAGGATAACAGATATGTCAGTTGCTGTATTACAGTAAAGAATATTGAAAGACAACTATTCTTATTACCACGTTCAAAGGTTTTATGACATACAATTAATATATAATAATAGTTATAAACAAAAACTTTAATTTACATAGAAATACGATACAAAAACGAAAACAGAACTAGACGAGGACGTTTCTTTTAATGATATTTATAAAGAATTTAATTCAATAGCCGATAAATACAAGATAAAAGAATTTAAATCAAAAGTAATACAATTAACTGCTTTTCCACTTTTATTCAGTTTACTAATTAAATTGATTTAATTGATTCTAAATTTTAATAGAAAACACCGAAAAAGTATGCATTTGAAAAAGCAGGAGTTCCAGCAGAAGCTGAATATTTTGAAGTTCGATATTCAGTAAGAAATCTTATTAGTATATTATATAATATCTAATTATAATATACAAAAAAATTTTAGGCTGATTACCCAAAATTACCCCAAAATATATCTGGAGAAACGTTCATTTGTGCTTTTGGAACTAATACTTCTAGTTTAGAACAGCTTGTTCTAGATAGAGGATTAAAAGGACCCTGTTGGCTCGATATATCTCATTCTGGTAATAGCATTCAATAAAGTTATACGATACTTTATTAATAGAGGTTAATTGTAAAAAAAAAAACAAACAGAAACAAGTAGCGTATCAATTTCATGGTGTAAAGTTGAAGCAACTATCCAGAAACCAGATTTTATAAAAATATGCTCTGATTCAATATCATCCCCTCCGTTAATTGTTTTAACATTGAATGTTAGAACTCTTCCGAATCCGAAAACTCATCAGAATGAAGTTCTTGCTGCATCTTGTTTAATTCAGAAACAATTTAGTTTAGATAAACCACCTCCAAAAGAACACTTTCAAGAGCATTTTTGCGGTATATTAATTTATATACAAGCACCTATTTCATGATAAACACTTATAAATGTTTTATCTTTAACAGCTTTTACAAAACCAAATGATTGCATTTTACCGTTCGATTTTAAGGCTGTATCGCAAAGGGATAAAAGAGGTATTAATATTGAGTATGTTAGCACTGAGAGAGGTCTGTTAAGTTATCTTCTTGCTCGAATCTTTAAAATTGATCCGGATGTTATCGTTGTAAGTAAATAAGAGTCTAATTTCCTAATAGATTTTTTATTTTTTATGTTAAAAGTCACCAACTGACCTTATTTCATTTTAAGGGTCACGACATCGCTGGATATGATTTAGATGTTATATTAAACCGTACAACAACTTTAAAAGTACCACATTGGTCTCGTTTAGGTAGATTGAAAAGATCGGTACCACCTAAAATTATGGTAGTAGATTATAATTGTCCATTTTCCCTATTGTAATTAACCTCATTCTTTGCTATTTAGCATTTACATGGGAAAGCCACTGGTGCCGTAGGGATTTGTAGGTTAGTAAAAGAACTAGATGATTGCATCTGAATAAGTAAAAACTTGTTTATTGTTTTGTCATACACTATTTTCTTTTTAATTTCTAATTAGCGGTCGTTTGCTTTGCGACGTTATGGTTTCGGCCAAAGAGCTTATACGTTTAAGAAGCTATGATCTTAATGAACTAACAAATTCGATCCTAAAGGAATCGAGAATTTCCATAGATCCGAATGAAGTGAAAAAGGCTTTTGAGTCTGTATTTTTTTTTTCTTATCAAAATAATCTTATTCTGTTTCCCATTCTCTGAACAGTCAATCTATAAGCATTCTAAATATGATAGAGGTTACTCTAAGAGACTCTAGTTTCATATTAAGAATAATGTATGAATTGAATATCTTGCCTTTAGCCTTACAAATAACAAATGTGTGCGGAAATTTAATGGTAAATATTTTTAAAGATTTTTAGTCGTTCATTCGCAGCACTCCTTTTCTTATTCTCTCTAAAAGGCACGAACAATGTTGGGCGGTCGATCGGAAAGAAACGAATTCTTGCTTTTGCATGCTTTTCACGAAAGGCAGTTTATTGTTCCTGATAAATTTTATGGAAAGAAACAACAAATTACTGTTAGCTTTTCTACATAACGCATATAAATTATCTTTATAATCTGAAAAATATTCTTCGCTTACTAGAATCATCTATCCGATGATGAAGGTGAAATGCATCTTGATACAACTAAACGGAAAGGTCAGCAAGGTCGTCGAAAGCCAGCTTATACTGGGGGTCTTGTTTTAGAGCCAAAGAAAGGATTTTATGACAAATATATTTTATTATTGGATTTTAATTCACTATATCCTTCGATTATTCAAGAATATAATATTTGTTTTACGACAATTGAAAGAAATGGTGAAAAGAGTATTGACGATGAAGAATTTATACCAGACGTCCCGCCATCCGATTCTGAGACTGGTATTCTACCTACCGAAATACGAAAGCTTGTTCACAGTAGGCGAGATGTTAAAGCGTTAATGAAGAAAACTGATCCTAATTCGGATTTATACGTACAATATGATATAAGACAAAAGGCTTTAAAATTAACTGCCAATTCAATGTACGGCTGCCTTGGATTTTCCAATTCCAGGTTTTACGCTAAACCGTTGGCCTCACTAATTACAAGTAAAGGCCGAGAGATTCTTCTGAAAACTAAAGATTTGGTAACAAATGTTAGTAATTAAACTTTTCTTGCCTTGTTTTTCTTTTTATTTCCCACTAATTTAAATGATTATTATATAAATTAGATGAATCTAGAAGTTATCTATGGAGATACTGATTCAATTATGGTTAATACAAATTCTATCGATTACGAAGACGTAATGAAAGTTGGACTAAGAGTAAAGAACGAAGTAAATAAGCACTACAAATTGCTCGAAATCGACATTGACGGACTTTTTAAGTCAATGCTTTTGCTAAAGAAGAAAAAATATGCGGCTTTAGTAGCAACTGTTGGAAAGAATGGGGAAATTACCACAAAACAAGAGTTGAAGGGCTTAGATATTGTAAGAAGAGATTGGTGCGAATTAGCTAAAACTGTTGGAAAGTAGGTTAATTACGTTTTAACTGATATAAAACGTCTTAATAATCATTGTATTTCTCTCTTTTATTATCATTATTATTTTTTCCCTATTCTCTTCTCAATTTTTTATCATTTTTTTGATTATTTTTTCCCTTTCCTAGTTTCGCTGTATCTGAGATACTATCCGGAAAATCTAAGGAAGAGATAGTCGAAAATATTCATACTGAACTCTATTCTGTAGCAGAAAAAGTTCGAAATGATTCAATTGGAGTAGAGCAGTTTTTCATTACGAAAGTAATTTATTGCTAGACAATTGTTAATAATGCAAGTCATATTTATAATTTTTCCACGTAGCAATTGGCTAAAAATCCGGAAGATTACCCAGATAAGAAGCATCAGGCACATGTCCAAGTGGCTTTGAGAATAAACGCAAAGAGTGGGAAAAAACTTAGGGGTGGTGATACGGTGTTTTACGTTATCTGCGAGGATGGAACATCTACCTCTCATAGTGAGAGAGCATATCATCCAGACGAATTAGCTAAGGAAGATAATTTGAAATTAGGTTAGCTTAATCAATATAACATAAGTACTAGGGAAGTTGCATCCTTTTTCTTATCTTTATTCGCTCATTTACGTATATAGATAAAAATTACTACTTGGCTCAACAAGTTCACCCAGTTGTTAGTAGGCTTTGTGATCCAATCGAGGGAACCGATGCTGTTAGGATTGCAGAATGTCTTGGTCTAGATGGAAGTAACTTTAAACACAAATATAATCAAGAAAGGTCGACCGAAGACGAAGGCTTTATAACGCAACTAAGCGATGCGGAAAGGTTTAAAGATTGCCAACGTTTCTCTTTCGAATGTTTTAAATGTTCTACAGTTAATTGCCTAGAAAGTTGTTTATATGTTTCTGAGAACAGTAAGGTAAGTGATCACCTGTAAAATTTGATTAAGGAAGGATATGAAACCCTTTTTGCCTATTTATTCTCGCTTTTATTAGGATTCTGACTTGACGTTCGCTCTTGCCCAATGTCGCAACGAAGAATGTGGCGAGGCCTTGTACAAAGACTGTTACGTAAATATTATAAAGAATAAGCTGACAATAGAGATGAGGCGTCACATTAATAAGTATTATACTGGTTGGTTGAAATGCGATGATCCGGTATGCGAAGCAAGAACAAGAAATGTTACTTTAAATATTGGTAGAGCACCTATTTGTAACGTTTGTGGCCATGGAATACTAAAAGTTGAGGTTTGTTATTAAAATAAATAAATAAATATCTAAAGGTTAAATATATATATATATATATATGTTATTATAAACAATATGAATAAACAGTATAGCGACAAACAACTATACGATCAACTTTGTTTCTACCGCCACATCTTCGACCTGGAAAAGGGTAAACAAGCCCTCAACACCGAGCAAATGATGAGAGCGAGCCGACTAATGCAAGAGCGAGGCGACGCCCAGAGATCGCTGAACGCCTTACGAGCTCACGTTGACAAGCAGTTGCAGAAGAGCGCCTACGCCGAAGTCGATTTGTACAAACTCTTTTCTGGTTTGCATTTATTGAGCTCTGCCAAACAGTTTACTCGTTAACCGCATAAAATATTCACGATATACTAATTTATAAAAAAGGTTTTTAAAACACATCAATAAATATCGAATATTTTACGGCATATGATACTATCCCTATAATTACTGGCGGTTAGCATTAATGTACAGTATTAATGCAGAGACGGGCCGCTTATACATAGGCTCTGAAAAAGCAATCAGATGAGAAAACAAACAAACTAATAAATATGGTAAGTTGCTTTTAGCATTGATTAGTATGTGTTTGTATTCATATGGAAAGATGTGCTCTCTCTATCTATCTCTCTCTCTGTTGCATAAGATAAGAAAGGTGATTTGCATTAAGGATATTATCATTATCGTAATAAAAATAGGAAAAAGGGAAAAACACTGTCGCTAAGTTTCTCTATTTCCATTTTTTTTTGTTAAATTGTCTGTAATTATAGTTAATAGTAGGATAGTTTAGTCAAATTACGGCCAGACAACGATGAATAAACAGGAGGAATATCCGGAACTGACGGAAGAACAAATAGAAGACTTTAAAGAGGCTTTTAGTCTCTTCGACAAGAACGGCGACGGTTATATATCTTCGAAGGAATTAGGAATTGTTATGAGATCGCTCGGCCAGAATCCATCCGAACAGGAGCTAAAGGACATGATCAACGAAGTCGACGCTGACGGCAACGGAAGTATCGATTTCGAGGAATTTATACACATGATGGCGAGAAATATGAAGAATCCCGTTGACGAAGAAGTGGAATTGAGGGAATCTTTTAAGGTATTTGATAAGAACGGCGACGGTTATATTTCCGCAGCCGAGCTAAGGCACGTCATGACAACATTAGGAGAGAAATTAACGGATGATGAAGGGGCGTAACTTAACGGATATATTGTTTAAATTTTCAAAAAGATTTAGTCTATACTTATCGTTAATAAATAATAAATTATTCATTAAAATGCATGTACATACACGTATATGTAGAAGAGCAGGGAATGTAAATGTTCTTACTGCTTTCTCCATATGCAAACTGCTATTAAATATTATATATTGTCAATAGAGATTTATTTTATTTAGCAACTACAAAAATTTAATGTCCTAGTTACGCACCCTTTACAGTTGATGAAATGATAAGAGAAGCCGATCTGGACGGAGATGGTCGCGTTAATTATGAAGGTAATTAAATCTAACCATATTTTTTAGACATGGACTAAATTAGCATACATTTTATTTGTTTTAGAATTTGTTAAGATGATGATGACAAAATGATTAGAAAACAAAGAGCTCTGTAGATAATATATATATGTATTTATATATATATGATAATGATGATGAAGACGATGAAGAAGGTGATGATGGTGATGATAATCATAATGATAATTATGAAGATGAAGAAAAATGATAAAGAAAAAACAAAAATTTACCGAATTGAAATTTTACATATGAAACATATTTTTCATTTTTCCATTCGAAATTTTACATATTTTAATCGTAAAACAAGATAAGATAATTCAATTAATAATAAATGTACATTAAAGAGAACTAAACAAAAAGAGGATATATTTATACATTTTTGTATGTTTTATACATAAAAATGTATATATTGCTTTAAGTTTCAATTTCCGTATGTAGTCTTTTATTATTATTATAGATTAATACTACTTCATTAACATAGAGTTCTTTTTGTTTCTTTTTTTTGTTTCTCTTTTTTTATATTTTATTACTTTCAAACGTTCAATCAATATTAATTGGGGTCAATCGATTTATATCGAGGCTCTATTCGATAGAAAATTGATTTTAAAAAAGACGGGGACAAAGGCTTAATGCACCGGAATTTCAAAAAAACTAGTTTGTAGTCATGAGTTGTTTACTACACACGAAGGACGAAAATTTCTCCTAAAGTCATTATGGATTTGAATTATGAAGAATTGGAACTGATGATGAACCATGAACTAGATTTTAAAACGTTCAAAGGTTAATAAATTATGTTAGAATTATTTATATTCGTCTTAATCGGTTTAAATAAATTGTGGCAGCTATTAATCTTGACAACTAGAAATATACGATTAAAACAAGTCTTAACATTGCCTACTCTATTCTTCCCTAGCGTTCCTTTATTTTATTATTTTGTAACTAAGCTTTTTCTTAATTAATTGAAGATTGTTTAGAGTGGAGGAGAGCCATTACTTCATTCTGTAAAAAAATATTGCAGAGTAAGCAATGCTAAAATTTGCCAAAAAGAAGTTTAATAAGGGATCAAAGAGTAGTTTGGAAGATTTAGACGGTATAGATGATTATGGAATATGATAGTAATAATTTTGGATAGGTTGTAATGTGTTTTCATTGTCTGTTTTAGATTTAAGGGATATCTTCAAACGATTCGATAAAGATGGTAACGGTGAAATCACATCAGATGAATTAGCGGAAATGATGACTTTCCTCGGTATAAATGAACGTTCTGCCAATGAAGAAACAGCAAAAGCCATTGTCAAAGGTGTAGATAAGAACAGTAAGAAAAATTTATTTATTATTTACTCTTATACCATTAGATTTTTCTTCCTATTTAATTTATCTTGTACGTCAGAAAACGGGGCTATCGACTTTGATGAGTTTGTCGTAATTATGGCGAATACGTTCAAGGAGCCTGTAGGTAAGGATCAAGAGATTCGAGACGCCTTTAAAGTGTTCGACAGGGATAACGACGGTTATATAGAAGCAAAAGAATTACGACAAGTTATGAGGGAGTTGGGCGAGGACTTTACAGAAGAACAAATCAGGAAAATGATGTCAGTTGCCGATAAGGATGGTGATAACCGTATTAATTTTGAAGAATTCGCCAGGATCATGAGGTTTGCGAAATAGACGCTTTCGTTGCCGAATTAATTTTTAACGTATCTTTTATTCATTCTAACCATTTTCCTTTCATGTGTTATTGTATTCAAAGCAGCTAAAAAAATCGAATAAAGTACTTAAACGAAAATATGTTACAGTCACGTTCTAGACTGCCTTGCTTTTAGATAATGCAACTCTAAACTGATCTTAGATTGTTTGTCAAACTGATTTCCGGTCTTAATTCTTAAATCTTCCGATTGCCATCGAACGAATGTAAGCTGTCTCTTTTAGATGCTCGACAAAAATAATTCAAAGGTCTCTGCCACCTTCATCTGGTTTTGGTTTTAATACTTTTCAGGGTTCTCTTTCAAAATTGCCCTTAAAACTATCAATAAATTGATAGAGTCGATAGTAAGATTTAGTAGCAAATCTAAGGTTGAAGATTGGAAACTAAAACGTTTCTAAAGTCATATCGAGGTTATTATTTATTGACCATATAGGATAAACAACCTCGCGTGTTAATCGACCATTCTTCGTGTAAGGCTTTTAAGACGATATGCTCTAAGCCCTTTCATTTGAAAAACCTATCCGAAACAAATCAAGAAAAGTCGAAATTTGCAATTGTTCAATCCAATACAAATCGTTGCTTTTTGTAGCCTACTTTGCAATAAAGACTTTCCTTCTAAATCATCCGCCATTTCTGACGTCTATTATTTAATATTGAAAGCATTCTTAAGCCCTTAATATCTACAAAATTGCGCTTCCATTCGCTCCATTTAGCACTTAATGCAAGAGGTGAAATACCTTTCAACTCTATCACAGCTAAAAAAAAAGGAGGCTGACTTCATTAACTAATTCCTCGTTACCATACTCGTATTTACCCCAATAGAAAAATTTACTTTATCATTGTAAATACAGACAAACGTATAATTTATCTCCTTTTATCATTTTTTTCCTTTTGGGAGAATTTTTGTACAAAACTGGAATGAAATTAGTTTGATTAATAGATAGAGAGGGAAAGAACTCTCTTAATGAACATGTACATTTTCTACTTTTTTGTGGAATTTTGTAATGAATCGACAGATATTGCTTGATCGATAATGTAAAGTTTGTCATGCTCTCGATTCAACGGCATGGAAGAGATTAGATCTCTTTGAAAGTTCTTCCTAGAAAAAATAGGAGAAAAAAGTTTAATCAAAAGATTATCTTAAAGATTGGTTTTCTCTTCTCTTTCCTCAATACAGATTTCTTGTAAAATATGATAAAAAACACTCGATAAACTTGGCAATGAAACTGAAAAGGAAAAGAAAAAAAAACCAATTAACCATTCGTTATAAATTAATTAATTATTTAAAAAATTCATGCGTTTTATTAAAATTCCTAGAATAAGGCAAAATACTACCAAGAAAGTTTAATAATGTTAATTATATATGGTAGAAAATGGAAAGGAAATAAATGATCTATAATGATAGATATGAATGACACACCCAGATAGTTTTTAATTAAATTATTTACAAACTTCATCTATAAGTTAATGTAATTGTAATGAGTAGAATATTATAACGAATGAAATCACAACTTCTGCCCTTATTCCCATTCAATTATGACCTTTTTTATCGAGTATTATCTCATTTATTAATAAGTATAATACAGTATAACCTAAAAATACAAATAAAAATGTTAGATATTAGTTAAAAAAAAGAAAAAGCACATTAATCAATTTACAAAAGATATTTTAACGATTTTATAAAACAATTATTCAACAGGTGTGGATTAGACTAATTTACATAAATATGCATATATATTAATATATTTAAATATTATGAAATATTATATATTTTACTTATTTGTTTATTTATTACACTTTGTATATTTTTAACTTGGAAATAAATAGTTATATTAGTATTTTATGAAAAAATTACTGTCTGTTATAAAATAACGTTTGGAATAAGATAAAAAACGATTAATTTTAAACATCGATTCTTCTTTGAAACGTAATTAAACCGAAATGAAAACGTTTTTATCAATAACAGATGATCTTTATTCATTAAAAAAAAATGTTGTATTACAGTACGTCATTTTTTTCTTACCTCATTAGATTCAATAAATGTCATAGTATAAAATTTATACTTGAAATTAATAACGCAATTTTTATTGCGTAATAAGAAAGTTGTTTTCTTTTTTTTAGGTGTTCTATTTAGATAGAATTTCATTGTTGTTTATCGTTAGGTTATGGTATTTATGTGAGTGACTCATTCACCAATGAATTTTTTATTTCTCAGCTTCTAATACGAAAATTTAATTATAAATTATTGATTTGATTTCAGAATATTCTGGATTAAATATTGATTGCCCAGATTCTTTGATCTATGAATAATTAGCTTACCGTAAATTGGTCGATTTCCAAGAATATTCACGCATCTTAGTTTTAATTATCGAATTTATCAAGTTTACTTTGCTTATTTGTAATATTATTCATTAGATCGATTATGATATTGGATTTAGGCAAATAAAGCTTGCAACTTTCAAACATTTTATTCAAAACATATTTGGATTTTCCTGATTGTATGTACATGAACATTCAAATTGCTAGAATTTTTCGATTCTTTCCCGCAACGGAAGTCAATCTTGAAATGTCAAAGGGCTTTTCATTGGTTGAACTTGAAGATTTGCGGTGATTGACTCTGAAGGTCATCCAATCAACAAGCGTGTAACATTTTCGACAACATTCAGCAAGCATACCCGTGACTGCTGACAAATGTTTACATTTTATAAGAAAGAACCATTACGACAATTTGAATATTTAATTTCGAGTGATTGACTTGAATTTAAAGAGGAAAATGCTGTCTAAGCCAAAGACTTGGATCACTGGCTCATCGTGGAAAGCGAAGGATAAGCATTCACTTGAAAATCTCAAGTACAGTTTACTAAAGATTTATCTCGACCATTTTAAAATTTAATTGTTTTACTTTTCCATAGACTGATTTACAATCTACTGTATAAGCATCAGAATGTTACAGAGTCTAATAAGGATAATTTGGTTGAAACACTACGGGTTTTGCCAGAAATCTTGGCATGGGGTGAAAAACACGACAGCATGGTGCTAGAGTACGTTGATTTTCTTTAATGTGTATGTGTGTAGGCGTTTACTCTTTCTGTTTTAGTTTTTTTATGGAAAAGAACATGTTAGCGTTCTTTCTGAGATATATGAAACAAAAGAATGGACATTACATAAGCCTCCAGATGTTGCAAAGTCTAAATTTAATATTTCAAAACATCAACAACAACCCCTTTATATGTAAGTTTCATTAACAATTACTATAAAACATTTATTAATAAATTTTATTTTTTCTCTCTCACACTCAATAGATTATTTATTATCAAATAATCACGTAAATTCTATTATTTTGCATAAATTTGACTTTTCAAATGAAGAGGTAACATAATTTACATATTATATAATATATTTTATATATGCGTGGGTGTGTATGTTTTGAACAACTGCAATTTAATTTAATAAAACAGGTCATGGCTTATTATATAACTTTCTTGAAATTGCTTTCCTTTAAATTAAACGAAAGCACTATACATTTCTTCTATAACGAGGTTCGTAAGAATAATTACAATTAAATAATATTTTGTAATATAATATTTCAATTCTATTTCTAATTGAATGTCATTTTCATAAACAGCATGTGAACGATTTCGCCCTATACACAGAAGCTATAAAATTTTTTAATCATTCTGAAAGTATGGTTAGAATAACTGTGAGAACTATAACCCTAAATGTCTACAGAGGTTTGTACTTATTCTATTTATAATTAACTTAGTAATAAGTTAATTTAGCTATCATTTATTATAAATCTCTTATATACATTTGTTCTTAATGTAAATGTATAAATATTATATACATATATATTATTAGCTTGCCAATATACAAAGCAAACAGAATGCGGTCCTATTAGAGGTATTTTATAAAATTCGCAAATAAATAGCCAAAATATAAACAATAAAAGGCAAAACGTTTTAAAACAACATTTATCTATTCATACTCATCATCGCTTCCTTATTTTTTCAAGTTTTTTATTTTTTTTTAAAAAAAAGACATTCATTTTTTACTAATTATAAAGGGGATTCAATATGCTTTTCAATAAAATACACTAAGCTTTATTTGGCATTATCACTCTTTAATTACAATTATCCCTTAATTAGTGAAAATATGACTATGCTAATTGTTCTGGTTGTGGGTTTTTATTTTTTTAACGCTGTCATTGATAAACCTGGCTATCTCCTTTTCTATTTGTTTTGACGAAGGATCTATACCCTAAACGTTAATTTGGGCAGGGGAGGGGCGTCAATTTACAATATTATATTTTTGTTTATTATTAAATAATTGTTACTTTCTTTATTTAAATAGTTCGAGACGTATCGATGTTGAAGTATATACGAGAAAGAACGGCGTCACCGTATTTCTCGAATCTCGTTTGGTATATGGGAAGTCATGCTCTTGATATCGATATTGCTGTTAGAGAAGACACAGATCATAAGAACCGAAATATGATTAACAGTATGATTGACGAACACGTGGACTATTTACTTTATGTAAATGATATACTTAACTTAAATATTGAGGATTTGAATTCTATACTCGAGGAACAATTACTTGGCAATATGCTTTTACCATTACATATATATGGTATTATTAACAATGGTCCTCAACCTAAGCTTTGCTCACCTTTAGCCCTCTTTTTATTGTCTTTATTTTATACCTTCGTTCAAAGACCAAAATTTTTGAGTGTCATAACTCAAATCTTAGTTGGAAAAGATCTTCCACCGGTATCGTCTTTTGTTCAACCTCCCCTATTACAGGATACTTTGTCGCATGGCTCCTCATCGACGTCATCAGTAGTTCGTCGAGGAAATTCGACCTTTTATGCGGGTTCTTTCTCATCCGAACCGGATGATGATGATGAAATAGAAAGAGCAGTTGAAGGAAAGGCGGATGAAGAAAGTACGGATGATAGTGTTAAAGACGAGGAGAATATAACAGACGAGCAAAAGCTCAAAAGAACCTCGGCTCTACTAAATCATCGTGTTTTCTTTTCTACAATATTGGAGACTTTAAATTGTACAGATAACGATTTCAATTGTCTGCTATCACTTATGCTATTGCACGGCATTGCCGATAATATTGATTCCCTGCAGATGGAATTTCAACTATTACTTCTTGATAAATTAGTATTGGTGGTTAATATGTCGTGTGAAAATGGTTCTCGTTTGAGATTAATTACCTTAGAATTGGCAACTACCCTTATTCACAAATTGCAGGATGCAATGCAGCCACATCAAAAGACTGCCCTCCTTACAGCGAAAGAACAAGCTACATTGATTTTAGCAAATTTTTATCAGGTATGGGTAAAAAGTGAAGAAATATTTATTGAGATTTTCGAGGACGAATTTGTAAATATGAAGAAAGTTTCTACTACTGAGGATGTCAGTAGAGAGGCAGCCGTTCTACTACCGCCAACCGCAACGCCTTTAACTGGTATTGACTTCAAATTAAGATTACCTTGCGGTGAAGTGGAAAGAGCTAGAAGGGCCATTCGAGTCTTCCTTCTCGTCCGCGATATTGTTAAGAAATTGAATAAGGAAGAAGAAATGGATTTACCATTAACCAAGAACGACAACATAGTAAACGAAGGAGATGTTCTTGATTTGAACAATAGCGATCTAATAGCGTGCACAATAACAAATAAGAATAAAAAGGAACGTCGATTTGTGTCGATTGATGAAGTGCGAATGATCATTGTAGAACCCGACGGAACAAGATTAGGGTTTGGTATTGTTAGAAGTTTCGCTCCTCTTCAACGTCTCGATGTAACAAGCGACCGTAACGACAACAGAATACTATATGTTAAAATACCTAATTCTAAATTCGATGTAAAATTAGAACTAGATGATCACATTCGCTGTATGGCTGCGAAACAGCGTTTAACCAAAGCAAGAGCACGAGTTAGATCCTATAAAATGGAGTCAATCGCAAAGTTAATTGACTACAAAATACCACAAAATAATTTTCCCATTGGCACAAAACACCCTACACCGTCCAAAAGATCGGGTATAGTAAGAAGAGTTATTGGAAACGCAGACCAAGGTGAGGAGGCAGTGGAAGCAGATGTACCTATAGTCTCGAATCCATTAACCGTTCCTATTGCTAAAATGACTGTAAAAAAAGAGGATAACGAATAATAAACCATTTTAAATTATACACATACACAAATTATCAATAAAATTAGTCGAACAAATGTATTGATTTGAATAGATGAATGAGGTTTTTTCTATTGAATAAATTTGTGAAATGGTTTTCGTATCCATTCTACAATGATTTATGTTTGATAGTCTTCAATTTTCTTTCTAGAAACTATGCAGGATTCAACGAAGCCCTATACACCCAATTCAGTAAAAAAAGGGGTAGATAAATTCTCTATTTGGTTAAACAGCCAATGGAAATGAGCGGTAGAATTTTCCTAATTAATTAGATATAGAGACGGCTTATTTGATGACAATCGAAAGGGTATAGCTACCCTTTCGATTATATTCGAAGAAATGTTTCTTTTTTTCCCTTATACATTAATATTTAACAAATAGTCGCATTAATAGTATCTATAGAGATGACTGAAATTCCATTAACGAAATAATGTATTAAAAGAAGACTGTTTATTTGGAGTACTAACATTTATACATCATTAAAAGTCTAGAAACGTTAATTTCTTATCTTTCTATGTCGTGAATAAAAAAACAAAATGTTTTATATTTAAATATTATTAAATACTGGATCAAATTTCCTTAAAACTATAAGAAAAAGAGATACTTTCTTCTTGTTGTCACTGTTTTCACTCTATCCTTCTTTCATTTTCTTTTTCTATTAAAATCCTTGCTAAAATCTCTTGGTGTAGTTTGTCTCTTTCAAAATGGAATATGATAATAAAAGCTTCATTAGATAGATTATCGACCTATTTATTTACCAATATAAGTATTTGGATTTATATATTTTACGTTAACTATATGGCCACAAACAACATATTAAGCTGTTACTAATAGTCCTATAAATTCAATTACCATTAGTATTTTTGTTATGATTTCTAATATAGATATTTATCCTTTAGGGTGATTAGTGTGAATACAACCCCTACTTTAAGTCTATTTTTCATTGTTTGTTAAAAATCTATAGTTCTTTTTTTGCTATATAAAATTTATCTAATTTATATACAACGAATGCATTTCCAGGGGGAAAATATTACTTAAAATTTTAGATGAACGTATATTTTTAATAATATATGCGGATTTGTAATATTAAAATTAATGACAAAGACACCGTACTTCCGACGTACAGTCATTTTATAATGTAGATGTCGTTTCGTCAAACTACAGATGTCGCTATTTGTGCTTACCAGGCACGTGAATTCTTCATATTACGCCATGCCGTTGCCCAAAGTAGGTAGCCTTTCCAGATTTTTAATTTTATTTCATTAAAATTTTGAGGGTCACCTTCAGTCAAAGTATTCATTTGACCATTACCATAACATAGATGAAATATTTATTTAAAAACCTATTTAACCTTTTTTCAAACAGCAATAAAGTAACCTACCACCTAACACGTGGACGTGAAGTTTCGGGTAACTGGAATTTGGTAAGTTCGTCCAGAATTATTTCAACTATTTAGACTCTTCTATCCAATCCTTTTTTACTTATTTTACGAAAAAAATACCATTTTATAAGAAGTTATTCTTGAATTTTTTATGTCTTTTAAGTTTGGGAAGGTTTTATAACTGTATTTCATTTATTGTTCCAGTCTGTTTAACAGCGGGAAAGAGCAATATTATGCTATTTCTATTTGCTTGGCGAAAATTTAGTTATTAGTATTCGCAATAAATACGCTTTGACATAGACACGCATGCCACGTGGTCACCATTTTGAATTAAGATTTTCAACTTTTCTACATTGTTGACTGCTAAGTAAAACTATTCCCATTTGATCAATATATCGTTAACATTATAGTATACATTTATAGTGATTTCAATACTAATTTTTAACATTTTGTTCAGATTTTTTCTCAAATTGCGTAATGTCACTTGGCTGAAGACTTGGTCACTTCTTCTCTAGCCTTCGTTATCTACAATTGGAACGTTACAATTGCGGTCACGAAGCATAGAAGTCAACCACTTGTTTTCAGACTGAGGGAAAGAGAGAGTAAGGTAAGGGTTCTTTCAAGCTATTTGAATAAATTAACACTTAATAAAAACTGAACTAACTTAGAATGTCCGATACCTTATGTGAGAGAATTGAATTTACATAAAAACTCAGATAAACTATAATCAAGAAATTTCAATAACATAGTTTTATAATTCCAGTCTTATATCAATCAAATAGAATTCCTATTTGCATTGAGAATTAAACAGCTCTATGTTAAATAGGTTTTACATACAGTATATAAACAAGTTCGTTATAATATGGATTAAATTTATTCCTATTAATATTTTCTTGGGTTTAAGAAGATAATAAAATAAACCAGCGTATCTTGTATCTTTTAGAATGTAGGACGTGACAAAAATTCTAAAGGGAGATTGCATTAATATCTTAATTTGCGCATATTCCAATACCCAAGATATAAGTTTTTTGCCATGTTACGAATATCGTCCACCTATTTTTTTTAATATCTGTTCTGTTATACTCGCCTTAAAGTATTCCTGTGCGATTAGAGAGGAAAAAACCTCATAAATCTTAACAAGAATTTTTGAAAGACTTTGTAAAACTAATTAAATATGCAAGAATTTCGTAGTCTAATTTTTAATTCGTAGACCATAACAATTAATAAATTAGATTTTTTCCTTCGTTAATGACACTATACTTTTTATCTTCTCACGTTAAGTGCAAAAACAACTCAAAGTTGTTAATAATTTAATGATCGCTATCTCAATAAGGTGTATCTTATATTATACTTCTAGCTTAGCTCGAAATTTCCATCATAAACATTATTTCAAAATTAATTAATATACTTTTTCAATCAATCAGGATGACCGAACTAAACCAAGAGGATTTGAATTGTTAGTATTAACCAGTTACTTGAAATTTTTATACCTACATTTAATCACTAACAGCATTTTCACACCTTAACTTGAACTTGTTCGCACTCTTGAAGATCTTACCTCAAAGTGGAATGAACAGGCTTACCGAATGCAGATAAGAAGTTGACTCGTCACCTGTTTGTTGAACGTAACAATGTTCTTGTGCTATTTTACGCTGTACGAGATGTTTTGTTTCGGCCGACAATAGTAATTCTGCTTTACATTTGACATTTGTTTCCCCCTGCAAGATGACATGACCTATGAAAATGGTTAGATGTGTCTTCAGAACTAAACAATCGTCTGTCTTAGCGATCGTGATTGCGCTTGTTTGCTTTTCAAATCTCAATTAGAGATTAGGAATCGTGTGATTTGCGAAACAAAACTGAAAGTTTGATCTCATTAGGAACTTTAGGGATTTACTTCACTCCGACTTTATGAATTATTTGCTATTGATATCCCTGAGAGTTTAATGTTTTTGTAATAATTGTACATTTTTAGTCATTTGAGCAACCTATCTTTGACTAATTTACATATTGAATGTAAATTTATGAATTATTACAATTACACTCTTTTGTTTCAGCCAAACTCATACTTTCAGTCTTTATTCCCATAATGCCGATATTGAGTTTGCAGCAAAACTGAGAGCCATTGCTCATTTCAAGGTGTTATTAAATACTTTTTGTTCTTTATTGCCGATGTGAAAATTTTTTGAGTAACCACTTACTACCGTCTTGGCAGAAGACTAGTCTTATGTAGACTTTGAAAATTTGGTTTTTATATTTGATTGAAATATGAAACATGAACTACCTATATATGTTACTTTAGTCTCCTTTGCCAAAGGAAGTACGTATCGGTAACAAAGTTTGTCTAAAATTTGATAAATTTGTTTTGGTGTCTAATGATGCTTTGTGAAACGTCAGTGAAACATCGTATACAAATTTACTTGTAGAAACTAGCCTATCGTTTCTATCCACACTCCTATCAATCAATTTCTAACTGTTCAGTTATTTTGTGATATAAAATTGAATGAAAATACAAAAGAAGTATGACCTCGATATGCAGACTTCTTATAAATGCTTTGGTACAGAGCTTAATCTGATTTCTTAGTTAAACTCATATAGTTGATGATAAATTTAGACTAATCATAAAGTGTTATTAGAAAACTCGGTAGTTAATGGGTTTTTTATCAGTTCAATTATCTTCTAGACAGAAAGCAGCAAGGAATGAATTGAGTTTGAATATGTTAAAAAAAAAATCTAATCTATTAGTCAATTAATATAAATATACCAAGGACACGTGAATAATATGGATATTTCGTGTAGAGATATCCAATTATATTAATATCATACAGAACACGATTAAAACTGAAGAACTACGCAAACTAGGTGAAGGTAAAACGTCCCAGAAAGTAAGCTTCGCAGATAACTTAAACTGTCCACGTTTCTATGCCAGCTGTAAAAAAAAAACTGATGATGATTGAACTAGAGTAATCATATGTTTTCTATTCAAGGTTATATATTTGGCGAACCCTTATATTCTTCAAATTAATCGATTTGTAAGACTCTCGTAATTCGCCTACTTCTTAAAGATGTTGAATAATTGATGATTTTTAAGATCTTTTCCGAAATATTTTTATAAAATAGACTTTAAAAAGAAACCGCTCCATTTAACCTTTGCTAATAGAATATTATCCTGTGACGTAAGCGATTGTATTAAATTGTCACGTAGTTGGTGACTTATTCTCCTGTATATGCTTCCAAGTATTTTTATGTACAGCTGACCGATTCTTTCATTCATCAGCTAATGTAACGGAATAGCCGCAACGCTACCCAAGTGGAAGTTTGGAATGATTTCGAGCGTTATAATATATACAAACATATTCTGTCTATACTAAGTACAGTGAATTTATGTATATGTTTGGTTAGTTTTAAAAAGGCCTAGCACAAGTTCTCTTGTACATAAAGATAATTTTAAAGGCTGAATGGACGCCTTTGTAATTAAGCTTCTATATTTGAAAGTGTTAATCCATCTCTTTTTCATCACTCAATAGGCCTATTCCATATTTCTTATTCTGACTGTCCATTAATAAAGAAATATTCATTATTGATAATAGAAAATGATAATATTTTCTCAAATTTTAATGATTAACTTTACCTCCACGAAGCCTATATTGTTTTTTCTTCTTTCTATTAATTAAGGCTTTATTAGACCGGAAACTTCACACGATAATGCCGTACCCATTTCAAATTATGATTTCAATATATATATTACTGACTGATTCCTTTATTCCAAATTTTCCGATTATATTCGTCTAATTATTATCAAGTTCAGATGAATTTTAACACTATACATCTCTCTATACTTCGTTAATGATTCCATTCTTTTATTTAGAATTAGTCTATTTAAGAAAAACAATATTGCAGATGATTAAGATAAAAGACAACAACCAAACCGTAATTATTCCACAGGGATGCTGTCTCCTTTCAGATTCATACAATTAGAATAAGCGTCAAGGGAAAATTGACTCTTGCCAATTTATACAATTTGTATAAAATAAAAACTTAATTATCTAGGCCTAATATTAGGTTTTTTTCACACTTGGTAGTAAGGGATAAATTTATAGTATTGAGGTATGTTTTTCTATTCGAAAGGTTGCCATAAGGTTGATATCACGAGGAAGAGTCTTATAGCCAATTTGAGTCTTCTCTTTCATTTATAGAATGTTGATAGAAGCCACTCCGTATCCAACTCTCCTCTCTTTCTCTTTCTCTCTCTCTCTCTCTAGCTCGCTTTCCTGCTTTACCCACTCACTCACTCTCAATTTCCAATCCAAATATACCTCTTCCAAAGCCCTCTAGCACCTTCCAGATTCATTGCTGATTGCCCTGCAATTAGAGAAGAAGTAGGCAATCTAACGGATTATATAACAACAGTTTAGTTACGTCACAATCCTTATTGAATGATAACATTATTAAATGTGTAACTGTTTGAATTCTGCAGAGTAATGTTTCCAATGTTCAATTAACTTTCTGCATTAGGACATCCATTTGGTCTGATTCAATTGAACTGTTTTGTCATGCGTCAAACCTTATCTAGCAAGAATATTTCAGAAGTTTGTAAAAGCGTACTTCTCTCCTATAGATTTCTTGGAAAAAAGGAATTATTCTCTCCTTTTATATCCAATAATTAAAATAGAGTTTAAAGATAATGAATATTTCTGCCATTGAATATCACCTTTACGAAAGTATAAGATATTTGAAACTTAACTTTGAAAAAGAAGATTTAAACGTTTGTTTGTTTGTTTACGTAATTTATTTTTTACTTCTTGGTCAATAAACTCTTGTATTGGCCAAATGCTAAAATATTTTTCTTTTAGGATAATAGCTTCTTCATCAATGGAAAGAGTAAAAAATTGATAAATTGTCCCAATAGTGATATTGGAGGTCTTGGTCTTTAGTTACCAATTATCTAAACTTTTTCCCTTATTTTATAGATATAAAGGATGGTTCTAATATTCTCGCAGATGTTGAATTACTAAATATCAGCAGCATATGTAGAATAGAGGGTGCTGAGAAAATAGCCTCCTTCGCAAGATTTACTTACGTGTCTCACGTATGTAACGTATAAGTTTCTACAAATAGAAAGTTATAATACTCGAAGTTTATCAGCAAGAGCATTAAATATTCCTGATCTTTATGACCCAACTTGGCAGATCCAATCCATAGGGATAAATATCTTTTCCTAAAATGAAGAAATATACCTTAAGAAATTGCCTTCACCGCTTATCATGCTTTTTTTATTATTTTAAAATCTAGGAAAATAGGCTAAAAAGACAGACATGGTTATGTAATAGCTGTAATTCTTGTCTTCTTCTCTCTTTGTTCTACATATGATTTATTTTTTACTAAAGTTTCCAATTTCTATTTGGTTACTTATCTATAGATTGCTTATTTTACAAAACGGTAATTCTTCAGGTGCAAAGGCTCTTTGTTGTCCGTACACCTGAAGGTCTTCTTCGTAATCTAAAGCTTTCCGAATTCGTAGCGTACAACATCGACATCTACTGTATATAATTTTAGTCATTCTTCTCTACAAAAAAGGAGAATTCTACACTCTTCTATCAATCTATCTTTGTAAGATACTTCCAAACAATCTATAAAGACTAGAAAACCTCTAACGTCCTTTCTTTATTAGTTTCTCAAGCGATATTTTTTAATGTTTAACATGCTTTTTGCATTATAATACTAATATGTTTTTATGAAAACTGCAAGATCCGCTATAATACATAGTTAGTCTCTTCCTTTTCAGTTTTACTGCTATGCTTATCCCCTTTTCTATATTAAACGATATTTTTTAAATGTAACTTTATATTATTCATTTAATTGTTTGATTTATCTCATTACGCTACTCATTCCAATTGTCGAAAAGCTCTAATAGTTCATAGGCTATTTTTCAGACTATTGACAAGGTTTCTCGATGTTAACCTTCTCGTCTCTATTTTACCATTTAGATACTAGATTACAAAAAGAATAATTGGAGAATTTTGTCTTATTTTTTTAAGTTAGTAGTACTATGCTAAGTTGTTAAAATTAGACCATCTTGTTGTATGTGTATTAATTCTGTTAAGGGACTCTTTTTCAACTTCCAGTCGTTTCTTTCTTAGTGTATAGTCATCAATATTGCTAACATTTGGCTTCTGGTTCTCATTATACCTTAACTTCCGTTGCGAGGTCAAGTTTCCATTACAACTTTTGTTCAGAGAACCGTTAATGGTGTTATCTGATAAAGACTTTGTCATTTGAAAAGGAACCCTGAGAATCAGGGCATTACAAAAATTGAATTATGCTCGTTAAGTTGTTCTAGTCCACGGAAATGTTTAGTAAAAGGCGAAACATTTGCTCGAAAGCTGAACTAGAACCAGAGCTCATTGGTTTTAAACATCAACGTACCAAGGTCATATATACTCACGAGAGGTAAACGCATGGACTTTTCTCATTTGCATATTGAGAAGTGACAAATGGTTTTCAAACTTAATCTAAGTTTCTTCTAATATTTTACACATTATAAACAATATTATTATCGCGTGAACATTCTAAATAATAAATAAATTCATATTTTCAAAAAAAACTTTTAATCTCATTCTAAAGCTAAAATTTGAATACCTTTTGTTATTTTTTGTATATAGGCCTATAGTAGTGATAGCTGAAAGTTTTTTTATTTTTTCTACAAAGATTATATAACCTGTTAGACGAGAAAAGAGATAATTATAATGAACGCTGTTAGTATTAGATAACACGTTCATAGATTAACTTGGATTCTAGAAATTAAATATCTAATTTGCCATATTCTTAGAACATAGAAATTCTTGGAAATTTGTCTAACAAACATATAAGATAAAAACAAGAATGTCAAGTATCTTTCATGAATTTGGCTTGAATATTTCGTATTTTTTTTTTAGTAGTGATTTTCCGGAAGTTCAATCTTAATTTTGTACCTGATTAGTTTCGGTTGATTAAGGTAAAGAAAAGATATTTGAAGTTGAAAGAGAAAAGTATCAATATATTACTTTGATAAAAACCAACGATTTTCTAGCGGACACGTATATACTAAACGTCCACTAATATCACAATCCTTTGAAGTGATGAGTCTTTTTTGTATTTTTATTGTTATGTCATATCGATATTAATATCGTTTTGTACTAGTTTATCCTTCAAAGATAAGAGTACATTTCTAAAGGTAGTTTGCCTAATGAATACTTAGGATTTTTGCAAATATATATCTTCTTAAATTTCTTTACTGTCTTTCTTTCATAGTGTGCTAAATATGCTTTTTCTCTTTTATTTTGCCATTTATTCAGATCTTCTTAAATTGCGATTCCTTTGTAAATGATCCGATATTTCTTCAAATATATTCCTTCACTTAAGACTCAACCAATTGATTAGCTATTTACGAGGTGCCAGAAAACTCTTTTATCTTTTTTACTTTCATGTCGAAATGAGTTTTAGTTTCAAATTTAAAGCAAATAATCTTATATAAAAAATTCAATGGTAATTTGCCTTCGTTTAGACGTATGTGTCAATTACCATAAATATATTTTCGTATTCGTGTAACATTAGTTTGCAAACTGCATTGAATTTTAAAAGCATGCACCATTGCTATAGGGAATTCAATTTCTGACAGAAGACTAATACAAATGGTGGCTTTCATTTGAAAAACAAATTTTGATAATACTATGTACGCTTGTAAATATCAGTTAAGAGTTCGTGAAGCTATCTCATGGCAACCACTCCGCAGCAAAATACAACTGTACATAGCATATCCTTCTGCTTTAGTAAAATCTTCGAGCGGCACTCTTTTGGTGCACGAAATTTTTTGACATTTGAATAGGAACCCTGAGAATCAGGGCATTACAAAAATTGAATTATGCTCGTTAAGTTGTTCTAGTCCACGGAAATGTTTAGTAAAAGGCGAAACATTTGCACGGGAGCTGAACTAGAACCAGAGCTGATTAACGTTCATTCGGTAGACTATAACCTATATTCAAAGCTTTGGAGTAAAGAGTTGAACGTGTCTCATTTGAATATTAACTTCTATATTTTACACAGATCAAAATTTTCTTTTCTTTAACCGATAGTTTGACTATGATGGCCTAAATGTTATCTAAAGATAATATTAAGATTTTTAAATTAATATTTTACATATTAAATAAGGTTTTTATTAAATTTACCCTCTGGAATGTGGCGCCATCTGTAGGGAAATTCTAAAACGTTTTAAGCTCTAGTCAGGTGAACTGACCACATACATGAACTATAAAAAAACTACATTTAAAAAAGTCTGTTACATAATAGTTCAATACTAGAATTCCTCTCATATTTTTTATTCGATAGATTATACTTCGTTTGCATTGAATGGAAACAATTTTATATTTATTGATCGCTGCCATCTAGCGCCGAATAGGTATTATTAAAAAGTCGTAAATTCAAATAAGCCTATGCTATCCGTCTTGGATTTCGGTCAGCTTTCGGCTCTTTAGAGCATTTTCAATTGTTTTAAAAGGACGTTTTCCATTGAAAATTACCCTACCGTGTAAATGACAATAGACGGTGGTTACGCTTGGGTGATAGTTGCCTGTTCTTTCACACTTCAAGTTCTCGCAATTGGAGTTGCTTACACTTTTGGTGTTTTATACGTAGAACTTTTAAACGTCTTCAAAGAAGATAAGTCAAATACTGCTTGGATTGGATCATTTCAAACTTTTTTTACATACTTCTCAGGTAAGTTGGTCCTTTTACCTGTCAAAAGTAGGTGATAATAGTAGCAATTTTTACTATATATGCAGCAATTATTGGTCCTCCTCTGCTGGAAAGATTCGGATGGAGAATTGTAACAATAGTCGGTTCAATTATAAGCTGTATTGGCTTTATGGCAAGTTCTGGTGTTTCAACTATCTATCAACTATTCTTTACGTACGGTATTCTTACCGGATTTGGTAATGGTCTTATGTATTTCTCCTCAATGGTTGCCGTACAGCATTATTTTGACAAGAAGAGAGCCTTAGCGACGGGTCTTGCTGTGAGTGGTAGTGGAGTTGGAATGTTGGTCTTTAGTTTACTAACAAGAATTCTCTTAGATAAATTTCAGTTGAGATGGACACTTATCTGCGAAGGTATTATTATGTTGCTTGGTATAGTATGTGGTATATTACTAAGGCCGTTAGCTGACCATTCAATGGGTTATGAGCAGGAGAATCTATTGCTGAAAGAGAAAGAAGAAAAAGAAGCGATAAAAGAAACAAAGATAAATTCTTGCATATTATCAATTACGAATTTTCTCAAAGGTTTCTTTGATCCAACATTATTCCTAGATATGAGATATTGTCTATTTATAACCTGTTTCTTCATCTACAATTTTGGTATGATTGCACCATATACCTATATACCTGAAAGAGCAACTGAAGTATTCAACATAGACACTACTCGTTCAGCATTTCTAATATCAATTATAGGCATTTCAAATGTTTCTAGTCGTCTCTTATTCGCCTGGATCGGCGATTTGGGTAAATCTATTAGATTTCTTTTAGGGTTATTCTTATTATTTTCTAGCGGAATTGTAACAATTTTTATATCATTTTATACCGACTATAAAACTATGATAATATATTCTGTTATATTTGGTGCACTTTCCGGAAGTTGGATATCTCTTCTGCCAGTTATATTAGTTGATATAGTCTCTATCGATAAAATAGAAAAAGGATTCGGCTTGCTGTGTTCATTCTCTTCCTTCGCTCTTCTCTTCGCTGGTCCTCTTTGTGGTAAATAATAATTAATGCTACAATTTTACTTAATGTTACAATTATTAATGTTTTGAAATCATACTTTCTCCCCTCCCTACTAAATTAGGATGGCTAATTGATAAAACACAGAATTTCGACTCAACATTTTACCTAGTTGGAATAATGCAACTTATAAGCGGTGTTGTCTTCTCTTTTAACAAGCTGGTAGAATACCTAGACGAAAGAAGATCTTCCAAAACTTTGCAGGATGAATCGCAAACTCTTCTCAAACATAGACGAAACAGATCTTATGTGTCCATATCTTATGCTTGATAAGAAATCTATAAATTTGAATAAAAACAACTAAAAATATAAAATAACATAAACAATATTCGCGTTCGACCTAATTTTTTAATCGATTGAACAAGAAACGATCAATAGTCAACTACCTTTCACCTCCTTTTTTATCTATTCATTTATTAATTAATTAACTAAATGAAATTGGATAATGATGCAATACGTATACGTTACGTAACGTTCTTGTAACCTTCACAATAAGCACGTGATTTCTTTCATTTGACTTTGAAATTGTAATAGATGTGAATTTAAATATACTTGAAAAGTAATAAGGCATTGTCCCATTGTTTTTCAATTCATCGACCATTTCACTTGTTTATTGTAGGAATGGTGAAAAGTTTGTTAGCATGAAAGGAATAGTAAACGTCTCGAGTTCCATCACAGGGAATTTTTACGACTAAGAGTTAAAAAAGGTTAGGCCTACGTGTAGTATATATATACATATATATATATATATGTATTATACGTACGTTTAACCCTATATTAAACTAGGTTTGTAGAAAAATTGATTGTATTACTATAATCTGGAAGCGGTAAACAATAGGAATGTAATGAACGGATAGCTCAGAACGGTCTGTGTGGTCGGTAGGAAGCCTTTTCCTCCCGCCGCCCATAGGACTAATTTGTCGGCGCTGCTTAAAAAACTACAAAGTCCGAAAGTGTAGGACCTGTGTGAGTACGGACGAAGAGTGTTTCGCCTTCACTTTAATTCTTTACGTTTTATATGTACATATAAGAGTGTATATAATTTTTTTATATACCTTTTATTCGTAAAAGACAGGTTTAAGTAGACTTGCTGAAATAATAGTTTTCTTGCCTGGAATATCGTCTTCTTCAAAATGACTTCCCCAAATGATCATTTATCCGTTCCGGACGGAGGGTGGGGCTGGATCGTTGTTATCTCTTCTTTCTACTTCCAAGCTCTTACTATCGGAATAACGTATACATTTGGTGTTAAATTAGTTAAATTAAAAGACGAATTTAAAGTTAATGAAAGTACTATTTCGTGGATCGGCTCTATACAGCCATGCCTTCTATATTTAACAGGTTTGTTATATTATAATTCATGCAAATTCTCTTAATTAATTAGTTAATTAATATGTATAATATTTATTTTATTCATTGTATCTATATCGGTTTTTATGTGCTTTCTCTCCCAATTCTAATTAGGAATTATTGCCGGCCCTTTAATTAAACGGTTTGGTTGGCGAACCGTGGCTATTACTGGATCGGTTTTATCAACAATTGGATTCGTTAGTAGTTCCTTCGTAAAGAATGTCTATGTTTTATACTTTACTTATGGGGTTATGACGGGTATTGGCAATGGATTAATGTATGTTACTAGTATGGTTTGCGTTCAACACTATTTTGATACAAAAAGGGCGCTTGCAACTGGTCTTGCAGTTTCCGGAAGTGGAGTTGGAACGCTTCTTTTCGGATGGTTGGATCCTTTGTTGCTAAAACGTTTTCAATGGCGTAAAACGCTCCTTATTGAAGCTGCTATAATGTTGTCGGGGGCATTTTTCGGTGCTTTATATAAACCTTTACCTAACGGTGATTACGAAAATGATACAGATCTCCTGAAAGAAGATGCGGACTCTATAAAATACGATGAAGACAACAAACAGGAACCTAATGAAAACACGCCACTAACTAATTCAGGAGAGCGAATGCGTGAAAATAATGGTACATCCTATTCAGATATTTTAGTTCAGGAACCGGTTTCGACCTGTTGTGGAATCAAGTGTAAGAATGCTGTTTTCGACCTAAGCCTATTCACGAATCCTATCTTTATAATGTTTTGCTCGGCGTTAACGCTTTTCTGCTTCGGTTATCACGTTCCATATACCTACACCCCAGATAGGGTAATACAATTGTTGGGAAAGGATAATATAAAGCTAGAGAAAGCCTCTCTTCTCATCTCTTACATGGGAATATCGAATGTCGCCAGTCGTTTGATATTCGGTTGGTTCGCTGATAAATCACCCAGAGCTAGATTTTACTTAGGAAGCATTTGTTTAACCTTAGGCGGCGCTATAAGTATGTTAATCACATTTTTTAATACGTATGGGCTGATGGTATTTTATAGCGTTCTTTTCGGAGCGTTTACTGGTTGTTGGGCATCTCTTTTCCCTGTCATTCTTGTTGATTTACTTGGTATTGATGTTATCGAAAGATCTCTGGGTCAGAGTTTGGCAATAGCTTCCTTCGCATTCTTATTTGCCTCACCCCTTTCGGCTTTCATAAAGGAAAAAACAAAGAGCTATGACGTATCTTTCTGGGTTGTGGGAACAGCCGAAGCAATAGGAGGATTCATCTTACTGAGTATTAAGATAGTTCAATGGTACCAGAGAAGAAAGTGGAGAAAGATGCCACAGGAAAAATACGCTGAAAGACCTACAAAGGTGTCTACAAGCGATAGTATTAAGAAGAGTAGAAGACGGTTTATATCTGAAAGTTTTGCATAAGACGCTCCCTGAATTTTTAGCTTCTGATATCGTTTCTATTTTCCTCCTGTTTTTTCCTCTTCTCCATCTCTCTCTCTCTCTCGCTCTCGCTCTCTCCTAATCAGCATAATTTAAAATTGTATACATACAAGCATTTATATGACTTTTTAAACATATTATTGATAATCATAAATTCAATAAATTTATCAAACTACACACACAAAATAAATTCGGCCATCTTTGAACTTTATACTTTGAACGTTAAAGTTTTCTTTTCTCTTTTTTTAAAAGACAGACAAATAACATCTGTGTCTGTATTTTTAAGTTTTTATGACGGTTTGTCTGTGTGAATCTTTGTGACCCCCTCCCTTCGTCCCTCTCGCTTTATCTTTTATTCTTCCCTTTATCTCTCTCCCGTTGTCTTTCCCTCTGTCTTTCTTTCTTTTTCTCTGCACGTCCTCTCTCTTTGTCTGTCTGATTGGTAATGCGGAGCTAATATTGTTCTTGATTTATATAATACGGATAAAATTTAATCGGATACTGTTCCAGTCTATTGTACATGGGTTATCAGTAAGAGGACGAGTAATCAAGAATCACAGTTTTTTTGTCTTTCTCTTTTCAAGGAATATAATCAATATCTTATAGAAAAGCAAATCATTAATCTACGGTTTTGTATATAGAAATTTCCGAATTATTGATCTAAGAAATCAAATTAGTTTTATCAATACTTATCATATTAATACATGTATATAAATTTATATATATATATATTAACATGTGTATTAATATAATAGTATGATGCATTTTCTAGGCCTACCAGAGAGATCAGCGTGTCAATACTTTTTTTTAGAAGTTGAATCGATAAAGTGAGTTTATACTTGTTTTTTTTTTTAACTATCGCCTCATTTTCAACCTTCAGTTTGGAAACAATGACCGCAAAAGCAGAAACTAAGCCCCTAGACGGAGGATGGGGTTGGATTGTAGTTTTGGCTGCTTTTGTTATATTAGCTGTCGCTATAGGTAATACTTATACATTTGGAGTCCTCATTCCTCCGTTACGAGAAGCCTTTCACAAGAGTTACTTTAAAATATCTTTAATTGGATCGATTCAACCTTTTCTTGTATACTTAACTGGAGTTTTTGCTGGGCCACTATTAAAATGGTATGGTTGGAGGAAAGTAACGATATTTGGAGCTCTTTTATCAACTGCAGGATTCTGTGCAAGTGCTACGGTGAACAGTTTGTACTATTTGTATTTTACATATGGAGTCTTAACTGGAGTAGGTAATGGATTGATGTATGTAACAAGTATGGTTTGCGTGCAGCATTACTTTGACAAGTACAGAGCACTAGCGACTGGAATGGCTGTATCAGGTGGCGGGATTGGGTTATTAGTTTTCGCCATGTTTATTCCTGTCTTGAAGGATCGAGTCGGCTGGAGATATACTTTTCTTTGTATAGCTGCTATTGTATTTGTGAACGGAGTTGTTTGGGGCGCCTTCTATAGACCATTGCAGAATGTTGACGACGAGGAGAAAAACAAAAAAGAGAGGGCGCCTTTAATTAGCTCTCAACAATCTTCTTATTCCTCTGTCAAGTCGGACGTGATAAGAGTTAGTATTGCTGAGGAGAGTGGCTGCGGGTGTTGGGGTATATTTTCTGAATTATTCGATTTAAGCCTATTCATGAATGGTGGTTTCATCCTACTGTCAATGGCAATTACCTGTTTCAATTTCGGTTATCACGTTCCCTACACGTTCACAACTCCTAGAGCAAATAAAGGCCTCGGTATTCCCGAAAAAAAAGCGGATGTCCTTATAGCATTAATGGGAATATCGAACGTCGTAGCACGATTATGTTTTGGATGGATTGCAGACCACAGCCAGAACATCAGATTTTACATGACAGGAGTTTGTATATTCGGAGTTGGTCTTGTTAGCTGCCTTATATTCTTATTTAATAGTTTCAAACTTTTAATTGTCTACTCAATTATTTTTGGAGCTTTCTCAGGAAGTTTCGTAGCCCTATTTCCGGTCGTTATAGTCGACTTATTTGGTATAGAGAAGGTCAGTCAAAGTATCGGTCAAGCGATGGCAGTTGGCAGTTTTGCATTCTTGGTCGCCGGTCCATTATGCGGTTGGATTATCGATACTACAAAAAGTTATGATGCCCCATTTCTAGTTGTAGGGGGCGCTTGTATCTTTGGGAGTATATTATATTTTTGCATAAAATGCTTTCACAAGTCGAAGGAATCCACTCAGGTACATTCAAAAAGAACGCAGAGAAAACACTATGTTTCAGAATCAATATCTTAGTATAAAGGAACAAAAAGAGAAGACAATAGAAAAATGATGATGGTGGATGATGATGAAGACGATGAAGATAATGATTACAAAATTAGCTTCACACTCTTTTATGTTTATAAGAATTATTCACTTTAAAGAAACAGTTTATACAACATTTTTTCTGCTCCTAATTGTATAGAGAGATAGAAGATTAATACGAAATTATCATGCTCTGTAAATCCCATAAACATTTATCTTTTAGTTGAAATCTCTTTTCAATTAATAAGTAAAATTCGTAAATAGAAATAAAATGTTTTTTCTCACTTTTCCCTTATTTTTTCTTTTACTTTACCTTTTCCCTATTTATTATATATTTAGAACTATTTACTAGGTTTACTTATAATACAGAATGTTTATACTGTGTATAAATAATAAGAAATATATTGGGTGGGAATAAAACTCACGGTGAATTTACAGGCCTGTTAAATCTTTAATTTTCGCGTATAGGTCTTACTCAATTGTGCGGACAAACGAAGTATCGATTTGTTCATAAAATGCTAGACGGACGAATAAAGAAATGGAGAATATAGATAAACGACCTTCGTGGATAATTTTAAGCGCTACGTGCGTTTCTCAATTTATATCTTCCTTACCGATTTGTACTTCGATATTCAATTCGAAGTTTTTATCAGAATTTCATAACAGTCGAACTAACACAGTATGCGTTTCCAGTCTTGCATTATGCTTTATGAGCATAGGCGGTAAGAGCTTATTTTTACGGATATTATCGTAAAAATATAGATTATTTCTCTTTCTTCCTTTTCTTACCTTAAAAAATTTCATTAGCTCCAGTTGCCAATTTCCTATATGCCAGAACCAGCTGTAAAGTATGCTTGATAACCGGAGGTATCTTATCGGCAATAGGGCTATTAATTTCTGCTTTTTTGCCCTCGTTGCCGGCTCTTATGTTCTTCTATGGCTTTTTATTTGGTGGGGGCTGTGGCTTACAGTTTACGTCCTCTTTAGCAGCGGCTACCTTCTACTTTAAACGTTATGCAACACTAGCGTTTTGTTTGCAGTCCGTAAGCTTTGGCTTTGGTTGTATCGTCTTACCTCTTCCCGTCACTTTTCTTATTCAAGCCTACGGTTGGCAAGGATCCATGATTTTATTAGCCGGCCTGCCAATGCAGCAGATTTGGTTAGCGCTCTTATTAAAGCCAGCGACCTCAGGGCAAGTCGAAGACATAAGGAAGCTGAATAAAGAGGATAAAGAGAATAGAGAGTTGGAGAGGGAATGGTTGGAACCTTTAAAACGACGTTTACTCAGGAAAAAAATGTCAGCCGCCGATGTGTTGAACCAGGAAGAAGAGGATCGAGAAAATATTATTGTAATTCAGGCAGTTTCCAGGAGAGAATTGGAAGTAGTTAGTAGCGGGATTATGATGGATGAAAATGATGAGGTGATGCCTGTTAATACAGAAGAGAGAGGAGAGAATGAGGATGTTGAGGAGGAAGAGGATGACGAGGAGGCAATTTGGAAGAGGATGACCTATATGACCTGTAATCATTACAATGAAGAACAATTATGTCGGAGCCGTTCGGCTAGTTGCAATACGACGGCAGAAAATTACGTTCGAATAGTTCATTTGGCGCCATACGCAATCGGAATACTCTTATCGAATAGCATTTGGGCATTCATTACTATTTGGCTTTCCGAAATTGCTATAGTACATACTAAGCTGGATGGTTTGATGACTTATAAGTTTGTATCTCTCTTCGGATTCTCTTGCCTAATTTCCAGGGGCGTTATGTCGCGCTTCAAATCCGTCAAACCTTTCATAGGTCATTTTATCATTTCTATAATTACCTCAGCAACTCTTTTCTTAGCGCCTTCTCTCATTGATACATACAATGGATTGAGCATTTCCATAATGCTAATCGGATGTAGTACGAACGCCTCATTCTGTTTAATTACTCCGTCAATTATAAGACTCATGAACAAGAGCGGCCTTTTAAAACCTGCTTTTAACATATGCTTATTGTGTTGTGGTGTTGGTAGCTTAATAGGGCCGCTTCTTGGAGCTGTTCTTACTGATTATACGGGGGATTTTACAGTCAGTTTCTATGTTGCGGGTATTACGTCTTTATTATCTGCGATGTTTGTTGCGTTTTATCATTTCATCTTTAAATAAATTGGAAAATTTTTATTGGAAGAATCACCAGATTGCATGCTATTTATATTCAAAAACTAAACAAATTCTTTTTAAAATGGTATATAAAGAAAACTCTATGTAGTGTTTCTGTACAAATAATCGTTTCGATACATTTATCTTTGTATACACACGTCGCTGCAGAGAGAAAGAAAATAGTCAGAGGGGAGGGGGATACAGTGGGCTAAGAGAGTTACGCCTTTCCTTAATATTGAGGACGGTAGGCGTAATGAGGTTGGAACGGAGTTGACCGACCGGATGTAAACGTCGGTGCTGTCGCATAAGGTGGAATGCAGGACGCGAAAGCGTTTTCTAATCCATATCCGGTTGGCCCCATCCTTCCTGGCAATAGATCGTGATGCGTTCGATAGGCCGCTGCAGCAGCCGCAGCCGCTAATGGATCAACAGCAGACAGTACATTCCGAGAAGTGCCCAACGCCGAATAAGGTGGAGGAGCCGGCTGCGTCACAAGACTAGAATGAGCGCCCTGTGGTGGAGCTCCCATAAATGTGGAATGTCCGTTGAGGGGTGGAGGTGGCGGGGGTGGGAAGTAGGATACGGGGTGATGTGCAGACGAACTTCGATGGGCTGGGAGAGGTTCAACTGGCGGATTCTCGTTCGATACGCTCGTCTTATGTGACGTCTGGCTGAGCGAGTTGAAGAGACCGCCATCCCACGGGGCTGCAGAATTCGATGCAACCCCCGACTTCCATCCCAAAGATGGTGTCGGTGATTGCAAATTTCTTCGATACATTTCTAAACTGTGAGTGTTATATGGAGGGGGAGGAGCTTGAGGTGCTGGTGTTGCCCAAAATTGTGTTGTAGTTGTAACAACTGCTGGTGGTTGCCTTGGTGGTAACATTGCAGAAGTTGGTGGCAAGGGGAAAGAGTGAGGTGTGACTTTCGACTGAATCGAGACGGTTGTTGGATTTTGCTTTGGTGGCGCCTTTACAGAATTGAATGGCGCAGGGGACGGAACAGTTTTGAAAGCGGATACAGCTGTAGGCACAGTCGAGGGTGTTGGAGATTCTTTCGTTATTTTAGGTGCCGGCTTTGCAAATGAAAAGTGTTTATCAACCCATCGATCTGTATCCGATTTGGAATCGGTACTAAATTGAGTCGTCGAAGTAGTACTCTGTCTTGCCATCTTCTTTTTCCTAACATCAACTGCCTTTTGCGTTGAGATTGTACTAATTCTTCTTGATCTATTCCCAATCGTCGTGGGTGCTTTCACGACAATTGACTCAATAGACATAATAGATCGCAGGGCATCGTTAATCTTAATTAGAGTTATCGTGCTGTTCGACTTCTTTGTTTTAGAGCAGGGTGTTGAAGTTGGTAAAGGAGGTGGTAAAACACTATTTCTAGAATCCACATTATCAATAAATTCCTCATATTTCATAGACTTAGTTGTAAGGGTGTAATGCAATTTAATAAATTCATCTTCCTCCTCTTCTACTTGTTTTCCCACCCCTAGGTTTGACATAACGTCAGAAAGAAGAACGTAGTTATCCGTAACACCATTAACAGTTACATGATAAGTATTCAAATGAGGTTCGCGTGAGAATTCAAAAATGACATCATCAGATTTATCAATCGATGCTGGGCATTTATCTAATACGTTTAATGAGCCTTCTTCAGCTTCTTCGTCTGCAAAAAAATCGTACCAATTATATTAATTAAATATTTAAGATGAGTTTTATTATTTATTACCCAATAATGAGGATGGTCCGGCAAAAGTCCAAGCTTGGCCAATGTCAGTTTCCCACCAATCATCTTCTTCTGATTCTTCGTCGTCGCTTTCTTCACTTTCTTCATCCTTTGCCTTCTTCTTCTTCTTTTCCTTTCTTCGTTTTTCCATTTCCTCCCTTCGTCTGACGCGTTCGTGCCATTTACGAACTAGCTCGTTCTCCTCTTTGCGTATCTTCTTATCTTTTTCGTAACGTTGTTTCCTTAGTTTGACTCTCTCCCCACCGTATTGTTCTGTAATGAAAATTCAACAGTGTTAGCCAAGAGGAAAACGAAGTAAACTATAATTTAGGCCACTCATTCCTACACACTTACTTGGATGAAGGACTACTGCGTACTGCTTAGCCATCTGCTGTGTGAGGGCAGAGTCGTTCGATTCAACATAAGCATCACGTAAGTAGCCATTTAACAACTTCTTCATCCTCTCTGACTGAGTCAGATCTAATAGGTCGTTACCAGAATAAGTGAGTAAAGATAGATCAGCGCCATAGGCCAATAAAAGTCTCACTATTTCCACTTTATCACTTTCTATAGCATCTCTTAAAGGTCTAAGGCCATCAAGAGAAGCAACATTTACGTCGGCTCCATGACGAAGCAACATTGCGGTAATATTAACGAAACCTTGCAAACATGATTCGTGCAAAGGAGTAAATCCGGCATTATCTCGAGCATTCACATCTCCATAATCGGATTCCAGGCAGAACTTCACGACCTCTTCGTTGCCTTTTCTAGCAGCTTTATGTAGGGGAGTTTCACCAGCTTCCCTTCTCAGAGAACCAAGTTTTTTTATTTCAATTGGAATAGCTGACGCCGCGTTTGTAACTGTTGCAGTTTCACTTCTATGCGATGACGACGGTGATGAACAAGCCAGTCTTGCACTCTTAGTTGGTAGCTTTCCGAGTTTCGTCCGTCGAGCATCTGGTGTATTCGATCTAGAATTTGAAGCTGCGGGACGACCTCGTTTCTTTGGACGTGGTGTTGATACAGTAGCAGCAGACGTGATGCTCGTGTCATCACGCGATTCGCTACTTCGTGCACGAGTTGGAATTTCATCGGGAAAGAGTGCTCGCAATTCTCTAAGCATTGGCTGCCTCCGTCGCTTATTATTCTCTTCACTCTCCGATGTCTCCGATGTACCTTCTTCATCACTTTCCTCTTCGGACGAGTTACTTGATGAAGATTCTTTTATATCCATAACAACATCCTCGTCATCCTCGTCATCTTGCTCGACAAATGAGTCAGATGAAGAGTCCTCGGCGAAAATTCCTCGTGCTACTCTACTCTTCAACCTTGTACTCTGTCTTAGTCTCTTTACCTTTTTCTTACGCTTCTTCTTCTTACGTTTCTTTTTTGCCTCTTTTTCCTCTTCATTTCGTTTATTGGCTTCAGGTGAAACAGGTGTTTTCTTCGCTTTGCTCGGTGATTGAACTGTAGTGGCTGAAATCCAAACAATAGAGTTTTTTTCTATACTAAAAGGCCTAAGTACTCTACGTCATGTCAATAAAATTATTACCTTCTGGTTGATGGCGCTCAACACTTCGCTTATTCGAACCGGTAGATGGCGTCCTCGAACACTTCTTTTGATTGCCCGCTGACGACGAACTGCCATTCATTTCGGAGAGCTGCATGAAGGCACGCTGCAATATTTATTTATATAAAATTGCTAGTCTGCAATAAATAATCCCTTTTCGTGTGTTATACGTACCTGCAGAGCCCTTTCTTCTCTACCCAATTTTGATGGGTCAGCGTAAAGGTCATCGCACGATTTTGATCGCGTCTCGTCACCTACATAACCCTCTGACGTATGCAATTCGTCCAATAGCGAACGTCGTTTCCTGCCTCGCGTATGTGGAGGCGACATTCGACTACAGTCCGAATCATTCCCCTCTCCATCTTCGTCATCATCCTCGCGATTTTTTTCCGTTTGTTCTCTTTTCCGAGTCATTCGACGAGTGAGACGTTGCGTTTCAGCTTCACTCTCCTCACTATCGGATGACGTCACTGCCTCCGATTCTCGTTTGTTAGCGTTAGAACGAAGGCGTTTTGCCGGCGGGGATGATTCGGAGGCGTTAGTGCTACTGATTTCTCCCTCATCGTCCTCTTCACTATCCGCTCTACCAGCCTCTTTCTGTTTTCTTTTTCTCTTCGCGGGTGAATCGTTTGTTGCAGCGTTAGTTCCTCTCCTCGAGCATGAGATATTCTTTTTAGGAGATTTGTCTGCAGTTTTAGATGTCTTTCGAGCTCGAGTGCGATTGGAAACATTGTCTTCGTCTTCGTGTTCACTTTCGGAGGAGCTGACTTCCTTCTTTTTCTGTTTGTTATTGCGACGTGGAGGTGTTGATAGTCTCTTTTTGGGACTTTGCCTTTTAGGCGCGTTTTGTGCGCATTGACTTCGGGTTGTGACGCCGCTCTCAGAAGCGTCGCTGTCGTCTTGAGAGCTGGCACTGCGCGCTTGACCTCTTCGACTAGTTACATTATTGTTGTTGCTAGTTCGGCGACGTTTTGAAGTTTTAGTTGTATTGGACGTCTGTTCGTCTCCGGACGAACCCGTCTCATTTTTCGCACAACTTTTCGATTTACGACCAGCGGGAGGTCTGTGCTTCGAAGCACTGCCGTTTTTTTTCGTTTTTTTCAGGGGCGATTGAGCCTGTTTAGGCGAAGAATTTCTCGACCGTGTTACACGTACTTCCGGTTTTCGCTTTTTGTCACCGGACTCATTATCATTATTTTCTTCGTCTCCCTCCCCATCATACTCTTTGTCCGACTCGTCTTCCTCAGGCTCTTTTTTAACTTTCTTTCCCTTTTTCACTTCTACCTTTGGCTCCTCCTCGTCACTACAACTGACAGAAGGTCGTTTTGACCGTGAAGCTTTTGACGTTGTCTTTTTCTTCTTCCCATCAACGTCGAGTCGCTTCTGCGGCGTCGTGGACGGCGATTCGCAAGAGACGCGTCGTGCGTCCGTTATCGATTTAGACTCGTCCGCTTTAGGGGTGCTATCTGAGCGTTTGGTGGCTGACGACGCATCCGATACGGAAGTTTCAGTTGGCTTTGTAACCACTGCTAGGTCAGCTGCTTTGTCTACCTTGTTATTGCTGACGACTGTTTCTTCGGCGCTCTGTTTCTGCAATTTACATTCTTCCGTCACTAAAGGTATTAGTCGCTTTGCCGAGAGGCAATTTTCGTCACTAGGAGTCGCTGTTGGGGCGACGGACAAAGGCGTAGCGGTATTGTCGTTGCTATTGGTCCGCTGTTCGGAGGCTTTAGCTAACAGTGGGAATCCACATTTTAGGGGAGCCAAAACTGGGGAGGCTGTCCGTTTAGTTCCGGCACCCGCCGCCGCTCTTTTCTCGAAACTAGCTATAAAACGAACGGCAAAATTGGACTTTGAAGCGGGTGCTGTTGACAAAGCCGTTGTCGGTGGTTCGTCGCCAACCGATGAACTGCCTGAAGCCTGAGGTTTAGGTTGTAGGACGGTTGTATGGGGTAGCGCAGTCGTTGTTGTGGGTAAGCCATGTCTCATAGGTGATACTTTGTGCACGAGCGTCCCTGTTTTAACGCCGATTCGTGATGACGGTGCTAACGGCTTTGACATGATTCGAGAGGGCGCAGTCATTTTACCGGCCGTATTCGGCCTGCTAAGAGCGATGGTTGGTAGGTTAAGATGGCGACCCATAGGTCGGTCAATGACGTTCTTTTCCTCCATCTCTTCCTTCTTGCGGACGGACAGGTCGAGTGGAAGGGCCCCTTTACTGGCCGAAAGATCGAGTGGAACCGTTTCCGACGGTTGCGGATTAACGGTGGCTTGTAATTTTCCGCCACTTTGTTCTGAAGAAGCGTCGTTTTTCGAAGACGAAAAGAACGGCGCTACCGGCTTTACGGCTTTCTTGTTCGTCGTCGTCGTCGCAGCCGCGGCGGCGGCAACAGCATTATCTCCGCTAATCGTCGCGCTGCGATAATAACATCAAAATATATATACTAGTTTAACATACCTTGACTACAGGTAAAAATAAAATTTTAAAGCTTTAAAAAATTCATAATACATCAAAATTTCATTGTATGTGCACCCGGTAAATTTTCAAGCAATATAAATTTTACGTATTTAGAGAATGTATATTGCTTATAAGCAAGCCCGTGTACGCGTATAAATCCTGGGAATAGGGTGAAAAACGAACGCCAGGCAGCAACAAATATATACTACAAACGACAATCAATATTAAGAGAGAAGGCGAGCGTACAAACGTTGTCGCCGAGTTCGCCGTTTTATAACCGCCTTGTTATCGCGCCGCACCGATCGCTAGTATAACATAGGCCCATTGAAATCGTCGGACAGGTGCGCGTCGCCCATCAATTAAGCGGCCAGATTTCGCTACGCAAAATAACGCTCTTCATCAAACAGATTTGTGGACACATTGATCTTTTTCGCCTCGTTCCTTCGTTCTTTCAGACTATCTATCTATCTATCTATCAAAGAAGTCACTTTTCAACTTAGAAAGGTGTATAAAAGAACCAAGAAATAGCTAAAGTGGGTGGAGCACAACTAAGTGAGAAAGCCATTTGTATAGAGGGTAGGGATTTTACATTTTTGCCGGGCAAGAAATAAAATTGGTTTAAGGACGGGAAATGGGGGAGAAAATGTGAAGCGTAACGGTAGGCGCGTAGGCTCGATTCGGCTCTCGGGCAGCAGCTGCCATTCACAACAAAGAAATGCCTGTTTCTTGCCAACGTCTTCCAGCGCCACCTATTTTGCCGCATTGCACGCTCGCGGACGAAATTCTAGGCAGTAGGAAAAACGAGTTGAAAAGGGAATCCATACGAGAATTAATTGCGTATAGTGCAATATGCGTACAAACGTTCATTTTAGGATGCTGACAATTAAAATATCTCTTGACCAATTATTGAAGCAAAGCAAAGGACAAAGATAAAGAGAGAATTAACTTTTTGTACATCTGCACTTTATGGGATATATATATATATATTTATACATGGTATACAAGAATGCGTGTTTGTGCGTGTACATATGTATACGCATGTATATATATATATATATATATGTATGACAAAGCCATTACAATACATACACAAATATATAGATATATACAACATGTAAGCTCTAATGGAAAGAGGTGAAAAGACGAAAAAAGGGTAAAATCGTGCGTAGTGAATGAGGCGCATAGAAAAAATCTGTTCGACGCGATAATAATTCGTTCGAAATCGGCGGCTTATCGTAGGATTATCGGCGCCGTTTTAAAAAAAAACACTGAGTACCGAATATCGCACGCGCTCGCAAAATAATGATTTGAAATTGTTGTCTTATATACACGTACACGACTTACACGCTCTTTTCCCTAACCAGCATTCATTTTTGTACTCATTCATTATAGTTACTCACCTATCAACGACGTTCGATTCACTTCGATTCTCCGACGAATCGTCCATCGACTATCCTGTATAATAAAAATTTGCTAGTTTAGTTAAGATCTCTAGCGCGAAGGCGTCATCAGCTATATTTTAATATGCATATATTTTATATTTACGAACCGTATGGAAATGCATACGTGCATATGCTTGTAATGTGCGTTTTTTTGTTATCGAGACAATATTTTTTTCATTCAAATACCACCATGGCAACCGACTTCCTCGAACGCCGCAAAACAATGATACGGGCGCAACATTCGATAAGGGGACCGATGATTGATTAGAGCCGGCTTAAAACTTATGTAAATATCCGATATGCTTGGAAGAGACAAAGGAGGGTAGCAAACGTGCCATATTCAATACAAGGTCTGCCGCAGATTGTTCACGATGTTTAATTAACGCGATTGTCTACGAAAACGTACACAGCCAGTAAGCGAAGTTTGTCAAATGAGCTTTGATCCTACCTATTTCAACCAGACGTTCTTCATTTGCCGAAAGGCGTCAATAGACGCCAAAAAATTTTTGTCGAAAGAACCGTCCCGTCTTGTTACGTAATCGTATTGATTAGTCGATATAGGGCGGGCTATAGCGGCAAACCGTTGGAATAATACGATTGTCGGCTATTTCTGCCATTAGGAAATTTGTCGGTAAAAAATATTTAAAGCTTCGCAGTGGCCTGAAGCTAAAACACACGGCGAGCGCGGCACCGACGCCAAGCTCAACATACACACACCAAGCACATATCTACATACTCTCGCTCTCTTCCTCTTTATGTGCACTTACCGACGTTGATGTCAAGTAAACCGCCGATGCAGGTTCTTGATCAACTATCTTTCATCATTTGGAGGTCAATTTTAAACTGGAAATATCCGATTTTTAGGTAAAACAATAAGGCCGACGAGAGTGTAAATCCTCCTACCGACGACTCGCCTCTAACTGAGAGCGCAACACGCTGCAGCGGCGAGTCACGTGATAAAAGCGTCTGCTCTTTCCGCCTTTTCGTATTTTTCCTAATTTTTATTGATAATAACATTATACAAATAAGATTTTTCCAAGCTGGAATCTTTAAAAAAATAATATTTCGTAAAAATATTTACGAAATATTCAAAATGGCGAAAATTATGTACGAATTATTACAAACTTTCAGCTGTATTTGGGTTTTTCTGCTTCTAGGTAAGGTATTTAATATGCTGACACGTTAATATTTTTATTGGAAAGGTATTAATGTCAAAATTTGGAACTGTAATTTTCTTGATGTGTAATATGATGTTGGAATATATGTTTCGATTTTCGATTAGTAGTCACATGAGCAGTTTATCAGTAGCGCCTTCTCCATTGTATGCTTACTAAATGTTAATTTATTTTTCTCAGGCACATGTAATGGATTAGGAACATTCCAAATTAAGCATTCACCAGAGTATGTCGTGTTCCGACAAGAAGCACAACCCATTCCTTCAAGTGAAATTTCTCCTGTCGTTTCCCAGTTGCTCGGCTTTACTGTTCATCAGGTTTCTTTGCTGTTTCATAACTTTAATCATTTATATTTTTCTATATATAACGTTCAGGGGGTATCATGGAATGGTTTGAAATCTGTGGACTTCTTTAAAAGACCCAAAGCAAATGTCCTGTTCACAGTTGAAGGTGGTGAAAACATTGTCAATTTGAATTCTAAGCTCGCTTATGGTCTAACAATGGTAAGCAGTTACCGCATTTTAACTTGGACTTTCTATTTATCTCAATTCTTTTTTTTTTAAAGGACACGCCCGTAATATATACCCAAAGGCTCGTTGAAACCCTAGAGTCAGGGGAATTTGATCATAAACCTCTGATCGTCGACTACTCGCTTACAGATTTTTTACCGAAGCTTAAATTACGTTATCCAGAAATTTTTGATTCTCTACCATCTACCTTTGAACAAATTCGACGACACAGGGTAGATCGATTTCTTAAGGACGGAGGAGAGTCTTTAAATGCGAGCAAAGAAATCGATATGCAATTTTTAGCCGAATTAGAAATTGCTTCGACAATAATCGACGCTGTTAGTAATGATCGTAATCCCTTTTGTATCATTTTAAACAGAAGTTTTTTCCTTTACAGATTCATTCTAAAAGGAGTTATATAGAAGACAACAGTCCTGATTATATCCACATGCGTTTTACAGCTCTGAGGCAGTTAAGGCAAACTTACGGCGATGAGAGCGTACAGGTGAAAGCAGCTGCCAAAGCTCTTGCAGCCTTCGTTGATGACGTGCGTGTTTTTTGGCTAAAGAATTATTTGTTTATTATATTTTATTTATTTTCATATTTCATTATTCTTTTTTTTTCTTTTACAACCTCTTACTTCAACAGGCCGCTAGGCTATTTAAAAAATTTTACAATGGAAACGTAGTCATTGAACAAGTAGTGCTGCCATCTGTCGTCGATGGACCTCATTTAAGAGTAGTCCGCAGTCTTCAAGAAAAATCATCTGACACTAAAAAAGATGTAGGCCTTTCTTTTTTTTGAGAATAACATATACAATTACTGATTTTGTTTACACAGCCGAACTTTGCTAACGTTACCGAATCGTATCCTGTTGTTTTCAATATAATGTTATGGCTTATGGTAAATTTTTTTTTCATTTGTTTAATTTCAAACTTATTCATAGAACAATAGGTTTCAAGTCTAATGCTACTATAACACAAAGATTATAATCACTCGTATTGATTAAGCAAATGCATTGTTTTCCTGACAAACTTTCAATGTCACTTTCCTCGTATACAGATTATACTCATTCTCGCCACCATTGGTATTTCATTGACGATGTGGAATATGGATCCAGGACGCGACAGCATCATCTATCGAATGACTAGTCAACGCATGAAAAAAGACTAATAATTCTCTTTATGTAATATTAAAGACAATGATCGTTATCATAGGAATATAGATATTATACACACAATATACAAAACCCTGTATACATACAATTTCATTTTGTAAGATAGATCTCGATTTTGACTTATAATAAATAGATTGCATTTTAAAAACGTCTGTGAGCGTAATCCCGAAAAAATTCAAACTGTATATATGTATATATATATACAACAATATTCTAGTGTTTCTGTCCCTGCAAGTCCTGTAAATATGCTTTCTTCGGCGGTAGGCGAACAGTATCGCCCATGGACGACGATCGTCGGCCTTTATTCCCATCATCGTCATTAATTGATAGTTTCCGGACGGTTGCGCGTTCATCATTCAGATTATCAACGCTACCTCTCTCAACTGTCGCTCGATCTGTACGTGGCAAGTGCTGAGGAGACTGTCGAATAAGCGATGGAGGTACGAACGGGGAAGTAGCATTAGCGGTAGGTTCACTAGATTCACGCCAATTGGAATTATTTCTTTCCCATTTTTCTATTAATTCACGATTGAAGCCAGTTACTTCAAACATACAACGTTTGTTAGAATCCTTCAGACGCTGTGGTAGTTCCTCTGTTTGTTCAGTTTCCATTTGGGTTTCTCTAGGTCTAGAATGCAGGAGTGATTCAGGAATAATATTGGGCATATGATCGGGTGTGGTTTTCGGACATATGTTAACAAAAGTCGAAAAATCTTTTGTGCTTTTTAAATCTGTAGGAGTGTATCCCGGACCGTGTCTACTTATCGTCATTCCAAAGTATCCTGTTACTTTCTCCGTCGCCTTCGATGCCTCATCCATCTGACGAGATAGACTGTTTATTCCGTCGCACGATAAATCGAGCGGCTTTTCGTCCATATTAAAAGGGTTCAAAAGGACATTTTGCATTTTTCTCAATGTGCTACAGGTCGATTGATCATCTGTGAGGAAAATATGGGGTTTTAATTAGGCCAACACCAGGTGGCTCTGCGCTTTTAGATATGATCATTGGCGACTTTCTAATTACGATTGCGTACTGTCAGTCAATTAACAATCTGTATTATCGCTTATTCGATGGTTTGAAACCGGAACGACTCATAAAAAGTTACCGATCACTTACACTCAGTCCCAGATAAATTTCAATTAAATATAAACACGCATCAATACGTCGCTCAGTTGTTGGTAAAAAAACAACAAAAAAAATCTCAAACGCCTACGTAATCCAAGGGAACTCGAACCAATGACCTTGAAATAGGAAAGGATCCCAGCAAACAAGTTATACAATTAATTAATTTCATAAGACGATCATATTATCCTCCTTTCGGCATATTTTTTATAATCGTCATACTTTAAAAATTTGCTAATGCGCACGCGCCGAATAAAGGCTTACATTCTTCTATTTACCAATCTAAATCATTGACCGGTAATGGGTCATTCGTCAATCTAAAATAACAATTCCTATTCCATTAAAAAATTTAAGCATACGGGTTTATCCCTAACGACATATGCGCATATATGTGTTATCCATAATAAAAGAATGGAAAACTTTGCCAATAACAATTTAACATCTGTCAAATATACTTACACAAAATCTAAATAGTCCTCTTCGTCTAAAAACTATTAACATATACGTACGTACTCTTAAAACACCTTAAGATACGAAACGAATTCATAAAACAGTGAAAAATCGTGCGGCGGACATGGATTGATCCAGCCAGCTGAAGTACCTACAGTGTCCGATAAACAGTTCATCGAAAAAGCGCCATGTTCGCTACGTATTCCTATCTATGGCAACATTTATTTAATAACAGCTTAGAATACGGGACCAATCTAATCGACCAACTTTCAGCCTACGACCATGAGACGCTTATGTTGAAGAAACTAGGGCGTCTAAAAGAATTTAAGTGAACATTTTATTATGAACCCAAGGGTTAACAGTGCTTAACTCGGGCTGTAACCTTGATTTCTGACGAGTTTTATCAAATTCTATTTATAACAACCAAAGTAAAAGCTCATCTAACACAAGTCCTAGATAATGGACAAAATCTTACGCCGACTGTTTTATCGAGGTCGTTGAGTACAATCGATAATTCTACGTCAGTAGCTGCTTTTGAAAATGTTCATGTTTACCAGGGTTTTTATTCCTCTACCATACTCATAATGTACTATTTCATCGAAATTCGATTTCTTAATAACGATCTAGCCTTCGAACCAAAAGTCCTATCTAATGTTGACCTCAAAATAATCAATCCGATCATAGTCTGTTTTTTTTTTAATACTTCGGATTTGCACATAAAAATCGAAAACTATTATTTTAGAATTGTTTTTTTTCCTCATAGTGTTACATAATGACAAGATGGTGGTAGCGCACTAAATACCTTATACGAAAACTCTATCGGTTATTCACTTCGTTCGCCTACGTGAAAAATGACGACCAATTACGGATAAAACAAACGACGTTTTTTTTTTGGATATTTGATGTTTACGACTACTGACTACGGTTGGGTGGAGTTGAAAAATAAATTTTAAGCGTAGTAAAGAAGGCAGGCTTAATAAGACCGTTTGCTGTCGGCCTACAAAAAACTAGAACGTAGCCAGTCTTGCGGTCGCCGACCTTTCAAACAGGACCGGTAGTGAGGAGGCTAATCAAACGTGTGCTCCCTAAAGACTCAACTCCTTTAATGCAAATAAAAAAGGGAGGGAATTATAGGCAATGTCCCGCGGATACTTACCAGCCTTTATGCGGTCAAGAAGCGTGTCCCTATTGTCCCCAAGCGGCGTTCCAAACTGTCTCTGTAGACTGGGGCGATATTATTTCACAGTCTATCGTCAAATATGCAATATGTCCTTTTATGATCCGATGGTTAGCATCGCTATCAATAATAAGAAAAGGCAATATTAGACGTAGAACATTGAAGAGGCTTCTCCATTTTTCTGCCCGATAGGCGTAGTTAAAAAGCCGGTCATCAACGCCACCTATGTTACATATATTTTTCTATTTATTTATAGACCTCACTCTGAATATCACTATTTTCCTTTTTAAAACTCGATCAATAAAACAGATATATTGAATTCGTTCAACTTTTCCATTAATGATAGAGCTATACAAGACTAAAGAAAAAAAATTATGAATGCTCTGCACAAATATTCTCGAAATTCAGGACTTATTGTACTAATAGAGCGTCAGATTCTTAAAGAACGTCCTGAAAGGGTGTTTTGTTCGCACAGCACGCATAGAAACATATTTTTTTCATAGCTAACTAAAACTTTCTAGTCAAAAATTTTTATGACATTATGTTGCTACTATTGTCACACTTTGGGAATTTTATATTATATTCTAATTCTTTTTTTGTCGATATTTTTAATATGTAAAAAAAAAACTGGCAAAGAAAGAACATTCTTTTTGTTAGTTATAAAAATATATATCAGCTGGTTAGTAGAGATAAATGAATTTGTCACCCACGTTTTTTTACCTTTTTCTCTGGGTCTATCCTTGTTAACTGACGCTAAGTGACGGTATTGAGTTTAAAAGGGGTGGGTCTCTTATACGCTTATTTCTATCTCTTTCGTATTAATAACGATTATTACGCATTCCTAAAGATAGCGCTGTCATCGCTATTGAACTTATTGTTAACGGATATAATGAGGAATGGCCTAATATATGAATATAAATTATATATATATAGATAGATAAACAGTTTATAAACTAAATACATATTCGAAGTCTATTCCATGAAAAGATTGTAATCAAACTACGAACTAGTTCAAATTGGCGCGAAATTTAAATTTTAAATCTAAACTTTAGTGAAAAAAAGTGTAATGATAAAAAGCCAATGGAAATAAAGTTTTAGTCAAAATTCAGTTCAGAAATGTTCATACAGTTTTTGCTCATTGTAATGTACTCTGTATATTTGTGTCAAGAACATTGCATTAAATACATACAATCAAGCGTTTAGTGTAAAGAAGCATTCCATTTTCGAGTATATCATTTTCGAATTTGGAGGCATCTTTATTCTTACCAACTACTCCTCTGAGGGAAGATATACAACAATCTTTTTCTTCTGATAAACAAATCGAGTCTTGAATTACGAGAAAAAAATAACATTAAAATTTCTTCTATCGTTATACCAGCCTCTGAAACTAAAGGTCTATAATGGGCCTCTTCGATAACCAATAGAGTTTCACGTATATAAGTAAGGAAGGCTTTGGCGCTTTCCCGCATACAAGGAGCAGCAAAAGAAAGAGGAAAACAAAGGAAAGTCAGAAAGATGGAAAAAGCAGATAAAGAAATAAAAGCCAAAAAATGGAGGATGGTGAAAAATATTGCCGTAGTGACGGTTTCGTTTGTCTTTCTATATTCGGCAGTCATAGGGTTATTCTTACTCCAAAGCAGTTTGAATGCTGAGATGGGTGTAATTTCACTAGGAGCTAATTTTGCGGCAACTGCATTTTCATGCATCTTTCTTTCGACAATTGTCGTTCAAAAGTTAGGATGTAAATTGTCCCTAGTCATAAGTATGATCGGTTTAACATTATGGATGGCGGCGAACCTTTACGCTTCGTGGGCAACACTCGTCATTGGGGCTCTATTAATGGGCTTAGGTTTGTATTTATAAGGATAAAATTGAAAATGTGTATTTTTTTTATAGGATTAACTGTAAAGTAAATTAGTATCTATCAAGTTTTTTAAGAATAATTCATTGTCCATGATATTTTGCAGCATGGTCTGTATTATGGACTGCTCATTGTACTTATTTTACCCTAAGTGGAATTGAATATGCACAACTTACCAATCAGCTTCCAGATGCAATTTTGTCAAAGTTTTTTGGAATTTTCTTCATGCTTTTTATGTCAGGTTGTTATTTTATTTTAATTAATGTCGACAAACATATCTGTTCTTATCGTAGGTAACGAGCTTACGTATATTTGCCACATGTTTTTTTCCATTGTTTAAACAAATTATAAACGTGGATTTTGTGATTTATGTTTGAAATTATCGTGTGAAATCCCAAGAATGACATCCATTCGTTTTAGGTCCAATATGGGGAAACATACTTTCTTCGTCTATACTTTCGATGTCCTCCAACAATGCTGTTATTAGTAGTAACACAACTGATGTCCTATCCTTTGAGCATTGCGGAGCTAATGATTGCGGATTAATAGCTGGGGGAAATGAGACAACTGTAGACTCTCAACGCCCAGAACAATGGGTAGTTTGGACGCTGGTTGGGACTTATGTTGTTTTTGGCGTCATATCGATTATTTTTCTATCCATTTTTATGGACCCTGAGCCAGCTAAACAAAAAGAAAAGAATAAAAATGTTAAATTTAGTGCTAGCTTGTTTACTTCGACGATATCGCAAATGGGAAACAAATATCAAGTTCTATTGGCGCCCCTGACAATCTATACTGGAATGGAACAAGCTTTTATGACAGCGGAATATACAAAATCCTATATAGCATGCGCTATTGGAATCGCTAGTATAGGTAAAGTTGTTATAGCTTATTGCGCATCGGCTGCCGTTGTATCTGTCTTGTCAGGTATGGTGGTAAAGAGACTTGGTCGTGCTCCTGTATTTGTAACAGGTATGTCATTTGCACATTTAATATATGCTATGATTGCGATTAATTAATATGCAGCTTTTGCCGCCCATGTGATATGCCTAAATATCTTTCTTTTCTGGGTGCCTAATCCAAATGAGTTATGGATAATGTTTCTAATGCCAGCTGCTTGGGGAATAGGTGATGCTATATGGCAGACGCAAATAAATGGTATTTCTGAAATATAAATACATTTCCGTTACTATTAATTGGTTTAATATAAATACTACAGCACTTTATAGCCTACTTTTTCGGGATAATTCAGAAGCGGCTTTCTCGAATTATCGCTTATGGGAAGCCGTTGGCATGATTGCTTCGTTCTCATATAGTTCCTTCATATGCATTCGCATAAAAATTTACATCTTACTCACTGTCTTGGCTATAGGAATTATTTGTTTTCTACTTGTTGAAATCATAATTAGGCGTGAAAATCGGAGCGTGAATATTGCCGAAAATGAAAAGACTTTAGCCGTTAGGGATGATCGTTTATATCCAGTCACTGAAGTTGTTAGACACAAGTCGCCTGTTTATGTGCCTAAATATTCTACCGATAAAGCTGCTGAAATAATTAGGCTAAGAACAATGTCACAAGATGGTACTGAAGGGCAATCGGAACAATATTTCCGGAGATTGAGCGTTTTCGTTCCTGTTGCCGATGAGGAACAAAATAAATGATTATACTAAAAGCACACAAAGCGTTCATAGATAGATAATGCACGATATCCTAATGCTTTACTTTTCTACAGTATGATGATAGCCATTATCTCCTGTATAATTGTTAGATTTTTACCAAATATAACCATTCTTCACGACAGAACAACAATCGATTTTGAAAAAAGATACAGGCGTAGTATGGGAAAAGAATCAAATTTTGCACTTCAAATTCAAAAACGAAAAAACCATACTTCTCTGTTTATAAACAGTAATTGATGCAATCTTATAGGCATACACGTAGCATTTCGTTTGGCGCGCGAACCAAAACCGGAAAGAACGTTACAATCGTAGAACTTTTGAGTATGAACTACAGATTTACTGACTAAAGCTAATTTTTTGAAACATTTAACTGGTAAATAAAAAATTTAAAGGGGAGATAAGTAATTTAAGTAAAAAATTATTCATTTTTAGCAATAATATCAGTTGAAAATCAGAAATATATGGATTCAAGTAGCGGAAATGAAAAATACTCAACGAACCCTGGGGAAGAATACTGTATATCTTTGTTAATTTTTTTTTATCTTTAAAGCTTTTTTATAGCATATTTAAGAATAATTTAAAGTTAATTAATATTAAATAAGTCTAATAATTTCTAGAAGTCAAAGAAAGTGACTTTTCTGAGAAGACTTAAAATATAAAAATAGGAAAACATGAGGCTAGGAAAAGGCATGGTTATGGGAAAAAGTGAATTATATTACAAATTAACTTGGCTATTACATTTATTATATCAATTTATACGAAGAATGTTAGTACCTTAAAAATTTGTTGAGTAAGAACTATTCAAAGTGAGTTTGAGCAGCAACTTGTTCCAGCACTATTTTTCAGGTACTACTTTCTTACACAGCGGAAGTAAATGAGCCTTAAGTTTTCCAGTTTACAAGATTGTAATAAATTAATTAAACCGTGTTTTGTCTTTAATATAGCAAAGTATTAAGATTCACCAAGTATTTTTGTTACTTAAATTCTTGTTGTTTTGTGATATTAATTAATTTTGAGTATTTAAAGAAAAATCACGGATTTTGTCCTAATTAATTGCCTGAGCAATTCGTTTATTTTTGCATACCGGTAAAAATAAAAGATTTAATAGGCTTACAGTATTCATTACGACTTTGGACTGACGTGTCTTTATACCAATATAGAATATTCTTGTGGTTTAAGCTATTAAATTTGATATTCGCTTATTGTCTATTTTCAATTGGACAACGTGGATAATAATACTTTGTAAGTCGAATTAGTCTTGATATTTTTGCAGTATTCCGTTTATCTGCATTTGTCAAGTAAATCCTATCATTGTTGCGCAACTAAAATTGCTAAAGTGGTCAGTTTGTGCTTTACAGATGTTAAAATGCCTGAGGACAACTTCAAACATCACAAAGGTCTTCTGCTACTTTGTAAAGCAGCTGAAGGTCTGATAATTAGATTGTTCATAATTTTTAATATAGTTACATAATTTTCTATTATTCCTCAACAGTAATTAGGCTAAAAGAGAAAAATGAGTGGAATAAAACAAAGTCGAAAAATTTCGGTAGCAACTCAAGTGTTAGCTCGTCATCGGATGATGAATCAATGGAAGACGTTGATTTCAGCGTCAAAGTTTCAATTGTGGAGCATTCATTGGAAAACGAGCAACTGGAAGAAGGGAAAACTTTACCATCGAAGCCAAATGACCATGAAGAGAAGGTTGAGTTGGAAGCAACTGAGGGGACTACCGAAATTGCTTTAACTTCAGATTCAGCTATGGAAATGGGACACGACGAAATTGAACGAAGCGAAGAAGTTAAAGAGGAATTAAGTCTGGAATTGGTGAATGAAGGTGAAGAAGTAACTCAATCAGAGTCTTTAGAGAAAGAATTCAAAAACCATTCGGACACGGATGATTTGAACAAAAAATTATCTGAGAATTCCTCACAATCGGACGTCATTGTGAAGAATTTGCCAGAAAATTCTGCAGCTAATACACAAGCGTTTTGTGGCAAAGTTGATATTGAGAGTCAACAAAACGAGAACGAGAGACAAGAAGAAGTTAATATGATAGAGAACAGGAACAATGAAGAAGGAGTTGAGGAGGAAAAACGAGAACCAGAGAAAGAGAACGACAATAAGGATGAAAAGCCAAATACGAACGAAAATTTCGATAAAAGTACGCATCAAACTGAAGATAACATGGAGGGAAATAAAAAACAAGAGACTGATGATAATAATGATCACTTAACAGAAATGGAGGATGATACGATGTTACTGGAAACCAATAGAAAAATTGAAGAGCATACAGTTTCAAATGAAATTGAAAACAACTTGAAATGTAACTCACAGGAGATTCTCGAGTCATCAAAAAGTGATGAATCATATAATACTAATAATGAAAATATAATCATTCATGAGTTAGGTGTAAATATTACCCAGGAGGAACAAACGGAACAAAGGAAATTAGACTTTGAGAGTATTGAAATTCTACCTTCTAGGATTGAAGAAGAAATGGAGACAGAAACGACAAACGAATTGCAAAACGTATCCGCCCAAAATGATCAGGACGAAAGTAAATGTAGATTAGAATCATCAATTGAGAATGAAGAATTTTCTAACACAATGAATTCTAATAACAATGAAGTAACTTCAAAAAATATAAAAATGTCATGTTGTCTAGAGAAAGTTAAAGATCCTTTACCAGAAGATCCGAGAGAAATTTGCATCATGGAGAGCGAGAAAAAAGAAGACATAGGTATCATAAGTGACATGGAGGAGAAAATGGAAGAGATTAATGAAAGTAGGATATGTGAAACAGCTGCTGAAGAACAAGCTGGACATATAGAAAACGATGCGGGCGACGTTTTGTCTGAAGAACAAGAGTTAGATGTTGAAAAGGTATCAGAAGTAGAAGAAATGAAAAAATGTGAAGGGAAAATCTCAACAGATTCAAAGATGAACTCTGAACTGCAGTCAGAAACGGAAGTTGTCAACGAGATGGAAGCAGCAGATAAGGTGGAACTTTCGAAAGAATCAGAGATGAAGAATGTTGAAGAAATTTCTGTCGAAACTTTGAGAGAGCCAGAAATTAATATTGAAACAATTCCACAAATGGAAATTGTCACTGAGCAAAATGTAGAGCTTCCAAAAGAACAAGAAAGAAATAATAAGGAGGTATTAATCGCTAAGTTTGATCAAGGGAAAAATGAGGCAGCGCCAAGTAACAACCAGTTGGGAAAGAGAGAGGCGGGAAGTGAGGTCAAGCATAGCTTTAAAAAAGAGCAAAGATCAAATGAACTGCCTCAGCAAAAAAAGAAAGCAAATGAAAAGCTTGTAAATCTAACTGTTAAGGAGCCGCCATTGTTGGAGTTGGGAAAGAGAGTAAAAATCGAAATGGAGGAGACAGATAAAATAGTTGAAATTGAAATGAAAGATGTTGAAAGGTCTCGAGAGCCTCTAAAGAAAAGAAAACAATCTGAGCCAAAGGAGAATGTAAAGCGAGTTGGTGAGAGAAGAGCAAGGCGAAGGGATACTACCAAATCTAAAGCTGAGAGTCAACGCACGAGAAAACAGGACAGTAAAACGAAGGAGAAAAAGAAACCACAGGAAAAAGCTCAAGTGGTCTTAGCCACATGTGAAAAAGAAAAGGAAGTAATAGTCGAAAGACAGAAACCTGAGAAGAGGAAATCCAGAGCAGAAGGAAAGAAGAAGACAAGTCGAGGTAAAAGTGAGAATGCAAAATCTAAATTAAAAAAAGAAACTTCTCAATCTCATACAACTAGTGAAGAGTATGATATAGAATTTATAATAGACGAAATGGAGAAAGTCAAACAGAAAGTGAGTTCAGGTAGAGCCAGTTGGGAAGAGGTTCTCTCCTACCGAATGTTTGATAGGCGACCTTGGAAAATGGATGAAATATATTGTCACTTACGCTATGACCTAGATATACATAGTGAAAATACAGTTTTTCTGGAAAAAGTGCGAATCTCACTACAACAGGCCCTAAAAAAATGGAAATATTCAAATCAGGTTGTTGACAATGTACTCATATATTATGAAGAATGTCTGTCTGCTCAATTACTGTCAGTGGACGAAATTATCTATTTGTTGAAGAGGCGTAAACCAGTCGTATATGATAGAAGACGTTTTCTATTTCAACGGGAAATGTTCATCGTCAGATCTTGTTTGGAGAACATAACCAGCACGGATAAGAATGTTATAGAACAAAACAGAGACATTTGCTATTATTTTTTATATGTTCAAGCATCAAGATTTCTATCTACTTTAGTAAGGAGAACCCAAACGGTAGTTGAAGCTTTCCTGAAATTCTCTTCCATGGTGAAAACGCCATCTTGTGTCCGCTAGAACTGGAACAACAGACTTTATTACTGTCCATTAAAAAAATCCGCCTACTCAAATTTAAATGACGCGGAGATTAGACGATATCTTGTTTGAATAAACCATTCCCATTATGTATATTGACACTGATAAGACGTAAAGCAATAAATGACACAAGTGTCGTTTAGCTTGGGTCGAAATACAAAGTATACTACGCGAAGAAATTTGATTAATTAACCAACACATGTTTATGCTATAAAAAAAGTTTATTTATATTATTTCGAATGCAATTTATAACCTTTTACAACACTTTGTCGGTGACTTAAGGCTATCCAAATAAGTAGAGTGCTGAAACCGTACCGCCCACATATCACAAAGTAGACTCTCCCAAATATTTTTAAAAAGGTTTTAAGTACATCCAAGCGATAAAGTTGTCTCTAGAACAAAGGTAAGCTGACATTAAAAATTCAAATATTTTCCTTTTTATTCTATTTCTATGTTTTTTATTAGTTTTGTAAAAAAACAGTCTTTTTTTCAAACTAGTATGAAATATGAAAAAAATATGCAAATATGAAAGAGGCACAGCGCAAAATAAGAGCTGTTTATATTTACAAACTTGCTATTTATTAACGATCGTGAGATTTGTGACCGTCTTATTAGTATTAATATGGCTGATAACGTGTATGAATGTCAGACCGATATATCCTTACCAACAATTCATTTTATTGCAGAAACCGCTGGTCTAGCTCTCATTCTTCTTTTCTAACTTTGAAAGCTTAAGAAACTCAATTATGCCTACCTACGAAGGACAAGCCACCATGTACATGAGGATGCCAATGTCCAACTCGAACTTGCCAATTGCAGGAACCTGCACAGTAGAGGACAAGAGAGTCGCTCTTAAATTTCCATTTACTGGAATTGAGTTCGATTTACCGCAATCTCCTAAGGTAATATTTTATATTTGATTTTTCTCAGGGAGTTAACTTTAATCATTCGTCTTTTATGTTTTTTTATAGGAAAATCGTAATGATTTTGACTTTAAGATCCGTGGAGCCAGAGGAGATATGACATTGACTATCGGCTATATCAGCGAATTGAAATGTTTTACTGGAAAAGGTGTACAGGAGGAAGACGATACTCCCGTTCTTACTTTTACCTTCTGGCCAAGCGACAGCGCAATGAAAAAGCTTCCAACCTGTTAAATTCGGCATACTAGATTTTGAACGATAGTAGAAAATATTAAAAGAATACAATAAAAAGTCTTATAAGCCAAGATAAAGGAAAACAAAATAAATAATATATCTTGTCAATACATGAAATATTTTAATAGTTCTGATAATTTTGATAATTTCTTTTAAAAGATAACAGAAATATTTTATGATTGCTCACGTTGGCAAATTTAAAATGTATTATCAGACAAGAGGTGTTTCGAGAGAAAAAAAAAATGAGAAATATTTAAACATGTTGTAACTGAGACATCATCGTTTGTAACTCTTTGAATTTATTAGCAGTTGTTTCTACACGATGAGCAATTAATTCTCTATAGAACAACACAGCGAATATGATAAAAATGACAATTGCAGGCATGATAATAACTGTTGACGCTGTCGCAGCTCCAGTTGTACTTTTGTATTTTCCATTACTAGTTTCTAATTTGCTAAATCTAATCCAACCTAGAATTGCAATATCGACCAGAAAGAGTAAGATACCGATGAATGTGGAGAGCATCCAAGAAATATCAATATAGTATCGCATTCGTACCTGTTGTCATTTAAAATTCATTGAGTTATATTAATTAAAGCGTTTTGTGCGTAATGATTAATTTACATGGGGAGATTCGTGAACTGAATTGAGTTCGTTCTGGGATAGAACTCCTTCTATATTGGGAAGAACACAGGTGCTTATCATCAACGCTAATAGATGTACCGCAACCACTAGAGTTGTACATACACTAAACGCGATTAATAAGCCTTCGTTAACATTTTTGGTATCGGACTCAACCATTACGACCATTGCGAAACCTGATAAAAGGGCCGATGTTCTGCTGGTCGCCTTTAATTTCGATCTGGCGAGATGCATATTCTTCCATGATAATCGAGTTTCGGCCTCCTCGCTATGATTAGGTAACCACGACAACTGTTCATTTTCTGTCATACCAGTGTAAAATTTTCGCGAAAGTTAAGTGCCTTGGAGGGAATAAATAAAGAAAAATTTATTCAATTTGAGTTGTTAAAAAAATCACCACCGAACCAGATTAAGAGGCGGTAAAGTCACGTGATTCCATTGTCATGTGATAAAAAACTATTACATGATAAATGAATTCTCTTGCCTCCTTTTTAATATTTTGCACCCTTTTGGGAACAGAAGCATTAAGTCTGTTGAGACATCAAGGCTTGAAGGAGCCAGAGGGGCATATAGATCGAAAATATTTACCGGCTCCTAAGTGGTTTGAACAAAAACTTGATCATTTTAACCCAGCAGACACAAGAACATGGAAGCAAAAGTATTACGTAAACAGTACTTTTTATAAACCGGGAGGGCCAGTTTTCCTACAAATCGGAGGTGAAGGCCCCGCCAGTCCTAAGTGGATGGTACAAGGAGAATGGATTGAATTTGCCAAAAGATATAACGCTTATTGCATACAAATCGAGCATCGATTCTATGGAGATAGTCATCCAACCAAGTAATTTATTATATAATGCGATAACACTTTTTGTAATAGGTCATCAATATTATTTCAGAAATGTCAGCGTTGAGAATCTTCGCTATTTGACAAGCGAACAAGCACTTCGAGATTTAGCTAATTTCCGGGTGAAAATGAGTAGCCTTTTAAAAATGAATAAAGCTAAATGGGTATCATTTGGCGGTTCTTATTCGGGTGCCTTATCAGCTTGGTTTCGCGCCAAATATCCTCACTTAGTTCATGCTGCTGTTGCATCTAGTGCGCCTCTATTTGCTAAAGTAAACTTTTACGAGTACTTAGAGGTTGTAGCTGCATCGTTAAATTCCATAAACCCTCAATGCGATGAACGCATTTCTTTAGCTTCACAAAAATTCAAAGCCATGCTTGCTAAGAAAAGTGATCGCCAGCTATTAAAAAAAATGTTCAAACTTTGCGCAGATATTGATATGAGCAAAAACGATGACGTTTCAAACCTACTTGAATCTTTGGCTGGTAATTTCGAAGGAATAGTCCAATACAATAAAGATAATAGACACTTTGAAGGTGGAAGTCAAATAACAATAGATTTGCTATGTAAATTGATGACTGGTGGCAAAAACACTTCAGAAAACGCTTTAGAAAATTATGCTAAAGTCAATAGTTTGTTGTTATTAGACGCGAATCAAACTTGCCTAGATTTTTCATATAAATCTGTTATCAAAGAATTACAAGATGTTTCTTGGAAGGCGGCAGTGGGTGGTCGTCAGTGGATATATCAGACTTGTAATGAGTTTGGGTGGTATCAGACATCTGATTCTCCAAAACAACCTTTTGGAAGTGGTTTCGGATTAAAATTTTCTGCCAAGATATGCTCTGATGTTTTTGGTGTATTTAACCTAAAAGACCTCGAAGCTAATGTAAACGAAACAAACACTAATTACGGAGCTAGAAATTTGAAGGCAACACGAATTGTATTCCCAAATGGTAGTATAGATCCCTGGCATGCAGTTGGTTTAACTAAGGACCTTAACCAGGATGCGCCGGCTATATTTATTCAAGGTACAGCACATTGCGCCAATATGTATCCACCATCTAAAAAGGATCCCCCACAACTAACAAAAGCTCGCCAAAAGATTGGAGATTTGCTTGAAAAGTGGCTTGCTCAAGATGCTTAAAATATTTATTTCTTACACAATACAATGCTAGAGTTTTATCGTGTTTAATTTCAATACATATATGTATATAAATGTATATATAAGTACACACACATATATACAGTATATATGTATTTTATATACACAATATATGTACATATGTATATATTTTAAAAACATTTCTGCAGTAAACAGTTTCAACGTACATGCATGTTTTTTTTATTGTTATTATTATTAAACCTTAAGTGATCTCGGCCGTTTTTTCACGATATGTATAAGGAGTTTACGAATGACGGCGAGACAGGATGAACGAATATAAATCACATGATCACAGTTTTAAGCTGTGCGATTAGAGAAATGTCATTCTTCTGCAGAATTTCTTAATTTCTACACTATGTCATCGGTGGCATAAATCCCTGATCAGTTCATACATGTAAAATATATATATATAGATATTTGTATATACATATATATATATATATATATATATATAAATATATATATATATATATATATATACTGTATATATATTTTAATATATATATATATATATTCTAGATAGATTCTCAAATATATTACCATTTAAGTATATTCCACTAGATAATCTGTCTATCTCCTTCTAAAAGATGATAAAAGAATTAACGTCTTTTAGTTTTATTAGGCAAATATTTTTTTATTATTATTTATTTTCACTTACTGTTCGCATAGAGAGCGGACAATGTAATAAACTGGTTGAGACACTCCTTTTCCTGCCAAAACTGTAACGAGACTTCTGACCATTTCGTCGACTATTCCAGGTGATGTGTCTTCAGCCTTTTGGAGGGCGTTCCGCAGGTTTTCAAACAATCTTAGTATATTACTATTGTTTCTAGCTACTTTTCCTTGTAGCTCATTGATAATGGGAATAAATGTAGAATGCAGACTTCCCGATACGGGCTCTCTCGGTGTGGGTTCTGGAGGGCGACTATCTTCCATCTGTAAAAAAAAATTAAAACAACAATGTAATAAAGATTCCCTAAAAAAGTTTATCTTTACCCGAAGAAAAGAAAAAAGACACGCGGGTGGTTATAAATGATAAAGCACGATTTATGACTGGTTAGAAAGAAAAAGGACTGAACTTTTCAATAAAAAAGAATGTCTTTTTTCTCGACTTTACCATTCCAATAAAAATATAAATTAGCATAGAAAGAGAATGAATTGAATCGAAATCTTAAATAGTTTTTAAAAAGTTTTCTTTACTTTCTAGTTATGTTTCATTAAATTTCTATAGTAAGGTAAATGTAATTTATATGAACATTATCTAAGCAGAAAGTTTAAAAGAGTAATATAAATAACTCTTTTATATAGAATATACATAAAACTGTTCAGAAATCCTAAAAATTTCATTCTCTCCTAATATTATAGAATAGCCAAAAAATATAAAAGTAGATAGATATAAAAAAAGTCTCTTTCTCTAAGCTCAACCGCCATTAAAATCGAATATATAAAAAAATGATGAAAAGGAAAAGGTTAGAGAATGAGAGGGAGAGAGAGAGAGGTGCGGTGTATGAATGAGAAAGATATGATACATTTAACCATCTAGTCACCAGGTTATTTTTGTTTAAATGTGAGCGCAACACTTACATCTTGTGAGACAACAAACAATGGATTTTTGCATATCCAACTGCCGATATGCTGACTATAATTTGGTTTAAAAGTGACCATTGTTTCACCACCACAAATCCGATGGGTCTTTCAATTTGGAAAAGACAAAAGCGAGAAAGGTCAAAAAAAGAAAAAAAAAACAATAAAGATTGCTTTTGTTAAAAACATTTAAAGTAAAACTATTCGTGTATGTGTACGCGTGTTCAGAAAAATAAAAAGTAACGAGAGTACTTTACTACAACACCTAAAAGATTCGTTTTAAACATACGTCAGTAAACGTTGGATCGGGAAAATCCGAAAGATCATCATTATCAATGCTAGGTCTTACACGAAAATCGGCAAGATTCTGAAAAACCGTAGTGCAAGAAGAAAAAGAAAATATTTCCCTCTACTTTTGTTATAAAGCGACATTATAACACTCACTAAATCTGATGTTGATGCAGTAGATGGTATATCCATGTCATCCAACTGTTGCGTAACAAGAATAAATGATTTGAAAAGAATGTCATATTTTCTCTTCTTTACACACGTATATAAATATTAATACATATAATATAGGGTTATAAATATTTGTTAATTTTAAAGGGAAGTTAAAAACAGTAAGCCTTATTCGATTGTTAGACGTGAAGCGAATTATTAGAATTTTTGAATAAAACGTCAACGCCTCTACTTACAATCGGCTTTTCAGGTAAATTCTCAAAACTAGGATTATTCTGGAAAATAAATACGCGCGAAAAATTGCGCATTTAGTAATGATAGGAAAACCATTTCGCCCATTAAGAAATGTTTAAAGGCAATTATATGGAAATTGACAAACACCTCTTTATCATCAATTAAATTATCATTATTCAACTGTTCCTTCACTTCATTTTCACTATCCTTAGACACATCCTTAGCCTTAACGATTGATATTTCAGTTGTTTCCTTTGGCTGCTTATTTACGTTAGTATAAAAATTTATACAAAAGTATTGATAGAATAAATTCGTTTTCAAGTAAAAATGAAAAAAAAAACCGTAATAAAAAAGAAATATGGTTTCTTTTTTTTTTCACTAGCTTAACAAATACCAAAAAACTAAGTATCTCGATTTACTTTTATATAAAAACACGTCATCAAAAAGTTTGATTTCTAATAATAGAATTTTATAAAATACACTTACGGAATGATTTTCTAGTTGAGTATTGGAAGGCACGGTCGAATTACTATTTTCCTTAGAATTTTCATTTTCTAAATTTGTATTTCCATATTTTTTCTCCAATTTTTTAGTAGTGACCGTCTCAAAATCCCAATCTCCTGTTGCACCTTCGCCATTCTCATCAGAACTATAATTATAAGAACAAATATAAATATATGCTCAGGAATAAAATTTTATTGTACTATTACTAACATTTCACTATCACTGTCGCTCGACTCTTGCTGATGACCCCCGCTAACCCACTTCTGATGTTTATCAATCAATTCTATAAGGTAGGACGTTTTTCGCGCTCTAGTTATATAGCGATACTTTAATAGTTCCTTCGCTGTCGGCCTCTAGAGGTAGTATTAAATAAATGTAAGTCAATAAAATATTAAATATGGTAGGTTTCATTGTTATAGCCTTACATTCTCGGGATCTTTATTTAAGCAAGCATCAACGAATTCTTTAAAGGCTTTAGAGTAATTTCCAGATAGAGTTGGCGCTGGATTCTTAGGTATTAAAAATAAAGCTTTCATCGGATGTAAATCTGCATATGGAGGTTCTCCTTTTGCTAATTCCATAGCTGTAATTCCTAAGCTCCATATATCTGCTTTAACGTCATAATTCGATTGTTTGATAACTTCTGGCGCCATCCAAAAAGGAGTACCAACGAATGTATTTCTTTTTGACGTTGTGGCTGTAAGTTGGCCGGCAACACCGAAATCTGCAAGCTTAACATCGCCTTGTTCTGACAATAGAACATTAGCAGCTAACGAATATAAAAAACACATTGTAGATCAAGTCAAATAGCTATTTACTCATCATTCACTACCTTTAATGTCTCGATGTAATTTTCCCTCGGAATGTAAATAATCTAGGCCCTTAAGTATTTCCCGTAGGATAATGGCTATATACATTTCTTCAAAAGTTCCCGCTTTCATTAAATCTAAGGCGGATCCACCGCCCAAATATTCCATTATAATCCATAACTTTGTACCCTATATGAAAGAATACGTATTAAGATATGTACAGTAATCTTACTTTTGTATAAATTTATATAGTAGATTGCTTATTCCTATTTATTTATAGCTAAATAAATAGATGATAAATACAAGTTGAAGAAAATCAAATAAACAAGTGGAATTCAAGTAATCAAGAAAAGAAATATACCTTTAGGTAGCTGCCGTGGTATTTCGTTACGTAATTTGAATCGCATTGAGAAAGAACCATTATTTCTTGTTGAATATCTTCAATTTCATCTTCGGCCTCTTCTAAATCTATTATTTTAATGGCGACGACTTCGTGGGTTCGTCTATCAATGCCTTTGAACACTTCACCAAAGGAACCTTTACCAATACGATCGTGTTTATCGAAAATAGTCTCTGGATCAATTTTCGTCTGTCAATGACAAAAAAAAAAACAAATTTGTAGCAAACGAAAATCTAAACCCGTCCCTAAACAATTAATTACGGCGATAACAAACCATTCCGGATCGGTTTAAAAAAGAAGAAAGAGAGAAAAATTTCTACCAACATATTTTGCAAATAAAGCTTTGATAAGGAATTGTGATAAGGCTGAAAACGTCGAATTATTTCCCTTATGCGCTGGATCAATGACTTGTTAATCATTTACGTATGCAGATTTAAGTACGCATAAACGAGTGTACACATTATATGTATATTTTCAATTACATCTATACAGAACACACCTGACAAACCGGCTTTGAATATCCGGCATAGTAGTTTAATTGAACTTCATCCGGTTTATCGTGATAACTATGAGGCCTCCTCTTCTCAACCTTATCTGCATGCCGAAGTAACGGCATGCGTCTAGCTAACCAATTCGGTGGAGAATAGGACGTTCGCCGTCCACCTCCTCCGAAGAGGTTATAAGATGCTCCGTTGAAGAAAGACATGGCAAAATTGTATCCATTCGTACGAGATCAGACGTAAATATGCGACTTTTTCTTTTCTCTTTTTTTTAAGTGAAAGGCCTACGGACAAACAACACAAAAGCTGTTCACTGCAAACAAAAAAAGTCAACAGCCGCTGCTCGAAACAAATGATACTCTGTTCAGAATCGTGAGAGGAACCGTCATAAGCGCCTCCTAACGTTGAAAATTTACCTACTCCCTTTTTCCAAAAACCGATTACTCGATCAATCTACCGAAAGCGGGAATGCGTTACGAATAAAGTAATCCATCAAAAAGAGAACTGTATTTATGAAATTTAATCTAATATTCGTTTCTATTTTCGATTCTATTTTCCCATAAAAACAACTTTATATCTTTTGTGTCAAGATGTTCTCTGTTTTTTTTCTATTACCTTTTGATTATTACCCAAAGCCTTCATATTTCAATTATGATTTACGGACAGATTTTCAATCTTATTTTTACTACAATTCGAAATATCTGATACAGCGATTCGTTTATGTTTCAAACAGCAAATCATCGGCAGGGCAGCGATTCTCGGCTTTTAAATTACTATTATATTGATAACATTCTTTATCGTTATCTTACGGCCAAATTTTTTAAACTAGATAAAATAAATGACCAACTGATTATAAGAATAATGGTAATATCTTTTGAAAAGATCTAGTTTCATCGAGAGGAATTTTTTGAAAACAAGCTAAGTAAAAAAAAAAAGTGCTCACTCCTGTCGGTCGAACAAACACACGCCTATCAAAGGAACTACGCCTTCGATGTAAACCATTATATAATTCTCCTTCTCCTATATAAGATAATCTTCCACGATCGTCGTAATGAATATTTGTGTCGCTTGAATAGAAATAAATTGCTTTATCTTTATCTCGATTGTTAGGTGTACTATTGCGTCTTTGTATCCAAGATTTCCAAGAGCTTTTTCTCTTAACTGGTTGTGGGCGGGGATCTTTAGGGCTATAAGCTGATTCATGACGACGGATCATCGGTCGTTTTTCGCCGCTCATTACTTGTTGCCCAAAGTACGAAAAATATGAAGATTTCTGCATTGTCTAACGCCTCTTCCTCAAGTGAGAAGACAAGTGTTTACCAGTATTAAATACAATGTAAACAGGTACGAGCTTTCAAGTCAACAGAAGGCACGTCTTATCATCGCCGCAAAATTCGTTTTATCTTCTCTTCCTACATCAATTCACATTCAGACAGATATCATTTCCATCGCCGTGACACTTTACGCTCTCTCTCAGTCCGAATACTATGACCACAATGATAGCATTGTAGCATAATATTATGAGTCACACAAACATACCACCCGCCTTAACGTACCCTCGATGAAAGAGCAAGAATACCGAAAGCTTATATATATTGAATTTTAATATTCTCTTATACTTGTCAATCAACTTATTCACAAGGTTGTTCACTAACGTAGCAATAGTAAGAGAAAATACTAGAATTTATTGCTAAGAATAAATTACTTCGTTTAACCGGGTAATTAAGCAAAGGTAACCTTTGCAAAATTCCTTTCCGTTTAAAAAATGCTTGCGCCATCTAGTATTTCTCTGATATGAATTCAAGGCGTTTAGCTCATGATGATATTGAAATGCATTACCCTCATGTTCCCAATTTTTAGAATATCTTTTATACAGTTTATTAGTTCTATCACTTTGGGGTCAGAATTCAAAAATCTCAAAATATGAACAAAACGTTAACTAAAACCTTTTAAATTGCGAAATTATAATATAACTAGACCAATTTTAATCCGAAAGTATTAATTCTTTTTATAAGCTTACCTGTTGTTTTTCAAAGGCCATGATTCTTTGCTCCCTTTTACAGATATTCTTCAAATTTAGCTAGATTGGTACGTGTTTACGATGATCTTGACGTTGAAATTTTCTGGATTAATTGATATGTGCCGACTTTTATCCTTTGAAATCTTTCTCTAAGTTTTTAAAAATGATGATAATTAATTTATTGGTTTGGTCAACGTTTGCCAAACAATGCTAAAATAATCAAAAGCAAATATTCATTGAGAAAAATAATTGCAATTACTCCGCCATTTTGCCATAGACAGGTTTTGTTTCCTGTGGCATATTGTTAGACTACCGAGTAAAAAAAAAGGGCGGTCATATTAGATTTTAAAAAGGCACAACAATCACTCGATATATACAAGACGTAATAGCCCGAAGTAGAATGGGAAACCAAAAAGTGATTGTAAATGCAAATGTTTAAAATTGAAATTAATTAAAAAACAACAACAGCATCCTCTCGCCAATATTTAAATAAACTGCGTAGATAATCAAGATAAAATTCTATTTAATATTCATCTGCTCTCTCGATAGTTTAATGATTTTTCTTTAATCTCATTCTGAATGCAGAATAAATTATTTTCTTTAATAATTTTGATATAAGTAGAAGGAAGCTATTGATATACACAGCAGATATATATCATATTTGTTCTTTAACAGAACTAGGGCGGATCCAATGAATCAAATGTAATAAGTATCATTAAAAGAAATATAGTTATCAAAACATATATGACATTAATCCTATTTTAATCAATTGCTACGCTATTGAGTATACAAATAATGGAAATAGGAACAATAATAGAGAAAAACACCCTCAACTAGGATTTTGAATTTTGAAGGTAAAAAGAGATCTTATTTAAACTTTTTATTGGTTTTAAGATTCTATTAAAAAAAAATTAATATTATTATACTTCAAAAGTAAACCTTCTCTAAGCTATAGAGTTTTTTTTTCTACTTCATAAACTTGTTTTCCTTTCTATTTCTGTCTAAGATACTTTTTTTTTTATCTTATATGTATATATTTGTATATTGATATATAATATATCATTTATAGGTTCCCATTTTGTACTTATTCTATATTTTATTTATATTGTATTCATACTAATTTTATATATATATTTCTAATCTACTTGGGATATTTGGTAAAATTTTTAAAAGGGTATATATATGAATAATATTTTAACTAATACACTGGGGACCTTAGGCCTAAGTCAGTAAAAAATATATCAGTACTAATTTATTTGCTTCTTTGTTGTTAGAAAATTTCATTTGTAATATTTCATATTTTTTTAATAAAAAATTATATTATATATTATATAAAGTAATTAAAAAAATTCTCTTTATCGTTTACTATTATGGGCTATTATAATATATATATATATATATTAATTGGGAAATAAGTTAAGTTCTTTGTCTATTATTTATTTGATAGTAAAATGTAAAATAAAAATACATTACCAATTAATAATGTACTGAAATGGTATATGAATAATTTTTCTTTGATTGTTTAGTCTCTTTTATTAAATAGACACCTGACGGCAGTCACCTTATGTAGCTTATCTAAAATGATTCTATAATATATCGACTGCTGATAGTTTATCTCTTTGCTTCCTTAATTTATTTAGATTGGTTGACTTATAGTTTTTGAGCCAACGCGCGAACTTATCTATTTCCGCCTGTAAATAGACTGGTTGCAAAGAAGTATTCGATTGACTGATTATCGTTTCGCAATACTACAATTTCAATCTACAAGAAAAAAAGTGGAGCACCAACCGGTCAATATCCCTCGCCATATTGTAAAGGGACAAGCGACCGCTAATAATTTATATACATTCAGATTATAGAAGAATGGAAAGCTTAATTCCAGTTATCAATAAACTTCAAGATGTATTTAATACAGTGGGCTCTGAGACAGTGCAATTGCCGCAAATTGTTGTTGTAGGAACTCAGGTTAATATGCTTTTTAACATTTGTGCCTAAAAGCAATTTTTTCATATTTGTCAAGCTTACGCAAGAGGATATAATGATCCTTTTCAATATTCATTTTTCACCAGAGTTCTGGAAAAAGTTCCGTTATCGAAGGCTTGGTTGGGAGAGACTTTCTTCCTAGGGGCACTGGAATTGTTACAAGACGACCTTTAGTCTTGCAGTTAATCTATACACCAAGAGATGATAAAGATATTCGGTCCCAGGATGGAGGTAATTTTTTTATTAGCTAATTCAATAATTAATATTTCACCCTTTTCGCATTAAAATGCGCATCTTTAGGAAACAGTAAGTTATATTTTATCCAGCCTGAATGAATCTTATTTACCATCTATCTTTTCTACGTATTATTCGGCTGATTTTGAATAAACATTTTTTTATCCGAGTTTTCCATGTCCTACTGCAACCCAAAGCATTATTTAAACTATTGGGCCAACCAGCGTAATGTTGTAAATATTTGTAAATATATAATAAGCCTAAAAGCCCGATCTAATTTTTGACTGGATGTCAATTAGCTTCTTTATCAGTCGGAAACATTCATCTTTTACTTATTTTTAATATGACATTTGCAGAGGTTATAACGGCAGAGGAATTTGGAAAATTTCTTCATACAAAAAACAAGATATATACCGATTTTTCTGAAATCCGAACCGAAATTGAGAACGAAACCGATAGACTTTCTGGCACAAATAAGGGAATATGCCCCGAACCGATTCATCTGAAAATATTTTCACCTCATATTCTCACCTTAACTATTATCGATTTACCTGGCATTACAAAAGTTCCTATTGGCGATCAACCTGATGATATTGAAGCACAGATTAAGGAAATGTGCTTAAAGTATATAAGCAACCCTAATTCAATAATACTTGCAGTAACAGCTGCCAATACCGATATTGCTACGTCCGAAGCCTTGAAATTTGCCAAGGAGGCTGATCCTGATGGAAGAAGAACGTTAGCTGTAATTACAAAACTGGATTTAATGGATCATGGAACTGATGCCATGGATGTGCTAAGTGGTAGAGTTATACCGGTGAAATTAGGAATAATTGGTGTTGTTAATAGGTCACAAGCTGATATTAACTCAGCAAAAGATGTAAAGGCTGCATTAAAAGACGAAGCGTCTTTTCTAAGCAAAAAATACCCAGGAATCGCAAACCGCAACGGGACCCCTTATTTGGCCAGAACATTAAATAGACTGTTAATGCATCATATTAGAGATTGCTTACCAGAGTTAAAAACAAGGGTTAATGTCATGGCAGCCCAGTTTCAACAGCTTTTGAACTCTTTTGGGGATGAAGTACAAGATAAACCTCAGATTTTGCTTCAAATTATAACCAAATTTGCAGCAGCTTATTGTAACACTATAGAGGGCACTGCAAGGAATATAGAGACTACTGAATTATGTGGAGGAGCAAGAATTTGTTATATTTTCCACGAAACATTTGGATCTACATTAGAGACATTAGATCCGCTTGGTGGTTTATCTCAAATAGATATTTTAACTGCAATAAGAAATGCGAATGGTACGAGACCAGCCCTCTTCGTTCCAGAAGTATCCTTTGAACTACTCGTGAAAAAACAAATCAAAAGACTGTTAGAGCCATCTCTCCGATGCGTAGAATTAGTCCATGAAGAAATGCAAAGAATTATTCAACATTGTGGAACTCATCAAGAGATGCAACGCTTTCCTAAACTTCATGAGAGAATAGTTGACGTTGTGACGACTCTATTAAGACAACGATTGCCGATTGCAAACTCTATGGTTCAAAACTTGGTCGATATTGAGTTGGCTTACATCAATACCAAACATCCTGATTTTAGGGAAGGTCACTCTAGTAAAGGTTTTGCTAATTATTTTTCACTAAATGACAATCACGTAAAAACTTCCGGAGTAGATGAAAAAATGGCAAATTCTCTTGCTCAAATAAAAGTAGAGAGTAATCCATCTTCGGAAAGGAACACACCTAAAAAGGTACAAGGATTGAACCTACTGGACGAAGTACCATCTGTTACGAATCGGAAGTTGTCAAAGCAAGAACAATCCGATTGCGTCGTCATTGAGCGCCTAATTAAGTCATATTTTTTGATTGTTCGTAAGAACATTCAGGATTCTGTTCCGAAATCGATTATGAACTTCCTGGTCAATTTTATTAAGGACAATCTACAAAGCGAGCTTGTATCGCATTTGTATAAATCAGAAGAAATTGTAAAATTATTGGACGAAAGCGAAATGATAGCTACACGGAGGAACGAAGCTAAGGAAATGCTTAAGGTATTGTTTCTATTGCGTATCTTCTCTAAATATGTTTATTTACACAACATTTAAATTTCAGGCTCTTCAGAAAGCAAGCCATATCATTAGCGATATTCGTGAAACGCATTTGTGGTGAAATTAACTTTTTTCAACTTGAAATCTAGTTACATTCTTATACGCTTACCGTGTCCTATTGTCAAGAAACAATAAAATTTTGCGAAATTAGGATGCTTTATAAAATATAGCTTTTTTTTTTCTTTTTTGTTACTTTTGGTGCCATGTAGCCCAATTTTAATTGCATGCTAAAATTCTCAATTAGAAATAAACTTATTGTAATTTATCAAATATTTTCAGACATTATATTTACAAGAACATATAAAAGTATATGTTTTCTTTTATACGATGGCATTACAGAATTTTATGTTTGAATAAGAATAATTTAGGAAATAAGATTTAAAAAGAGACTTATAATAACAAACTACTGCAGGGATATTTGATTTTTTACAATCATGCCGATGACACAACTGATATGGGAAATATATTAAGTTTTAGTGACAAACTTTTACGATATACTGTATATACATAAATAAATGTTTTTTTACAATAGCTGAAAAATACATGTATCTACTGTTTGAATTTTATCAAAGGTACTTTCCTGCTCCTTATGCATTCATTACAAGCCCACTCAGCGTAGAGTTCAATCGTGAGTAATTTATAGGCTTTCTCAGTTAAGCCTGAACAAACTCGATGAAACCAAAAATTACAGCCGCTTTCGCAAAGAATAGCCGAATCATTTTCCCTTATAACCTCGTGACAAGCTCCACAAGCGTGAACAGTTGATGTCTTCAGATTCTTAGGGTTGTTAAAAAGAGTTTCTCTGTTTGGAATATTACCATCGTATGTCATTCCAGTGGGCAAATAATAAAAATTTTGATTTGTCTGTTCCCCCATCCTTTTAGAGTACATATCTTGCAGTGAAGAGAATTCTGTTACCGACCCCTGTACCGCGCCTTCTTAGTATACAATCGATATCAATTAATGATTTTTCTCTAACTTACATTAAGGAATTTATCAGAAGACTGAGCAGAGTTCCAATTTTGAAATGAATCAGAATTTCCTTTGTTTAAATTAGCCATATCTGAGGTTGAATTTTATTTTAATCGTGTCGCAAAGTCTTATTCTATAAACAAAAAAGAATAATTAAACCAATCAATTAAAAATTCAAATAGAAGAATAAACATTCTCTATTTTAATTGTGTAGCAACAAATACTGTAGTCACATCTTCAACTATCGAATGAATATTGTCTTTATATATAAAGTGCACATACCTTTAATATTCTTATTATATATTCCTTTTAGCGGAAGACATTTGATATTGAAAGTGCACATAAATTAATTAGAACAAGGCTAAATTACTATAAAGCAGAAACAAACCTTTATAAACAATAAAAATGCTTGCAAAATGTAACTCCAACCAATAAAGTGTCTCTCAAGTTGTTCTAAAAAGCTAATTTATCCTTTAAACGGTAGAACAAAACGTGCTTGTAAAAAAAAAAGAAAAGAAGAAGAGGATATACTCAAATAATTTTAAGTATTTTTTTTTAAAAGAACATCAGATTTATCGTAATTAAAGGTTCTTTCATCTATTTTTATAATGTTAGAATCCGGTACAATCTTCATGTGTGCACTTACCGAACTTATGGAAAAAAGTAGTGTTTTTACAGGTGGACTACTTTTAAAAATTTCTTTCTTTATCTCAGGAATCTTTATATACAATATAATATATTTATATATTAATTTGCATATTGATTTTCACATTTTAAAAACTGACTTTAATAAATTTTTACAAAACAAAAATCTAACACTCAGAGTCCCAGTGTAATTAAATAAAGAAATAATTTTAATTATGGAGTCAATATACATTATGATGAAATTTTATACTCGATTAAGGATATGGAATACTCTTTGCATTTTTTTTATTTGTTTATTTATTTAAAATTCTATATATTATTTGTTCTGCGTATGAATTTTATATACAAATTTTGCCATAAACAATAATAGCCATCAGTGATAGATATACAGTATAACGTCTTAGAAGTTTTACGTTATTCATTTTTATCTAATATGCAAAGCGTGTAATGGTCCCTGTTTATATTTAATACATTATAAATTTTCATATGTTAGCTTAGATATAGCTAATAATCGATAGTATGCAATTAATAAAATCATTGAGACAACACTGAATCATTTCGCAATTATTTGAGCGATAATCGGTATAAAAATTAAAAAAATCTCACTTTTACAGTTAAGTAGACTTGTTTTACCAAGGAAATGTGAACAAATATCCTCCGTACAATATTCTTAACAAAATTCTTTCGAATTAAACCGTAAAAACATTATATTTTATGACTTATAAAGAAAAATTAAAGTAAACTCTTAGCTGCTCATCCAACACTAACCAATAAATTGCAGCGGCAAATGGCTAAAAAGTAAAACTGCATAATGAATATTCACATAAAAATTATCTTAATTAATTAAGCAAATTTATTCATAAAAATATTTAGCAAAATAGAGAAATGACCAATACGATTTCTCGAATGGAAACTATTCAATTTAATAAAAAATAATTGATATAAATATTTATTATTATTTAACGTTTTTACATAGAAAGATAAAGATAAATATAGCATCTATTTGGCCTATCAGATAAACGGAAAATATATTCTAATAAATAATATTTTCTATTTTAAAAGATGAAATAAAAAGGATATTAACAGCGTAGAACACAGCACTAACAATCATTTATAATATATAGATGTGTATATATATGTTATTCGATTCGACAGTTCTCACATTCCTTTGTTATTTGATTTTTTACATAGTAATTAAACTTGCAAGACCTGCATAGATACCTTTTTCTACTATTGTTAGTAGTTGCCATTGTTTTCTTTGATATTGACGATGGTTTATTAACATATGTTGAGAGACATTCGGATAATCCTCCCTTACGACTTAAACCTTCTGGCTTAAAAATACTTGTTTCGTCATTAGACTGTTTATTTATTTTAGAAATTTGACCTTGATAAATTAACCAATGAAATGTTTACAATAATAGATTATGTTTACCTCAAATAGATTTCATTGTTTAATTAACAAACCCCTATCGAATCTTGAAAATTGAATTATTATAGTTATATTCGTTAATACTACTAATACCGATAGTAGAGATAATATAGCATAAATAAAAATATGATCTAATCCTTTGTTCATTTTCATTGACTTTTCTAATTCCCTTCTACTCTTAAATTCATCCGATATTTCGTTAGAACAAGACAAAACAACTTTCGGTATATCTTTATATAAGTTGGGATGAAATGGTAAATATTCACTAGTTACAATTTCGTCTATATTTTCTTGTATATTTCTTCTAGAATTAATAACTCTTGTAATTGATCTTGTTCCGTTCCCATCCCTCCATTCTTTATTAGAATTGTTAGGATTAATTGATGAATTATACTCCTCCCAATTATAAACAATCCGCCCTAGTATAATAAAAATAAAGCTATATAACCAAATCATTGTTTTGTAAATATAGTTACGTAATCGTTTTAAAATATTTTTAAATGAATAAAAATTCTGTAATTTATTTATTTAATAAGCAGACGACAAAGCTTTGTTTTTTTTATGTTAATGTTCTAAATAGAATATTAGTTTTATACGAGTATATTTTATACTGTATGTATAAACAACCTCTTTTTACAACGGCAGTTTCCACTCAGAGAAGAAGAACATACACGTATTAGACTTTTGAATTTGCCTAAATGTGAATTGTTGACTGTAAATCCTGATGATCTTATATTTAATTAACTTATGCTTATTGGTTGAAAATTAGATTTCTAGGAAGTATTCATGACGAAGTTAATTTATCTTCTAAAAACACTTTAAATAGATGGATTAAGATTGTGTTTTGGGACTATCTAAAGACATATGATAAAAAAAATAATATATTTTCCTTTTAGCGTATAAACAAGGAGAAAAAACAGACTATTTTTGTTTATTTATCTTAATCATCATTATCATCATCATCATCTAATGAGATAGTTATATTCAAGTTAACTGTATCAGATTGATTTAAATTCGTTAATGTTTGTAGATAATTATCTTTTCTTCGTTCAAGCATATTTAAAGTTCTATCGTAAGGTTCATTATGGAAAATGTTTGATATTGATCTATGGCATCTATTTGCTAAAGGAATTTCTATTTCGAAACAATTAGGATCAGTAATTAGTGTAAAAGACTCTCTGGGTTTAAATGAGTTCTTTAAATTAGATGTTATTGAAGTAAATTTTGCACTATATGATTGATCTTCTTCTTCTTCTTCTTCCCCTTCAGTATCGAACATCTTAAATTCTAAGTGACTTTTTCGTAGACAAGTTGGTTTTGTTTGAAGAGATTTCTCATAAATTATATTTGTTTTCTCGCTGGTTTGAAGCGTAGGACAATGGTATTTATAAGCAGGATCTAAAAATTGAATTATACAATTAAATTTTAATTATAAAGTATCATTATTTATTACTAAACCTGCTGCTTCGTTAATACGAAAATTTATACGCTGATTATCAATTGTATAGGGATCAGCAGCCATAGATTGTGATATAGTTAAATCTACTATACTATCGAAGGAATCATATCTTTTCTTCTCCTTTTCATCATTACTTCTATCAATCTTGACATTTTTTTGTGCTTTTCCATCTTTAATCCCCGCCTTGTTTTCCTTATCTTTATTTTTCTTCTTTTTATCTGTTTTACTTTTAGTTTCTTCTTTGTCGTCATCGCTACTCTTAGAACTACTAATATCTGTATCATTTTTTCTTTTGGATCCCTTTCTTGTTCTTTTCTTCTTGCTCTTCTTCTTCTTTTTTATCTTTTTATTCTTATTTTTCTGGTTCTTCCTATCATTATTATCATCTGTAGAAAAGAGTAATTGTGTAAAGAAAGAAGAAAACAAAAACAATGTCATTATAGCTTACCATTTGAGTCATCGCTGTCATTTTCCTTTTCTTTCCTTCTCTTTGATCTTATTTTAAATATTCCAAATAGGCCTATCAAGAGAAAAATAATAACCGAAGCAATAACCATAAAGCTAATTGCTCCAAGTTTATTTTCTTTATTTAATAGAAGAGCAGAGCCATTTTTAATTGATAAAGTTGTAATTATTGACGATTTATTATCAAATGTAGAAAAAGAAGTCGTATTTTTTATATTATTAGAGGTTTTATTAAATAAAGTAGATTTTTTGGTTAAGACTTCCTCCCTCTTTGTCGAACTGTCAGTACTTTTCAAAGTTTCTTCAGAAACAACCCTAGATTTTTTCAGTGATTCATTAAAAAGCGTAGGAGTTTGAATCGATTTTTCGCTAACTGACGTAATGTCATGATTATTCGTAACAGCATTTCTATTATTAGTACTTTTAGTTGTAAAGTCATTCGTTCTTTCGTTGAGAATATCTAACGTATTTTTCAAATATTTCTCACTAACTTTATCGGCATAGTTAGATAATTTGCATTGAATTCTATATATAGGATTTATATATATAATTAATATATATATATATAAATACATAAAAAAGTCACTTTTATGTTTTTTTCCCTTATTTTTTTTAATTATTAATAGAAAAATTCAAAAATATGTTTTATTACTTATAGGCCTATTAATATCATATTGCCCTTTATTTAAATAATTTTTATTTTCTTTAAGGGACGAAGGTAGAATATAAAATTTATTTTTTAATTCTTTAAGAAGAATAATAAATGAAAATGAATGAAAGAGATAAAGAGAGAGAGAGAGAGAGATAGAGAGAGTTAGAGGATTGTAACTTTTCTGTACTATTTCTATATTCTTTTATATTCTATATATTATTTAGCTTTAAGACGTTTATTTGAATTAGAACAATGGATTCACTCATTCATTCTTCCCTTAAGTTTAATAAAGCTAAATCAAACAAGAGTACGAAAATTTTTGCTTCTTTTGTATTCCTTATTCTTTTATGTATTCTTATCGAATGACCTCATTTGTTTTTGTTTGTTTTAATAGACATAAAATACTTTCAGTAATTAAAACTTTAACACTAATAGTATAATATTAATATATTTCAAGATTGTATAAGGCAAATAAAGGTATAACTAAATAATATTTGGACGAAGTTTTGGTTAGAAAGAGCTTTTGTATGCATAGTAGCCCTATTTTGCCCCCGCGCTTTACACAGTAAAGAATAAAAATATAATATATTTAGCCAGGGCCGGGCCGTCCTTAAAAGTAGGTTAGGCTTATATCCGTCTGCCCAGCCGACCGTGTTGAATTTTTTTCACCCATTTTTTCTATCAAGTGGCACGACCGCTTCGCATGTTAACATGGCGACTTTGATTTTTCTATTTCTTTCCTTAGTATCTTTGGTTGTTGGGCAAAATCCTTGCCTAAATCATAGATGTACGTCTGGATCAACCTGCATTCCTGGTACTTCGACAGATTATAGTTGCAGATGTCTAGCAGGTAAGAGAAAATTCTCAGCCAAACCTTTTTTTCAGTAATGTGCTCGTATATTTATATTTATATACTGTATATATATATATCTATATGTATGAAGAGCGTATTCTATTACATTTAATTCTATCTTAATGATCATAAATAGAACTAGAATAGCATATACTTTCATTCTAAGGAAAATAAAGCGTCTCTTTCTATTTTAAATGAATATGAAACAACTTTTCAACACTTTACATTAGATTTTTTGTGAAAATAATCACTTTTTATTTCTAAAAATTGAAATAATATTTTGATTATCTCAATATCTCTTATCAACAGGTTACGCCGGTACGTTCTGTGAAACAGATTTATGCCAAAATGATCCTTGTGGAATTTATGGAACTTGTAATCGTATTACTGGTGGTATCACTTGTTCATGTATTGATGGATATACCGGTAATCGATGTCAAAATCCGCCCTCTGACGTTTGTAACCCAAATCTATGTGCAAATTCCGCTACTTGTAGTAGGAGAACTTATGGCTACTTTTGCAACTGTCCAGATAATTTCCAAGGAAAGAAATGCCAGAATCAAGAAGGTAAATTTAGCTATTTTATTAATTATTTCCACTAATAATTCATTTTTTCCGTATAGTTGGAGTTTGTCAAAGATTCAATCCTTGTCAAAATGGTGAATGTAGTCCAGATGGCAATGGTATAAAGTGCACGTGCTTCCCGGGCTGGGGTGGTAATCTTTGCGATGTATTTGTTTGTCAGAACCATAGATGTGTTAATGGTCGGTGTCTTGCAAAGAATAGGAACTTATATACTTGCGAATGTAACGCTGGTTGGTCTGGTACATTTTGTCAAAATACACAAGCCAATCCATGTGCAAATAATCCATGCGGTGCAAATGGTGATTGTTCAGTTGAAGACAACAACTACAATTGCGCTTGTAGAAATGGTTACACCGGAAACAATTGTGAAAATCCTCCTTCAAACCCATGTGCAAATAATCCATGTGGTTCAAATGGTGATTGCTCGGTTGAAGGTAATTCGTTCAGGTGTACTTGCCGAAATGGTTACAGTGGGAATACTTGTCAAGTCCCTCCTGCCAATCCTTGTAATCCAAATCCATGTGGTGCAAATGGCGATTGTTCTGTTGAAGGTAACAACTACAATTGCGCTTGCAGAAATGGTTACACAGGAAACAATTGTCAAAATCCTCCCGCAAACCCATGTGCAAATAATCCATGCGGTGCGAATGGTGATTGTTCAGTTGAAGGTAATTCGTTCAGGTGTACTTGCCGAAATGGTTATAGTGGGAATACTTGTCAAGTCCCTCCTGCCAATCCTTGTAATCCGAATCCATGTGGTATAAATGGTCAATGTCAAGTTGTTGGAAACACTTTCCGTTGTACTTGCGGATCTGGTCTTCAAGGAAGAAGATGCGAAGCTTCATTAGGTTAGTAAAAATATAAAATAAATCTTTCAATAAATCTTTATATTATTTAGAGGGAGTGTGCATCAGATTCAATCCCTGCCAAAATGGTCTGTGCCGTCCTGAAGGAAGTGCTAGTATAAAATGTGAATGCTACTCAGGCTGGGGAGGTAATACATGCGATCAACCAATCACTGCAAATCCTTGCAATAATAATCTATGCCGAAACGGTAACTGTGAAAGGTTAACTGATACGTCCTATAAATGTAATTGCAATTCTGGATGGACTGGACGATATTGCGATTCACCCGTCCAAGGTCCATGTGCAAATCATCAATGCCAGAACCAAGGCCAATGTGTACCTCAAGGTACCTCGTATCGCTGTCAATGTATCAATGGTTTTACTGGACAATTTTGTACAATTGCTCCCAATAGATGTCTTAATCACCAATGTAAGAATGACGCCACTTGTCGTCAAACCAGCACTTCATACGAATGTGACTGCCGTCCTGGCTATTCAGGACGATTTTGCGACGAAGTAGGCAACCCTTGTGGTAACAATCCTTGTAAAAATGGCGCTACCTGCTTTAATCAAGGGCCAATCAAGTTCGCTTGTATGTGCACATATCAATATTCTGGTAATACCTGTGAAGTACCAACTATGAATCTAGGATCTTGCGCAAACAATCCTTGCCAAAACGAAGGAACATGTGTTCAAACAGTGCAAGGTTATCGTTGTAAATGCCCTGTTGGTAGAGTAGGTAGACACTGTCAAATGAAACTCGAGGATACTTGCAGGATAAAAAACCCTTGCGGTGCCAGAGGCCTTTGTAGACAAGGCCCATTGGATATTGTTACCACTTGCCAATGCTATCCTGGATACACTGGACCAACTTGTGAAAGTAAGATCCTATCATTTCAATTATATTAAAATTACAATTACATTTGATCTCCTTCAGCTATTCAGAATTGCATTGACATCGCTCCGGATTGTCAACAAAAAGCAAGAGAAGGTTGGTGCCAAGTCAACGAACAACAGGGATTGTCGACAGAGGAAAATGACTTGAGAAAGAGGCATTACGAATATTTTACAAGATATTGCAGATTAACTTGTCAACGCTGTAACATCAATTAATTTGTCTCGATCCATCCACATTTCTTCGTATTTTAATTTTTGTTACTAATAACGAAGATGATAATGATGATGACGGTCATAATAATGAATGTGATGGTTAGCTAGACAAAAGTAAAGTGTTATCTTTTAAATATTCGGTCTTTTTAATTGGCTTAGCTATTGATTTTAAATACAAAAACTTGGTAATATAGTATAGCGGAAAAGGAATGATTATTTTTGTCACCACTTCGTTGAATTTATTTTCTTTAAAAAAAAAATACACTAAATTTAGAATCAAGAAATGAGGAAATACTACATTCTAAGATAATTTACTATTATTTCAAGTATAATCACAATCGCCGAATGAAACTGGCCTTTTCAAAATTTCAGATATTTCTTTACTTAGAAGATCGTGTAGACAGCTGCTATCATGCTTATAAATCCATCTATTGTCTAGAAAATCGTATCTCTTAGGACCACTGTTAAAGCAAAGACAGTTTAGAATAAATGACAATAGAAAATTATGTAATATAATTACCTGAGTGGCGATGATAACCAAATTTGCTTGTTTGGTGATTGTTTATTTATAACGTAAGTGCCGTGGGCATGTCCAAACTTTACAGTCAACACTCCATTCTGTAATTGAGTTATTTTAAGTATTATTGTATGCATTGAGAGTTAACTTTACTAATTATGTAATACTAACTGCATATTCTACGTCGTATTCAGGGAATTCGTTAGATTGAAAGTCCAACAATTCGAAAGCTTCTGCTAATGAATCCAAAGTCACATCAGACACTTTACCGTACTTTAAATCCGATAATCTAATTAATAAAAGAAGTACTGCTGAGAATCTAATTTGTACTATCAAAAGTATTATCTTAACTGTTCATTTCCGGAAGATAAATATCTGTTGGAATTTTGCGACTGATATTTTATTTCATTGAATAATGAACTCCTCGAAAACTGATTAAAAAGTAAATCTTTAGTATTGAATTAAATTAAAATCAGACAAAAGATGCTCACAAAATTAAAGTAATAATGATAATATTTTCTATTAATATTTTGAGAACACTTTCGGAGGAATATGTAATTTGACCACCTTATAAGCAGTCTTGGCAGTTTATTTAATACCATGTTGTATTTTTATTGCCTATATCGTCTGCTTATTAGCCTGGAATAGCATTCCTTTTCTCTGTGTATTGGTTCTGTGTAACAACGATTAGGTTACCATGCCAACAAGAAAAAAACTCGAGAGAAAATGATGATTTTACAACTTTTGTTATTATTGATATTGGACTTGTTCCAAATGCTCGAAAAATTATACATTTCAGAGCAATTATCTATTTACTAACAAAGTACAATTTTTTAGGCGATAAAAGCTTTCTCTTTCTTTTCACATAATTGTTAGGCTTGAACAAAAACTTTATTATATAATATTTATACGATATGTAGTAATGTTTGAATAGATTTTTACCACTTCCTTATGTTAAGAGAGTCGTTGAGATTTTTGAATTCAGACTAAACTTTTTAACAAATTAAATATAAATGTTGTACTAAAAGAGATTAACTTTCTCTTTAAAGAAACCGTCAGAGTTTCAGTTACATTTCCATATATTGATCTATACTATATTTCGCTAGAAAAGATTTAAATGAATGGGGGAGTTTCCTTTTAGTCACAATATCCTACGCTTTTTGAAAGGTTTTGTTGACTAAGGGATTGTCTTTGTTAACGATTGAATTTTCTATAAATTGGACGATTACCTAATTTCAAGGTATAGTGACTTGTCACAATGTCAAGGTTATAGTTTCGCGCCAAATTATTGAAATACAATTGATCATAGTAAAAGCTGTGTAGTGTTATATGTCAATATGATGGCTATTTTAAGTCTATGAAGTAATTTCGTTAATTGAATCTATACAGCCTTTTCATATAGAGCAAAACTGACTGCCAGCTGTATAACCATATTACTTTTAACAGTCATAAAACTACCAGTCGGCTGACCATAGAGAAAAAGCTTTTTCATCTGGTTCCCGTTCCAAGTAACAGGTATTTTACAACGAACCATATTAACAAGAAAACCTATATTGGGGAAATATACAAATACCATTACATTCAGATTAGCCTAACGAGTAACTTGTGCATTTTTGTGTTGGTCTATAATGAAAAAAAAAAGCTGGCTTTGAGAAAATTTCCAGGTGTATTTGCCAACGTCCTTCGCAAGATGAGCTTTTTGTAAGTTTCTACTTTCCATTATGAGTACTTAATACCTTTAAAAAAAACCGATCCTCGAGCAATATGTTTAATTTAATACAGTAGTTTTATACATAATCGATTAGTTTCAAAAATGTTTTACCGATATTTAACTTGTTTCTTATTTGACAGCGGAACAAAAGGTAATAAAACATTCAGGTCGAAAAAGAAGATATCGAATGAAGGATATCAATTTGAAATGATGAAGCACGCTACGTCGACATTAGGCTCAGGGAATTTAAGAGAAGCTGTCAAATTACCGGAGGGAGAAGACATAAATGAATGGGTTGCTGCTAATAGTAAGTCTTCCTAATTTATTAATTATTCTTTTAAAGTATCGGATAAATCAAAACATTAAAAACCAGAAAACAAACACAAAAGTGCAAACAAACAAAAAAAGAAAAAAAATAAAAACTAAAATCATTGATTTGTAAAAATTAGAACAACACAAAGTTTTTGTTTTCATTTCCATTCTATCACTCTCTCTCTCTTTCTTTCATTCTTTATTATTATTATTATCATTTTACAGAAAAAAAGTAGGCCATTTTTAAAAAGTTCAATGGTCTTTTGTATAACAAGATAAAAATTTCAACTCCCTCTCCTTAAAAGTTTATGCTGTTTATGTAAAAAAAAAAGAGAAAGATAGACAGGTTTTTTTAGCAAAGTACCTTATTTCGTAACCAATGTTTGGTTTTCTTTATATCATATATTTGCATATGAATTAATTATCTATAAATATAAAAGATATAGAGATTACGTAATTATTGGGATATCTTTATATTTTGTTTTTTTTTTCTCCCCATCTCTCAGCTCTTGATTTCTTCAATCAAATAAATATGCTTTATGGTACCCTAACGGAATATTGTACCGACAATACTTGTCCAGTAATGAGAGCGGGAGCGAAATACGAATATCACTGGGCTGATGGACAAACTGTAAAAAAACCCATTAAATGTTCAGCACCGAAATACATTGATTTTTTAATGACATGGGTACAAGAACAATTGGATGATGAAGCCCTATTTCCGTCAAAAATAGGTAATAAATAATAATTTAATATTAACAATATAAGCTATTTATAGTTTATTTTTTCTGTGTTTTTTTATTGAATTTAGGCGTTCCATTCCCTAAGAATTTTCTAGTTATAGCAAAAACTGTTTTAAAACGGTTATTTAGGGTTTACGCCCATATTTACCATGAACATTTTAACCAGGTAAATATTTTTTTACGTGATTTATTTTTTTAATTAACGTATATTTTATAATTTCTTATCATTAACTAAGAATAATATATATGTATACACTAATACATATATATTGTATATACTGTATATATATATGTTTTTTTTTTTGATAGGTTATTGAACTTAAGGAAGAAGCTCATTTAAATACGTCTTTTAAACATTTTATATTCTTCATTCAAGAATTTAATTTGGTAGAGAAAAAGGAACTGATGCCACTTGACGAATTGATTAATACATTGACATGGTGAATGTAAAGGATAGTACTTTGTGATACACATGCGTTTACTGTATATGTTTCGTATGTGATTTTATATATTTGTTTATATAATAGTACAGGGCATACAAGGTATGGATAGATGGGTTTTAGAGCTAGTAAGATTATCTAAAATAACTACCTAGTAGTTTATAGATAATCGTTCGATATATGATTTCATTTAGAGTTTATTTTTTTATGAACTAATGTGCTATTTAAGTTGAAAGCAGCCAACTTATTTTTTGACCATCATCAGGTCAGTAATGAACTCACCAGCTGTCAATCTGTTTCAAAATAGTTTGAAAACGGACATTTTTTTGTATGTGTCTTTAATTATTATTCATAAAAAACACTAATCATATATATATATATATATATATGTATATATCTTTATATATACATCTTTATAGTGATTTGTTTTTGTTACAAGAAAAACATTATTATCAAGTTTTTTTCTTAATTTCAAATTTAAACTTCTCTTCTTCTTTTAAAATGGAAATTTGACTTGTAGGCGATTTTAATGTGAATATTACTGGTATATCGGCTAATTTCTTGTTTGTTTTTTGGAGGAAGGTTACCCAAGATACGAGCGATTCTTTACTTCCTGTACCCGTAATACACAAACCAAGTACTGTACCATCAGCTTGTTGGTGCATAACATTAGGCGTAGTTAACGAATGCTCTCTTTCATCATCAAATATTGTCTTGAAATTGAATAAATTCTTTTCGTTATATTTCTTTCTTAAATCCTCTGGAAAGACATGTTTTGGGACATTGGGATTGGCCTCAGACCAAAGTTTGAAGTACTGAAGTTTATTGTCTCTCAGCCAAATTGTGTATCCCCCCTCGACGAAGAGCGGCTTCTTGGCGTCATGGGATTCAATAAGTTCTCTTTGCCTCCAGCTCTGGGCACTGGCTACAAATGTTTTATCTATTGCATTGTCCAATTCAGACGTTTCAAAAATAGAATATTCAGTTTGTAAATCTATACTCATTCTTTTTAAAGCTATAAGGGCCAGCTCTCTTGGATCATTGGGCAGATCTAGTGGAATAGGATAAGGATTCACATTTTTAAATTTTGGTAGCCAATACATCATTCTTCTATACTTTCTAAATGCATGAGCTTTATCTCCGAATACATCCTTTAGCATATAACCAAACTGATCATCTGGAATAACAGAATAGTACTCCATTTGATCCATTAAATCTATGGCGCATTGTTGCTGTTTTGGATAGTGCTGCCATTCAACTTCCCAAGTCCTCTTCGCTACCATAACTTCGGTAGGAAAAACCTTCATTAGCATCTTGTATGTTTCCAAGTCTCTATGAACGTTAAAACGTTTCATTTGTTGGAGGGCAGCATTTATGAATTCCACATGACCTCTCCGCCGGACCTTTTCTGCCGCAATGTACATTGCTATTGCTCGCATAAAATTTCTTTTATCTTCCTTGTCTTTGGCAACTGTATCGAAATACTGCGAAGACTGGTGCAGCACCAACTGCTTCTCTTTCTCGGCGTATTTAGGATCTCTTGCATCAAAAAACTTTGTTCGAATTATATGCCTTGCACTTGGGCGATAATTGAAGCGGTTAACAGCTAATATCTTTGAAAGCGTTCTTTTAATCATTTTTAATTCTAATCAGAGATGGCCATAATTTATAACGATTATTTCCTTTAATTTTTCAAATTATAGAAATAAATTAAACTGAAAGAAGAGATAAACTGATATATCAATCAACGAATGTAGTATTTTCTGCGGTTCTTAAATTGTGGACAATACTTAATGGAACGGATTTCGATTATATATATAAACCAATGGAAAGACCTGCATGTAGATAGTCGAAACGCTTGCAGAAACTGATAAAAAACTGGCGTTAAGAGCTAGTAATCATCTAGTCAGTTGCCATTTGTTGTTGTGAACAATATTTTATGATATTGTACAGTATTTTTTAAAGATGATTCCTTAATTTAAGTTGAATCTCTGTTGCAATCATTTCTTACCAATCTATAATCTCTTAACAGGCAACAAGAAGTAAGAATGATTAACAAAATAAAGGGACTAATCTTTATCATACTACTTTTCTTGACATCTTTCTTTGGTTATGTGTTTATTGGGTCACCAATTTTACCCCTAGCTTTCTTTGCTCCTAAATTATACAGGAAATTGATGGATAATATGATAGGCTATTGGGAGTATTTTTGCGTTGTAAGTGGTTGTTTTTATTCTTTTTACCCGTAAACGATGTCTATAAATTCTTAATATTCCAAACGGGCCTGATAGCCTGAATGAAGGACATTTTGGAATAGAATTGTCATTCGTCTTCGTTAATTGAGATAGATATACATGGTACAATTACAAAAACAACGTATTTTAATCAAGTAAAATGCTTAAAGCAGAACCTAGGAGAATATAGATAGTCTATTTTTACCTTGGAAAACAATAAAAAAAGTATTTGATTTTTTCAGGCACTCCTTGAAGTGTTCTTAGGTTTAAAGATTGTTCTTTCTGGAGATAAAATCAACAATAACGAAAGAAATTTGATAATAATGAATCATAGAACTCGTCTAGATTGGATGTTTTTCTGGTGTGTTTTGTTTCGAGATTCAAATATAGCAACAGAAAAGATCGTTCTAAAACAACCTTTAAAATACGTTCCCGGTGCAGGTTGGGCAATGCAAGCTGCATCTTATATTTTCTTAAAGAGAAAATGGGAAGATGATAAGTCATATATCACTGATATTTTAAATTATTTGTCCCAGATTAATCACAAATCTCAGGTTCTTTTTTTCTTTAAATACTAATATAAATGCATCTTTATCGATATTCATTCATTTACTTATATATATATATTTTTCCATTTGTTAACGTATAGATACTCATTTTTCCCGAGGGGACAGATTTTTGTCCAAACTCTTCTAAGAGGAGTGATGCATTTGCTGCAAAAAATAATTTAGAAACTTATAAATACGTTTTACATCCAAGGACAACTGGATTTGTTTACTTTCTGCAGACAATGAGAAAAAGTAGGTTTCATATAATTTCTCTCTTTCTTCCTCTCTCTCTATATATTTATTACGTAATATTTATTTTTTCTATTTTTAAAATAGAATCTTATCCCTTATCATTCATTTTTTGTTTTATTACATTCTTAACAGATAAACATTTGGATGCTTTATATGATATAACAGTTGCTTATCCTGATGAACTTTGTAGTAATGAATTATCTTTTGCCTTTGGAAAACGACCAAAAACAGTTCACTTTCATATTGATCGTCATCTGGTTGAAAATTTACGAGAAACTGACGAAGAATTGACCAAATGGTGCCAGGAAAAATGGCGAGAAAAGGAGGCAAATCTTTCGGCATTTTACAACGAAACTAAAAATTTCAACGACGTAAGAGAGGATACGTCAGATAGAAATCAATTACTTATAGCCTTAATTTATTGGTTTTCTATCTTGTTCATAATCTTTTTCTTATTGTACAAAACGTATATTGCCCAGTTTTTCTTTCTATTTAATCTAATTACGAGTTACCTCCTATCGAGACACGGTGGCATTGAATTATTTGCGTCCAAATGCTTTCATACCTTAAACGGTAAATCAAGAAAATAATTCAATAGTTGAAGAATAATAATATGGACATTCCATTCTATGTAGATAATCAATTTAACATTTTTTTCTTTTAATATTATTTTTTCGCTTCTTTTTTTGTATCTGATTGACAAAATAATTGAATAAATAGGAAAGAGTAGGATGATAAAAAATGATAGAATGATAGAAAAAAAAGCAATTAGAGAGAGAGAGAGAGAGAAAGAGACAAAGACAATTTAGAATGTAGTAACATTAAAAGTAAAACGAATGAATTATTGCCTTATTGTGCATGTGTTTAGCAAAAAGAAACATTTTCTCATTGAATAAAATGAATATGTTTATTGTCTTTAGCAATTTACAAGATACTAATTTCTTTTTTTTATACTATTTTTAATTGTTTTATTTTGTTGCTTTTGCTGATAAAAATTACTGGATTATTTTGCTGGTTTAATACTTTTAGCAATAAACGGAAGTCAGTCTATCATATATGATTAGAATGCTGTCGTTGGCATATGTCGGTGTTTTGTTGCCGGAGGCAGAGTTCCTACTTTTCCACCGTGACCCTCAGGTATCTTCGTTAGGAGGTCTTCGGCGAAGAACATTGCCTATTCGTTACATGTTTGACGTAGTAAAAGAGTTCTTTTTTATTGTAGATAGTTACTCACCTTAGGCAAGGAAATAGTTTGAACACCAATACTCCTTGTATTTAATTTCTTCAACTGACCCAATTTTCGTGTAGTTGCTGAAAGCTCTCTCATTTTTTCCAAATTGGTTGTTAATTTTTCTTCTGGTCTAGGTATTAAGCCCAAATCTCCTAATTGATAGTGAGGAACACCAGCTCCCATGACCTTGGCTAGTGGTGACGTGACGACGTCACTAGTGATAAAAAAAAGATTTATTTGGCTATTTTTCATAGCAAAGGTTCTTTGTTGCTTATATCAAATACCTTCTCTTTAAACCTTTTCCAGATCCGGGAATAGAGCTAGGGCTGACTGCTCGACGCTTAGCGAATAACTTTTCCATTGCCTCTTCTCTTCTAAAGTCTGAAGGATGGGGACCTACTCCTAAGGCGGCGGCTGAATTTAATATTATCAATAAATGCTCTAATACATTGTCGCGTTTCTCCATTTTTTCATATTCGGATTCTTCGGCGTCTTCCGATGTCCTTTTCTAAAAATTTTAATGAATAAATTTACATAGTTATCTAGTTATTTACTATATAATTCTTAAGAGTAATGGGTAAACTCACGCTTAGCAATATTCTTAAAGCGTCAGAGGCATCTGTAAGAATTCTAACTAATTTTCCCTGAGCTCTCTTTTCTTCAGCAAGCTGGGACAGTAAGTGTTGTCGTATTTTTTCCTTATTCTCCAATTCCCCCCTCTTCTCTTCAAGTTCATCTCTGTAGGCAATGTTTTTAACTTTGAGTATTTCAGCATCCTGCTCTAATTCTTCGAATTGTTGCATCTTTAAATCGTACTGCGCAATTAAATCTTCCTGCTCTTTGCCTTTGTCTCTTAGCATTCTAACAATCTATTTAATAATTGATAGATCTAATTAAAACTCTTTTTAAAATGTTAATCATAATCACAAACCTTTTGGCTGGACATGTGTTTTTTACAATGCTCTTTTAGTTCCGTTTTTAGAGTTTCTATTTCAATTTGTAACTCCTTTTCTTTTCTTTTTAATTCTTCGTTTTCTTGCAAAAGTTCCGTTGTCTTATCCGACATTTTACATAGTTGAGCATTAATTGATACATTCTCTCTGATAGTTCTTTTTGTTGTTTCGGCCATTTGTTTATTGGAGACCTTCCGGAATTCGGCTGCTACTTGATTCACCCTAAGAACCATTTCTTTTTTCAGTCTATCTTTGTCAACAACTTGTTTCCTTTCTAATCTATAGATTTCCTCTTTTTGATCTTCATCCTTTTGGATTAGTTCTTTTTCCAAGTTGGTCAATTTGGTCATTAGATCTTCTCTTTGAACTTTAAACTCTTCTAAAGAAGCTAGTTTACCTGCAAGGATTAAATTTTCAGATGTTAAATGATCCTGTGTCTCTTTAAATTCGGATCTCAGATCTGTTAGTTGTTTCTCAAAATTATCCTTTTCTGCATCTTTAGCCTGTTGCAAACCAATTATTCTATCTGTTAAATCGTCGACTTCAACTCCCTTTTCTTCCAATAGCTTCTTGAGGTAAGAAACAATTTCTTTTTTTTCTGTTGACATTTGATCGTACTGACTGTCGTAACGAGTTTGTTTTACTTCTAACTCGTCGCATCTTCTTTGATACTTTAGGACTCTTTCTTCCAAATCTTTTATTTGTACCAAATAAAATTCTTTCGTCGAAGGAGAAATTTCATCTTCTTTAGGTTTTAAAGGCAGATCTTGTTTAGCGCTCTTCTTCTTACCTTTCTTTCCTTCCTTCTTTTTCTTTGGAGGCATTGTTGGTTAAAAGATATATTCCACAAAATTGTGTTCAGTGTTTAAAAATAATTTTGAGTATATTTCACAACTTTTTAAACCACGGAATTAACTCTGCAATATTTTAATTATTTTCTGTAGATTCAGGTTGCTAAGGGAAATCCCAATAATGTCTGCTAGCAAGTGCTTTCGTATAAAATTGTGCAAAATTCAACGAAATTATACACTTAATCGATATAATTAAGTAATTTTAGTAGTATTTTAAAATATTATTTATTTTTCTACGAAATTGTCAAGGGTGTTTTTCCAAGCGGAAGTTTACGTTTACGATAAACTTTGCTATTCGAACCTTTTCAGCCCTATTTAAGGATGAAGGAGAAAGGTTCTTGGCGTAAAGTTTTATACGAAGACCAAGGTGTTCCCGATGATTATGTTGATGATTCATTTTTGGAAGAATTGCGAAAAAATCGTAAGTAAATAACGAAAAATGTAACAACTCCCCAGTGAAAATGATCCTATTAATTAACCTTAATATCAATAGTTTACATAAGGGATTATGAATATTGGAGCGTTGTTGCCGAGTCAGGAGTCGTAACACAACATATCAGTTGGTAAGTTAAACCATTTGATGAAAGAACAAACAAACGTGAATATTTTTTTAAATGGTCATGACTGATAAGTTGCAAGAAAGAGAAAATAAAAGACCTAATTTACTGTTATAGTCTATAAAATTGTTCTTATTTAACTAAAATTCTTTACAGCGTTGCCTTATTCGTTGTTGTTTTCGTATATATGGATGAAAATAGACTATCACCAGAGACATTGTTTATATTTTCATTATTCTGCGCCCTTTTGGGCTATTATATGAACAACTTTATGGAACAGAGAAATTTCCGAATATGGAGCAGGCGAACTCGTATGTTTAAAACCTTATTTTCTTTTAAAAAGAGAATATAACAATAACTAATCCTTATGCTAAAAGAAGGTTTTTTTTTTAATTATATCTTAAACAGGTTGGGATGATTTAAAGACAGTCATTATCATACTTGCGTTCAGCGGAGGTTTATCTCCAGTTTTAATGACTCTTACAGATACAATTTCGACCGATACAGTATATGCTATGACTGCTTTTATGCTGTTAGCCAACATTCTTTTTCATGATTACGGTGCTAACGCGGCAATGTAAGTAGTCGATAAAATAGTTTAATGAAAAAAATATGCAACTCTGATAATATAATCTTTTCCCTTTTTACCCCTTTTACCCTTTTCTCCTTATCTAATGAACTTTTATCACAGGGTTTCCGATTCATTATCATTCAACGCAGGAATATTTGCCAGTGTTTGTCTAGCTTCTAGACTAGAAACAACGTGGCATGCGTTTGCCACAGTTACTTTAGCTATTGAATTATTCGCTTTATGGCCAGTTTTAAGGCGGAAGCTAAAGGTTTCGCATTTTCATATAAACATTCATTTATCTATCATTTTTTTTCTCTTATTATACTCGTAAACATTTTTATTAGACACATTATCAAAGATCCCAAGTCGCTTTACCTCTACTGATGGGTACAGTAGCCTCAATGGCAATCTGGTCTGTATCGATAACTTGCGCAATTGTTTTTATATCTTTCCAAGTATTTGTATCATTCGCCTGCCCTGCTTGGTTATTAAATATGCAAAGATTTAAAAAGTTTGTATATTTCATTGCATTTTTTTATAATAAAACAATATTTTTATATCTAGTAACATTCATGGACCATGGGATGAAGCAGTAATACGAAGTTAAGACATACACAAAACAAATATGGCGTCGTGGTGAAGAAAATATGACTCTTTAGCTCCTTTGATATTTATTTATTTTAACTTCTTTAATAAAATTTATTAAATATTTATTAAAAGCAAAAGGAAATGAGAAAATTCGTAAACAAACAAGATTTTATTAAGTGACGAATAGATAATATTCATATCATGACAGCGTATTATATAGGTTAAGACGATACACTATATACTTTACATCCGCTTGTTTATTTATATATAACATAGATAATTGGACTTATATCAACGTCTCCCTTTTATTACTTTAATAGCTTCATTGTGTCATAACGTAAAATTGTTTGTTTTGGTGATTTAATGTACTCAACTAGTATTCTCTTATTGAAATAATAATCGAGTCTTGATGCATTTCATTTCCAGAGTATACAAAGAATTAATATTATATTTATCTAAATAGTTTCTTTATTTGTTTTTATATAGAAAGTATCTTGAAAAAAAGTACACAAATAGTCAATAAAAGCACCAATAGTCAATCTCTTAAAAGTAGTACGTTTTTATTATATTAATTACTTATCCGATTACATCTTTTAAATACTAAATTTGTTTATCAACTTGATTTGAAAGAGTAGTAGAAAGATAAACAAATGTATAATACTTATTCATTTATATAACAAAGATTTACAGCCTTTCTTTTGGGAAAGTTCACTTGCATACAATATTTTAAATGGATGAAGTAGTTGAATATTATCTATACCAGTTTTTTATTTTTTTTTAAATAAGTTTTTTTGTTAATTCTATTTCCTGTTAAGAAAGAAAGTATTATAAAATAGTTATATATAACAAGTAGACATGTTTATTTTTTTTAATTTTATATTTTAACATTTAGATTACTTCTATTAAATACATAGAATGAGTTGTGTGTTATAATTAACTTTTATTGGTTCTATTTATCATCCACTTGAGCACATTAATACGTTTGCTATGACCTTGACATTGTGAGATAGAGCTATCTCAATTCGAAAAATATTGGTTCAACTGTGCATAATTCAGGGCAAAAGTTATGAATAATTACGCACTATTAGCTCAGAGAAACAACCGCATTGACCTTAGAATAACCTTAGGAGTTATCATCATCTTTTCACTTGTAACCTTTATCTCTTATCTCAACGAATTGTCAAAGTAAGGTTGAAAGAGACTGAAAGTTACTTTTTTTTCACAATTTATCATTGCAGAAGTGCGTCCAATGCTACCGCAAGAAAAGCAGAGATAGCCCGTCGGAAGAGAAACGAATTCTTCAGTATGGACGACGAAACAGGAACCGTACAAAAACTGTATCATATAAATGCTAAAAGAAAGACAGATCTCTCCCAATGTCCTCGTCTGAGGAATTCCTATAATTCTCATATGCAGAATTACTTTATTAATTCCAATTCATCTTCTTCATTAGTAGACTATCAAAAGGTTCCATTAGTAGTACTTTATACGAAGGGTCTGTCGCATGTCTTTATGGAACGTTGCCTAGAAATTTTGAATATAGGGCATAAGTCTTTTTTAAATATTAACGAAATTATAAATGGCCAATTGGATTTTGGGTTTTGCGAAAAAATTAATAAAAAATGCAACTATCTCTTTCTAGTTCAACATCCCATTGATGGAATCCTGCAAAACTATTTAAAATGTTTAACAAACTCATCAGGTGAATCCTGCAAACTAAACAACGTAGACATTTCGAGAATGAGCTTGAAAACTTACGCTAGAAGTGAATCTAGTGACATGTTCAATAAAATACATTATTACCTTGACAAGTGTCATTTGAACGCCGATATTTGCCTCTTTCCCAGCTCTTATGCAGAACAATTGTCAGAAAATGAACTGGGTGAGAAATTAGCGGAATCTGTTACCGTCTTAGATAAAATGTTTAGTGCTGTTGGAATTTATCAAAACCTATCAATATCTATGAACTTATTTGAGAAAATCAGTGGAAAAGCCTTTACAAACTGTAAAAACATAGAACAAAGCCAAACTAGATTAACAATGAAGGAAATTGATGATATGAGAGAATCATTAGCAAATGATGCTATTGTAGCTAGACGTCTCTATCCAGATTTAGTGATCTATCAGAAATTGCACTATATCTTTGCAAGACAAGTATCAAATTTTAAGCTAACCCTTAATATGAAACAAATTGAATAGGATAGAAATTTACTTTAAAACTTATTTCTTATGCACATCCTGTTTTTTTATACAAATTTTCTAAATTATTTATAATAAAACCTACGCAAAAGCTAAAAATAGCTTGGAAATTGAATCTCCATCTTGTTTTTTATAGATATATCTTAATAGGAGGAAAGAATAACAAACTATTGTTATATTCTCATAGATTAGAAAGAAGTATAAGAATTGAATTTTAGTTGGGAAGGAATCAATTATAATCGATTCTACAATGAGTTTACGAAATAAATCAATTCTACATAACCCCTATTGCTTTCTTTTCCTTCCTTATTTTTTCACTAAGAATCGATTCAAAGTTAAAGTGAACTGAAGAGGGAAAATTTCCCCTGCCAAATACTATAATTGTTGGACAGGAGAAGATTAATCGGGCGTATAGAACGTAGATGGTCTTATTGGAATGTCTTTTACAGATAGTTTTTTCCCCATTCCATTCAGTGAAATAGCATCTTTTCATCTCTTCAAAAGAGCACCAACCAACTGCGTATGTGAATGGATGAATGTGAGAGCGAGAGATTCCCAAATGATTTATTTTCTTTCTTTTTATGTACATTTATTAATCCTATACATCAGAGAAATAATTTCCATATTCAAATTTTCTTCATCTTTTTTTACACAATATATATTTCAAAGGTAGATGAACAGTGCCCCCTCACGGTAGATAATACTAAAAATAATTTAAGTTTTCCAATCACGATTTGACCGTTAAACGAGTGGCGTCGAACGTCTCCATTCAACCGTCTTTTTGGCTAGGCAAACAAAACTAATACATTCCAGGCCTAGTAGCGAAGGAAAGATAAATTAAGCCTAGGTATCGTACTGAAAGAAAATAAAAGAGAATTATTCCAAGAGAGAGTGAGAGAGCATCTGGTTCGTATACGATCTTGTACTGTTTTTAATATAAGTGATAAATATTAGGCGTAAAGTGGGCAAACTCCTCTAATAAGTGTAAAACGTTTTGATGGATCTGTGTCAGACGTAATATATAACGTTTTCGATAAAATGTAGGCCAAAATACTATATTTAGCAACGTAAAATAGAGTATACTGCATATTTGCATATAGAATGAATATAATTAGAAATAATAGAAAATACCCGGAAATAATATAACCAGCTGTTATTCAACAGGTAATTCTTTTATTATTGAATCAAAAAATTGATTCTTCATATCTGTAGAATATTTTTAAAGAAATATTTGCGCTGCAGTCTTTTGCGGATTTTCAACAAATACCACTTTATCCAAAATAATCAACGGGTAGAAATCTCTTTTTCTTTGCTGTTCTCTCTCTCTCTCTCTCTTTTCTTTCTTCTCCATACTAAAGAAAAAAATAATCTAAATATCAGTGTTTTCTTCTCGTTGCAAACGTTAGGAAGTAATCAAAGAATACTTTTCCCTCTTGCATTTTCCATCGTCTCTATATTTCTTATTATTAATCTATTTTCGTTTGTAATTCTTTATTTTTTTTATTATTCTTTTTTTTCTCTTTGTTTTTATCCTTTGAGAATTTTTTTCATAGTTTTTCACAAAACAAACTGTTACTGAGGACTGAGAAAGGAGTTTACAAACGCTTTATAACGTCTAGATGTATAATACTATTTAACGAGTAATAGTAAGCAAAAGTGTTTGCTATCTGCAAATATGAACTTTAAGTTTATTCTCGTGGGCGTTACGAGGCGTTACCTAGGCCCTCTTTTTTCCTTTTCAACTTCCCATTCTCTTTTATTTTTTCGACAAAAGCTCCTTTTTAAACAGGATTAAATATTTATAGATTATGCTATATTAATAACAATCATTCATGAAAAGAATTACCTACAAAAAAATGAAAAGTTTGTCAATTTTTAAAAACCAAATAACAAACAATAGAAAGCGGTAATAATACATGTTGACTACAAAGTTTTTTCAACTTAAGGTTAATAAAGGTCTTTCATTCAAATCACTCTATTTAGTAACCCCTCCCATTAACTCCACCCTCCTTTCACTATCCTTTGTGTACATATATACTAGGAAATCGAATAAAATAACTATGGGGGGAAATTCAATTAATTTTCAAGTGAATACTAATAAATTTCACACTGTTGAGAAAATTTTTGCATTAAATCTCACATTAAACATGCACATGTAACAAGACGCCTAATTTACATAAACGCAAGCGCTCAGTGCTGCCGTCGACTGCACCAGATGCGCTGCAAAAATTGTAGTATATACGTTATCCTCTGCATGTTTACTTTGGTCTAAGAATATGGAGTGCAATTATTATTCTAGAAAGGTATGTTTCAGTTTTTTTTTTGTTTTATGAATGCCGACTTTCAAACACAAAGAAAAAGCGTCTATTGATCTCGATAATAGACAACTGCAAAATTCCTAAAAAAAATTATATAATGAGTAAGTTCCTAAGATATGCTGATGGTTGTGGGGCACAACAATGATTTGGTCTTGGTATCTTTATTATACTCCTAATTCAGCATATTTCTGATATTCTGACTCAGATCGATAAAAAAAAAGCGTCCCTTCGCGTCCACAATTTATTGATTTATCCCCAGACGGTTTTATTTTCTTATTATCGCTCGACAATCGATAAAACTATCGATTAATTCTATCGTATATGATAATTCCATAGGGGTGAAATACCATTGCCTTTCGTAAGAATCTTTATAATCTACTGAATTTTTAGGTAATATGAACTAGAACGAGGCGATAATAGAGGATTTTTTCCTATCGATTTTAGACAAATCCATCGTGAGTCATAGGGATGAAACACAAATATATATATATATATAAGTGAGCAAGAAACGCTTTCGCTTGTATTTGTAGTCGCGATGCTGACTAGACGGTCGGGAGAGCTAACTTTCTCACGGCATATAGATGACATCTTAAAGCATCTTGTTTGGTCTTGCGGAGCTATTGTAAGCTATTAAAATATTATCTATTATACATTAGTTAAGATGTTAGAGAAATAGAAACTAAACGCCTTATTACCAAACTTATTCGATAAGTAACAGCATAAACTCGCGCCTTTAAAAGCTTTGATAGAAATAGTCTCCGTCGACTTAGATAGCTTATGACTCCTTTCTTTCATTCTCTTCTTCTTAATAATTTTATTATTATTTCCCTATAGGAATCTGTTCTTTCACTTGAAAAAAGAGATTCTGGAACTTGCGATCATAGCGAGCATGAAGAGGATAACACTAGCCAGTCTCAATGGCCTACTCAGGAAATGGTATACTCCTTGTTGACCATGCTGGGAACTAATGATCCAGATGAATTAAGCAAAACATTGCTGAGTTTATCGACGTCAATAGAGGCTTGCAGCGCAATGAGACAATGCGGTTGCATAGCTCTCTTAGTGCAATTGATGCATGCTCCAAATACAACAGCATCGGCACGGAGAACTTCTTCGGCTGCTTTACATAACCTAGTTCATTCTCAGTTAGACGAAAGAAATTCCAGAAGGGAAATTCGAGTTTTGAGATTATTAGAACAAATTAGATTGCACTGCGACTTTCTTAGAACTCGCCAACCTTGTCAATCTGATCCCCAGCCTGGACCTGCTATAGCTACGTTAATGAAGCTAAGTTTCGATGAACAGCATAGGTAATATTTTTTCCTTTTTATTAATTAAGGTTAATCGAACTGGACAAACCAACTAATTGATTTCTATTAATAAATATAATACAGAGCAGCAATATGTAGGCTTGGTGGTTTGCAAGCTATTGCCGACCTACTTCAAGCGGAACATGAAATGGTCGGATTATATGCCACTGACCAGCAAAGCGTTACTATGAGGAGATACGCCTGTATGGCGCTAACAAATTTAACTTTTGGTGACGCTCACAATAAGCGTCTGCTGTGCAGTCCCGAGATGAAGAAAGCTCTAAACGCATTAGTGGAACAGTTAAAGTCATCTAGCGATGATCTCAGACAAGTCGCCGCGTCAGTTCTTAGAAATTTATCATGGAGAGCCGATCCTGTATCTAAAAAGGCGCTCAGGGAAGTTGGTACAGTTAAAGCTCTTGTTAGAGCCGCTATGAGTTCGGTCAAGGAAGCAACACTTAAAAGTATGCTTTCAGCTTTATGGAATCTGAGCGCTCATTGCACCCATAATAAGGCGGACGTCTGTGGCGTTGATGGAGCACTTGTTTTTCTCGTCGCAACCTTGACTTATAAGCCGTCTCTATCCCATAGTCCTCTGTCTGGGGGTCCATCAACAGCTTTAGCAATAGTTGAGAATGGAGGTGGAATTCTTCGGAACGTCTCGTCGCATGTGGCAATTTATGAGGAGTATAGAACTATTCTAAGAAGCCATGGTGCCCTACCCGTCTTATTGTCACATTTAACTTCGTCAAGTTTAACTATTGTTAGTAACGCCTGTGGAACTCTGTGGAATTTATCAGCTCGAAATAACGAAGATCAACACAAATTAGTCGAATTAGGAGCTATACCAATGCTTAGGAATCTTGTTCATTCCAAACATAAAATGATAAGTATGGGGTCAACGGCCGCTTTAAGAAATCTTTTACAAGCACTTCCGGAACATGCTGCTGCTATGGCTTTGAGACCAGCGACTTCTCCCGCTGCCCCCGGTCTATATGTAAGGAAATTGAGGGCCTTCGAAAAGGAATTGGAAGAACAAGGAAATGGTCTTGGCGAAACTTGCGATAACGTCGATAGTCCAATTTCATCGCCCGAAGCATCGCCTAAACATTCTCCAGTGTTTCAGAGATGGCAGCAGCGCCCTCTTTCATTAGTCTCCGCAACTTACGTTCACTCCAGCCAAACAGGTTAGAATTAATTATATTATTTGCTGGTAAGACGTAGATAAGCCTATTTTCATTCAATTCGAGCATGGTACTTATGCTAGTTTTAATTAAAGCTTATCGATTCGAAATGAGAGATATTTAAATATAAATAATATTAATAATTAAGAGAATGATAAAACCTTAGGCAAATTGTACTAAATACGCCGTTATACTAAAAAAGCACTTTTGTTGATTGATAAGGACATTTCTTTAGTTTCATTCTCTTTCCTTTTTAAATAATGAGGACATTAAAATATTTAAAATGGCAATTTTATTTCCTTTCTTTCCTATTTCTAGGCGAAAAAATAATCTTCCATGACGAGGATGAGGAAGAATTAGAAGTTGGTATAGACGCCCACGATGACCAGGCAACGCCCAGAAACTCGACTCTATTATCAGAGGGCTGCGAAGGAAGTGAGCCAAGGGAATTAGAGACAACTTTTGAGGGTATTGTCCGCATATCGGCTAGCGAAGAAAATCTCTTGGCAAAATGCGCACAAGTATCTACTCCACGAGTGAGAAGATCTTGCTCATCACAATTAAAAGGTGGTCAGAAGGTTAAGGCTGCCACAAGACCGGCTTCTATAGTCGTTAATAGTACACTATGGGAGAAGAAGGAAATTGGTAAGAAACCAAACCCTCTTTATATTTATTTACTTGTGCATGCTAAACTTAATTTTTTACCTAAATAAATAGTTCTACCATCTACTTCCTGCCACGTTCTTCCAGATAACTTTGATATTCTTCCACCACCTCCTGAGTTCTCTTGTCCAGTGAATTTCCCAGAAGAGCCGGTTAAAGAGGTAATCACGCAGGATAGCACACAAAAAGAGGAACCATCAATTAAAACTTCCGAGTCGTTCGAAAGGAACCAAACTGAAAAAATGTTCAATCAGTTAGAAGAAGACGCTAGTAAAATACTTAATAGAATAAAAATTGAGAATTCTCAAGCCAATAGCAATAAACTTGACGATAATAAAATAGCTAAAACAGAATCAGAAAATGAGAACACTGCCACAATTATCAAAGAAGAAAAAGAAACTGAGGAAGACGAGAAACCAAAAAGAGGACCAAGAATACTAAAATCTTTCGAGCATACAGATTTAAAAACAATAAGAACAGGGAAAGCACATCAAAAGCAAGCTCCTGTTAGAAAGAATTCACAATTGGAAAAGAAGCTGAATAAAGCTGAAAAAAATGTCTCAAAACTAGTCCAGCCTATAAAAAAGTCATCGCAAAAATCAAAATTCAGTTTTGTTAAACCGAAAATATTAACAAGATGGGAAACTCCACCGAAACCGTCGACAGATAAGGACAAATCAAAAATTAGTAAGAACATTAAGGATACGAAAAAGTTAACAATAATAAAACCAACGAAAGAGAGTAACTCAAAGGTCAAAACATCAAAAATCAATCAATCCAAAATTACCAACGGAAGTAATAACATAGTGAAAAAAACATCGAATGAAGACGAAATCAATGCCAATATAACTTCTGACGCTAAAACAATAAAAGGAAAGGCGAAATCAGCCATTCCAACAAAAAAATTTGTTAATAGCAAAACGGTTAAAGCGTCTAAAAGACCAACAACTACTCCTCCCCCGCCTCCTCCCCAAAAGCAAAATACTTTTACAAGGCCACCAACAAGAAGTTCAACATATGATAAATTAGATGACGTTAATAAGTTTACTAAATTAGATATGGAAGAAGACAAGAATGAAAACTGCGGTAGAAGAGAAGCAGTCGTAGTTCCATTTAACTATCAAGCAGTTCAAGGTGACGAAAATAATCCTATGGAAGAAAGTATGACAAAAACAGCAATGTTATTGGCAAGAAGGCAACAACAGCTATTAGAAAATAATAGAACACCTATATCAGCTTCGACAGTTGTGTGACTAGTTCTGGCTTGTTTTGCCTCAATTTTCATTGCTAATTTCTATTCAAAGTCGTTTTTTCATACTGAAAATTGAAAACAAACTTCCTTTTTTGTCAAAGAAAAACTTGCAAACAAAATGAAAAAAAAACCCACTTAGTGGACAGCTAATTGTAGAATTTTTTTAAATTAAAGCATTACTATGCATTGTATAATAGGGTGTATAGTATTTATTGTTATGTATAAACCCTATGGATACATACATACATATATATATATATATATATTTTTTGGTATACATTATTGATAATATAAATATGATAAAAGATAACAAAAATATGTATTTATATAAATATTATACAGTATATTTGTATATATATTTATATAACTTTGTTTTACTGTTCTAAAAATAGATCAAATTACGACTATAAAAATTTATCATTTAATTTCTTTTTTTTGCTAATTTTCTTCCATCAATTCTTCTATCTAAACGTACTGTATTATCGGTCTTCATTAATAATTTATAATAATCTTTAGAATAATAAACTTACCCCATGAATAATAGTATACCAATATAGCAATAGTATTCTATTTTTTTATTATATTTATTCATGTTTTTAAAACCTGAAACTTTCTTTATTGTTCTATAAAAATGAAATAAAACAGAAATAGAAATGTTCTAGAACGATTTTTTTCCTTTTTCGTTATTTTCTAGAACAAGATTAATTAAAGATGCTGTTGCTAAAAAGTCTCAGTTAAATACGGTAATTAGGATAAATTCGAGTAAATGTTGTAATATAATATATGATAAGGTCTACAGAATGTTCCTTTAGGGGATATCTTGCAGAGACAGCGAATGTGTTTTTTTCACATAAAATTGTGTACATAGGCATTTTTTTTAGTCTTTTGCTCACGAAGTCGTATCGAATTTATCATGAATTGCATTTATCTAAATACGTACTTAAAAAACTTAAAGCGATATTTCTTTGAATATGACTTTTAATTATGATTACAACAGATATTGATTCTGTTTCGGGTGTCAAAAATCACACGATATGCTCTTTTAAAGTGGAGGGCTTTTGAAGTAGAAATACATTTTATCCTCTCATTATTGGTTTCATTAATATTAAAAGTAGAATAGAAAATAGATAGCAAATAGTAATATCATATTTATATCAACTAAAACGAAAATTCGTTAATGTTTTATTATTTACAATTTTTTTTTATCGTTTCCATTATATTCTCACTCTTGCTTTTCAATAATATATTAGCATATGGTCTCTTTTTCGGTTTTAATAGATTTTACCGACTATATAAAAAATCTTTACATTAATCAATATGATCAAACTTTCCCTGATTCGAACTGTGACATTTGTCTGGACTATGGACACCGCTCCATATTAGGATTTAAGAATAACTTTCGATGTGAAAAATGCTTAAAAATGAAAGTTTGAGAATACTACTATTTAATAATAATGTCTTATTTTCTTGCAAAATAAACAGTTTATACGTTTCTATTAAATGCTAATGGAAACATCTAGATTTCAATATACTATAATTATTCTAATTCAGTAGAACATTATTCGCCGTTCGTCATTCTTGAAGTTGATTTATTCCAAGATTCAAGGTTAATCTAAAATTGTGTTTACTCTTCATTAGCCTCTACTTTCTTTTAACTCACTAGAGAATTTCGAAACATTTTGCGAGAAAATTTAAGAATAGATCTTTAGAATTATTATAAAGATCGAACAAAAAACAAGTGATCCTTAATGAATTTGGAAAGAGTAAACAGCAGTTCAATAAGTACACATATTATACATATAATAGGTAAAAATTAAACATTTATATCAAATATATATATATATATAATAATAATAATAATTTATACAATTAATACTTTTTAATTGTCTATAATAGAACATTTCCTAAATAAGTGAAATTAATTGCAGGAACATGGTCTCAAAATCTCCTTCAGAATTTAGAATGGTAGCTATATTTGTTCGATAATTGAGTATTTTGTTTTAAATTTCTAATCAGTTATTTATTTTAGTGTTAAGTGTGTAACAGAGGAGAATGAATATATATTAACGAATTGTATATGTGATCTTCTAAAAGCAGTAAATCTGTCTCAAGTATGTTTTAAATATATATATATATATACATATATGTATATATATACTAATCTATAGGATTGCCATCTTATAACTTTGAGGTTATTTAATTAATTTCCTATGTATATTTTAAATACAGAGGCCAATAGGTCATATAATTAATGAAATTATTCAAAGTCACAAAGAAATCTATGGGAATGGCTGCAACGACATTACAACCCTATTTTATATTTTAATTAAAATGGTTTGGCGGCTTGAAGATCAAGTAGATTTATTTCTTTCTCATTTTATATATATTAGTATATATTTAGATTATCGGATTATTAATAATTCATAAATATAAAAACTATATATTTCAATCAAAAAGGGAATACCTCTGCATCTAATTCTGGATAACATTGATGAAGCTTTTCAAATATGTATCAGTGAAATTAGATTAAGAGTGGAAAATTTTCGACTAAGTAGGTTAAATGAAGAGCAAACTAAATAAATGACATCGTTTCATATGCGGTATGTTAATCTCTCTGTCAGTTACGGATGGGCGAACAAAAGATTTTCATCATTTTAATGAAGAAGCTAAACTAGACCCGAAATTATTTTCATCCGCTAAACCTAATCTCAAAGATCTAGATCTCAGACTAAAGAAACTACGCAACGTATCGCACAGAATGGTACTCCAATCTAGCCGCCATTTCCAAATGGAAAGCACGTATTGAAACTATTAAAACTTTCTCTATTTGAGTTTAACCTTTTTCAGATTGTTCCCAGTCAGAAGACAATGTAGTTAATAAGTCAAGTAATGAAATAAGTCAGCAAGCCGTAATTGAAAGAATGTCTTCTAATATTGAATTAGTTAATAAGCTACTAAAGCGTTTACTAGAAATTACTATGGAAGAAAATATTCAGTAAGCATTAAATTTTGCTTAAATCAATTGATTAGATAACATTTAATATTTAATTTTACGTTCTCTTTTATAGATTGTCCTCACGAAATGTAATAATTCATTCAATCCCTTTCAACAAATGCGATGTCCTTCCTCATCTAATCGTTCAAAATAACAGACCATCGCAAATGTCTGTCTGTGCTAGTTTAGAAGGAAAACGTTGCTCGTGTTTGGTAAGTGCAAAAAGAGTGAAGGGCTAAATGTAACAATCGTGTATTCTTCTTTAGTTAATAGAAGGCGATGTAACGGAAAATTTTAAGCACACTGGCTACAAAGCATACACCAACTTTGCAACAGTTAAGCCTGAATTGGTCGAAAAACCTAACTGGGTTGGAAAAGTTATTGATATGTTAAAGAAGGTATTTAATCAAAAGTTTTTATTAATATCCATTGGAAAACACTTTTTCATCTTCTTACTAGTTATCTATCAATGTTATAATAAGTAAAGGAAAAATTGATGATGATTTAGCGAGTTCTTGCGAAGGATTAGGAATTCTATGCATAGCGAACGTACCGACAAATATTTTAAGATCAATAGCAAAAACGTCGAATTGCGATGCTGGTGCTTACATTTTTGAGTGTACTAAGGTAAATTCTATTTCATGTTTTGTTAAATATTTATATTTCGTTCAATCTAAAGGATCATGTTGCAAACGATATTGAAGTGAAACCCTGGAGAGATTATTGGAAATTTTCTTTTCAAAAAACTAATATCGGCGAAGATTTTATTTATATTAAAGCTCCCAACTGCAATTTTCAAGTTAATTGTTTTCCTCTTTTCTCCAGAGTAAAAACGTTAACAATGTAAAATTTGTTTCTTTTTAGACGGTGATTTTTGGACATCCTGTTGAACAAATGCGTCGTTTGATCGAGTCAGAATTGTTACATAAATTGAATAACCTTTCATATCTATTGTATGAAAGTGATAGTATATCTACTGTCTCAAATGGAAACATCGAACTATTGTGCTGTAAACGACTCGAAAAAGTAATGCAAAAAGGTTGAAAACTCTGACTGTATAAAATTGCAATTATTCAGCTTTTTTTTTGTATATATTAGACGTTCGAGGGGATTTGAATGAAGTCAAGTACTGTGTCTTTGAGAGTATCCGCGACTGCCTGGAAGAATACGCTTTTATTCAGAACACGAATAATTTACATTTGAACGATGCTTATCCTCAAAATACCGCGTCCTTTACCTCAGCCGTACTTAAGGAGGTGACTTTCATGACGTCACTACTCTTAGTAAAAAAACTAGCACTTATATCAAATATTTGTCAAACGGGTATTAAAACTGATGTTGATTGAATTATTCATTATATTTAATGAATGTTTTTCACCTTTTTTTATTGAGATATATATATATATATATAGATAGATTGGAAAGACTTGAGCTATCAATAGTTTCGTAGAAGCCTATATTCTATGGATTTACCATCAAGTTAAATTTCCAGAAAAAAGACACAATAATAAAAACTGTCACGATTAAAAGTTTTATGACAAAACGAAATATTTTTGGTAAAAACACTTGAAATATTTAAGAGTCTTATATTACACTGCGTAAATGAATAATTGATTAATAACATTTAACTTCTTGTATCACTTTGCTGCTGCTGCAAGTCACGATTTGACATCAATAACTTTTATTACATAGTACAAAACCAAAAAAATTAATATATTTTTACATAACAATTTTTTTTGACATTTTACATAATAAATAACCTAATTTTACAAATAATCCATAAGAAATACAAACAAATAGCATAAAAATATACTATTTAGAGATAGTTTATTTACGTTTACCACTGCTAAAATCTGGGGTATTTAATCCATATTTTGCTTTTAAATCATTTAGTTCTTTTTCTTTTTGTTCGGCATCCATTCTCTTGAAGGCCTGATAGGAATTTTTAAATTAGAATTCACAGAACTAAATAAAAGAATATAAATTACCTTGTTAGATTGATAATATAAAACGACGAGGTAACGATTGCAAACATTAAATCCAGATAAATGATCGCATGCATTTTTCGCATCGAAAATGTCTTCATAAACTACATATGCTGTACCCTTTGTTTCAGCTGTTGTTCCCCTGTAATACCAGTAAATATTCAGTTATTTACATCACGTTAGAAATTTCTAAGTAAAGCTTACACTCTGATTTGTCTAATTGCGCCATACTTTCCAAATATATCATACATTTCATCAGTAGTTATTTTATAAGGAAGATTTCTGACGTACAATATTCGATTTACCTCAGGGGGTAGTCGAACCTGTCAAAAAGAAACAATTTTAAGTTTTACCCATATTATCGTCCATTTAAAAGAATCACATCAAAGAAATGTGGATAGTTAAAAGAAAATATAGAATTTAAGCCGAATCAGAAAAACAAATATATATAAAGCTTACGTTTGCTTTTTTTCCCATAGCCATTTTGGTGAACAATTAGGAAACAATTTGAATATTGTATAATCAGAAGCAGATAGGACGGTCTCTCAACGTCTGGTAACTCTACTTTATAAAAATAATTTTTTAACAAAAAATCTAATAAATAAATTGAAATATATATGTATATAGGTAAAGCCTAATTAAAAACTGCTATTTAAAGTTTTTTTATAAAGTAATTTTAAGTGCCGTCCTATTATACACATCCGCCATTTTGACCTCCGAAATGTCGCTGCTTAGATCATTTTCCCGTTTACCAACAAGAGGAATTAGCCAATCTTTTCGTGTTTTATCTTCGCAACACGTAACTAAGAGAAATTATGCCGATATGTCATTTACGCTGTCATCACCCGCTCAGGTAACTATTCCCCAGTCTTTAATTTTCAGGACGATAATACGCAAGTTTACGAATTTTACTCTAATCTAAAATTATGACTTTGCTATAAAACTGATATAACACCATTGCACTTTTCGGCTTTTATAAATCTCGATAAATAATATTTTAAAGTTTATAAAGATTAAAGTTGAGCAGAAAATAAAACTGTTTTAGACTATAACCTTCACTTTTTTATACTTGGTAACCTAACTAGGATAGCTTGAACATGATAATCGAACAATCAAGGGCATTATTGTGGCTAATTGCATCGCTTTAAACTTAAATTTCTTTATTCTTTCATTCGTGGCTCTCTATTTAAACTACAAAAAGAAAGAACTAGAGCAGTCTTAGGTCAAATATTGTGTTTTTGTTAATTTTTCGATATATAAAATACATTAGAAATATTTGGGTATATATTAGTTTTCTGGATTTATATAAATGTATTTCCTTCATAGGTGGTATATGAAAACGCTAACGTGAAGCAAATTGATGTACCATCATTTTCTGGTAGCTTTGGAATTTTACCCCAGCACGTACCTATTTTGGCCGCAATTAAACCAGGTGTTTTGACAGTGTATGAGGAGAGCGGATCCACAAAGAAGTTTTTCGGTAAGTGATAAATATTATTATATTCAAAATGACAATATATTATAAACTTATAGTCAGCTCTGGATCAGTAAGCGTCAATGAAGATTCTTCTGTCCAAGTTTTGGCTGAGGAATTGGCAGAAATTTCGGAGTTAGATTCAGCAGCCATTCGTGATGGTCTGAATCAAGCAACACAAAAACTGCAATCCGCAAGCGGCGAAACCGCTAAGGCAGAAGCCCAAATAGCTGTCGAGTGCTACGAAGCTCTACAAAAAGCCTTAGATTAATGTACAAGTGACATAATTTTTGTTTCATTCATTCAAAAATTGAAAATACAATAAGCTATACATGTTAAATGTGTTTTGGAAAGTAGAGTTGCACACTCATCCATTGTCCAATTAATAAAACTTGTTCGTTTGATTACGTGGACATTTATGTCTATGATACTTAAAGTACTTACACTTTGATAAATTACAGATCTCTTCAATTTCAAACTCAGCCACATCAGTCTAGTAATTAAATTTAAAAGTTAATTTATGGGATTTAGGTTTCAAATCATTAACAAACAATGACAAACAATAATATAGTATCTGATGCAAAACCGTATGAACAGCTAATTGAACTGGGAAAAATAGATAATAATTTACCTTCTCCACTTATTCCGGTTGAAACAACTGATGCTCAAAAATCAAGTAAACATGCGGCGACCGACCTTTTATCAGAGTTAAAGCCAACAGAAGATGTCCGAAATGGTAATCTAGGGCATTTAGGCAATAAAAGAATTGTAGAGCACTTTCGAACTGATTCCAGATCTTCCGGAGCAAGTCTTGATAGTAAAAAGGGAAGAGGTATGAAAACATAATCAGAAAATTTCAACTTAAATTGTTACTACGTTCATTTAAAATTTTTAGTTCGAAATAAAGCTGAAGCCCTTTCTAAAAATCTCTTTCTTTCTGATTATGATATGGAAAAGGAGCTTAAAACCAAAACAGAGTTGTTACTAACAAAAGTTCGAATCGACGCTAAATCTACTGCAATTTCTCAACCAGACTTACTCTTCATGATAAAAAATGCTGAATCGGAGGGGTATTTTTATGAATATTCCAAACTTTATCAATTTGTTCAAATGAAGGAAATTCGCAATAATATTAATGAAGCATTAATTGAAGCTCAGAGACTTATGGAAGGTATATCAGAGGAAGAGATGTTCATTCAAAATTTATCAAATGAAGAGGACGCTGTAGAGAAAAAACTATCACAAAGCTCTGCATGTTTTAATATAGAATCTAAAGATAATTTAGAAACATCTGCGAAAGGCAATCGACTCATTAAAGTTTTAAAGGAGAATAATTGTTTTGAAATTTTAACGGATAAGGAAAGATGGATGAAAACCGTATGTATTATAGATGAACTTTTGTAGTTTTTAGGGATAATTGTATCTTTCCTTAGGCAAAAAAAGTTTTCTTTCAAATTGAAGCTTTCGAGGGGAAACTACTCAAGTTAATAAAAAAGAAATTAGGAGATCTTAAATTTCAAAGCATCCTTTTATCAAAAAAGACATAAAAGTTGATTAAATAATTATAGACCTTTCAAATAGTAAATTTAATAATTATTTTCTTTTAGAGGATGATACTTTAATAAAATTCGACCACAATTTCCAACCCAACAGTTTTTATTCTATGTACATTTATTCATTCTATACACATTTTATATTATTATTGAACTTAATATTGTGGTTCATATCTCTTTTTTGGTCTTCGAACAAAGTCAGGATTGAATTGAGAATTATATCTTCTTTCTCGATCGTCCATAATTATATCATCTTTAGGTTTTTCACCCCTTAATTCTCCAAAGAGTTTTTTAACTTTTTGTTTTTCAGTAGCCTCTCTTCTCAAACGTTCGGCCCTAAGCTCTTCTATACTCTTTTTTTTTGATGGCGGTGGCGATGGTGATGATCTTTTATGCTTTTTCTTTTTCTTCTTCTTCTTCTCTCTCTTATAAGTTTTAACATGCTTTTCAACGGCTTTCATTGGATCCAAGAAATCCTTGCGCTTCTCATCTGCCTCCGAATCAGATGAAGAATCTCTAGTACGTTTTTGTGTCTTCGGATTAAAATACCAAGGTTTAGTAGCTGTTTAAAGAAAAAAAATAAATATTTTAATAAATTATTATGTCATTGATTGAATAAAAAATAAACAAAGCTTACTCTGTGATTCTACAGCACTTTGACCAATATAAGTCAAAAGTCCAATTTTCTTCTCATAAGCTTCCTTTTCTTCCTTTTTTTCTTTTTCGTGTTCTTCGTTCACTTCCTTACCTTTTAAACCTGCTTCAGCTTCGGCAAAAAAATTAATATGTCGACTTTCTTTCGGAACTAATGTTGCAGCAGGTTCAGAACCACGTAAACGAGCTTGATTTCGCAAATAATTTGTCCTTGCCTCTTGCTCGGCTAAAGACCTTTTTCTTTCCTTTTCCTTCTCTTCTTCGGCTGCTTTAGCTTCATCTCGTTTCACTCTTTCAATATTATTCCTATTTCTTACGTGCCAGCTATTGAGCGATAAAAAGAGTTATTAAAAATGACAGGCCAAAATAGAGTACTTGTAACCTTTTATGATGTAAAATATTCATGTTTTCAACTATTCCCGAAAGTAAAGTAAATTAAATATGTTAAGATGGTCGTTAATTAAGCTTTTAATCTTGATTTTTCTTGAAAATATTAAAACGTCCAGAAAATGTGTATTATTTATAGGCGGCGCCACATATATTTATATTTCACTAGACCGCTTAGTATATAGAATACTACCAATAGGAACGCCACCGTCCATTGACTCTGACACGATCTCACCTGGATTTTTATGTGTATTTTGTCTTTGCTATGTAAGAATACTAAAACTTAATAATAATTTAACTAAAAAATGGATAGTAAATGAAAACTATGTCTTATTTAAGTTCGATTTAGCGGAAAAAGTACGAGAATAAATTATTGCATATGAATTGAGTACGTTCAATCATCTGCGGATAAATTTTCAGTGCGGGCTAGACAGTGCATGTAAGCATTATAGAAGGTTGAAATAAAATGCTCTAAATCTTTCAAAGTTTACTAAAATAAACCATTAGATTTAATAATAACATTAAAACGTTGTAAGTATGAAATGGAGAGAAATTACTGTCTCTAAATCAACTACTCGAAACGTGAAAGTGAAGTTCGCCATGTTTATTTTTTTTCAGTTGAATATACTACTATTAGATAACGAAAATGAGTCTTGACAGTGGAAGTGGATTGAAATGTCGAAAGAAAGCAGTTGATAAAGAACAGGTCGAGCAAATTAACGAGGAAATTGAAGATAGAAACTCCAAAGAGACTCGTTTAACCTTAATGGAGGAAGTGTTGTTGTTAGGATTGAAAGATAGAGAGGTATTTTAAAGATCAATACTTATGACTAGGTTAAATTTTAACATGTTATCTTATTTGATATGATTTTTTTCTTGCAAAGTATTATATTTTACGATGTGTAACTTACATTTTCGATTACTAAAATAGTTATACTAATATTTGTTTGATTATGCTGAAACTTACTTGATCGTATTGATCGTATTATTAAGTCATATGTCCAATAGTTGATCCAACTGTTAATTTGCTACTTATTCTATTTTTATAGGGCTACACATCTTTTTGGAATGACTGCATTTCTTCTGGACTTAGGGGTTGTATCATTATTGAACTAGGATTAAGGGGGCGTGTTGAGCTCGAAAAAACAGGCCTAAGGAAAAGAAGCTTACTAAATAAAAAACTATTATTTAAATCGGATGCCCCAACTGGTGATGTTCTCCTAGATGAAGCCTTGAAACATATAAAAGAAACTGACCCTCCCGAGACTATACAAAGCTGGATAGAATACCTTTCTGGTAGGTGTCCTTTTCAAATATTGTTTATATTTGTCAGTTTCGTAAATGCGCATAATTAACTAGTTATAATAAATACGTTGTTTAGGTGAAACTTGGAATCCTTTGAAACTCAAATATCAACTTAGAAATGTCCGAGAGCGCTTAGCAAAGAACTTAGTTGACAAAGGAGTGTGTACTACTGAAAAACAGAATTTTGTGCTCTTTGATATGACTACACACCCTCTAACTGATTCGAATGTTAAGCAAAAACTAATAAAACGTGTTCAGGAATCTGTTCTTTCGAAATGGGCCAACGATGCTCAAAGAATGGACAAACGAATGCTGTCTTTGTTGTATTTGGCTCATGCCTCAGATGTCCTGGAAAATGCTTTTGCTCCTTTGGCCGATGATGATTACGAATTGGCTATGAAGAGAGTCCGAGATTTACTGGATTTAGATTTTGAAGCAGAAGGAGCAAAAGATGGAGCTAATGAAGTAATGTGGTGTGTTATATCGGCCTTTTCTAAATGACATTCCTGCATTTTCCGTTTAAAGACGTTACAGGTTGGTTGTTGGGTTATTTCTGAGGTTATTTTCTAAAATCACAATAAAGAATAGAATACCAATTTCAAATCAAGGATTCACACTTCATTCATCTTTTCTACTGTTTGTGTTAGGCTTAAATGAAAAGTATATTGCCTTTAAAATTGGTCAAAAAAAAACTTTGCTTATTTAATTCAAATAATCTTATATTTAATTAACTCTGTTACATTTAAATATATCCATCATAAGCTTCTGACAAAAAGATCTCCTACTGATGTAATCAGTAGCAATGAGGTCATGAAGTATAAACAGAAACGAAAATTATTTATAGAAGTGAAATTTTAACTTTCCAACAGTTTCAACTATCCGTTTGTTTTATTTAGAATAAATTACATTAAAGCTTCGGCTATAACTACATAACATGATTCCTAAGTTTAAAAATTGTTAGTGCTAAAGTTCTATTTAAGCTATCTATGTTCAAAACTAAGCTTTTATTAAATGTTTACCTCCTCAACAATCTGAATATACCCAATAACCAATTATGATATTTTTAGAATAATGAAACAAAAAGAAAGAGCTTTTATTATATAAATATGGGGATTTTCTTCTTTTTTCGTGTTGAAAATGGTTAAAATACTAATAATAGATTGGACGCTAACCTGTGATATTTTATGTTTCTTTCGTTAAAAAATTTTTTATTTGGTAAAGCTGCATATTTAATTAGAATTTTATCTTAACAATTCTATATGTAATTTTATTAATAGCGAATATGTGTATCATTAATCAATAAAAGGTTTGGTTAATTTGTAGCTTTTTTTCATTTTAGTAAAAAGACTTTAGATTCTTCCTTCTCACTGGAAATGATTATAGATGAGTCTATATTCTCTTTTTGGTCAGCTGTTAAATCTGCTTCGTGATATAGTACCGCCCAAGTTTCATCTGTCATTGCGTTCAAAAATATACTTAATGTGATAATAGCCTAGTTTTATTAAAGGCCATAAAAGATATCTGAGCTATAATGAAGTCTAAACTTTAAATAACCAACCTTTTTCTATTTTATCACCTTCATCTTTTAAAATTTCTATTCCAACTTTATAATCCAGCTGATCCTCTACGCTAAACCTTCCGGCGTGATGTTCTCTTAGCACTTTTGCTAGGGGAAGACCCCTAATTACGTTTACAATTCCATTTGAATTGCTTTTTATTTCTGTTTTTCTACTAGCCAGCTTGAGAACTTCTCTAGGGTCCTTCATAAGCTGAGATGCTAATTTAGCGTCGACACCTTGCTTGATAATCATCAAACGAAACTTTTCAGCCGCCGAATTATCATTTAAAGTAGATCTCATCATTTTTTCTGCTTCTTCAAAACATTTTGCAATATTTGTCGATTGAAGGAGACAAGCTCCCAATTTACAAACAACATCTATAAGATCCTTAGGCCCTTTGCCGTTTAAAGTGTCAACCGCTTCTAACACTTCAATAGCATTTCCAATGGTTTTTCCAATAGGAGAGACCATCTTGGTCATGGCAGCAATGATATTCATACCAAGTTCTTTTCCAACATCAATCTGTGCAAATAAGTAGTAAAAATTTATTAATCAAATAAACAAAGCCATTTAAATGACTGTATGCGTGATAAGGAAAATATGAATGAATAGAAATTTTACTATTTCTCTTGCGAGTTCTTCAGATAATTGTCTAGTTTTAATTAAAGCTCCTTCTCCATAAGTCATTTCCATAACTAACGTTTTTATACCAGCTGCTGCTTTTTTCGATAAAATAGATGCTGGACGGATATTAGTATAAAGAGTTAATGGCTAAACAGTTTTATGAAAGGAGATTCTTGCCTATAATTAAAGAATTACTATTAACAGTTGCTGTAACATCGCGAATTGCATAGAGCTTTTTATCGCAGGGTGCTATATTCTTTGTTTGACCAACTATGCAGCATCCAATCTGCTCTACAATTCTAAAAAGCAACAGTCAATTGTATAAAAAAGGTGTTAATTAAATGAAGCAAAAGTAATGTAGTTACTCTCTGATTCTCTCTTCGCTTTGTTGAACTTGAAAACCTTCAATTGATTCTAATTTATCTAATGTTCCCCCAGTGTGACCTAGCCCTCTACCAGATATCATAGGAACTTTTAAACCGAATACAGCCAGGGCCGGAGCCAAAACAAGGCTGACTTTGTCCCCAACACCGCCTGTACTATGTTTATCAACCAGGATGTTTTGCCACTCCTCGGGCCATTGCAGCACTGTGCCACTAAATGTCATTGACTTGGTTAGAGAAGCCGCTTCTCTTGGGGTCATTTTGTTAAGTTTTATAGCCATTAGCATAGCACCTAAAATAGATAATAAAAAATTGATTAAATTATTTAAAAATCTCTTCCTTATCATTTACGATAACGTTACATTATTTTTTTAGCCTTAAAGATACTTTTATTCTTGTTGAAATGACATTTTAAAGCTTTTATCGAATTGACCATTTTTTTTTAAAACTTATTCTTTTACAGCTTTTCACTATCTAAAGATTATTATTGAAAGAATTATTGAGGTAAAGAAGATAGCATCTAATGAAAGGCACGAAAGCGAGAAGAAAACGTTGTGTAGCTTGACAGAATGTTCTCATTATTTTATTGAATAGTTTTCGCAAAGACTGACTGAAAGGATTCTGTGAAACATCAGAGCGTAATCATACACCGTAACTGTTGTCTTCTTTTTTCTATCTTAGATTAAATAAAGACTTTAAGCTAAGAATACGTGCTTCTGGCGATATTCCATTGTTAGTAAAAGATGACAAAAAAATAGTTATACCTATTTGACTATCATTTATTGCCGAATTAGTTACTTTTGAGGCTTCTTTGACAAACCACTGAATTTCTTCATCTTCCAATTCTGAACCGTCAGACTTCTTATTAAGGATATCAAAGATGTTAATACTTTTGGAGGCCATCTTGTTTCCAAAGCTACTGTTGTCTCTGCTAAGAACTCACTTTCTAAATCGAAACTTCTTTAATCGATACTAACCAACTGCCAATTTTTATAAAACTGCTACAAATACAACTGATTAGATGCTTTAAAAACTATACAGGCCGAAATAGGCCAATTATTCTAGAACACTTTAAAGGGCCAAATTACTTTGGTTGTTTTATTTCAACGAGTGTTAAAGAAAAAATAAAAACTAAAACAATTGATAGAATCAGACCTTGGCAGCCATTTAAGATGTGGACTTGAATTACACCCTTTAAAAATGTTATATTTATACAAGTTGGTAACATTATGAAGTAATTATGTTACTTAGAAATTCTTTACTTTACACTAAAACGTCTAGATTTTGGATAAAAATTAAAGAAATATTATATTGTTAGTTTGTTTTATTTATAAACATGTGCAGGGATATCAGTAAAATATTTGACAAAAGTTGTTTTAGTTTCTTTTTTTATACTGTTTTAAAAAAAAAACAGTCTTATATGATCATGAACAACATTAGGACACGCAATAAAGAAGTACAATAAACTATACAATAGATTTACTAGTAAAAGTAGTTAGTCACTGTATAATATATATTTTCGTATACAGTAATTTTCTTATCATTCATTCTTTATGCTTTTTGTTCAGTAGTAGAATAGTCTTCAACCTCGGAATCAGAGTTTAAATGATCCAGTTCACCGTCCTCTTGACTTAGTCTGTCAAATCCTTTATGTCGGTTAAATATTTGACCAATGTTGAAATTTCTTCTATTTTTATTGAGTTTACCAAATGATGCAGTTGCGTCGATGTAGGATATTTTACCTAAAAAGATTAATTACTTATGTAATAGTACCTTATAATTCTAAATAAATAAAGAGATAAAATAATCCTTCAAGCTGGGAAGTCGCACTATATACAATTTCTTGTTTCTAATACATCTCTTTCTCTCTATTTTTCTCCTCTTATCAGCCTATACTACATGATATAACCAATAATAATAGGATATACATGATAACACTTATAAATAATACTTTTGAATTTTCTTAATAAAAGCATAGGATTAGATAAAGATTTGATAGGGCGTATTAATTACTTTCTGGTTTCATTCAATATGCTCCTTATAAATACTCTACAAAATATCTGCTATAAGCCAGAAACTATTCTAATTAAAATCAATATTATTAATAAAAGCTTGCTTTTGATATAGAATTACGAGAACCAAATAGCGTTATTTATCTTTCCTACTTACCACTTCGTTTTAATCTTAAAATTACCACAACAATAACGATAACTATAACGGGAACTAGCAGTAAAGATCCAATTATAATTGATGCTTTCATATCATCGTCTTTTATTTCAGATTTCATTATACTTGGTTTTGAAGAAGTTATAAAGTCGGTCGTCTTTGTTGAGCTTCGCTTATCTAATAGAAAATTTGTAATGTTACATTTCGAAACTTACAATATACAGTATATTTAATTCCATGAAAAAGTAAAGAGTAAACAGAACCTAAAGGGTGGGTAACAACATCGATAATGCTTCCGACCAATGTTATAGTCTCTTCCTCTGTTCCATTCAAGATCGTCAATAATTTTTTTAATTTTTTTTGCGTTGATGTGTTATTTCTAGCATTTGCAATACTTTTTAGCTCGCTAAGGGGCACAACAGCAGTTTGAGATTTTAATTCTCCCAATAGTTCTTTCATAATGTCTTCGTAAGTTGTTTTTAAAGTCTCAACTTCCTCTGAATTAGCTAAGATATCTAATAAATTTTTATATTGCCCTTTTCTATCACTCAAAATTAACTCTAATAAGTCGATATTGTCGTTCTTATGCCCTTTCCTCCTTATCGTTTTGTCTGAAAATCGATTACCATTTCTATTCTTACTGTAAGTCCCAAAGGTAGGCTGATGCTTTGGATGATCCCTAAAACTATTCAAATCGCTCTTAGCCTTATCATATGATGGTTGAGCGTGGTTGTGTTGTTGAGATACATGATTCGCATGCGAAGGTAAGGCAATACCTGCGTTAGTTGTATAGGAACATGCATTCGTGAAGGATAAGCATATGTGCATTACAACGAATAAATTATGGTTCAGCCATGCATAATAAGTAATGCATTCTTATAACAAATACAAATATAGTAAGCATACCTGAATTGTTCAATTGAAACTTATGTATGACGTTTGGTCCTATTTCACTAATATAGAGAGAAGTTCCGTCCTTGCTGACTGCGATATCATGTGGTCGGTTAAAACCTTGAGGTGGTGACCATGTAGCTAATAGTTCACCGGTTGTAGAACTTAAGGTAAAGCCTCCAGCAGTGAGTGCTTTGTAAATACTAGGTCCATTGATGGCATAAATTAATTCTGAATATGTGATATTTTCCGTTTATTGAGACACTTTTTCTATGAGTATATACTTACCAGCTGATTTATCGTAAGATACCGAATATAATGTTCCGCTAAACTCTTTAGGATGAGTTTGAAAGATAAAATTTCCTTCAAAATCAAAAGTAGTAATACGGCCATGTTCTCGATCAGCAATGTATAAATATTTCTTATCCTCATTTACCGCAAGTGAGTGTGGAACCAACAACTTATTTGGAGCTGGAAATCCATCTTTGTCAACTAAGACGTAAATTAGTTCATTAATATTTAGGATAACATTTTTTTCTCTTTTTTAATTTTAGAGGAATAATTACGCTGTTCTCCAGGTTCCGGTGTTTCGCCCCATTGTGTGATAACTTTTCCATCAGCCGAATATTTTATTATTCTAGAATTGCAGTACCTAACACAAACAAACAATACAATGGAATAAAAGGAAATTGAGTAAAATAGAATTAAAACTACAAACCCATCGGCAATAAAAAATTCTCCAGTCGACAGAGTAACCACGTCGGAGGGTTTACAAAAGTGTTTTACGTCACCTCCAGGAGTTAATTTTGTTCCCAAGATTAAAGATGGCGTTGCTGAATTGGGCGGAAACTTAAAAACCTGTTAAAAGAGTAGTACACAAATTTATTTCGTAAAAAAAAGACCAATTAAAAGTACAATAGTCAGAGAAGCTCGAATAACTGTAAAACAAATAGCATTGATGGAACGTTTGATTTGTCTTGATTATTTTCTCTTACTATCAAGATTGGTAAGTTGATTAATTTATTGTTTGAACAGTTTTATACGTTGTCAAATGAATGTAGTAGAAGAAACTTATATTATATATACAAACATATATAGGAGAATAAGTCGTCATGTATGTTTTAAAGTAATTTTTTAGCTAAAAATAAATCATTCACGGGCCAATTTACGTAGCATTCCATTGTGTAACTAACTATAAAAAGTATACTTTGTATTATAAACTAACAAATATATACAATAGTTTTTAATCTTTGTAACTTTTTTATATATATAAAAAAAGAAATTAACTGTTTTTTCCTGTTTAGTTTGCCTCAATTGCAATAATTCCACTCGCCATTTTTCAAATTGAAAACTTAAAGAAACGCAATGGAAATGTCGATACTAGTATTTGTAAATTAATGGAAAAGATTAATAGTTTATCATGTGTCATATATAGTCTGCTAATATTCAATCTATCAGCTGTTTTCTTTATATTCAAAAGAATTAAAAGAACTTTCGTAATGAAGAAATTAATTCTAGTAGTATCGTTACTTATATCATTATTTGTAATGATAAGTAGATTACATGAAACTATACATTGTAAAAGTTATGGATATCTCATAGTAACGGTAAGTTACTTTTTCAATTAACTTTTAATTAACAATTGGAAATGCTCTCTGAAATTAAACAGATATTGACAAGCTACATAACAATAACTTTGATAGTTGACCTTATAGTTTGGATTTGTAAGAGTGTCGAATGCGAAATAAAAGAGACAAAGACGCATATTGAAAATAAAGATATAAAAATTGTTTTGGAAGAAAATTCTGAAGTACCGATATATGACAATGTTGATTATAGGACAAGAGGTTTAGCCTTTCCGGAGAATGATAAAATTAATTTTCAAGATTTTGCTTTAATAGAAACATTCACTAGCAGAGTATTTATCAATCGCAAACGAATTAAGACTGTAGCTTTTTCGAAATTTCATTATTTTTCATATATTTCTCAAACTCTTTTCGAATCGTTTGGAAATTATCCTATAACTGAATTTTTATCTACCAAGTTACACAAGGTAGCTCGTATTCATTCCCAACAATGGAAAGATGCTATTGGAATGGCTGAAATAGCAGTCAGAATAGACGGACTTCAACCAGCTAGGGATCATCTATTTGTTATTTTGAGTAATGTTGATTATCCAGTTTTACTGGGAATGGATTACATAAATACTATTGATACACCACCGCCTGACCTAAGAGCATTTATTATGGGAGAGAGAACTACATGCGTCTGAGAAGAATATTTTTTGTATTGTCTATGAGACAACCTTACTTTTTTTTCTATAAAAAAAAAATTATCTCTTTCAAATAAAGGTATTATTTACGTAGTGTAATTGTATATATTAATTTTTAATTGATAAATTAAATTGCCTTGTACCGCTTTATGGCTATTTAAAGAAATTGGATAATTTATGTAGCTGTACTGTCTGATATGGAATAAATAATCAATATTTTACCTGGTGTGAGCCAACATCCGTAACCCAAACATTATCGTCTTTATCAACATGTAGTCCATGAGGCATATAGAACATATTCGATCCCCAACTTTTGATTAAGTTTCCTTTTGGATCAAATATCAGAATTGTTGCGTTTTTTATAGGAGTCTTCTCATACAGGGTATTGTCGCTATTAAACGAGCTGAAAAAAATTATCTTACTTCCTATTCGTATCATACAATATGATTTATTAAAAGCTTAGAAACCTACTTTACATCCCAAATTCTGTCGGCTCTGTGGAAAATATGGACATTTCCCTTAGAATCTGTTCCAATGCCTGATATTTGTCCAAATTTGATTCCTGCTTTAGGCCAATTTTTCACGTACTTGGGGGCTTTTCAATTAGAAATTAGAAGAAAAAGAAAAAATGATTAAATTATCAGCCACACTTCAGATAATACATTTATAATATAAACAAAAAATGAAAAATGAAACACGAAATAGGTTTAAATATAATAGATAAATAAATCAAGAGTCCTTGAAACACAAGTACTAATATATTCTCTTCTTGGGGGAAATTATATAAAAGATAAAGGAAATCTGGAAAATTTTGGTGTTTTTCTTTTTGTTAATTGAATTGCTTAACCCAACAACACTAAAGCAGGAAAAATTACATTACAACATACTGTCTGTTTTGTTTTAACTTACAAACTGTTTTTACTGTTTTCACTTTCTCAGGGATAACTTTTTCTGTTACCCTGTTTCTAGATGCCTCCACTGAACCATGGTCTACCATGTTATCATGGTGAGGCCTCTGCATAAGTGGCTGTTTAATTAGTGGTTTCCTTTGAACATTCGGAATTACGGGTTTTCGGTAAGAGGGATATGGAAAAAAGTTAGGAGAGTCGTAATAATAGTCATATTTTGGTTTATCCACATCGTAATAATCGTAAAGAATATCATAATTTTCAGCATTTGAGTGAGAAGCTGGTCTACCTGAAGATAAAATTCCTGTTGCCCAGTTCTCTAATAAAGGATTAGGTGGGAGGGGGCTATCCGATTCGTCTGGAAGCTTATCCGATAATCGTGGTATATTGTCGCCGCCACATTGGAAATAAGAGCCGCCAACTGTTGCTGGAGTATAGTACATCAAGTAAAAGTTACACATTTCGTCGTTATGAGTTGAACTAAAGAGGAGAAGATCATAAAGAAAATTAGTATATTCAAAAACAAAGAGCTAAATAGAAAACACTTACCCAATATGTGTATCTGTGTTCCTGTTTCTAGCATCAAAAGTGCATCTCGCAACTAATCGATCGCCTGGTTTTATCACTAAATTCTCATTAATGGGATAAAAGGCTTGCGGCCATTGAGGATTTCCTTTACCCAATTTATGCCAGCCTGTGTCGTTATACTGATAAGCTGATATAACTCTTCCCAAAGAGTGGGCGTGAACCCGAAACGCAAATGGATATAGTTTCGAATTTCCGGAATATCGACAAGATACATCAGAATGAACTCCACTTGAATGAGCAGGTATTGTAAACAAGTATCTCATCAAAATGTAAATTCCGGCTAAAAACTTTTGAGGTTTTGTCGTCATTTTTAGTTTTACTCCCGATTTATCACCTGGTTGAGATTCTGGATATTGTGTTAAATAATTTGTTAGCTAAGTGAAAATTTATATAATATATATTTAATTCTCACTGTCGATGGGATGCTTATAATGGATCTGCATTACAATATAGGATACAGGAGTTTTACCGCCAACGTGAAATCCTACATCTGTAGATGTCAGAGGATAAATATTAGTACATCTAGGTTGAAAGAAATCCAATTAACCCGTCGAAAAAACTTACTCGGTGGCATTTGTACCGGTGGTGCGTTCTTCGCCCAAGCGTATAAAATAGATGGTCCTCCTTCACCGCAAATGGCGCCGCATTTCCACCATCCTCCACTCTTCGAGTATGGTGTTTTACATCCATATAAAAGTAGATGATGGATAGACGTTGAATTTCCCAAAGCTTCGAACGATGCTAAATGTAAAAGATAAGATTAAAAACAGTTGAGACTATGAAATAATGTAGTCAAACACAAAAACTAACTTATATATTGTTCATAATTGTGTAGTTTTTTTCCGATGCAAAAATATTCATCTTCCTAGGAGAATAAATAAAATATTAGAAAAAGTAATATCATTAATAACAATCTCGGCTTACAACTGATGGATGGACACCAGGCATTAAAATTTTCTCTTCAGATTCAGCTGTTGAAAATTGAGTACCTTTTCTACCAGTTATAGTACCGTAAACATTATGTAAAAGAATCCAAGTTGCGTAAAAGATTATGAATAATATCCTTTGCATGATTTTTTATGTTTATACTTTCGTTCCCTAATAACTTTTTACGATTATTTTTATTTATTTATTAATTTAAATTCAAGCCAGTCAGTTATGCAAGACCATTCTAAACGTCTGTAAAAAGAGGTGAAAAAAAAAATAAAGTACTATTAATATTTTATCATTATATCATAAATTTGCAGTTGCATATGCATATTGAATAAATAAAAATGCAGTACAGTAAATATTCAGGAGATATATGTATAATTTTAATAGTTATCATTGCTATTCTATACAGCAGCAATTGTAATATATACAGTATATATATATATATATATATTTACTGCATACATTTGTTGACTTATATACGCATATGCCAAAAGCAAGTTTGAATAAATTTTAAGAAAATTTTCGCTATTTTCGTGATATTTCATATACAAAATATAATTATTAATCAAGAATCCAGCTATAACATGCTGTTGCATACAAAAACATATGCCGTCTGTTTTACAACGGCTATGAGTTTAGTAAAATCGTTGTTTTCGGGATTAAAAACAAGGAAAAGTTAACACAAACAATATCCCTTATCCAAAGTGTGGAGTAGTTGTTTGCAGTCCGCTTAACTCAGGTAAAAACATATTACATATGCTATATCCTTCTCATTCAGCTACGCTTTTCCTATAAATCCACGCCCACGCAAGCATCATTTTATATGACAAACATTTTCAGATAACACAATTCCTAATCGACATTAAATAAAAACTAACTGTTATAAAATTGAGCAGTATTTAATATCCAGCAATCAGTGTATCATATCTTTGCAATTGTATAGAACATGAATCTGTTCTACCCTTATGGACTAGTCCAAGGGGGTGGCAGCGGGTTTTATTGATCGATTATGGCATATGTAAGGAGTTTTAGGTTTTTAACCTATTCATTATTAATAAAAATATAATTTAAAATTACAAAATAAAAAATAAATGCAATATTACATGTACGTATTATAATTAAAATAAAACACACGGACAAATTATATGCATTAAAAGAAATTGGTTCAAGGAGAATAGAAAACATTGATTCTATCAATGACAATAAATCGTTGTACATCATTAAACCAGGTGAAAAGTATGAAATAATAGATTTTTATCGTACAAGTGCAAAATGAAAATCTCGATGTTTAATATTTCAAAAACAGAGTATGTTTATAATAAACATTATGGCAAACTCATACAAACTACAGCCAAACTCCGCTCTCTGTACAATAAATCTCATATAAAAAATGAGCAACTTACACTAATATTCACATGTCATGGCCTCTTCTAATAAACAAACTTATTATCTCCTTTTAATAAAAGATATTTCTTATAACATTTGCTGATTAGACGTTAGACTTAGGCTTTAAAATGTAATGTAGAGTTCGCAATTAATACCCGTTTTCGCCAGCCCTTAGGAACGCTTTGCCTATTCGATGCTGTATTTCATATCAACAAAAGAATATTAGTTTCCTCTTAAGCTAAGCTGCTCAGCAATATATATGTTAATAGAATATGCAATCCCTAGTATTTATCATAGTTTGAGAAAACCTTTAGTTCTTTAATTGTATAAACCTGATATTTACTTTATCTTGTGAATATCTTTTGAATTATTTAAAATCTCATACATAAGTTTAATAATTGATAAAATATATACTTATAATATTTAATATTACAAGTATTATAAGTATGACTCATGAAATATTTCGTAAATATTTTTAGTACTTCTTTTAGAGTATCTTATGTAGCAAAAAGAGAGATAAGATTTAAAAGTAGTAGAGGATTAAAAAATAGAACATTTTTCCTTCTTTTTTATCAGCATACACTAATTAAACATTGTGAAATAAAAAACAAAGTTTGGAAACATTTAAAAAAAAAGAAAATTCAAGGAGTTTTCAATAACAATTGAAGTTGTAAATCATCAAACAATCGACCTTAGCCTTTTGTTTTAAAATGTAAATAAAAATTATACAAGTACGTTATGATTTAACTACGTAGGATAGTAATAATATATATTTTATTAATTCTACGTTGTTTCTAATTTAAATTAACTTTACGACGTATAGTGTTCCCCTTTTCATTGAGCATTTTAATTGATGATCGAATTACTTATTATTTCTGTTATATTTTTAAAAAATGTAATAATTTACGAAACACACTTAATGAAATATGAACAGTTATATTGTATATAACTATATATATATATATATATCTTTTGAATAATCTTATAAGAGAGACTAAAAAAGAGAGAGAGAGTAATTGAATGTTTATACTAGAACAGTGTCTGTCTCTGTTTAAACAGATTAGGTAACTAGAATACTACACTAAGTATTTTCAATTTATGAATCAAGAAATAAGTGACATATAGAATATTAAGTTTCTACTAATTTAATACATCTTTTTATTATAACATCAGAAAATATTTTATATCTTCAAACTCGTTCCAAATAGCTTACCAAGTGGTCATTTATTATTCAGTCGATGCGTTGATGGTATGAGATCTATGAGATATGTACTTGAAAAAATTCTAGTTTAATAGATAACCAACTTTTATATTTTTGGTGCACAATATTTCTATTATCGAATTGTATTCTCAATAAAAGACGATGTCCAAGTACTACCAGTTTTGTAAAATAACACGTCTATTTCTATTTTTCCGTTTCCTGCTGACGACTTGACGCGTGTCGATCATCCTCAATTTAGAAGAGATTGCTGGAAGGTAGTCGATTCATTTTCATACTTTCAAAGTAGTGACATACATTTCATAAAACCAATAAATTTAAATTCCGAAAAGCTTTCTTATTTATAGAATATACTTTTCACAGATGAAGTCAATTTTGTTTTTGGCCGCTTTGGTGGCAATCGTTTACTCCGAAGAGTTGGAAGAATCCAGAGGTCGAATCCTTGCATCGAAATCCGTTTTGAATAACATGCTTGTTGAGAGCAGGGAGGTTACTGTTGAATATGTTCTATTTAATATGGGCAAAAGGTAAGAAGAAATTAACAAAAATAAATCTGGCATTTCAACAATCGATTCTTCTAACCATGCGTAACGTCTTCCCAACAGCTCGGCTTTGAAAGTTCAGTTGACAGATAATACTTTCCCCGCCGATCAATTCGAAGTTGTTAGCGGTAGCTTACAGGTTTCTTGGGCTCGTATCGCCCCAGGATCAAATGTAACTCACGTAGTTATACTTAAACCTAAAAGTGACGGCATGTTCAACTTTACATCGGCTGAAGTTAGTTATTTGGCATCTGAAAAAGATACAAAAGAAACCCTGGGTAGTACGTCGGCTCCAGGTCTAGGAAGGATCATCGCCTTCCAAGATTATGACCGAAAATACTCGCCTCACTACCTAGATTGGTTGGCGTTTACTGTTATGTGCTTACCGTCCTTGGCCATTCCATTTATGCTCTGGTATAATTCAAAGTCGAAGTACGAACAGATCAAGACAAAGAAGAATTAAAAAGCAAAGAGGAAGATATAATAATTAATATTTAAGACAAAAAATAATTTACAAGTAATTTAAGAGAAAACAAACACCTTTAAAAACACAAAAAAGACAAACTATTCATAAATGGTTAATTGTTTGAGTTTATAGATTGTTTAGGTAAAAATAAAATTATAAAAAATAAAAAAAATATTTAAAAACAAAGCAAACATTTTCTGTTGAAATGTGCCATTGAATTTTCAAGTTTTTTATTGTTTTATCGCTAGATGGAGCTTTTAAATTTTGTCTTGTTTTTTGGACTACAACTCCATCTGGCGTTGTTCTCTTCAAGCTTTGTTAATTAAGGTAAACATAGCTGCAACGAGTTCCTGTAGAGCTAAGTGAAAGGAAATCTTATAAGAATGCGGTATTCAGAGCAGCTATGTAAATGGTTAGGCGTATATAGTCGGAATGATAAGAAAAGGGAATACAACACCTCTAACACTCTGACAATTGAAATTATCCGATCGGTTGACCAAGGATGATTGATATATTGTTAAAGTGCGATTGAGCCCGTATTAAAATCTCTATCAATTGCACCCTATGCTAAAAGCTATTGGAAAGGGGTCGTGGAACCGTGATAGAGAATGAAAATAGACGATTATTTGTCCGTGTCGTGACTATCGACCCGAAGAAACAACTCTATTTTCAATGGCCCACCCGTAAAACATCCCATGCCATATATAAATTTATAGCTGTTATTTTATACACTGCTTGTACATATAATACATTATACATATTTATCAATAGTATAAGGCTACCCTACACGCACGTATATCTAAACAAACTACCGACCGTATCGGTTTACGAACGAATTGTTCCCTTACCGCAAATCTAACACATTTTTTATCGAGTATCGAAGACAGGAAGGAAAATCCTTGTATTTTTATATTATATCTTATTATTCTATATAATATAACATTATACCGCCTATCTCTCACTCACCGCCCAGTTTAGCCTACACCCCCCTCCTCCACCTCAAAAAAACTAATTTTTTCCTTTCCATTACCCTATATATATTCATATATATATCTCTATAACAATAAAAACCTAACAAATTGAAATTTTTATTACCCTGAATAGTTACCAATTAAACTGGGAAAAGTAGAAATTTAAAGGAAATGACTTTATTTAAAAATGTCGTAAAAAAAAACATATAGCAGAGAGAATCACTCACCAAAAAAAAAAAGCAACTAAACAACTATACGTTTAATTCTTCAATAATACTATTCACTTCTCTGTATAGGAAACTTTTAAAATGGCTGTAAACTTTCTTATTCTGGTAAAAAAAATCTCCCCTTCTTCCTCTCTCGTTCTCTCTTATTTTTTTTCACTCACGTACTTAAACACTCTTTCTTCTACCCCATGCATACTCTTTATCACCCCCCACCCCTCCTTTCCTTTTTTCTCCATGCTCTCTCTCTCTCTCTCTCTCTCTTCTTCCCAACCAATCTTTACTCAGTATTAACCGTTTTTTTTTATTATTTTTGCTAGTTTTTTTTCTTTACAATCACTCAATTGTTTTTAGCACCTTTTTTTCTTTCTTTTTTTAAAGGGAGGGGTTGTTTTAGAGATGTTTCTCATGACTTTTGAGGTTGCAACATTTGTTGGCCCTGAAACGAGATAATCAGTAGAACATAGTATATTTTTTTTTCTCCAGAAAATTGTTAAAGCAAGCACGGCAGAATAAACAAAAATGAAAGGAATTAAATTGGACTAAAGGAGAATTTCTTTCTCATTTCATTTAGTATTATTTTTTTTTTTTTTACACTTCAGAATCAGAGTTAGTCACTTCACCACACTCTAATAATTCTATTCTATCAACGACATGCCTAACCCACCCTTTGCGAGTTTCCTCAACAAAATTGTTTTCCCTCTTTCCGTCAAAAGGGAAGGTTGCAAGTTCAAATTCTTTTTTCCTATCGGTTAGACTCTTTACTGAAATGGCAGAATCATCACTGGATCCCGCCCAACCTTGACACAGAGGAATTCCGTTTCGCGATGGCCTAGTTTCGAAAACGCTCAATGCCCTTTTAACACGAGATGGGTTTTGACTCCGAGTCTTCTGAACCGTGTCCGTTTCTTCATTATCTTCGTGAATATTATAGCCGGAATCGCTTGATTCTAAAGCGGCTACGAGGCACTTTTCGTATATATCGAATGTAGAACTGCAGCTATTTTCTCCTTTGTCTGGAGTTTCATTTGAAAAGAGAGATTGCCCAGACGTTTCTTCCGTATCCTGCGGAACTTTAGACTTCTCTTCAAGTTGCAAATGGGATGTTTCGACGAAAGGAATCTCGTAAGCCTTTTCCTTATTCTTTTCTATTGACTGGGAACTAGGCTTGTCAATTTTGAGTGGTTGACTAGAAGAGCATTCTGAATCAGGAACTTTATCTTTTCGACGCCGTTCCAAAGTATAAGGTCCATAGGAAGGAGGATCGTTAACAGCCATCCTTTCTCCTACGCGAGACTCGCCCATAACGGCTGGTCTTGAGGTTACTTTTTTGAAGAGACGGTTTTTCCTATTAGGCTTTCCACTTTCTTCCTTTTTCGATAGAGAAGAGTTAGAATCGGCAATTGTACTTCTCCGTCGTTCGGCTTTTCCATTGCATTCTTTACTACTATCCTTACACGTCCACGATTTTCTTCGTAATTGATCTTCATTCTTCTTTACTTCTTCATCACTTCGACTCTCCTCTTCGTCTAAATCTTCCGAAACAGCTAAATGAGTATTAGTGTTATCAGTTTGATCGGTATCATTTGCCTGCTCTTCATCTGTTAAACAATCGTCGGCAAACAACGTGACCGTATCCTCTATCGTTTTTTTTTCTCCTTCTCCAGTTGCCCTATCAGGCCTAGAAAAATTACATAAATTTTCTATGCTTTCAAAACTTTTGCTTCTCCTCAGACCAGGCTTTTTTTGTAAAGTTATTAATCCACTCTCTGACCAGTGACTCTTCAAGAACGCTCGCCCTTGAGGCATCGGAGACTGGAAGTTATTTACGTCTGGTTAGAGATAAGGCACAGATTTGAAAAAGATTAATAAACTAGGCCTACCGTTATATCAACGTTAACATCGCGTTTTAAACTACCAGTTGTAGGTGAACGAAAATTACGAAATAGCCCGTCTAAAACAAACAATAGCAATAAATAAAATAAAAAAAAAAAAGAGCGAAAAAAGTAAAGTATTTTAGTGCGTGTAATAAAAACTTTACCAGGTAGTAAAGTAGTACTCATTCGGCGTAGAGTCAACCTTTTGGATGACGAAGAGTTGGCTGTTGATGATCGATTTTCTTTTTCGATTGGACCCATGTTCATTACTAGACTTAGAACATGGTCTGGTAATTTCTTTTCGAACGTTACCATCATTCGTTCTTTTATCTGATCGCACCATTTTTTCTTTTCACACTTTGAAGATGCTTTAAATGTTATTGATACTTCCGGTTTTTGAAAATGAAAGACACGAAAGAACAAATTTCCTTCCGGTACGACTTCGCACATAGTTAAATTTCTAAATTCAATAATAAGTTTATCATTTAAGAATTCATCGTCCTTCTTTTTTGCAACAAGTAACGCTTTCTCAAAGAGATACACGCTTCGTTGACCCTTGACATCTAGTACTCTTAACAAACCGAAATTAATGATTTTTCCATACTTGTAAGCTTCCGGTATCTGACTGTATAAATTCAATTGGCTATTGAAATTGTTTAATTTGGCAGCGACGTTTTGCATAGCTAAGTGAGCAGCCATAATCCTTGGCTTTAAATCTTCATCAGCCTTCTGACTCATATTAGAAAGCAATAAAGGATATTTGAGGATCCTTTGCACTGGTTTCAATAAGTAATCGTGTAAATTGAACGTATGACCATGTTGAACTTTTAAACTCATTAATGTTCTGTTATGAGTCGGATTACAAAGGCACCTATTCCAAGCAGCAGAAGCTCTTTGAAAGTTTGAGCAATAAGGAAAGTAGATGTCATCGAATTCTTGGCACCTTCTTACGAAAATGTCAGCCAATTCGGCAGGTTCCGATATAACATCTTTCATTTCAGCTAATAACGATTGACTAAAGTCGTATAGTTCTTCAATATTGCAAAACATTGAATCCGTCAATTCATTTGAAAGATCACATGTCGAGCGAAGGGGTATTAGGTAAGCCTAATCAGATAAAAACAAGAAAAAATTCAGATAGATAGAGATTAGGTAGAAATGGAGTGAAGTTAATCCATAACAGATGACTTACGTCGATAATCTGCTTCAAATCGTTAGCGAACGTCTCTTCTGTGCGAACGATTTCAGAGGAGATATTCTGAATATAGGAAGTCATTGACAAGTCGAAAGGCGCTAACTTCTTCTTCTGATGCCGAGGAAGTGATGACGTAGTGGAAGACGTCGTCGATGTAATACTCAATGGCCTCTTTTTACAAGAATCTATATTTGTCTCCATTCTGCGGTCTACCTCGTCATTTTCCCGGACGATGGCGACTGTATTTGACAAGTTGTAAACAAATGAAAACATACAATAAATGGCAGCTAAAGCTGTTAAAAGGTTAATAGTAAGAGCACAGAGAAAAATCCATACACTGGAGGGAAAAGGAAAAGTTTTGTTTAAACTGGTTACGCAATTATTTCGCGGGGCCTCGTACACTTCACTTAAGGCTGTTTTAACAAGAAATGATGGCCCTTGTATTTTATCTCTACAAGAGAGACGTTTAAGGGTGTTTATCGATAAGAAGAATGCTGTATAATAATCTATATAAACAAGCCTACTCGGTCAATGGTCACTTACTGGTCAAGGGTATCTATTGAGTAGCGAAACGCTGGATGCAATTGAGGGCAAATTGCGTAATCTTTAACGCAGTCGCTTCATCGATTTGTATAAGTTCATTTTCGCCAACACGGGCAATAATTAGTCTAAAAGTCGATTGATAATTTCGTATGCCAGTAGGTTACCACTTTAGACTTTGGACAGCCGAATCATAAAGAAAAGCGCAGCTATTTAATACTGTATTCTCTTATTTCTCTCTTTCTCTCCGCCTCTGTCTTTCTCGCTAAATCTCTTTCTACTCTCTCTCAGCATTTCGTTGTATTCATTGTCAACCGTAAATTAGCTATTGATCATATATAAATACTGACCTGCCTTATACAATCATTCTCCAATTAGTCAGTATTAGGTCGAAGGGCTATAAATATAAATATATCGAACTTTTTTCGGCTGAAAAGCATTCCTCTAACCTTCTCTCGCCCCAGTCGGCAAGCTCTTCTCAGCCCGCTTGCTGTGCAAGTTTCATCTATTCACCACTAGGTGACGCAGGGTAAGGGTCACGTGCATGCGCGTGCAATCAAACACTTTTTGTGTTTATTGCGAAGGGAAGCTTGAAGGAATCGTTAGAATTGTTGACGGCGACTCGGGATGTTTTTAATCCCTTGTAAAAATACAACCGGAGGCGTCTAAAAATACAAAATAATCCCTTTGCCTTCAGCTTCCATCAACCTTTTTCCTGATTGTAAATAATCCTATCCCTTAATGCTTTTCAAAATATTTTCCTTTAAAACCTACCGATTAGGTTTTTATCTAAAATTCGCGCCTTTTTTCTTTCTATATGCGCGTACGTCTGCCGCGTCTGTGTACAGTAGCCGAGGGAACCGACTGAGTCAATAAAACTGCTCTTTTCGAGGGCGTAAAAAAGAAAGAGAAGCGGGCAGCTGTTGCCGTTTGACTCCTTTTTTTCTTTTCATGTTCCTATCAAGAACATTATGGATCGAGAAACGAGCACGTACTGTACATATTACAAACATTGGGTAATTTATTATATAGCTTTACATATGAATAAACTATAGAAGACAAACTGTTTAATCTTTGTAACTTTGTACTCTTAGTTCAATAAAAGTTACAATGCTAAACATTTCCAAAAGAAGGAAATGGTAAAAAAAAACTATTTACTAATTATTTTTAATAGACCGTACAATACGTCAACAGTTTAGTAAAGAAACTCCGCCACGCCCACTTGATGGAAGTTCATCTTTATAAGAACGAAGGCCTAGTATTACTAACAAGTGTTTGGAGAGTCGGAGTTTGTGTGTGTGTGTGTGTATGCATATATATATAAGTTATTTGCGCGCGTGTAAGAGAGTTTAAATGTCTATAAACTTTTCTACTTTCTATCTTTTCCTGTGTGGTATATGTGTGTGTCTTTCTCTCTTCTCATTCTGTATATCTTTTCTTTAAATATATATGTTAATATATGTTTATGCTCTATTCCTTCTTTTTCTACATTACTAAGGAAATTAAAAACGATCTCTTTTTTCCGTATATTTTTTTTTTTACAAATTTCTCCTTGTCAGCACGACAACAATTGGGGTTAGGGTTAACAAAAAGAACTTTTTTCGGCCGTAAAGATGTACAACAGCTGTGTATGTAAACAATTTCGTCAGCTAAATAACATAACGTTGTTAAAAATATATTTTATTACTTTTGGGCTCTTTCCAAAACGTAAAACTATTAGGTCTATTCCTCCTGGCAGACTAATTCAAATACGATAATTTAACACTAATTACAAGGTGTAACATGTTGAGGGAAATCAGTTATCTAACTAAGGATTTATGAAATTGAAAGCAGCTCCAACAGCTGCCCGCCATATGACTCGAAACTTTTGGTTGGCTTACAGGGAAAAAGCTTGTATTGCTTTTACACCTGCGCTTTACGAAAGGATACGTCTAGATAATATTTAATAAATTCTTTGCTATCCCTGATTTATCGAGATCAAACAAATTTGAAGAGCGTATGTAAACGCTTTACTTTTCAAGATTCTACAACAGATTTTATTCATTTCCCTCTTCTCTACTCAAATAGTCTAACAGTTGTAAAAAACCCCTCCGCCTAATTAGTCAACTTAATTTGAAGGGTCCGAATTATTTTACCCTCCACACGCATAGCTTTCTTTTTTTTGGTGTCAACCGATTGAATAGCCGTAGCGAGTCTAATTAGAAAAAAGCATACTTACTCGCTTTATATGTCCGTGAAAATAGAGCTTTTTATATATTCAATATGCGAATAACTTAGTCGACTATGAACATATTTTATTCCTCTCTCTCACTTAGATATGTTGTATTTTATGAGAGTGGTTAATCTAGTTAATTGAACAAGAAATGTGGGATCTAATGCATAAATATTCAATTGTAGAGAGAAACCCTCGTTAGGTGAGTCACTGATTTTATAGATATGGTTTAGTTTCGTCTAATTAAGTGTAATTTGGAAATTATTCTCTTATATTTATCTGATATTTGTTTAGATAGTTTATAGACAAAAATTTTCATTATTGCCCTTGTTTATATAAATAAGAAACACACGCTCATACACAAACGCACATCCACCCATAAATTCTTTTACTCTAAGAAGAGTTGAAAGATCGCAGAGCACCTCTTTAGTTTTTATATCACGTGACCCTCCTGTCAGGTTAAAGACAGTTCAGGCGAGAATTACTGGCTCACACAACAATATCATATTTCAGTAAGGCGTTTATTTGATATTTCTCACTATGTTTGTTCTGGAGAGTCGCCCCCAGGTGTAGTGGAAGGGGCGGTAAAGGCAAAAGAAGGAAAAACATTGTCAAAATCATATAGATCTGTTAGGAAATACCTAATACGTAAGGGTAAACTTTTTCATCACGCCTATAAACATAATCAGATAAGCGTTTCCAAGGAATAGATAAAAATAGTTTATCAAGAGATAAACTCAACTTGTATAAATTATTGCGTAATCAATTTTATCCTCACCGCTCAAAGGGATCGCGTGATTTTTTTTCCCTATTCTTTTTTTTGTGTTATATAAACTTCCAAATAACACTTGAACAAGTAAATAGAGGTGGTGGTATAGCGGTGGTGGTAAGGGGCGTTAGAATTTTTCGCAAAATCACTAATATTACCCCACGTAAACTAGGTTATAAGATAATTGTGTGTAAAGAACGACGAAGGGAAGTAACCGAAATACTTACGGGATGGTGGCGAAGAATCGTCCGTAGGATTATAACCGCTAGATGGCACCGTCGTCAAGTTAGATGTACTTTCAGTAAGTTTACGCCACTGCAAAACAATAATAGTATCATCATTAGGAGAGATTCTAGGGCAGCAACGACAACAGTTCATGATTGCCATCGCAACTCCAACAGGTTATTGAACACTAGAAACAGAAAAACTACTGTTTAAAAAAGAAAATAGAGGGGAAAAAAACACGACCGTATAGAATATCATAAATTGGTTAGGTTATATAACCCTTCTGCACCCCGCCGCTCTCTCTGTACACCTCTTAAACATAAAAATAAACGTTATGCGGGCAGAATTTTTCAATATGACTATTAAGAAAATCATCGACGTGTACACGCATACAGAGATAAAGATAAAATGGAGAAGAATAAGAACAAAGGATCAACGACACGCGCCCGAAATTATCAACCATGTTTTTTATTTTGATGGATCTGCGTCAGAATTCAGCAATCCTTTGAAAGATGATACTTTAATTATATAGTATCTTAATTGAAGGTTCCCGCAAGTCGCCTTATGCGATTAGTTTTCCATGATTAAATGACTTTTAATCTCTTAGGAGAATATCTTCCACTGGATTAGTATTTCTTTCATTTGATTTTAATTTCGTTTTAGAGTTTAACAAGTTATAAACAAGATAATAATGTTAAGAAACGAGAGGTCTGTTTACTATCCGTCGCCACCTAATCGTTTTTCCTTTTAACGCCCAAATGAATTTTCCTGACTTGAGGTAGGAAATATAACTCTATCCTTATGGAAACTTGTTCGTTAAGCCTAAGCTGATAAAGTCCAAAGGGCTTTAGAATGTTATGGCAGGTGCTTGTTTTGAAGATACCGACGAACTAAAAATTTTTTTTCCCCCTATATTTGCTTAGTTGCTTGAAACGTGAGGAATATCAACATCAAAGGAAGGAAGCGTGAATGAACTTAATTCGGTAATAGATGCATTTGACAAAGTGGAGGAGAGGGGAAACAGGAAATTACAATGAAGATGAATGTCTGTTTTTATTGTTGGATTTATTGCATAATTCCCCAAAAGACAATTAATTAAGAAAAATTGATTATTCACAACGATATGAATTGAATAATAACAATAAAAAAGAGGACAAAGAGACTTGAAGAATAATTTTGAACTAATACTGAAAACCATGATAAAACACGACTAGATTTCTTTTGTTTGTTTAGACTGGCAAAAGCAAGCAGAATGAACCGCAACACTCTCGGTCAGTTCAAAAAGATAAATCAACTTTCGAATGAGAAGAACATTAGGAAGTGACGTCATGAGTTAAAAATCTCGCTTTTAACAACTAATAAGAAAAGAAGGCACTATATTAAAAAAAGACTTGTTAATCTAATCTTGTAGTCAATGAACGCATGAACGTATCGCTAAAACAATAGACCTATTCTATTCTGTTTGTTTGTTTGATATAGCAGCGAATAAAACAGGATTCGGAACGTTCGTATTCGTTCCAATCGGGATAGAAAAAAAAGAGTATGGTACCAACGAAAAGAAAACTCATTGATAGTAAGTATCAGAGTTTTGAAAAGAGATCTAGAATATACAAACAGTCGTATCTACGAACCTTTCGGCGAAAGCTAGATCTCAAACTTGTATATTCCTTCGCATCCGAATCCTCATTCTTCTGAAGAAAAGAACGTTTAACTAAGGATGGAAGGGATATAGTCCTTTTTAAAAAATGCATAGTTTTCCTCTCTTAATTTAACTTCTTCGGTGTTGACGTAAAAAATTAACGATAGTTTTCCTTTTATCTTTTGTTATATTATTTTTTCTTTTTTGTGAAAATAACTCTTCTTTATACCGAAACTTTCACATAGCCGCTATCGGTAAATAAATGAAATGAATCAGGCGCACTCAACGACTTGCACCTTGTCGACTTTTCTACTGGCTAACACTCTTTTAGTTTTATTGCGCACGTTTGGCGCTAAGTGGCTCATTTCTAACGGCGCCTCTATGCAAGTTCTAAAGAGATTATCATTTGCTTGAGCAGAAAAAAGCAGACGTATCCACTAACACAACATATATCTTTGGTTTATATTTACGTAAAGCTTATTACGTCGAAATGTTTCATTTTTATAAATTATATAAATTAGTTTCAATCTTTTTACCTACCTTTATTGCTTTTATTTAAATACAACTCATAAATCAGTAAATGTAATGTTTTTACGTACAGAATTTGAAAAGCATCAATTTAAATTTTGACGGGAACAAGGATCATTTCCGTTTCCTGTTTTGTACTATTTCGTTGCACGAAACCGGTACGTTTTCTATCGCACTTGCAACGAATTTATAAGGCTGCAAAACTAATCTATTCCAATTATGGCCAAGCATCATCCAGATTTAATTTTCTGTCGTAAACAACCAGGTGTCGGTTAGTATAGTCTTTTAATAGATTATTTAATATTGAAGAGAAACGCTAAGAACAGTTCACGATAAAATGTCTATTTAACTTCGTGTGGTTCATTTGACTTAATTGTTAATTTCAGCTTTGGGACGTTTGTGCGAGAAGTGCGATGGGAAATGCGTTATTTGCGATTCGTACGTTAGACCCTGTTCCCTAGTTAGAATATGCGATGAATGTAACTACGGATCCTACCAGGGACGATGCGTAATTTGCGGTGGACCAGGAGTATCAGATGCCTACTATTGTAAAGAATGTACAATTCTCGAGAGAGATGTAAGTCATAATTATATATAACTTACAACAAATGATCTAAAAATTGAGATTTTAATTTTAACTTGTTTTCAGAGAGACGGCTGCCCGAAAATAGTGAACTTAGGAAGTGCTAAAACAGATTTATTTTATGAACGAAAGAAATATGGATTTAAGAAGAGATAAACGTTAATAGTTCTTATTTTCTTTTTTTTGTAAATGTACATTCTTGACTTTTGTAAAATAGTTGTTAATCCAAAAGAAGAAAAGTAATGATGATGATAATGATAATGTTGATGATATTGGTACAGATAAAAATGACAACAAAAACGTATACGTTTTATGGATGTTTTATATCTATCGTTTAAAGTTATTCATTTTCGAAAGAAATATACTATGTATTTTATACTGATTGTCTTAAATGCCCTAAGTTAATTGTGTCCGAATGGTTTATTGTTTATGTTACGTACGAAACGCTTATCTATAAGATTGAGTACGGTGATTTTTAAATTTTCCACTTTGCAAAATAAACTGGGTGCTGTTTTCGATTAACAGTGTCAAAAATGTCAATGTTGTTTGCAGATGTCGCCACTTGACATATTGTTCAGCACGTGACTATTCCTCTTGAATGTGATGAAAAAGCGAAAAAATTTTCAATATACCGTTGTCAAGCTTTGATTTGACAAACTATTCAAACAAAAAGGATGTTTGAATCTATGGTAGTCGATTTGGTAAATAAATACCTTGGAAGTTTTGTGGAAGATCTTGATAAATCCCAATTACATATTGGCTTATGGGCAGGTTTGTAAAAACTTGATAATATTTTTTTAAAATTCAATAGTATATTCGTAAGTAAATAATTAATTTGTATACGATCGAATGTAAATAGACTACTTATATAAAGGAGTTTATTGACTGATTAAAATGCAGTTATAGATATTCTTGCAAAATCTTCTTTTTAATAAGAAATCGTTGAAACTTTTAATATATCAATTAGCCTTTTAGTTATTTTTGCAAGATAAAAGAAGGCGTACAGAGATAAGCAAGAAGGAAATAACTACAAAACACGATAGTATACATTGTACAGCTATTTTAAGTCTTCATTCATTGATTCCATACAAAACCTATATTATATGATAATTAAAAAGAAATAAAAATCATTATTGATGTTAAAAATGAGAATAATAATGTTTTAATTATTTTAAAAATAATAGGTGATGTTGTCCTCAACGATCTTTATATTAAAGAAACAGCTTTGGTAAGCTATTTTTATTTATTTATTTCTTTTTTTAACATCGAAATTATTATTAATTTTGATTATTATATAATAAAATTATACTATATATATGTATATATTATAATTCTATTAATTATAGTCATAATTTTATTATTTGTTCCGGAGTAAAATGGAACAAATATCACAGATGTTTAGTCGTAAACAATTAACATTTCAATAGAGAATTTCCTTATTTATGACCAATTGCAGAAAGAATTAAATTTACCGGTTGAAGTTGTTCACGGAAATATAGGTATGAATCTATTTTTAGTGGAATTTCTCTTTTCTTTCTTTTGTTTGTTTATTAATATCTTTCTACTTTTTGTTTATACACGTTTTCCTCCGAAACGTTTATATTGAGATGGTAACATTTTTTTTTCTATCTTCTTCAGGTAAACTTGTACTAAAAATTCCATGGAAGAATTTATATACAGAACCGCTAGTTGCTAAATTGAGCGGATTGTATATAGTTGCTGTACCAACTTCCGGTTGGTTTTAATTTTTATTATATTATTTATAGTTATTTATATATTTTTGTTATTCTAAGCTGCGGAATACGATGAGGAGAAGGAAAAAAAACAAGATTGGGAAAAGAAAGAAAAACAATTAGCATGGATAGAAGAAACAAAAAAATTTAATAAAGAAGGCATTCAATCAGGTAATTCCTATATTACTATTACTATTATATAGTATAATAAACAATTTTTTGAATTAGATAAAGAAGATAGCTTTACTGAAAAGTTAGCGGCCAATATTACAAAAAATATTGAAGTTCAAATTGAAGATGTTCATATAAGATACGAAGATTCTTTTACGAATCCTAAGAATCCTTTTTGTATTGGTATTACATTAAAAGGAATACATTTCGTCGTAAGTTCAAACTTTTATAAAAAACAATAAATTATTATAATACATTCCATTGAATATTTTCTTTACTTTTTACTTTGTAGACAACCGATGAAAATTGGCAAAGAACAGTTTTAAAGGAAGCTGTATCGACTTTTCATAAATTAGCGAAATTAGATAGTTTATCATTATATTTCAATTATCAAAAAGATTCATACCTCTCAGTTGGAAGACAAAAGAGAAAAGTTTGTATTTTACTATAATTTAATATTACTATTGTATTATGCTTATTCTTTTTTAAAAAGGAACTTTTATACAATAATATCTCAACTTTGGTATCGTTATCACCAAATTTTGATTATGGTATGAACAATAAAATACTGATTAAGAAAACCATTTGGCAAATTAGAGCTATTTTTATTATATTTTAGTTTGTGAGCCAATTTCCTTTACTGGTCATTTAAAAATTGTTACAAGACCAGAAAAAGATGGATTTCAACAACCCAAAGTATCCGTTGATGTTGTATTTGAAAAAATTTCGGTTAACGTTAACAACGATCAGGTATTTAAAAAAAAAGTTTTTATTTTTTTTTGAATGATACGTGCTATTAACCTGACCTATTTTCTGCGAAAATTTTTTTTCTCACTATCATAATACAAACGGGGTTTTAGTAACTTTTTAGGAGAATATCTCTACAGTTTATGATAGGAGTGGGTGTAATAGGTATAATAGCAAAACAACAAATGATTAATCTGTTTCCTTTTATTAGCTATTTAAAAAATATCAAAAGATAACATACAACTGCAATGGCTACAATATAAAACCATTTTTTTTTTCTTTTCTTTGTACTAATTTAAACATAGGATCAATTCGTTAAAAATATAAGGTAAAAACTATATTTTTAATTGATAAAATTGATAATTAATTAAACGTTTTAATTAAATAATATATAATAGTATTTATCAATTTTAAAATATATGTTATTCTAGATAATTGATTGAAATATGAATAAATATTATTAAAAATATAATAGAGGATAGATGTAAACAAATATATTTATAATGATACTTTTCCATAGATGATTTTTCCATCTCCCCTGAGTGTAATTTTAATACATAATATTGCTTTTTTATGTATATATATATTTTGAACAACTAATTGCTTTGAAAATTATTCTTCTTATGCAAATATACATCTTTCAATAGAATTTGTTTTTTTACCCTTCATTTTAGTATCGTCTATTTATTAAACTGGTCGATTCGGTTGATCGTATGGTACTATCTTCAAAATTTAGAAAATATTTCAAACCTAAAGAATCTATTTCAAAAGAAGCAAAAGAATGGTAGAAATATATTTAATATTCTATTTTAAATATCTATTGTTTTAAAACTTTTTACAATTTTCTTTTCTTTCCAATCTTTAGGTGGAGATTCGCCTATAGATGTATTTTAGGTGAACACGTTGAATATAAGAGAAAAGTTTGGTCTTGGAATTATATTAAAGATCACGGAGATAAGTGTAGAAAGTACTAGTTAAAAAGTATATTTTAAACATTTGAATAATACCTTGTTTTATTAATTAAAAAAAAAGGTATTTAAACTTATACAACAATAAATTGGAAAGTGGAAAAAAGGCAACTGCAAAATTGTTAAATAGTCTGCAAGAAATTGAAAAATTCCTATCAGTTTTTAATATTGTTAGATTGAGACAACAAGCGGAATTAGAGGTAGAAGAAAAACGTTAAAGATCCGCTAGATATAATTTATTTAATTGATTTGCAGTATTCAAGAAATAAAGAATTAAAATCTAAAGCTAGTAGTAAAGGTTCGTGGTTTTCCTTCTTTAGAGGAAGTAAGGATGAAAGTTCAGAAATAGGTATGTCTCTTTTTATTTATCTATTTTATTTGTTTGTCTTATTATTCGGTTTTATTTCTAGCTGGAAAATTTCAAGCGGCTATGACTCCAAAAGAAAAAGCAAAACTATACGATGCCATCGGTTATGATGAGGACGGCGTTGATCCAACTTTACCGCCAAATGTATTTTCTTTTTTTAAATCGGATTAAAATATTAATTATTAATAACTATTAATTTTTTCAATAGTACGTGGCCTATAAATTAAAAGTAGCTTTTAAGCAAGTATCTTTTGCTTTGAAGGAGAATAATTCTGATAAAACGTAAGTCTTAGATGATTTATACTATTTATATGATAAATATACGTTTAGGTGCATGTTTTAGCTTATATAATAATTATTTTTTATTGTAGCCAAAATGAATTAGCAAGAATAGAAGTAAATGACATGAAAGTCGAATTAAATCAAAGACCAGCATCAAATGGATTAAAAGTTGAAGCCTGGATTAATCAAATGGTTGTTTTTGGATTATCCGATAACAAGAGAACTCAACCTCAGCTTGTTTATAATCCTGTGACTTCTCACCAATTACTTTACGTACTATTTGAAACTCATCCCCTAGACGAGGATTGTGATCAATTACTTACAGTTAAAAGTATGCCAGAGGAATTTATGTATGATTCGGTAAGGCTATTCGAATACAAACGTCTTAATATAGTTTTCTTCGTTGTTTTTTCTTTTTTTTTAATATTAAAATAAACATGATTTTTCTCGTTATGATTAACAGCCAACCGTACTACAATTAATGAAATTCTTCAAGCTACCTAAAGATGTTTATTTAGAAAGGTTTGAATTATTTCTTTTTTTTAAAAAGATAAAACCAATCACTGATACTATCCACTAATTATTACCTTTGGGGCGTCTTTTACTTGTTTGTTTATACATGTATATACTGTACATATATATTCTACCAGTTATACTTTTATTAAGATAATAAAATAAACTTTTCAATGTTTACAGATTACAAGCAGCGGCTTGGGAAAAGTATGAAGAGATAAAAGAGCAAACAGCTACAACAATGAAACATGTGATGAATGAAAGAAAATATATGCAAGTTAATATAGATCTAAAACCTTCTAGAATTCTTCTACCACACTCAGGAATTTATAAAGAGTATATTCTATTTATAAACATTTGTATATTACTTATTTAAATTTCTTTCTTTTACATTTATACAGTAAAGTATCTTTAATTATCGTCCAATTGGGCCACCTTAAAATTATAAGCGAAAAGAATAAACAATCTATTGATAGTTCTATGGTATTTAATATTAAAATTATTCATTTAATCCGGATTTTTACGCATATGTTGAATTTTTTATTAGAAATTGGAAGAATTAAAAGGATTGGTGTCTGATAAGTACAAATTACATTTGGAAGATGTTCAAATTTTGCTTATAAATTCTGGTGAAAAATGGAAAACTGGCAATGAATTGATAAAAACTGCACATCATATCTTACAACCTCTTACGCTAGAATTAGCTTTATACAAATCCGCTGTTAATCGATTAGATATTCCAAAGTTTGTTTACAATTTTAATATATTTGATATATCTATTATTATTCATTGACAAACATTTTAGTCTGAGAATTGAAGGTAATCTCCCTCAAGTTACAATTTCAACTTCTGATAAGAAATTAGAACAACTTTTGGCATTGACTGAGAGTATACCTCTGCCCGAAGATGATGACACGTTTGATCAAGATGAAAAATTAGAAAGACGAAGATCATCTTCTCAATTCGTAATTACAATTTCATTATTTAAATATATAAAATTACTGAATATTCATTATTTATAAAAATAAAAAAAAAACAGCTGCTAAGGGATGACCAAACTCAATTAAGGCCTAGTGATGCAAAATTTGTTAAATCGAAAAAGGTAATAAATTCTACTATACTTCATATTGTTTGCAATTGAGAAATTCAACGAAAACCTCTTTCATTCTTTAGGATTCTATAACAGAAATTAACAAACTTGACCTTGAAGTTCAATTTATTATTAAAGAGGTTTGTTTTATAATAATCATTAAAATTATTTAGCTAATTATTTCTGCCGTTTAGATTATTGTTAAATTATCAGGAGAAAAAGATTCCTCATTTTTTAAGTTTGTAGTGGATACAGTGGGTCTGAAAGTATACACGAGAACGTTAGATATGGAGCTAACAAGTTATTTAGGAGGATTATATATGCAACATCATGAAAGTAAACGTTTTCTCAGTTATTATGAACTCTATGCAATTTTGAAATATTTTTCTCTTAGCTGCTAAAGATGATAGAGGTTCTATGACTAATCTCATTAATACACCTTCTCCTGATGCTAATGAATATTTACTTCACGTTAAATTATTAAGAGTAAGTTAATAATAAAATACATGTAAATTACAGTATAGAAGATATTCATATAAATGAATTAATAATTTTTTGTACGTTTTATCAGAGAAAACAAACTGTTTCTTCTACGGAAATTCCCGAAATAGAAGTTGATGTACACTTTAGAGATCTTGAAGTTGTTTTACACTTTGAAATACTTTGTAAACTATTATCGGTATGAATAGATTTTCAATTTTACACACTAATTAAACAATTAAAAAACGTTGACTGAAACAGTATATACGTTGAGAAAATCAACAACTGCTTTATATCATTTACATATATATATTTCTATATTTCGTTTGAACTTTTATATTATTTAGATTCTCTCCAATTTACAACCTGAAAGTAAGCCGATACAACAAAAGTCTTCTAATCTTGAACTTAAAGTTCCCGCTAATAATCCTAAAGCTACAACGACAACCGGTAAGTTGCAAAAAGCTCATTTTCCATTCCGTAATATACGTACATAAACATATATATATATATATATATATATATATATATATATATATGTATAAGATATTTAAAATTCTTAAAATTCTTATTTTTTCTTTTGCAGTTGATAAATCTAAAATAAAACTTACAGCAAAATTTGATAAATTTGCCGTAAATGTTTGTTCATCTGTTAATTCATTCTTTGACATTCGCATGACTGGTAAAGATAATTTATATTTCTTTTTTATATATATAGTATATTTGAAATATTTATTAATTAAAATTTTATTTTATACAATAGGCTTAAAAACAAACGTTGATGTTCATAAATTAGAAACAGCTGTATTTTTATCATTAGCTGATGTTCAAATTTATAATACTGTTCCTAAGAGCAGATATAAAAAGGTACACTTATCATTAATTAAATATATAATTTTTATTAATTGATATATTCTTTCGATAACATTATACACAATAGATTCTTAGTTGTGAAGGAGAAGTATTCAGCTTGAATTTATGCTTTTACGATAATGTACCAAAATCAGATTTACAAAAAGTTAATATATCTGTTTCATTAAACACTGGACGAATGCATTTAGTATTCTTATATCAACATATAGCATTTTTGCTGGTATGTATAAATAATTATTTAACATATTTGTGCTATTTTTTTCATTGTTTTTTATTATAGAACTTTCTCGAATCAATATCTAATGTAAAAGAAGCTATACAAAATGCTAAACATGCTGTAGCCTCTTCCGCAGCATCTACCGCACATAAAGTTAGAACATACCAACTTTTTGATATAACATATCTCTAGTGTTTTTCTCTCTCTTTCTTCTCGTTTTCTAATAGATACAAGAAGATACAACTAGAATTAGATTAAATATCAACTTGAAAGCACCTATTATCATTGTACCAGAAAATTCATGTTCTGACGATGCTTTGAAACTTGATTTAGGTACTCTAAGAATAGAAAATAAGATGGAAACTAAAAATGATACTAAAAAGATGGTAAAGTTGTTTTTTTTTTACATGCAAAAAATAAAAACAGACAAGAATTATCTCTTTCTTTTCATTAAATCATATTTATTATAATTTTACAGAAAATTTGTATGATTGATAAAATAAATATTGATCTATCCGATGTCCAAGTATCCAGGTATATAAATATTTATATACTGTTTATATACATAGAGTGATAACCTTCTCTTTTCATAAATTAACAGGGTTTTCATTGAAGACGCAAAAATCCTGTCAGAAATTCTTATTATTCCCCCTATTAATATGTCATTAACGCTTCGAAGAAATCTTAGCCAAACCTTCATTGATATTCCTAACATTGATGTCCAAGGGGAAATACCATATATTTTGGTAAGAGAAAGAAGAAAAAAGCGAAAATCTCTTAAGGATTTTCCTATTTCTTAACTAAAGATTATTTCTTTTTCTTTTTAGTTGAATACCGATCAAAGAGATTTACTTTGTATAATGACAGTTTTAACTGTTAATTTTGCCGAACAAGCCGAAAAATTACACATTCCCGAAAATTTAACGCCTAAAAAACGTAAAAATTCCAACTTGACGGTTGGCTATGGCAGGAGTCATTCTACTTCTGTATCGTCATCCTCCAAATTAGAACAAGCTCAAAAAGGTGGACAGACAACGAAAAGTTTACAATTTAGCTTTGTTTTGGAGGAAGTGTCCGCCACATTATACGAAGGAAAAGTTCCATTAGACAAAGTAGATACTAATATATACTGTGTATATATATTTATATATTTAATATTATGAAATTCTGCTAATTGTTAGAATTCGGGACTAATTAAAAGAGATAATTCGAAACTTTACGGAAAATTTTCCCTTGAGAGACTTTACGTTGACGGTCATCAGTTAAACCCCATTCCAGACATGCGTGTTATAATTAAACTGGCTTCTATTACTTTGGATGATATTAGAACAGACACTGGCAATAAAATTACTAGGTTGTTTTTTTTTTAACTTAATGTTTTATAATTATTAATAATGAAACTTTCATTAGATTAATGCAGAAATTTGATAGAACAAACACCCTTCAGTATATGGTTGAAATGAATTACGAGAAAACTGAGAATAGCCAACAAAGTATGAATAGATTTAGCTTTTTAAAACTACACAGTACTATTAATATAATATATATTTTACTTTTAACAGTCAATTTGGACTTGAACAATTTGCATTTATGTATTAATCTTGAATATCTATTGGCATTGAATGTTATGATAATGAATTCTATTGATGTTAAATCGAATAATAAATCAGTTCGATTAGAAACTGGTAAATATTTAAATAGATCAAGACAACATATATCATCTATATATATATATATTTATTATTTCGATTAAAGCAGCAAGGAAACAAACTATTGAATCGCAACCAATGATCACCATACCAGAAGATGATGAAATTCAACCACAACTACAAAAATTGTCCGTTTCAATAAAAATATATAAACCGGAAATCTTATTAGTTGAAAATCCTAAGAGTGTTGAAACTTCCGCTTTAATTGTTGAGGTGATTAGAAAATATAAATTAATAAATAATATAACATAATGATTTCTATACATATTTTACAGTCAGAAATTGGCATGAATATAATGATTTTGGGAGATAACACCAATATATCAATGTGTTTAACAAATATGGAACTTTTTGCTTCCTATTATGCAATAGAGAAAAGGAATCTCTTTAAATTACAGGTTAACTAATTATTAATATTGTAAAAATTAACTATTAATTTTACTAAATTCGTTTTCAGATACTGGATCAAATAAATTTTTACATACATGGAAGTTTAAAAGAGAACAATACGCATTTTAATGTTGAAATGACCGAAATGATTATAAACATTACTCCACCTCTTATACGTCAATTAGTGAATACTTTATCAACAATTAAAACAACGGAAATCGTCGATAATAAATTAAAAGAACCGACCGATTATGATACAGAATTGTGGAATGTAAAATATTGGTCGGATTTTAATTTTTGGTTTTTGAAAATAGGTATAGGCCTACATTCATTTCATTAATTATCTCTTTACTATTATACTTTATTTAACAAATTTTTAAAATAGATGATGGAACTGACGCTTCAGGTAATTAGAAATTTATGTCAAATTTATCAAAAAACATAATAATACTTAAAACTTCAATCAGTATATTATACTGTATTTATACTATATATTGTACGCTTATATATTAACATACATCATTATATCTCTTTTTTCTTATGTCTTTCTCTCTCTCTCTCTCTCTCTCTCTCGCTCTCCTTATCTATCTCATTTTAAAGAATATATACAGGAGATTGAATGTAAGAAAATATTTTTTTATTAATGTGGTAAAAGGTATTCTTGTCCCTAGTTTATTTTACCTCTATTTTAGTCTTCTGCTAGAATCTAGTATATATGCTTTTTTGTCATTTAGACCCTCTTTGTTTATTTGGTATTTTTTTCTTCCTTCTTTATATAATCCTATACAATTAAAGCTTTTAATACCTATCTATAGACAAAAACCTTTCAATATACAATACAAGATATATCTTATAATTCTTTTACATCTTGCTCTAGATGATAAAGAAGATGCTGAAAAAGAAATAGTTATTAAACAAGAAATGGTATGTACCAATAAATAATTTATGATTTATAATAGTTTTAATGAAATTATGTTATTTAATAATGATATAGTTGATGGTTAAAAGTGAAAGAATACTCTTTAAACTTGATTCAAGTAATACACCTGGAAAGAGTAGTCAACCATTATTGGTAAATGAACTTTGCTTCGACGCGCAAGTTGAAAATTGGTCTTCAAATTTACAAGCTTCCTGTACACTGTCGTTAGAAGTTGCCTGCTTTAATCAAGAATTATCTGTATGGGAACCTCTTGTAGAACCTGTTCAAAAAGGATATAATGACTATCAACAATGGAATTTAACCATTGATGTTTGTTGATTATAATTTTTCTTTATTTTGGTGAAAAATATTTGTCTATTTATAGGTTCAAGGTAATGACGTTTCAGATTTTGACGAAGAAGATGGTTTAGTTATACCCCCACCAAAATTGGCTGTTGCCATATCATCTTTAGATCCCCTTCAGTTGACTGTAACTAAATGCTCTTTAGACGTTTTAAATATATTAGCAAATTCGTTCGGCGAAGCATATAACCAAATGGAAAAGCCAGAATTGAAAAATACGATAGCAAATGAATCTGGAAGAATGGTTAAAAATCATCTTGGTTTTGACATCCAATTAATATTTGAAGAGAATGTAGACAATCCTGTTTCTGTTTTGAAGAATGGTGAAAGTCTACCAATTTCTCCTAAAATCATTTCAAACGTTTTGCAAGACAGAAAAGATAAGAATAAATTCTATTCGTTAGTTAAACGAAAACAAGATGAAAAAAGCGAATCGGACGATTTTAAATTCATATTGATCGTACGTGCTTTTTTTTTATTTCTCTCTCTCTCTCTCTCTCTTTTTTTCGCTAGTATAAATCTTTGTAAAACTATAGGCCGATCGATATAATTCTACAAGAGAAATGCGTCTAGATTGGATGGGTGATATGGTTTTTAAGTTGTCTCGAAGCCATTTCCCTGGAAAAAATTGCGAATTGTTATGCGAGAGAAAATTTGAAGGCGGTTGCGAGATTATAACTCTACGCTCTGTTCTTCAAGTAAATAGATAAATATTCATATAAATAGTTAATGTATATTTTATTTATATATATATATATATATATATATTTCTTTGATACCTTGTATAGATAAATAACCACTTACCTCTAACAATGAGGGTAAATCGTACAACATCGGACAAAAGGATGAAAAACATTGCTGACTTGGCGAAAAATTCAACATTCCATGTGACTTTAGACGACCTATATGACGTTTCAAATGAACTATATTTCTATCCAGAGTCATGGTAACTGTTAACCTTTCACATTTTTACTAGATTAGTTCATTTAAATAATTTATTCGTAAATTATTTTGTAGCAAAAGTTCAGATAGTCTTCGATTAAACTGGTTAAATTTAAAGAATGGCTCAGATATAAGTCAATGCTGTATTAAAGACGATGGATCGAAGATATACTTTCACGTTGGTTTAATTCTATATATACAATAATGATATATCATATATTGTATATTGTTGTCTTATTTCAGGCAGTTGTTGAGGTACGACAAGTCAACTTGGAATATAGTATGACAGAAAAAACTAATCTATATACAATAAATCTTCACCCTTCTTGTATAATGAAAAATACATTACCAGTTTCGCTGTTTTACTCTTCGAGTGTAAGTATATATATAGATTATAATATAAAATCTATCTAAATTATAATCAACAACTGATTTTCCTATTTTATATTTAAAAAAGGAGCAAGAATGCGACTGGATTGAAATGAAACCTGGGGATAAACAAGCCTTGTTTAATATTAAATTAAACGATGGAAAGATTAAACTAAAAGTAGCTAATATATTTTTTATTTCTGAATTTAGAACAATTATACATATATATATATATATATAAATTACTATAAATAGATTGAAGGTTATCACGAGAAAACTTGGACAACTGCCCAACCGTTAAATATTAAAGTTGATCAAATAGTAATTTGGAATTTTGAGAATAACGATAGCGATTCGAAAGCAACATTGGTATGATTGAATTATATAATTTATATACATATATATATTTAGGAAAGTTGTATTTTTTCTCTCTCCAATTAGAATTTAGGAATTCATTCCACCTTATTTAAAGGCAACTATGAAGTTTCTGTCGTTTCTCCTTATTGGATAATAAATAAAACTGGACTTTTACTTAATTACAAGGTAAGAATATATGAATAAAATTAATATTTATAAACTAAGTAATAATCTCACTAACAGGATAGCGATGATAATATTATTCAACACGATCCTAGATATTCTCTTTTGATGTTTGCCCCAAAGAAGAAAGTTTTTACTGGTAAAAATAAGGTATGCAACCGTTCCTTTTTCTAGTATTTTCCTTTTATCTTGAATTTTATCTATTTGTATTTTTATCTTTTTAACAGCTCTCAGTGAAAACCGATGAATTCGATTGGTCCGATAAATTTTCTTTGGATGCTGTCGGAAGTTTAGGAACTGTTACATGTAAATCATCTAAGCAAGCTTCTGCAAATGTAAATAATTTATTACTATGTTTCCCTTTATTAGTTTTAATTTTTAATACCTCAGGAATTTAACTCTTCTTTGCTCTTCTTTATCTTTTTTCATTAATAAACTTTATTCTTTTGCTTTCAGATGGGAGTTAAAATAACGTTGCTAAATCAAGGTCTTACAAGAATGATCACTCTAATACCATTTTATATTATTATTAATAAATCCATGGTATTGTAATATAATCATTTTGTCATTAACAAACGAGCTTTACTCGCTCTTTTTCAGTTGTATATCGAGTTCAAAGAAGAAGGTAGTACGAATTGGGACGTTATTCAACCGGAAGAAGTAAGTAAAAGGCATTTCTTTTTTTAAAGATAAAATCAAGGTCATTGTTTTTTTTTTCTCTTTCTCTCTCTCTCTCCTCTCTTTCCCTTTCCCTCTCATTCTTTATTTAGTGTAAATCTTTTTGGCCAAAAAATAAGAAGGAAATGACCTTAATAGCCAGAGTAAAAGATTTGGATATAACATCCGTAAAATTTTCATACAAGAAGGAAAATACTTATTTATTTCCATTTAAAGGAAATAAATTAGGTGGAATGTATGTTCAATGTGAAGCGTTTGAGTCGAATGTACACATTGCTTTTCAACAATATCAACCTGGACAGGCTCCAGTAAGATTAATCAATCGTTCGGAAGTTCATTCAATAGAATATTGGCAAGAGTACGTTTAATTTTAGTTAAAAAGAACAAATAGTATATTTTTATTTCGTATAATTTCTCTAGAAATACTCGAAAGGAGACTTTATCGCCTGGCGAAACAATACTGTATACTTGGGAAAATCCGTCCGGAAAATATTTACTACACTGGTCTAGCGGTAATAAAGAAGAGAAAGATGACTTAACAAAGGTTTCATTCATTTATTAACAGTTTAATACACTGTTTTATTTATTCTTTTTTATTTAAAAGGATAATTTAAAAGAGTTTTTCTTAAATTCTGATGAGAAATTATATTGGATATCGTTTTTGGATGGAATGCAGAGAACGCTTATGTTTACTGAAGATTTAATACTTGCAACACAAGCGCAGCAAGCTAGTGAATTAGAAAGAATCAATATGGACATAACTTTTGCTCTAAGTGCCGTTGGACTTTCACTTGTTAACAACTCAATCCAAAAAGAAATAGCCTATATAGCGCTAACTAATTCCGGTGTTGTATGGGAGGAAAGGAAGAAGAAAAAGAAGACTTGGAAGTCAATTAAAATGACAGATTTAGTAGAAGATGCTTACCAGCACTATGCTAAATATGTGCGTGTTGGTAAAACTGATTGTCATAGAATTCAATTATCTAATAAAGCGGAAGTTGATTTTGGTCAAGATCCAGTTAAACTATTAAAACCTTATGAATCGGACTTAAGAAGAAACTTTCGAGATGGTCTTTGGCTACAATATAGATATTCTGAACATCAAACGCAAATACACGCTAAACTGCACTATATTCAGGTTTTTTTGTCTCTTTGTAATCTTTTATTTCAATGTTAATTTAACGAATGTCTTTTCTTTGTTCCTTTAAAAGATCGACAATCAATTACCGGGTTGTATGTTCCCAATTGTTCTCTCACCTGTTCCTCTTCCAAAATCGGTTGCCGCCGAAGCCAGTAAGTATTTAGATATATAATATTTAATTATATTTATTTACTTTTTTGGAAATTTCATCATTATAAAACTATTTCTGATTGTTCAGTTACAAAACCATTTGCCGAATTGTGTGTTTTGCTTCGTAGTAGAGACTATACAACCGTTAAACAGATCAGGTAGGTGACCGATACCGTACGCGAAATGTTTGTTTATCTATTTGAATATTAATACTATGTAATATAAATTGCTAGATACTGTAAACTACTTGTTCAAGAGATGGATTTGAAGATTGATCAAGGATTTATAAGTAGTATGGTAATATTCTTCTCATCTGACGAAGAGATGTTAGACGACGAAGAAAGGAAACGCTTTGAAGAAGACTGTAAACAAATTGAAAACGATTTGTTAGAAGATGCCCTCCGATCGACTGAAGACGAAAATAAGAACTTTTTCGATAATATACACTTTTCACCTTTAAAAGTTCATTTAAGTTTTTCACTGTCGGGTTCAAGTGGTAACGAAACAGAAACAAAATCATCAAAGGCCGCTTCGGACGTTCTTAAAATATTTGTGCAAAGTGTTGGAATGGTATTTAGTGACATACAAGATGTTGTATTAAAGTAAGTTAATTACTATAATTAATTATAAATATTGTTTATTCTGTTATATCTCATCATCTAGATTGAACTATTTCGAAAGAAGATATCGATTCTATTCTAAATCAAAATTAATTGACGAGATTCGAAGGCACTACACTCAGCAAGCTATTAGATCATTATACGTTCTAGTCTTTGGCTTGGATGTTATCGGAAATCCTGTTGGTGTCATAAGGGGTATTGCAACAGGATTAGAAGACCTCTTCTACGAGCCGTATCAAGGTGCTATTCAGGGCCCAGAAGAGTTTGCCGAAGGTCTTGCCAATGGCGTGAAAAGTCTATTTGGACATGCTGTTAGCGGTACAGCCGGTGCTGCCTCAAGAATTACGGGTACGCTGGGTAAAGGTATCGCTTTCCTTACATTGGATCAAGACTATCAACGAAAGAGAAGAGAGGAACGCTCGAAGAGACCAGCTGACGTTTCAACCGGCTTGGCTAGAGGAGGAAAAAGCTTGGTAATGGGTCTTTTCGACGGAGTTACGGGCATTGTCAGGAAGCCTGTTGAAGGAGCTAAGTCAGAAGGAGTCGAGGGCTTTTTCAAAGGCGTCGGTATTGGCGTTGTAGGAGTGATAACCCGACCAGCAAGTGGTGTTGTCGACTTTGCCGGAACGGCTTTCGAAAGTATAAGAAGGGCAACGGACGTATCGAAGGAAGTAAGGAGACTCCGTCCGCCCCGGTAGGCCTATTAAGTTTAAAAGCCTTGCTTCTTTGTACTTATATCTTGCCTACAGATTCTTGCATAGAGACGGAATCGTTCGACCGTTTAACAAAATAGAAGCGGAAGGTAACGATATACTAAGTGAAGTTGAAAAAGGAATGTACCAAACAGACGTGTACGTTACGCATTTATTGGTGACAAAGGACTTAAAAACCATCCTGCTAGCTACAGACAAGAGGATACTCTTTGTAAGGAAGGATGATATCTTTGGGGTTTGGAAATGCGAATGGCAATATCCCTGGAATGAACTGAAGGAAGTAAGTTACGTTTCGAAGAGAATACAAGTGGTCTTTAAGGTAAATCAGCATTTATCTAGAAATTTATCGGATAAGAAGATATCTATTAATCATCACTTTTGTTTCTTTGTAAATAAAAAAAAATTAGGTAAAGAAAAAGGGTACATTCTTTAGTCCACCAAGCGTTGGGAAAAAAGTGGAAGTGATAGACGATAGATTAGCCAAAATCGTCATCAAGAAAATTAAAGAAACAATGGCGACCGCTGCTGACTCTTAGGAGATATAAAGATATAAGAAAAGACGGATTATTTTTGATATCTTTTTCACTTTAAACTTTTTGCATCATATATATATATATATTCATAAGATTCTATCTATCTCCTGCTTGATAATTTCTGTCTCTAAATGTTCTCTTTATTTTTTTATACCTGCGTGCCATGATATAGAAAATAAAGTCTACTAGTTTTCTGCTTATTAAATGTTAATTAGAAAGAAAGAATCATCGTTGGAGGCAAACTACGGAAAAGAAAATTTTCAAGTTTTGTCACGACAACATCAAATGAAAAGACGGCTTTTTACGTCTTTTGAAATTAGACACCACTGCATTATTCCGATGAATCGGTTGTGTCATGCGTTACTATAAAAATAGAACATACGGAACCCGTTAAGGGGCGAAGGAAGGCGAAAAGAAGCGACTAGGCTGTCAACTTAGTTTCCGATATTCAAATTGACTGTGCGGCGAAGGCCGCATTCCTTTCATGTATTTTTTTATGTAAGAGAAGAAATTGGCAAAAGAATAAGCTCCCACGAGACGAACGTTATCCTCTATTCACCCAATCACTTTCCGGCCCAGGAACTAAATGCTCTCTTCCGTTCTTCATCGAGTGCGTCCAAAGATTGAAGTCCTACTCCTCTTTTACCAGCCCAAGCTTGAAACGGTTGCCTCTTCTGCGGTAGTTGGTCGGAAATTGAATTCATCGCTCTTTTTCCGGCCCAGGCGTTAAACGCCCTTTTTCCTGCCCAAGATTGGAAGGCTCTCTTCTCCTCGCTCTCGGGAAGAGATAAGCAGCTGCATAGCAGAACCGCCGAGAGGAGGGCGAAAAGTTGAATATAGTTAAGCATTACTAAGGCAGAATCTTCTCAATTCACTTTTCGTCGCCTGCGTTCCTTATATCCAAAGCGAGCGCTGACGTCACTCTCGCCTGTGTTCTCATAATAGTTGGAAACTCCGCCCCTTTCCTTTTTGGTCGGGCTACCTACTCCTACTTCACTTCTCCGCCTTTTCTTTCAATTATATTACCGGAAGGGAATTCAATCGTCTTATTGAACGTTTTTCTTGACTAAACGCTCACCTTAATTCTATAATTAAGAATTTGAACGTCCGATCGATGGTTAAGGAAAACGAAATCGTGATTTTCATTTTCTTCGCGTGCCGCTGACGTTCTTTTGATGGTGTAGCATTCCGATACATGCTTCAATAAGCAAAGTAACGGTAGCGTCTTCTTCTTCTAGTAATTGCAAATGTATTCTATGTTTATTTAAAATTTGTTCTCTCTACTTTCTCCCCCCCCCAACCAATCCCTAAAATACTCATAAAATAAAAGCGAGTGGGCGTTTCAAATTCTATGAAAAGAGAAGACACAAATATAATCAAAATTATAGATAGAAGGAGAAAATTCATCTCATTAATATTCATGAGTATTAAATAATGTCCATAAAAGAAAACTTTTTAGCTAATTAGATGAGCTATTCAGAGTAATAATAATTACAACAAAATAGAAAGATAAAAAATGGGCGTGCTTTTTAAAATAGAGATAAACGAATGTATTTGTTATTTTTTCTCTCTCTCGAACGTAAAACTTTCTCATATTCATCACTGAAGCGAAGGGGAGGAGAAACATGAAAGATTTTACAAAAACTCTCTGTCTTTTAAGTCTCTTTCAATTAAATTTTGCTGCAGAGACGCCAACGAACCTCGTTCAAGGTGATATAACAACCATTTGGACGCCAGCTTATAGGGATTTGCAAAGAATCAGGCTAAGATTAAACAACAGACACACATTCGTTTTTAAAGTTAAAGCCTGTTCTGAAGCCCATATTTACTTGTTTGAGTACTTCGTAAGTTGAATAAATGAGTTTTCCTCAATTTTTTCTTCTCTGCCTTTCATGGAAATTTAATCTTTTCTAATTAATACTTTTGATCTCTTAGCCGGGTGGACCTCTCTATGAAGTACATCTAGGCCTAGGTGTCCAGGACAATACATGGAGCTTTCTGGATGTATACAAAAGAGAAGGGTCAGCCATAACCGAACAGACGAAAAAAGACGTAAATAGTCCAGGAATTATCGACTGTTCGGATTACAGGTAAGCCAAAGATTATCCTACCTCTTTGTAAAATGCGTCTCCGCTATTAATACCCTTTAATAATCACAAGAACATTCTGGATTTCTTGGCGACACGAGGAATTTGCAGTTGGTCAAGGTCCTATTAGAAATGAACAACTTTTAATGACAACCACTTTACCGCGTTATCCAAAAGATTATAGATTTGAGGTTGTTGAAGCAGTTTTAACAACAATGTACGGCAATACGGGATTATGGCAAGTGCAGGAAGGAATGGGTGAGAGTGTTAATCTTCTCTACTTTTTCTTCGTATTATAAAAAATATAACATTATTTCTTTCCTACCTTTTCTACCTTAGCTCATAGTTTAAGATTATTTACGCCGAGTAGTCCTTTTAACATGCGCTACAATTACATATGGAAAACAGTAGAAAGAAGGGATGGATTTTTTGCCTTTAGAGTTAGGTCTTGTCAAGATGCTCATATATCTCTCGCCTTAAATCAAGGAGAAAGGGATTACGAGGTCGTTCTTGGTAGCTATTACAATACAAAGTTTTCTTTACGTAAATACCGCGGAAGATACGTTCAAAAGGACGTTGTTAATCAGAATGGTGTTGTTCATTGTATTGATTTTCGAGCATTTTGGATTTCTTGGAGAAATGGAACAATCTCTGTTGGTAGAGGATCAGTCTACGGAAGGAATACCGAAGTGGAATTATATGATAAAGATTTTAGAGGTGTTAGCGTTCTTGGATTTACTCAATTCGCAGTCGACGCCGATTGGTTTTTTGACGAGGAATTGTACAGCGAATATAATTTCATAGTCGACTCTCAGAATAATAATAATCGAAAAAATCAAAGAGTCGTTATATCAAGACAATATCATATATCATTTAGAGTTCAAACTTGCGAAGGAGCTGAAATTATGCTCATTCCCGAAATTACTAAACCAGAAACTTCCTATTTCGTACTAATAGGTGAGAGTGAAAATTCTATAACCTCTATAATCAATCCCGCCGGCCAAAACGCGCAGGCTCAAACGTCTAAAATACTTAATTGTGATCACGATCGTCCATTTTGGATTTCGTGGTGGAATGGAACCCTTCGAGTTGGGAGGAGTTCTTTACCATATCTCAATGAAATTGTCAATATGAAAATACCTAAAGATTTAAGATTTAACGTAGCCATTTTCAATACAAAAGTCAATAAGCACTGGGGATCATTCTGGAGAATGAAAAGAACGGACGTAGAAGCCGTCTACTTTCGTACGGAAAAAGCTAAAGGTTACAATTATGCCTGGTTGAAAGACAACGACGCTTATTGGCAAATTTTCAATGTAAAATCGTGTAACGGAGCTAAGCTTTTATTAGCAGCCGACGTTCAAGTTAAGCAAAGATCCTACGAGATTATCATTGATAATAATGGTAATGAATTGGTTATTAAAGAACCAGTTGGAGATGATGGTTTGATAATTGAGAGGGAAAATACGGGCAAACTATTAGATTGTGATAACATTAGAACATTTTGGGTTTCCTGGTTGGACGGTTATATAAAAGTTGGTTTAGGTGATAGATTCAATCAGAACATGAAAATAGCAACGAAACAAATAAAACCTCACCCAGTTGCCGCATTAGGGTTTTCTTCTAACAACGGAACCACTGGACATTGGTATTTAATTGGTGAAAGAGCCGATGTAGTAAGCATGCAAGCGCCATTTAATAATGAAAATGAAGATAAGTGGATTCGTTTCTTATATCGTAACGATCGGGTTTTCTTTTCTCTCTCTGCATGTGATAGTGTAGATTTAACACTCTCCAATAAATTCCGTCAAACTGACCCTTACGCTATAAGAATAAAAATTACAAAGAACAAAGCCACATTGGAGGGGTTAGGACAGCTGAGCGGAGAAGGTGCAAACCAGGATAAACCTAATTTAATAAGCTGTGACACGAGAAACTTTTATGTTGCGTGGAATAACGGGAAATTTAGATTTGGCAAAGGATTGCATATAAGTGACTTTGACGATGACGGTATTGTTGAAAAGGTCTTTAGTAAAAATTTACAGTTTGAGGCTCTTTCCTTCCGATCGAGTGCCACTACTGGACAAGATAAGGATAGGCCAACTCTTATGTTTAGAGATCCATTTCCTGCAGAAATCACCTATAATACTCTTCCTACATACTCCTACGATCAACTTTGGATAACGACCAAATATAGAAGAGGAATATTTTTCTCAGTTAAGGCGTGCGCTGACGTCTCAATTATTTTATCGGCCGTTTTACATTCTAGAGAACCTAGCTATTCATATGAAATTCGTTTAGGTCTCAGAAACGATGAATCTTTTATAGTAGGCAGACAGTGGGCGGGCCGACTTGCCACAGCAAGAACCCCCGGAATTCTCTCTTGTACGCAAGAAAGAACGTTTTGGGTGTCCTGGATAAATGGCAATATTGCGATTGGGCAAGGTTTAGAACTGGGACGAGGGGTAATTTTGAGTTTTGTCGACTTAAAGCCTTTTAGAGTTAATGCGGCCGGTTTTACCACTGGGTCAGGTCAGAAAGGCAATTTACGTCTAATGCTGTATAACGGTCTGTAATCCAATAATTTTACTATTTCTCATAAACATTTCTCTTTCCGTAATTTTAGACTTTAAAGGCGGCAAAGGCAATTCTGATTCTGGAAATGGAATGACTGGCGGACAAAAAGCAGGATTAGCAATTGGTTTCTTAATAGCTATTGCGATCTTCTGCGGATTTGTTTTTGTTATCTTCAGACCACCTGAACAGCTTCAGAGATTTATGGAAGCTCCTCCGTCATCCGAAATTCGCGAAGCCCCCGCAGGACCTTCCCAAGAAACAGAATCGGAACCGAAACCGAAAAAGAGACTTGCCGCTCCACCACCTCAATCTTTCTCTAATCCTATTGCAGATGATCCCTCCCTAGCCCCCAAGATAGTTGATAAAAGCGTGCCCCCAGAAATCGTAACTGAACCTACTTATCCAGAGAAGATGGAAAAAAAATCAAAGGATAAAGATAAGTACAAAGAGAAACCCAAGGATGAATCGAAAGCTTCCATGAGTTTTGATAATGTTCTATTTAATGATATGAAGGGAACTAAAGAGGTAGATGTTTAAACAACTCATTAATTTCAAGATTTTATCAAACTGTTATAATTAAATATAAATTAGAATAATCATTTTTATATCCAAGTTCATAAATATAATTAAGAAACATTTCAAGCGGAATATTATTCAGAATATATAATTCTATTATGGCCGATATATCACAGATGAAGTAATCAGTGTTTTTACTTTCTTCGCTAATCAAAAACAACATCAAGAACAGAGCGAGAGATTCGTTGCTTATAATTTGCTACTCCGTATTGCCAATTACATTAATGAATTATAGAAAATCTAATATTATTAATATCCAAAAAAAATTTAGTTCTGATAACAAGTCAAAAAAAATGTTATTGGCACTACGTCTACTCATCTTTCTTGTCATTTTCCTCCACTCTTGGGATGTAGTACCATTTATGCACTGAAAAATATATTATTTGATTACAAGGACTTCATTTAAACTATTACTAATCTCAAAACTTACTACTTTGTGGAAGAGCCTCGGGTGAGCCTAACTCTGGTTGCTAGAATATTCCATAAATTTTCAATATTTTATTAACAAAAACTTATGAAAACTTACGCTCTCAACAACTTGCTTTGCTTCTTCATGGGACACCCTATATGGACTTCCGGCTACTGATACATTTTCGCTGAAATCATAAATTATCTAAGTCAAGACTTAATAAACACCTTTGCTGTAATTACTAACCAGGCCAATCCACATGCATCACATTGCTGAGCTAGGAGCTTTTGCCATTGAACATGTGTTTCCTTAATTATTTCTAAAGCAAATTCCTATGAAGTTTGGTAAGTCTAAATCAAAAAGCCAGGCAGAGCAATTTTAGCTTAAAAGAAATACCTTATTTTTGAATTCTCCTTCAAATGCGAATGTGTTTCTTGGTTTACCGTCAGGTACTTTGTAAATCATGAACCATTCATAGGTGGCCTTCAAAAATCCTGGCATATATTTGTCTACGTCTGATATATCTGCAAAGACATATATAGTTAGCATTTACAGCTATAATCTGAGTACACATTAATACCGTTCAATTTTGGTGCTAGCTCATCTGTTACGTCAATCGCTATTATTTTCCAATCGGTCTCATCTGAAGGAATAACATTTGTTTGAATGAAAATACGAGTAAATAATTATAAAATTAACTACTCCTGCCTATCTCTCAATTTAATCTATGCTTCTCTTGACGCCCTCTTAAAATGTTACGTGTTTTAAGCGGGTAACACAGAAGCAATTGTTATTGGATTAAAAAAATTCACTTACTTTCGTCAATCATAGCTAAAGTTCCTAAGATTTTAACTGTAACAACATCTCCAAGTTTTCTGACCTTGGAACCGATTTCACATATATCTAATGGATCTCCGTCACCGTTAGCATTGGTTCTCTCATCAAAGTGATTAGGGTCTTCCCAAGTCTTAAAGAATATTAATTAGCTAATAATGCCTCAAAGAAAAAGGGATTCTATATACCTGAGGTAAAGCACCATAATTCCAAATGTAGCCATGGTGAGGAAAGCAATTCTTCACATATCGAAGAGCACCTTTCTTTACGTCTTGTTTTATCGGGTTCATTTTACTCTTTGTATCGATCTGAAGAATAATATTTAATCACTGAGACCTTTTCTGACTGATCGATCAAGTGAACGTGCCGACATTGATGGCGGCATTATCGATTTATTTTAGCATTTTATAATTTGCCCACATAATGATGAACATGTTATTTTCGGAAAACAAACAATTGAACTAAAATTTTAATTTCACAAGAACTGTTCTATTTGCATTCTATTAAATGAGTGACGATTACGCAGACCAGAGCAAATACTAATATAGATCGGCTTGTAGGCTCACCTGCGTTAAAGGAATTACCTATATAATTGGCTTAATGATACTCAGTTACCAGTCATCTACTTCCATGTTATCTCTATAGATATTTTAGATTGTTGATATAGTTTATCTAGCTATAAAAATAAAAGGGCGCCCTTAGGTTAAGTTCTTCTGCAAAGAAAAATTTATACTCTGGTGTAATGTGTCAAAGAACGAAAAAAGCTATGCGTAGAACGAATTCTACAAAAAAACACGTTTCATCATTAAATTTGGGACTATTTCTCGACTAACTGCTGTTTAGCCACGTTTACATGCTACTCGTTAAAATAAGTAGTTTTGATTAGATAATTTCTGTCTTAAGAAATTGCTCATAAATGCTTAAGCATATTAAAATCATTCTAACATAGTAGTCCCAAAATTTCACCAAAATTTATTATACCACGTGTTCAACTGAAATTTTTTCAAACTAACCTCCATCTTGGCGTTGGTCCATCTCGGCACTTCAACTATCATGTTCATTTCTCCTGCATCTTTGTTGGCGAATAATGGTATGTCGTGAAAGGACGAAACGACTCCATTTGGACCGGCTGTTGAAAAAAAAAAAGAAAATTTAATGTAACATTTAACAAACATTACGGGTTGTCATAAAACGTGGTCGCAAAAACTTACAGAAATATACTCTGTAGTCCAAGGTATTTGGTTTTCCTCTCTCAATTATTGAATAAGACATGCTTCGGTTTTGAGTGAAGAAAGCAGTATTAAACACCAAATGCGGAGGAGCTCGAGTGTTGCCTTTCAACGTCGACCGAAAGGAAAATAGTGCGCTTGCGCGACGAATAGTCGTAGAAACACGTTGCATTGAAAACGAGGCCGGAAGTGGCGTGGTTGGGTTTGCGAAAAAAGACTATCGTAAATTTAAAACTGTTCCCTGCTTTATATATTGTCCTTGATAGAAACAGATAAAGATTCACCAATTACGAGTCCGAATCTTAAGAGTTATCCAAACCTTCCATATCAAATGACAATAGCCAGTACTTCATTCAAACAATTATCTTCCCATTGAAGTACAATACTTTATCAAACTGGGAATTTTCCGCTGTCTATTTACTTATATTATCACACATGACCTTGTAAATTTAAGAAAATTACTAAATAAAAGTTAAATTTATTAATTAGTAAAATATAAATGACATAAAGCTTAGTTAATCGAAAGAAATTAATTGCTGATTATCTTGTGGTGGCGGAGCTTGCTGAGGACCTGAACTCATCTGGTTAACAGGGTTAGGATGCTGTTGAGGGAGTTGTTGCTGTTGTTGGGGATGGGGTTGCTGGAACTGATAGACCTGATTTGGATCGACTCCCATTTGAGGAACGTATTGACCCTGTGGTGGTCCCATGCCACCAGGTGGAACCATATTCTGAGGAGGCATATGAGTAAACCCTGGCTGATGCATTGGAGAAGTTTCTGATGCAGGAACCATGTTGGGAACAGCTGATCCCGGAGGAGGATACTGATTACCAGGAACTTGACTCTGCATCATTTGTGGATCAGTCGGAGCATACATTTGATTGTTGGGTGGCATCATTTGCGGTTGCGAAACATTTTGCGCATTAGGCCTCACGTTAGGTGGCATTCCATAATTCGCTGGTGCCATATTTTGAGGGATGTTTGCGGGTACAGGAGCTCCTGGAATCCATTGCATATTTCTAACTTGTTGCATCTCCCTATGTTGTTGTATTCTTGCAGCCAATTCTCTCTCTTGTTCCATCATTCGTTGGTGGAATTGCTGTCTTTGCATTTCTAAATAGTCATATTTTCTTGCCCTGTATTCTGCTAACTTAGCATTCATTGCTAACTGTCTCTGTTTTTGAGCTTCTTCAGCAGCCTTCCTACGTTTCTCTTTCTCTTCTTCTCTTAGACCGTCAAGGGCTTCTCTTGCATCCTTCATTTGCATTAATCTATCTTGTAAACTTTCCATGTATGCTCTTCGTTCTTCTTGTTCAGCCATAAGGGCCATAAGTCTCGGATGCATCGCAGCGATTGTAGAGAAAAGAGTTTGCACAGACGAGTCATGAGCAATCGAGCGTCCTCTTGCAGCATCCGACTTCATTCTGTTGACAAAAATTTCAACAGATCTTCGTAAAGCTTTCAAAAATTCTTCCTCCTCCTCACTCGTAGCACCAGTTAATATAACTTCTGGGGCGGAGGGTTGGGAAGTACTAGGTGCAAGAGTTGCTGATTCTCCATTTACCGCACTATTACTACCTTTAGTTTCATAATTCACAGTCTGCTTTGCTTTTTCCTTCCAATAATCAGTGTCTAAGTATCTTCTAAGTTCAGGGTCCATTTCGCTTGTCTCAGCTGATGGAATTTTAGAAGTTGTACTATTTTGTGGAATCGTGACGTTCAATTTTGCTGCTGATTCCTCCAAAGACTTGCTTAAAGCTATTGCCAATTCTGTTTCCTCATCGAATTTTCGATCAATTGCGGTTTGGTCAACCTGAGGTTTTTGCGACTCTTTAAACAACGCAGAAGATATATATTCAGCTGGTAAATCCGTCTGGTTTTCAGAATATTTTGAGGAGGAGCCTCTGTAAACCGAAATTAATACTATATTATATCCGTCTCAACAAAGAGAAAAAATAATAAGTTAATTATCCCTAAGATTTACGTAATTTTCCGTTCTTTTAAATCTTTAAGTTTATATCTACAAATTAAAATGATACTTGGAAATATAATGAGGCTAATATTAGATTTAAAAGACAGAGAAAAAAATACATTTTCAACAACCAGTTTTAGGCAGTGAATAACGCAAAACATTCAAAATGTTTTGGAATAAACTGTTAAAGACGATAAAGCGGAGAGAGCGAAAAATTATCGAGAATAAATAAATAATTAATGTTCTGCTAACACTTACTTTGTAAGAACATCATGACAAGGTTCACAAACTCTAACATCCTTATCAAATCCAAATTTCGGTATTGGGCATTGTTTTGATGAACATTTATTGCAAAATACCTAGGGAAAAAGCAGAAAAAAATAGCAAATTAATACAATTTCTATCTCTTTTGAGACAAATCAATCTTACCTGTCCACAATGACGACAGTGATGCTTCCTTACAGTAAGGCTGAAAGGAGTTCGACATCTAAAACAATTATCTCCATCTTTCCATTCTGGTGGTACTTCCGATCTATACATAGCATCGGATTCTGCAAATTCTGGAAATGAATATCCTTCTATCTTAAGAACGTTAAATGTATCTTGAATAGCCTTTAGTTCAGTATCATTTCGAAAAGCATGAGACCAAACTTGAATTAGTTCAAGTAGCTTGTTTCGGATAACTTCTGGTCGATCCTACAATAATATTTTATACAATTACTTTTATAACAAAAACAGAATTAAATCGTCATTACGCGTATCTGTGTTTTCATAAATTCCATAAAATCTTTATTTGCCACTTCTTGATGAAAATTCGAGCCACAATTTTTCACTGCTGATTCAAGCACCTTTAAAGATTATTTTAGTTAATAACAAAGATAAAAGTTAAGCAATGTATAAATATTCTTACTTGGAGGGCATACATTGCTGTGCGAGGGTTGTCACTATTTATACGCTTCTTTATGGACGTTAAAGCATTCTTAGCCCTACATAAGAAAAAGAATGATTCATCGAAGGGATGAAAATAAGTCATCAAACTTGATTTAAAAATAATAGATTGAAACTAACGAGACTTCGTTTTTTCTTATAGTGTCGCATACTTGCAGTATGGAATCCCAATCTGGATCCAAGTTTAACTGACTTGTTGCTTTGTCTATTTAAAAAAAAATTTTAAATTACAATCGCTTTGAAAATTTCATTGGAAGCTTTAGAACATTGTTATATGCTAAATTTTATGCAATCAAATGATCAATGTCAAATAAAAGTTTATTTACATACCAACTAATTTCTCAAATGTTGCCTTTGAGCCGAACATTTCGAGTTAAAATGAAATATTTGAATGACTTCGAGTTTTAACGACTGCAGGGGATTTTCTAATGACAATTAATCATCATAAGTGACGTCATTTTTTTTACATGAAAGTGAATTCTCTAAAATTTGCTTGTAATTTCACTGAGACGCAATAATTTAATATATTTGAAATACCCTAATAAAAACGCATAATTTTAAGAAATCTACGAAAATAAACCGGAAGTACATTTTTTATCCACATATTAATCATCGTATTTTATCTATTTTTAAACTTTTTACTCGTGAGAGAAGATTACAGAAGCATTAATCGTAAGCAATTGACTTGAATTTTACTATTCTAAGGCTTTTCACATTTAAAAAATTTCTAAATTAAAAAAGATTGAAATGATTCTTATTTTTTGTTGCTAAAGTTTTTAATATTACCTTATTTAAAGAAATCAAGTGAATAATTCGCTTAAAGTCATGTGTTTTATTGTTTTTTATTTGATTATAAGAAATCCCTTATATAATTGTGTCTGACGAACAATTCTTCGCAAAGAAATGCTTAATTATAATTTCTGCATAATTCTTTTAGACTGGGGAATGACATTCAGCTGTAGATTATTTTCTAGAAAAAGCTTGAAATGTGCTAAGACATAAGATGGTGGAAAACAACGTAAAATTAGGTCTTAAAGTTGACGAAGAGAAGGCTACTGAGGAATTAATTCAACGTTTAACGAAATATGATGGACTAACAAAAATTGAACGTAATGTTGCCCAACAATGTATAATGGCTAGAAAATTGGACGTTGATAGAGCTTTTAACTTATATCTGGAATATCAGGTAATACTTATTAACCTTTTATAATTCTTCTAACAGACAGAGTATTGCAGAAAGTTCGTAAATTAGAACAATTAGAAAAAATCGATCCGTTAAAAGACGACTCTGTGCTGAAAGAGCTGACTACCGGCAAACTAACAATATTGGTAAAAAATTGTTTTTTCTTTTAGTATAAATATAAAAAATAATATTATTTGGTCAAATTTATGTGTTAATATATTCTTTATAATATCCAATAATTTTTTTTTATAATATCATTTAACTTCCTTTTCTCTTTAACAATTAAGCCTGAAAGAAGTGAAGACGGTTCTGTAGTTGGTTTATTTACGGCTCGCCTACATTATCCGAAAGAAACAACCAGAACGGCAGTCATTCATGCATTAGTTTATCAGTTAGACGCTGCCATGCGATCTTTGGACGCTCAACGAAACGGTCTTATTTTCATATATGATATGACTTCAGCGAAATTTCCAAATTTCGATTACGATTTAAGCGTCAAGATATTAATGATTTTAAAGGTTTGTATAACAAATATAAATTGTGGTATTCAGGAGTTCGTTTCGAAGAATTAGCACATATGCATTTATATAGAATTATTCCTGGGGTATAAGTGATTCTTGGAAACTGCTTAGGCCCACTTATATATTTAGCATTATTGTATGAATATATTTTATACTTTGTTAGGGCTCCTTTCCTGCTCGATTAAAAAAGATATTGATTGTTAAAGCCCCATTATGGTTTCGGGCTCCTTTTAAATTTCTGCGACTCTTCGTAAGGGAAAAACTACGAGATCGAGTTCACACTGTTGATATAAAGGATTTAAATCAACACGTTCCAGTAAATGCACTGCCCACTCGTTTGGGAGGTGAACATACTATTGATCACATGCAATGGCTAATGGATTGCTTTAGAATACATTCTCCGGAAGCTGACGCTCTTTTAATAAATGAGAAATTAGAAAAGTTTGGTGTCAGGACACCTTCAGTTAGCTCTGTTTCTTCATTAACTGAAAAACAATCCAATGAAGAACTGGAGAAGGATGAATTATTCGAAGAGGATAGTATTCATACTGCCAATAAAGAAGGAATGTCGCCACGCGAACTGCTCGACCATGTAAATAAACTAAAAGAGGCTGGGCTTCATGAGCAATATTCACAAATAAGAATGGAACGTATGGAGGGGACTTTTGAAATTTCCAAGCAGGCCGCTAACATTTCAAAAAATCGTTACACCGATGTTCATTGTCTAGATTCCACAAGAGTTAAACTTAAAACATGCAGCTATGACGACGATTATATAAATGCTAATTTTGTGGATGGTTATCTAAAATCTGCTATGTACATAAGCACACAAGGACCTCTCAATCAGACTTTTGGGCACTTTTGGAGAATGATCTGGGAACAAGGTAGTCATGTGATTGTAATGACCACAAAAGTAGTTGAAAGGGGTAGAATGAAATGTGGTCAGTATTGGCCCCTATCTGGTTCTGTTGTTCATGATCAGTTTGAAATACAAAATGAAGATGCTGAGAGAGAGAAAGACTTTTCAATTACGAAGTTGAGGTTAAAGTATCTGCCAAGTCAAGAAGAACGGCTGATAACGCATTTTCAATTTACGTCTTGGCCTGATTATGGAACACCTCCGGCTGGTGCCTTTCTTAATTTTATGTATCAAGTTCGAGCGGCTCAAGGAGATAGTAGGAAACCTATAGTTGTGCATTGTTCTGCTGGAATAGGACGAACTGGAACATTTATATGTATGGACATCGGGACTAGCAAATTAGATCATACCGGATATGTTGACGTTCGAGAGACTGTTAGAAGGATACGAACTCAAAGAGCTCACTCTATCCAAATGCCTGATCAATATGTTTTTTGTCACACGGCTCTTCTATACTACGCGCAAACTAAAGGTTTGTTAAAAGAGCTTCGTCTAGAACTATTTGATGGACGCTCAGATTCAGATTGAGTGCTAGATTAACATTCATACAGTGAGCACATTTCTGACATCAGTGTGCACCGCTACAATTTTTAAGTTTCAAAAATCCGATTGTTTTTATTCCATATCAAGGAAAAAAATTGTTTTTAGAAGAAAAAGCCGAGAATTTTGCCGCCGAGATGTTTTCTTCGAGCTTCTTCGTGATCCATTATACCACCCGACGTCGTTAAAACGATATACCTAATATAAATAAAATTTTTTACAAATGACTTTCAAGTTAATTTATTTTAACGCGCAACTTACCCAAACTGTCTAGACGGTAAGAGGTTCGTCGTCCATTTTTCAATTTCCCTTATTTGGATGTCAAATCTCGGTGATATCACACCACACTGAAATAAAGTAGAACTTAAGAATACACTCATAACGTTAAGACATACTATTAAATGTAAGGTCTAATTCAGTTATTAAGATATTTAATCATAATCTATCATCGTGGTGTATGGCCAAAAATCTCATCATAATAGGTAATAAGAGAAAAGTATATTCAAGAAGCCTACCTTATTTAGTCTTCCATTCAAATTAACAACAATTTTTCCCGATCGATGATCGTCGATTACTTCAAATTCGCCAATATAGCCATGTTTCATCATAACAGTAAGGAATCGAACAACAACTTTGGAGCAAGGTCTGATCAATACTTGACGTTTGCCTCGCTTTTCGGCATTACATAAACTCCTAAGAGCATCGGCTAGGGCGTTCATACGAACCATGACGAGATGTTATTGCACCTGCCCATACATATAAAGTATTAGTTTTAACGAAAATATATTGCTCAAATATGATAATCAATATCTTGGTATATCTTTGGAAGCGAAAATTAGCAATAAATACTGAAAAGGCACAAAGATATCCGAAGATTTTCTAGAAAAAAATTTCCTACATACCACACACGGGACGCAAACCGGAAAAGGAAATTTTCATGCGAATTATGGGAAACGTTGCCTGACAGTTCCGGGGAACCAGTTTAGTATAATAATAAAAAAACCAGTTTACCGCAGAAAAATCGTAATTTAAAAATAGTTTTATTTCAAAATTATTTAGTTTTTATCATGAAACACTGTCAAGAAAATAATATTTATGAATGAATTTCCCACCACGAATGAATAATTATATATATAAACTATCAGCTTTTTTAGCTTTATGTTATAAAATAGCAAAGGATTTAAGTCTAAATGAAAACATAAGTTAATATTTTTAGAGGATGCAATAATTATAGTATCCAATTATAACCACGTAGTTTTCTTATTAATCATGAAAACAGTATATATTTTAACTAGACAGAACTTTATTTCGTTCATAAAAAACGTGGTAGTCAAAAATTAAGTAACTTTGTACATTCTTAGTATAAAATGATCAACATAGACTGAACAGTAGCGCCTTCACATATATTGAAGCTTAAACTTGAGTGTCAATAGTTTTTTCAAATTCATATTTTATGACACGTTAAACCACTCTAGGTAGACAATTTCGTTTCGATTATTTATAATTTTCTGAGTCTAAAATTCTGAGTAAATGATGGCTTTTATTTCTGATTCTTCGTTTTATCAGTTGAAAGAACTTCGTGAACTAATTCTTTTGATAATCGTTGTTGACAGAATGCCAGCTTAGATACCCGGTCATTGATTAGCCGTAACCTATAAATATCTAACTATAATGATGATAGTTTATAGACAATAAGCAAACCTTTTAAATAGAAGAAAGTGATCTGCTACTGTAACTTTCTTTCGACCAGCATGCTGAGCATAGTCTTCCACATCGTTCAGTAACTGCTGATAAGCTTTTTCGGCACTATAATTAAAATATTTAGAGAGCATTGATTATGGATAGATAATTTAAAAATTCATACAAATCAGCACACTCTTCTAAGCATTCCTTAGGCACACGAACTCCTAAATGCTGCTGACAGATCCATGAAATTTGTGATCTTGGTAAGAGTGTATAAAGAGCACCATTGTTTGGAGCCTGAAAAAAGAGCAAGATATAATATTTAGCACGAAAACAATTCATCAAAACCTACCCGTCGAGTTAAAGTCTTCTTTTCAGGTGTTAATGATTCACTTTTATTCCTTTGTTTCATGCCTGATAATCGTTTCTTGTTCTGAAAAAAATAAAATTCTATTACTTTTCTGACTAAAACAACTATAAAATGTACTTTAAGGGAAGTGGAAGAGAGATTTTTTTCCAGTTTTCTTTTCTTTGGCTAAAAAGAGCTGTTAGTAATATTCATGAAAATATTTAAATATCTACCTCAGGGGATTTTACACTGTCTCTATGTTTAAGCTTTTTCCCTGTAAGCGTTCGTCGAAACATCTTTGATCTGGCGTTATTTTTAGGTGAGGATCTGTTAAAAAAAAGAATTGCACAATATTGAAAATATTTATATGTATTTAAATTGCATACGTATTCAGGAAGGTAGGTGTTTCATCAGTATCTTTACTTTGCGGCCAAAAGAGAGGAAGCTGTAGTGTTCTTTGAACTTTCCTGAAAGACATATTAATGAACATATACATATATCAACAAGTTAGAAATTATGCTTACTTTGATTTCTTTTGTTCATCACTTTTTTCTTGTTCTTTTTCTTCTTCCCCTTTCGCTTGAGTTTCTTTTTCCTTTACCTCATCTTCGCTTTCATTTTCTTGATTTGCATTCTGCTTTTCTTTATCTTCACTTTCAACGTCTCTATTTTGTTTCTTTTTTTGTACTTTATCATTCTTTTTAATATTTTCTTCATCATCATGTTCCATAGGTTTTGAAGATATAACTTTTGCCTTAGGAGTGACATCAACTAAAGGGGAAGGTTCCTTAAAAAGAATAATTATTTATAATAGGGAAAAGATATGCACTTTTAAACGGCTACCGTAATCACCCTTCTTGGTGTATGCTTAATTATAGGAGACAGAGCCAAATTCAGCTCCATACCGTAAGCATCTTCTATTTGTGTGCTCGAGAAAAAGTTTGGTTTCTGTAATTTGAAATAAGTTCTGTATATTTAAGAGCAAAATAAAATAAAACTCACAGGTCTAAAAGGGGATCCACCTTCATTAGATTCTTCTTCCTCAATAACGTTTATTCGTCTATGCTTATTTGTAATACTATTTTCAACTTCCTTCTCTGTTTCTTGCAATGGTTCTTGCAAGACGGCTGGCGTAACCTCAAATCTTTGAACAATATTTTGAGTTCCTGAGGGCTCACTTTCACTAACAGAACGGTTAGGAATATTTGCATGTTCAGATTGATTATCACTCCTTTTGGACGATGGTTCAATAGGCTTCGTGCCAGAGCTACCTGAAGTTCTCATTGAGCTTCGTTTTCTCTTCGCATAATCTGGTGACTGCTCGCTAGAAGGCTGACTATCATCGTTATCGGAGTCTATTTCTGTAGGTTTAGCGCTAAGTCCTCCTTTGGATTTCCGGGAACTGCGTCTACGATCATTAGAAGCAAAAGGTTGACTTTCGGAAGATGATTGCTCGTCGTCATCTTTAGGGTGTATTTCTGCCCTGTTACTAGTTTTGCTGGAAGTTCGTTGCCTTTTTCTTTTCTTACTTGATATCTGATTTTGGTCTTCCAGCGATTCCTCGTCATGACTTTTAGAGGATACTTCTTCTGATTTATTGTTTATCCTAGATGAGGATCTTGTCATACTCCTTCTTTGGTTAACCGCTGAGTTATCCTCTCCGCTGCTGATTGAGTCTATTTGTTCTGGTTTGTTACTTAATTTGCTTGAAGCTCTCTTCATGCTCTTTCGTTTCTTACTTGTTGAATAATTGTTTGTTGGAGAATATTCTTCATCACTACTTTTCAAATCTATCTGTTCCGGTTTATGACTTTGCCTATTAGTGGCTTTTTTAACACTCTTTTTCTTGTTTGTAGTAGACTTATTTGCTGGTTGATATTCTTCATCACTACTTTTGGAATCTAATTCCTCAGATTTATTACTCGATCTACCGACAGCTCTTTTAATACTCTTTCTCTTATTCTTACTTGGAGATTTGGTTGACAGAGTATACTGTTCATCATTACTTTTTGGGTTTAATTCTTCCGGTTTATTACTCAATCTATTGGAAACTCTTTTACTACTTCTTCTCTTTTCAGTAATTACTGGTTGATAAGCTGGCGAATATTCCTCATCACTACTTTCAGAACTATTTTCTTCAATCTGATCTTTTTCAATAAATCTGTTCGTAGTTCCTGTTAAACCCGGTCTAAGACCTTCAGCTGCATGGGGACGACTTTCCGGTGAAGATTCATCATCACTAATTTCAGAGATTGCTTCTGCTCTTTTTCTACTAACTCTGCTTAGTCTTTTTGAACTATCCTTTGGTTTTTCAGAAAAAACAGGACGACTTTCAGGAGATGATTGACTTTCATTGCTTGCAAAATTTGTTTCTACTTCTTTAGTTTTATTTCTGCTGGGATCTCTTTCATCCCACTTTTCGTTGTAAATGGGTGGTTGATTTTCATCTTGAACTGCGAAATCTTCTTTACGTGGTGAGTATCGCCTTGACACATGTCCCATACTTTCTCTAAGCGGATGTGAACGCACGGACATCTTTGATAATCTTCTTTGACGAGTATGTAAAATATCTGATTTTCTACTTGAAACGGAAGCTTTGGGGGGAGTTCTGGCACCAACCGAAACAGATCTAGTTTTGCGAAGATTATTGGTACTGGCAAAGGCATTCGGTACACGTCTCTCATAGGGCTCCAATTCCTCTTGTCGTACTCTAGATGGTGCCGATATCATGGATTTTGGCGATATGCCAGTACTTTTAACAAGGGTCTCTTTTAGTGACCTCGAAGGGCTGCTGATAGATGCTGATCTAGCATTAAATGATTTACGAGAATAGATACTGTTTGCTGTCGACTTTCTGTGAGAATGATCACTTCGACTTATTACAGGGGTTATTGAACTTTCATTACTGATAAAATCCCTTTGGGATAAAGGTCCTCTACCAATCCTAAATTTACTTTCTGCTGCTCTTCTCTCCTCTATATCTGAATCAGACTCTGACATAGATATGATTGGATTAGTTCTTTGCAAAATCCTCGACTTAACTTCTCTACCCTCCGGGGAAGTTTGAAGCAATTCTAAATCAACATCATTTTCAATATCACTATCATTTTCATTGTCTTCTTCCTGCAATTCCAAACCAGGAGGAATATACTGACGCCCAACCTTAAAAAAAGGGCTAGTATTTGGTCGTTGAATTTCGTCATCACTTTCATCATCATCATCATCATCATCATCATCTTCATCATTCATTTTTCTATTCGCATAAGAAATTCTCCTTTGTCTGTCATCGCTATCCTCTTCCTCACTCTGAATACTTTTAAGGGGAGATCTTTCATAGCCTGATACAGATTTAACGCTTCTAGAAGATAGTGTTGCTCGTCTTATTGCCGCTCGATGTTCCAAAGAATGTTTTGGTCCAGGTGATCTTGAGAATCTTCGGGCATATTGTGCGCGTTTAGCAGAATAAGATGGATTTTCTCTTGCCAATGGACTTACATTAGATTCACTCCTACTTCTATTGTAAAAAGACATAGTTATGTTATATAAAAAAGTAAAATCGCGGCAACTTTGAACAGGAAGTTGAAGGTCAAAAAAACGCTTCAATATTTCTGAAACAAATTTTTTGATTGGCTGATTCACTTGATCATAGCCAATAGTAATCTTGTTGACAAACTACAAATATAATTTAGAAATTTTAATTGTAAATTTGTTTGAAATAGTTGACGTCATTTATTAACCTCATCATTAAAATCTATAAAGCATCTATTTAAAAGCTTGTAATTTACAACTAGTGCGCATGCGTGTCTGCACGTGATAGAACTTATTTCCGGTGACCGGCAACGTGGTTCGACAAGTTTTCCTAGGCATTTTGCTTATTTGTCAGCCTTTAAGTATTTATTAAAAGCCTAATTCGGTTATTCAGTGAGACTACTGAACGAAATCCAAGTTTTCACTATTTGGTAAGTGTAATCATAGTCTACTTCACTATAAACTCCCTTGGACTGTTACTAGTTGTGTCTCTCTTTTTCTCAAAGCTAAAATCTTTTTTGTCTGTAGATGGTTTGAGATATACTTAATACTGCCGCTGTAGTATGGTGCATCTCACAGAAGAGGATCCTAACTTTAGTGATCCAGAAGACTATATAGACGACATTACGGACAATGGTAGGATCTGTTGCTGTGCTATATACCGTAATATTAAAATGTACTCACCATATTTTCAGAGTTACTTGATGATGTACTCAGAAGGAAGCCAAAAGAAATTGATGGAATTGATTCAGTAATTGTAGTAGATAATGTACCTATTGTTGAAGATGACCGGTTGGAGAAGCTAAGAAATGTTCTCACCAAGAAATTTGCTAAAATAGGAAATATTGTCAATCAGCATTACCCAATGGAAAATGGCAAAACGAAAGGGTTAGTAATATACACGTATTGAGATTATTTTGTTCATCTTGAAAATTTTCTCAAACAGTTACATTTTTGTTGAATACGAAAATCGAGAGCAAGCTACGTCAGCTATTAACGAATTCAACAACTACCGTCTAGATAAGCAGCACATTTTCCTAGTAAATCACTTATCAGATCTTGATAAGTATGCTTCTGTTCCTGATGAATGGGAACCCCCAGAGCCTCAGCCATTTAAGGATACTGGCAACCTATACGACTTTCTTATGGACAAAGATTGTTTAGATCAATTTAGTGTAATTTATGAAGCTGGTCGCCAAACAGCTGTCTACTGGAACTCCCATGGAAAACCAAAACTTCTAGAAGAAAGATTCAATTGGACAGAAACTGAAATTCGTTGGTCTCCAAGTGGATCTTACTTGGCAACATTTCATCCTAAAGGTGTTGCTTTGTGGGGAGGAACCAATTTCAAACAAATTCAGAAATTTCCTCACGAGGGCGTTCAATTGATAGATTTTTCACCTTGTGAACGCTACCTGTCTACCTATTGTCCCATAGCAGAAAATAAATCAAAAGATGAGCCCCAAGACATTATTATTTGGGATATTCTGACAGGCAAACGTAGACGTGGATTCCTCTGTGATAATGCCACCGTCTGGCCTGTGTTTAAATGGAGTTACGACGGCCGCTATTTTGCCAGAATCCGAGACGACCTATTGCAAGTTTACGAAACACCTTCATTTGGCCTAGTTGACAAAAAGAGTATTCGAATCAAAGGTATTCGAGATTTTAATTGGTCTCCAACTGATAACATAATTAGTTACTGGACTCCTGAGGAAGAGAATACCCCTGCTCGTGTCGTCCTTATGGAAATTCCTAGCAAACAGCAACTCTGTACGAAAAACTTATTTACAGTTGCTGATTGTAAAATGTATTGGCAAAAGTCAGGAGATTATTTGTGCGTTAAAGTTGATAGATATAAGGGGCGTAAAATAGAGGGAAAGGAAGTTAAATATTCTGCCATTTACCATAATTTGAATGTTTTCCGAATAAGGGAAAAACAAGTTCCTATTGATACTGTTGAGGTAAAAGAAAATATAAAAGCATTTGCTTGGGAACCAGTTGGAACAAAATTCTCTTTTATTCATGGTGAAGCCCCAAGAATAAATGTCTCTTTCTATAATGTAAAGAAAGCTGGATCTGTTGAATTAATGAAAATGTTTGAAAAGAAATCAGCCAATCTCATATTTTGGTCTCCCCAGGGTCAATTTGTGGTACTGGCAGGTTTAAAACAGATGAATGGCATCCTAGAGTTTATAGATACATCTGATATGACAATTATGTCACAAGTAGAACATTTTATGGCAACTGATGTTGAATGGGATCCAACTGGCCGATATGTTACTTCATCTGTATCCTATTGGAGTCACAAGGTTGACAATGCTTTTTGGATATGGAATTTCCAAGGGAAGCTGCTACAGAAGTCGCCTCTCGATCGTTTCTGTCAATTTTTCTGGAGACCAAGACCCAAATGTTTGCTGAGCGACAAGGCCTTGAAAGATATCAAGAAAAATATGAAAAAATATCATAGCAAATTCAAGTTAATCGATATTCAGCGAGAAGAGCAAGTGAGCTCGGAACAAATTGAAAAGAGGAAAAAGGCTATGCAGGAATGGACTAATTTCTGCAAACAGACGGAAGCTAAATTGCAGAAAGATTACCAAAGGAGACGGGACTTACGTAAAGGTGTGTAATGCTTAAATGTTAATTTGAAAAAACTATAATTGTTTTGTTTCTCTTTAGGATTTGACACCGATGAACGCTCTGATGACGTTGAATTCGAGGAAGAGACAGTCGAATTTTTGGTTAAAGTTGAAGAAATCGTACTTGATGAAGACGATGAGTAGTCGGCTACTACGATTCCACCTAATTTACTTCGTTAATGGACTTTTATATTGCTTTTTCCCTTTATATAAAGTTCGATTGAAAAAAATAAACATGCGGTTAGGGAGTTTAATGTTCGATTATTGCGGTATTTATTGATTGATTTTAATCAATTACTCTTAATGTTGCCGGGAGACCTTCCTTCACTTGCATCTAATTTAGGCTGATAAGGTAATCAACTTGCCAACAGAACAATCTCTGTGTTTATGAGTTAGGGATAATAACTCACGGATTAAAATGACTTCAATACGCTCTTCCGTTCGGCCAAAGTCTAGCAAACAGGCCTGGGGCACGATTCTCGAGCCAGAATTTGGTTTAGGCTTCCAGAAAATGACTGATTACGAAATTGATCAAACCGTTTCGAGACTAAATAAACTTCCTGATCAAAAGAAGAGGATAGACGAAAGAAAGGAACAAAAAGAAATGAATAGTACAGAAATAAGTGATATGGTAACATATCTGTAAAATATCCATTTAATACTGCTAATCAATAAATCAAAGATTCGTCTAAACAAATTCTTTTTCAACATAGGTAGAAAGACTTTCCAAAATAGATAAGGATAAAGTAACAGACTCTCGAAGAACTCAAAAAGATTCTGACTATAAGAAAATGGGAATCGTTCATTCCTATGCCTGGAAAGGATACAACTGAAAGTAGATTATAAGCTTATAAAGCACTTTCATAATATTTCAAAATCAGCAATACATTGCTATCAGTTGTGCAAGACTGTTTGATTGTGGTTGTTATAGTCACACCCTCTGAGGCAAATAAGTTTAAGAATACTACTAGTTAAATGCATTTAGTTCTATATATCATAGATAGCAGTTAAGAGCCAGAGAGAGATAATGCTATGCGATATAATACGATGTTAGTTTTGAATTGTCGAATGACATATGTAGATAGTTAAAATTGACTCACAAGGTCCGGAGCAAATGTAAAACAAGTTTTTCTAAGCAATTATATGGCATAAATCTTTCTTGCAGAAGCTATTTTTTTTAGATATAACAAGGCCTATATTCTGCAAAATAGCGTATATAAGGAGCTGCATATGTCAGTATAATCAGCGGGTGAACATTGGCAGATTGGTAATCCAGATCAACTCCGAGCAGTTGAATGGATGGCAGACTGGCAATGGATCCTTGGTTTAAACCAGCAAGACTTCCCGTTCACTTGAATTGCTTACTTCATTTACCTGTAATTTCAATTATGAGGTAGTGTCGGGCCTATCTCTTTTTCAAGAGAAAAAGAGCTTTTGAATTAGTTTTAGGTCCCGGTCGATGAATAGTTCTACTCCCCTAAGCAGCTCCGCAATCGAGCAATATGCACGCAAGGGGCGGGAGTAGAATTTGTTCTGAGACCACATCAGTTTGCTAGTTAACTCTACTTTTAATTTGAAATGGTAGCGTTTACCAGTGAAGGTGATTGTGGTCCCAGTATCTTATCTTCCATTTCATCGAATAAGTAAGCAAAATGGGTAAACGTTGAAGTCTGTCTGTTTGAATCGAGAATTCATTTTCAGTCTAGATTTTTGCACATAGCAACTCATTGATTTTATACACCATATTAAGTAAATAGACCATATAGGACTAACTTAATATTGTTAGCACACGATGGGGAAGCTTATATAAGGCTTTTAAACATAAGAATTGTATATCTCAAAAACAAGTTAGTTAGTTGCCATATTAAAATACTTATTTTTTATAGACATCTTTGCTCACACGACAAAGATAACAAAAAAACAACATGGCTGAAATCATCCAAGTAAAATAAGATAAAAACTAAATAAATAAGTTTGCTAATGATTTTGTATATAATTTAAACTCTGCTTAATAATTGTATCGCTTTGTATGCGATCAAACATAAGCAGATGCCGACTAGACTAGGCCTAAAAACTTGCAAAACACATTTTTTTTTGTCATTAACGCTTTTTATTTGATGATAAAATAAGATATCGGCTTGTACTCCAATAATATATTACTAAGACAAATTTAGTCATTAGTTTTCTTTTCAATCATGTAAGACCAATACATCACGATTCATAGCTTCGTTCCTCTTTTGCTATATTATCACTACTATTATTTAATTATTCTTCAGTGATACTAATTGTATATTATAAATATTAGTTCAGTTTTAAATATATAGATATATATTTTACTTTCAAATTATAAATTACCAGTTACTAACACCCGCCAAACAGAGTACTTCAGCAAACAAGAAATGACGTCATACAGACGGTAGTTTCTTATTGGTTGACACTGGCTAACCAATCAGCTCGCGACACACTCGACCGTCCACGTTTTTCAAGCGGTGCCCCAAAAGATTTCACTTAAATCTCGAACAATTTACTACAGTCAATTGTAGTTTCCGACATTATGTTGAAGTATTTAGTTCTACTTAGCACGATCGGCTTTCTTCAAGCCTCAGAGGTCCTCGACTTGACCGATGCTGACTTCGCCGACAAAGTAAAACAGCATGGTATAATGCTTGTAAAATTCTATGCTCCATGGTCTGCATTAGTATAATTAATAATTTATACAAATATAAACTCTGTTAATTGATCAGGTGCGGACATTGTAAGAGACTTGCACCCGAATTTGATAAAGCAGCTTCACTCTTGTCAGCTAACGATCCACCAGTTACTTTGGCAAAGGTAAATATTAAAATGACATAAAAAGTATAAAATAACATTTTTTGGGGTATAAAAGCTTGATTGTACCGTTGAAACAAAAACTTGTGGCAAATACGGAGTATCCGGATATCCAACCTTGAAGATTTTCCGATCAGATCCTGAGAACTCTGAAGATTATAATGGACCAAGAGAACATGGTCAGTTTGCTGTCAACTTTGCTGTAGTTTGCTGTTGTTCGCTGCTTCTCTTTTTTAATTATGCTAATCATTCTTGCTTGTTTTTTACATTATATTCTAGTTCACTAATTCTTGTTTAGTATATCAACAAAATTGCACTAATTGTAGGTTGATTGTACGAGTATGGGAAAGAAAATTTGCTCTAAGTTTGATATAAGGGGTTTTCCCACTATGAAAATATTCAAACGCGGTCAACTCTCAGATGACTACAAGGGGCCGAGAACGTCTGGTGAGACAAAAAAATGCGGGAGGAATAGATTGATATAATTTAACCAACTTTTATTTGATTTTGGACTAGGCAGCTTTTTTCTGTTCTATTCATTATTTTTATATCCCCTTTTGTCTATCTCTAGCTATTAGCAAATACTAAAAAAAGCATATTATTGATCTTAAATACAATTATTCTCTTGAACAGATGGTATCTTCAAATACATGCGCTCCAAGGCTGGACCAAGTTCAAAAAATGTTGAATCAGTTGACGGTATGGAAAGTTTCTTGAAAACTCAAGATGTTACTATTGTTGGATTTTTCGATTCTAATGAAAACGAATTGGCCAAACAATTCTCCAAATTGGCCGATGCAATGAGCGAAGACTTCCGTTTTGGTCACTCTTTCGAAAGTAGTGTTTCTGAGAAATACAGCTTCAGCAACAATATCGTTTTATTCAGACCAAAAAGACTTCAAAGCAAATTTGAAGATGCCCAAGTTAAGTACGAGGGATCTGCTACCATACCTGCCATGAAGGAGTGGGTTAGAGATAATGTCCACGGTTTGTGCGGCCACCGTACAACTGGAAACACCGATCAATTTAAGAACCCTCTGGTTGTTGCTTATTATGACGTTGACTATGTTAAAAACACTAAAGGAACCAACTATTGGAGAAACAGAGTTATGAAGATAGCTAAAGAATTGAATGCAGCTGGGAAGAAAGTCAACTACGCTATCTCCAATAGAGACGATTTCTCTCAAGAGCTCAGCGAATTCGGAATTGAGGCTCCTTCCGATAAACCAGTTGTTGCTGGAAGAAACGATAAGGATCAAAAATTCATTATGGAAGGCGAATTTTCCATGGATAGATTGAAACAATTTGTTGTCGATTTGGTTGATGATAAATTGACTCCTTATTTAAAATCTGAAGCTATTCCAGAAACTAATGAAGAACCAGTTAAAGTTGTTGTTGCTAAAGAATTTGATAAGGTTAACTTAAATTTTTCATTCATTTATATGGCTTTTTTATTAATTTTACATCTTTCTCTAGATTGTTAATGATGACTCGAAGGACGTGCTCATCGAATTCTATGCCCCATGGTGCGGACATTGCAAGAGCCTTGCTCCCAAATACGATGAACTCGCCGGCAAATTAGAAAATGAACCTTCCATAACTATTGCCAAAATGGATGCCACAGCAAACGATGTGCCGAAACCATATGAAGTGCACGGATTCCCAACTATCTACTTTGCCCCTAAAGGTCAAAAAGATAGTCCACGCAAGTACGAAGGAGGAAGAGAAGTTAAAGACTTCCTTAAATATCTAGCTAAGGAATCTACTGATCCTTTAGTCGGATATGATCGTAATGGAAAGAAGTTGAAGAAGAAGACTGAACTATAAATTCACAGAAGTTAGTAATAACAATTAAGTCAATTGTCCATTCTTTTTCATAGGCTTGAGTGGGTTCATATCTAAGGCTGTTTGATAAATATTCAGTTAATTCGTTACTCATATGTCATGAATTAAAATACACTTAATTTTATAAATTTTTCCAATATATTTACAGTCTATAGACTTAAACACATAATATGAAATTCAGATTGTTTTGTTTAACAGATCTAGTTTGCGGATAGAGAAAAAAGCATTAAATAATATCAGTAAATTAAATTCTTTGGTTGCTCCCAGGTAAATTCCTTCCGACCAAAGTGACCATAACAGGCCGTTCTCTTATAAATTGCTGCCTTAAGGTTTAAATCTCTGTAATGAGCAATATTTCATTACAAACAAAAGAAATTTTAACTCTTCCAGACTTACCTGACGATTATTCCAGGACGTAAATCAAAGTTTCGTTTCACAATGTTAATCAAGTCATTATCTGATTTAATTCCAGTTCCATATGAATTTACGAATACTGAAAGAGGTTCTGCAATACCAATGGCATAAGAAAGTTGAACAAGTACTCTTCTACATAGACCAGCTTTAACCAGTGATTTGGCAATCCATCTTGCGGCATAGGCAGCGCTTCTGTCTACCTTCGAAAAATCTTTGCCTGAAAAGGCTCCACCGCCATGTGCCCCCCATCCACCATATGTATCGACAATAATCTTGCGTCCTGTAAGGCCGCATGATCTAAAAGGACCTCTAGTGGCTGCATTGTCCTGTTGTAGATGAAGAACTGTATTTTCGTCGTAAAATTGATTAGGAATTGTCTCTTTAACAATTTTAATAATATCGTTTTTGATCGAATTTTTGTCTCCGCCTCTTTGTTGAACATTGACAACAACCGCCGATACTCGCTTTGGTACGCAGTATCCACCGTTCATGCAGTATTCGACAGTAACTTGAGTTTTTGAATCCGGTAGTGCCCATTTCAACTCTCCCGTTTTTCTCAACTGCGCAATTCTCATATTTAACTTATGAGCTATAACAATTGTCAACGGCATACATTCATCGGTTTCATCAGTTGCGTAACCAAACATTATTCCTTGGTCTCCTGCTCCAATGCTTTCCTCTTCTTTACCTAGATGAACACTCTCGGCAATGTCGGGGCTTTGTTCTTCGAGCGCAGTAATTACGTTAAGTAGTTTATAGTCGCAACCCTGATCACTGTGTGTGTAACCGATCTTTTTAATAGTTTGTCGAACCAACTGTTCATAGTCAACCCGAGCGGTGCTTGATATTTCACCTAATAAGAACACCATACTATTTTGCATAACAGTTTCTGAAAAAAAAAAACAATTTGTGTACTTTTATTTTGACAAAAATAAAAAAACCTAAAAATGACTTATACCGCACGCTACTTTTGCATTTGGGTCTCTTTCAAGGTGGGCATCTAACACAGCGTCACTTATTTGATCGCAGATTTTATCTGTAAGCAAAAAATTAGGAGAGGGCGATAATATGGAAAAATAAAATTTCACAGTAATAAACAACCTGGATTTCCTTCTCCAACACTCTCTGAAGAAAAAAATACTATTTTAGATTGGTTCTCTTTACAATTAGAAATGCTCATGATAATTTTATATTTTCTATCTAAGAGTAGGAAAAAAATTGATTTAAATAGCCTTTGACTATTTTACTGAAGCTATAACAGTTTATTCTGAGGTGAATAACTGACCAATTAACGCCCGCGTTACAGCTGTCCAACAAAAATAAAAATAAAACGAAATTCAATGGTTTAATATTATTGGCGTTTTTCTCTTCGAAGGCTTTGATTTTTACATAAAATTTTATCATTACAAAAGTACAACACTGTGTATTTTCAAGATGTCTGAAACTCCACTCTTATATATGAATTTTAATCAAGATTCGACGTATGAAATTTCCTTGAATTTTTCTTTGTTTTGATTTATATGTTCTGTATTTTTAGGTCACTTGGTGTTGGTATGAAAAATGGTTATCGATTGTATGCTTTCAACGGGGACAAATTGGAATGTATATACGAGGAAGGTAAGAATTGTGTAATCTGTTGATGTGGACTAAGGTGACTCATTGATTACAGCTGAGGAAGAAGTCTATATAGTAGAACGTCTATTTTCATCTTCACTAGTCGCTTTAGTAACTCTTCATTCACCAAGAAAACTAAAGATAAATCATTTTAAGAAAGGAACTGAAATATGCAATTATTCATATTCGAATACGGTATTGAGTGTACGGTTGAATCGAGTTGTAAGTCTATTTTTCAGCTGTTTACTTCAGAGGTATTTTTTCAATTTCTGTTCGGATTTTAGAGATTGGTTGTCTGTCTAGAGGACTCAATCTACATTCACAATATCAGGGATATGAAAGTCTTACATACCATAACTGAAACGCCACGAAATCCAAAAGGAATTATTGCTTTATGCGTTGATAACGAATGTTCTTATTTAGCTTATCCTGGTAATAATCAGTCCGGAGAAATACACGTATTCGATACTATTAATATAAGAAATTTAACAATGATCCCTGCCCACAATTCGACTATAGCTCAACTAGCATTTAACTCTTCTGGATGCCTCCTAGCTACTGCTTCTGAAAAAGGTACCTTGATTCGGGTTTTCAAAATCCCTGACGGTTCAAGACAATACGAATTAAGACGTGGCGTAGCTAGATGTGCTGACATTAACTCACTAAGTTTTTCCAACGATTCCATGTTGTTATGCTGTAGCTCTAACACAGAAACTATACACGTGTTCAAATTGAACCCAGACGAACAGGAAACCGAGCCTAGGCCAGAGGAAGAACATGGTTCCGGTTGGATGGCATGGTTTGGTCAAATGGCGAATAGCGCCTCTACAATGCTTCCAGGGCAAGTTGGTGATATGATGCATCAGAAACGTTCTGTGTACACAGCTAAACTGCCCACTTACGGGAGAAGAAATGTAGCTTGTCTTGCAACAATTTCTGGCGAACCTTCAGTTTTGGCTGCCAGTCAGGACGGCTACCTATACGTCTATAGGGTTCCCCTTGCAGATAAGGGATCTATAGAATGTTCACTGGTCAAGCAACACCGCATCGATGGCAAAAAGGAGGAGGAGACATTGACAGGTAAGGAGATTGATTCGAAAAATCGAACGACTATGAGTTATGCTCAAGTGGTCGGTAAAACGCGTATGGAAGGTAAAAGGAAAGGTAAAACATTGTTAGCAGAATGTTTTCATCCTCATTGAGGTTTTAGCATTCGAGAATCGTAAGAGTATGTCGTCCTTTTGATCACTTCCAGTTAAATTTTTTTTTTTAACACCCCCTCTAACTGAATTTAATCAAGTTCACCCGCTTTAGAGCAATTAACGCGTTACTTCCTTATAGAATGGTATTGTTTCCCATTGGCTTTTTCTGTTTTTTCATCTTCGTATGAATGATGATAACAATTTCGTATGAATGACGTAATATATTTTTAGTAAGCAAACTATAAAAAATCAATTAGTATTTATTATTATACGCATCAAGAAGCACAGGTCGGAACTTGTTATTTATATAATATTTCATATTTTGCTAAGTGATAACAAATTATTACATAACGCTGTAATCGTTAAATGATTTTCTCACACTATATACTCTTTAAGATAAAATAACTTTTAAAAGTTTGCTTTTCTATATTTATCCTTAAAAAATTATTATCATTTATTCGGAAAATGAACGAAACAAAGATGACGCTTAGCCGTGTTTTTTTGTTATTGTTGAATTGTTTGAAATATAATAGTTGGCTTAAAATTTTAACTACTGCCGAAAAAAAAACAAAAAGAAAAGGAAGACAAAAGTTTTGTCAGTCCTACTCTTATTTCCTTTCTCCTCCCTTCCATTAAAAAAATATGTTTTGATGATAACGATGATGATGATAATGACGGCGACGATGACGATGAAAATTATTTTAACACAAAAAAAAAGCAACGTTTTCTTTTTATTTAAAGAATGATATATCAATACTACAGCTGAGAGTGAACTCGAATGCGGATTTATGGAAGTTTGCGAAAAAAAGACTAAAGGTGACCAACAGAATATAGTTAATACGAATGAAATTGCAACTAAGAGTGAACCAATTGAAATTCCTCCTGCTAATTCGGATGAAAAATCTATCATTGCTCAACCATCTTCTATTAGTCAGCAGCCAGCTAAGATAGTTATGGATTGCGAACAGCGTATTTTAAGTCCGAAAGTAGTTTGTTCAATGGAAAATTTGTGCGGAGATTATAATATAGATGAGGATTACTTAAAGAAGGATGTGTGAATGTTTTCTTGAGTGAGAGGTGTGTCGAACTTTGGTTTCAATTTTAATTATCTTTCTTTTGAAACGATTGTCGAATGTTTAAAAATTTTCTGCGGTTAAAAACATTTGCATGAAAAACAAAAATTACTTTTGAAAATAGTTAGCCATGCTGAATTATTATCTTCTCCAGAGAATCAAAAAGGGAATACTGCAGAAGGAACATCAGAAAACGTTCTAAAATTGGATGACCATGAGGAATTTCCGCCGGTATCTGGTTCGTCGCAATAACTTTTAAAAAGGCAACTTTTTAAACTTGTCAAGGTATACTTATATGTGACTCGTACTGAATGTATATATAAATTTGTCTTTGAAAATTAATATATACGAAATTTAAAATGATCTATATATATATAAATATATATATATATGTGTGTGTGTTGACATATATATATAAAAACACCTCTTTGTAATCTACAAAATATTACAGCTACTTCCAGAGTATTTCTGTAAATTAGACTTAGGTAATAATGGTAGTTTATTTTTCTCTAATGATGCAGGAAGAGGAGATTCCCAGTCTGAGGGGGCATCTTTCCTATATTGCCATATGTCATTTTTCTTATATTCTTCTATTTTTTTACGATATCGTTCTCTTTCATTATCAACTAGACTCTCCTTTTTTTAAAATAGATTGATATAAATATATGATTGGTTGTTATAATTTATGTTACGTGTTACTTACGAAGAATTCATATTTTCCCGTATCTTGAAATTTTTTGCAGTTCTCGTAATTCTTTTTCCATTCTAGACAGTCAATCGTTTTGCCGTATATATAATATTGATGAAATCTTGCCCTTAAACCTATAATTTGTTTGTTAATCGTTAATTTCTTATATTAAAAGAGAAAAACTTACTTCGGCATTCCTTATATTCATCCAAATACGCTTCGCAAGACCTTATCTAGAAAAACATTCATTTTTATTCATATCACTCATGTCACACATTCGGAGCAGAATAACAACTTTTTAATACACGACCTTCAGATTATATAATTGATTATTATGTATTTAAATAGCCGTTACGTAATTATTTAATAAAATATTGTCAAAGGATAAATATTTTTCTCATATTATCGTTTAACAACATCTGCCAATAATCTGTTACAATTTAAGTTTTTTATCATGTTTTTAAAATATTGAATATTCTAAGATTATACGAACTGACAAGATATCGATCTCTGAATTTGATTCAACCATTCTTGGAATATAATGATATTGAAGTTATAACCTCAAGTTTAAATGTGTTTTCTTATTAGCGAAATATTCAGTTGCGATTAAATCTGTTATTATTTTACTTTCGGGCAACTTATTTTTTCTTTCAACTTTACTATTTATAGTAAATCCAATTACGCCATTTATGCGACTTTTTAAAAGGGTATTGGGTAGAGGAAATCATTTGGTGCGAAGCTAATTTAACTGGTTGTATATAGCGCCATCTCCTGGATGAAAAGCTTTTGGTTTTCTTTGAAACCATTAGAGACCGAAAGCAGGCAAAAAAAGTCTAATTGAAAACAGGAAAACTGTATTAAATTATTCGCATTTTTCCCTATTAAAAGGTCAAATACTCTCAACTAAAGTAGTTATGAGATTTTTTCTAAATAAAATGAGAGATTATGATCCATCAGATAGAACTTCTCTTATGTTGGATAAAAACTATTGGAAATCGCAGATTATAAGCCATTTTAAAGAAATTATTGAACAAATGCCTCCTATTTTTGACAATTGCAAGGGAGGAATCTATACAGGTTGCGCAGGAGTTGCTTATATGTTTTATTATTTATCAGAAAGGTAAAGGAAAACACACAAAATTAGAATGAATGTATTTGACTTAAAAATTTTCTCAACATAGGGAGACCTTCTCCGAAATTCGGCAAGAATTATTAACAAGGGCAAGAAATTATGCAGAAGTTGCGTTAAGTTACTCTTTAGGAAAGGGTCGCGATCCTGACCATGCTTCATCTTTTATGTTAGACAACGGTGGTGTTTACGTAACTTCAGCTTTAGTATTGGAAAGTTGCGAAGAGCCCGAGTCGAGAGAAAAATTAGTGAAAAAATATAGCGCTCTTTCGCAATTAGTTATGCCACAAATGTTCTTACACACTGGATCAGATGAATTATTCTTCGGTAGAGCAGGATACTTGTGTGGTGCTTTGTTATTAAATAGAAAATTACCAAATTCAGTTCCTGGAAAAATTTTAGACGATGTCTGTAACATGATTATTCAATCAGGAACGTATTACGCCACAAAACATAAGTCACCCTGTCCTCTTATGTTTGCATTTCATGGCAAGGAATACTTAGGTGCCTCCCACGGTTTGAGTTCAATTCTATTCATGCTTATGAGCTGTGGAAAATGGTTTAGTGAGAATCCTTCAAAACAAAGAATAATTAAGGAATGTGTAGACTTCTTACTTTCTAATATGCAGCCTAACGGAAATATTTTACCCCTCTGCCAAGAGTCTAATGATAATCAACTTGACGGTGAGCTCATTCATTGGTGTCACGGAACACCAGGCATTATATACCTCTTTGCAAAATCGTGGTATACCTGGAAAGATGAAAGATACTTAAGAGCGTGTATAATCATAGGAGAATTAGCTTGGCGCTATGGTCTCCTGAGAAAAGGGCCCGGATTATGTCATGGAATAGCTGGATCTGGATATGTGTTTTTATTATTATTTAAACTTACTAACGATGAGAAATATTTATATAGGTTAGTACTTAGTCATTTTATTTACTTCATTAATTTATCTATTCTCGATTAGGGCTTTAAAGTTTGCTGAATTTATCGAGTCTGATGAATCTCGAGAAACATTTTCTCGTCCTGATAATCCTTACAGTTTATTTGAAGGTTTAGCTGGAACTGTATGTTATCTTGCCGACCTCATAGAACCTGCTACGGCTGAATTTCCCTTTTTCAAAATTTAGAAGTAGTTATTTTTCACTTGGACGAATACAATTATTAGAATAAATACGAACCTTTAGAGTATAAAAATTCTTTTTGTAGAGTAATCTTAATAAAGTCTCCTTTCCAGCCAGATCTGAGAATAAACAGTTTCATATTAATTTTTGTTTTGAATTAGGATAAACACTATAGTAATCACATAAATATTGGCTGGCTACAAGCTTTTCAGAGAATTTAATGTTCTCGAACTCCAAAATTTTATTGGCGCCAAGATTTTCTTTTTTCTGGTATTATCACCCAATTTTGCGTTGTTATTTTTTTTTGAATCAGTTATTTATAATGGCTGAGGTAATGTTTGAGTTGGAAGATTCAGAGATTCCCAAAGATTTACTTTCACAGTTGGAGGATTATTTTCGCGTTGATATAAAGTGTAAAAACGGAATCAAGAATATTTTAGAGGAAGATGACCCAGATGCCCATTATGCTTTAAATATATATGCTGTTGATCTATTTCTAGCTTGTGAAGATACTCTAGATGCTCTAACCGACGAACCTTTTGTTCTCTTATATGCTTGTATGATTGCTATTCGAAATGTTGAAAGAGAATTCTTAGAAGAAGAAGATTCTAAGAATTACGTTTTCAAAAAAAATGTACACGGTCGAATATTTGGTTTATTGACTACTTCGACTTTTCATCGAGAGGTTATGCCCAAAACGAAAGACGTTGGTCAGTTTTTTGGATTGTGTGGAACTATTACTAGAACTTCGAATGTTAAATTGTTACCTCTGGAGAGAGAAGTGAAATGCTCTAAATGTCAAACATCGTTCGATATTCCTCTATCAATTGGCAATTGGTTTATGCAGAAGAAACCTAAAAGGTGTAAAAATGGGTGCAAGAGCTGGAATCTGTCATTTACAAATCAGCACGAACCTGACCGCAGCAAGTCTACAAATTTTCAAGAAGTCAAGATGCAAGAAAATGCCACATCAGTGGGTGTGCCTAAATCGATAGAAATAATTCTTTTAGATGATTTGGTTGATTGCTGTAGGCCAGGTGATGATGTGAAAATTTGCGGAATTCTTATGAGAAGAACAAGAAATTTTCAGGTTGATAATAGGCCGGATATTGATTTTGTATTTTTAGCTAATCACATTGAATTTCGACACCCACAACGAAATTCTGTAACCATGACTAGCGAATTTGGTAGAAAATTTACAGAATACTGGAAAGAATATGAAGAAAATCCTTTCGAGGGCCTTAATCTGTTGTTGAAAAGCGTATGTCCCCAGATATATGGAATGTATGTTGTCAAACTTGCTTTATTGCTAGTGATAATTGGTGGTGTTCGACAAGAAAGAGATGTCGTTCATACGAGAGGTCAATCGCATATGCTCCTAATTGGAGATCCTGGAACAGGGAAATCTCACCTTTTGCAATGGGCAACAAGAGTTGTACAGCGATCTGTTAGAACCACAGGGATTTTTTCATCAGGAGCAGGTTTGACGGCCGTAGCAGTTAGGGAAGGTTCGGAGTGGACATTGGAGGCTGGAGCACTGGTTCTTGCTGACAAAGGCATATGCTGTGTTGATGAGCTATCAACGATGTCTGAGAACGATAGGACTCTATTACACGAAGCTATGGAACAACAAACAGTTAGCATAGCGAAAGCAGGAATAGTATGTAAACTCAATACACGAACTTCTCTAATAGGGGCAACAAATCCAAAACACGGAAAGTACGATTGGGATTTATCGCTGTCTCTAAACGTAAATATGTCTACTGCCCTTCTGTCTAGATTTGATGTTATATATGTTCTTTGTGATGATTTAACACCTGACTGGGTAGAAAAGAAAAGTAAACACATTATAAAATCAAAGATCCAAGCCCACAATATCGGTTTACAACTAAAAAAAAACGAAGATGAAGTGTGGTCAGTGGAAAATATTAAGGCCTACTTAATGTACATTAAGGAAGAAATGAAACCTGATGTATCAATTCCTGCTGCAGAAGTCATGAAAGCGTACTATAGACATGTAAGGAAAAATTCTCAGCATCGTGGAAAAGATACTGGACAGGCTACTCTTCGTTTCTTCGAATCTTTGATTCGCTTAGCAAAAGCACATGCAAAGCTCATGATGAAAACTCAAGTTGACGTTGTTGATGCTGTGATGGCAATATACGTCATTGATCTATCGATATGCGGTCGATCCATAATTAGAGATGGAACTAATGTGGTGACAACAAATATTCCAGTTGATGCTAAGGCATCATATTTAGAATTAGCCAAAACAATTCTAGGACATTTAAAATTTCACAGCTATCTCGAAGAGGAGCTACAGAGGTGGAAATAGTTTTGTAATTTTATTAAAAAGTGTCATATTTTACTAGCAAAACTTTTCAAGTTTTAAATGGCTATGAATGTTTTAAAAATAAAATTTTTTATAGTTTCAGCTTAAAGTTTTTGGCCACCAGATGGCAGTTAGTTTTAGAACAATTTGCTTTTATTCTTTTTGACCTTGACCGAGGAGAGGTCGCCCGGTATTGGAAATATAGTCTAAAACAGCTCTTTTCATGGTTTTCAGAAGTAGAATACCTCGAAACCAAATATATTTTGTTCTCGCCCTCGGATTTTTATCAGGGTACTATATCTTCAACGAGCCTTTAAGAAAATATTCGAACAAAAGCGTTTCTCTTGAGAGCAATAAATCGTCTGATGAAAAGTGAACTAAAATGAAACCTATTTTGAAAAAAATAGTCCTCTATTCAACAACAATTTTGACTTCTGGTATTCTGTTTGTAACAGGCATTCTACCAGAATGGCAACGACGCCAAAAAATTCAGCAGCGGCACGAGCTAAACAAAATTCTTCAAAAGCAATATGGAGACTCTTACCAGCCGTTTTCTATTCAAAACTATATAAAAACAGTTGACGATAAAAATACAATAGATAAAAAATAACATTCAAAAAAATTGTTCCGTTCTTAGAAGCTCTACAAGAATCAATTTCTTAAAAGTAGACAAGTTTCTATTGGCATAGCTCCTTTGATGCCATGATGTAGCTAAGCATAAGCCTCACTTTCATTATGTTTAATAATTCATTTAATACGAAATTCGAACCATATTAATGCTTTGAAATAATATGGCAAACACTAAAGCAAGTAAGCCGGCAAAAGAAGTTATCGCAAGTTGGTATATATTAGTGTAAAACATTTCATCACATTTTAGACGAAAATTACTGTCGATTAAACCTCTAATCATTCAAAATAACACACCACACCTGTTCCTGCAATTATCAGAAATTACTTCAAAAGTAAAAATGAAAAAGAGAGTGGTTATTTGACAAATATGTCTCGGATTATAACTTTAGTCGTTTTCACTTTTCTTGGTAGGTAAGTTTTCTTTATTCTAATTTTGTAAATAACTTAAAACTTGATACAGGGGAAAGTCTATCTCAAGAGGATTCATGTAAAGGTCGATGTACCGAATCCTACTTTCCTGGAAAACCTTGTTACTGCAATGACAACTGCGACAAATATGAAAATTGTTGTTACGATTTTTTTAAGGAATGCAAAGGTATAAATTTTGGAAAAAACGGTTCTTTTATTTATAGAAATACAGTGGTAAAATATATTTTGATACTATCATTGTTTCTTTCTCCTATTTACAAGACGGTGTTATTGTCGATGATTGGGTTTCTTATCATGGAAATCAGTATAAACTATTTCATCAAGGAGTTACTGCATATGCAGCAAGAAAATTGTGTAAAGAAAAGGGAGCTTTGCTTGTTAGTTTGAATACTTTAAGTGAATTTAATTACATTTCGGATCGAGTTCTTCAAAGAAGAGTTTTAACTCTTGCAATTGGAGGAAATGATGAAAAAGAAGGTTCACTTTTAATCAAAATTCAAAATATAGAAATGAATAAATTGCAATATGAAACATTAATTAATTGTAGAAGGAAAATGGAAGTGGGAAGACGGATCCTCTATGCCTATACTTTCATCTCCGTGGCATGAGTGGTTTGAAGGAGAACCAGATAACAAAGGAGGAAAAGAAAATTGTCTTTTGCTTACTAACTACCTATGGTGGGTTCCAGGTGTGAAGCCAACTATACCTCGTTATGCTTGGGTAGACTATTATTGCGATATTAATATGGAGAAAGAAATCCAAGGATTCATTTGCGAACGTAATAACTATAATTGGCGGAAGGGCGTATTACAATTAATATAGAAGATCATGTCTTTTTTTAGGAACTTTGGCGTGCGATTCTTCACCTTGCAAAAATAATGGATCATGTATTTATGTTGGTGGTGAAAATGAGTTTGAGTGTATCTGTAAAGAAGGAACCGTTGGAGATCGATGTCAATACAAAGGTTAATGGAGTGAATAGGCAGCATTTAAATAAGAATGATATTGATTGTTTGTTTATTAGAACCTAAAGAAGGATTTTGGACATATTGCGGTGAAACGAATTTGATATCGACAAACGGCGAGATAAAATCACCACTGTTCCCAAAACTCTATCCAGCGAATGTAAGATGTATATGGAATGTGACAGCTCCTCAAGGAACAACTATTTCTTTCACGTATGATTTTTATAGATAGATTTAGATATAAAAATTTTTTTGAATGATTTGATTTGACGATTTAATATGAAAACGAAATGGTTTAGTAATTTTATATAAAATGAAATATAACTTTACTTAACATGTTTAAAATTCAATTTTTCCTTCTAATTTGATAATGTCGATGCAGCATTAAAGATTTAGATCTAGAAGAAGATAAAAACTGTCGATACGATTATTTAAAGATAGAAGACGGACTAACGAATGAGGTCTTGTTGGATAAAACATGTGATTCAAAAGAGAGTTTTAATAGCAAAAGGTTGGAACCTTTCAGTAGTCAAACGAACTACGCAAAAATTATATTTGCTACTGACGAATCGAGACACTTCGGAGGATTTGTTATTGAATATGAACAGCAAGGTAAGACTGCCTGTTATGAGAATATGTGTTTTATTGAACTTATTTTCATTAGCTTGTGGTTTGGGAATTGGGAATTCTGGTTGCGGGACTAAAAGATCATTTACGTCAAAATGTGGTAGCTTTGAGGTGGATCAGAAATCCGAGAGGAGCACTTGCGATTGGTTGATAACAACTGATACTAATCACAAGATAAATGTGTCTTTTATCCAGTTTAATATCCCAGATGGAGGTAGAGATTGTTCGTCGAATTATCTGGGTAATTTATATAAAGTTTGCTTTTGAAGTATTGGGAGTGGCTTAAAATATTAAATCTTTTTGCAGAACTATTTGACGGTCCGGATTCTTCCTCTACAAGAATTGATAAGTACTGTGGTAAAATGTACGATTGGAATATAGAAACCGTAACGAATGTGCGTGCTTAGGCAAATATAGGAAGTGATTACTAGCTATACATTTTTCAGACTTTGTACTTAAAATTGAACACTCCTGATTGGGAAGTGGGTAGACACAAATTTTCTCTTGATTACTTATCAATTGGTGGGCTTATTTTTATCATTTTGCAATTAGTTTAAATATATAATCCTTCGTTAGATGAAAAGAAATGGAAGCGTTTAGGGCCTATTCAACAACGATTGGCTAGAAGCGGCACAATCTCATCAAACTTAGATCAAGCTGTTATAGAAACGGAGAATGAAATTATATATAAATGGATATTGAAAGTCCGCATAGGTGAGAAGATGGTAGTAAAATGGAAATTTGAATGTATCGATTGTCAAGCAAGACTCCAAGTAAATATTATTTTTATAAATATTACAAACCCTTTGCAATTACATTTTGCCATAGATGTTTGATGGCCATTCCGAGCACTCTAAGTTGATCGAAGAGCATCAAGATACTGACTTAATCGATACAAATGCTACTACGTTAAATGGACAAGTTAATCCAAACTCCTTTCAAACCCTCATCATTTTTACGAAAAATAAAAATAAGGGATACGCTGTATTCGATGCCTCTTTTAATATGATAGGTATACGTTTAAAGATAACAAGAAATAGTCATTCACTATATCGAACTTAACTATTTAGAGTGGATTCCGCAAGTATCAGGATGCTACCGCCCTCTATACTATGACAATCCAAAAAGTAAAGCTACAGAAAATGAATTGGTATCTGTTCTGGAACCTATTGTTGTTATGGCAAGTAACAATTCGTATGATAGTTTAAATGCTGGATATGACGAGGGATTGTATTGCAAATGGTTAATTAGAGCTGGCGATCCAAAAGAAAAATTACAGTTAACAATATTAAATGCGCTTTTACAACCGCAGTCAAAAAATTGTGATGATGATGGATTTGTTGTTTATGATGGTTATAGTACAGCATCAACTAGACACGGTGAATAATATGAACACAATAGACAATTTTTAATGTCTTTTTACAGGCCCTTTTTGTGGATCTCAGAAGTTTATGGAGAATATTATAAAATCGACATCTGATAAATTGTTAATTGTATTTTATTCTGACTCAAGGGGTTTTAGGAGAGCAAATGGTATCCTGAGAGGACTTGTTACCGTTTCAGGTTAACTTTTGTTGCTTATATATATATCAGGAGAAACTAAAAATTTTCCACAGATATGGGAAACTGTAAGGTATGGGAAAAAGAGAATCCTGGTTCATTTGTCATCAATTCGGAATGCGGAACTATTCTCTCTCCATCCTTTCCTGGCAAGGTAGCTAGGGGTTCCTGGGTTATGGAGATAAATGTTGAATTGGGATCGTACATAGAATTCCAGTTACTCTATGCAAGAGGTCCAGGGATTAGCACAGACTGTAATGTTTATGTTAGATGTAGGTTTCATTGGCAATATTCATTTCTACACCCTAAAAATATATTCTTTAACAGTGAGAGAGTTAACTCGTCAAAAGCAAAAAAAAGCACAACAGGAGACAGATATACTCAAACTCTGTTCTGAAGTGAAATTAATCATTCCGACAAGAAAATATTTTGTAAAAAGAAACTAAAAATATACAGAATAAATATTAAAACTTTTCATCATAGGTACCAAGTCAGCGGGGAAGTATTGAATTGAATACTTTACTCAGCAACGTAAAAATGCAATGGGAATTTAAAATATCTTATAGAACTGTTCCTCTAATGAAGCCGGAAAATTTAAATTTATGTATGTAGAAAAGATGAAACTTATAACAATTCATATTTATTAAATACAAACAGCTCCACCACCTACAATATGTGATAAACGAAATGATACTGATTACGTTATAAATTATGAAAATCATTGTTATTACTATTATTCATGGGTGTTTAGACATTATTTAAAAGAAAAATACAGTTTTCAAGTTAGTTGGCAGAAAAGTCAAGCACATTGTGAAAGCTTTGGCGCTTCTCTGTTATCAATCTTTGACAATGCTGAAGCGGAAATGTTAAAATATGCATTTTCAACAAAATGGTTCTGGGATCCTATTGCCAACTTTCAAGTAAACCACAGAGCAATATTTATAGGATTAGAAAACAAGGAAAATATATATAAATGGAAAGACAGCACACCTCTAGGGTCAGTTCAAAAAACGTAAAAATATATTTTAATTAAATCGTCTATTATTAAAGTTATTCAGACTGGTTTGGCAAAACAAATCAATATGAACAGGGCATAATAACCGATGACAGCTACTTGAAAGATGTTGTATCATTTAAAAATCCTCAACCTACAGCAGATGTAGCAAGCCTGTGCACTATAATGATTCTAATCAACCCAAAGAAACCATTACATTGGGCAAAAATTCCCTGTGACTATCCTATGTTTCGCGCAGGACAAATTTGTAAAATGCCCGACAAAAAACCTCATGAACAGTCATGGGAACCAAACAAAGAAATTCGTTTTTATAACCAAAAGTCTCTTCAAGGTTGCCTTGAAGGATGGTTTAAAATGTCAAACTATTGCTTCCAAATGCATACTGTGTATAATACATTAAGTGAGCAAAATGAACAAACAATTCAACCTTTCAATTACACTGAGGCGGAGGATATGTGTAAAACCAAAGACGCTTTTATGGCAAAAGTGGATATTTTTAACTTCGAGAAACTGAAAAATTATTTAGAAATTTGGAAATATAGACCAGAATATGAAGGAATTTGGTTAGGTAAAAATAATGAAAACGATTTACAGTGTCCTTATATAAAAGCCTATAAGAACCACGATCAAGATGAAGAAGTATTGTACGAGAAAATGATCGTCGATTGTAACAAAACACCAAACGAAGCACCACTGCTAGGCAGTGTTTTATGCGCGACTAAAACGAAGCAACTGAGCGAAGAATGTGGTGAAAATGAGTTCAAGTGTAATGATGGGTCATGTATATTAACAGACTTTTTTTGTGATGGAATTGAGGACTGTAAAGATGGAAGTGATGAAGTACAATGCAGTAAGTGCTCTCTTAATTTAATATCAAGCTATACTTCAAGGAAATCGTAATTATTATTCTAAATTAAGAAATTCATGCAATACAAAATTAATGACGATATTTAGACTAATAATACAAAATCATATTCAGAATGTGGGCAAACAGAGTTCAAATGTCAAAATGGAAAGTGTATATCTCTCTCTCTAAGATGTAACTTTATTGATAATTGCGGAGATAATAGTGATGAGGATTGCGGTAAATATGCACTTAAATATTTCATGAATATTTCAGTATTGCGGAGTGTAATTTGTTTCATCACTTCGTAAACAGTACATGAACAATGTTCAAGCAGTGAGTTTATGTGTACGAATGGAGAGTGTATAGATAAACTACTCGTATGTGATCTAAAGGATAACTGTAAAGACGGAAGTGACGAAACTTCGACACTATGCGGTAAGAACACGATTCAAATATGCCAAACGAACAAAACATTTTTAGTTAACATTTACATGCAATTATTAATGATTTAAAACAAATGAAGTGGAAATAATTGGGAAATTTAAATGTCAGAGGGATCGTGCAACGGATTTTTGTGTTTCTCTGGAAAATGTATTGATTCAAAGTTGAAAAAGGACCTAATAGCTGATTGTCCCGGTCTTTCTCAAGAGGATGAAAAAGAAACGGCAGTTTTCACAATATGGGATGTATATGAATCGAGAGTAAATGAAACAAAAGAAGTATTAGGTTGCTCGCCAATGGAAACATACAAATCTCAGTGTCGAACAGGTCACGAATTTTGCTTTGATCGATCAAAAGCCTGCATATATGATACAGAAATAAACTCTGGTTCTCTCCTACAAAAAACTTGTCGAGATGGTTCTCACTTAGGGAAGCATTGTTCTTCTATTGAATGTCCTGGCATGTTTCATTGTCCAAAGAGTTATTGTATACCTTATAGAAAGATGTGTGATGAAAGTAAAGGTCGATACTCCTTTTTCTTATATACTGAAACATACGCAGAACACTATATAGATGATAAAATGTTTCCATTTTTACAGATTGTCCGGGAGGGGAAGATGAGGTTGGCTGTAAGAACTATACTTGCGAAAGTAAGCTAAAGTCAGTACTGAAACTTCGCATTCGTCATTAACTGTGTGATTTTTTAAGATTTATTCAAGTGCAAAGGTGGAAATTTTTGTATAAATCATGAAGAAGTCTGTGATGGTAAAATAGATTGTCCAAAGTATGGAGATGATGAAACTTACTGTGAAGACTTAGGTACGTTTTCAAATATAAGATGTTTTTATGTTTGAGACGTCTTTTATGACGCTAGCTTGTAAAATATTATTAAGACAAAAATGTTAGCCTATACAATCAAAGTTTGATATCGCATACTGTTGTATTATTTAGATCCACTGTGCGACGTTGACGGATGCAGCTGTCGCGGGAAAATTATCGAATGTTCGAATAGTAATGTGACGTCATTTCCGATATATACTAAAAGAAAAACGCGGCAAGTCAGAGCACTAGTTCTCTCCTATAATTCTATTGATGTTCTGAAGTATGATATGCTAAGAAAGTTTCACTGGCTAATAAAGCTAAACTTGAGTCGAAATTCAATAAGTGATGTACAGCCTTTAGCATTTAGTGATCTAAAGAACTTGGGCGAGCTGGATCTCAGTTTTAACAATTTGAGGACTTTAGATAGTAATACATTTACGGGTTTAAGGTCATTGGTTAGACTGGACTTGAGCAATAATTTTCTATCAACCTTGAGACAAGAGTTTCTAAATCCTTTCACGAATATACAACATCTAATTTTAATCGAGAATCAGTTGAATGATGTTAGTAAGAATGCGTTTTCATCTTTAAAGAACCTTGAGATTTTGAATACAGATGCATTTAAGTTTTGTTGTATTGCTACCAACGTGAAAAAGTGCACTCCAGAGCCTGATGAATTTTCGAGTTGCGAAGACCTTATGGCTAATTACGCTTTGCAGATTAGTATATGGGTATTGGGATTTTGTGCTTTTATCGGAAATTCATTTGTTGTTGCGTGGAGAATTAAAACCGACAGACATAGAGTATCATCTTTTTTCATATTGAATTTAGGAATTTCTGATTGGATGATGGGCATTTATATGCTAATTATCGCCTCTGTTGACATGAAATATCGTGGTGAATATATTGTTCACGCAGATTCATGGCGTGAAAGTGCCCTATGTCAATTCGCTGGTATCTTGGCAATGTTATCGTCAGAAGTGAGCGTCTTTATGTTGACTGCAATCACAGTTGACCGTGTGATTGCCATAAATTTTCCATTGAAAGGAGGTATTCGAATGAAAAATGCAAAAATTGTTGTGCTTTTTGGTTGGCTCGTTTGTTTCCTGCTAACAATCATTCCCGCAACAAAGATCTCGTATTTTGGAGAATCATTTTTTGGTCGCACGGGTGTTTGTTTACCATTTCAGATGTCCAACAAGAAAGTCGCCGGATGGGAGTACTCCTTGTTGATATTTCTTGTTTTGAATCTAGCATCATTTGTGGTGATATTTTTGAGCTACGTGTCAATTTTCGGAGTTGTGAAGTCGTCAATGGACGAAATGGGGAAAAACTCTACTAAAAGTGGGAATGAATACGATTTGGCTAAGAAACTTGTACTAATAATAGCAACTGATTTTATGTGTTGGGTCCCTATTATACTGATTGGTTTCGCGGCTTTGGGAGGAGTACAGATACCGGCGGTTGTCTCGGCTTGGATTGCTGTATTCGTTTTACCTTTGAATAGCGCAATGAACCCCATTTTGTATACGTTTTCTGCAATGGATTGTGGAAAGTGGGTATTGGTTTTTTTTTCTTTTCATTTCTATAGCCTTTTTGTTTTTAGGAAAAAGAAAAAAGCTAAGACTGTTACCACCGTGTCAATGGCTCCACAAATTTCGAAGAAAGCCCCAAGTAACCATGTTTAATTGTGACGGCTTTTTTGGTTTTAACACTTCGCATTCTATTGTTTTGTCCTCTCTTGGTTTTATAATTTTAAGCTCTTTGTTGTTATATATACACGAGATACTTGTTGTTTGTTGTCAGGTATAAGTGAAAAATGTTCTTTAACCATTAAAATATAATAGTGTCCTTAATACAAAAATGTATGTAAACGTAAAGAAATGTATAAGAAATGTCAAAAAGTCAATAGGAAAATTAAATATTTTTCTAAGCTTTTATAAGTTGTGTCATTTCCTGTTATTATTATAATGTTTTTTATTTCCTGTTTGTTAAAACAGCAAGCATAACAATAAGATTCTGAAGTTTATTTTTATTATTTTTATGGATCAGATGACTAATGATTTATTTTATTGATAATAATGTGGGAAAAGTGTTTCTTTTTGAAAAGCATTTGCAGATAGACAGTGGAATTTGATTGGTATAAAATGTACTACAAAGCATCGAATGGAAAAATTGATAAAGTTTTTTATAGACACAAGAGTAGATAAAAGATTTTTGCTCCTGATTAGAGAATATTACATTTCTGGTGTTAAAAGGATTGGCTGACTTTAAAAGTCGAGAAATCACGCCAACTCTCCAGAAGCCATGATGAAATTACCTTTATTATATTTGTTTTTGATTTTCCGTTTGTATTTAGCAAAACTATACAAACAACTTTATTGAATTTTCTTTCAGACGTTTCTTTTTCCGAAGATTCGTCTTGTGCAGGACGATGTGCAGAGTCTTACTTTCCTGGAAAACCTTGTTACTGCAATGATAATTGCGATAGATTTGAGAATTGCTGCTATGATTTCTTTAAACAGTGCAAAAGTAGGTAACCATAATATTTTACTTTACTTTTAATTTTTTTTGATACTATCATTGTTTCTTTCTCCTATTTACAAGACGGTGTTATTGTTGATGATTGGGTTTCTTATCAAGGAAATCAGTATAAGCTATTTCATCAAGGAGTTACTGCATACGCAGCAAGAAAATTGTGTAAAGAAAAGGGAGCTTTGCTTGTTAGTTTGAATACTTTAAGTGAATTTAATTACATTTCGGATCGAGTTCTTCAAAGAAGAGTTTTAACTCTTGCAATTGGAGGAAATGATGAAAAAGAAGGTTCACTTTTAATCAAAATTCAAAATATAGAAATGAATAAATTGCAATATGAAAAATTAATTAATTGTAGAAGGAAAATGGAAGTGGGAAGACGGATCCTCTATGCCTATACTTTCATCTCCGTGGCATGAGTGGTTTGAAGGAGAACCAGATAACAAAGGAGGAAAAGAAAATTGTCTTTTGCTTACTAACTACCTATGGTGGGTTCCTGGGATAAAGCCAACTATACCTCGTTATGCTTGGGTAGACTATTATTGCGATATTAATATGGAGAAAGAAATCCAAGGATTCATTTGCGAACGTAATAACTATAATTGGCGGAAGGGCGTATTACAATTAATATAGAAGATCATGTCTTTTTTTAGGAACTTTGGCGTGCGATTCTTCACCTTGCAAAAATAATGGATCATGTATTTATGTTGGTGGTGAAAATGAGTTTGAGTGTATCTGTAAAGAAGGAACCGTTGGAGATCGATGTCAATACAAAGGTTAATGGAGTGAATAGGCAGCATTTAAATAAGAATGATATTGATTGTTTGTTTATTAGAACCTAAAGAAGGATTTTGGACATATTGCGGTGAAACGAATTTGATATCGACAAACGGCGAGATAAAATCACCACTGTTCCCAAAACTCTATCCAGCGAATGTAAGATGTATATGGAATGTGACAGCTCCTCAAGGAACAACTATTTCTTTCACGTATGATTTTTATAGATAGATTTAGATATAAAAATTTTTTTGAATGATTTGATTTGACGATTTAATATGAAAACGAAATGGTTTAGTAATTTTATATAAAATGAAATATAACTTTACTTAACATGTTTAAAATTCAATTTTTCCTTCTAATTTGATAATGTCGATGCAGCATTAAAGATTTAGATCTAGAAGAAGATAAAAACTGTCGATACGATTATTTAAAGATAGAAGACGGACTAACGAATGAGATCTTGTTGGAGAACATTTGCGACGCGAAAGAAAGTTTTATTAAAAGAAGTCTTGAGCCAATAACGGGTAGGAGTAATGAAGCCAGAGTAATCTTTGTCACTGATGATACTCAACACTTCGGGGGATTCAGAGTTTCTTATGAAGAACAAAGTAATTATCTAGAAATAAATAAGTGCGTACAACATATTTTTAGTGATATATTTGTAGAATGTGGTATCGGTTATGGGCTGTCTGGTTGTAAAAGCAGCAAATATTTTACTTCTAACTGTGGTATTATAGAGATTAACGACGGTCCGCTAAATAACACTTGCGAGTGGATCATAAACGTGGCTGATAACTCTTTTATAAATGTTACTTTTAAAAATTTCTATATTCCAGAGGGAGGAAGCAATTGTTTCCTTAATAGCTTAAGTTAGCTTAACTTTTTTGTACGCTATTGTATTTATCTTAATTTAATATAGTTGTTTTTTCATAGTGGTATTTGATGGAAATGCTTCATTTTATCCATTAATTGCTAAAAATTGCGGGAAAATGTTTGATTGGGAAGTGTTTAGTACAAAAAATGTAAGTTTTTAGTTACATGATCGGTGCATTTATAGTTCCTTTTTTTCGAAGATCGTGTATATTAAATTAAACACTTCTGATTGGATTTATGGAGTACATCACTTTTCTATGTTTTTCTCAGCGAAAAGTTATTTTTAATCATTTTTGTTAAAGAGAAATGTATGATACGAAAATATTTTTAGATTCCACTTCATGGAAAAAAAGAAATTCCCTCATTATTCGGGAAGGAAAATTTGGCACAATATCTAGTGAGAAAGACAACGTATACATAGAGACGGAAGACGATTTAGTTTTCTCTTGGATGATTAAAGTCGCCTTTGGGGAAAAAATGAAACTAAGCTGGATTATAAATTGTTTTGATTGCATTTTTAGCCTGAAAGTACTTAATTCACACACTTTTTTCTTTGCTGTAGCTTCCCTTTTTTCTCATTAGATATTTGACGGTTATTCTGAACATTCTAAATTAGGTGTTTTAAGGAATGAATCTGATCTTGTACAACGAAATTCAACTCTAATTGAGGATGTTTTTGAGCCAAATTCATATCAAAGTTTAATAAAATTTTGGTTAAGAAAGGGTGTTGGTTACTATTCTGGCTTTACAGCAAATTTTACAGCCACAGGTAAACTGAAAGAGTAAGTGGATCTTTGTAATCATGCAGTATATAAAAAAATTACCACAGAATGGACTCCAATTTATTCAGGCTGCTATCGTCCTCTTTACTATTCTAATCCTAATAGTAAAGCAACCGAAAATCAAATGGTTACCTTGCAAGAACCTGTTATTATTATGGCGAGCAATCAATCTGACGACAGTCTAAAACCAAGTTATAGTCATGGTTTGTACTGTAAGTGGCTCATACAAGCAAAAGGTCAGTTTGAGAGACTACGCTTAAAAATATTAAATGCCCGCTTACAACCGCAAACGAGAGACTGCGATTATGATGGTTTTGTTGTTTATGATGGAAATAATACCGAATCGATAAAGCATGGTAATTAATGTCCAATTACTTATAAGTCACATCAAAAGCTTTTATTAAACTGTTATTCATACAATATAAGAATCGAGACATATATTTTTAGGATTAGGAAATGTATTTGCTTGTTGCCTCTTGAAGATTAAAGGATTAAAAACTCATTTGTGTTAGGTCCCTATTGCGGTACAGATGATTTCCTAGATCAAGTTATTATTTCTTCATCAAATCAGTTGTTAGTAGTCTTTTATTCGGATTCACGAGGGACAAGAAGACTTAATGGAATATTTCGAGCATTGATCTCCTTGTCAGGTAAAACCATCATAGAATATTTGAGTCTTTCATCTCTATATAACTGATTTGCAGACACGAGAAACTGTGAAATAGTGGAAAAACAGTCCCCGGGAACTATTAATATAGATTACCCTTGTGGTACTTTATTATCCCCATTATTCCCTGGAAAAGTTACGATGGCATCGTGGGTTTATGAAATAACAGTAGAAAAAGAGAATTTTATTGAACTGCAAGTTTTATATATCAGGGGACCAGTAATAGAAATGAATTGCGCCTCCTACGTAAAAAGTTTGTGTTGTAATCATTTTTTACAATCTTACATTTCTTTCCGTTAGTTAAAGAATTAACTAGACAAAAGCAGAACAAAATGCATCAGGAAGTTGACATAATAAAATTGTGTTCAGAGAATGGCCTTTTCATACCGAAAAAGAAATATATAGTAAAACTATCTTTTTCTTGAAATTTATACAGTTAATCAAAAAATATACAGATACCAAGTCAAAGAGCAAGCATTGAATTAAATACTTTACTAAGCAATGTTAAATTACATTGGGAATTTAAAGTCTTTTACAGGACTATAGAAATAGATAAACCATTTGGCTTAACACTTGGTATTAAACCATACAGAATAATCAATAATATATAATTAGCATTGATATTTATGCCAGAACCAGAAGGGTCCCTCTGTGAGAAGAGAAAGAAGACAAGTTATGTTATTCATTATAACAATCATTGCTACTATTATTATAACTGGGTTTTTCGCCATTACAAGAAAGAAGAGTATAATTTTCAAGAAACTTGGCAGAAAAGTCAGGAGTATTGTAACAGCTACAATGCAAATTTAATTTCAATTTGGGATGAACAAGAAGAACAAATAATAAAATACGCTTTCACAAAGCCCTGGTTCTGGGATCCACTTGCAAGTTTCCAAATAAATCATAGAGTAATATATATAGGGCTCAAAACACTTAACCACGAAGGCTTATGGCGAGATGGAACAGCTTTATCGTAAGAAGTAAACAACAATTTGACAGTAATTAAATTTATTCATACAGTTATACAGATTGGTATAAGCCGAGAAACCCTATAGAGCAAAACATAATAACTAGTGACAGCTACTTAAAAGACGTGATTTCCTTTAAAGATCCACAACCAACTTCCGATGCAGCTAGCTTATGTTCAGTTATGATTATTACAAATCCAGCTGACAATCTCCATTGGGCAAAAATTCCCTGTGACTATCCAATTTTTCGCGCAGGACAAATTTGCAAAATGCCCGACAAAAAACCTCATGAACCATCTTGGGAACCAACCACAGAAATTCGTTTATATAACCGAAAGAAACTTCAAGGCTGCCTAAAAAATTGGTTTAAAATGTCACACTATTGCTTCCAAATGCATACTGTGTATAATACATTAAGTGAGCAAAATGAACAAACAATTCAACCTTTCAATTACACTGAGGCGGAGGATATGTGTAAAACCAAAGACGCTTTTATGGCAAAAGTGGATATTTTTAACTTCGAGAAACTGAAAAATTATTTAGAAATTTGGAAATATAGACCAGAATATGAAGGAATTTGGTTAGGTAAAAATAATGAAAACGATTTACAGTGTCCTTATATAAAAGCCTATAAGAACCACGATCAAGATGAAGAAGTATTGTACGAGAAAATGATCGTCGATTGTAACAAAACACCAAACGAAGCACCACTGCTAGGCAGTGTTTTATGCGCGACTAAAACGAAGCAACTGAGCGAAGAATGTGGTGAAAATGAGTTCAAGTGTAATGATGGGTCATGTATATTAACAGACTTTTTTTGTGATGGAATTGAGGACTGTAAAGATGGAAGTGATGAAGTACAATGCAGTAAGTGCTCTCTTAATTTAATATCAAGCTATACTTCAAGGAAATCGTAATTATTATTCTAAATTAAGAAATTCATGCAATACAAAATTAATGACGATATTTAGACTAATAATACAAAATCATATTCAGAATGTGGGCAAACAGAGTTCAAATGTCAAAATGGAAAGTGTATATCTCTCTCTCTAAGATGTAACTTTATTGATAATTGCGGAGATAATAGTGATGAGGATTGCGGTAAATATGCACTTAAATATTTCATGAATATTTCAGTATTGCGGAGTGTAATTTGTTTCATCACTTCGTAAACAGTACATGAACAATGTTCAAGCAGTGAGTTTATGTGTACGAATGGAGAGTGTATAGATAAACTACTCGTATGTGATCTAAAGGATAACTGTAAAGACGGAAGTGACGAAACTTCGACACTATGCGGTAAGAACACGATTCAAATATGCCAAACGAACAAAACATTTTTAGTTAACATTTACATGCAATTATTAATGATTTAAAACAAATGAAGTGGAAATAATTGGGAAATTTAAATGTCAGAGGGATCGTGCAACGGATTTTTGTGTTTCTCTGGAAAATGTATTGATTCAAAGTTGAAAAAGGACCTAATAGCTGATTGTCCCGGTCTTTCTCAAGAGGATGAAAAAGAAACGGCAGTTTTCACAATATGGGATGTATATGAATCGAGAGTAAATGAAACAAAAGAAGTATTAGGTTGCTCGCCAATGGAAACATACAAATCTCAGTGTCGAACAGGTCACGAATTTTGCTTTGATCGATCAAAAGCCTGCATATATGATACAGAAATAAACTCTGGTTCTCTCCTACAAAAAACTTGTCGAGATGGTTCTCACTTAGGGAAGCATTGTTCTTCTATTGAATGTCCTGGCATGTTTCATTGTCCAAAGAGTTATTGTATACCTTATAGAAAGATGTGTGATGAAAGTAAAGGTCGATACTCCTTTTTCTTATATACTGAAACATACGCAGAACACTATATAGATGATAAAATGTTTCCATTTTTACAGATTGTCCGGGAGGGGAAGATGAGGTTGGCTGTAAGAACTATACTTGCGAAAGTAAGCTAAAGTCAGTACTGAAACTTCGCATTCGTCATTAACTGTGTGATTTTTTAAGATTTATTCAAGTGCAAAGGTGGAAATTTTTGTATAAATCATGAAGAAGTCTGTGATGGTAAAATAGATTGTCCAAAGTATGGAGATGATGAAACTTACTGTGAAGACTTAGGTACGTTTTCAAATATAAGATGTTTTTATGTTTGAGACGTCTTTTATGACGCTAGCTTGTAAAATATTATTAAGACAAAAATGTTAGCCTATACAATCAAAGTTTGATATCGCATACTGTTGTATTATTTAGATCCACTGTGCGACGTTGACGGATGCAGCTGTCGCGGGAAAATTATCGAATGTTCGAATAGTAATGTGACGTCATTTCCGATATATACTAAAAGAAAAACGCGGCAAGTCAGAGCACTAGTTCTCTCCTATAATTCTATTGATGTTCTGAAGTATGATATGCTAAGAAAGTTTCACTGGCTAATAAAGCTAAACTTGAGTCGAAATTCAATAAGTGATGTACAGCCTTTAGCATTTAGTGATCTAAAGAACTTGGGCGAGCTGGATCTCAGTTTTAACAATTTGAGGACTTTAGATAGTAATACATTTACGGGTTTAAGGTCATTGGTTAGACTGGACTTGAGCAATAATTTTCTATCAACCTTGAGACAAGAGTTTCTAAATCCTTTCACGAATATACAACATCTAATTTTAATCGAGAATCAGTTGAATGATGTTAGTAAGAATGCGTTTTCATCTTTAAAGAACCTTGAGATTTTGAATACAGATGCATTTAAGTTTTGTTGTATTGCTACCAACGTGAAAAAGTGCACTCCAGAGCCTGATGAATTTTCGAGTTGCGAAGACCTTATGGCTAATTACGCTTTGCAGATTAGTATATGGGTATTGGGATTTTGTGCTTTTATCGGAAATTCATTTGTTGTTGCGTGGAGAATTAAAACCGACAGACATAGAGTATCATCTTTTTTCATATTGAATTTAGGAATTTCTGATTGGATGATGGGCATTTATATGCTAATTATCGCCTCTGTTGACATGAAATATCGTGGTGAATATATTGTTCACGCAGATTCATGGCGTGAAAGTGCCCTATGTCAATTCGCTGGTATCTTGGCAATGTTATCGTCAGAAGTGAGCGTCTTTATGTTGACTGCAATCACAGTTGACCGTGTGATTGCCATAAATTTTCCATTGAAAGGAGGTATTCGAATGAAAAATGCAAAAATTGTTGTGCTTTTTGGTTGGCTCGTTTGTTTCCTGCTAACAATCATTCCCGCAACAAAGATCTCGTATTTTGGAGAATCATTTTTTGGTCGCACGGGTGTTTGTTTACCATTTCAGATGTCCAACAAGAAAGTCGCCGGATGGGAGTACTCCTTGTTGATATTTCTTGTTTTGAATCTAGCATCATTTGTGGTGATATTTTTGAGCTACGTGTCAATTTTCGGAGTTGTGAAGTCGTCAATGGACGAAATGGGGAAAAACTCTACTAAAAGTGGGAATGAATACGATTTGGCTAAGAAACTTGTACTAATAATAGCAACTGATTTTATGTGTTGGGTCCCTATTATACTGATTGGTTTCGCGGCTTTGGGAGGAGTACAGATACCGGCGGTTGTCTCGGCTTGGATTGCTGTATTCGTTTTACCTTTGAATAGCGCAATGAACCCATTTTTGTACACTTTTTCAACTATTGATTTTCGAAGGTCGGTATTTATATTTTATAGCTAATGATTACTGAATAACTATTAAGTTTTGTTGCAATAGAAAAAAGAAACGTGGGTTAACTGCCTCTTTTGAAACTTTGAAGAGAAAATCAAAGAATCAAAGTTAGTTACTCTACGTTTGTTGTTTTGTTTCGTAATCAGAAATTTTTTTATTTAAAGAAAGCTTTTAATGTTTATATTGTCAATTGTGTCGTTAAGATGATATTTTTTGTTGTTGCGTGTCTGATCGCTACGTTGCTCGGTACGCAATGTTTTTCAAAACATGATTTTACTTCATACTTTAGTCTTTTTGTCCTCTCTGTATAGTAATTATGCTTTTAGTAGAAATTCTATAAAGGAATATGTTCGTAAGTGTTTTATCATAGTGAAAAACCAATATTTTCTTTTGTTACATTTAGATTTAATATATAAAGGCAACTATAAGAGTATTGGGAATGTCTCTGATTTACCAAATGTTTACACAATTAATGATGATAGTAAGATAGGGCTTTAACGAAGTCCTAAGAGATTTATAATTATTAATATATTTTTTGTCGTTCACTGAGGTTCTCTTTTCGAAACTATTTGCTTGTCACTACACAAAAACGTTAGCGTTATTATCATCTATGGTATCGAAAATGACGTGTTTCAGGGCGTATTGCCTTTGGCTCTTTTAGCAGGCGTAAAATTATTGAGCGTCAATGAAAAATTGGATTATTTAATAAGCAGTAGGTTAGAAAATTTTATAGCCTTATGCAATCTCAAGCGTAGTTAATAAATTATACGGTTATTGAAGTATTTTCCAGACGATTGGAGGAGAAAATAAGAAGGCCGAGAGCTTAACGAATTGGGACAATACTATTATAAGAATCGTAAATCATAACGGATGGAAGCGAGTAGCCTTAATTGCGCAATGGAGTTATTATGAGGATTCAAGTGAGAATACATAGAAATTAATGTTTTATTATCTGTTTTATATGTGCGACTTTCAAAGATCTTCATAACAGATTGTCCTCTTACGTAAAAAAATTGCAAGAGATTTGCAATAGCTGCTTCCCTCTCATTTATACAGCTTCCAACGGAAAAAGCATTCGTCGCATGCTATCGGATTTAGAAGTGAATATAGGCCTTTCCAAATCAATCTCTTTCGTTTTATCAGTTACTATACTTTTTTCTTAAAATTACTTTTTTGTGTCTATTACTGCACAGCATTCGTCGACAAGAGTCGGTATAGTTTTTGGTAATACGGCCTATTTTGATCAACTTTTAGTGGAAACCTCTAAATCAAATTGCTATAACGTTAAAAGGAATTTTATTTGGATTATTTCAGAATTCCAATCAACTTTTTTCGTTAGTTTAAATAAATTAATAAGCAGCTAAAAGGAAATAACCATATCATACAAACAGTCCAAATCATTATATCCGAAAACGGTGGCTATTTCAAAAAACTTGTCTAATAGCGTAGTTCTTTTAACAAAAAATAGTACTGAAAACATTTTAGAAAATAGCTTAAACGTCGTTTATAAGTCGATCAATCTAGTGGCTAGACGGAATAACATTTCCTTACCGTGGAGGAGCTGTGGTTATGCAGATTGCGATAAATGCCTTAATTATTACTGTAATTACGATAGATATCGATTAAAATGCGAAGCACAATCGGATCTGGACAAAACCCTTCCAGAGGCAAGAAAAAAACAAATCTTTTTTTATAATAACTTGTTCTATAGGATATTTTTTATATCTTTCATCTTACAGAATTTGCCCCTAGCCAATAGACTCGTAATAATATATAGAACTGAAGCTTGCTCTGCCGACCAACCGTTCTGCAAAGTTTGTTTAAGCCGTTAGCAGGAATGTTTGATTAATGCTAGTAATTATTCAATAATTCAGGCAGAGAAATTAGCAGACATTAACTGCTTAGGTGATGAAAATAATTGTTCATTAAAGTCGATTGCAATTCAATCGTCAAATATTAATCCATTCTACGGCGTAAGGCTATTGGTTGTCTTAGACAGGGTAGGGATTAGGTTTAAGATTTCAATTTCTAGTTCAAAATATATATTATTATTTATTGATATCATTTGATAATGATTATTAAATATAGAAATATGAATTGAATACTACTCGACCAACAAGAGATTATTATTCGAATTTAGCGGACGTTTACCCTATTTCAGGTCATACTTTCGACTTATTATGGAAATTGAAAGTTAAAATGGGCATTAATTTTACGTAAATAAATTTAATTATTTTATTTTTCGATAGTAAAACTAGGATGATATAATCATAATATAGATTTATAAATGCCGTGAACTGTGAAACTAACAAAACGAAATCATCTGACTGTTTAATTAATAATCTTATAGACAGTGTACGTATTAATAGACAGTTTAATTTCTTTTTAAAATATCTCTAAATCTATTAGAAAGCTGATGTAACTGCCGGATTATTGATGAAATCACCCGACTATGAGAAATACTCACGCTTTATATTCAGTTATAAAATCAAATTAGCAGTCATTGGACCTCGTTTACAGCCAGTTAAGAGTGTCTTTGAGACATTTTGGTCTTCTCACACACCAGGCACTTGGTGTTGTTACATTCTAATTGGCTTACTCAGTTCGATTCTTCTTAAATTTTGGACGGGAGTTGAGGGTTCATCGACCAATGTTGTTTGGACGATAATGAGCTCCCCATTGCAAAAATCAGGTTTACGTCATGTGCACTCCCTAAAAACATTACCAAGGCTTGTCGTAGCCGTATGGTGGGCTATAGCCTTTGTTCTTGTCATTCATAGTACCGGGATTATATGCTCAGAGATTTTTCAAAGGAATTTTCGATTAGGCAAAACAAACTTTAAAAATTTACTTTCCAGCGGAGCGAACGTAGTTATATACGAACCGTTTGCTATGGAAGTTCTTAAATCGTTTAAGTTACGCAACAAAACTATGAGGCAGGTTTCGTTTTTTATGCACGAAAAGATTACATCGGTCTATACGGATTTTAACGAGACAGTGGTGAAATCGATAAATGATGGAATAGAAAGAGTTAGAAATTCTTTCGGAAAACCGCCGAATCAGCAAGTTTTATTTGTTTATTTGGAAGACTATTTAAAATACGAAGTAAGTAAAAGGCCATGTAATCTACAACTGATACCGGTAGATCCCATAGAAGAGGAATATATTGAGTTTGGAATAGCAGCAAGGAAAGATTTAAAAATGTCGAATGAATTAGAGGAAATCCTTAATACATCTGAAATGTACGAGTATTCAAGTGTGAAACGATGGAATCGATACCTAAAGGAAACAACTGGTGATGATAGATGCAAGAAGGAGGAATATAATAATAATATTGTTAATAACTATGAAATGAAAATGATAACAGTGTTCTTCTCATGTCTTATCGTTTGTCTATTTTCTACTTTTGTTTTACTCCCTGTAGAATACGTTCTAAGAGATTGCAAAACGCCTACGCAATGGAAAAATTCGCTAAAGAATTTTTATGAAGATTCGTTAAAGCTATTGGAACACTTGAAACAGCGGGTAATAACGGAACCGGAAGACATTTTCGAACACTGCTATCCGATAAAGACTGATGGTTGTGAGCGAAATGTTGATTACTGTACAGATATAATTTCAGAATGGAGAGACACCTAGCGTTTATTCAATAAATACTAACTGTTTTCAATTCATTAATAGTCAAGGTTACTTTAAATGTCCGATACGGGACGATGTTTAAAAATAGCGTCGAAAATAGCTACGTAGGCCTTCTGAGGTCTAATCCTATTTTTACTACTGAATGACGTCAGTTCCACCGACGCCCCCCGCTTTCGTTAGCGTTCTATTCCTAGTAGTTTCTACTTTCCCTTCTGATATTCTGTTGACTCTCTTTTTAAGCTTGTTAGAGAAGAGAATTCTGGTTCGTATAGGCAGTGCGTATTTTATAGGCTAAAACTATTTAAAAAATAAAGGAGAGCTGAACTTGGAAAGAAAATAAAACGCGATAAGCCTATATGTTCTACGTTAATCGCCTAGAGAAAAAGCCGATCCAGTAGCAGATTCGATTAATGCAGGCCTATAGGAAAGAAAATAGTTCCACTTATTTGCAGTTTATAAGTATTGAATTCGATTAGTAGGTATCGACTAAATCATTATAATCGTCAATAGTATAGTTTGTAAGTGGTTTGGACAAGTACTTTTTCGACAACTTTAAATAGCCAATAAAAAGTTCGGCGTATTAATATGAAACGATCAGCTGTTTCGCAGTAGCATATGGACATTCGATCAGAGCAGACTGAAGGAGAGATGCACATCGAATTGAAAGAGGCTGTCGATTTTATCGTCTCTTACCTTTATAATAATTTACCTAGGAGACGTGTAGATATGTTCGGACAGCAACTGGCTAGGCATTTGACAGTGAAATTTTCTCAACATTGGTATCCAGATAGGCCTTTTAAAGGATCCGCCTACAGGTGTATTAGAACAAGAACTGAACCCAGTATAGTCAATTCAGCAACCGAATCCGGACTGGCAATTCAAGAGGTGTTGTCATGCTTTCCTCCTGATTTGGATATATGGGTAGATCCTGGAGAAGTATCTTACCAATCAGCCGGAGCACCTTTAACAGTCATTTATAGTGAACCCATGCAATTTTCACTCAAGCAGAATAGCTTACCCGCACCACCGGAGGTGGTACAATATCAACAACATCAACAAATGACGGCCAATATGTTCGCACGTACAAAATTCGGTTCAACAAAGCTGAAAGCAGAAAAAGCTTCACGACTAACAGCGGATGAGCTTTCGGCCTATGTACGACAACAAGCAATGAAAAATTCGAGAGGACCGAGATATGATTGGCAAAATTCTCCTCTCCAATTAGCAACACCATCCTGATTAATTTTGTTCCATTCTTTATATCTCTCTCTCTCTCTCTCTCTCTCTCTCTCTCTCTTTATCTCTGTGTTTATCTTATTTTTTTCCTTGAAAAGAAGAAACAAAAGAAGAGAAATAAGTGTGGCTCAAAAAGAAGACATTTTTATCCTGCAATTTTGTTATACAGTTTTTATCAATAAACCGATATTAGAAATTGAGAAATATTAATAACCAAGATTATTAATAAATACATGAATATGTAATAATTAATTTTTTGTAGTAAAAGAGTAGAAAGAAAAGAGAAGATTAAGAGATATTGCATCCCTTTAAGTAATAAAGTATATGTATAAAAATTGTCCCTTTATTAACCAATTAGAACACATGAAGTAGAACTCGTTCTCTAAACACGTTCTAAATTTAGAACAAATTGTGCAGGCACATTCGATAAAACTTTTACTTGAGATAAAAGTTTTGTTGGACTTTTTGATAAAAACGATTTCTTTTTTTTAATTCAACATAAAGTATTGCAAGGAGTGAGTTGCGGGGGGAAGACAGAATAAGCTACGCTCGAAAAGACTGTATTTGTATAACAATCTACGCTTCTTGCGAAGTACAGCAGTGTTTGTTTGTAAACTGCTAGGTTTCCACCGAACTAGTCTAATAGGCCTTTTTTTTTTCGACAAATTTTTATTCGGGCGCCATCTATTCTGTTCGAAAAAAAGAATAAACATTGCGTTTTAGAAGATGAAAGCTTGGTGAAAGAATTAGACGCTTAGTTGAGCGGAACGAGCTCCCAAATGTAAGTCGATAACCAAGTAGAACGGCCGCGGATGCTTCTTCCATAGCTTGTTTACGAGGACGATTATCAGTTGGCGAATTATGTAATCACTTGGAAACAAAAGATTTTAATTGAAAGGTCAATGCCGAATTTTGCTATCGTATATTTTATCAGTAAAAAAATAAAGCAGTTACAGATTTTATTCAGATTTTTACCTATTTACATTCGACACAGTTGTATTGTTTAAATGTTTTTATTTCAGATCATTCATTGTCCTGCAGATGGCAGCAAAAAAAAAAGAAAAAAGTCATTCGGTTGAAATCTTTCTGTACGATTGCTGAATAACGCTCTTATCTTTCATATTAATATCGTAAAAATACTTCGAAGGATCGGTAGCGTGTAATATTCTATCTCTATTCTTTAACAAATCGAGTTTATGATCTTCCATTAAATCTGCCAATTTTCCCGCTCCTTTTCCGACGTAGTCGTCCGGTAAGTATTCTTCCGGTAAATTTTCCAAAGGAATTTCCTTATAAATCTCTTCCAGACTATTAACAACCTTAGTTCTTTGTTGAAATTTTTTGGAAATGAATGGTTTAACCATCTGAAAAATAACTTTGAACATTCCTCCTATATTGTACATTATGAATTGTTTAAATCTAGTAGGCATATTCCCCTGCCATAAAGCCTGCATTTGTTTTCTCTCTTCGAGACTTAATACCTCAAAATGTTTTAAATTATATCCTGAACAATCAAGGAGTATTGCAATACCATTCACTTGAACTCTTTCGTCAAACCTTAGTAGAAGGGCTTGAGCCCACCACTTACGGAGAAGGTCAACAGATGAAACCTCTCCTTTTGTATTCAAATTTCTTACGATATGTAAAACTACCTTACGTCCATGTTTATCATATCTTGGCAATGGTAAAATATCGCCTTGATTTAATGTATTCATAAATCTTTCATCTTTGACATCAATGTTGCCGAATCTCTCCGGATGTTTAGAGAGAACTGTCAAATAACCTTCAAGCATAGACCTTGCTTTTAGTTGACTAAATTTAGCCGTACGAAGAAAAGGAAGTAGGAAGTGAGCGGATGTATCGCATCGCAAATACTTCTGTTCTTCAATCCATTTCCTAAAAGTCGTCAAAGAGCTTAATCGATCCTTGGGATTTTCATTCAACTCTTTTCTGGCCTTTTCAATACTCTTCTCGTCCAGAGAACAAATATATTCCTCTTTATCTATATCAATTAAAGACATAATATTCTAAATCTACCAGTCGAAATGTTCACTCCAAGTTATATAGCAAAAAGAAATTTCTACCTAAAGCTCCTCTTATCTAACGCACTCAACGACTTAGTCAATATATAAAATAATTTTACAGGCAAAAATGGCTTATCAACTATAAAAGTTTATAAACTAAATAATCCCCGTTAGCTAACTTACAACTGATTCATTTCGTTCTAATATCGATGGTTATTCGATACGTTATTCCTATTTATAAAACAATTATTGTTTCAATTCGCCAAATAGATTTATAATGATCGTAAAATGAACAAAAAAAGCGAAATCAATGCAAACTATACAGAATATACTATTACAAATATTTTAACTAACTATCACAGGCTAATTATTAGAACGTTATAGAGCGTTTGCATTATATTTTCTTATATTACTTATCAAAATGCAATTGTACTAATATTTGTGCATGTTTAATAGGTTTCCAACCTTATTTCCTATTTTCTCCCCTCTCTTTCTCTCTTTCTCTCTCTCTCTCTCTCTCTCTCTCTCTCTCTCTATCTCTTTCTTTCTTTGTTGAACGTTCACGAATAAAGATAAAGAAATCATTTAATGGGATATAGAAGAAAAATAAGTGAAGGAGGAAAATCTTTATAAGAAAAAGAGAAGTTTTAAATTGATTAATTTACAATCGATTGTCATCATAGTTTAGTGTAATTAATATCCATTTCTATCCGTCTATTATTACTAAAGAGGATTTTCCTATCTATGACATCTGTCTTTTTTTGATTTCAAGATAAGCATTAAATATAAATTTGTTTCTAATTGCTCTTATGTCTTTTCTCCCCCTCCTTTCCCCCCCCCTCTCTCTCTCTCTATATATATATATATATATATTACTACTGCAATTATCTTACTTTCTATTAACTATAAAGTCTATATTTAGACAATGACATTTTAATAAGAATTAATTAAAGGAAATTACATATCTCTTAAGTTTCTCTCCACTGCATACAATCTATTGTAATATGATTTTTGGCCTTATACACACATATATATATATATGTATATATTAATATATACTAGATATAAATAATTATTCAAATAACACTCTCTTTTTTACTTGGAATCTCTTATTTTCCATTGTTCTTTTCTCCTTCTTGCTTGTTTGTTACAAAGTGTGACGTAGGATAACATCTATATAAAATTTCTTCAATGTTTATTTACAATTATGGTAAGAACATTCCGAAGTGAAAAAAAAATGTAACGGAAGATAAAAAAAAAATCAATTCCTCTTTCGTGATTATCTGATATTTTCTCTTTCCTCTTTTTATAATTTAACCTTTTTCTCTTTTAAGCCAAAGGAGAATGACTCATTGCCTGTAAAACTATGAGGAAATTTTTACCTTTCTTTTAACTCTCTATATGGATTTTTCAACAAGTACTAACTCTTGGCCATATATTGATTTCAGTTACCCCAATACACTATTAATAGACTATTAAAGAAGGATAGTATGTCGTAACCTTGAGAAAGAAAATAAAATAACTTCTTTTTCTTCTTAGTCTATTTAATATAGCGTATGTCTTTGAAACTTAAACAAACCAGACATAATATAGTGAATCTTTTACGAGATGCGCTATTAGTCCTACTTATCTCTTGGAATATTGGCAAATAAAAAAAAAAGAAAAAAAAAATCTTGATAGATTATTAATTAAGGAAACCTTAAAAAAGTGGAATATCACTGAACCAAAAAGGAAACTATAAATGAAAGGAAAGCTTTAAAAATAACCATAATAATTTGGCCTATTTTTGATAAACATTTAAATAAAAAAAAAAGATTATTATAAACTAGATACTATGGGAAATAGAAGAAACAATAGTATGATATACAGTATGTTCAACTTTCAATCTGATCAACTAATATTTTTCTTGTTTTTCTTTAAAAAAATTAATAAAAAATCCATAATCTATAGATCATTATTATTATCATTAGTATATGTATAATGGTATACAACAAAAAAACATACATTATTCTATGGAACTAGACTAGGAGTTAGTATAAAATCTATACAATATATATATATATATACGAAAAAATAACAACACAGACTCTCCTACCACTATCTATCTATCTATCTATCTATCTATCTATCTATCTCTCTTTCTCGCTCTCTCTTCTAAAAGCCTATGAACCATTTCTAAATTGCGTTTCGTTATCGTTATTTAAAAAAAAAAGAAAACATTACATTTATTATTTGTAACATATTGATAGCAGCGGTTTTTAAGTTAATAAACGTTTGTTAAGGATGCTAAATGATATCTAGAAGTAATGTAGAAATCTACATACAATAGTACAATGATGAATGATGTATCAATAGTTATTACATGTACTGTGTATATATACTGCATATTAAAAGAGGTACTAATACAAGTACATGTATTAAAGTAGAACCTTCCCTATATAGATTAATATATATATATATATATAATGTGTACAGTTATAATCTTAGTTCTTTGAAATATTTTCATTTTTTAAAGCATTTTCTTCGAAATATAAATCCTTGGTGAGTTAAGTATAAAACATTTGCTCATTATGTATATGTCCTTGTAACTTAGCGTATATAATTGTCTATTTACATGTGGATAGTTTGTCTCTAAATGAGATTATAAAAAGAAATATGCTTAAGTTAAACCTTTTATGTGAATACAATTTTGATAAAATTCTCAGGATGTACTTGTTTTTAAAAAATACCGCATCTGCCATTTAAGTAAAGAATAAATAGAATAAAAAATAGAAAAAAAATAGCAGCTGTTTATGGATAAAATTACTCTGGTTTAGATGTTAACCAATCCTTTATTGGAGAGAATAAAGAGACAGAGACAGAGAGAAGGGGGAGGGGAACTGAGATAGACGTATAGAGTGCTGTACAGAAGATGTATAGATTAAGATGTCAACAGTTGGTTATGATAAAAGAAAACAATACAGAATATACTGTATTATATATATAAATTATTAGTATATATTTATATATGTCAACATTGTTATTAGTTTATTTATAATATATCAATTATGAGTTAATTTATAGTTAATTACTTATTGAACAACACATCCAATTAAATTTTGTTGACAAGAGAGAGAAAAAAAATAACAGTTTGCTGAATTTATAAATTCATAAAAGTGCTCAATAGGTCTAAAACATGACCTAAATTATTTATATAAAGAGAGCTACGAGAAGGGAAAGGAGGACGATATTTTTTTATGAAAAGCAAAACGAGGATGTACTTTGGATTCTTTTGTTTTTTTCTTTCTCTCTTTGTTTTACAAGTTACTTCTTTTGTTATTCTTTATCTTTAAACAGTCGTTATGTCTTGGCGATAACGACCTTTTAATATATAACATTTTATTTATTGATCTAATACTTAGTTCTAATCAGTTAGAAAAAAAATAGTCGAGAACCATATAGCAAATAGAAGACTTATAAGAGTTGACTTTAGATTAGGAAAAAACTAGAGAGTAGAAAAAAATTTTACCAATCGATCCCTAAAGAATTTTCAAGTGTATAAAAGGTCTTCAAGTCTATCTTTCTCTTTATTTTTATCTATCTCTCGTACTTTGCTTTCTAATCATAAGCTGTATATGCTGTATATATATATACGTCTACCAAAGGTACAAAGTTGCTCGTCTATCGTCCCTTAAGATTGCTCTAGTTTATAACTTACGACTTATAAGCATAGTTTAAAATCTGATCTACGTATATTATTTAATCAAAATTGACTTAATTAAGATAAAAGTAGCTATGCTTTACTAAAATATCACATTTACACGTGTAATTCTTATGAAATTAAATAATAAAATATGTAGAAACGAGTAATATGCAATGTACTATATATATGTCTAGTATACATTCTGTATTCATTGATTGTAATAAGAAATTTGATTTATATATATTTTAAAAATTCTTCGTCTCTAGTGATAAATGTGTTGTATTTTAACAATAATAAAAACAATCATAACTATAAATTTTAGTTCTGATATGATAGACAAGTGGAGAGAGAGAGAGAGAGACACACACACACACACACTCATATACACAGACAGACAATTCTTTTCTATTGTTTTCCCAATTAAAATTAAACAATGAACTTAAATAAACTGTGAACTGTACATAGTAAATGGTTTTGAAAAATATGTTATATAATAATCACACAAATAAAGAAAGATCATAGAGAGAGAGAGACAAGAAATTTGTTTCTTCAGTTTTTCATCAAAGGGTAAATGTATTCGTAAGAAGAAAAAAATGAATACCATTTCGAATGATGAAGCAGATATTGATACTGTAATGATTTTGGTGGAAGTAGTCTAAGATAAAAGGTCACCGTTACCTTGAAAACACCTTCAAAAGTGAAATATATATATATACAGTATAATGATTTACAGTTAGAGAAAGCGAGAATTCTTATTCTAAGTAATCTATTATTTTCATTATTTTACATAATATTTTCTATATATATATATATATATATATATATAAACTGCATATAGAAAAGGAAAGATAACGTTATCTAACCATTAAGTTCAGTTAATAGTTTCAAATTCTTTAGATGCACTTTCCTTAAAAAAAAAAGCGAACGATCGAGTGCCGTGTCTAAAGTTTAAGACAGCTGTACTAAATTTCATTTAGGGAAACATTTAAGAGTTCAATAGAATAATTTCCTATTTTTAAAATTTAGCAGATGTTTTATTATTATTTCTATATAACAAAAAATATTAGAGCTATATAGTTATGATAACTAAGTATACATTATATTTAGATTATATATATATATAAATATATATAAATATATAACGTTTCCTAAATTTTAATCTCTAATATAAATTTTTTTATTGATGATAATTTATAACTACTTAGCATAAAACTAAGATAAGAAAGAGCTAATTATATTCCAAGAAATTCACAATATTTAATATAATAAATATATATTTATAATGAGTTATTCTATCCATCTAATGAGAATAGTTTATTGCATTTATAGTTTAGAACATAAATTTAGTAATCAATATCTCCCATAGAAAGATTGGTGAACTTGGACAAATTCTGGCTGTATAAATAATTTGTACATTTCTCTCTACTGTCGCTTTGATTAAGAGATTAATGAGACAGTCTATAGATTATTTATTCTTTTGAAATGATAATCTCTTTCAACGAAAACCTATTGTATGAAACGATCGAATTACAGCTAGTACCCTACGCTATTTAGTAAGACCCACAACATAATATGGTGGATAGTCTATGAAGAAAATATACAAGTTTTTAAATTAAAACATCCTTGCTTTTAATTTTTCTGAACCTTATTTGGTTTTAAGCTGTACAGAGTTTTAGTCTGCAAGCTAAAATACTTACTTTATTTGTTATATCTGTTTTTAAATAAAGATTTTAATACAACAAAGGTAAGGAACCGAGCGAATTTCGCACTTATCATTTATAGAATTAATTTAACTAGTATAAAATAGAGTATTTTCAATCGAATATACGATCTAGAGAAACTATAAATTATTTCAAATGTAGACGATTGTTACATTGATTATATAGCGTTAAAATCATTAAACTACGTAAAAAATACACCAGACTGGCCAATGGGAACAATTTTTTTTATTTGTATTTTGAGCATTATCTCTATTTGGAGGGCAGAAAGTGCTATATATATACGATTTGTCGTCTTTAACGTATCATTTCACCAAAGTTGATCATTGTAAAATATTCAATAACGAACTCTCAAGTCTTGTTGGTATATTTGTTGCATTAATGTATAAATCAATTGGCCTCTTGCTATTCATTTATAATTGAGGGAGAAAAAAAAAAGAAGAATATCTTTCTATATTTTTTGGTTTTTTTTTTATTAAATAATTGTATTAGTTTAAAGAAGTCGTAAAAATAAAATTAGAAAGTCTATTAAACTGACGTTGCCCTAAAAAAAAAAAAGATCTTAATAAAATTCTGTTGATTAATATTATAAAAAGGAAATACAATCTAAGATTAAATAGTCTAGTGATGTAACTTCCTTCTTAACAATAAAAGTCTCTTTAATTTAATCCAAAAATCTTTTACGATTTTGTAGAACAAATCCCTAAATATTAGCCTTCTATTATAGAACGATAATTCAAGTAAATTTCGACTAAAAATCAATTGTCATTTATAAAAACGCTCTTATAGAGTTTTATTAGAAAATAATTAGAATACTAATTATTTAACTATTCGTCATTTATTTCATTAAATTACAGTATTCAGTAATATGAAAGTCTTATTTTGTTTCTTAATTCTATTTTTTTTCCATCCTTCCTTCCTCTTTTAGAAATGCAATGGACAATAATAGAATCGCCGATTACTTCTTAATATCCGGCATACGAGATGATCTTCAACCTCCTCTGTTCCACGATGGATTCGTGGACGAAAACTTTTTATTAAAGGAGGAAGCGCATAAAGTCGATCCTATAACTGATTTGGCAGTTATAATTCCTACTTTGGGTGAAGAATGTCCAGAAGGTTATAAACGCATTGAGAAAACAGTCAATGGGTATCCTGCCGATCTTAATCATGGTTCTATTAGATCGCCGGATATGTATCTGTGCTATAGGAGGGGACGAGATCGTCCGCCTCTTACTGATATCGGTGTCATGTATCACGGTAAAGAACGCTTAATGCCTGGATGTCAAATAGTTCAGTATACACCTACAAATCACAATGCTAACGTCAATAATACAGCCGGTAAGATTTATTTAACTTACATGAGAGCTGAAGATACAGCATCTGCGGATACGTTGGTCGTAACGGACATTTGCATAATCCTCACAAATAAAGGAGAAACACCACCTCACACTTATATGCAGATCCCCAAAAGTCTTAATAAGGCTTTAGTTGGCTCAGATGTTTATATTTGTTATAAGAAATCTGAAAGGAACGCAAAGACTATTGTCTACGAACCTCAATTACTATCACGATATCCAAAAGAAGACGATCGTGAGTGTCCACTACCAGTTAGTGTTGAGAGATTTTGCTTGCCACTCGGTGCAACAATAGAAGTATGGCCTGTTGAAGCGGAAGAACCTCATCCTAAGTTTTCCACGTTCGTTCTTACGGGTGAAGCTGGTTCAAAATCATACGGAGCAGCGGTTAGCTTCTATGAGGAAATGAACAAAAGCGAGTTAGACTGTCATACTTTAGCTCAATTGGGCATTGAAACCATGTCAGATAGAAGAACGGTGCATGTATCTAAAAGTATTGGTTTAATTTCGAGATGGCCCTTCTTCGAAGCTTTCGAACAGTTTTTACGCTACTTGTACACTATTTCAAAAAAAGAAGATGAGCAAAATTTGCCAATTGAAAGGTGATATTTCAATTATGAATCTATATTATATTTAATATTAATTCTTTTATTCCGTTACAGATGTATCAGTCATTTTTTCAACAATGTTCCATTTCCTACAAATCTTACATCAAGGATAGTAGTTCAATTTCCCGCTCAAGTTATATCTATTTCAAAACCGATGGACATGCCTCTACCCCAAAAGTAAATATTTTATATTCCATATATTGTATACAACACTATGTATTATATATGTATAAATATATAAATTTGGCAAGTATATACTTTGAATAGTATATATAATTCATAAAGAATATTAAATAATCAATTTCGTACTAGATTTAGAGAATTCGATAACTATTGACTTTCAGTGAATTAATTCTTAGCTTTATGTAAAGATAAACTTTTCAAGACGAAATCATTCATTTAATTTACAAATAAATATACAATATAATACTGTTTATTGTGTGCTAATTTTACAATTTGTATCTTTTCTTTTCTTCGCACAGCGGGGCATCTTATACAACACTTTTATCGAATCTTGGTCCAGAGAATTGTCTTCTACTTCTAGCATTATCACTATGTGAAAAGTATATGATTATACATTCTCTTCGAACTCCTGTTTTAACATCAACTGCTGAAGCCGTTGCCAATGTAAGTTGAAGTATCATACATATCTTATTGATAATTCGGTGATTTGTTTGAAAAATTGTGTACTAAGGGTTGTAGGGGAAGGTGGCGGTTTGAATATTCTTTTGAATCATTAATAAATTATACTATCTAAGTTACAATCTACCGTGCAGGGAAAGAATTATATAAAGGCGTTACAAGAGATTACTTACAGTTAATCCTATTAATTCCAATTCGTTTATCCTCATCTAGATGGGATTTCCTCTTCGCTGGTCATGTGCCTATGTTCCATTATTGCCAGTACAGTTAGCAAAAACTTTAGAATCACCAGTTCCTATTGTCATTGGATTGGATTCAAAAATTTTTGATACTTACGAAGTGAACACTGAAATTTTTGTCTTAGTTGATTTGGATACTTGCCAGATCTATAAGTGAGTTTTTTTTTTTTTGAATAATCATATCCTATAATCTAAGCTGATATAAATCAAGTAAAGCGATAGTAATTATGATATAATCATAAAGATTATGAATAATATTTTTGCAAGTTACTCATCGTTTTCTATTTTCAGTCCTTATCATAAGGAAATCAATGTAAAATTACTGCCAAAAAAGCCTGCAAAAATCTTAAAGAATACTTTGGAGCGTCTTTTTAAAGATATTCAAAAGTTGAAAGATATTAGTAGTCGGCAACAGAAAATTTTATCGCTAGATTTGGATTCATTGGAACTTAAAACAAAAATACAACAAAAAGAAAGAAGACTTGAAAAGGAAATATGCGAAGCGTTTCTTCGTTTTATGTCCTGTGTTTTAAAAGGTTATAGTAGCTTTTTGAAACCAATGAAAGAATGTAGAGGAACAAAATTATCTCTTCTTTTCGATACTGATGGTTTTCTTAAAAGTAAAAATGAAAATTATAGAAGGCTTCTTAAAGAAATAGTCAAAACGCAAACATTCAATATTTTTATCCAAGAAAGATCTTTCGTATCGGATCAGGATACTTGTTTAACATTCTTCGACGAATGTATAGAGAAGGTAAATATGAGATTAGGTTACTCGGTTGGTTTGTTTTTCTCTATCTCATCTGAGCGGTTTTTTTTATGTCTAAAAATAGGTGGACGAAAATAAAGACGAACCTCCATTATTCGAGGCTGAGGTCAGAAATGAGAATACAAGGTTTATTGGAGAGCCAGAAGGAGACGATGTTAAATATAAATATGGCAAGTTTCCTATTTTGGATCAACGATTATTGCCAGTTGAGAACTTTATTATGAAAACACCCGAGACAAAAACACTAAAACTACTTGGTCCAATGACTTTAAGAACTAAACAAGAAGTGAGGTCTGCCCAGAGAAATGCCGAAAAAATTTCGACTTCTCCTGATTTATGGGTAAAATACCTAATGAGCCATTGTTATAGTTTATGGTTCATACACCTACCATCATACGTTCGATCAGCTCACTCTAAGGAGAAAGCATTACGAACAGCATTCAATATTCTAGTCCGATTACAAAATTCAAAATTAATTGCTATAGATGAAGTGTGCTATAGAATACTAATGCAATTGTGTGGAATATATGATCAACCAACTTTAGCTCAGAGTCTATTATCTGAAATGAGAAAACACAGTGTTCAGCCAAACGCAATGACTTATGGATATTACAATAAGGCTGTGTATGATTCACAATCAGCTTCTAGTGATACTCGTTCAGCTTATCGAAGGTTTGAAAAAACTTTTCAAAATCTTTTTTAAAAATATTATGAACAATTTGAATTTCTCTCAATTTCTGTTTCTGTTTCTTTACATTTTTATAGATGGATTCTTCTGAAAAATATTGTTATGGCTATAGCTCAATTTCGTATAAATCTTTTGGTTAAAAGAAATAATCTATTAATAGTCCACGAAAGTGATGATTGCCTGAGTCGAAATAGTCTGGAGTACCTAATGGAAGATGGAGCTAAAATTCCAACCGAAGCACCTGCCCCACATAAAATGTTTGATGTTCATTCAACAAGTTCCAAAAGTGACGATAGAACTAGTATAGGTCAGTAAACTTTTCGTTATAAGGTTCTAACGCTAGAGGTCGCTATCTTACTGATATTTTTTCAACTTGAGGCTTGTTTAAAGATTAACGCTCTTCTCATATTATATTCTTGCAATTATTGACAAATTAAGGACAACAAAACAAAAAAAACCAACAACTAAAGAATGTAAAAATAAGTTAATTATTACCATATCAATTATTGATAATTATCATAACTCAACAAAAATTTTCACAAAAGGATGAGATTATTATTAATTGATCATTACTTAGCCAAAAATTTATACATATTTATAAATAACTAATGTCGACCTCAAAGAATATATAATAGTATTAAGTATACTTACTTATTGTATTATTTATACAACCAATAATAATACTAATAAAGATTCAAGCAATAAATTGCAACATTTATAATTGCTTCTTATTAAATTTTATGTGAGCACTTATTATACAGGAACATTCATATTTATATGATTTTTTCCCTTTATCTTAAAACTAAAAAAGCTATGCTTTGTCGCTTTTCGTTAATTTATATTTATTCTTTCAAAAGAATAATCCTATCTGTCTACTATTAAGTTTATCTTCTACTTCCCTTCACCCCAGTTCTTCCATTTTCCATTATTTCTTTCTTTTCTTTCGTCATTGAATTTTTTCTTTTTCTTTTACATTAAGAAATTAAGAAAAAAAATTTTTGGGAAAGCAATTATTAAGAGCATTTATTGGTTGAGTTGTCTAATTATATATTAAATGCTAGAAAGTTTTTTTTTGCTTCTTTGATTTCAATTATTTATGCTTTAGGAGGTGTATCAGACCGTGGCTATAGTTCTCTTTCAAATGAAGATGGGAGGAAATTATCACATGTAAATGGAAGTCAAGATTCATTGAATAAATTAAGGAAAGCTTCACAAACTACCCCGGTTTTTCGACGTCTTTTTACGCCATCTAAAGGAACGGATGTATTAAAACGAGGTAGATAGAATATTTATATTTTATGTTTTCTTTTTAGTATTAACCAAATTTATAGATATCGTTGCATACTGTGAATTGCATAATCTTTAAGCTTATTTTATAGATATTTTAAAATATAATATCGCTTGGCTGTTGTTTAAAAAAGTGTTTTAATTTTTGTGTTGAGAATATCTCCCTTTTTTTTTTGCATGGAAATCGTCATGTTTTTCAGCCGCATTTACAAAACGAGTATCGAATATTGTTCGACCGTCTTTAGCGAAAAGTACTTCATTACCAAGAGGAGCGGGTGAAAAATGTAAGCAATCAATTTAATTCAGGACAATAAGAATATAATTGTAATCAAGTTAATTAATCATTCCATCGATTATCATAACTACTAGATGGTAGTCAAGCCGGGGATCTGATAACTCCTTACGCATTGCAAGAGTCCCATAATAGAATACCGAGGAGGCGATCTAGTTTTGGAATTGAAAAATGCGAACGACCGAAACAACTTCTTACAGATGTAGGAAGTGAACCTTTAGAAAACAAGGACATTGAAAAAACTAAAAGCTCTCCAAGCCATACTATTGCTACACCAACTCCTGTAACAATAAATGATCCACTTGGCCATTTTACTACTCCTCCCTCAACAGCTGCATCAACACCCCAAAAATCAGTTCCAAAAACCGGCTTCGTAGACCTACAACCATTCCAGAATTGGTCTGACTCGTATAATGATGCATCTGAGACCTTGACAATTAAGAAGAGTGTAGTCAGTGAAGAAGACTTAAGTAGAAAAGCTATAAATCAAACACCAAAATCTAGGAAACCATTAGTCAGGGCAGAATCATTAAATAAGGCATTTGGTTCAGCAAAAAAGTATGCTTCATCTGCTTGGAAAAAGATAGGCGATTTTTCATTAACCCCAACTAAAGCCTCAACGAGTTCAACGGGAAGTTTAGTTTCGGTTCCTGGTAAAAATTCAATAACCGAAGAGGAAAGAATTAGTTGGGAAAGTGTATCTCAAGATCGTTTGTCTTTGGACGATGGTCTTGATAAAAAGAGAAATCATTTAGGTAAATACAATTTTATTAAACAAAAGGCAAAAATTATCAACAAGACGAAGATAGTTTTTATTTTAATTGTTATTTTATTTTTTAAATATTCACTATTGTTTAAACACTTTTCTCTATATATAAACACACACATATATTTATATATATGTATATATAGCATGGGATGCCGCCTGGGATCTATGGGGAAAGTCTAGGGATTATTTATCAACTGCACTGTCGTTACATCAGGATTCACCGGATATTTCTGATCAAGGTTTATTTAATTATGTAGCTATTTGCTAAACAAACAAATTTTTACTACATCCAAAAATATTAATAAAACAATATAAATTAATCTTTTAAAAAAGAGAGAATTTATCAAATCCTATCAGAATTAGTCTCTATCTATCTTTCTTTTCTCTTAAAAAACAATGCTCTTAACAAATTGCTTTCTTCTCTTTCGATGGGTTATAGGCTTCTTTTTTTTTTTTAATTATAATCATAATCTTATACTTTTGAAATTCTTTTGTTTTTTTTAAATGCATATTAATTTTTAGTATTAATTTAAAAGAAAGAGAAAAACTAAGAAGAAAAGTATAGATTCTTTAAAAAATATTGAAAAAAATGCTCATCATATAATAATCGAAAGTCAAAAAAAAAAAATTAAGCTTTTTCTATCGCCAGCTTTGATTTGTTTCCTTTTTTTGAAAAACTAATGGCAATGATGCATTTTTTCTCTCTACAGAAACAGTTTGGAGAAGATAACATTTTTAGTCTTCTTCATGTTTTCTATTATTCAATCATTATAACTATATATATATATATTATTTTTTTTTCGGCATGCTTTATTGTCTCTACTTTAATATAACTTTCTTTTTGCTACTTTCCGCTTGCATTACAAATTTATATATATATATATATATACTGTATATATATGTATATATCTTATTATCTTAATATATAACTTAGTAGAGCTTGTAACACCCAATACTTTTAATAAATTGAAATGTATAAAATAAAAAGGAACAATGTTTAAATTTAGTTATCCATTTTCGAAAATTATATAATATTGATGGAATAATTTCCTTTTTATTATAAATATTATTATGATTATATTATATTTTTGACAGGCAATTTTTTATTAAGTACATTTGTTTTTATTTAATGAAATTTTTAATTTAAACAGTTTCATCTGTTCCCCAACATTTAATCCCGTTTGATGGAGAGACCATCTCAATAAATCAACAGATAACCGGCTCCAACCAAAGTCTCTCTCAAATTGTTCAGACAAAAATAGAAGCACAAATATCTTCTAATTTCCGTTGCGAACACTGTCAATCGTTGTTGTACGATGAAGAAATCACTGCTGGTTGGACTTCAAATGACTGCAACTTCAATACCAATTGCCAATTTTGCTCTAAAGAGGTTGTCACTAGACTTGTTATATATATTAAAGATTCTAGAAAAGACGGTTCAAGGAGGGAATTATCAGTTTTGTATCTTAATCCTCTTGTATTACGGAGACAGCTTGAGAGCATAATAGAGAATGAAGGAGACTTATCTCTAACAGATGAAAATTTTAGTATTGATCATGCTGAAGTATTTTGGAATTTATTATGGTACTTTAGAAGACTTAACGTTCCTTCGAATTTGCCGGGCTTGTTAGCTAAAGACGTTTCAAGCAGACAAGTAGTTATCAGGGCTATCTGGGATAATTTAAAAATTCAGGACGAAGTGGGAATGCCTATGTACGTTTTACATGATCAGTCAAATTCTCCCTCGCCAACCGTTCAAGCTCTATTAACTGACCAACAGCCATTTTCTGCAAATATTCGAAATGATTTAATTCATTTTATTATTGGAAATGATATATTGTCGGCAATTAAGTTGACTTTATCTGAACGACAAAAATTGTTTAATGTTAATCAGGCAGCTTCTAGTCGTTTCCGGCATAGAAGTGTTTATAGGAACCTTCTATTTTTGGCATGTTTTTCATTGGGAAGACAAAATATTGATTTAGGTTTGTCTGTTTTTAACTCATTTTAATATTTATCTTAATAATCGTTAGAAAGATCTATAAAGATTCGTCATAAATCCATTTCTTTTTGTATTAACTTTTTTATTCGTTCCAGATGCATTTGATAGAGAATATGCTGCAGCATATCAACAATTAACTCCAGCTGAGAAAAGACAGCTAAGAAGGTTTGATCAACCTCCGAATATGAGGACAATGTGGGCTCGTAAAATGTTCGAGCCCTTAGAATTGGTGGCAATTCAGTTATGAACTGATTTATGTGTATAGCATTCCCATTAGATCGAGAAAAAAAACCCTTTATTTGGGTTTTTTTGTATGAAAGGAATTCCAACATTCGTTTGTTTGTTCTAGAACTTTATTTCCGTTATGTAGTTTTATAATTGGGAGTATTTTATATGTTTAGTGGTTGACAAATTTCATCAAGATATAGTTATATTAAGTATCGTGCTAAATGATGAAAGATATTTGAATAATAATTAAAAAGACAACTATTCAAAACTGTAATCACACTTTTATTTTGAAGATTTAACTAGAATCTTGCTTATACTCATCTTGCAATCATCAGTTTCTTTTTGCCTTCTCTTCAATCTTATTTCCCATTCTTTCAATATGAATATCTTTTTGTCAAAGGAAGACAAGAATTGTGTTAAAAATAACTTTTCTACCTATAATCAGCAGCTTCGAAAATAACATCTTTTATCCCGATATAAAAGGAAGCCGTTACTTTTTCTCCGAATTATTTATATGACATATAGGCCTATAGAATGAATATACTGTATATTCTATAGCTTGTATAAATCGTATATATCATATACTGTATATGCATGTATGTCAATATTGAAAAATAAAATGACATTTTATAGTTGAGAAGCATAATGAATGTCAAAAAAAAGAGCAAAAAACAGAACGCAAAAAGGAATATAAACAAACTTACTAATATGCTAATAAGTTCGAGTTAGTTAAAATAATATTTAATTATTGATTGTTAAAAATATATGATCGTGAATATTCGCCCTGCAAAAGAAAAATTGCTGATTGCGAATTAGAAATGACATACTGTAATATATCAGTCTCTTATTTCCTTTTATTCGTTTATTTTGTTTTTTTTTCTTCCTTTTCCTTCCCTTTTTACTTCCCTGTTCTTCTTTTCCTTCTTCTCCTCCTACCCAAGAGTTCCCTTGCTTTGTATTACACAAATCTCTCTAACGGACGATTGATAGACTATGCATAAACATAGAAAATATAAAGAGCTCTATTAATTTAGCTCGTAAAATACTAAATAAAGCTTTATAAATAAGGAATTTATGAATAGTTAATTGATTTATTTAACGTTTTTCTTTACTTATCTTATTTGCACAGATTGGTACTTAACTGTTGAAAAAGAGCCAAATAGTTCTTTACAACCTATAAACAAAGTGTCAATTTATGCTTATACAAATAGCGTATAAAGAGCATCCGAGTAAGGATGTCTCTTCAGACAACTTTGTCTCTTTACCGCAAGCTCACTAGGAAGATTTGAAGATAAAATTAATCCGCTTATTGGAAAATTCTAAAAATAGACAAAGAAAATTAAACTTCAAAGTTACCTATAATGATATACCCATATTACTTACGATTTGAGTCACTTGTAAAATACCTTTCAGTACTTTGAAGGTAATGTGTTTTTCTATATTTCTAAAGGAATAGTGTACACTTATTTTTGTATAGTAAAGTTCTTTATTCTATTTGTTTTCTACCAATTGTCCGTCCGTCTGCCTCTCTCTTTCTCTCTATTGGTTCTACATATAGTATATAAAAAATATGATATGAATTAGAGAGTAACTAATGGAAAAAATGAACCAAAAGAAGACAAACGAATTTTATAAATATCATAATTAAATGTGCGTTATTCTTAATACTCGCAAAACGTGATTTGTATAAGATATATTGACAATCTCTCTCTCTGTCTGATAAACTTTATTTTCTTTACTATTCTTTTAAAAATTTACATACAATGTAAATATATTTTTCTATAGCAAAGAAATCGTAAAAAGATAGGAAGATAAACAATTACTCTATTAAATAATATGCAACTGTTGAACAAGTTGACGGATAAGCATAATGATATAAAATACAATTTTTACGGCCTATGGTTGATAAATAATGAGTTTATTAATCTCGCTTATAATGAAAAGAAAACAATCAAGCAAGCTTTAATACCATATTACTCGTTAAACAGTTTACATCGTATCACTTATTCTTCTTCCTTTTCTTGTGTATAGAAGCTCTTCCCTTATCTCTCCCCTCCCTCTCCCTCTCTGTCTTTATTTTCTTCCTTCTTTCTTCTTTATACATACCGACATAAACAAAATAACTATATTGCATGCTAACTTTACTATGTGTGACAACTTGCACGGAATCATGTCAGCGAATCACTCCTCCTCTACTTCTCTCTTTCCCCTCATGTTTTTTCCACCACTACACCCATTACTCTGTTAATCAATTTCCATAATTCTCCCATTTTGTCTTTTTGTGCAATATTGTCCTTTTTACGTGGAAAATGAATGGGCAAAGTACAATATAGGTTTATTAAAACATCTTAGTCCTACTTTATTGATTGTATTCTACGTTTCGTTTTGATTTGGTGGGAGTGCGAGTGGGTGGGTCATTTTTTAGTATTTTGCTTAATCAACAATAAAAGAATAGCTTATTCAAAATCCACGTTTACTTATCATAGACGACACGTGTAAATGCTGTTGTAAAACAGTAACCAAATGAAGAAAATGATAAAAGACGCTCACTATAACAATAGTTTTCCTTTTAAAATTTATATGATATATACAAAAAAAATAGACAATAGCCATTACGATAGTTGCTAAGGAATGATAAAGGAGAAAGAATATCTGTAATGACTTGGTAGAATTTGAGAATTGAATATCTAAGATTCTCATATAAAAGACTATTGAACCAATAATAAAAAATGATATACTAAACGTAATCAAACAGATGTTAAACCAAGTAGAAATATTAGAGAATAGGAAATTAATGATGGAAGACGCTGTTGCTCCAATCAAGAGTATCTGCATTAAAAAAAATAAAACAACTAATTAGAAGAACTAGAGAAGCAATTATAATTAGAGATACATTTAAAACACTATCTATAGCTCTTACAAGATGTATCAGTTGTAGAACACCTTCGGAACGTCTTAAATATGGTTTGTTAAATGGAAATATTGTTGTGAAAACTTGTAAGATAGGCATGGTTCTCTTTCGTTTTTTGCTTGTTAAATTTTCTCTCTCACTCTCGCTCTCTGTCTATTTATTGTCTCTTTAATTAAAACTAGGATAATCATAAAAAAAATAGAGTTCATTAGTAAAATTAGAGATAATAACTAAGAAAATTAAGCCTACGAAATGAGAAATGTCTATATGACAACAATTATAGTAACTTAATTATAGAAAACTGAGACAGGCGTCGTACTTAAAATGATATTTTTATAGCAAATTTTTGTTTGTCAAATTGATTTGCAAGTAATTTTCGTAAAATGAATTGGTTTTTAATTAATTAGTTCCGTACTATTTAATATTTGGCAAAAGTATATATATAATTATATAAATCAAAGTTAAATGTTTGGGAATCGTGCCTTACTATGTAGATTGTTTGCCGAAAACTAGGCTTTTTAAATTGGTTATAGATAACTTTCGTTTTGTTATTTTGATGTTGACTTGGAGAAAAGAATTATAGATTTATTGAACTGCTAAAGGGTTTGCACACGGCTAATATTAACTATCAATGTTCAATTTACCGCGAAAATATGCAATCTCTATGTTTAATAACAAGTATAAACATTTTCATAACATTTTGTGAAATTTGACCCATTTTTATTCTTTTCTAACAAGTTCAGTACTAACAAAATTTAGTACGGATTAAACATAAACTATAGACGGTTTGGCCCAGTAGTTTGACGGCTATTCGAAAATATTTTCAAGGTCATAAACTTCAAACTTTGAATTAACCGGTTTTTGTATTTTTACCAGGTTTCACCGGTTCTTACGAGAGGAAACGGAAACGTTAGCTTTTATTAAAGGATTTCGTATTTGTCCACTTTGTAAACATTCTTTTGTTTTATTTTCGGCAACGATCGTAAAGTTCTGTCAGTGAAGAGAGTTTGATAAAATCATTATGATTTGCATGCATCTATAATTTAGCGAAAATTTATTGTAGTTTTAGCATCCCAGCCTTTTCATGTTAAGTAAGTGTTTGATGAATTTATCATAGGGAGTCTTCTAATTTTGACCTTTCATAGCTGGAAATATGACATTGATTTTCGGTAATTAAAATTATGTCTTTTCGAAAACCGACGGGACAAAAGGACGGCTTAAATCATGCCGTTTCCATTCAAGATCGATTTCAACAAATGACGGCTCAGGAAAGACTAATACAACAGAAAAAACAGGAAATTGAAAATAAAAAGATGCTTAAAGATCAAGAAGATGCTATGAAGTTAATTGAAGAGAAATCAAAAACTGAAAAAAAACAGTTAGTTTATGTCATTTAGACAAAAACGGTAAAAACGTGAATACTTTTAATTTTAGGGAATCTACTAAACCGATAAATCTTCCAACTGGAAGTAATATGTTTCAAAATGATGGAAGCTTTATAGAAAAATTTAAACGATTACAAGAAATGAAAGCAAGTCCACAAGAAGTCAACGCAAATACTAATCAGCAATTTTCTTCGGTTCAAACAACAAATCAGTGTACAGAATTGCAACCACATCTGCAGGAACCTCCATTGCTACAAAACTTTGAAGGTTCTCAAATTGTACAAGATTTGATGTCACCTCAACAGTGTATAATTGGTCAACAGCAGGCTCCTTCGTCAAATAATTTTCCATTTAATCCTTCATTATCCCAAAATGCAAACCAATATGCATCAATAGCTCATCAATTTCCTGTTCAGCAGCAAATTCAACAAAATTTCCCTCCACCAGTCAACTTACCAATTCCAATAAGTAATAATACAATGCCGCTGCAGTTCAATATGAGTCAATCTTCGCAAGCGGTTCCACCCCCTGTTATACTTCCACCCTCTGTTCTGCCAATAACAACCTGCTCCTCAGCAATTAGTGGAATTATGCCTACTGATGAAGATGAATATGACCCAATGAATCCTACTGATGGTAAAATAAGATCGTTTCTCAAGCCAATAATACCAAAAAAATTAAATTAATATTCTATTTTATTTGTTCTTTTCTTTTCTTCTTAGATTTAGACCAAGAAGAAAAAGATATAGAAAATCATAATATCCTGTCTGACTCTAAACCTATTTTAAAGTAAATGACAAATTCAAATTATTCATATACAGGATATTGTAAATATTCTTTATTCATAGGATCAGTCTAGCCAGAGCTCAAAAGCGCACCATAGAAACCGCCGATGAAGGTAGGTGCTGGATTTGGTGTCACAATCTTGTGCACTGTTAATAGGATATGTCTAGTGTCCAAATTAGATACGAGTCAAGAAATCACTCCGGAAGATAAGTCGATCGATGAATCAAGCGCTTCTAAACGTAAGAGAAAAAAATCTAGATGGGCCACGTCGGAAGATAATTCATCAACATCAGAAGTTATTCAAACATCTCCTCCTATAATACCTCCTGATATCCCCACTTTAGCAATTCCTGGTCCTATAGGAGTTGTAACGCCCGTACTAGGAGGATGCGCCACAGCGCTTGTTACTCAACCAACGCCAAGTAAAATTTTAATTTGAAAGTCTAGTTATATTATTTATATATATATATATGACATTTTTCAGTCCCAGGAACTATCAACATTACACCGGAATCTGCAATGAACGCCCAATATGCTCGCCAAGTCACAGGCGCTGATCATTTAACTCTAGAGCAGAAAAAGCAAATTCAGGAGCAACAAAAGGTGAAATGCTCTCTCTTTTAAATATACTGTGCACAAGCTGATAAAGAATATTCCTTACAAAAAAACTTCATTATTTCTGCTACAGATGAATGCCGTCGCTGAGTACTTTTTGGCGAAAAGAAAGGCCATGGAAGCTCAGGCTAAGGCATTGGAAATTGGCTTGAAAATTAAACCAAAATATGAATACGATTCCGACGAAGATACAGACGGTGGAACATGGGAACATAAAAGAAGAATGGTCTAATCTCTTTATATTTTACCATATTTCTTTTTCTATCTAATTCTAACCTTGACATTTCTCAAAAAGAGCTATTGTTTGTTACTATCCGATACTTTTTCCTTTTTAGAACGAAATGCAAGCAACAGCTGAATGGGCTGAGAAATTATCAATGATGGGAGAAGGAAAGCACCATATTGGAGACTTCTTACCGCCAGAAGAGTTAAATAAGTTTATGGATACGTTTCAATCGTTAAAAGATGGGAAACAGCCCGAATTGTCAGATTATAAAGAATTTAAATTAAAATGCGATAATATAGGATATAAAATGCTTCAAAAAATGGGTAAGATACCCTATTTCCCTTCTTAGAAAGATTAAAAATTACATATAAAAACAAATAGGTTGGCAAGATGGAGAAGGGTTGGGAAGCAGCTCTCAAGGCACCGTGGAACCTGTGAATAAGTAATATGAAACATTTTTTATCGGCAATGAAAAGTCAATCAAAATTGCAAATTTTATTATTTGTCATAACAGAGGCAAACAACCTGCCTATGGCGGAGGTTTAGGATTAACTACAGATATGCCAGGAGGTCTTTCAAAGGATGACGACGAATTTGAAGCGTATCGAAAACGAATGATGTTGGCTTATAGGTTTAGGCCAAATCCTTTGGTTTGTTTATATTTTATTTACTTTTTTTTATTTCTATTTTTATACGTCACTGTAAGATTATAATATTCACTCATATACCCTTATTCTACCTCTATCCTACTTTCTCTCTTTCTCTCTCTCTCTCTCTATCTATCTATCTATCTGTCTATCTCTCTATATATATATATTATATATATATATCTTTTATCCTCTGCAGAACAATCCAAGACGCCCCTACTATTGAAGCTAATTGTCAATTAGATTCTTGTAATATATTCCGAAGTTTTTTTTTCCTTATTTTGGTCTTTTCGTGAATGCTTATTATATTATATATATATATATATATAAAACAAAGATTAACTTGTTAAAAAAGAAAACAAACACTACTCTTTAAAGAGATAATCTCGGATTATTGTAATAAGAAAATTATTTTTGTACCGTGTTTGTACAAAAATTTATTTAAAAAAAATTAGTTTTTATTGTTCATTCATTCTTTCATCTCTTTCATTCCTCTTATTCTTTAATCTCTTTCGAAAGCAACATATTGTCTAAGAGATTTCGGTAGTCCTAGCTCTGATACACCATATGGTAAATTTCCAATTTGGAAAAGACGTTTATTTATTGCCAATCTACAAAGCTGTTGTAAACTTGAAACGTTGAAATCAAGGTTTGGTAGATATTGTTTAAATCTGCAGAACAAAACTAATTTATGAGGTCCGTTAGAATTCCAGGCTTGAGCTGAGGAAGGTATTTTTTTCTCGTCATCACTAAATACTATCGGGATTCGAAACGATGCTCTAAGTAAATATATTAAGCAGATCAGCAAACGACACGTCCTATTTAAGAGATATTCATTGGGAACTCTATCCATTGTTGGATTTCGTAAACGATCTATTTCGAAGTAACGCTGAATTCTTCCATGTATCTCTTTAGAATCAAAAGATACATCGCTTGAATTTGTGACATTGGCTATTTCGTTTAGGTGATTAACAAGGACTGTATATGGCTGAGAACTGGCAGTGAAGGGGGATTGATTACCTATCTTTAGTATCGTTTGAGCACCATTTTTTAAAAGCAGTAGAACGGTTGATGGCTGTCCACCTAAACAGGCTAAGGACAGGGGAGTTGAATTACTAAAGTTGCCCCCTATATATAAAGGCAAATCAACTAAGCTACGACACTTTTCCATGCTGTTCGTGTTAATAGGTGTTGGTTGTGACTCATCGTAAATGAAGTAGTTAAGAGTTCGACCATGATACAGATAATATTGCAGAGCATCCAATTGCTTCTTCTTGGGTCCGTAGAGGAGCCCTCGGCGTGAAGCAGGACTCAATTTTCCATATAAAAAAGCTTTATGGGTACAAAAATTCTGTATGGGACTTAACACCGAGAACCACTCTAAAGGTTTAATTAGCGGTGCTAATAGGGAAATAGTACCCGATACTTTTTTATCGTTTACTTTATACTTTTCACAAATAAATAACGCCGTTCCAAGAATGGCTGCCTTTTCACCTTTAGAAGTTAAATCTGGAGGCAATTTTTTATAATGGTTCATCAAGTGCTCAAAACAAGCATCAACTGTAAGTCTAGAAGAGAGAAAGAAAAAAAAACGAAATAATTAAAATCATCAGGATCTTCCTGCGTTTTTAACTTCATATTTCCGTTTTTTCCTACATTAATGATGCTTTTTTTTTTACAATATATACTTTTCTACACACCCTCACCTGTAACCTCCGCTATTCTTTACATAATCGAATAATTGTTGACGAATTCTCAACATACTACCTTCTGTTGCAAAGCCATTTTCATGGTTGACAATATTTTGAAATTCTTCGTACGTAAATCTGGCGGTACTTTTACGTTTCCGATGTCCTTTCCTTACAATATCCGATTTCCCCGACTTGTTCATCAAAATATTTGATATGTTATCGTTTTTATATATATATATATATATATTTAAAGTATATATATATATATATATATATATGTACAAATATATGGATAGGTGATTGAAGATATTTTATTTTTCTAAATTCAATTTCAATTTGAAGTTTGATTGAACAAATCACGAATAATGATGTAATATTCAAATACAAACGTAATTTGTATGACATTAAATCTATAGATTTTTCGCTCGCTTAGTATGGTTATAGGAAACTTCTTATGTTATGTTCTGTTAAATAAATGGAAATAAAACTGTTCTTGAACAGTTTTTAATTATATTTCGTAATTCGCGGGTAAAACGATGATAGCCAATCAAGATCATCTGCCATTTTGTATACGCACTGCAGCGCGATCAGCGTAAAATCATTTGCTAGCGCTTTTCTGAATAATTCCCATCGCGGCGCTAGCGGCCCTCGCAGGCCCCGTCCGCCACTTCGCTTCTCGCACAGCACTCGGACAAGCCCAGGTGAGCGTCGGAGTAAGCCTACTTCTATCGAAAGACAAATTAGCAAACAAGTTCTACTCTCAATTTTATTGAAGTATTATCGAGATTTATTTACTGTTTTGGTTAGATAAGCCGAGAGTATTAGGGCTTTAAAAATTAAAAATATAAATAAAAGGAAGAAAAACGATATTGTATAGAATAAAGTATGACCACCTCCACCGATGTACAATTAGAGTTTAATGACGACAACGATGAGGAAGAAGAAGAAAGAGCGAAAGTGGAACGTTATTTAGACGAACACAAATCTTTCGCTTTCGATTACTTAAGGCGGAAATTCGGTAAATCAGCATTTGACACGGCGGCTGACTCAACTTCCAGTTCTGGTGCAAATACACCGATTAGAAAAATTTCATCGCAGGAATTCGGTGGGCAAACACTCCGACCAATGCTTACAACGGTCGATGGTAATCCGACCTTCTTTCCGGAATCTATGTCACCAGTAACTCCGAAACCTAGAAAAACGATAAGTGAACTGAAGGCTTTAAATGAACGTGAAATTCTTTACGAACTTGTTATGGATATATGTAATGACCTTGACGTCACTAGCTTGTGCCACAAGATTCTGCAGAATGTATCGATTCTCGTAAACGCAGATCGTTGCTCATTGTTCTTGGTTCAAGAAGAAGGCGGATATTTAACGAGTAAACTATTCGATGTAAATTCAAAATCAACTGTTGCTGACAGCACGGCAAACACTTACGAAATACGCGTCTCCTGGGGCCAAGGAATAATCGGACACGTAGCAAAGACCGGCAATCCTTTAAATATCGCAGATGCTTACGAGGTAAGTAGATTGATGGTGTGTGCAATTGATAAAGAGAGAGAGAAGGAGTGAACGAAAGAAAGAAAAAAAAGATAGAAAGTGTCTCTATGCGCAAGAGATTGTAAGAACCAGAGAATGAAAGAAAATATTAATATATTGATAGAACAAAAAAGGAGAAGGGTTGGATAAGGGGATAGGTATATTGCAAGAGAATAGGCTATAGAATAAGATAGAAATAGATAGTTGTGTAATATTTTCGTCGATCGTTCGTTTCCATGCCAATGTAGAGGGATGAAAGGCGTGGATTATAGATTAAGTAGGGAATATATATAAGTTGCGTATACGTAGGCGAACTAAACTTTTTTGGAATATTGTATTTGTTTTCGCGATCGATTTTATCGACGTTCGCCTTTACTATCTAAATTGTTTTCCCTTCTTAACTAATCGTTGCTGCTCGACCAACGAGGCTAACGTCGTTTAAATTACGTTGTATTAACCGTGTTTGTTTAACGTTATCCCATTATTTACGGTTTTATCGGTTTGAAAGGAAATCTGTTGACAATCGATAAAACAGTGTTTATCTAATTATACGGTTGGGGCAGATTATATCACGAAGTGTTATTGACTTCTTTACAGGACTCCCGCTTTAACCGAGAAATCGATGTAAAGACGGGTTACAAGACGCGTTCAATTCTCTCCATGCCAATTAAAGACACCGAAGGTCACGTGATAGGCGTAGCTCAGGCTGTCAATAAGCTAGGTGTAAAGGAAGAACCATTTGGTGAACGAGATGAGAAAGTATTTGCATCCTTCCTGGCATTTTGCGGTATCGGAATTCGCAATGCTCAACTTTACGAGAGGTCTGTTTTGGAAAATAGGAGGAATCAGTTATTATTGGATCTCGCTAGATTTATATTTGAAGAACAAAGAGACGTCGCTACTCTTATTCATAAGATTATGATGCACACTCAATCCTTACTACGTTGCGAACGTTGTCAAGTTTTGCTTATTGATGACGAATCAAGCGTAAGTATTATTATTATAATATTAACCTTTATCGATCGAAAAAGTCCTTTAATCCGATTCCATACGTTATTTTCTTTGTCTTTTATTCTTTTAATTCTTCATTTATACGATTATTATTATTTATATTCATTATATATTCTACAAACCTCCCACTGTCTTACAATTGCGTTCCACTCATCACATTCACACTATACATATACACATATACAAATTATACTGCATTTACTGCATATACTGTCGTTTTTTTTATATTGTTCTCTCCTTTCATGGTATATTTATAAGCGATGTAATAAAACTATACTTAGTATGCGAACGATGTTTATTATATTGATATATTGAATATATGGTACGAAATATTCATGAACAAATAAGTGTATATATACGGATATTATTCGTGTTCATAATGTATATTCTATATATTATGTATATACTGTATAAAGAAGTTTCTCACATATGTCAACTCAGAATCCTTAAAGCGTCGGTTAGTTTTTCGTTTACTATTGTTTATTATTTTTTTTTCAAAAAAAAAAACAACAAAATTCTTCTAAACAGGAGCATGTGGTTTTTTTTTTATATACATTTTTGCTTCGTGTTTTCTTACAGGATAGAAAAAACTGTGTGAAGCATATAACTAGCATGGTGAACTTTACCGTTTTTTTCCCGTTGCCCTTCCTCCCCTCCCTCGCTTCCCCCTCTCAAACTCCTCCTACCCTTCTCTTTCCCACAAATCTCTTCTCTGCCTTTGCAAAACATATTTTTTAATTTTTATATAAATATATATATATATATATCAATATATAAATATATATATATATATCAAATCTATATTTAATAATTAGCTTCTCTTTTATAAAACATTTTGCATGCTCGCACAAAGTTTTATCCCTTTTTTTTTATTTACTTTTTTATCTAAAAATTTTTACACAAGTAGTTTAAAAATTAGAGATAAGCATCGAATGAATGTGAGAAAGAAATAGAAATAGAGGGAAAGAGAGAGAGAGAGAGAGAATATTAAATGAAATTCGCTTTTTGATTCTGTCTTACCGCTTATCTATTTCAGACAATAAGTTTATATATTTATTATATATCTATATATATATAAGTACATATAATTGCATATACTACACTATATATATATAAATATATATATATATAATTTCGTGAATGTTCGACGCGATACGAAACTATTTTTTTAATTGCTATTGCCATCACGAAAACATCCGTGTTTTATTTTGCCGTGTCTTGCAAGCTTAATCGTGTTTTTTTTTTTAAAAAAATAGAGAATATATACAATACAAATCATATATATATATATAAATTTATATAAATATATAAATATATATATATATATTTATATATGTTTTTTGATAAGGGAATAACCAACAGGAGGAATTAAAATGATTTTCGCTAGAATTTGTTTTCTCTCTTTGTTTTGTTAATCTTTATGTGTTGTTTTTAGGGCGTCTACTCTCAAGTTTTCGATCTACAAGCAAGCAGCTTTGAAAACGACGGGTAAGAAGAACTAAAACCTAATTACTAATTCCACTTAACCGGCCTATAACGGATCGAATTTTCTCAGGCCTCAAGAGGCTCGATTTCCTATCAATGTTGGTATAACAAGTTACGTTGCCTCCAAGGGCGAGGTTAGTGACATGTTTTGTTAAATTATTTTGTTAATTGATCAGGGAACAATGACGATAAATATTCCTCTTTTTTCGGTGAAACTTTAGATTGTCAACATACCGGACGCTTACAAGGATGAAAGGTTCGACCGCAAAGTAGACGATGAGACAGATTTCAAAACTAAAAGCATCTTATGTATACCAATTAAGAATGCTCAGGTATATAACGTTAAATTGTCTATTTCTGTAATTACGCAATTAATACTACTGCTACTAAACAGGATCAAGTAATCGGCATCAGTCAGATGGTTAATAAACTAGATGGAACGGCTTTTAATAAGAATGACGAGAATCTAATGGAAGCGTTCGCTATTTTTTGCGGCATGGGGATACATAATACTCATATGTACGAAAAGGCGTGTAAAGCGAGCGCGAGACAGCGAGTGGCTCTGGAAGTTCTTAGTTATCACGCACAAGCTCCATTAGAAGATGTAGAAAAATTACATATTACAGACGTAAATTGACTTAAGTGACGACCTCGAGACGTCAAACCTGTGATTCTTTGATTTACTTTCTAATGATTTTGCTTTTATTTATTTACAGGAGAATTTCGCTCCCACTTCCTCCGAACTAGGCTTGTATGATCACAATTTCTCGGATTTCTCCCTGGAGGATAACGATACGATTAAAGCTAGCTTCAGGATGTTTTGCGAATTGGATCTATTTGAAAAGTTCCACATTGATTACAGAATTTTCTGTCACTGGCTCCTGAGTGTTAAAAAGAATTACAGAAACGTTATTTATCATAATTGGCGACATGCTTTTAATGTCACCCACACAATGTTTTGGATGATGACGGTTTGTTTACTCAATAAAAACGTCTTCTAATATAATAAAACGGTCGAATGTTTTCTTTTGATCAGCAAGCAGATCTCGGTAATTATTTTACTGACTTGGAAAAGTTGGCCTTATTTATAGGTTGTTTATGCCATGATTTGGATCATAGGGGGACAAACAATCAATTTCAAATAAAGTAAAACATTTATAAATATTCACAATTATATCTTATAAAAAAGAAACGTCTCCTTTTTGCTCTTTTCTTTTACTTGTTTTTACTTTCAATAGGAGTATGTCACCATTGGCTCAATTATATTCAACGTCTGTCATGGAGAGACATCACTTTGAGCATTGTATTATGATATTAAGCACGAAAGGCACAGACATTTTATCGAATTTAACATCTGAAAAATATGAAAAAGTGATTAAATTACTGGAACATGCAATATTAGCTACTGATTTGGCAGTTTATTTTAAGCAAAGGCCTGAATTTTTCTCCTTAGTTGACTCTTCAACTATAAACTGGGAATCAGACAAGGATAAAGAATTAGTTAGGGCAATGATGATGACTGCCTGCGATGTTTCGGCCATAACCAAACCTTGGAATATTCAAAAGAAGGTCGCCAGCTTAATAGCAAATGAATTCTTTGAGCAGGGCGATAAAGAGAAAGAATTAAAAATTACACCTATAGATATGATGAACAGAGATAAAAAAGACATGTTTCCTTCATTACAAGTGTCGTTCATAGACGGTGTGTGTATGCCTGTCTACGAGGCGTTCAGTAAATTTAACAATAAATTGGCGCCTTTATTAAAAGGCTGTGAAGCTAATAGGCAAGAGTGGAAAAAGCGCAAAGATAATCTAACAGAGGATGAACAAATTTCAAAACCTCCTAAATAAGACCTTCCTACAACCAACAAATTACAAGGGAACTGTGTCCGTTGCAGTGGTTGTTGTATTGTTTAGTTTTGTTTGTTTTATTTAAATTTTTTGATATTCCTAATCTCCCCCCCCCCCGCCCAACCCTCCTCCACACATCTGCAGACGAAGACGTCTAGTCATGTTTCTGTTAGCATCTTTAAAGAAAGGCTTCTTTTATTCGCTTACTATTCTCTATTGCTTTTTTACCTCTTTGAAAAGAAAAGATCTTTTATTTCATAACCTTTTCTATTGGCCATACTTCCTCTTCTGGTTCTAGCTACGGCATTTGCATAGAATATATACATTCTACAGTATATATATATATATATAACTTCTTGTTTCATTTTCTTATTTTTACAAAGTGATCGTTCAAAATGCAAACGTTTTGTTTCTAGTTGAAAAACATTATTTAGTAAAAATATATATATACAAATAAAGTATATATATATATGTATATGTTCTTTCTGTGATAAACGGCCCTGAAAGCCTGCAAAATTATCAGCTGCATATAATTTTTCAAGCGTATAAAAATATAAACATATAAAATAATATATCGAGTACAATTGTACAAATGTTTCTCGCGTTTTATGCAGTTGTTGATCTCAATAAATCTGACCCGTTTGAAATAAACTAGGCCTACAAGTTTTTTTTCTCTTCGTTTCGTGTAGATCGGTTACAGGGCGGAGCCAAACAAGTAAACCTGGTTTGCGTTATTTAGAGATTTTGCGCAGCAGTTTGGCACTGTATGCGGAAAGAGAATGAACGGATTGCTCTTTATTTACGTTTATTTCATTGCCGGCTTACAGGTAAAAAAATCTTAGCCTTTTATCCTTGTACGTGTGACCTTTTAAAGTAACGAGAGAACATCCGCTCCCCTAGGCTGACTTACTGTCGAAAACTTTATTGGACCCTTATAAGATAACTGATGAAGAATCTAGGTCACTGAAAGAAGAGAATTCAGAGGTTCGTGGTGGCTTTGAAGACCAATCGGGTTGTATCACAAAGGAGTGTTCAATTGGTCACGAATGCCGTCTTGACGACTTTGGAAAACCATTTTGCGCATGCGCTGAATCTTGTCCTAACGATGATCCCAATGCCTTTATTTGTACGAACCAGAATATAAGCCTACCCAGTGAGTGCGAACTGCACCGCATACGTTGTATGTGTAAGAAAAGAATGCCGCAGTGTGCTGACCAAAGCTTTAGTCATATCCATCTTGATTATTATGGTCCATGTAGGCAGGTACAAGAGTGCTCAGAAGAGGACCTATCTCAATTTCCTAAGCGCTTAAAAGAATGGTTCGAAGATGTCGCCGACTTTTTAGAGACAGACGGGCGATTAACTTACAGACAAGCTAAAAAAACTTCAGCAGCTATTTGGAAGTTTTGCGATCTCGACTTATCAAAAGATAGGATATTGTCCCATCGCGAAATGCGCCCACTTATCACCTCCCTAAAAGGCTTCGAGAGCTGTATCAAGCCATTTCTGCACCAGTGCGATGATGACTCCGACGACGAGATCACTCTAGAGGAATGGACAACGTGCCTTGGCATCGACTCAGGTATAATTACGATAAAAATTAGTTTATACTGTATTTTTTATACGACATAAACATAAGATCGTCTGCAGATATTTTTTAAAGAGGAAAATGTACAGAGCACCAGGAACTTTCTTTTATTTTTTTGTTTTTGTTTATACATAACACATACTTTAAACAACCTTTCGTACACAGATAACGTTGAGGACTTGTGCGGCCAACTTTCTGCGGACGAAGACACAGCACAAGAAACAAAATAAACAACTTGATAATAGTATAATATTGCTTTTATGCTTTAGGAGACTTTTATTAAAAAGGCGTGAAGAATAAAAAATAACATGAACCTATGCTTCGACGTCAAGCTTAAAATTCCTTACAGGCAGTTTGTCAAATGTACAAATAAAAATTGAGCAGAACATCTAAAAATATTCGTTCTCCTATTGTATTAACAAACTGCTTTATTAAATATTTACATATTGTATAGCATTCAAGTCGAAACAATTACATATATATCTATACATATATATCTATATATATATATATATATATCTATATATAAATAGACATATATATATATATATATACATACATACATATATATATAACTTTTTTAATATATATATATATCTCAATATGTATATATATAACAAAAGATGTTAAGTGCAAGACACACTAATAAATAGACGGTAGAAAAAGGCCCGACCTGTCCAATTCTCAGAATCTCCAGATATCAGTCCAACAATCAGTAAGCTTTCAACCAACACTTTTTTCCATATATTTTTTAGTTGCGCCTAGCAAAGCTACCGCCACGGCTGGAGAAGTTACCTTTATCACCGCCTGGCCTCGTTGGCATACCTCTACGTCCTGCACCAGGTCCACTCATTCCTCGTGGAGCTGCTCCCGGACGGTTCAATCCGGAGCGACCCATTGAACCAGACGGCACCTTTGCTCCATCACGTGGCTTCTTTTCTTCAACATTCAATCGCCTATCGCCTCTGATTGTTAGCTGTCCCTGTTGATATAATGTAGCTAATTAGATGCATAAATAAATGTGTAAATCAGAGTAGTTTTAAATTAGGTTTCAGGTTGAGTACAAAAGGTGTAAATTCTCCACACTATTTTTTGCTCGGAGAGGGCAAGCCACACTCATCATTTGGTTTAATATAGCCTAGATAATATTTGAAATATTAGGAATGCTTACCCTTTTGTTCAAAACAGCTGCTACGGATCCTACTTCTTTGAAAACTATGAATCCATAGTTGGGGGCCTCTTGTTCATCTTTCGTTTTTTTGTTATTTTGAATGATTCGAACTTCCTCAACACTTCCGTAACGTGTAAAGTACTCGCGTAGTTCATCTTCAGTCGTGTCATGCGCCAAATTTCCAACAAAAACTTGATGAGAGTCCTGAAACCTTCTTGTGCTTCGGACCTCACTATCACTCTCAACGCCGCCTGACCTACTAGTTTCCCTCTCTGATTGGCTAAGGGATGGGCGTCCCCGTTCGCGTCGTGGAGCTCTTTGGGGTTGCTCCACAGGCTTGGGTTCAGTTTTAGGAGGAACTGTCGTTGTTGCGGCTGGCGTGGCTGTTTTGACAATTGTATTTTTGCCGGCCATGTCTGCCCATGTAGGCTTAGCAGCAGACTCTATAGAATAAGATAGCTAAAAAAAAATATTAAATCATATAACGTAATTTACCTGGTTGGCTTGTTTTTTCTTCAGTTTGTTGGGGTTCCGGTGTTGTTTCAACTTCAACTGGTTCTGGTTCCGTTTTCTCTTCTTCTTTATGCTCCTCTTCCTCTTCCAAGTGAGCTGATCCATTGCTAGAATTTTTAAAAAATAATTAAAATAGTGCAATGTTATAAGCTTCTTTTAAACCATGGCGTGGTTTTTATCTTACTTTCAGATAGATTTATCAACAACGACGTAGGTCAGAATGTGACAGCAGGCAACTGTCTCTGAAGCCTACGCTCAGACGCAAATTACGAACATCATAAAGTGAATGAAAGGATTTCTGTTTCTAGGACAATAGTATAAATCTACCTCATAGGAGCTGCTTGCACTTCAACACCATCGGGAACGTTTTCAGCATAGTAACCTTCTTCTTGTACATCTCCAGCTTCTTCCACGGCTTCAACGCTATGTATTTCGTTCGATTCTTGTCCATCATTTTCGAATACTTCGTCTTGATAACGAAATATGTCGTTATGCACGTAGTATTTTCTCGGTTCTTGCTCGACCAAAACGAAAGTTTGCATAAACCTTCGCATTGGGCCATTATCATTCGATAATTCTCCGCTAACTTGAACAACGATGCCGTTACCAACAGATGCTTGACTGTCCACAAGGAAGATTTTAGCTCTACAGTTGGTAAACTTCAAATCCATTATGCGTTGGTGGATTTGTTCTTGACCGCAAATTGCGGGTTGCTCTTGCCCGGCTTTCTCCATGCCTCCATGAAGGAAGCTCGAATTGGCGCTATAAAAGCGGTGGAGATACTGCGGGGCTTGGTGTAGCAACGTGTAATATTGGCGGACGAATTCCCGAGCAACGTTGTGTGCTGAGGGTTTTTCCATTACCATGGCTACTGAAAGTTGAGAGACCTGTTAGAATAAAGTTATCTTAAGTTCTGACGTTGTAACGGATGACTAAATGGTTATGATTAACAACGTGGTTTTCTCATTCTATAACTTTCGCTTTTCGGCATTCTTTTCTTGCTTAAGTAATAGATATATATATATTATGTATTATTTTAAACGAAAAGTGAAGATTGAAAGTCTTTTAAGCGAGATAATGAACGTCGATTGTGCGCACATTTTAACGTCAAGAATGCCGGTTTGCGCATGCCTGCAACATGAACTGGCGTGAATCTTTTTGTAGACAAAAAAGCACGCCGTTTTAAGAATATATGCAAAGTTAATTGAAAAACGCGTCATTTCAATTAAAATGTAACACAAAAAGGTTTAGCCTAAGAGCGTTACAGCGAGACTTCCGTCAACTTACCTCTGAAGATTCCGAGAAAAATATGGCGCTAGCTCGTGTCGAACTGTGAATGTAAAGTGCCCGTATGTTCGATTTTCGTATAAAAAATAATTTTCGTAAAAATTATCACTTATTTTGGGTAAAATTTTAACAATGCTTTTAGAAATTTAGTTAATTTTTAAATACGAAATTTTTTAGTATGGTTGGTATCGTCTTGCGTATTTGGGTAGTTAATACCGGGGCGGAATACTTTTGGGTTGCTAGGGTATATAGTTATATAACACGAGGGCTGGTTAAGTATTGGCTATAAGAATTTTCAAGCCATGGCGGGAATAAACAATTATCACAATGAGGCCCTCCGAAAAGCAAGAATACTTCAACGCCAGCGTGACGCTGCCAAACAACAATTAGAAATGACACATAGTCGGGTACAAAAGTTACAATTACTATAGAAAAACAAATAATTTTAATATTTGAAGTCAAATATTAAACTTTACCTACCAAACAGAATGAAGGGATTTCTGCTCAAAAACTTGAAACTGTAAGAAAGCCTGATAGCGAACTAACAGCAATGAGTGGCGAAAGACGCAGGTAGGAAGTTTTTAATTCTAGATACAATTTAATGAAAAAAAAGCATAATCTGATTAATTAATCAGTATTTCCTTGGCGTTGTTTAATGCTATTGGAAAAGTATACATATACACTGACATTTAGATAATTTATGCAAGAGATGGCTTATGTCAAAGATAGAGCTTCGATGTCAAGGTGTTTTATGAAGTTTTATTGCGTGAACTGTTGCTTATTGTACAATAAAGGTGAAAGCAGATTATTATACAGATCGATCTATAAATCTATTGACAATCTGAAAAGCGGAGGCATTTTTATTATTATGTAATAGGTTATTATACAGATAGGTTGAAAGTCTATTATTCTATCTAGCATATCCTCAATAAGTCGTCCGCCTAGTTTACCGCCGACAACAGCAAGGTCAAAGTACAGTCGACCATTTACCTTGTCAAGCAGCCGATTGACTGAGGGAAGGATTCCGTCGACGGCATCGGACGGAATACCTTTCACACCAGAACTACCTAAAGGGGGGGAAACTTTGTTCGAATGTGATGATGCAGCATTTTTCGATCCAGATGATCCTTTTACCTATTAATTAAACAAGGTGAAACATACGCATGATAATCTCGTTTAGTAGATATCACTTGTGTAATCACAAGCTTCCATTTTTATCACCTCTTTGAGTGAAGTAGGAAAGAAGCTATCCCGGTGCTTTATGAAACCCAATTTATATTCATCAAAGGTCGCCTATCGATTTCTTTAACACAGCAATGGTATCTATCGAGTCATCTATCCGGGTTCGGATAATCGGGAATACACCGAAAATTCATTGAAGAAGAATAGAAGAATTATTGCCAATGCTACAAAATACGATATTCGTAGTAAAGTCAACGGAGAATGGGATGTAGAAATTTTACGACAGTTGAACGAAGATAATTAAATACTTATCTTATCAATCACTCGAATCAAGAAAAGATCACTAAGAAAAAAAAAACATATATCTTGCCTTCTTTAAAATGTACCAGAAATTTTTTGTTTAGTTTTTTTTTATTTTTTACCGTTTCCTGTCAATAGCTTTTACAAATTATTTTCACAAACTTAACTTTAGCTCAAGTTAACTTTTATTTATTTATTTTTAACGTTTAATTAATTAACTTAGTTGAAGAGAATTTATAAAACAAAAAAACCAAAATACTACTTATTTCAATCAAACAAAAAACAAACCAACCCACAACAGGCACTTCTCACAAAGCGGTACGAAATACAATCAACAATTATACGATCATAGCAGAAATGGACCACTTTGCGAAAATAGTTGGACCACAATTGAAAAAGAGATTTTTAAGCAAAGTCGTATTCTTAGAAATCATAATCTTTATAATGGAAATTCGTCCGCCTTCAGAGAGCTTTATAGCAGAAATGGGCTTTCGATCAATCACCGTTGAAGTCACCATTGATTTATTTCGCACTCGAGACACAAAAAACCAAATGTATCTCCTAAACCTATTAAAATATATTTTTCTATCTATCTCTCCAGCAAAAGTGGTAGAATGTAAGCACCTCTTTCCTTCTATCTATTTTCTACTATACACTGGAAAAATGCCATTATTCAATTTTACTAATACAAGTCATGATTTTATTTATAAAAAGTAATATTAATAAAAAAATGCTTTTGTGTTCTTTTACACCGACTTCAGTATTTGTGTTGCATTTTTTTTATATGCAAAAATTACAAGAATTTGAAAATAAATAATAAAAAAATGAGAAAACTCCTTATTGTCCAGTTTATTTTTTCGTTCTTCTTCCAAATATTCCTGTTTTTCATTATAGAATATAAGATATATCAGTCAACTATTTAGAGCAACTTCGCATGAGGAAGACAACTCTAGAGCGCGCATCTTTGACTCATACTCTACTTTCGGGATATTTAGATCTGATTGGTTAATATGTAGAATGTAACGTGCTGCACTTGCCTTTAATAATGGGTGAAAAGCGATTGGAATTAGTTAAATATATGAGGCTATTTTATGCAGCTTACTAGAGTAGCGAAGCAATAGGCCTCTTGGCCACGTTCTATCCTACAAGGCAGGGCGAAATTGAGCAGAAATTCTTCAGTTGACCTTACGTGAAGAGGTGAGGCTTGTAACACAACATAGATCATCACTGTGACTAGATCATCGGCACAAACAACCTCAAAGCCTGATGCTAATAAAGCCTTTTCACAAAATTTTACTGCTCGTAGCTGAAAGAAGTAAGGAAAAAACATTCAGTGCTAAAAGATCAAGATGCAATTTCACATATAGAAAATTTACAGCGCAGTTCATCATTTCGAAAGGATTCTTCTTATTGATGATCCTCTGCAGAGTACTTGTTGCTTTGCGAATCTGACAAACGACATCTTCGTTATCCATTCGCAAAGGACAGCGTAGATGATGCGGTTCAATCCATTTGAGAGTATGACATTTGTGATAGAATTTACAGTCTTCGTCATTAAACTCTGATATTGATAGGGTAAATAGTTGGCAAAATAATCTCGTGAGAACGTATCTTTCAACGCATTCAATAACCTTGGAAACATTTTCTTCGTCACCAACTGTAATAAAAAATATCAAATGTGAAATTCTTTATTCGTCCGTATACTTAAGTTACCTATTTCCGACTAACCCCAGAAATCTTTATCAGTTTTCATTAATTTATCAATTTCAGAATAAAAAGCAAATAGCTTTTTACGAAAACGTTTAATGGAAGTATTTTTCTTATCCATACTTTTCAATTCGCTAATTAAGTTATAGCATTTGTCCAAAAATCGTTCAGTAGTCCGTTCATTCAAAGTATAGACTTGTAAGTCGGTTAAAAATCTTCTAGTTGATAATTTATCCGGTCTAAACTTGCCTAATCTATTCCTTGAGCGACAGCCGTCTTCCTCATCGGAGCTGGTTACAAGATCTAACCGGAAATTATGAATGGTTAATTTAAGTTCAATATGAATACTAAGTATCACGCATAAGAGGCTTTTTAAGTTAAACCTTTGTCTGAGAATAGAGAGTATAGTTTCGGAACGCCTCTTTCGGTGGTAGCTCTTATATTTTCAAGGTAATTCTTATTATAGGTCGGATATTGAATATTTTGCCATTCTTCCAAGTTGCTATCATTCAATTGATCATTCGCAGATATCCTAGATGTATTTTCACTATCCCAACTACAAATCGACTCATTCATTTTTACGTATGAACTCGTGAACTTTCTCCTCAACGACGCGACCCGACTGAATAGAGCGCGCCCTGCATAACAAATCCAACCAATCAGGTACCATAAAAATCACGTGACAACAACATTTGAAATTGCGTAATTCGCGCGCTTTGGCATTAACCGGGTATTGGCACGTGTTTCAACTTTTACTCCGATATCTTAAGGTTTAGAAAGGTACATAATACTGGTAAAAAAAATTAACGTTGCGCAATTTTAACGAGAACATTATTACATTTTCAACGTTACCAGTTTAAGCAAGATATTTGTAGAGAATATTAATTGAATTATATTTATAATTACTTTATCACGGAAATAGATAGACTATTTTACTTGGGTGACAAAGTAAATATTTTCAATTTGAGATCACTAATCATGTTACAACAGAAAAAATAGACTAAATGCTGTTTATATTGGTGGCAAAAAAAATTAAAATCTGTTAAAATTCTTAAGATAGTTTAAAGAGAGAGAAAAACAACTGCAAATTCGTTTCCGTATTTCTCTTACTTTTAGAGATTCCGCAAAATAAATAGAATGATGATGGGGAAGAGGGGAGAAGAGATGAAAACATAACCTATAAAAAGTATACAGAAAGATGAATGACAAGAAGAGGTTGATGACAAGAGAGAGAGAGAGAGCAAAAATCTATTTGTTGTTTGCTAATATTTTTCTACGACGAAGATTGTAAATACTATATCATTCTCATTTTTGCTAAAACAAACTAAGAAATATGATATAATACATCAACTGTTATGCGAGGTTAGACAGAGTTCAACCTATCAGCCTATGGAATACCAGTGATTGAACCGCTAGTATCAATATAGGACGATCATTGGCAAATAGCCTAAATAAAGGATACTATGGAATATTCCATAATACATGTCAAGAGAACGTATTAAATATTTTCATTGCCGTCTTAGCAAGTATTAATATAATTAATTTCCCATTTTAATACAAAAGAAATCAAACTATTTACGTATTCTGGAGATTGTCATGTCCTATTTCTAGTTTGGTAAACTTTAAAAGAGACTTTCCATTTTTTTAAATTGCATTACTTATTAGTGTCAGATGGCTTAATTAATGTGTTTGTGGAAAGGGAACGATTACTAGGTAAGAACTATCTCCAACGTTCTAATCGACTTATTACATCCTGTTAATATTGATTAATCTATTGTTTATTATCGACGAAACCATATCTCAACCATAAAAAAGTCGTAGATAAATATGTAATAGACAGAGAGAATCAAGACGGTAAATAAAAAAAAAAGAATGAATATAGGGCAAAGAGAAAGTTAACTGCTTCCTCAGGGAAAAGCTAACTCCCACAGTCGCGCCCTAAGGAATCGATTAGACGTAGGTAGTTTACTAGACTTGCTATATTAATTGCATTTTTATTAATCCCTTCATAACTATGTTACAGTAAAGCCACGGAAATTAATAGCCGAATACTAATCACTCGATTCTGAATTGTTAATTAGTATTTCCTGTTTCTCTCTCTCTCACCCTTCTCTTAATATCTTTGTCATATTTGAATTAAGTTATTTGTGAAGAAGAAAAATATTCAACAGGATCATACATGTAGAAGAAAAGGATAAATTTAGGCAAAGAAAACCTAAGACGTTGCCTACTCTTTGATTCGTCTTTACTATAAAAGTCTTACAAGTGTCTTATTGTTCGCCCTTTTTCTATGTTTTGTATAGAAATCGAAAAGGCAGCTCACCAAGAATATAATCCTCTCCCCAAACCTGTCATCATAGATGGCGCTAGCCGACGAAGACTTAGAAGTAAACAAGAATAACCTATTATTTTGTGTTACTAGCCTGAAATTTTTTTTATAGAACAGCAAAGTTAGTAGGGGAGAGAAAACAACAATCTCATTGAGGATAACTCTTTTTATCCGCTAAAAATTTCCTTTTCTTCTTTTTCATTTTCGAATAAGAAAAAAAAGGAATTACAGTCCACTCTACTCTATACTGTCACCATTTCTTTAAAAAAGTAATTACTAAAGATTCCAGAACGCCTTCGAGAAAGCTAGAGCTAGGTGGAAGGACAGTAATTGATGCAATACAGTATACAGATACAAATTTCGATGTTCTATGTTTATTTTGTATTTTTTAATTAGTGTTTATCTCTTCCACCAACACCCACTGCTATTTATTGTCTATATATTCTATATAAATATTCTGTATATATAAATTTATATTTCTTCTTATTCTATGTATTTTTTAATTTTGTTAGACTTTATCGATTTCTTAACTTCTTCATACTCTTGCTTCATTAAAGCATGATAAAATGATTCGGGAGAGTTGAATATTAAGCCTTGTAAAGCATGTTGAATATAACCGAATGTTCGACTTTCGACTCCTACTGTATTCAAGGCAGATCTAACATACTTTTCTGGCAGTGGTACGCTAAAATTTACACTCATATGTCCAACCAATTTCGTACTAACATATGAGGGAAGCACACTTTGAACAATAATCCCAAATTCCCGTACCTCCTCTTGAAGAGATCTAATAAAGGGGAGAGTAAAAGGAAGTTAAAAGGGAGAATAAATTAGTTATGCAGAGTGAAATTTACCTTGAAAAGAGATCTGTGTAAGCTTTTGTAGCTCCATAAATTACTTTAAAAGGTTGAACGAATGTTCCAGATATGGAGCCAACGTTAATGATAATTCCATTCCGCTTTTTTATCATTGATGGTAGAACAGAGTGAGATAACATTGTCAGTGGTAACATATTGCATATAATAATATTTTTAATGTCATTTCGGTCGGTTATATTATGAACGTAATTTCGCCCAAGACCTATTCCAACGTTATTAACGAGGACTCCTATGTCAATTTCTTTTAATTCATCATCAATTGTTTCGTAGATATCTGTTTTACAACAGTCTGCCGCTATAGTCTTAGTTTCAACATTGTATTGGCTCTCTGCAAAAAATTAACTTCTGTCAGTTTGATTCCTTTGAAATTGATATTATTGTCAAAGGAAATTTTTATCAAAAAACCTGAGGAAAAAAAAGGAAAAAAGAGATACAGGTCAAACTACAAAGTAGCTAACTAATTAAAACTAATAGGTGCATCTTCTTTATCATTATCAATTAAATTTCCTTTTGAAACTACAAGCAATTACTAAAACTCTCCATCTTGTGATAGTTTTCAGAATATATACACTATATATATATATATATATTATTTATATTATATATATACATTTACTGCATATATGTTGAAAAACAACATTCCTTCTTACCTAATTCTTTTGCTACTCTCGCCAATTTTTTAGGATTTCGGCTAATCAGACATATTTTCATACCACGTTCGGCTAGCTATGTAATTCATTTTATTGGAGTTAAAGTTCATACGAAAGGTCCACGGAAGACGAATGAAAAAGTCAATACCTGACAGGCGTACGCCTTTCCTATACCATCGGTTGCTCCAGTTACGACTGAAGATAATATTTTATTATAAGGTTAATATATCATTAACATTCATTTTATTTCTCTTGGAAAATTGAATAAAAAGGTTACTTACCCGCCCATTCCCCACAAGCTTTAAAATTGAAATTGTTGCTAAGAAAAAATTGCCTAACAAACTTCCTGGCATACCAAACAATCCGTAGGGCTATATAAACTAGAGTGCAAATACCTATATTCCTTAGAAATTGCTCCATCGCATCGATGCTAAAAGCCAAATTACAATATCAAATTATCAGCTTTTTACACAGTTTTCAAATTAGGCATCAGCTGTAATTGTTTAATTTTATGTTATAACTATACATCTGTCACTTTTCTATTAAACACATCAAAAATGTGTTAGCGAATACATGTAAAGTGAATTAATTTTTAATGATAAATTTGTAATATTTTTTAAATTTCTACAAACCTGTTCATAAGACAGGCATATTATATATACATATATATATATAAATTTATTCACTAATACAATATATATAGATAAATAAATATATAATGTATATACATATTTATACTGTATATTACGGACATTAAACCACAGGTATAAAACTATCTATCGGAAAGTAAACATCCATAAACAAAAAATTTATGGGTGAGTTGACTGAGCGGATAAACTTGATTAAAAACTAATTCATTACTTTCTTCTTATGTTTATAAAATCTAGAGATGCTGGTTCACTTTCTGGCACTGTATCATTCCTATTAAGATCATTGTTCTATAATAAATTTATTATTAGTAATTAAACAATCGTAGACATTTTTTATACCATTTCTTTATCATTTTCACTATCAATCTCTTGAGAAAGGATGGTTTTTACTAGATTTTGGAAACAATACAATTAGTATTTAATTACAGAAAAAAATGTCAAATTCTCTTTAATACTTACACTTATCTTCGACATATGCATTGTAAAATGCAATTGACATATCATCTCTCTGAATAATTCCTTTGGAATGCAACTCCATAAGATTTATCAAATTATCAGTAAACCGGGTTTTATCTACAATAATAAGTAGCCTTTTTTAATAAAAATATTTATGTAATTCCCTCCTATACCTTTATCATTTCCAAGAAGCTTTTGAATGTCATATTCGCCTTCAGCTATTTTGCGTTTAATTTCTTTACCATTTTCTAAGACGGATTCGAAATCCTTTATAACACTTTTAACTCGAAGATCTTTAAAGATATGTATATAAACTAGTTAGTTAGATTATTCAAAATATTTCATAAATTAGATTGTTACCCAGTCTATCTTCCTTCATCAAATCTTTACGTCCAAAAATCTTCAACAGCTCTGATTTGTCCATTTCGTTAAGTTGCTTTTGAAGCATTTCATCATCTCCTACAATACCGTCTTTAACCAGGTTGTCAAGAAGTTTTATCATTGGAGGCAACCCTTGTATGATTTTAGCAAATTTATAAGGATATCTTTCTTCAGTGATTTTTTCTAGACGAATTTTTATTTCATGTCCAATTGATATTACCATATCCGCATGACTTCCTAGTAGTAAATAGACGTTTTCATGTTTTGCTAGATTACACAAATTCTGGCGTATATCTTCTTCGTCGTCATTAATATCTCGTAGACGATCCATATCATCAATTACTATAAGGAAACGTTCTTGAAATTTACGCTCAAAGACTCCTATTAAAGGAGTCACCCAATTCAAACCTGGAACATCTATAGCCTCTGGATCTATGCCCATGATCCACTTTTGAAGGACTATTTTTAAAGTCTGGCCAATTTTGACACTCTCCTTATCCGTCATATGTTTGAGAGTAGTATAGAAACAATGATCGAAAGCCTTCCCATCTTTGTCTCTTAAATGAGATTTTATATATTCTAACTCAGTTGTAACTCCTGACCACTCTGGTCCCCATATATATAGGATTTTAGATTGACACTTACGAATTTCGTCGTCATATTTGTTTGTTTCCGGTCTACCACATCTCCTATAAAAAAAGTAAAAAGTAATATAAATAACCAGGAGTAGGAATCGAAGGACTATCCCATAAGAAAGTTAAGTATTATGGGGTTTTTCAATAAAAGTAATTTTATGAGATATAATTTCCAGAATCTGTTATATAGGAGAAAAGAATACACTAACGGTATAACTAAAATATGATACGTGTCGGGTTTATTGACCTTTTAGTCACAGGATGTTTTAAAACAGGCTTAAGAGCTATTAATCTGGGTTGCTAATTATACTAATTTCATTTATTTGTAACTGTATATCACACATATGAGTCGAAACTTGAAGAACAAATTTTACTATTATTGAATTAGGGCAAATAGACTACCGTAGCCCATTAGGTCTGCTTTATATTTATATCTTAGGTGTACTCTCTATATACATATAACTAGATGACAAAGTTCAACTTACGAATTTGATCGACTAAAATTAGGATTGCTTTGAGCATTCATTCAGCCAAGAAACTCTAAAATTGTAGTATTATATCCAAAAAAAACTATATCGTTGTAACGATTCCACCAATAAGAATTTGTATTTTCGTTTTGGTACAAATACTATAATGTATTCAGGCTAATGTACAGAGAAGCTAAGATCTGACCGCTAGCGCCATCTGACGAACGTGCATAGGCTACAATTACTGTAGCGCTATAGTACACATTCAAAATGGCGGCCTGGCAGTAGAAACAAAAATAACATCTCTTTGATTTCTAAGTGATTAATGTATGTATTAAATTTTAAATATCACATTTAAAAGTATAATGAGACTTTCAATCATATGCATTTTAGAATTTGGGTGTGTTTGTTTGTTAAGTAAATCTCTGTATATTTGGCAACTTCTGTGGGATAAAGCAGGTTTTTGGGCTATAAAAATTTGTTCACTAGAGATCGATCGATATAGAGGAGTGTACGGGCGATTCGTTGCTACGTTTGCTGCTGAACATCTGTGGTAGAAATACTTTATACCTAACCAACCATTCCTGTCCGAACACGTTTTGAACATTCAGTATACTCGTCAAGACATAGTAAATATGGCCTCTGGAAGCTGTCTATTAGATATTTTAAAGGAAGCAAAACTACAGCAGTATTTTGCAAATTTTAAAAATAAAGGTTTTATTTTGTGTGATTCCTTGTCTAAATTAACCATGGAGGATTACTCTTCCCTTGGAATTTCTTCAAATGAAGATCGTCTTCGTCTGTTTAAGCTAGTCGATGCATTGAAACGTCTATGTTCGGAAGGCTTCGTTTGCCAACACACGAATTCTACTCTTATTAAAAAGCCTACCACTCATAAGAAAAAACCGGTAAAAAATATAGGCCTTGTTAAAGTTGTTCGACATCCTATTCAATCAAATGTGAACAACAACCGACAACCGACTAAATCTAGTCAGAAAACGTTAGCAGATTCTCCTATCTTCCCGAATCCGAAGAGAGTTTTAAATTTTTCTAATCTATCAGAGGAGGAAGAAGAGAAAAAAGTTGAAAAGAAACCTTCTACTGTAAGGTCTGCCACATCCGTGCTTACTAGGAAAGTTACTAGGAAATCAGTAGAACATTCGTCGAATGACGTTGAACTTATTAGGAAAAAAGTAGAGCCAGCTACTTCACCTGGTGGGAGGAGAAGATGGTCAGATTCAACAAAAGTTTCAACAGTCTCTGCTACTGCAACTTTGGTCAATAAACGACAAGTCGTTAATAAGCAGCACGCATATTTCCCTCTTAGAAAGAAGAGTGATCAAAAAAAACAACAAAGTATTCCAGTCGAAAGAATATATCATTCAGAGCAAAATTATGACTACGGGCTTCCATCGGCAAAATCAACAAAATCTCCAGCATTATCTACAGTATCTTCCGGTAATTGTCGAATAACTGTTTGCGCAAGGAAAAGACCCTTGCTAAAAAAGGAAATTAAAAAGGGCGATGTTGATGTAGTTGAAATGGAAAATCCGGAGGAAAAAATATCCCTAATAGTGAGAGAACCAAAATTAGCAATGGATCTCTCAAGATACGTAATTGAGGTTTGCCCACTTACTTTATATTTAATTACTGAAAAACGTTTCCTAACTATAAATTTATATTCTTTAATGACTCTAGCATGTTTTCAATTTTGATTCGATATTTGACGCCGAATGCTCAAACTACAGCGTGTACAATACCAGCGTTCAACCTCTTGTGCAACATGTGTTTAATAGGTAAATTTATCACTGCTATTTAATATATTAAAAGTTCTATTTTAATTGTCTTATTACTTAAAATTTCTAGAGGAACGTCAACTTGTTTTGCATTCGGTCAAACTGGAAGCGGAAAGACCCACACGCTATTAGGTAGTGACACGGATCCGGGCCTATTTCTAATAGCTGCTAAAGATCTTTTTGGAATGATGGATAGTTGTTCATCGGGTTTAAAGCTTTGGTTGAGCTATTATGAAATATATTGTGGACAGCTTTATGATTTATTAAATAAGAGGAAAAAGTATAAATAGTCTTTTTAACTTATTTCTAAACAGTATTTAATTTATTGATTTCTTTTTTATTATTATAAAAACAAAAATAGAATATATGTTCGGGAAAATGGATCACAAGAGGTTTGCGTTGCTGGTTTAACTGAAACACCTGTGACAAATTCAAAATCATTACAAGAAATTGTAAATTATGGTAATAAGGCTCGTAAAATAGGCTCAACGGGAGTGAATAGTCAAAGTTCTCGATCTCATGCTATTCTTCAATTTGAAGTGAGAGATTTTAATGATGATCGTCACGGAAGGTAACAAACACAGTGTAACAGATGAAATGCGGGTATCATATGTTTATTCATCTTTTTAGGATGATCTTTATCGATCTGGCAGGAAGTGAAAGAGCTGCTGATGTTACTGATAAGGATAGACAAACTAGAGTAGAAGGTGCCGAAATAAATCAAAGTTTATTAGCTGTTAGCATTTTTTCAAACAAAAAACTAGAATAGCATCTAAAAGAATATTTTTATTTCAGTTAAAAGAATGCATTAGATCCATAGATCACGATAAAAGTCATACCCCCTACCGGCAGAGCAAGCTGACTCACATATTGAAGGAATCTTTCGAGGGTAATGCAAAAACTTGTATGATCGCCAACGTTTCACCCGCCTTGTCCGCCTGCGATAATACAATAAATACACTCCAATATGCGCACCGTGTGAGGGATATTTATAGATGTAATTCTGAGACAAAGAAACAGCATCAGACTCCCTCTCAAGCAGTTGCGCATCCTTCCGTTATGAAAGAGACGTTTACGAAGGAATACGATGTAGAAGAAATTTCAACAATTCTTGAAGAAAATGGAATTAAAAAGACGGAAGCTGATATAAGAAATATGCACCCAACACTCTTTCATCCATCGACCATACCTTGCTCGTCGACTCCAAAGTCAACGAAACACATTAATAGGGAGAGGGACAACGAAGCTTTAAACTTAGATCAATTACTACACGATGCTTCAAATTCTCCAATCTCTGGCCATAAAGTTAATAGAAGTCGCAGTAGGGATGCTAGTCAGGGAGCATCTAGTAGATCTAGTTCGAATAACAGAGTGCCATTATCGACTAGAAGTTGCCCGGAAAAGATTTTTGAAGATATTCAATCTGATAAGGCAAGGTGTAATTCTGATAGCGAAATCATCTCAGTTGCTCAAAATACTCAACAGACCAAAGTTGTTAGAAAGGCAAATAGCGGTGAATCAGTTATGAAGGAGCATAAATTAGTTATGAGCGATCTTGACGAAGTTATAAACAGAGCAATTAAAACTTTGAATGAATCGAAAGAGTCTAGAGCTAAAAATGAATGTCAAAAGAATAATGAAGCCTCTAAAACTGAGAAATCCGACACTTTTGAAGATTCTCTTGATAAAGATCTAGGTTTAAAATCTTGTTTATCAACGTCTAGATCATCAAATAGTAGCCAACAAAATGCTTCAGGAGAAAAATCCGTTCACTTTTTAAAAGAAGAACCCGTAAAAGTTGAAGATGAAAGAAGACCTAAACTCTCAATCCATTCACCCCAGAGGCGAAATAGTTTTGAGAAGAGTAGAGATAAGGAATCGATTAATAGCCAAAAACATAGTTTAGAAATTATAGAGCTTTCACCAAAACTTAATAAAAATGACGAAAGAACTAAAGTACTCTCTCAATTAGGAAATGGACTTAAACCAAAGAAAAATCTATTAACATCTCCATCAAACACTCGTAAAGCTAGAGTAGATGGCGTAGAGACACTTTCAGACGATTTAAAAGAGAAAGAAGCTTTAAATAATGAGCTAATTAGCGAATTTCACCCAATTAAATCTTATACACCATCATCTAGCAAGACTAGCGTCGTAAATGTTCCGAAGCCTATCTTATATGACAACACCTTTCAGTAAGATTTTACACGATTATTAGTTATTTATTTATTTATTCACCTCATAAATTACTATAGAAATCAACTGATAACTGCTCACGAAGACGAACTTGGAAGTATAACTACGCTCAGTAAACACGAAATGAAAATATTGGTCGCCGTTAGAACTGGAGATATAGTAAATATTTACAATTCATTTATTAATGGAACCTCTTTTATTTTTAATTAATATATATTTTATTCTTTCTTTTATTTTCCCTTCAAGACGTTTACAGACTATTTGAAGACTTTGAAAGAAATTCTTGATCTCAAGAGACAACGAATAGCTACTCTTCAAGAGAGAATAAAAATAGCTGATAATTTAACTCATCAAACTTTTACGAATGGTTTATTATAGCTTTTAATTTATCTTTTAAGAGGAATAATTGCCCGCCCTGCTTTGTAAACAATTCACAGTATTTCACTTATGCATACTTATTTCGTTTTATTTTTTCTTAAAATAATTTCTCCCTCCCTACTCCTCTCTCTTTCCCCCTCAGACCGCTCCAAATCCTTTTAAAGTATTTCCCTAAGCATATATAATTTTAAATTTAAATTATATAGAGACAATCGTGACGTGAAGCGTCTAGTCTGTGATATAAATTAATTTTTGTTTTTTTAAAAAAATGCGAGCTTTTCATTTGTTGCCTTTTTTTTTTGCTTATTTGTTTTTTCGTGAGTGCAGTTTGTTCAATCAGAGTAACGCTTTTATCAGAATACAAACTTCTTATACAACAAATATATAAGCTTTCTTTCTTTAATCTTTCTGTGAGTTTTATTTGATTTAACTAGTTTTCAATGTTTTAACAAAATTGTTCATTTCCTCTTTTATAAAGTATCAGATTTTTCATTCTAAGAGAATATGTCTTCTATCTTCCGGCAACGGAAGAAGTTATAAATATATTGTATTATCTTTAGGAAGAGGAATTTATAACCTCCGGTACTTTGATGAGCGGAGTATATATCCTATCACATTTTTTTTCATTTTTAAGTCAATAATTAATATAAACCTCCTATGGGAATTCACTTGCCCAATCTCCCTATAATAGACGCAAGATGGCACTTAGTGTTCCCTGTCAAGCGGAATGAGGCATAATAGCAAAAATTAATTTTCTATCTTAATTAACAGAGAGTTTTTATTTATAGAAATGTAATGAATAAATTATTAAGTTAATAATAGTTTATTGTATGGAGCAGGTTTTATTAATTTTCTTCTTTTTTAGTTGAAATTGCTGAGGTAGGAATGTTAATTCAATACTTTTCTCAAATACATTCCAAACACTTTGTGAATCCTTCCTAGATGAACACTCTAGATAAAATGCTGCTCCAATTTCCTCGGCCGCTCTACATCCTTCATTAAAAGAAACAATTGATGATCTTCTTTGAAGAGGATTTTTCACAGAGCCTTTTTTCAAATCGGATTTAGTTCCAACTAATAAAATAGGCTTTCCTTTGAAATATTGGGTTATTTCTGGCAACCATTTACTAAAAATATTCTCAAACGATGCTCTATCAACGGTCGAAAAGCAAATAATAGCAATATCTGATCCACTATACCACAGTGATCTTAATATTTTATATTTATCTTCCCCCGCCGTCTCGTGAATTATAAGATTAATACATTTTTCTCGGAAGACAACTAATTTAGAATAACTTTCCTGAATGGTTTTCGACACTTCTTTCAAAAATTTTCCATCAGTTAATACTTTAACTAAACAAGATTTGCCCACGTTGTCATCGCCTATTAGGACACAGGAAACGCTGTCTCTACCATTTTCCATTGCAGATTTTCTTTCAATATACATATATATGTACAAAACAAATATATATTTATAAGTATAAATCTGATGTAGATTATCTTTCGTAGTAAATGTTTTTCCTCAGATTTTATAAATATCTGACTTTATTTTTTCATTCACCAGATAAATCTGTTGTTTTCTGCTTTCTAGGCCTAAAAGATGAGAAAACGAAAACACTTCTATGAATAAAGTTTATACTATGTTCAGAGGGTTTCGAATAAGAGAGAAAGAGTAAGTAAATTATATTTATCCATATACTTTATATATAAAGGTATACTCTGTATGAATAAACGTTAAGCTTTTCTAACAGACACAACTAGTCTTTAACGTTTACTTAATTATTTCTTTCATCTTTCCTTTTTATATAGACCTTATCAGACAAAATAAAAGGACAATTTATACTTTACTTACAAAGGTACGAGACACGTTCGCTTGAATCTTCAAATTGGATTGAGTAATACTTGAATAAAAATTTTTTAAAAAGATGTAATCCTAGCTTGACATACTTTAGTTTTTTATTTTTTACTTAATTAAATGGTTTTTATTGTTTTTTGTCCTTTTTCTATTTAATCTTAAGTATTTCTTACTTTCTCTCTCTCTCTCTCTTTTCCCCCCCTTTTTCACACCTATCTGTCAGTCAATCAATCTATCAATCCCTCTATCTCTTTTTATATTATTTTGGTCTATTATTTATTTTTCCTCTCATCTGATGTTTTGAATCCTATTTTCATTTATTATCCTTTCCACCAATCACTATTAAATAATAATTACTTTCATATTAATTTTTAATAATATCTTAGAAAAAACAGTCATTAAGCGAACGAATATTTCGCGTTTTGTACGTGCGTGTGTGTATCTCTGCATGCGCGCTTTCTGTATGGGATATCTCTCCCTCTATTTGTTAGGAGAGAGTGAAAAAAGAAAGAAAGAGAGAGAGATAGAGAGAGAATTTTTCTCCCAAATCTATAAATTACATAAAAAAAAATGCAATTTAACTAGCAAATATCAGTCAAAATGGACGGCGACAATATTTTTTTTCTTTGTTTAACCGAATAAAAAACTGTCAAGTATTAAATGTGTATAGTCCTATATTGATCAAATAGAACTAAAGAATAAAAGAAGGAATGGAGGTATTTCTTACTTAAATATAACATTTTCAATCTGGTTTATAACTAAAAAAAACTGTCGTAAAACATAAAATAATAATTTTATTCGAGATGTTTATTACTTAGATAATGAAAAACAACTGGAAAAAATGAAGATATGATAAAGTAATAATAGTAAATTATATAATCAGTAACAAACTCTGGCAAACAATATCCATATTTGTTATATAATGTCAAAGGTAAATGTTAAAATGTAAGATTGATAGGTTTTGGCATTTATTTTACCCGAATGCTGACCTTAAAGTGATCAGCGCTTTGCCATTAATTGGGCTATTGACATACTGAGTAATTTCATTAGATCGTTCACACACCTTGTTTTTAGGTTAACACACCTCTCTTAACATTTTTGACATGTCTGTAAAGAGGAAAAAGAATAATTAGACGGTAAAACAGTGAAAATAGGTTTGGTAAATAAGTCCTTAAAAGTCTCCGAATACGACAATCTAAATAATTGGGGAAGGGGGAGGGGAGTTCAAGCATTTCTAATATTGTAAAAGGGCAAAGTCTTCAGCAGAGCTACTTTTACGTTAATTCTACCAATATATAGTTAAAAAGAGTCTAATTTTAGCAACAATTAAAGATATTAGCTCAAAAATTCTTTCCTTAATTGTTTCCGCCGTATCGGATAAAAACCTAAAAGGGTTAAAAGAGACTGAAAACAAGCAACTAATGACGTCAGATCGTTTTTTTTATGTGGGCGTCAAATCTCAACATAGCAAATAGTCGTTTATTTTTTTTAGTGTATTTTGAACAGTGAGTCCAATCGATTATTCGATATGGTTCTCTGTTTAATTAACATTGATTTATACCATATATTTGTTTATAAATATAAGAAGTGGATAGGCATTTGAGAAAAGACAAAACTTTTCAACTTTTAACGGTCGGTTTTTTTTTGACAGTGAGACTTACAACAAAAAAATTAAGCTTAGTTTTAAAGATTAATTTAGTGACGATTGATACAAGTGCCAAAAAAAGCTAATATAGTAAAGAAAAGCTGAATATGTAATTAGAAAATAAATATAATCCAGGGGCGGTGACAAAGGTAGGGGATTGATAGAAAGAAGAAAGAGAAAATAAGGCAAGAGAAGAAATAGTAATAGTAGAAAGAGAGAGAGAGATTGAAATATAGGGGCTAAGAAAGAAATAAATAAATATATGTGTGTAAGTGACTAGTGACAGATAGAAAGTAGAAATGAATCAACGTGCGTTGTATATGTTAACGTGTATGGTGTATCGTACGTTGTCAAGTACGTTATCAGTAAAAGTTTATGTATCTTTAAATATTTCAATTGTAACTAAGGCAACATTGGAATATTTAACCTAATAAAGAAAAAAAATTGACACTAAATGACAATAGAATGTAAGAAACGACTGTCTACTTAGAAAGGTTTTATTACAAAAATAATGACTATGCGAACAATCATATTATAAATCATCTCGAACTATTGTTCTATCGTGTTTATCTCCGTCATTTTCTACAATTTTCTCTGCCATCTCAACTGCAGTTTTTACGTATGGAAATATTTCTTCAATATCAGACCACGGCCCCCAAGCGTGCTGAACTTTACCTGTATGATCAATTAAATATTTCCAAAAGTTCCAGTTTGGCTCCTTTCCACTCAATTTAATCACGTATTGAAATATAGGATGAACATTCTCTTCAATGACATTAATTTTTGAAAATAGTGGAAAATTTAATTTATATTTATTTGTGACCCAGTTCTTTATCTCTTTGTTTGTCCAAGGTTCTTGTCCCCCAAACTGATTGCAAGGGAAGGCTAAAACTTGAAATTTATTATTTTTTCCCAAAAGTTCTTGTAGAGTTGGCAAGGAGGAATAATGGCCGTCTGTAAAGCCGCATTGGCTAGCAACGTTGACTATCAATACAACTTTCCCCCGATAATTTTCCATATTAACCACTTGTCCATTAATATCAACCGCCTCAAAGGTATAGAAATCATCACTAGCAACCCTACCTTTAGTTAAATAACCAGAAAATATAAATAGGGCGAAGAAAATAGAGATAGACATTTTTTTTTCACTAGCAGATGTCTCTAGCCAAGCGATTAAGTATAGCATACTAGGCCTACGGGCTATTCATACCCTATTTTTTTTCTATACTATAGGCAGGTCAGGTTATTAAAAATAGAAACGAACTTCTAATAGAATATCTATTTTTGACTTTTTATTCATCAATTTTTTCCAATTTATTCAAAATTTATAGTCGTAAACATGTTTACTCTTTTAAAATTAACAAATTCATACACACTATGAACCTTTTTTTGTGGTTGGTCTTTTTTGTTTTCTTACAATTATAAAGTAATATATACATAATAGAATATATATATATATGAATATATAGTTTCGTATATATATATATATATATATATATATTATTAATATAATGAAAAAATTGTCTAAAGTTGTCTATATTTGAATAATTTTTTTTTAAGAAATTTCTGAACAGATCTTGTTTTTTTTTCAAAAAAACTTTGACATCCTTAACACACACGCAGGTGGAAAGGAATGAAAATTGTATTAAATTGAGGCGTAACGCGCTAAACGTAACTTACTCAAATCTAATGACAAAAGATTTTCGAACTCGATATAAATCGCCATTCACCTCCGAAATTTTTGCACTTTTATCGTTCACTAACTTATCAACAAACAATGCGTCTTGTACAAGGAGAAATGCATTACGTGTAGCGCACTACCACTTTAACAAATTTACAGGAAACGATAAATATAGCAGAATGTCTAAGAAAAACATATGTTGTATCAAATGGCTTCACAAAAAAAAATAACAAGAAGTTATATCTTTGACGAAAAAAGAGAACTTTTTCAAAACTGTCCATACAGTTTATGACGAACAAGAGTAAAACCAGAAGCTATAAAAACATTTTCTGGCAACGGTTTTGAGCGAACAATGTTAACAAACGGACGGATGGCGTTCGAAATACCTTGCCACTTCGATTGTTCGAACAACATTAAATGCAGCTCAAAAGTTGAAACAGTATCGTCGTCAAATTGAATAGCACCAAATGATAACACAGATCTATCGGAACGTTGAACGAAAATGCGAAGGGTACAACCCCGTAAACCATAAGGCTCGTGTTCAGAGAGACGAACTATATCGGCAACTGCACGAGACAATTCTCCTTTTCTAACTTGTAATTTTTTTATATGTTTCTTTTCTTCGCCTCTCACTGCCATTCGGACACGATTTTCTACAAGATCACAATGCGCTTTGTCTAACCCGTCTCTAAAGCTGACTTTATAAAAATCGTACCCCATTTGTAATTCATCTATAATTGATAAGAAGGTAATTAATAATTGTCAAGTATCAAAAACATATATAGACATGCATAAATCATTTTCAACTTACCCGATAATGTTGAATATTTTGTGCCCGTGGGTAGGCACTGCTCGAAAATATTCATCCCTGAATCGGATTGACTAGGAGAGAAAAAGGTCTTTAAGGACCACTTGATTCTTTTTAAAGCTGGAAGTCCATCGGAATCGTAGCAATTTAGGTTTTTGTTCGAATATAAAGCCATAATATCGTAACTCGACTAAGTAATTTCTTAGAAAAATTTTGCCGACAAAGAAACTGAAAAATATTTTCCTTATTTCGACCGTTTTCTCACCAAATACTTTCGATTTAGATGTGTATATCGAACAAATGGACTGCCAAGATGATCCAAATGAACTGATTTTGAGTTCCTACCAAAACCGTACAGTTAGGAGGGTGAAAACCAGCGAAATGCAGTCTATAACCGATAATCAGCTGACTGCTTGACGATCAGTTCAAGAATGGGGGTGGAGGGTTTTGCCAGTGTAAATTTCCGTTGCTTTTTCCATTCGTAAAATAGACGATTTTTCAATACAAACTCACATAAAATTTAAGAATATGATTAAAATATCGATTATTATTTAATGTTTTTCACTTTATATACTTGTTAAAATTGATTAATAACTGTATAAAACACTGCTCTACCTTACTTATGCAAATTAGCAATGTCCTTGATATGGATTTCGGTTAGTAGGCCTGTTAGCCGAATTCTGTCCGATTTCTATTCCAATCGTGTTTTTATGTAAACACTTTCAATTTATCCAGGCAAGTTAGGCCTTTGTTTCCTTATTCTATATATACGATAATGATAAGAGTATGATAAACTTTTTATATTTAAAGCTTTTATGTTAACTTATGAAACAAAGATACGTATAGAATTATACTATTACGTGCGAATTAATTAGTAAGTCGTAACCTCCATTTTTAACCAATGCCACATAGGTCACACCAAGGGTGTTTGGACGTCTATTATATAATAATAGTTGCGTAACTTCAACGCCGCTATTTTACCTTATTTTAAAGTACCGGAAGACACGAAGTTCAGGCACGTGTTAATAATCAATAGAAAATTTAAAAGGTCACTTTGTACATTTAACTCTTGCTTTCATAGAAAAAATGATAAAAATACAAGAAGTTTTGTTCCCTTGTGTAGTATTAAATAAAATCAAACATGTATGTTGTATCAAGAAGGTACCAGTCTTAGTTATGTGCTTAGTTATGTGCTTTGTTTTTGTTCTAAAAAAATACGCCATCTATCGGTATTTTATAAAATGTTCTTTTATTCGGTGTATTGAAAACAATTGAACAAATTAGACTATTCAAGAACTACATTCGTTACAACATTATACAATTTCTAATGAGAATTTTTAAATTCACTTTCTAAGTTTACCCAATTCTTTTTTAAAATGGTTTTGTGTATAAAAATAGATAAATAGATAAACAAACAAACAAACAAACAAGCATACCAGTTCAAAACAAACAAAATATGGATTCAAAAAAAAAAAGAGTTTTTAATTTTTTACCCGAGGCACATAGAAAGACTCACAGAGAAGTTTGCTGCGCAATTGAAGATTCCATATTTCCTGAACTGGAAGATGGTGTAACTGGGGGTGAAGTAAGTAGAAAGGCTTCAACTGGAACAATAGAATAGACCGGTACTGCGTCAGGAGAATAAGGGTCTATTAAATATTTGACGGCTAGTTGTAAATTTTGCGTATTAAATTCCGTTGTGAGGAGGACTGCGCCGAAAAGGTCGGTTACTTGTTCTCCGTGACAATTCGAATTGAACGCAAAAAGTGTATTATCCAATTTACTTAGAGCGAAAGTTGTATTACCAATTGTTAAAAGAAACGCTCTCGTAACTGGATCATAAAGTTGCCTATTCAAAGAATCGACTAAAGCGTCTACCGTATTTCCGGCTGGAAATTCACTCACTAATTGCTGCATTTGAACCGGAAAAAGTCGGATAGAATCGATAGGTAAACCATCGACGGATGACACTTTGCTAGCCGCCTCTAAAATACAATTTTCTATAAGTAAACACCATTGTCTTATAACTTGAATATCGTCCAAATCGATTTCCAATAATTGAGCTCTAGAAAAGAATTTACAAAGGAACGTTGCCGCTGCCAATTTATTAGAGAGAGCTAGAACAAAAGCTTCGTTTGACTGAGTTTGTTGATCGGCTGAAACCAACCATGGAAATTTCCATAATCGTAAAGAACGCTGTAAATTGAAATGAAGGCATGGGGTCATAATGATAATAAATGAAATATTTTAATTATAGAATGGGTTTCCTACCATTTCCACTACTTTTGGCACATCCATTTCCAATAGGCCAACAGGGCGGACGTCGTACGTACTTAGCTCCGTTTCATCTTCGTCCGCACAAGCTGTACGATCTACTCTGATATACTTGTCGAGTATAACAGGCATCATTTTGGACCATGATAGTTTTTTCTCTTTTTCTTTACCCCTTTCTTTCCAGCATTCGCATAATTTCGGCACTAAAGATGCTATTGTTGCTACAACACTAAGAATAACCCCCGCATCGAATAGGGAGCCGAGTACTGAACACGTGCCAAATACGAAGACAATAAACAGTAGTAATATGCTCATTCTGACAGCTATTGCTTTGCTGGACCTTTTCCAACCATACTTAAGCTCTTCGCAAACGTTATAATATAATTCTTTTGAAACGTATTCCCCTCTCTCGCCATCGATAAACTTAACAGCTCCTAAATTATGCGTTCTTAATAACCCTCCATTATCGTCTTCACGTTTTGTAAAATCCTGTTCGGAATCTTCAGCCGCTGATATTCTTGGCGAATTTTCATCAATTAACCTTAAAATTAACTGATGATCCTGATTTACTTTAGAAAGACTATCGTTTAGATAGAATATGGCTACTATAATAGCTACAATCCAGGGGAGAACAGTTGATGAGTGAAGAATACCTCCAATACATGTATATAACATTATAGTTAACGTTAGCTGACAGATCAGCCATACGGCTGTACAATAACCAGCTAATAAGATAATGTGCATAAACCAGAGGATGCCAGCGGCCATGCCCTTAATAATGAGAAACCAACCGGGCCAGGCGCAAGCCTGTTTCCTAGTCTTTTTCGGCGAACCAAGGAAATATGTAGTCTGGTTTGATGCAATAGAAAAACAAACATTTAAAACAGGTAGTTGAACAAGGCAGTTTCTGAGAAGAGTACCAATCCTCCTACATCCGATAGGGAAACACTTTATAGACAGTAGATGGCGCTGGTTTCTATTGTCGCCGTAAGTTAGCTTTTGTAAGATGGCTTTGTAGCCTTTCGACATATTTTCGTACAAAATATGATCGACTGACCTCTTGCATTTTTGTTTGGTACTAATTAAACTCCTCTCAAGAGGATAACGAGGCCAAGCTAAAAGTACAAGAGTGAATATAAAAGCTAGTTCGCTGAAGGATAACCAAACGGCAGCAGTTGTATGATAGTTTGGCAGGAAGGGAAGAACGGCGTAGTTGACTCTTAAATCTGAGACAATGTCATTGAGTTTCGTGTAATATTGTAATTTCGGAGTATATATGATATATATGGCATAGAAGAATACCGGATATATACAGACTAGAGCAAAAATCCTCCATGAGAATTCCCAAATCTTTCTAGATATCGAATTTGATTTACAGGCGGATGGTTGATGCTTCCAATTAGCCCACCAATGTATACAACATCTCCCTTCCCCATAACAATGCAACAATAAACGTATTAAGATTCTTGGTAGGCTAAACGGCTTCTTATCGGATAGGTTTACTAGTTGCCTAGATGAAATTCGAATCACATAATTCCTTTGACCGGTTATTCCGTGTTTAAGAGATGCTTTAAAGAATTTGGTTATATTATCAAAAGTTAGCCACATTTTCATTTTTAGAAGAAAGAGGGGAGAGAATAATGTTATTATTGTTGATACTATTTGAATAATTATCTCTAGAATCTTAATTACATAGATCGTAGTTTCGGAAGGAGTACAAGAATATTCTTTCTTCTTCCATAATTCTGAATCACAACAACTCCAAACTAAATAGCTACGACCATTCGAATGCTTCACTTGTCTATGACACACTAAATGCTTTCCGTCAGGAGTTCCGGAAGTGATATTCGCTAATAGAACTTGCCGAATAGCATGAATACGGCAATTAGGTGTTAAAAGATAAAGACATAAACTTGGCCATGTTGAAAATCGAATGTTAATGGGTCCACTCGCCTCGAGCGAATAGAAACTAAGCACGTCGGCATCGTTGGGTAAAGATAATATACGACCTCCATTTCCTTCTCTGGCCCAAATCCATTCAGAGGCAAAAGGGTGATTTTTCATATATGGTTGTTCTTCTAAAACTGATTCATTATATCCTCCTATAGTTAATTTAAATTTAACCAAAACAACATTTGAATTGGCGACATATTCTAAAAAGGCTTTCTTTACTGCAACAAGATTGATGGGAATGAGTGAGCATTGAAATCTTCTTGTGCAATCGAAAGAATGGTGATGTTTAGGGAGGTGATGGCGATGCCTTGTTCGTCCCGAACATAAAAAAGGAAGAAAAAACGTATAAAGAAACCGAATAATTTTCATCTTTAGTAAGTTTCCTCATCCTTCTTCTACCTAATTCAATAAAAAAAGTTATGTGTAATATCATAATAAAAGTATTAAGTGTGTAAACCAATTTATTCAGAATATAAAACGATTTTTGCCCTCCACTCTCTACTCATTTATTCTTTCCTCCCTTTACTCTTTCTTCTCTCTATCTGTCTTTCCATCATTAATCAATTCCAATTAAACAAAAGCAGCAATTAACCGTAAGGCAGAAAAATAAGACAGAGAAAGGGGCGTAAGATTGGATGGTTAGGGCAGAGTAAAATAGGGGGACAGAGAATAAGGAAATTTCCGTATGTAGAGTAATGCGTGCACAGATGGCCGAAGATGAAAATGCGTTGGCACGAACTTTCCATTTAATTATATGACTCAGCGAGATTTGTTTCTCTTTTTTAGTCTATTTTCTCTTTTTATTAATTTTTTATTGAATATGATTCTTTAAAGACGTAAAATAAATTTTCGATGGTAATTTGTTTCTCTCTCTCTATATATATATCTCTTTCTCTTCTCCTCTTTTTAAATAGCATAATAATAAACAAAATCCTATGAAATTTACTCTTAAAAGCCATTTACAAGATTTTAAATTATATATCAATTGTTTAAAACATACAAACTATGTAATTTATTTATGATATGTATAGTTGAAGTATTTATTTATTTATTGGACATTCTATGCATTTCACTATACAACTACATGTATAGGTATATACAAGGTTTGTACTTTAATACAAACGTTCTCTTATCCACCCCCTCCTCATCTCCCATTTTATGTACGAAACGTTAAGAATTTCGTCTGTTACCATAGCTACAGACAATTGTTGAAAGTATAACTCGAAACGAGCGTACACGGCATTGATTTCGGCGATGCAGTATTTTTTTCTAACTCTTTCTCTCTGCGACTCTTTCTCTTGCACACGCGTATATAATGGCTGTACGTGCTAAGGCATTTATCGTTGATCGTTGAAAAATTATCCATTAACCTATTCTCTATGTCCCTCTTACTCATTCTGTGTTTATCTTTGTCACTCACTCTCTCTGTCTTTCGCTGATTTCCCCTTCGCTATCTCTCTATTTTCAGTATTTACCTCTATTTTATCACATTTTCACGTCAGATTTTTGAAAAGAGAGGGATATTTTTCATCATTAGATGGATTTTACTACGTATATAGTAAAATAGACAATGATAAATTAAAAATGATATTCTTACCTTCGGAACGAACCACATTGCGCGAGGCAATGTTATTAATGTGGATGATTCGCGACGACAGTAGCAAATCGAAGGCGACGCGATGGCGCCTGTACCGCAATATCCCTGAGTGAGTCATGCACAGCCCTTGCTATTGGTTGTTTGTCAACAGCAATAAGGCCACCATATTGAATGAATTAAGGGTAGGGGAAATCCGTTTAGGCCTGCAATAACCGCAGATGAAGTCTCTGGCATAAAACGCTCAGGGCTTTAAGAAATAAGACTGCAAAACAGTATAGGGCTATCGGAGATGGACCGATCGCTATCTATATGGGGTAGATGGCGCCACCGAGTGCGATTAATTAGCATAAATGCATAGTAAGCGGGAAATCAGATCGGGTTCACAAGGTCTGCGGCTGGCGACGAGCAATGATGATGATTTTGAACTTATATTGCTCTTTACTACTCGCCTTATCATTAACGACCGCAAGAGCTTATCTAAATTATTGGGCACGAAATTGCAGGGAAAGAGGATGTTGTGGTGAAGAGTATTCGAACAAGATCTGTTCAGCGAATGGTCCTGGACAAAAGTCAAATAACTTGTGCTATTGTGATAGTAAATGCGTAAGATTAAAGGACTGCTGTGAAGATTTTGAGGCAGAATGCAGACGTAAGTAGTCAAAGTAGACAAATAGAGAAGAGAGAAAAAGAAAAAAAAAAGTTAAAAAAAATTGGAATGCATAAATATCTATTTCTTTTTATATATAACTCTTTATAAAATATCAATATCAAACATATACGAATATATAACATACTGTTTGAAGCGATAATGCATAGGTATTTTTCAAGTGACGTAACACGTTGTAAAATTTACGACCTAAAGGAAAAGGTCGGGTCATTGTTTACTTTTAACTCAAGTTGAAAAGAGATGAGAATTCGGGATGAAAATTAGTTTTTTCTTTTTTTTTATATGAAAAGTTCACCTTGTTAGTGAGGGCAACGGCCAGAAAAAGAAATATAAGCGTTTGTATATATAAAATACTGAGGAAAAAAAAGTAAAGCCAGCTAAGCTTATCATTGTTTCATCGAAACTTTTCCCCTTATCTTTGTCGCACCCTACCTTTAACAAATAAATAGCGAAACCAAGCCTATGCAGGTTATATTTCGGTTCTGATCTGGGCTAAACAGATGTTATATTCTCCCCGAACAGCAATCGACTGCAAACTAAGCGGATGGTCGAAATGGTCTCCTTGCTCAAGAAACTGTGCAACTGGAGAGAAAGTTAGAAAAAGGAGTATCATTCGAAAAGATGAATTTGGAGGAAGAAAGTGTGGTAAAACAATTGAAAGGCGGTTGTGTCGAGGACCATGTCCAGATAGGTTAATTGGGCGTTCTCGTTCTTCCGTACCAGAAACATTAAATGGTAAGCAAAACTCCATCAAGGGGAGTAGATATATAAAAAAATAATAAAAAAAGGGGGAAGATTTAGTGCAAGGAATATTTATTGAAGGATAAAAGCAGACTCTAATCTAAGTAAAAATTTTACAGAAATCGCTAGCGTAAATCTAAAAAGAGATAAAGTACATGGAGCGACTTTCGACTACTTGAAGAATTATTATTACACCGATCCCAAAGTTTATGGTTATAAATTAAAGAAATATGTCAGGTAATTAAGGGTCATAATCATTAGAGAAAAAAGAAAGAGAGGGGCTCCTACAACCCCCGAGGGGAGTATGGGGTCTGAGGGGGGGTAAAAAGAAAAAAGAAACTGCGTACCATATGCCGAAACCGTCTAGACCGTTCTTGTTGTTTCCATACAGTTTCTGCGTATTCTTCAAGGTCGCCTACGTAACGGAAACCTGCAAGCAGTCTTATAAGATTCGGATTGGAGACTATGCGTGCGTTGAATGTGACGAAAAGACACAGAAAAATCCTAAACAAAGATGTAGAGGGTTGGGAAAGCAGAATAGCATGTCATATTGGCGAATGGTGAATGATGCGAAATGTCAGGGATACTGGACGAGATTTCAACATAGATTAAACTGCACTTGTAATATGCAAAGTTATTCTCATGCACTTTATTTCGTTCATTAATAACTGAAAACTTTATTTCATTTTTCTTTTCACAGTAATCTAATCATCTCTTTTAAACAAAAGTCTTATACATATAACTTAACTGTATATATCTAATTATCTATCTGTCTATCTATCCATCTATCTGTATACAGTGTATATGCATAATTGAATATATATATATATATATATATATGTATATATACATATATATATATATGTATGTAAGTTTATATTTAGTAACACATTATGCACTTGTGTCTTGTCATGAACATTTAATATACATATATATGTACAATGTATCTATGTATAGATATAATAATATATACATATATATACAGTATATACTTTATATATTCTATATGATGGCCCGACCTTTTTCTTTTTCTTTCTATTGTTATATAACAATAAGTATTCCCACAGATCAAGTGGACATTTAATATTATCGATAGAATCTATCGTTATGTCATTGTCTTTCGTACATCTGTGGCAAGTCTGATTGAGAGAACGATCTCTTGACCTTAAGACTGCGTTTTTTTTCCTTTATGCTAAGGATTTTTTTGTAGTGTATCGCCTACCTTTTTTTATATTGTTTGTAAACGAATCTAGCATAATACCTTTTCTGCGGTTCGTTGCCTCTAGCTACAAACAAAAACAAATAGTCTAGAATAAAGATGAAAAACATATTGCCAGTTTAACTCTCTTTCCTAGTCTCTTTTCCCTTGTTCTATCCAATCACTCTTTTCACTAGCTTTCTTTCTCTCTCGCTCTCTCTCTCTCTCTCTGTCTGTCTCTCTCTCTTTTATCCTTGTACTACTACATTAATCTCTACAATACTTTAGTGCAAAGTAAGCCGCCTACTTCAACAAAGTTTGGTAAACGTTTCTAAAAGTAAAAGTACTTATTAAACGAAAAAACGTGCCAAATCTTATAAAATTTCGGCCCTCTTTTGACCTTTGATGAATATTCATATACTTTTTCCGTTAATAAAACAACGAAAAAGGAGAAGGGGGTCATACTCTCTCTCTCTTTTTAATTTGCTCTTCCCATTCCCTCTTTTCTCATTTCCTTGGAATTCAATTACAACGGAATACATAAAAAAAAGTTGTAGGGTTGCTTCAATTACCTTTTTACTAACGGTACGATGATTCGAAACTACTTATTTTTATTATCGTTTCGTTACACCTGTTTCTATAAAGAGGGCGAATGCACATACGCCAAGAGAGAGAGAGAGAGAGAGGTAGAGAGGGAGAGGGCGGAAAAAAGGATTACGAATAAAAAAAAGCCTGGAATTTGACCTATACTACTAGGGAATGACTGTAGTATTATAAGTGTTTTTAAAACAGTTCTATTTAAAAAAGAAAAGCATTTTAGTGGTTTGTATTAAAGAGAAAGAATTGAAATAAGAAGATATATATGATAGTATAGAAGAGAATTGTATAATGTAATGACTGTTTACGTTTTACACAACATGTTTATAGACAGGTTTCTATATACAAGTAGATAGTTTAAAAAGCTTTCGCTACTAATAAAAAAAATCTTTTGGCTGGAATTGTTTTTGAAAGCGGTTAAAACTTTATATATTATGTAATATTATATAAT